GCTTCTGGAGTCATCGCTTCTGAGATTCAACCCGCTTTGTCTTCTTTGGCGTCTCAAATCACAGAGCTACCTTCGTCAGCTCAGCCTGGACTTTCATCTCTGATCTCCCAGATTTCTGGCTTGGCTCCTGTCACCTCCGCTGTTCCTACTCTTGGAGGTGTCGTTGTTGATCCCGCATTGACTTCAGGGCTTCCGAGCTCAATCTTGCCTGCTGTATCGTCTTTACTGTCGCAAATCTCGGCTTCTGGCCCAGCGGCATCTGGTGTTCAGCCTGCGTTGTCATCTCTGGCCTCGCAGGTCACTCAATTACCTTCGTCAGCTCAACCAGCCCTATCCTCGTTGATTTCTGGCATCTCTGGCTTAGCTCCCGTGACTTCCGCAGCTCCTACCGTTGGCGCTGTTAACATAAATCCGGCTTTGACTTCTCAGCTTCCAAGCTCTCTCCAACCTGCTCTATCATCACTTGTCTCACAAATCTCCGCAGTAGGACCTACTGCTCCTGCCGTTCAGACTGCATTGTCATCTTTGGCTTCTCAGATCAGTCAGCTACCTTCTTCAGCCCAGCCAGCCCTGTCTTCATTGATATTTCAAGTGTCGAGTCTGCCAACCGATTCTGTAGCTGTTCCTGTGACATTCAACCCAGCTCTTACCTCTCAGCTTCCAAGCTCTATCCAGCCCGCAGTTTCTTCGCTTCTCTCGCAGGTCTCAGCCGTTGGTGCTACTGCTCCTGCAGTACAGACCGCACTCTCTTCGTTGGCTTCTCAAATTAGCCAATTGCCATCATCTGCTCAGCCAGCACTTTCCTCGCTAATTTCGCAGGTGTCTAATCTGCCCGTCACTTCTGCGGTACCTACAGTTGGTGGCGCGGGAGCTCCTGGATCGGCATTGTCCTCATTGGCCTCACAAGCTTCTAACTTGCCCAACACAGTCCGTCCTGCGCTTTCTTCGCTCCTGTCGCAAGTCTCTGCTGTTGGTCCATCCGGTACACTCGCTCCCAGCGTGTCTTCGGCAGTCTCGTCTTTGTTGGCTAGTGTCGGTTCTGCAACTTCACGTGTTCCGACTGCTGGCGGCAATGCCGCTAGCGCTGGCGCGATCCTTTCGTCGATCAGATCTCAGGCATCGCTACTTCCTGTTTCTGTACAGCCTGTTTTGTCCTCGCTTCTATCACAAGTTTCGGCAGCTGGACCTTCGGGTACGGTAGCCCCAAGCGTGTCAGCAGCTGTCACATCACTTGCTGGTGCTGTAGGAAACACTCGTAACCCAGTACCTACAAACATTGGAGCCGGCTCTGCCCTTTCCTCCATCGCATCTCAAGCATCTCAGTTGCCTGCCTCGTTGCAGACAGCCGTTTCGTCACTTCTCAGTCAAGTCTCCGCTGCCGGCCCTTCAGCAACTTTGGACCCCCGTATCTCATCGGCTGTCTCCTCGTTGTTGTCTGCTGCCTCCCCGAGCGCGACCATCAGCGTCTCGGCTGGTGGAAATGTTGTTGTCGGACCAGCTTTGTCTTCTTTGGCGTCCCAAATTTCGCAGTTGCCTTCGTCTGTCCGTCCAGCCGTCAGCTCTTTGCTCTCGCAGATTTCTGCAACCCCAACCGCAACCCTTGATCCTAGAGTCTCCTCGGCAGTCTCCTCTCTCGTCTCTGTCGTTGCTCCTTCTAGAGCTCCAACTGGTGGAAACGTGGTTGTCGGCCCAGCTCTGTCGTCGTTGGCTTCGCAATTCTCCCAGTTGCCGTCTTCAATTCGTCCTGTGGTATCTTCTCTTTTGTCTCAAGTGTCCGCCACGCCATCCGCTACTCTGGATCCTAGAGTTTCTTCCGCGGTCTCGTCAATTGTGGCTGGTGTCAGTCTTCCTACCTCAAGACCAGTCGAAGTCGGACCAGCTCTCTCGTCTTTGGCGTCACAGCTCTCTCAACTTCCTAGTTCGGTCCGTCCTGCCGTGTCCTCACTGCTCTCGCAAGTCTCCGCGTCGCCTTCCCTGACCTCAGATCCTCGCGTATCCTCGGCTGTCGCGTCTATTGTGGCCGGTGTCAGTACCCCTACTGAAGGCTCGGCTGCAGTCGGTCCCGCTCTCACGTCTCTAGCATCCCAGATCTCGCAACTTCCTGCCTCCGTTCGTCCTATTGTGTCCTCGCTACTTTCTCAGGTTTCTGCCACACCCACTGCGGTCAACGACCCTAGAGTTTCGTCGGCAATCTCGTCAATTGTAGCAGGGGTCAGTACACCCACCTCAGGCTCGGTCGCAGTTGGCCCCGCTCTCTCGTCTCTCGCATCCAGGCTTCCATCCCTGCCGGCTACTGTGCAGCCCGTCATTTCCTCTTTACTGTCTCGTGTATCAGCAACACCCTCGGCAACCCTTGACCCCAGTGTCTCGTCGGCTGTTGCCTCGATTGTTGCTGGAGTGACTCCTGCCCCTAGTTTGATTGCTGCCGGCCCAGCTCTTTTTCCTTGGCTTCTCAATTCTCTCAATTGCCAGCTTCGCTTCGTCCTGCAGTTTCTTCGCTCTTGTCTAGAGTCTCGGCTAATCCCTCGGCCACTCTTGAGCCTGCCGTCTCTGCAGCAGTGTCGTCAATCGTTACAGGCATCACTCCTGCACCCGTTGTTGGTGGTGGCTCTGTCGGCGGTTCAGTCGCTGTCGGTTCCGCTTTGCAATCACTGTCTTCGCTGTCAGCATACGTTCCTGCCTCCGCACAGCCAGCTCTTGCTTCACTTCTATCCCAAGTATCTGCTGCTGGCCCTCAGGCCACCGCAAACCCTGCCATTCAGTCAGCGATTTCATCAATCTATAGCCAAGCCTCTTCTGCATTGTCCAGTGCTGCAAGCTACAAGGCAAGCACCTCTGCCAACTCTCTGGTTGTCTCTATCCTTTCTAGCGGTGCTAGACCTGCCAGTACTGCTGTCACGTCGGATGTTAGAGCTGTCTCATCTGCTCTCGCTGCTGTTGGCGCTACGGCCACTGTTGATCCTATCTTGTCGACTGCAGTTTCAAACCTGCTTGTTGGTGCTACAGGTGCCGTTGGTGGTTTGGTTGTTGCTCAGCAATCTGCTCTCTCGGTCGCTATGGCAAGTGTCACCGCAAACCCTGCTCAAGCCAGTGCTAGAGCTCAGTCCGCTCTCCGTGGTGCTCAGTCTTCCATCTGGGCTCCTATACTTTCCGGTGCATCCTCTGTTGGTGCTCAAGCCAGTAGCCTCGGATCCTCCAGAGTAGCAAGCGCCATCTCGACACTTGCTGCCGACATCAATTCTGCGGTCTCGTACAACCTGCCGGCTCAGAGCTCCGTTGCCAATGTTGTGGCTTCGTACGTCAACTCTGCCGTACCCACCACCACTCCATTCGTCGTTGGCGGACCTTCTGGCTTCCAGACTTCTTACCGCCCCACCGCTACCGTACGAGGCTCTGTCAGTGCCTCCGCAGGCCAGCCCGCACCTACCGGATTGAACTTGCTTCCTCCCTCTGCAGGCGCTAACGCATCTACCATTGCCGACTCAGTCAACACCATCGAATTCTGCGATGCTATTCTGACCTGCCGTGATGGAGTCGTCTCCTCCGAGGACGTGGCAATCGGTTCTGTTGTTGACACGCTTGTCGTCAACGACCTGACTGAAATCAACTTCTGCGGCACCACCCTGCGTTGCGGAGACAACGGAGTTTCTCAGAGCAGACACACCTTATCTGTCGTTGCCAACGCCAATGTCGATGTTTCGGTCGAAGATGGTTATGACGATGCTTGAGCATGATCAATGATCATGATGTTTTCCTTGTTGTTGTTCGATGGTTTCCTTTGTTGACAAACACTCCTTCTTGACGAAGTCGAAGTATTGTATGTTTAGTTGATGACGTCCGCCTACCGATGGTAATGATCTCTATGTTGTATAGTAAGCACATATCTTATGTAGTAATAATACTTTCCTTTGCACAAACCAAGAAACAAGTGTTCGCCAGAAGGTGTGCTTAAATAGAGCCATGGTGCAGTAAAGATGCTGAATGGCCTGGTTTTCTGCCTCCGATCAGCTCTGTGTGTTTCTACAAGGTAATTTCAGTGAACTCAATGCTTCGAGTTGAGACCTGAGAATAGCTTCTAAGCGAAGTAGTTTCGAGCCACACTCCTGACAAGTTGATGGATGTCCAGAAGGTAATGCAATGCAGACAACAGAAACTTCGATCCCAATTTTTGAGCACATTGGCAAAAGACTCTTGGCTTTGTCGAGAGCAGTACTGTGTTCTTACATGAGTTGTTGTTTGACTGTGGCCTGGCGTACCTTTTCCTTATCAGGCGGTGCGGGTTGACCTCAGTGGCTGCAGTCAGGCAAGGTGATGAACACTTGTACGATAGCGGTGCCAATCTGGACAGTTGATGTTGATCCACGATGCTCATCACAATTACCCGAAGTAATCTTCTCGCTGGCCTATACCAGGTAACTTGTTTGTGTGTTGCAGTGCTGTCAAAGTCGGGAGACTACCCAGCAGTCCTGTAGCATTGTGCTTACATCAACAACGGTGCAGTCTGTAGACTTGAAGATCAGTGAACCAAAACGTGCTGCATTCATCATGAGAGACATACCTACATCTCATTATCAAGATTTATGACGGGTGACGCAGTCCGACTCGAATCAACTAAGATCAGTGAATTTTTCGTTGGCACGGGGTTGCAAAGCAAGATTGTATCAAATTGGTCGTCGAGCAGTACCGGTTTTGTCATTCTGGCTATAGCAATCAGGCAGCACAGAACAAAATTTGCATTGTCATTCGTAACACCAGCTCTCTGACCAAGCCTCTGCGTGTACCGAAGTATGTAACTTTACCGTTTGGTTGCACACATCACTCTAGCCTGTAGCGTTTTCAATGACCGGCATCAAGATCTGACGGAGCAATGAGGCTCATATTCGAAAATTCCTTAGCTATGTACAGCATTTGTCTTGCTTCGTCTCCTCCAAACAGTGGAAGCAACGAACGCACCAGTCTCGACAAGCAGACACTCAGACCTAATAACCATAGGTCTCAGTCTACTTACACACCACGAAACCAACACCAGATCTAGCCTTCATAGCAGCCTTCTTGAGCTCTTGCTCCTCGACATCCGTCCACTTGATGGGCAACTCATCCCACTTCATGGTCTGGAAGTCGCGTTTGTATTGCTGTTGCATGGATTGAAGACGGCGCATCTCAGACGGGTCACCACCGCCAGAGTAGACGATGAAGGCAGTCTTTGGTGGTAAGGAGTCATATATGGCTTTGACGGATGCAGTGGTGCGTGTTACGGCATCTGCAAGAGCGGAAGTGCTGATCTCTTGACCTTCAGAGGCGTTGTTGTCGGCAAGAGTGTTGGCGAGACGAGCAGCTGCGTCGGCGGAGGTTGTGCGAGTCCACCAACCACGTAGGGCTTCGAGCTCGCGAAGACGTGCCCAGACGAAATCGCAACCACCAACGGGAATGTGTTGACCAGGAGCATCGGCTTCTTCGGTTGTCTGAGGTCCTGAGAGAACGCGTTGAACACCGGCAACTACATCTGCATCACTCTCGCAAGCCACGGTGCAAGTAGCAGCAGCACCGAAGCCGCGCTTCGGGTCACCCCAATCTACAACAGCACCTGTGCGGCCGGTCTTTGCCTGCTCCTCTTTCTCTTCAGATAGCATGCCGCCCTCGTCTTTGTCATCTTCTACACCGACACGACCAAGACGCTTGAAGATACTCTCGCTCGTTGCTTCAGAAGTACCCCACGTCTTGCCCTTCTCGCACTTTTGCTTAACAAGGTCGAGACATGCTTTTGCGTCCTCGACACTGTCGTGACCTTGTGGACCACGATTTTGGATCTCGCGTGAAAGATATTTCTGGGTGAGCCATTTGAGAGATGACTTTTGAGGAGGACCTTTGGGATGAGGATAGATGAGTGTAGTGTCGACAATGAAGGGGAAAGCAATGCGAAGGGCGCGAAGATCGGAGTCGAGAGAGTGACCTAGCAAAATCGTGCGAGGAGTAAGCACTTCCCTCAGCTTTGCCTGTAGCTCAGCGAGGGTTTGTGTGACCGGCTCCATCATTTCCTTGGTGATACCCGAGTACTGTGTCAAGTAATCTGTTACCGTACCTGGAGGCTTAACGAGCTCATCAAGCACAATGTTGCCATCCCAGTCTATGAAGGATACACGAGCAAGAGCGAACTTCTCTTCTGATGTGGTGATCATCTCACAGTCGACTGTTAACACATTGCGTCCTTGTAGAATGCTGCCCTGCTCGATCTCCTCGGATGGTACGATGCCTTCATCAAGAGACGAGATGTCGGGCAAGTTTATCCAGCCATCCTCTTCAGATTGACAATACTTGTGACGTCTTGCCTTCTCGGCTGCACGCTCGGCATCTGATCGCAAGTAGGCAGGATGTATAGCGTATCCATTGTCCATAAGTTCTTCTCTTGTTGCTAGGAATTCAGTGATAGGAGTCCTCTGGTTCTGCCATCTTGCACCTTCCCTTGGAGGCTTGGGACCCTTTATCTTCTTTTCGTCTTTTGCTTTGGGCAGAGGTGATGTCAACAGAGCTTGTAGCGGTGAGTGCATACGGTTAAACTCTCCGGGCGTCTTGACCGGCCAGATGTGAGGGAACATTTCGGCGAAAGGCTGTAACGGGGCAGGCAATTTTGGCGAAACGAGCTTGACAGGGTAGTAGTCGTCGGGCGAAATTGTAATCTTCAGCTTCTTCGAGGGAGGAGTATCTTCTGCACCAGTTTCTGCCTGTTGAGGAATGCTTTTCGTGACTGGCTCTTGACTTGGATCCAGATTGATGTTGGCGTTGAACATGTCTGCTTCGAGACCAGGCACCATGAGACAAACGACACGCTCAATGTCCTTCTTGTGGCGCACACTGATCCATTGAGGGCCACTGCCGTCGGCCAGCAGATAGAGGACGAGGTTTTGCAAGTCGGAGATCTTGACAAAAGATTGAAGACGAGCGTTCGGGGCATGGGTGATTTGAGGATAGTTCTGATGTATGCTCTTCTTGTGGCGCTTAGAGCTGCGGTCGACTGTCGTCCACTCTCCACCGTCATCGCTAGCACCTTGTGTTGTCGCAGCAGGAGAGCTGACGGCATTCTTGTTCGAGTCCGGGTCACTGTCGCCATTAAGTCGGGACAAGGTGGCGCCCATGCCGAGCAATTCTCTTCCTTCTTGCTGATCAAGCTTGCGCTTCTGACCGCGACTGTAGCTGTCTCCAGACATGATTGCAGTTCGCCACGGGTGGTTGTGGTGAAAATGGTGACGTCGAGGTAACTTTTCTGAAGAATGCGACGAGACCAGCTTGGAGACGCGACCGACCGATCTACATCTCGGATCTATCCGACCGGGCAGGGACGCTCGGTAGCCGCATCTCGAAACGCTCCTTCTCGCTTGGCATGTGCGTTCACGCGCGCGTCAGTGCGCAAAAGCGATTCCATCATTGACGAAACGCTGTCTTGAATTTGTTTGTCGACACAACTTCCATGTCTCAGCATAACCCATGAGAATTCTACCGCCCAACTGGGAAGGGATTCATCCCGCCTACCCCAGCAGACCCGCCCCCTTCAATGAGTCGGCCTTGACGAAAGCCCCCTTCTGGGCTGGAGGCGCCGGTGCCATTGCCGCTGCTCTCGCTCTTCTCACAAAGCGCTCGCCTGCCCAAGGCCTCAAGACCGCTGCCTGGACCACCCTTCTCTTCGGTATTCCCTCTGTTGGTATCGAACGCTACGCCGGCCATCTCATCGCCAGACCCTACCTCGAGAGCAAGGGACTCGAAGTCCCCAAGTCCAAGATCATCGATCGCCCCTTCAGCATCGATGCCGACAACTACATTCTCGCCGGTGGTCTCATAGGTCTTGGTTGCGCTGCCTCTGTGCGCAAGCCATGGGGTGTCACTGGTTGGCAGCGCTGGCTGGGTGCCTTTAGCTGTGGCGCCTTTGCTGGCGCAGCCTTCAACCAGGCCTACCATTTCAACACTTACGCCACTCTTGCTGAGACCATCGCGAAACAACAGTCTCAACGCAACTTGTGGAGAGAAGACGTCAAGCGCTTCATCGAGAACAAGGCTATTCAAGATGCTGGTCTCACTGCTGATGCAGTACAACAGCCTGGCATGACCACAATGGCCGACATGCTCAAGAACGTTGGCGGCGCACACAACGCAATGATAAAGGAAATGCATGCCGCTGCCGAAAAGGCTGCTCAGGCTGCTCAAGAGGAGGACGTTGACGAACAAGACCCGCAACCACACTTTAGTGAGATGCGTGAAGGAGAGCGTGTATTCTTCCCAGAACCAAACTACAAATGGCAGCCTGGCCCCGAAGGTGTCCAGCAGATCGAGTCGCATATTCAGAAGCTGAAGGAGAGGCGATCTCGTCTGGCAGAGGAAGCATCCATGTTGTTCTATGAGCTTGCTTCCAAGCAGAACAAACTCTATCTTACCGATAAGGATGACTGGGAGAGGGAGCAGCGTCGTGTCGATGCTGAGCTCATGGGTCACCTGCACACTCAGACTTACCTGGAGATTTCGCGGCTCGATTGGTGTATTGCCGACTCACAAAAGACAAGGCTGCAGCTCAAGGCTCTGGCGAACGGTCAACAATGGTTGCCCCAGAAGCCCGACAACCAATCAAAGCCTCAACATGCTCGCCGCCTGCTCGACGACTTCGATCATGAAAACGAGGTTGCTCGTGCCGAAATGGATATGCTTTCCCAACAAGCTGCTGATGCTCTGCGGGACCCAGGACTTGGCGCTATCGACATGAATACCGGCAAGGTGGTCGAGGATCCTCACGCGCAGATCAAGAAGGATCTCGAGGAGCTAAAGCGCGTCCAGAAGGAATCTGACATGATCCGCGACGCTATCACAAAGCTCAGAAAAGAGATGGGCGTCGAAAAGAGAGACGACTAGTCTTGCTGTAATTAGAAACTCTTAATTGTACATGTTCGACTGACTCATTGGTCCGTTGTGCTAGAATGTATGTATAGAAAGAAGTCCAGTGCTGTCGCTGATCAAGGAAGTAACGTCGTATGAACGAGGTCGACGAATACTGTTGGCCAAATGAACACAGTATTACTTGCGAATGCGTACATGTGCATACTCGACCCAAGACAAGATACACAGACAAGTTCCATTGCACGAGGCGATGCAATGTGACAGGGACAAGGCAAATACGGCTGTATCGCGTCAGGCTTCCCCATTGTCACATTGTCCGCTAAGGCTGAGTTTCGCAGCAGTGGATCTGCATACTTTCTTGTCGGGCGGTCTTCGTGCTGAGTGGATGAATATACAGGAGGATCTAGTCCAGGTACATCAATACGAGGTGTCGGCCTGTTGGTCTTGGTGCTCATACACGGAATTTTCATCAGAATGGTGAAGGTAGTGCAGGCAGCACAGGCAGTGCAAGTACGTTCGAGTGCAAAACCCTGCAAGAATATCCAATCTTTATATAACAAGGAACACGAATGCGAGTATACGAAGTACGAAGGAAGGTGTCAAGTGTCAGTATCGGCGCTAGTCACCGATATGGCCTAGTCTCTCGCAAGCGATGCCATTTTTGAAGTTCCGCCAGGCAGGGCAGAGTAATCGTCACCCGTTTCTATGAATGCCATGACTCCCGAAGAAGCAGCAATTAATACGGAGCGGCTCTGATTAGATGATAGAAAAGCAGGCAAGTGCCATGGCAAATGTAAGATAGCCACTGTGGTAATTCCTGTTCTTCCTCTTTCACAAAACTCCGTCATTGCTATCCACAGCAAAGACACTGCACTCCCGTGGCATACAATCTTTCACTTTTCATCGCTGTCCACCTCCGGATCAACCGGCTACCTGCAGAAAAAATATTTGACCAAGAGTAGCGCTGTCATGGCCATCGGATCGACTGGCTGCGTGGCCTACAATCCATTGCAAAGAACGGCATACGGATATGTGCCCTCGCTGGCTGCTGGCATTGTCTATTGCGTCCTCTTTGGACTCTCGATGATCGCGCATACCTTCCAGGCCATCAAGACAAGAGCGCTATGGAACCTCGTCTTTGCCGTCGGTTGTTTGAGTATGTCAAAGACGAGTATCCTTCTATTTTCATTTCATCAATGCTGATTAACTTGCGCAGCTGAAGTACTGGGCTGGGCTGCTCGAACCTGGTCGAGTGAATGTCCCTACAATGCAAACGCCTTTCTGATGCAGATTTGTACACTGATCATTGGTAAGTCATTCAACCATGTTTTGACACCGTGCTGATCTGAANTAGCGCCCACGTTCTTCACTGCCGGAATCTATGTCATCCTCGGACGCATGATCGCCATTGCGGGGCCTGGAGTCAGTCCTATCGGACCTGTCTGGTACCTCTGGATCTTCTGTACTGTCGATATCATCTCTCTGGTCATCCAAGCTGTTGGTGGCGGTTCAGCAGCTGTCGCGTTCAATTCGACGCCCCCTGGTAACACCAAGGTCGGAACCAACATCATGGTAGCTGGTATCGACTTCCAACTGGCCTCGGTCATCGTCTTCAGCATTCTCTTCTTCCTTTTCCTCTACAGAGCATCCGTCAAGCTACGCCTTCCCGCCTTCAAGAACGACAGGAACATGAAACTCCTTGTCCTCGTTACATCGTTCTCAATCCTTCTCATCATCATGAGAAGCATCTATCGTACGATCGAACTCGCTGGCGGTTGGACCGGACGTGTCATCGAAACTGAGAGATACTTCATCGCCCTTGATGGTGCACCTATGGCTGCCCTTGTCATCGCTTTCAACATCCTACATCCTGGTGCTCTGATCAATCGCGTCATTGCTCGCAATGGTGTCCAGATGGATGAGAAGCCATCGAAAAACTCCAGCGAACATGACGCTCCTGTGTTGGGCGCATCTGCCTGATGCTTTCCCAGCACTTTCACACACGATACACAGGACTTTTCAGATTTCTCTTGTCATACATAGCGGTACATGCCTTTAATGCTCTTCTTCCCGAACAAAGACGATTCTTCTCGGCCATCTGACATTTCTATTGCGATTAAAGCTCGTGAAGCAGGTCACGAACCCACAGTAAGATGTTTGCTATTGGTGCCTATGTCAAAATAGCAAAGGAATGGCCAAGGTCCCTGTTCTTCGTGGCCACGTGAATGGCACGTTGACCCAGAATGGTGAGTCAGTTTAAGACAAATTAATTTCGCTGCGACAAAGTTCTTTGCACGCTCGCGACGCCATCATGAGATGACATCTTTTCGCCAGGACTGCCTGCTCTGTATCAAACGATCCCTGCAACATTAAGATCCATAGCTATTTGGAAACATGGACGTACTCTTCACAGTCTATTGCGCCAACGACAAAACTATCACAATAATTCCTGCCTCGATCCTAGAACCTGAAAACTCATGTCGAAGGTACAACTCTGTATCTGCCACTGCCGAAGAGACAGCTAGTCTACGTAAGGTTTTGCTGCCAGGCACACCACTGACAGCACCACCTCGCGATATCTACTCTTTCTCTCATTTTGCTGCCTTGGTACGGCGAGACCAAAACATCGAAAGCGAAGACCAACATACCATCTCGCTACCTCTCGGGCTTGCTTTCGAGATGCTCTCCATCCAGAACTCCTATCACATCACCGGACTCGTTAGCGAGACTGCTATCCAAGAAGTCGAGGATGCGCTATCTCCACTCATGCGCCCCAACATCCTCAACAACCAGAAGCGCTATTTTGTTCGATTGGACGATTGTTCGCCAAAAGACTCCGAAAGCACAAAGATGCCCATCTCCTCTCTTCGACAACTGGTGCTTTGTTTGCTTACTTCGAACCGCGCANAAGGAGATTTCGAAGCCCATGTTATGGAGAACAGACGTGCTCACATCTATCTTCATGCTTGGGACGAGGAAATGGCAAAAGGAGTGGAGTTTCGTTGCTTTGTACCACCTACCGCCCATCTTGACGACAGTAGATCAAGGATGGTTGCCATGAGTCAGTATCACTGGCACATGCCGTTTCCTGTTGCTGCGTTCGAGCCTCGAGAGACTGTTGATGTTGCTCTTACTTCTGCTGAGGAGCTCTTGAGGCAGATCTTAAGCACAGCGACTAGTATGGGTATTCTTGACGAGCTCAAGATGTGGGGCTTCACGTTTGATGTTGTGGTAAAGAGGAGTGGGCGCGTGCAGCTGGTAGAGCTGAATCCATTCGGAGCAAACAGCGGATGTGGGAGTTGTCTCTTCCATTGGGCAGATGATGCGAAACTGCTGTATGGAGGGAAGAAGGCGACTGAGATCAGGTTGTTGATATGAGGAGTGAAGGGTGATCAAAGAGGGTATTGCTTCCAAAAAAAAGTCTACGAAAAAAAAAAAGGTGGTATCCTAAAGAATAGAACGAAACGATTCTTACACAACGATCATGCCCTGTGAATCCCGGAATGCACGTATGCCCTTTGACCCGCAAAGAACTCCCGCTATGAACAGAAAATGCAGGTATGCGAGAAAAAAAAAAGACAGAAGCATCTCTGTTCCTTAGTCATCGGCTTCGAGCATGCTCAAAACATCAATCTCAGTCTTGATGATCCTTTCGAACTCTTCTCTTCCCATGCCCACACTGCGGGCAAGGCGGAACATGCTCTTCATCTCTGTGCTGATGAACTGCTTCACACCAATTTCAGCTCTTGTCATGTCCTCAGCACCACGTTCGAGAACGTCGACACTGCTGCCAGGGGATGTAGGTCTCGGTGCTTCCAGCTCTTGCTTTTGTGCTTGGAGTGTAGTGTTGAACTCGTTGTTTTCGGCAGCGTACATGGGTGGAGCGGGATTGGTGTTTGGTTCTCCTGTTTGTTTTGTGCTGAGCTCGCCGCCGCGCAGGGTGGAGTCTGCAGTCTCTGGGTGCTCCTCGTCAGGGTCGTGATCGTCGAGGGCAGGTTGGACTTCAGCTGCGTAGCGAGCGAAGTACTCGAGTTCGTCGTTTGTGGGGGCGAGGTTTGAGGAAGCGGTGCCAGGAGCGGGACTAGCGCGTTTGGCAGGCGTACGAGCGGGAGTTCTGTTGTTGGGTGTTCTGTCGTAGCTGGCCCAGTAGTCATCGTCATCGTCATCATCTTCTGCGGTCGCTTGTTGAGGGATGGTAGTGGAAGGAGCGTTGGGATGAGACTGGCTCTCGAAGGCGTCATTTGCAGCAGCGATAGAGTCTGTCCACTGGGCGACATCATCGCTCAAGTCCTCAAGAGCGCGCAACTCGGCCAGTCTCCAACCTGTTGCTCCGCCAATTTGACCACCATCTGCATCGTTCTCGCACCACATGTATACCGGCAGCAATCCAAACTCTTCGACTTGCAAGCAGCATTGTAGTGTTTCCTCGTCGACTCTTCTGTAGCTGATCTTGTCGATGTCTTCAAGCTCGAGCTCGCCGGATACAGGATGAGCTTCCAATTGCAGGTTTTCGACTTTACCGCCAAGTTTCGAGGAGCGAGAGGAGGACCAAGAGAGCAGGTTCAACCAACCACCTTGGCCTGAAGAAGTGTTACCAGCGAGGAGATTGACTCGTTGGCGCAAGATGGGCGAAAGAAGAGGAAGCAATGCCGGCGGAGGGCGCGGCGACATGAAAGCGGTAGGAAGACATGCCAGAAGTGGTGGGAACAAGGTCCGTGGCTCGGGAGGGGTGATGATGCTGGTCGACATGGTGTGCTATGAGGTGTGCGAAGATTCGAAGTTGGAAAACAAAAAGATTTTGAGAGACTTTCAGAGGTACGACATATGCGAGTATAAAGCCGTGGACTTTTTATCCTCTGCCCGAGGACCAGTGGATTGCTCGTCAAGATGTCCGAAGTGCAGTCCGGTCGCCCGGACATGTGCTGCTTCCATCTCCACCACAATCTTGCCCCACTTCCCGCGACCGCCGTCACTTCCCGCGAGTCCCCCGATCCCAAGTCCTTGCCTGCAACAGCCTCTTCTGCCATTCCATCCACCCTCTTCTTGGGCCAACCTTGGACGTGACCTTGATAGAGACCTCGCTACCGACTTTGCCAATGCACTGCACAGAGCACATTCGAAAAGAGTGTATAATCATCGACATCATCAAAATACCCTTCTACATACTGCATATGTCAAATATAACCACTAATCATCCTGATTCATCAGCGGGTTCCTGGCTCCCAAATGGTCTTGCGAACCATTTCGACCGTTTGATACGGTACCGACAAGAAGGGGCTATGCCCAGCATCCAAGTACTCGATTATAAACTTGCCGCCAGGTTGCTTCGCCATGCCAATCTGCGCCTCCTGCGGGATCGCATTGTCGCGTGAGCAGACAATGTACGTCGAGTCGATGTACTTCCACGCAGCATACGTCTGCTTGCTTTCGAAGCTTCCTTTNGCCTGCAGATCCAGCTGCTCAACGCAAGCCTCTGCCAATACAGGATCCACATCGTTGTAGAAGATGTGGTTCGAGTTGGTGGCTCGCCATTGCTTCTCATTCGCTGACTCCTGCCAGGGCAATGGCGTATTGTTCAACGCGTCCATCAAGCTGAGTCCTTCGTTGAGCGCAAACGCAGCCATGTAGATCATTCGGACCACCCCGCCTCCTCTGGGCACTTCTTGCTTCAAGTATCCTTGAACTGCTGCGCTGCCCACCATGCCACCGTATGAGTGCATGAGCATCACAATCTCGTGCCCCTGGGATACTTCGTCGGCGATGGCTTTGCGGACGACGTGCACATCATCGTTGAAACTGTCGCAAGTCCCGCCGACAGATGGAAGGNNGGAGGGAGCTATAACAGGGAAGCTGATCTTTCTGAGACCCTCCAGAAGGCCTGCGTAGAGATGGGGCTTGTGCCACGCTCCTGTCACGAAAATGACGGTGGGTTTCGAGTTCTTGTTTGTGCCGAAAATGATTTGATCGATATGCATGATTGCTTTCTTGTGATCCCTGATGCAAGAATATATTATTGAATGTGAGAGCTGTGGCGTATACTTGATGTTGAATCGCAATTGTTGAAGAGGGTTATGGTAAGATCAGAACAATCGGGAAGCTTGTATGCGAGAGCAAACTGGACTGACAGCCCAAGTACTCAGAAGGATCCATGACCTTCTACTTATAGTTCTCAAGCGCGCAGCTGCAGCTCAGATACCTATCCTCGTCCCACTAGCTGTTTAGAGTTTGTGTCAAGTGTGGCTGACAGTGAGGGGTCCATGGAAGGATCAACAAGCTGTCTTCATCAGCGCATGCTAGTCTTTGTTCTTTTTTTGCTCCACCACAACTTGGCGAACTGCGGTTGTTGTGGTGCATGGCGAACCCAAAACTCCAATGCATTTCCTCTTGTGGATGAGGGTAGGTTTGTTGGCAGTTGGTGGCGCCAGAGGGAAAACAAACAGACGGATGGCGCTTCAGTGTCACACAACTTGTGAAGTCTGCAGCTTGTACAGAGAGCTGTTGACGCTGCTGATCATTACGAAACCCTGCTAACGTTCCATGCGAACACCTCGGCAACCATTACCATCTCAGTTCGGTGCAGCTCGGAGGAACTGCATCCGCTGTCATGCGACATTTCAAAATTCGGGTTCGTGTGTTTATCGCCCGATGAACGATTGGTAAATTTTCGGTCCGTCATGTCCCTGCGATTACCTCGCGACCGAGATGTTGGACAAGAAGGAACAAAGACGCTACGGACCGAACTCCTTCGAATGAATTGTTGAAGAATTCTCTAAACAGTACAAGTAGGTGTGACTGAGCCAATATCTAATGGCCTAGCCCTTTGGCTCTTGCCTTTTCAACATATGTCCAATATCTTCTTGCGCTATGTTCGCGGAGCCGGCGACCAAACGCGATTACAACGAACATGGTGCTGTTTAGCACAAACGCTATCATTGCGGCCGTGATAAAAGTATTCTGTGTTCCCATGCCGTCGATCCATGGGTTGATGCCATAGTTGATGGCGAAGCTTGAGTAATCATATTAGCGTCTTGCCTATACGTGTCCAACATCAAGGTACCTACCTCAAGGTATTCCGTATAAGGATGATGGTCGTGATCAGTTCGCCACTCAAGTCTCTGTAGGCGCTCGTGGCATACTGAATGGCCGTCGATAAGCAAAGCGTACTAGATATGGCTAGAATTGCCTGAGCAAACACAAGCCCGAACCAATGTACATGGTGCTGACTCCCGACTCCCCACAGGATCAGTGCAAATGGCACAACAACGGCCGAGGCTAAAAAGAGCCACAAGATGTCCTCGGGCTCCGAAATACCACCTCTACGACGAGCCAGCCTGATGACTAGCCATGGGCCTGCAAGCGTTACCCAAAGAGAACCCAAGACCATACCAACAACGGCCGCAAAGTAAGCAAAGCCTACTGCATCGCTGGAAAAATGGTAGTAGCTATTGGTATAGATAACGCTGGCTGTGGCATTCAAGATTCCTGGATACACCAGTCCCTGTAGACCGTACCTAGAAGTCAAGCGTACAATCAGCATGTTTTCTGTGCAAGTAACTTTACGCTATAGTACAGTCGCAACAGACACCAGTGGTGTTTCCCACCACGTTGCAAGGATACCATCCGAGGCTACTCGAATCACTCGGCAATGTAGAGCTGGGTCTCGAGCCCGTTGTAGGGGTCCAAACACCATCTGGTGGCTGCTAACTCGTAGCGTTTGTCTCTCAATATCACTCACATGAATCCTGCCCAGACAACTACAGGAAAGCTGAAGAACTTGAAGGGTGCCCACATGATATCCAGCATGCGATTTGGTCGCTTTTTGTCAATGACGCTCAGTTTCTGCCAGTATGTTTTTCGTGGGTACGCGATATGCCCCAACTCAGCAGCCACCACGTCTAGAGCATGCTGATCTTCGGATAATTTTTGGTCGTTCGAGAGAGGGGAATCGCTAACTTGGACACCGTCCTTTGCGGTGAACTTCTCGGATCGAGATGGCTCAGCCTCGCCAGCGCCTTCAGATATAGCTTGTGGATTGAAGGGATGACGATTGGGTTGTGCGCCTGTCGTAGTTTGTTTCTTCCATGAGCAACAGGCAGAAAACGAAAGCAATACCGATACCTATAGCGCACCACCACTGTATATTGTTAGCGTAAGGCAATGCAGATCGTTACCGGGTGGACACCAACCAAGGTCCACTCCCAACCCATGCCACTATTGATGAATGCACTAAATACAGGGGCTAGCTTGCCAGAAGCACCAAGTGATACGCCGTATAGAGCGATATAGAGAGGACGCTCGTGAGCAAACCACTGTGACTTGTTAGTCATAGCTTTTGGTGCGACCATGATGTCAACCACTTACAATGTCGGTCATGCTGATTTCACAAAGACTCTCGACCGGTCCTCCAAAGAATCCCTTGGCTGATCAGTACAACATATCTTCGGTCCGAGAGGATGCCAAATCACCTGCAAGATTCTGATCGCCAGGTATGTCCCAGAAGTCCGACACATCGGTGCGACCGCCATGACTACGACTGATGCAGCCGCAGAGATCAGATACACCGGTCGCTTTCCGTATTGCAATGCAATCGCTTGCCAAAGGATCGTCGACCAGCCATACAAGAGGAACATGACACCGGTTCCTCTGTTGATTGTTGTGATGGAGATGCCAGTGGACGTAGAGATGGGCTTTGCCACCGAGTACACCGCTGCGGACGGAAACACCATCATAACAGTATACATGACCATACAGGCAGTGTGCAACAGCTTGCGCTGCTTTGTCCAGTTCAGTGGGTCTTCTGGATCCTCTACCCTAGAAGTCAGCCTCTGCTCTGATGAAGCCATGGAGTCACATGCTGACCGGATGGTGTTGGCACAAGGATAATGTCGCCATGACCCTCGGAGTGCTTGACGTTGAGCTCGCCATTGGCATCAATAAGCCTGACAGTACCGGGTGCGATATTATCATCATGAATATTGCTGGACATCTTGGGGGTTGAAGGTCAAGTAATGTTCAGGCGGAACTTAAACTCGACAGGATCGAGGGCCTTTTTCATGTCTCGTGTTTGATACGGAAGGAAGGACCTACCTGCCTGCATGCCTATCATGTCTCAATGCATTCATCTTTGCTTCTTGAACACGATAGGCCTACTTTCAGCTGCCAAGATCTATCGATACTGCAGGCCAGAGATAACACCCGCCCACATAGGGTCTTACTGCTTCGCCATCATCATACCTTCGGAAGAAGGACAGCAGTCGGAGACCTCTGCCTCGCCGGATCCCCTGACGAGAAGTCGACCGCCGACGCCAAGACCCGGGGCCCACACATTCTCCAACCTCCGCCCCCTCCTCCCTCATTCGATCTACACTCTTATCATCTTATCGTCAACTGATACTCTGGTGGAGTTGGCCGTGCATAGGCCTATCTCAAGACGGTTGTCGCATATGTATGCCTCGGAATGTGAGTGGTGTAAAGCTTATCAATCGAACTATTCGCATCAACTTGCCTGATATGGATGGCCAGCCCTGATAGTGCAGTATCCATGGTCAGTCAGTTATCTTTCTCACTCTTCTTTCCTCCCTCTCTCTTCCTAGCATATCAGAACCAGACTTGTCTGAACGTTGACTCAACAACCAAATCACACATCGTACAGTATGCCTGCAGCAAAAGATTGGGAAAGAAAGGCTCAGATTTGCCGTGATATTCTTGAGAACTCAATCCCCAAGCAATGGCTTCTCCCTGAAGATAAGCTTCCGACGAAGCAGAACCTCAATGTCACCAAGATTCCCTATACATGTGGCATCCTTTCTGCTAAGGAGCTTGACATGACCGAACAAACTGCTGCTGGACTTTTGAGCAAATATCAGTCAGGTGCATGGAAAGTCGAGGATGTTACCATTGCATTTCTCAAACGAGCTACAATCGGACATCAACTTGTAAGTTCGCTAGCTCTCTCAACATTGCAAACAGTGGTCTAACACAAACAGCTCAACTTTGCTACTGAGTTCCTCACCGAAGAAGCGTTGGAAACTGCAAAAGCCCTGGACAAGCATTTCGAATCCACAGGCAAACTCATCGGTCCACTTCATGGCATTCCTATCAGTGTCAAGGAACATGTCTCATATGGTGGCAAGATCACTCACGCTGGTTTCGTGAGTCAGATCGACAACGTAGCCAAGGAAGATGCGCTGCTTGTCCAACTACTCAAGAAGGCAGGTGCAGTATTCACAGTACGGACCAATCAGCCGCAGTCCTTGATGCATTTAGACTGTGAGAACAATATCACTGGAACAACTTTCAACCCATACCATCTCAAGCTCTCGCCTGGTGGGTCGTCCGGAGGAGAAGGAGCATCAATGGGCTTCAGATGTGCTGTACTGGGTGTCGGCACAGACATCGGTGGCAGTATTCGCGCACCTGCTGCATTCAACAATTCTTATGGACTCCGACCCACCACTCTTCGTAACCCCAGTCTTGGTCTCCATGGCGTACTTGGCGGACAGGAGAGTATAAAGGGCGTGATCGGCCCTCTTGGTCAGAGCATTGACGATCTTTGGCTATTCCAGAAAGCATTGATTGGTCTCAATCCTCATGATATTGATACCACATTGACTCCCGTGCCCTGGAGAGGAGAACTCGAGACGCCCAGAGATATCACCGTCGGTATCATGCTTACCGACGGGATAGTGAAACCTCACCCTCCTATCATCCGCGCACTTGAGACAGCCAAATCCAAGCTCCAGGCCGCAGGAGCCAAAGTTGTTGACTGGGNNGAAAACTACAAGCACGACCATGCTTGGGATATCGTGTCAGCTCTGTACTTCCCTGACGGCGGCAAACGTATCGAAGATGCTCTCGCAGCTTCTGGAGAACCCATGCTACCGCTCACTCGCCATGCCTTGAACTACTCCAAAGCAATCTCCATCTCCGAGAATTGGGATCTCAATGTGATGCGTGAGAATTATAGGCGAGAGTATCATGCTTTGATGAAGGAGAGAAAAGTGGATGTTATTTTGTGTCCTGCATATGTGGGCGCAGGCGTTAAACAGCATGAAGCAAAGTACTGGGGCTACACGAGCTTGTGGAATATCCTCGACCAACCGGCTGTGGTATTCCCGACCGGCATTACCGTCGACAAGAACATCGATATCATAGAAAAGGACTACTCGCCCATGAACGAGAAAGACAAGGCTGAATATGAAGCTTGTAAGTCTGACACAGAATTGGTGTGTGTGGGTCAATGCTAACGTAATACCATAGATGATCCTGAACTCTTCGACGGTGTCCCGATCACTCTTCAGCTTGCAGGCAAGCATTTCCACGATGAGGATGTCTTGAGAGCAGCTAAACTTGTGGAGGACGTCATCAAAGCTCATAGAGCTGTCACCGAGTGTTGACAACTTGAAGTAGCATAGATTTGATCTCAAGGGTACCCATAGTCTGCAGGATAGAGTCTTCAATGAGCTAGAAGATTGTAACCGATGATAATGATTCGGTTGGAGTGGGATGACAAACTCCGAGTGCAAATCACAAGAAACAAGGAACAGGGAGCATGAGGACTGATGAATATGTTCAAGAAACAACGTTTGTACTCGTCTATCAAGATCATGAAGATAAAAGTATCTCCCAACAACTACAAATCGTAACCCGTCATCTCAATCTCCCATTACAAAATCAAATAACAAGGAGAGAGGTATCTAGTGAATGGAAAAGAAGAACGCCGTACCCAATTTTATGGTTCCAATACCCACATGTCGCTAAATTACTCAAGACAAAAAAAGAAGATAAAAGAGTCGAAAGTACTGGTTTTACTTCTTCTCGTTCAAGGCCTCGTCGGACTCATCTTCTTCTTTGACTTGGCCACGGATCATGGGGCTGGGCATGGGGCTTCTCTTGTCCATGCCACGCATCATAGGTGAAGGCAGGGTGTTGCCGTTCTTCTCGTTGCCGCGAACCATGGGTGAGATGAGAGGAGACTGAGCGCCACGAGGACCGTTCTTGGTGCGAGCGAAGAAGCTGGAGATGTCGCTGTGCCAGTCCTCGTCATCGAGAACGTCGGGGTCCATGTTGTTCTCCTTCTCAGCAACCTTGGCGGCCATGGTCTGCTCCCACTCGTGACGCATCTCCTCGACACGCTGTTGGTAGTCGAGCTCGGCGTCGTAGCCCTTACCAATACCACGGAAACGCTCCCACACGGAAAGGTGCTTGGGGTGGATGGCAACACCGTGGTATTCATCACCCTTGCCGACACGAATGAATGCCCAGCGACGCTCCTGCTCCTTGAGATCGAGACCGGTGGTGTCGGGAAGGAAGAGCCAGGTAACAAGGGCACCGGCAAGACCGAACCAGGGGACGACGTAGAACTTCTGTTGAGTGGTGATGTAGTTGTAGAGAACAGCGGCGAGAAGAGCACCAAGCTTGCCAACGGCGGCACTGAAGCCGTGAGCGGTAGCACGAATAGGAGTGGGGAAGACCTCAGCAGCAACAAGGAAAGAGACCGAGTTGGGACCGAACTGGTTGAAGAACGAAGACAAGAAGTACATGGCCTGGAAGGAGTGGACTCCAGCTCTGCTGGTGTAGTATTCGAAGTTGAAGGCGGGGACGACGAAGAGAATGAAGTCGAGCAAGAAACCGACAATCTGCATCCACTTGCGACCGTAGAGCTTGTTGTCGATCAAGAAAGAGGCAAGGTAGTAACCGCAGAGCGAAACACCAACGTTGACCAGGTTGTAAAGCCAGCCGACCATGACGGACTTGTTGCCAGGGAGGAGGACGGCAATGAATTCAGACTGGAAAAGCTTGTTGCCGTAGAAGAAGACATCGTTGAAGAACCAGCCACCAGCGGTTGCGATAAGACGGGGACCGAAGTGGGTGAGAGTGAGCTTGAGAGATTGAGTGTCGTAGCCAGTAACGTTGGACTTCTTCTTGGCGGCAGCGAGGACCTTGGAGGCAGAGCGCATCTTGAAGGTACGGAAGTAGACGAGCCAGAGAGTTCCGACGGCGGGGATAGCGAAAGAGACGCGGTAAGTCCACTGGGTAGAGGTCTTGCCGTAGGGAGGGTTTCCGGAACCGTGGAAGATGAGCAACAGGATGATCAGAATGACCTGGTTGAAGAATTGACCCCAACCTTGCATCAGGAAAGCCGAAGTGACCTTGCGACCACGGTGCAGACGATCTTCCTTGGTCGAGACCTTTCCAGCACCGACAGCGTTCTCCATACCAGAAGTGGCAGTCATGGGGTATTCACCACCGACACCGACACCGTAGAAGAAAAGAGACCAGACGTAGCAGATGACCCAGCCGTTCTGGGTAACACCCCAGGAGGCGGTGAGCATGAGAAGACCGATGAACATGATAGTGGCGTCTTGAATCAGACCCCAACGACGACCGAGCCAATCACCAATGATACCGACGAGGATTTGACCGCAAATGATACCGACAATCTCGAGGTAGTCGAGAGCAGCAATCCAAGTGCCGTTGCAGATGATCTCCTTCTTCCAGCATCTGGGGAAAGCGGCTTGAAGAAGAGGCTTGACGTTACCGATAGAGAAGAGGACGTAACCTTCGAGGAGCAGACCGGCACCAGGAATGACCATGTTGCGGAAGTAGTAACCGATGGGGCTGAGGGGATCCTTCTTGATCATGGCCCAGGTTGCGCTCAACTCCTTCTTGGTTTCGGCGTTGTTGACCTTGTTGACGAACTTGATTCTCTGCATGATGGGCAAGTCGGCCCAGTATGTGCCGTTCTCGTCGTAGCTGTCGTCAGGCTTGAGGATGGTCTGGAAGACACCTTGTTCGTTCTGGCTCATGGCGTAGAGCTGCTCAGTGGCGACGTGGTGGCCGTCCATGTTGGGCCCATGGGGNGCAGCAAGGCCGTAGTTGCGTAACGACGACATTTTGCTGGTGTCCTGTAGCTGTAGGACTGCAGTTGTGTGGATGTGCGGATATTAAGTAGGTGGAGCGCGTCAAGGGCTTCCCTTGAAAGGATATGGTTTGGACTAGAGGATGGCGATTGATGACGGATGTGCAGGCGGCAGAGTTTGTTTTGCGAACCCTGAGGCACCGGGAGACTGAGTGGTTGTAGGGAGCGGCAGCTGCACGAGGTGCTTGTAGAAGAATCGACTGGAGTACGATGCACGATGCCGTATTTGAAGAAAGCAGAGGTGGGTATGAATTTTGCGAGGTACCGGAATAGACGGAAGCCCCGACAGACAACGTGCAAGGCAACGGATCGTGAGTGGTCAAGAGGAAGAGAGAAAGCACGGCGGGGATCTACATTTGTAGGAANNAACGAGCTCATACTTGTCAGGCCGCGGATGGTGTCCATGCACTCTCAACCCGAGCTCCAATTTTTCTNNTCTTTGCGCCAGAACGCTCGCCTATCACNNGTACCACTGGCGGGCACGCGAGCACTTGCCAGCTTTAGCTGCCCATAGCGCCTGTCTGGTGGACCGAACAAGCGCCAAACAACCCAGCGGCCATTGGAAAATNTGGGGCATCCGAGTGGCCGTGGGGCAATCGCGTTGAATTCTAACGGATAAGTTGGAAATCAAACTCAGCTTGTGCTGNCAAATCCATGTCGGCCTTTTGCGTCCTCCAAACCCCGACTTTCGCCCTCACGTCAACCAGCACTCATTTTCGAGTGCTTTTTTCGAGAAGGATTACCATGCAGACAAGCGTTTCCTACTGACGCCAAAAAGCTTTGCTCATGACGAAGACAAGAACGACCGACACGCCATCCGCAAGCCTCAACTGCCAAGTGAGTTGAGAAAATCCGATTTCGAGGTTGAAGAACAGAGGTCGACAACAGCCAATGAGAAGGCGTTATTCCGACAACGTGCTCGAGTCCTTGGTCGGGAAGGCTTCCAGGCCTGCGGTAAGACTTCTCGGCCCTGCATGTGGGGTGGGGTCTGGCACAGTGCCGATCATTCGTCTGGAGACATCATCCCTACTTTTTTTTTGCTTCCAGACAGATGAGCAGCCACAGCCTATCGNATTTTGACGGCTGTTTCTCTTCATATTGGCACATTTATATGCTGCAAATCTCGGCATTTGCATCATATCGTCTGCATCGTCCGCGGTAAAGCACACAACGTCGCTCAACACCCCAGAGGTCTGTCACGGCGAACAGGCGAACGCATGGAGGAAGAACGCTCGGCCAGCTCCGCCTAATATCTGCTGTTCCCGGGGCCTCCCTAGTCAGATTGAGGGGAAACGAGTTGGTGCTCGGCAGGCCAAACCCTGAGCCTTCAGTGACATCCTCGCTCGGGCCCGACTTGCTCAGGTTCGAAATTGATATCCACCACACTGCAGAGACCGCTGGTGATTCTTTGGTCGAGCTTCCACCCTTCTCATCTCGTATGTCGCAGACTTGGAGCAGCAGCGACATACTCAGACGAGCACTTCTCGGTTAAAGGATGAACTATCTGTTGGAGGTAAAGTGTGTTCAGTTGGAACGGTCCGAAGCCTGCCCAACAGGAGCCCACGTGTTTGCGCCAGAAGCCTGGTGCCGTGTCGTCTGCCATGGAGTCATGAATAGAATTGTCCCTTTTCAATAATCCTCCGGCAAGGACGGCAAAAGCTTCAGAAGGTCGATGTGCCCCTTGTGACAGATTGGTGAGGATTTGGGAAGGTATTCATCCTCATGTGGTCCGATCTCACGAGGATCGGGTTCGCGAATCGATCAACAAGCAGCTTCTTTGCGAGTTGCCGAGGGACCAGGGCTTTACAGGACTATGTTCGACTCATTTGCCGGCTGAGGCGTTTCAAGGTGTGAGTCGCTCTCCAGCATGAGTTCCAAGCCCAGAGGACTTGCACATTCCTCTTCTTGCTTTGCTTGCAGCATGCACGATACTCCACCCACCTCGGTGTACTAATGATTCACACCAAAAGTAGTCCTCATGACGTGTCGCATAACCGCCGCGCAGGATGCATCCTCCTCGTTCAGCAGGTCTCGAGGTCTCTTGAGATGTCAACATGTCTTAAGCCCGGGAAGCCAATGACAAGCCAGAAAACGCCCACCTGTTTGGGTCAGAGAACAAGGCTCCGAAGGAAGCAACCTACACATTTTTCTCATGCAGAAGTCGTCAACACAAGGCTTGACGATTTATTGACACGCCGCCGAGAAGCTTATCTTTGACCAGTCATTCGTTCTTCGGGATCTCCTTGGCAGAAGGTAAACAAGCAATGCGGCGCGTACAGTTGCTGTCAGTGGCGGTAAGAGGCGCCCGGTAGGCGGCACGAGCGGCAGTGTTGGCCAGTCTGTCTGTTGAGCGCTTGTTTCGACTTCACTTCATGATCTGCCGGTCGTTGAACATCTTCGAACCTTCTTTGTTAGGTTCGATTTGTCAATTTCGCTTATGCAGAGTTCAGGAGGGTCGAATACACGCAATCACAGACTTACCATTGATAGTGTCAGCCGTGCTTATATACCGGGGTCATTATATCGCTTCCTCGGTCTTTGTTGTGATTGCCAGCTGACACATTCCATGCGAGCGTGGAATGTTCTTCAAAGTACAGCCTGCCTCACTACAACTAATCATGCCAATTAGCATATCGTGAACGATCAGATTAATCTCTTTCTGTCCATGCAATTGTTTTCTTTGCCATGTCCGACCTCGATCGGAGTGTTTAGTCCACCTCAGTGGCTAGAGTAAGAAAACAATAAGTCCGAACTTTTCATATCTCGATGTTCTACATTGCACCAAACATTCACACAAAAGAATCACTCAAATCATGATACATGCTGGGAATCGATCTTGTCTCATAGATATTTCTTTCTGGCTTCAAGAACAAGCATATTGTCAAGGTAGCTTCTTGAGCAATGCTGACTGTTTTTCTTCTTGTATGCTTCTACGATTCTGTGTCTTTCCTGTTCTCTGTCTCAATTGTCCCTTGGACTGACCTGGCAACAAACTTTGTGGTGGAAGAAAAGCACAGATCACGTTCACCGGCAGCACAATGGACGTCTCAAACTTCTAGAGGGCTGTGCTCACACATCGTGTTTCGGACTACGGACGAGTTTGCCCATAACGAGGCTGTCTCACAAGGCTGATCGAAAGTTTCAACCTAGAGAAGCACTAAATACTCCAGCAGAACCAGCACTCTAGCGAGTATCACCTCTACTACCTTCGCACACATCCCGATCCAACTCTGCCGGATTCCGAGAATTTGTGTGTGATGGCGGAGATCTGCCTCTACTCTTGCTTTCACTGTCGGGGTTTTGACAACTTCTGCAGTGGATGCTTGGATGTAGGCAGCATTAGCGAGTTGTTGCCAGTCCGCGTATCTTCGAGATTGTTCGGCATCATGCATTGGTTGTCACAGTTGGCTGAGCTGATGTTCTTTCGAAACGAATCGACGGTGTGGTGGGCTCCCAAATGAGTGAAACGGAAAAGTAGTTGGTGTTTGTAGCCAAGTAAGGCTTTGTTTGCGCGCGAAGCAGGAACAACCAAAGTGACGGAAGCACGATTCTTTGTCGAACCTTCCGTGTGGTTCTGTTTGTTATGCTTGGCACATCACTTTCAGCAACATATATCCGTTCCCTCTGTTGCTTTTGACGAAAGACAGACCACCCAATTCACCAACGTCGCCGACGCCAGCATGTCTTCTGCATATGCTCCCATTGAGGAAACCCTTGAAAGTGTTAATGTCTCGCGACCTGAACTTGCTGCTGAGGTACGTCGTCTGTTCTGCATTGTTTACATCTGCTGACTTTCAGACGTTCGATGCTCTCCGTGAATGGCTCGAAGAATCCAGAGATGCTGAGGAGCTGGCCGCTCGCATCCAGAAAATGACTGATGAATTGGCTCAAATTGCCCACAACATCTTCGGACAGTCGGTTCCTGTGGAGGTCACCAACATGCTCAACTCAGGGGCACTCAACCCTTTGGCCAAGGCGGCAGATGGATCAACCTCTCTTACAGCAACCGACAAGCCAAAGGCAGTCGATGCAGAAGAAACAAAGACCAAGAAGCCCAAGAGATCCAAGAAGGTTAAGAAAGTCAAGAAGACTGAGAAGAACGGCCCTTGAACAACCAAGTGTAAGTCGCTAGCATGGGGATTGTTGCAAAACATTGCTGATTTGCTAACATAATAGATTCCTCCAGTAAGCTGCGACTTCATCGAAAAACTACTCGATGCGAATGCTCGAGGAGCAACCAAGTCTTCGCCAGATATGCGATCAAGCGGACGACCAGTTCGTATGGTGGAACTTGGAGGATCGAGGAAAAGGCTACACTGTAAAACATGTCGACAACCTCAATTCAGCAAGCGCGTCTATGCGACTCTTCCTTGTTATCGTCGACAATAACAATTTCTTCCCCTTGCCCCTTTCCTGCCGTTCTTAGTGATGCTAAGTTGTGCTGATTGTGTATCTTTCGTAAATCCGACGTCGCTGTCACTCATGAATCCCTGCTAAGGTAGGTAAGGCTGAAACTACTGAGCAGATGCCCCAACACAACAACTTAAGCTGGAGCTGGACATTGAGTACAATGCGCATATTGCTGCAACTCATGAAGAAAACCAAGAGAACAGTCAGAACAGCAGGGATACTGATCAAGAGTAAAAACCTCTGTTGCGTGAAGTGCCGCCTTATTTCCGATAACGACTGTGCTTTGTTATAGTCTGCACCTTGTTCTTAACTATAGTCGAAGTACAGTGGACGTTATATACTTTAGCATACGGGAATGTTGTTTAGAAGATACTTTATCGTCTGCTAGAAGGTAGCATGTTAAGCTATTCTATCTCCGCATGAAGATGGTTAGCAAAGTGTTGGTGATTAGAGAAGGAGGGCCTGACTCGACATTGCCTCCAGATGTTTCATGCCCTACGCTCATTCATACCACCCTTGCCCCATCACGTTTCTCTCTTTCTACATATCACCCTCCTTCGATTACGAGCAATCACGATGCCCACCACAAGAAGCAAGGCTCGTGATACGGGTAACAACCAGCCTGCTGTCATATCCATTCAGCGTACAGCGGCAACCAAGAGAACAATAGCACAAGCAAAGGACGATGACGAGGACATCCTGGACGAGAACATCTCGGACGAGGACGTTTGCAACGACGATAAGGACCTTCCGGTAGTTGTCGATGATGCGGACTATGTTTTCGGTGACGACGAAGAAGAAGCAGTAGGGGAGTGTGAGGATGACAAGGAGCTCAATACAGTCCTCCTGCAAGTCAAGAAAACAGCTGCACCCAAGACCAAAAGCAAATGGAGAAAGAATCTAGAAGGCGATATGTCTCGAGTACACAGGTGCCGCCTCCGTGGGATCTTTAACGGCTTCCATGAACTCCCCTTGTGGATAAGCTCCGGTGCACTAGTGTTTTCGAAGAAAGGATGACCTACAGCGTCACGTCCAGGATCCGACGAGCCCAACGCTGCTTAAGGGCCACTCTGGGACCTACGACAACATCAAAGACCTTGAGAACAACGACGTATGGGATTCGGCAGATGGCAGAGGCCATCACCTCCGTGTCATGCCAGCCAAAGGATATTCTATCCATATCCGAACTTTGTTTTCTGCAGGGCACAACAAGGCCTCAACAGCTCGTGTAGTGCCTGCCGAGCCTTGCCGTGTGCTAAAGACAGTCACAATATACAACAGACCTCTTCTCCAGCCCGAGCTACAAGGGCTGTTATAAGCTATCGAAATGCACAGTTTTGACTCGATTACAAGTCTGCCCATTGAGATAACTTCATTGAGGTTCTCTCAGTGGAAACCATAGTCTTCGCGAAAAATTATGCATCTGCACAGCTACACTGTGACTGTCTTGATTGAGCACACGGGGAAGAGGCACGTTTGACGGACGTCTAACACCCGACACGGATGGAGACATCGGTGGCCACTATCGCACAGAGGCAATGTTCGGTAAATATTACGAAGGGGTACCGTCAGACATGGTCGGTGTCGAATATGGTAAAATCAACCGTGCACACCAACTTACACAGGGCAGGAAAGGTCCTGGCCTACCATGTACACTAATCGACAGAGGGTGCCAGCAGAAGGATAGTTCCAAGACAAAAGCTACTGCCACGTCATTGGCATGCACGCTGGATGGCAGCCAGGTGTACATGTGTACTGTGTTGCCAAAGCTGGCAGAAGTTTGTCGAGAATCACAGCGAGGAAACTCTGCAGGCTACATTCAATGAACTTCTCGTCAAAATGCAAGACCGCCACTACACCGAGCGATACCTGTCACTCGACGTTAAAGGTTCTTGTGAAGCATGTAACAACGAAGAGGTCATCGCCCGAGTGTTCTTCAACTTGAAGAGCAAAGTCGTTTGCGGGCGGTGTTCGCAACAGTGGAGGAGCTGGTGTGGCCTCTGTGACTGGCGTACCCTCATCACTTCAGTGATGGACGAAGAAGAATGCGAAGAGGTCTGGACTGAATTTGTCAACCACATCGCGGACCATGACAAGGAGGTCGAATTGAGCAAGCAGAGAAGGGCGAAAGGGCACTGCGTCGCATGCCCAGCCACATTCGAGACCACCAAAATGCGCTCTCTGCCAGAAGACTTCTTCCCGAATGAAGTCAAAGAAGACGACGTCATCTGCACACAATGTTTGACCTGGTTCTCAAGTAACAGGACCAGGAAACTCTACGACTGGCAGAATCTCCAAGAATTCATCGATGGCCGAGCCCCGATATATGAGGAGTCAACAAAGAACGCAGCGATCAGAGCTGGCAGCAAGCTCTGTGTGTGCTCTACCGATGAGAACCCCGTTGAAGGCACCGTCCTCATGAAGGTCTTGCCATGGCTCGATAGACATCCCAAGCTATGCCGAGACTGCGCTGGCTTCTGGAGGAGCTACCATTACAAGAAGTCCCATGTATGGACTACCTATGACTTCTCAACCCACGAAAAGTTCACCGAGTTTTTGTCAGGAGCAAAGCAGAATGGGTTGAGACTAGAGAAACGGTGCCAACAAAGGGATGAAGGACTCTTATGGAAACATATACTTAGAGGAGGAAGGAAACGCATTTAATGTTGAGACAAGTCGCATGGGTTAGCTAGGGAAGAAGGACAGATATATGCTTGTAAGAGCCTTAGAGTAAGGAATATAAAATCATATAACTAAAGTGTGTCCCGATAGACCTATCGCCGGATTATAAGATCACAAAATGCAGAATCACTTCTCAAACCAGGAGCGTGCCCATAGAGATATTTTGATCCACCGTCTCTCCATGGACATCACTGACCTTTGGAAGATACTGTGCATTTCTACAGTCACACTTTGGTGGTTGTTAATATAGACACAGGCATCAGGAACATACAACAAATTAGCGACGGCCTCAATTGAGGAGGACAGTATAGTTTCAATCAGCGAGGATAAGGTAGATCTCGACGTACATGCAGCAAGAATTAGCATCGACCTACAATTGCAGCCTACATAGGCAAAAGCGGCACTTACCTGCTCTTGGGTAGACCACGAGCGCTCACCCAGACAAAAATCGCTGTCCCCGCCACTGCAGTTTTTGGCGTTCGGAAATTAAACCGCAACCCTGGACAAAGGTGGACGCTGTACGGAGGGAAATGCAAGTCGTCACGGACAGGGTCTGACCAGGGAGAAAGACCTCGAAGTCTACCAGACAATGGACGACCTAACCTCGAAGCTATCATTGCAGTCGTTTGGCTTGCAGATGACGAGACCCTCATGGAGCTTTTTACACTAATGGAAACCGTATTGACCAGTGAATCTGGTCTCTATGCCATCAGCGAGTCAACCAAAGTGGGGTTAGAAGGAGACGTACTCGATCTTCCCTCTTACGGCATCTTCAAATGCCATCAAGGATTTGTTCCATCAAACGAACAATTGACCATCAATGCAGTCGCCGGGAGCTCCAAGACAAGGCAACAGCTCTCGTCAATCTACGTGGTTACGACTATCCAAGGACAAGAAGGGGAAACACTGGCCCAAGGCCTCAGAACCACGAGGAAAGGTACCAGCAGAGGAGATTGGTGCCCTTGGCTGATGGCGATATCTGCGCCGTCGAAGGCTGCAGTCGAGTTCTTCTGGCCGAAAAGCGGCACTTTCACCGGGCGATTAACCAATGGATATGCGGAACACGCAGGTGGCGAGCCGACCAGAACAACAGTGAGCTTCGGCCAGTCTTGAGGCCAAAAGGAGCAAGAACAGAAGAAGAAAAGGCAGTGGCAGAGCTGGAAAGTGACTACACTTGCGGCACTGCATGGTGTGTGTATAAGATGAGGGACGGCAACGGCAAACCAAACTGTCACTGGCGTGTGTCGCTCAAAACCCATGTGTGTGACGTCTGCAGAAAGCTACCGGATAAGAATTTCCTCGAGACGCGTCCAACTAAAGACAAGTGCACCAAGTGCGGCAAAAGCAACCTAGCACTGACGTGGAACGCCGAAAACCATCAATGGCTATGCCAAATCTGCACCACTGGTCACCCACCCAAGCCAGATCCACCAATCTGCCACCAACTGGTGTCTTCTAGAGGGCAAGGCTTTTGTTAGGCAACTCAGAAAAGACAGCCAGACATGGGTCTGCAATGGTTGTGAGAAGTGCGAACTAATGGCCGATGTCACCGATGTTCGCCCACCTCGTAGCCAGTGCTACGGCTGCGGCCTTGACGAGGCGATGAAAGGCAAAAGCAAGATATTTCTTCGCCAATGGTTCTGCAAAGACTGCGGAGATGCTCAATGAGCACTTGGTGTCGATGAAGGATAACGGGTTGCTGTTGACGAGAGATGGGATGTTTGTCTTCGGAAAAACATCACATAATAAGTGGAGTCACCGCGGAGGACATTGGAAGTATGATACATAATTAGCATTGTTTGCTCACCGCACTGTTTCATACAAGGCGGGAAAGGTCCCAGTCCACCTTGTACCATGATTGACCAAAGCTGCTAGTAGAAGGACAGCTCACATGTCTCTAGAAAACGAATTCTGGGTATGAATGTCGAGCGCCAAAGAAGATCCAAACACACAGTAAGACCGTTTTCATTCGTGATGACCTTGTCATGCATAATTTTGATGGACGTCTTGCTGGGTGTACCAGTATTCTGAGTAGTGAAGTTGTCCCGCTTAGATGACGTTGTTGCAACCTTCACCTTCGCTCGGTCCCAACGTTCTCTTCTCAATCAACCGGGGAAATCAGCTCCAAGATTGATGATTCTTCAATCTCCTCATCCAACATTATATCGTAGTTGAGTGTGGGGATATCTTTGCCGAACTGGTTGAGATCGGTGACGTGACGCCACACATTTGTGTACACACACTCTGTGATCTTGCTCAGAGAGGGACTTCCGTCGCTCAGCTCCGTCAAAGTGTCAGAGACTGTAAAATCGTAGGCTTTGAACGCCCTGTGGTAATTGGTCAGAGCTTATGACGAGAGATGAACACAAAGATAGGGGTACTTACAGCTGCTCCCATGGGCTTTGAAGAAGCATTGCAAAAACACCGCTTCCAAAATACTTCTCCAGCCAGGAAAGAACTTTACCGACTTTGAGAGCGCGGTCAATGGCAGCCTTGTCCTGCTTGATGATTAGTACTCGGGATAGACACTGTTGAGGCCGCTAGAATCTTGGACTCCATAGACTTGCGGAACAGCCTTTCTGAGGAGGAAGACTTTGTATGAGTCACCGAGATCTCTTCTGCCATAAGGGTGCATCTTCTGACTGACGGCAGCGTTACAAGCCTCGTACAGTTCACCATGACGACTGTTGAGCTCGTTGATGAACTCCTCAAGTATTCTGGCAGCGGTGACATGCGTGATGATAGAGTCGATTGCTGACATGGCGACAACAGCAGAGCGGACGTGGAGGACGCGGGCGATAGCTTCAGTAAGATCTTCGTAGCCAGAGAATTCTTGATCCTTGCCAACAGCGTTGAGAGCCCAGGTGCAATGAACAGCGGAAGGGTTCTTACACGCGTGGTTGGCCAAGGCGACAACACTCTTAACACCAGTATCAGACCAGATAGCGAGAAGGAGCTCTTGAAGAGCTTTCGAGGTAGGACTGGTAACTTGGTCGTTCATGAGCCTCATGTAACTGGGCAGCTTTGTTGCCCAGTCATCATCTTCNTCACCAGTGGGTGTCACGGGGCAGGTGCGAGCCTTCTCAAGGGCACATTCTGTTTCGTTTCTGAGTTTTCTTTTCTTGAACCTTTCGGCATCTTTGTTTTTATCCTCGTTCTTGTTTCCAGTGTCTTCGTCTTCAGTCTCTGCTGGCTTGGTGACGTTCTGGGTCACCTGAGGCACATTGTCGGAATCATTCAGAAAAGCTTGGTAGACCTGATCGAAAGCCTTGCGTATATGTTCGATGCTCTGAGAGTGGATGGTGTTGTCGCGTGTGAGGTGCTCGCCAACGGAGATCATTCCATTCATCTGCTCGAAGAATCTGTAAAGAATCTGTTGTTGGCTTAACAAGGGCCTCGCCCTCTCTCTGCTTGACACAGTGCTCATAGACTCGGCGAAGGTCCTGTTGTATATCAGTGACCATAGAGAATTGTTACGAACAATATGCCTTACGGTGAGGTCCATGTCGACGTGGTTCTGAGTCTTGAGAAGCACAAGAAGAGAGATAAGAAGCTAGATGCGCTGAAGTTAGAGCTTGTCGTAGCCGGTCAGCCATTCACTTTTTCCGCGTCCGGAGTTTTGGGTACTCCCAAGGCAACAGCAAGATCAATGTTAACAATAACAAATCAACAAAACAATAGAGATGAAAGCCCTTTCAAACGGTATCAAAAGGAAAATGAACCGACAAAGATACAACCGAAAATCTATAGTCATGGTTGGAAGTCTCGATCCGTGGGTGAGAGAAGTAATGTTTTTCATTTCATAGCATAATCAGCGTTGCATCAGAGAGCACACGCATTTCTTTTAGGGTCCTTGTTGGTCATGATCTCGTATCATTCAGTTGTCCATCCTGCACCAGCCATGGGCAGGTATGTTTCCATGCTTGTCGTGATGATCGTCTTTCTTCTAGAACTTGGTCTCCTTGTCCTTGACGGGGAACTCAGAACCAGTGGTGGACTTCCATTGGTTGCGGATGAAGTCGGAGATCTGCTCGTCCTTGGCCTGCTCAATGGCGGATTCGTTGTTCTGGAGGGGAAGAGTCAGTATGTGGTGTATGAGCAAATTCAGTAGAGTGTGTATACCTGAGGGNCCTTGACCCATGAACTTCTCTTGGACGAAGTCGACACCTAAGGTTGGGTTAGTATCAGATAGTAACAGTCAGTGGGTTATATCAAGCTTACCCTTGTCAAGGTAGTCCTCGTTCTTCTCACTTTCGGGACCGCCGCCAGCAGCTGCGTTGAGCTTGTTGCCAATGCCACCGAGGAAACCACCAGACTCGCCCTGCTGAGCGGGAACTTGCTGGGCGCTACCCTGCTGAGCAGACTGCTCTTGGCCGGCGAATTTCTTGACAAAGTCCATGGTTGATGAGTTGGTAGTTGTTGTGTGAGTTGTTTGGTTTGTGTAATTGATGGTAGAGAAGAAAGATCTTCAGGTACAGATGAAGAGGTCGTGTGCTTATAAACAAGAGTGACAGTGACGTACTGGGAACTTGAGCTTGGAGGACCCCGCTATGATCGAAGAGGGATTGTGGCAGTGCTCATGTCGTTTCACCTGAATGACTTGGCGCTGCCGCCCATCGTCTGGGCATGGCAAGAGTTGTAGCACTGGGTCGTTCTTGCAGCTCCAGTACAGTCGGCGGGTAATGCCACTGTCGTTTGGGAAGCCTCGGTAGGGCACCGTTCTCACGGTCAAACACACTCGCTGAAAGAGATCTGTACATATCGACAATGTCCTAGGGCATCGCACTCGAGGTATGTAGTGGGCGATGTCCATCCATAAACACAAGCGAGTGCAATGCACCTAAAGTCTATTTCGTTAGTTTCGGCTATGGAAGTTGGACAGGTCATCAGATGTGGTCTAGAAGCTGGCACAGCCATCACATCTGTCAGCCACATGTCACAGCAACAACCATTTTCATCGAGACGCCGTGCCAACAAGATACTCTCTATCGGTCATCTGATTTTCACAATGAGAGAACTTTACCATAGATCTCTATCAGTCGTGCTGCAGCCATGATCGAGTGCAGAAAAAAGAATGAAGTTGACGTGCCTGCCCGTGACGCAGAGTTCAAACAAGACAAACACAAAAACATTCAACCTCATGCTTGAAGTCTGGTGAGGAATAGACGTAGTACAACATTTTGTGCATACCATTCGTCGCATATACGCACTTTGATCGGGATTCCTATCTAGCTTGCCGGACTACGAGCCTCCAACATCTCAACTCGCACACTTGAATCTGGAACCTCCAACAATCGCAACCATGTCAACGCCCAAAATCCCCATCACAGTAATAACCGGCTTCGTCGGCTCAGGAAAGACAACAATGATCCTAAACCTACTCCCCCAACTTCGCGCAGAAAACCCATCCTACAAACTCGCCTTGATCAAGAACGAAATCGGCGACTTGAATGTCGACTCTCAACTCGCATCCGCCGCCGAAATGACCGGAGTGTCAGAACTGCTAGGCGCATGCATCTGTTGCACGAACGTTGGACAGATTGGAGATGCGCTGAAAGAGTTGGATGAGACGTATACGCCAAACAGAGTCATTATCGAAACGTCAGGAAGTGCAGAGCCAATCAAGTTGATGGTGGAGTTGAAGAGGTTGGCTGCGGAGACGGGGAGATATGCCTTGGATGGTGTGGTCAGTGTGATTGATGTTGAGAACTGGGATGGTTATGCTTCCACCTCTTACACAGCGAAATTGCAGGCTCAGCAGACCGACTTGATTGTCTTAAACAAGTGGGAAGCTCTTTCCGAGATGGCATTTGAGAGAACTTTGGACAAGCTTGGAGATATGGATGTGGATACACCGCATATCAAGAGTGACAAGGGTTGGATTAGCAAGGATTTGCTGTTTGGTATCGATGAGAGGATGGCTAGGGATTGGGTTGCCTTGAATCAACAACATGGTCACGACCACAAGCACGAGCATGGAGATGGACACAAACACGACCATAACGAGGAGATGGAAGCTCTGAGCATCACTGTCACCTCTGCCTCTCCCTCAACCGCATCTCTCGACACTACCAAGCTCGCCAACCTCCTCAAGTCAGCGCCCAAAGACGAAGTCTACCGCATCAAAGCCGTCCTGCGCACGACACAAATACCCACAAATAGCGATGGCACACCTGCAGATGAAGGTTCCGAATCTACGACACCCAAGAGATATATCCTCAACTGGAGCTTTGGCCGCTGGATGTGGACATTAGATCAAACCGAGACGAAAAAGGAGCCTGTCTTGAGGATGAGCATTTTCACTGGCCGCTACGAGAGCAACAAGTGGCTCAAGAGGATCGATGCCAAGACCTATACTGCATTGACTGATGAATCTGACTACGAGCTTGAGGTAAAGCGTGTGCTGTAGAGCTGGAAGAAGTGGTCATTGGTAATTGGAATTCATAGACTTGGTGCGCAACAGCAGAATAAGATACCCTTTCTTTCGATCTTCTCGAACATCCCTCTCTTCCGACTTCGAACATACATGGCTGATTGATGTGACGTATAGAGAATCACAGCTTCTCTTCCTCCTCATCAAGCTATACTTCATCGCCCTTTCTTCTGGTGTACAGCGTGGCCAGTTCCCCTCTAAAGACTTCCGCAGCTTCTCGTGTCCTAGAACGTACAGCGTCTGACTTCCACCATTTCTTGCGATCTGACGAGGTGTCACAAAGACGGAGGTTGGCCTCTGAACCTGAACTGTAAGATTTCGTTGCGTTGGTAAGGACCTGCAAACTGATTAGAAGAGAAGCAATGTTAGAAAGCGGTCGACTTACGAATCGAAGTCCGACAACCATATACATTGTGCGAACGAGAATCAAGCCACGGTCTCCACCATGCCAATGGTCAACTCGATCTGCTGGTCTGCTATACATTTCGGAAACAACACTCGCCCCTAGCGTATCACTGCAGCTCATTTGATTTCCAGAGCTTCTTGAGATACAAGACTCCATGGCGGAGACGCATGACCTCGCTTTGGTCTTGCTCCACTATCTCGTCGAGGTAGTGAACAGTTCTCCATAGAGCTTCATGGTCGCGTTGAAGTTCGTCGTGCTCAGCCTGTAAGGCTTGAGCTTCGATCTCTTTGTGATGAGGCGATCTTCGAGCTCCTCGTGACTTNTCCGCAAGATCGTCGTTGCGCCCTTGGAGATCTCCCAGACGGGCTTCAAGCTCTGTGCCCTTGGCTTCCTCGCTCTTCAGACGTCTTTCGATGTGATCGGTATATAAGTTGAGCTTGGTAAGTTGATCATCTCCATCTGACGCGTATGCCGCCCACTGCTGCACGTTTGTGTCCATGGCCGCAACATTGTGGCGAAGAGTGTGGTTGGTGATGGTCAAGTTGTCGTTGTGGGCCTGAAGCCTATCGTTCTCTTGGTTGAGTTGGCTGGCGATGCCCTCTCGGCGTAGGTGAATAAGCCTGAGCTCCTGATTCTTCTTTTCGACCTCAGCTTTTTCTCTTCTAAGCGCATCGATCACATTTCGAAGCGCATGTGCTTCCTCTTCGAGTTCTTTCTTTGTCTTATCTTCAGTTGGCATAGTGAAAGAGTGCTTGGGTGAAGTTGTAGTTGTTCTCGAAGGAAAATAACCCAAGTAAAGCGGTCAAGGCTGAACAGTGAAGGTCTTGTGAGGCGGCCGCCGAGCCGAAGAGTTGTGATCGGGGGATTGCGACACAGTGATCGTTGGTGACTGCGCCTGCGGTGTGGTGTCCTGGTCAGAAGAGGAGGTGAGAAGGAAGGAGTGATTGAAGTTGAAGAAAGGAAGCCAGAAGGAAAGTGTCAAGGTTCAGAGAGCCAGAACCTCTAATGATGTTGTGATGTTCAGTTGTTCCAGAGGGGTTGCCGAGATCAAGGAAAGGAGAAGGGCGATGCGAATTGCAAGACTAGAGGTGAAACAGCAAACGAAAGCCCTTTGCGATGATCCCGAGACGTAGCGTGAAAGAAGCGCAACTTCCTGACAGGCACGCAGGTCGAAATCTGATGGTCAAGCGCCGGGAAGAGCAACAATCTCCTGGTGACAGCTAGTTTCTTCATGTTCCCTCTTGAGCTATATTTTACATTGAGTAGAGTCGTCTAATTTCATTCCTCCCCTGATACAACCACATCCGTAACATAACTTCGACACCCATCTTCTGCTTCTGAACAAGAAGCTGGCTCTAGACTGACGAGTAGGAGCGCTTTCTAGTTCTGACACGCTTCAGCAACCAGTCTCTGGTATCTGCACGACCCACTNNGCGTCTTGTCAGTAATCGACCGGATGAGTGTGGCTATAGAACCGACTTACTGAAGGAGGAATACCATGTAGCCTGGCCATGCGAGACACGACATTTCTGGTCCCACTGCTTGGATTCTGCGTGAGACCAGTAGTCCATGTGCTCATTCAGGAACTTGGGCTGCGTCGCATCCATACAATCAATGCACATACCGTCGAAGTGCTTCTTGACCTCACGAACAGCGCTTGTCACGATACCATTCCAGTTGTTGTTGCACATTAGACAGTCGCCACGAGTATCGGATAGATCGAATTTTCCAAGACTCTGACAAATGTCATCGACTGATTTACGACCCTGCTGGTCAATAGGATATCCTCTGGTCTTTGCCAGAGCGCGGAGGTACTGGTAGACAGTTTCCTCCTTACAGTCACACTCGGCCATCATCATGAGATCTAATGGTTTCCAGAGCCATCTAGCAAGAAGGACTCTGAGATGGCCACGAGCTGCGTTGAGTGCNATCTTCAATGTTTAGCTGAAGAAGACGATCCGGGAGGTGTTGAACTTACTGATTACGCGAGGCGGAACGTGCAAGTCAGGATACTTTTCGCGTCTGTACTCCTCGATGTGGGCTTGGTTGTATACTAGGTTCTTGGTGATGCAGAGAAAGCCATCGGCATGGTTGAACTGGAAGCACGGATACAACAGCTCTGAGTCATGTTCGTCGCCGTTCTTCTCATACCAGAGGCCGAACCAAGTGTCAAGGTTGAAGAACTCGATCATGAGAAAACGATTGGAGATCACGACTTCCCACAAGTTCTCCCAGTGAAGGTTTAGGGTGCGTGTGGTAACCTCTTGACCCAGACTAGACGATCTCCAGGTTTCGTCTTTGTGGTAGATTGCGCAGAGGATGACTTCGACTGCAAGAGGATTCTGTTCGTACAAGTCGATGGTCTTCTTGCCAGCCTCGGCGAAATTGCGAGTGGTCAGAAGATGCTGGATGAAGTCGGACTCGGAGTTGTCGATTAGATGTTGGCGAGTGACCTCGAAGTCAACTATAGCCTTGATCTTGTCTCGGCCATCTTCGCTGGCCTTCAACGGCATAGTGTACTGAGTAACGCGAAGAGTTAAATCATGGTCGTCAACGATAGTGACAATTCTGGGAACAATGCTGTCCGAGGTTGGGACGACGCTGGTCGCCATGGCGCTTCGAAGTTGTCAGTACGGAGAGGGTGAGAAAATGATAGGATGGAAAGAAAGGTGAATACGCACTGAGGTGGGAGGTGGTGAGAAGATCAAAGCGCGGAAGGCGTGTCGGAGACTGAAGGTGACGAAGCGCCAGACAGACAAACCGAGTGTCAGAAGTGAAGTGTTTGGTTCTGGCGAAAAGTGAGAGTCGGAACAGGCAGGCAGGCAGGTGCACGAGGTCAGAAGTGACGATCAGTTCTGACAAAAAATGAGAGTTCGACGGAAGAGTTCGATCTCAAGAACCATGTGAAGACGAAAGTTTTGATTCGGTCCATCAACCTAATTGTGAAGCAGTGACTACCATTAGTGGTGACCTTGGTCGCTAAGAATCGTCTGAGAGGGTTCTTGATGGGCGACTCGGTTGTTTCCTCGAGGCTCTGCGCCTGGTTCAATCACATACGGCCTCCAAGAAATGGTCAAGATTAATGTTATCATGTCATCATCAAAGATTGAATTGGAAAGGTTATGCTACCTGTACAGTCCCATGCCAGCAGAGCTTCTTGTGCTCAACGCCCAAACGCCATCCATGCATGACGATTGACCGCTTATGGGCAAGCGACAGGCTCGTCGTCCTTGTACTCCTCCTCGCGGATGCCATCCTTGGTAACAACCTTGACAATCATTCCCTTGAAATCGATGGGCAATCTTCTCTTGAGCTCATCTGTGCACATTCTGAGAATCTTCATGCCTTGCTCGAAGGAAATGTCGGGGTGGTGGTGCTTGTCGAGCGTTGAAAGACAGTAGTACTGTGCGTAGCCGTGGGCGGCGTATGGTACAGGGGCGGATGAAGCCAGGTAGTCGATCCAGTGCAGAGTGGGCTTGTCGTTGATTGTATCGTAGCCACCCAGCAGGAGGTTGACAGTGTATGGACGTCTTGATCTGAGGGCCTTGGCAAGCTCTGTGCGGATGAATGAAGCAGTGGCTGATGGGTTGAGCTCGATGTCGTTGCGCATGCCGTAGAGCTGGACGTTTGCCTGGACGTATTCGGCGAATTGGACTNNGCAGGCGATGTGTCAGAGGGGAGTGTGACAGGATGGAGAGAGCTTGGATAGTAACATACTGGTGTCACCAGCCTCGCCGGTCAGAGCCATCAGAATGTGCTTGCTCAGCGGGCGACTCTTGTCGTCCGAGGCCTTGAGGACGGTTGCGCCGCGCATGGCCGCCTTGGAAGCGGCGATGATGGTGAAGTCCTTGCCAGTGATGCCGAGTAGCACGTCCCTGTCATGGTGTTAGTGTTGAGTAACGAGCAGAAGATCTAGAATCTACTCACATGATGAAATTAGTATGGGGAGTTTGTTTGATGGAGCGGTCTGATTGTTGTATGCGAGCGACTTCAAGCTTCCAGCCAGGTCGAGCTCAGTTGGACGAGCGTCGGCTGGCGATGATGCGCTGTCGGTGCTTTGACCTCCGACATTGTGCTTGGCACCGCCATCTTTTGAGTTGCTTCCTCCGCAACATCAACTTTTTGCGATCAAGGTCAATTCTTTTTTTTTTTTTTTGGTCCCTCCATAATTCAACTAGAGTCTGTTTGACTCTTCACTGGATTCAACATGGCATACAAGGCCGAATACAAGACGACTTTCGAGCCTGGACGTGTCATTCAACCCATCTATACTGGAGGAAGTGTTGCCCTCAGCCAGGATGGTCGCATTCTTGCATCGTGCTTGGGAGAGGATGCTCTGTTGAGCGATCTTGCTACTGGTGAACATCTGGCCAGAATCGAAGGTGTAAGTTGTATTGCCGGGCCCTCTCAGCGTGGCACTGACGAGTTGACACAAGATTTTTGCAGGNACGGTGAATCCATTACTACTCTTGCCATGACCCCCGATGCAAAGTACCTGGTCCTGTGTTCGCGAAACCTCTCCATGCGCATCTTCTCTCTGAGGACTTCTCCCACCGCCGACAGAACCATAGACGCCACTCTTCTCAGGACACTCAAGCCGCATACTGCTCCAGTCGTTGTCGCAGCAGTCGATCCTACCTCTACTCTTCTGGCAACTGGTGGCGCCGATGGTGTTGTAAAAGTCTGGGACATCAAGGGAGGCTTCACAACACACACTTTCCACGGCCACAGCGGCATTATTTCTGCCCTTCATTTCTTCCACGTCGACACATCAGCAACCCCTGCCGAGAACAAGTCGCGCAAGAGAAAGAGCAGGTCGGGCGATGAGGATGCTGCAGATGCAACTGCTGGTTACCGCCTAGCGTCAGGAGGTGAAGATGGAAAAGTCAGGATTTGGGATCTCCACAAGCGCAAGCCCGTTGCCACTCTGGACTCGCATGTTTCGGTTGTTCGCAGTCTGGACTTCTCCTCTGAGCGCCAGCTTCTTTTGTCTGCCAGCAGAGATAAGACAGTAATTACCTGGGATGCAAAGACATGGCAATCTAAGTTGACTGCGCCTATCCTGGAGACCGTCGAAAGAGCTGGGTTCGTTGCAAATGGCGACTTCTTCTTTACTGGTGGAGAGAATGCAAGAGTTCGTATTTGGGACATGGCTGGCCATGAGAGGACAGAAGAGCAGGAGCCTGGTGTGGAGACCGAGGCTATTCTGGACATTATTCACCATTCCGATCTACCTTTCTTGCTCTCAGTTCACGTCGATCAGACACTAGTTCTGCACTCGCTGGAGCCGCTCATCCAAACAAACGTAGACGTTACGATCCCTCCGCTGCCTATCATCCGCCGTATCTCTGGTACTCACGACGAAATCATTGACATGGCCTACGTAGGCACAGACAACTCGATGCTTGCTCTGGCCACCAACTTGGAAGATATTCGCCTAATCACTCTCAACACCGAAAGCAAAAACGAAGGCTCAAGCATTGCAGATGCCGCTTACTTTGGTGCCGACGTAGCTCTCCTCAAGGGTCATGCCGATATCATCATCACCATTGACACAGACTGGTCAGGCCACTGGCTCGCAACTGGTGCCAAGGATAACACTGCAAAACTCTGGCGTCTGGATCCTGCAAACAACTCGTATACTTGCTACGCTACCTTCACTGGCCATGCTGAGTCTATCAGTGCGGTTGCTCTTCCTCATGCCATCCCTGTCGTTGGCTCAAATGCTCACAGCAAGCCCCTCGAGCACCCACCGACATATCTTATCACCGGCAGTCAAGACAAGACCATCAAGCGCTGGGATATTAGCTCAGCCAAGTCAGCCTTAGAGGCGAAGGCTGTTCGCGCAACTTATACCCGCAAGGCTCACGACAAGGATATCAACGCTATCGACACATCTTACTCTCAACAAGGTACCCTTTTCGCTTCTGCCTCTCAGGACCGCACAGTAAAGATCTGGGACTTGGAGACTGGTGAGTCCGTTGGTGTGCTTCGTGGTCACAAGCGTGGTGTCTGGTCTGTAGCGTTCGCTCCTCCTGGTACGCCAGCTATCGCAGGCGATTCTGGATCTAGCAGTGGCACAAGAGGGATGGCTGTTACTGGAAGTGGTGACAAGACTGTCAAGATCTGGAGCTTGAACGACTACTCATGTTTGAGAACATTTGAAGGGCACACCAACAGTATTCTGAAAGTCATCTGGCTTCCTGTCTCCAAGAACCCAGGCAAGCGTGGCGAACGTAACTTGCAGGTTGCCAGTGCTGCAGGTGATGGTCTTGTCAAGGTTTGGGATGCTCAGAGTGGCGAATGCGCTGCTACTCTTGACAACCATATTGACAGAGTCTGGGCTTTGGCTGTCAAGTCTAATCGATCTGGTACCGCTAAGACTACCTCGACAGAGGACGATGAGCAAGCACCTGAACCTCCTGTTGAGCTCATCTCTGGTTCCGCAGATGCCACTCTCACATTCTGGACCGATACCACTTTAATGACATCGCAAGCTTCGGCATCCCGTGCTACGGCTCGTGTGGAGCAAGACCAGGAGCTGCAGAATCACATTCACGCCAAGAACTATCGTGAAGCGATCGTGCTAGCCCTGCAGCTCAACCACCCTAAGCGCCTACTGGATCTCTTTACTCGTGTTCTCGAGTCAGAGGACAAGGACGAAGATAGTTTGACCGGTGCGAAGGGCGTTGATGAGGTCTTGGGCTCGTTGTCGGAAGAGCAGCTTTGGAAGCTCTTGCTCAGATGCCGCGATTGGAACGCCAACGCGCGAACAGCCCATGTCAGTCAACGCATCCTCTACGCGCTCTTCCGCTTGTACCCCAAGGAGAAGTTTGTCCAACTCAGGCGAAAGAGAGCACCCAAGCCTCAATTGGCCGACGAAGATGAATTAGCCCAAGGTATGGGTGCACTTGAGGTCAAGGACAAGGTTAAGAAGAACGAAAACGTTAAGGATGTGTTGGAGGGCCTCAAGGCATATACTGAACGACACTACGGACGTCTAGAAAAGATGGCAGAGGAGAGATGGGTCTTGCTTTGGACTCTGCAGCAGATGGATTCATGATGGAATTGTGCTTTTATCTTCTGCAAGGTGTTTGGAGTTCAGGCTATATCTAGGATATCATGCATCATAGGGGAGTATTCTATGTCAAAAGCATCTTCTTTACCTGTTACCAATACTCTTCATTTCGTCAAAGCTAAATTTTTCCAAGGCATTTGAAGGCTCGTGCTCGAATAGCATGGAGTAAGTGAGGTTCTGGCGGTTTTCTGGTGAGAGATAATCTATCTTATGCTCTTTGTCACCACAGCTCTGCTTTCCTTTCATGTTCTGTTTTGTAGCAGGGAGCAAACGGAAGGTTCTCGTCTGTTTGAAGTGAAGCAAGCGCTACAACACTTGGTCGGCGTTGGCTCGTTCCAATAACAACACAACAACTCCCGACCGACTTAAGGCGTCAAAGCTGCGCTTTTGCGAGCGCGTCTTCTTCCCTTCACATCCATCAACATGTCACACGACATTCACAGGATCATCGGCCACCGCTTCGATGGCCGTTATATGGCCACCACCAATCCTTTCAGTCTCCCCACGCGTCCAACTTCTCAATGGGACGACAATCGTGATCGCACCAGCGAGCAGCTGCATGAGTCTGCCATGTACCAGCTGGGCCTCGTAAATGCCCCGAACACTTCCAATTCTACTTCTGGCTCATCCAAGACGCGTGCTGTCTACAACTCTGATCCGTTCGAGGCTATGCACCAGAAGTGGGAAGAGCGTGGTTGGCTTATCCAGAAGCACGAGCGTCGCCTCAAGGACAGCAATGAGCTGCTATCCAAGATGTGGCGTCGTCTTGATCCCTACGGCCGCGTGCTCGAGCTTCTGGACAGCAACATCACTGTTCGGCGCCACGCTGAACGACACGCTGAGCCTGCATTCAGCGAGAACGCGTCGATGCAGGGGCTGTTCTGTCAACTGGCTGCATATGACTACCTCTACGCCATCGACCCAGGCTTTGCTATGCCACCGCCTGCACCCCAGACCGACCCTGCGGTGAACGAGAAGCGTCTCAACAGTCTGGCTAGTACCGTCAAGATTCAAAGTGGTCTGCTGCAAGAGAAGAACGACACGATTGAGAAGCTACGCACTCAGCTCGAGACCCAACGTCGTTCTCATTTCCAGCAGCTCAGCGCACATCAGAAGGACAAGGACGATGCTATCGATCGTCTGGAGAAGCAATTGCAGAAGGCCAACACCAAATATTCACGCCTCAAGAATACCCCCCAGCCACCGCCATTGCCAAAGCCTACCGTGGTGCCTCGTGCCCCACGCCCGAAGGCTATCACAGCTCAGGCCCCTGTCATGAAGGTATGCTCAAGCATCTTGTAATGCTAGTCGGTGCTAATCAATCACAGCTTCCGGAAACTGCGTTCGGTGGTGTTCCCGAGAATCACACTTCCCTGACCTTCGAGGGATTTTCTGAGCACAACACTTTCAATCCCGCTCGCCTCTTGATGTTAACAGCAGTCAATCCTCCTACCGAGCACGGCTCTTCGTTGATCGAAGAGGACTTGAACGTCGGTCCCCCTTTCTTCAGGGGGCAAATTGTGCTCCTCTAGGACCATCCAAGAGACGCTATGACCCTGCTATGCAGGGTTCACGCAGTAGTCAGGGCTCTACTCCCATGTCCTCTCGCTGGTCGTCCACTGGTGACAAGTATGAGGAGCACATAGGCTCCAAGAGAGATGTCTCCTTCCTTGATTACGACGACCCAGAGGACAAGCCTGAGAAGAACCCCAAGGACTCCAAGCGTTTCAAGTCTGGCGTTCTTACCCCTCCGTTGCCTGAAGACCTTGTCATGGGATCCACTGATGAGTCCGGTGGCGGAGTTCCCGTCAAGAATGAGACCGATCTGGAGATGGGTGAGGTCAGAGAAGTCGGTGATGGCAAACTTGTTGCCAACGAAGATCTGGATGAGATGATCAGTCAGGCTCAGAAGGAAGCTATGAATTAGAGCGTGATGAAGATGCTCGGCTAAGAGCCTACAATCCGGCACAGTTTTAGCTAGTATTGTATGTATACATATGCACTACTCCATGGGTTTGCTCTGTTGCTATACATTGTTCGAACCCTTCCGAAGCTTTTGACTCGTGTACTTCCTAAATACTCGTGTTTGAAAAGTCTCAGGTGCAGATGAGTTCAAAACGGCATACCAATACCTTCTATTGGAGACTTAAACAGTCCAGTCGATAATTTTGTGCACTTGCAGAGGCATTGACATCAGGTAGAAGTATGGGATGATAGTGAAAAAGGCAGTCAGGGTGATATGTACAACGTCAATTCGCTGGACAGGCAAGTCGAACCGAAGCGCGCGGTGTTCGTGTAGCATCGCGTAGTCCAACAACATTTTACTCGTGACAATTGCAATTACACGACGCGACTTTGATTGTACATCATGAAACGAAAGAGAGGCAAACACGACACCTCCGGGACTGTCAAACGGACCAAAGTCAGCAGTGATAGCACCAACCGCAAATCTCAACCTACTCCTACCATCCTCCGGCTATACTATCCTCAAGTCTTGACGTTACGAGAATATCTTCTACAAGCCAAGACATCTAAAAACAAGAGACGATTGATTGCGAATTATGGGTATGATACGGTGAAAAGTTCGCAAGAAACGGATTCTGAGCTAGTCAAAATTCTTGATACTGTTCTCGTTGGCTGCCACGATGTAAAGAAAGAAGAGCATGATACCGCCGACTACCAGAATGACCTCAGCATATTCTCAACGCAAGCGTCCGGCTCTACAGCCAGGTCTAGCGGTTCACAAACACACCTTTCCTTTGCAGAGGTTGTGGAGTTTGTTGTCTGGCGGCTCTTCCGTCAACACACTTCTGGCCATCGTCCACCTCATGTCCTCTGTCATGGATACTACCATGACGGTCTTGGAGATGTACGGACCTTAGTGAAAGCGAACATAGAAGACGACTGTCATGCTGCCTCACTAGACCGGAACGAACATGTCGACAGATTGAAGGGGCATGCTTGGGCCGGCTTGACGAAACTGGTTGGTGGCAATGGTGTTGTCACACTGATCCAGCTTTTGCAGAACTGTGGCATGTTCATGCCTCTTGAAGGTGGAAGAGACAACTTCGTGCAGATCAGTGGTGTGGACCTTTCTGAGCTGCAGACTCTTGACAAGAATCACCCTACGGGTGGTCGAAAGCCAGATGGTGGTGCAGCTTTGGCGATCTCTGATGCCATAAAGACCGACAGTCGACCCAGACACGAAATTAACACTCTCAATACGATCCGCTTTGTGCGGCACCGTATCCTGTACAGAAAGCCTGACTTGAATGCGCACGGAGAAGCATATTTTGGTCTCCCACGCATCCGTAGGTCTCATGAACTCCACAAGTTGTGTCCATATCTGACGTATGACAGATGTATTGAACCGGGCAGGAAACGACGAGGAAGTAGACCAGAGTGCTCACCTCCTGAAGTACATCTTCCCACGGCAGTTTGGACTTCACAACGTTTTCACTTATGCAATCGACATGAAAAACTCGGCCCAACCCTTCAAGGACTATACCCTCCGCGAGCAGGAGATAAAATCGATCTGTCGAAACAAACAGCGATCCTTGCCAAAACGATTACGTGGAGAATGTGAGGCTCTAGTTAGCCGTCTGTATACCCGGCATGAGAGATGTGCTTACTCGGCACTGTTGCAATATTACTGTCCCGATCCATCGACACAAGACAATGCAGAAGAAGACGAAGATCATAAAATCACGCGACTGGCCACGTCCTCGTCTCAGGTATCCGCATTCTGCAGATCCGTGGTAGCCAAAGTGTTTCCAGGCAGACTCTGGGGCGAGGGGGGAGGGTGGGGTCGCAAACAAAGCGCATATCATGCATCAGATCGATCGATTTGTCAGGTTGGGGCGATATGAAAGTCTGATGCTGCATGAGGTGTCTCAAGGCATAAAGGTATGAGAAGCAGAGATCTAATCAGTCAAACACTGACCGCCAAATAGACCTCCAACATCACCTGGCTCAGACCACCAAACCAGCCAACAGGTAGCAAGATGTCAGCTTCTGACTTCGCAAAACGGAAAGAGCTATTGGCCGAGCTTCTTTACTATCTCTTTGACTCGTTTCTCATCCCACTCATCAGCAACAATTTCTATGTTACTGAATCTTCTATTTTCAGGAATCGTCTCTTGTACTTTCGTCATGATGTATGGCAGAAGCTGTCAGAACCGGCCCTGGATAGCTTGAGGGCGTCCATGTTCGAAGAAGTCGGACCGATTAAAGCGAAAAGGACACTCTCAAACATGTCGATTGGCACTGGCCGTGTGCGCTTACTACCCAAGGAATCAGGTCTTCGACCTATCATTAACTTGAAGCGCAGAGTCTTGTCGAAGAGGAATGGCAGATTGGTACTCGGCAAGAGTGTCAACAAGATCTTGACTCCAGCATTCCACGTCCTGAACCTGGAAAAGGTATGTTTCGTGCTTGTCAATTTGAACCTGTTTACCTGACGAGTTGCAGTCAATTACACCAGAAAGACTTGGTTTTTCGATGTTCTCCTCGGACGAAATATACCAGCGCTTGCACCGCTTTCGGAATCAGCTGCAAGACACTGGGAAGGCCGGCAAACCACTATACTTTGCAAAGGTTGACGTACAGTCTTGCTTTGACAGCATACCTCAAAAGCCACTTCTACGATTGTTGAATGCCTTGATCAGTGCAGAAGGATACACAATCACGAGATATGCCCAGGCCAAAGCTCTAGGGGACTTGGGATCCTCCGAAGACCAGCCAATAATCATGCCGAAAGCTTCATGGAAGTTCAAAGGCAAGGCACGAATCACTGATCAGAACGAGATGTTCTCTGATCATGCCCAGAAAGAAGCAGAGGCTGCGTTGGGCACTGTCTTTGTGGATCTCGAGGGCAAGACACACAGGAGCCGTGCTGGTATCTTTGCGTTACTCAGAGAACACATTGAGCGCAACATCGTCCAGATTGGTAAGAAGTTTTACCGCCAGACTACTGGCATACCACAAGGCTCGATTGTTTCGAGTCTGTTGTGTAACTTCTTCTACGCCGAATTGGAACAGAGAGTGTTGGCTTTCTTGCAAGATGGCGAAAGTCTGCTCCTGAGACTGATCGATGACTTCCTGCTCATCACCACTAATCGCGACACTGCAACTCGTTTCGTCCAAATTATGCATCGCGGACTTCCTGAGTATGGACTCAAGGTAAAGGAGGACAAGTCCAAGGTCAATTTCGATGTACAAGTTGACGGAAGAGTTGTTTCCAGGCTACCTGCAGTTACCAACTTCCCATACTGCGGTAATGCTATCAACACGGTCAACCTCAATATTGCCAGAGATGAGACTCGACGACAGCAAAACAGTAAGCGCCTGCACAACACGAGACACCAATCTGGTACTGACGAGCTCATAGACTTGGCGGCAGCTACGACAGTCGACTTCTCGAGATGTCCAGGACAGAATTTCTACCGCAAGACTTTCAGGTGGGTTTTCGCAGTGCATATGTCAAATGTTGCACAGGGCGGCAGCTGAGAGACGTTGAGGACTGACGTTCGTGTGATAGCATGCTGAAACTGCATATGCAGACCATGCATTTGTGCACTCGACACAATCACATCAGTACCGTGATCGCCAATGTATCCCGCATGTTTGCAGACACGGCGGAACGGTGTTTCAATTACATCCGTTGCCTCTCTCATGCGAAGAAGCCATCCATCGCTCTGATAATCAGTAAGTTTGTTGTTGATATTTGTGTCTAGAGCAGACATCACATTTTGTTCATGGCTACGTTTTTGCGGTCAACGACCGCCGAGAGATCTTCAAAACTAAGTGTTGATCGACATGTCCAACCATGGCATCGTTGATCTTTGTGTCTTGACTCGGTAACACATCACTGATTCGAACCGCGCACCGCAGAAACCATTGACGACTTGATACATGTTAGCTATGGGCTCATGAAACGCAAGCGAGAGAAGAAAAGCAGCGACGTCGAGTATGCATGCGCTCTGAGCAAAACACAAACACGTTGGTAAGTCATTGGTTATCTAGGTGATATTTTCTTGCAACGGCGATCACGGTGAATGATGGAGGAGAGAGTCCGACAAGACTCGTGTGAGCTTTGACACCATCTTCGTTGCTCTCTTCCTCCATCTTCGTTCAATCCCGCCACGGGAAGAAAAGCGGTCGGACCCCACTGATCGCTGGAGCTTGTGATTTCTTAAAATCTTGATGTGCTGATGATTTGGATCACGACCAAACAGGCTGGCTTGTCACTCGTTCGAAAAGACATTTGCAAGACGTCAGACTGGCTTTTGTGGCTTGCTGTCTTGGCTACAGCGGGAGATGGCGGAAGCGGGATTGGCTTTGAAGGCTAGTGAGAGACAGGCGCTTGAGAAAGCGCATTTGTAAACAGAAAAAGTACCAACCAGGCGCGCTTGCCTCGGAGTACGAACTCCTACCCTGCAAGGATGAGTCCGAGGATCAGATGAACAGACTGTGCATGATGCGAAGATAGGGCAAAGGGAAGAAGACTGGTTGCATGAATGAACGACAGACAGCAAGCCCCGCGTTTCGAGACACGGGTTGCGCGATCGCGATAGCACACGATCAAACGGTGCGCTGCGGTGGTTGCCTTTTGCGGGTGCAGGTTTCCTCGATGATAATAAAAATGGCGGGAACTTGGCTTTGGTGGTGGAGGGCGCTTCGCATCATAGAGATGATGGCGGGTTCCATGGCACCCATGCCAGGGTTGTTGGCAGCATGCACGATGCTCAAACCCGGATTTTGCGACAAGCAAAAGAAAGGTTAACAGTTTCAGATACGAACAGTCAAAAGCCATGCTTCCCCTCTTCCCCCTGAGAATAGAGCTATATAGATCACACAACAAGCAGTGACCGTTTTTCATCTAAAGGAGATTCACCACTCTCAAGGCGTGCAGCGGTCTCGGCACAAGATTCACAAGAAGATCCGCGTCGAACACAACTCCTTTTGGCGCCAGGAACAAACGGCCGAAGCCCTCAAAGGATGGCTAGCGCTTTGACTTATTTTGTTGATGATCCATGCCGGCGCCGTCTGGAGGCAGTCGACGAAGCCTCTGGATCCGACGTCTTTCTTTTCAACAATCTGCATTATCGTCACCACTATTCTTCTGCTTTTCCTTCCCAGCCCAGATCCTTGACATTCGATTCTCTGTATCAATTCCAACTGCCCATTGCAGAGCCCCAGCATGATTATTGGGCCTTTTTAAAGCATAGCCAGAGTCCATCAACAACAATAGCAACGCCCCGGCCTTGCGTCCACTCTTTTCTCCCCTTGCGCCAGCCACAACAAGACAATGACGACCCATGTAAACACGACTTCCATCACAACCACCACCACCATCAGTACCCAGCGAGACCCCAGCCCCGGCTCCCCGCCAGACTTGACTGGCTCAAAATCGTCCAAGTCGTCGGGCTCGTTCCGTTCTACCTGCCTGACCAGTCAACCGAGTCACGACAACCTGTCGCATTTCGAGGACATCGCTCTCGCCGATTCTGGCAGAGACGAGGCCGACGACTTACACGTTCGAATCACCCCAAGGAAACTCTCAAACACGCATGCTCCACCAGCACGTCGAGCGTCGGCTACCTCCCAGAATGGACGCAACTCTTCAGCTCCCGAAGTATTGCGCGATGCCACCAACATCCACCGTCCTCGATATCCCAGCCTGAAGTCGCATGTCAATGCTGCCAACTTCAATGCTCGTCCCATTCGTCGAGGCTTTACTAGTCCCTCAACGCCATCGCTCGTCATGGGAGCAAGGACTCGTCCCTCGAGGTCAGTCTCTCCCAACGGCCAGGCTCTCAGCGATGGTGGTCGTTCTCCCACGTCCGCAGCACCACAAACACTGGCTCCTAGGCCGCCTCTGAGGCCAAGGAAATCGGTAAAAGAGCTCGAAGCCGAATATCACGATTCTGACGAGGAAGTGCCCGAAGATGCCGTCATCTGGAATGTCCCCATCTCTCCACGCCCTCCAATGCATTCTGNNACTCCCTCAAGTCCCACCAGAATTGTCTCTACCAATATAACCCCAGAACTCAAGCCGACAAACAGCAATTCATCATCGAAGGAAGAAGCCCCTCGTTCTGCCACACGGCCAAACTTGCCTCACAGCGCAACCATCGCCGCATTTCCTCCAGACCCTGCCTCGCCCAGACTTCAACGTGGCAGAACCTGGAACGAGGACCTAAGCGAGGAAGCTCGAGAGGTTGCCGCTGCTTTGGAAGAGCACGCCGAGCGCGTATCGCAAGAAAGACGTCGCTCCACGCGCAACAGCACCAATGGCAGTCCTCCGCGCCCCTCTATGAAGCTTAGAACGAAAACTAGCATTATGGAGTTGCCTCCACTACAAAAAGGAAACGTCATGATCGACCCACTGCCAATCAGCAAGGAGAAGGAGGCAGTACTCACTAGGACACGTCCATCGTGGCTTCCACCCAAAAGCCAAAAAGAGGAGAAAAAGCATATGAAGGAGTGGGAGAGGATGATGGCCGCAGCCGAGGCAGCCGAGAAGAAGCGTATCGCCAAAGAAGCCGAACAACAGCAACAACGCAAACACGTTGAATCCAACATTGCACGAATCTGGGAACAACACGTTATCCCCAACTGGGACGATGTGGTGAAAGAACCAAGGACTCGCGAGCTTTGGTGGCGTGGTGTCACTCCTAGAGACAGAGGTACTGTCTGGAGCAAGGCTGTTGGCAACGAGCTGTCATTGACAGAGGCCTCGTACGCCAATGCTCTCAAGCGCGCCCGCACACTACAATCGTCGGTCAACAACCTCCCAGAAGAAGAGCGCTCCAAGCACGCTGATGCAGGTTGGCTGGCTGCCATCTCTCGCGATGTCCCAACCGTCTTTCCTGAGCTCGGTATTTTCGGTCCTGGTGCACCCCTGCACTCTACTTTGGAAGATGTGCTTCTCGCCTACTCTGCCTACCGCAGTGATGTGGGCTATGTCTACGGAGTCCACACGATTGCAGGCCTTCTCGTGCTAAACATGAGTGCGTCAGCTGCCTTCATCGCTCTTGCAAACATGCTGAATCGGCCAATCGCTCTTGCCTTCCNNCTGATCAACGATCAAGCGACTGTGTCGCGTATCTACTCGACCGTTCTCTCCACACTCAAATACAAGATGCCTCGCTTACACGAGCACCTTACGAGCCCCGAGACTGGCTTCAAGGGCCCTGAAGAATGGCTGCACCCCTTCCTCGCTACCCTGGGCACGCAGATTCTCAGTCCTGACTCTTGCAGTCGTCTCTGGGATATTGCCGTCTTCGAAGGCGACAAGACGTTCATTCGCGCAGCTGTTGGCGTGCTGGCGTTGCTTGAGAGCAGACTCTACGGACCGAGAGAGGAACTTCTGTCTCTGATTGGCTGGGGCGCTCGTCCGCTGGACTTCGAGGAAGAACAAGTCATTGTTGCCATTCGCGAAGCTGGCAAGATCTCTCCTCACAACTCAACTCCTGATCTCAATAGCAACAAGCGATAGTGCGCTGATGCTCTCATCAAGAGACGAAGACTTCTGACACGAAAGAGGAGGCTGGTTCTTTCCCTACGGTAATGTGTTTTACGAAATGGCAAAAGGGTATCAAGGGGTGTTTTCCGATGTTTTGTTTGCGTTGCTATTGTCTGTTTTTCCTTATTAAACTTTCATGTTTATTCTTTTTTTCTCCTTTGATCCTGCTCCACAACCACTTCGCCAGAAATGGCTGGATGGGGCCAAAGGCAGATCACAACCTATCATTGCTCCCTTTCTCCTTTGTTGCTTATCATCACCATCATCATTCATCAGCACTACTGCGGCATCGTCACTTATTCTTTTTTGCTTTGTTGTTACTCATAAACGGTTGTTGTGTGGGTGGGGATCCGAAGAGTCGCGAATCTTCCTGGCTGGTTTTTTCTCTCCCATTGCCGGTAACTTGTAATGGACAGATGCGAGCTCTGGAGGAGCAAAAGACTGTGTATAACTTAGTTCTGTCTGCAAAGACGAATGAGACATTGTTCCCTTGAAGGCTTGAGCAGCCCATATGAAAGGTGAAACTGCACTAGTGGTGTATAGGCACGCTTTCACATGCATGCATGCAGTCAAAACACACCAACCTTCTAGGTTCGAATCTCCAAGCCTCGGATATACGATGATAAGAGTGTCTGCTTGCGCGTCCACAAAATCAAACGGGTACAACAGTATCCTTCTCAATGTCTCCGACAAGCTGCATAAGGATGTATCATAGTCTGGAGGCCGGAGCTCCTGACAATATTTTGGAAGCATCTTGGCGCACCTCTCGCGTGATTGCCTCTGCGCTCATGATGGACTTGACAAGACCAATTCCTGTGCCGGCGTAAGTGGTCAACCTCGCTTTCTCGCCCTCCCAGCCTTTATCTCCAGATGCCACTGCATCGTCATACAACTTTTTGTTGTCTTCGAAACTCACGCCGGCCTCGTGGTCTCGATAACTCGCATTCAGTACACCACGACCTCCGTAGCCTGCAGGCCATTCTGTGGTGCCGCGGAGTTGGTCATATACTGATGAACGGATTGTAGTGCTTCCTCCGTCGGAAGCACGAAGTACGGCATCTCGGTATCCTGAGGCGATGGTTGCTTCATTCGCAGCAAGATATCGTGTGCCCAAACAGACGCCTTGGGCACCCAAACAGATTGAAGCTGCTGCACCTCTTCCCTCGCTGATTCCACCAGCTGCCACGAAGAAAGGCAACGGTGTAGACGAAGAGGAGTCGCAGAACTCTGTCACAGCATCGATGGTCTCGGGTACCAAGGAGATGATGCCGGCACCTTGAGCTGCACCATGACCTCCAGCATCAGTGCCTTGAACTACCAGCACATCAGGACTTGCGAGTTTAGTAGCTTCCAGAGCTTCACGGACGCTGGTCACTTGAATCCAGATCTTTGTCTTGTTGCTCGAGGCCTTGCGTACACCATCTGCCCAGTCTTTAAGTTGGTTTGGATGTCTTGGAGCAAAGAGCCACACTGCAGCAGGAATATTTTCAGGTTTACTGAGGATGGCCAAGGTATCTGCCAGTGGAGCGCCCCAGATGAGGAAACCGACGCCTATAGGTAATACGCCAGTGTTTGTGGATAGTTTTGCTTTGTTTAGGATATCACGACTTTTGGAGAGTTCGGAGGATAGAGTGTTAATGTCGCTGCCTGCACCTATGAAACCAAGGCCACCGGCTATGGAAACTGCGGTTGCGAGGGATGCATTGGCTATCAGGCGCATCGGGGCGCAACTGACGAGTGGAGAGGTAGTCCATGGATACGCGGCAGTCAGAGAGGACGCCATATTGGCACTGTTTATATGAAGGATGATTGGCAAATGTAATCAAAACAGCCTCTCTTACCTTCTTGAAGTGCTCTGTCGTTGATCAGTCTACCGTGCCTCGGGAATGTCGATGCTTCTCCGCAAGTGCTGATGATGTCGGCGAGCGGGTTGGGTATTGACCGCCCGGCAGTCGCGATCGTCGACGCCGAGCTTCACTTGGTTGCGACTGAGAGATGTCAAGTAACACAAAATATCCCATACCAACGACTACTGCCATCACCCGCACATCTCTTACGCGTTAGCATACTTAATAGCGGGCATACTTATCAACACACGCGACAAAAAGACCTCTTCTCGAAGAGCCGACATACTCCTGTCCCGATAGCAGCTTCCCTGTGCTACTGCAAACATGAACGCACCAGACAGGTATGCGCCGCTCTTTCCTGTTCTTCGTTCCTTCCCTTGTTTTGAAGAAACTACGCTGTTTCTTGCCGGGTCACTCCTTCTCTGTTTCTTGCCTTCACTTTGTTACTCCCTGGTCGCATTTCCTTAAAATGGCTCCTTCACAAGTTCTTTTTGTCGCAATCGCAACCACCATCTACCATTTGGTGATTAAGAGTCTTGGTTGTTTGCACACATAACTACACACTGTTACGTTGTTCAAGATGGCTCCCGACGATTACCATTTCATGGGCACACCCTACACCACCCTTCGCGTTCACAAGCCAGACCACGGCGACGTCGCTAACGATGTGCCCCCAAGATTCGAACTCTTCCTCCTCGGCGACGGCGAGAAGAAAGTAACCTGGGCTCCCGAGACCCGTAAGCAACCACCTTCCCTATCCTCGCCTTTCTTTCTATCTCTGACCGTCTGCCTTTCACAGGTGNTCCCCGACGCAGCCGTCTTCACCTTCAACAAGGAAGACCACACCCTCGCCAACCTCCTCCGCGCCAAACTCGCAAAGTCACCAAACATTTTGTTCTCCGCTTACAAAGTCCCTCACCCTCTGTTCGCAACCTTTGAATTGCGTGTTCAGACCGATGGATCGCTTACACCCAAGGACGCCGTGATCAGAGCTTGTGGAGACTTGATTCAAGAGCTGCAGAGATTGGACCAGGAATTCACAAAGGAGTGGGAGCTCAAGAAGATTGCCGGTCAAGGTCGCGATGGACTTTGAGATTGCATTGGAAGACTAAACTGCAACAATCAAAAGCAGACAAAAGAGGGAACTGAGGAATGAGCGCTGATGGTTGCGCTCTGAGCATGGCAAAATGGAGTTATGGGCGTTCTTTGCCGCAAACAAGAAGGACAACGGAGGGAAGCACTTTACGCACTTATGCATGGCACAGACGAGAAAGTCTGTGTTTGGACCTTCAATTACACAAGGAGGCCATTGGACCCGACGAGGTATTATTCTTATCCTTGCTCACATCACAAAAAGATACCCACGACACAAATATCAAGAATCTTGCAACGATCACTGTAACATTGTAGAGCAGAGCGTCACCAGCTGCTACCAATTGCAGTGAGTCAAGGTGAAAATCGCTTACATAAGACTTGGTTTCAACGTCACATGTATGAGACAAGGATAGGGAGAGGAAGAGTGATCTCGATAATAGAAGGTTAATCTATTCTTATAGAAGAGCAAGTGGGTGAATTCTGGTCATTCACGAGCTGGTAAGTCATCCTTACTGAGAGAGCTGCAGCAAGACTGACAGTAAATAAGTCATCTTTGCCAAAGGTCAAAAGCTCAAGGAGCATGAATCGATGTTTGGACATCCGTCAATGATCTCACTTCTCATCGCTCTCCAAGTCCGAAGCCCAAGAAGGGGACCAGCTGGTTTGAGTCCAGTCAGAGTCATTTCCGTCATCCTCGCTGTCCTCTTCCTTCTTGCCGACAGGAGGCTTTGCATTCTCAAGATCGCGTGCAGCCTTTCTGGCCTTCTTGGCTGCCTTCTTTGCCTTCTTCTTTGCAGCTGCTGCATCGATCGCAGCCTGCTCTACATCTTCTGAGTTCGAATTGTCGTTGAGCTTGACGCCGCCAGCATTGTCATTGTCTTCCATGGCCATGGATGCTTGTTGTTCGGATTGCTTGGCGGTTCTCTTCTTACCAACAACCTCCCAGGCACTGGGCTGCTGGTTGGAAGTCTTCTCGGCATCGGGGGTTGATTCAGGCTTGCGTTTCAAAGCACCACCGCTGCCCCAAGCATACACCAGGACAGGGTCTTCACGCTTGATGGGGTAGCGTTGCTGGTGTCTGGCAGCTTCTTCGGCAGTGATACCACTGCAGATGGTGTTTAGCATATGTTCATGACAAGAGTTTGGCAACACTTACTCCATTGCACGCAGTTCGACAAGAACCTTGGGGGCAAGACGCTTGATTTCCTTGGAACGAAGATTGAGCTTGAGGGCGACGATCCACTTCATCATCAGGTCAACATCGAGATCTTCGGCGCCTGGGAGGTTGGGTTCAGCGTTGAGGTGGCATGCGACGCTCTCGACGGTGATGCTGTCTTTGGGGCCGGAGAACAACGGAAAAGTCATGTTGATGATTTTCTGGTAGCACGTCGATCGTCGGATGGGTGGTGTTGATGGTGTGATGACCCCGAGATTCTGAGGTTGGACGATTGATTCTGCTTGGAGCAAGAGATTTGTGTGAGAGAAGGATTGTTGGAAGGTGTTGCAAGGACCTCCGAGAGTCGTTTGTGTTGGGCAGGAACAGAATCAGTGAAAGAGGGTCGTGGCTCCGGATCCTTCTGGTGTTGTTTGACCGCGAATGGAACAAACCTAGAAGGCGCGATGGGTCAAAGAAGAAAGAGCTGGCTGGAACACACATTTGCTAATTGATATGTCACTTGTCCCCTTCTCAATTATAGTTGTCTCGGTCAGAACTTCATAAAATACTGTTCGTTCGTGAACAATGAAAGACACAGGTCTATTGTATAGCATCAGCATAATGCCTCATCGGTTTCGACCTTCCGTTGGCAATCATTCCCCGTCGTTTTAAGCCTTTCCATCAGTCTTCTTCGCTGCAGCAGGTCGAACCATAGCCATGAACTCATGCGGCGGATCATCCTTCGCTGTCGGCGCGTACTTTACAACATCGAAATCCATAAACTCCCTATCCTCGAATCCATACCTAGCGTATAACGGCCTGCCCACTTTGGTAGCTTCCAGGTAAGCCTGTATTCCACAGCGATCTGCAATCGCCAAACCTTCATCCAAGAGCAAAGACCCGACACCCNNCCTGCGCTGGTAGGCAGGGTCTATGGCGAGCACTTTGAGATACAGATACGGCTCCAGGCCGATCCATTTCTTCTTACTGGTCGTCATGGCTGCGCCCATGGCATCGAGCAAAGCGCCATTGGCACCTGGAGCATGGGTACTAGGACCTTCCTCTGCCGCTTCTTGATCAATCTGCTCTTGTGTACGTGCAGAGGGCTGCAGCTGCCAAATCGCGATACCGACCACCTTCTTTGCATCCTTCTTCTCCTCCTCACTCAGTTCAACCTCTGCTTTGTGTTCCCAAGCCTCAGGAAACACGAGGTCAGAAGGGTCAGCAGGGGTGTCCGTGTCATAAGCCACGAAGGTGCGTTGGCCAGCTTGAGAATCCGAGGTGCTCATCTTGGTCTTCAGACCATTGAGAGTTTCGCTGAAGTTGTGAATAAGATCTTCGTCCGAGAGGCCATTGGGAAAGATGTGAGGTCGTAAGCCAGAAGAGAAAGCGCCACTGAATATACGTTCGCGAGCCGGAAGGTCCGATGGTCGAACCTGGCGGATTTGAATGGGCATGTTTGCTAAGAGTCTTTTGTGTGTTGCAACTTCGCTGATTGTTGTTGGAGACACCGCAGCGTGCTCGAAGTTCTGGAGTTTATAGCCTGTTTCCTCGAATATCTAGACAATTTCTGGATGTTTCTGAGAACCCAGATTTGATATTCAAGGTAGCTTTGGATTCCGAACGAGATCCAGATGTCGAAGAATCAAAAATGAGTAATGACTTTGCTATGCCTCCGAAACAATAAAAGCCTGAAATTTATCCTCGTGTTGCGGTTCACAAGTACATTATACAAGCAGAAAAATGAGTCACGAAAAGCAGAGATATCGTTGCCTTGTAATCACACAGATGAGGGGGATGAGGTTGGCCGCTTCTTCTCGCCTACACTTGCCGCATACAGTCCTATCAGCCACGATTCAGCATAAAACGTCACCTTCCTATTGCGTGCACCGCAGTGCTGGACAAGAGTTGCATGCAAAAGCTCTTTCTCTTGGTCCACGGTATCAAGGACATTGAAAGCACAAAGTTATCTGATAAGTTGAGTTGGAAATATCGTTGATTCATCGCTGTCTGAATTGTGCCTGTATAATACAAAAAAAGCTGTTTATTGGGGACAAAGGACTTGGATGCCAAAGGAAAGAACAAAGAAAGCGTCTGGCTGTCATGTATGAAACTTGAGGACAAGAAAAACAAATTTGCCTAAATGAAAGAGAAAAAAAAGGTTGTTACAATGTGAAATGCCACCAAAGAAACCATCTCATGAACGAAAATACGAAAACGCCTCGCCAATGGAATGAGATGTTCATCAAGAACAATGCCGCTTTTGAGTGAGAAGGATGACCACCAATCGCTCATGTAAACATCTTCTACCTCAGAGGGTAGCAAGAAGACTCCTTAGAAAATATGATGAACGAGAATCGAATGTGAAAAAGGAGCCGGTCCAGTATGATGTATGGTAACAATGGTGAAAAGAAATATGCAGAAAAGACGACGTTAACGTGTGAGAAGCAAGTCAAAAGGCTGACGCGATCTCAGTAATATGCACGGGTATCCTTCAGACAGCGATGTGGATCAGGACGTCCAATATACCCTGGTCTGGGCTTGACTGGTGTTGGTCTCTTGGGTGGTTGGTGATCGCGAAAGAAGTCGGGCTGGAAGCAGCCCTTGCGCTGGCCCCTCGACGACCAGACAATGCGCCGTCCTTGTGGATGCACCTGCCCATGCAACCAATAAGGTATCCAGGTCGGTCTTCTGACAGAATCTTCCTAAGATTCTTGCGAGAGGATCACAAAGTGTTGTTCCCAAATCCATCCAAGTGAATTGGTTGGATCGTCCTGGTTCTTTGCGAGCCAAAGTTCACCCTTNTGTGCGACGACGTCAAACACTTCGCCTTCGACGTAGGTCAAGTACGGGTAACCTGCTTCGCGTCTGGCTCGATCAATGTTGAACTCGAAAAGACTAGCAGCCACGAACATGACAGGCGTATCCATGGGTGCATGCTGCGGTGACATTGGACCAGGACTAACAGGAGCATCAGACATAGGCATAGCCGAATTAAACATTCCAGAAAAGCGCGGTTCTTGTTGTTGCTGGGTTTGCGAGCTCACCGCAGAGCCTGGGCGTACACTAGGGCTCCGCTTTGCAGTGTCCAAGCTCATGCGCGAAGACATGCTCTTCAGATCTGCAGGACGCTGGGCAGTTGAAGGTCTGCTGGCAGAGAACGAAGCTTTGGGTACGATGCTAGGCATACGAGATGGGGGAAGACTGCTGTTCTGGTTCGCACCCACACTAGGAGCGCGGCCGCGAGTAGACAGGGACGAGCTCGATCGCATCCTACCGTAATAGCCGGGCTGACCTGAATCAGGCAATACTGGAGATGCCATCGCTGAATTGAAAGACTTGTTGAAGTCAGTAGGAGTGAATAGTGGCTGGTTTTCGCTGCCAATAGACATGGTTCTATGACCGTTCGGCAGAATCGAAGGACGTCGTGTAGAAGCTTGAGAGGAGACGGTTTCATCGCCAACCAGAGTGGTCTGTGGTGACAGGAAGTTGAAAGTGTCGGCAAGCAATGCGCCATTACAGACACCAAGCGACAACACCTGAGAGTGAACAAACTCGTACTCTTCAACGAACTCCGGCTCGATTTCGGTATAACGGGCGTAGGCGAAGTCAACAACAGGGGCGAGCTTCTCCTTCCACAACCACCACCATTGTGACTGGAGGTAGACATGAGTATTCAGACACGCTCTCACCAATTCTGACTGCAGCGTGTAGAGTCGGGGCAGATCAAGTTTGAGTTGCTCGTTGAGCGCTTCGTAGACTTCTGCGGCTTCGGCGGTTTTGGCATCAGGCTTCTGGCCTTTNTGCTGCATCGCTTGAAGGCGGGCATAATCTGCGACGCGCTTCTTGCGCTTCGCTATCAGATGTTGAGGACCAGTATAGAGCTTCAGACACTCGAGCATCGGATTGACGACGTGTGCCTGCACACGGGCCTTGTGATCTGGCAGGGCGACGGTACAGAGTTCGTTGATGGCCAGAATGAATTTGCGGAACTTGCTCTCGATCTCGGGGCAGTTGTTCGTGTCGCACTCGACGTACTTTTGCAGCGCATCGGCAAATCTCATAAAGTGAGCGACAGGCTTCTCAAGCTCTTCCAGAGTGTGCTGGATGTCTCGCATGCAGATTTGAAGCTTGAGATAGTGACCATTGAGCGCTTGCACTGCCTGATCGAACTCAGGATCCTTGTGGGCTTCCTCTGCTCCAACACGGTCCTTGACAGTATCCTTCTTTGCGAGGAAAGTTGCCAGAGCACTGCGGGCATTGGACTTAGCACGTTTCCTGTGCACTTCTTGGACATATTCCGAACGCTTTTTGGATTCGTTGATTCTCTTGCAAACTGCAAGGATACCCTCAAGCGAGTGATTCAACGCCTTTCGGTCNGGATGGTTCTCGGGCGTGCGCCCGACCAAATCTCCAAGAAGGAGACCATACTTGAGGATGCGTTGCGTGGGCTTTACCAACAATGAGTCCAAGTTCCAAGCACCAGTGATGTCGCTCGCCATCTTCTGACACTCCGTAAGCCAAGAGGTTACAAGGGGCTCTGATTGGATTCTCTTCAGACAATTGTTGGCGTTCTCGTGGTTCTTCAAATACACCTCATAGACGTGCTCCATGCGAGCCATGTGTTTGGCAAAGACGGCGCCAATTGTGGTCAATCGGTCCTTGTCATCGTCTATGACCACGCTTGATGAATTGCCGTCGCTGTTCGAAGTCGAAAAGCTGCCCCTCTTAGGTTGCCAGCGAGAAGACTTGGGAGGAACATAGATAGGTGCGGCAGCCTTGCGCAGCGCATCGTAGAATTCAAGTGAGAACTTCTCGACCTGATCGACGTTGCCGAAAAGGGTCTTTCTGTCCTCCACAGATATGATGTCGCCTACAGTCGCCTTGTAGATATCCTCGATGATCTTCATATCTTGATGATGAGAGTACTCGGTGTCTATGACCTCTTGAACAATATGCCTGCGTTTGGTAAGGCGCTCAGTCTCGGGATTGGGAGATGGAGGCATTGTTGAAGGAGGCGGGCCATAGTCAACCGACGGTCGAACAGAGGATGATTGGAACGAAGACATCGATTGTGAGGGAGGCAAGGGCACCATCTCAGGCTTCATTGACTCCATCGATGGGCGTGCAGGTGTTGAGAAGTTCCTGTGGCGTTCATCTTGTGTTCTCGATCGCGCTGAGACTGGGCTTGCCGGGTGACTTGTAAACGTAGGCCCAGGAGAAGCGTCTGTGAGAATGACCTCGAACGGCAGCTCTTGTGCATTTGCATTTGCATTCACATTTGCAGGTGGAGGTGGTGGAGGGGTGTGTTCTGGCAATGGTGGTTGAGGTCTTGCGGTGTCTGCGGAAGAATTGGACATGGTGAGTCCAAGTCCTGTACCCATCGGTATCTCTGGAAGCCGAAGTCTGTCTGAAGATCTGCTGTTACGAGATGAAGGCAATGTCTGGCTCAGTGACGCCATCGAAAGTTGACCAGTACTTGATCGAGGCGAGTATCCATAATCCTTGGGTGGAGGTGGAGGACGATAGTCATCATCATCCTCGTTGACTGCGCCAGATGTAGTGTCGGGCAGAGCTGGGGTGCTAGTGCCCATATGTTCTGAAGCGGGCGTGCCAAAGTCGTATTGAGATGCAGGAGTGTTGACCATAACGCTAGAAGGAGAGAAAGACTGCAAGTAAGAAGTGTCGTTGAGAGCATCCTGAGAAGCTCTAGGAAGGCTCGCAGCAGACCGTCTGTAGGTGGTGCTGTAAACAATCGCAGTGCCGCGAATCTCTTCTTCTGGCGTCTCCATGTTTGTGCGATCAGAGGGGTTGTATGAATTGGGCGACAGATAATCGGTCACCGACTTTCTTGGTTGAGGAGAACCAGCCTGCTCTCGCAGTATGCTGTCCAGAAGGAATCCGACAGAATCTGCATCGTTGGCTTCAGCCTTGGAAAGACTGGGNGAAAGCGGCACGACATGTTGCTGAAAGTCGTAGAGCATCTCAGGCGATACAGAGCCGACCTCCTGATACTGGCTGGTGAGACGGTCCACGGCCTCACGGGCTTGGCCATGTTCGTTCCAGTCTGGGATAATGGCCAGCGCTGAAGCTCTGCCCGCACGCTTCGACTGACGTGGAGTCTTGTCTTCGTCAGGAATTAGGTTTGTCGAGGTTGTGGCTCTGACAAAGTCCGATTTCCTGGGTGTCTCAGGGTCCGCTTCTTCCAAATGTGTGACGTGCGGCAGTTGACCAATCCAGGGTGAAGAAAGTCCAACCTGAGCAACGTCGCTAGCAAAGCTGTCTTCATCCGAATCAGGAATGTGATAAGACACAGGAGCGCGGTGACTGAGGGGTGACGGGGAAGACTCGGACTGTCCAGAAGCGTGATAAGGTGCTGGGGAAGACGGCAAGTCAGAAGACCAGTCCTCTGCCTGCGTTGCAGGTACAACATCGTCTTGAAGCACGATGTGTATCGAAGCACGATCTCCATTTTCCGAAGGGGTAAATGAGGAGCCTTCTTCGAAATCTGTATGCGAGGCGCTCGATACGCTTCTCTCCCGCATTTTCATAACCTGGCTGAGAAGCGTTCCTGGTGCCTCTGCCATATGTTCTCCTGCCAAAGATTCATCACAACTATCCGCCACAGCCTCCTCTTCGTACTCGACCTTGTCGACGGACTGGTCTGGCGGACTGGAGTTCACCTCAGAGAAGCCATGACCTTCAGCACGCTTAGCTGAGAGTGGAGAATCCTCGTAGTCAATGAATGCGCCAGGAATGTTGCGTGGTGTGGTTGGAGACAATAGACCGGAGGTTTCTGACAGGTCAGGATCGGTGTGATCAGCTTCAGTCTGTTCAGTGTCGGTGAATTCAACGTCTGTATGCTCGAAGGAAGAGTCCATATCGCGGCCGTTGCCGCTGTGGTCTCCTCGATCGTCACTAGCCGTGTCATTGACGTTGCTTCCACGTCTTGATTCGCTACCACTCAGACTGCCCCTTCCAGATGCTTCGACCGAATTGTCGCTAAAGGCACGTTGTATCTTCTCCTTTCGCGCAGCCAGATTGATATTGTCCAGTTCCGGTATCTTCTTCTTTCTAGTTTTCGCGGGGTCGCTATTCTGCAAGGCAAGCGAAGACTCAAAACGCTGGCCAGAACGGGCACGCGAAGCGGTTGTCGAGGCGGAAGAAACGGGAGGCCTAGGACGTGAACTTCTTAGCGGAGGAGACTTTAGAGGAGGGGGTGCATTGATAAAGGCTTTTAGACTATTGCCTACGGATGCCTGTCGCTGGCGCATAGAAGAATCGTACCGTGTGTTACCGAGAGTAGGCAGGCCTAGAAGATTCGAGCCGATAGAAGAAGCACGTTGAGACGATATATGACGAGAACGAGGCGATGTGGGAGCAGGGAAATGATTGACTGACTGGCCCATCTGTGAAATGTGGCGTAAGGTGGTGGGCGAAAGAGGCTCCACGCTGGCGGAACGTCTGGAACTGCTGACAGGGATCCGCGAAGGACTGATCAACGAAGTCGAGGCATTGCGTGGCAGCGAACGATAGGAAATGGGGTGGATCGACAGAGCAGAATCGGCTTCAGGTCCGACGAANTCGCTGCGCACACGCCTGTGGCCAGTACCAGGACGTGAGCGACTTGAGTGTAGAGGAGTGGGTAGATGGTATTCGGCATTGGAAAGCGATCGCTTGTGGAGTGTCGGAGAGTGTGCCGAGGAGGAGCTCAAGCTACCATCAGAACCTCGACGGGGTGCTATAGAGAAGAGGCTGTCGTGAGCCGCGTCATGCGGAGCATAGTTTCGGGTTCTGAGTTGGTCCGAAGAAAGTGAGGCGGGCGGGCGGATCTTGCTACGGCGAGTGGGACTCTTCAAGGGCGAGATAGTGTCTTGCGGAGTGGCAGAGCGGGTTCGAGAAGAGGAAGCGGTGCGGTTTCTAGTAGGCGAGCGTGGTGGGCGCTGCAGACGAGAGCGTGGAACAGCTCGTGGGGGCTGTGGGGGCTGTATGGGTTGTTGGTCGTTGGTGGACTGCTGGTTGAAACGATTGACCAAATCTTTGATAGATCGTTGGGATGTAGCGGTGGAAAGCGAGCGCGGCGCATCAAGACGGGCAGAAGTTGTCGCAGCTGCGACAGGGTTGGATGCCGCACGTGTGGTTTCGGACGGCGGACGATCCATAGCGTCGTGGTTTGAGATAGTTGGCCGGGGCAGTAACGGGGGCAGTTGCTATAGCGGTGCCGGGTGCATTGCTTTCTGCTCAGCGGATGCTCATGGCAGGATGGCAGCACAAGAAGCGTGTGCAGACGTGTGCGTGGTCGTGTGCGGTGGATAAGAAGGGGTTTGTTTGCTCTGGCGTTGCGTTTGTAAAGCCTTCACGGCCTGCTAGACGATGATGTAGTCGACCGCGTGGGCGGCGTCGCTCGCGTTTGCGTTGGTAGGTAGGCGGAGGGCTGGTGTTTGGTGCTTCTGGTCCCTTGATCTGCTCGGTGGTCGTCGGCTTGGAGTCCAAGTCGTCGGAGGTTGCACGACGGCGGTCGTCAGTCGTCCGGCTCTAGACGAATTACAGAAGGGAANNAGAACGGCTGCTCTTGCCTGATGCCAGCGCACTTGCCTTTACTCTGTCACCACAAACGGCTGCTTGGCCGCCCCGAACANNAGCCTGGGAACTACCGCCCATGCCATCCCATCCAGAGGCTGTCCACCCGTGCGCCCCCAGTGCTGTCATCTATCAAAGACAATCAATTTTCATTTCCTGCTACCATCCATGACTGNNCACCCGAGACATCTTGGACCACTGCTCCTACCTCCGTCCATATCTGCAACTTGACCAACTGCCTCTACCGNNTCTTGGTCCATCTCAAGCATTCGGCTTTCACCCCGTCTGTTACAACGTCCGCGTTTCACTTCCTCTACCAACTCTGTCCTGTTTGCTCCCCCGTCTCGGGTAACCCTGNGACCCTTAGGCCTTGTGCAACTCAAACGACCATTTGCTCGTGCTAGCTTGTTTTCTGACCTTCTTTCTTGTTTTTGATACATATCGTGTGGCAAGCGTGTTTCCTCTGTACCACGGTGGCTTCGACCAAAATCTCGTTTGCTCCAAGCTGAACACTTGACTGTCGACTTTGATGACTCGAACTCAAAATGTTTAACGTTTCTATAGTCCCTGCGGCAAGCCACTAGTGTTGGAGACGAGCCTGATGCTTGGAGGGAACACTCGCCTCGGTCCGCTGTCGGGAATTCCATCCCCAGTCTGTCTTGGAACACTGCATGTTTTGGACACCTATTTCATTGTTCAAAATAAAGCACCGATGCAATGTGTATAGAATTGAGTGTCTGGATCAGAGCTGTTCCGTCAACTTCTACTCGAGATACCTGATCGACTCTAGAAATCGCCATCCTGCTCGCCTTGAGCCTCCTGCATACATCATTTCTTTTCTGCGCCACTAGCTTCTCCAGCTTCCATCAATTTCAACTCGTTCTCGATCTTTCTGTGCGCGAATGTAAAGCGTGGGTACAGGAATGGGCGAAGATCGTAGCGGTTGTCGTCAGGTGCATATTGCTCGGCATAATATGCTGGTGTGATGGTCGTCATCTTGTGCCTGTTCACAGCGTAGTAATACATGAAGTCGCGGACCTTCTTGTACACCTCACGTGGAGTGTGCTGGTCTTGCCAGTCTACACAGAGCTTTTCCCACATTGAGTAGACACCGAACTTGCGGACCTTTCTGAGGTAACCGTAAACCGACAGTTCTTTGTATGTCATTCCCATGTCGACTTCGTCGGACTGGACGTAGTCGCTTGTGATAGGTTCCAGCTCAGCCGTGGGAGTCGCGTCAATGAACTCTTGCAGAATCGGCAGCTCGAATGCATGTTCTGCCCATGCTATGAAGCGAATCAAGTCTGTCTTGCTGATGCCACCGATAGGGTTGATGTCTGCGCTGCTGCAGTCGTACTTGGTGAGGTAACCACGAAGCGCTTCGTCCACATTGGCTGATCCGAGAACCAACAAGCCCCCTGTACGTCCCTGAGTGGTTGGTAGAAGCTGCCCAAATGCGTACGAAAGAATCATTCTCGTACGGCTCTGGAAGTTCTGTAGTGCAAGGTTTTCCGCCTGACTTCCTCCATGGACTTTGAACTTGGGTTCGAAATTGAGAGTGGTAGATACAAGGTGTTTGACGGCATTGAAAACTTCGTCGATGTTGCAGTCAATGTGGTGGGCACCTATTGCTTTGGCGAGTTTCTCAGCACGACTACGGGTCTCCTTGCTGGATTGCTCCTTCATGCCCATGAAGGCAGAAGAGAACACTCTACCGCAGAAGTCCTGAGCAGACATCTTGGTCACATCGTCGTTAGAACAGAGACGGGATGCGTCTCTAATGACCTGTTCATCGCCTTCCTTGATAGCTGCTACGACCAGCCTGCACATGGAAAATACGATGGTTGCAGTTGCACAAGAATCAATGCCACCACTGAGAGGTACGAAGTAGCCCGCTGCGCCAGATCTTCGCAAATAGTCCCAGAGCCAACAAGCAGGGCCAAGAGCAATCTCTTCTTCTGGCTTGTGATAGCGAGGTTCGATCGTCTTTGCGATGCGAAGATTGAGGTTGGATTGGCTCTTCTTTGTCATGGCGAAGTCGATCTTGACGCGCTCAAACTCGTGGGCCTTCATGGCTTGCATTCCTCTGCTGCGAGATTGGCGTGCAGACCAGATGTCATCAAGGTCGACAGTAGATGTGATGACTTCGACGTCACGGAGAGAGAACTGACTGCCCTGAGCGACCGTCTGTCCGTTGATAGCGATAAGGGAGCAACCATCATAGTACAAGCGATCGCCATCGCAGCCTCTCTGATTCGAATACATGTAGACTCCGCCTGACTTGGAGGCATTTGTGATAAGGTTGATGCGTGTATCAAGCTTACGCAGTTCATGATGAGAACCGCTTGAGTTGAGGATGATCTCGGCGCCATTGAGAGAATACTGGATATGAGGCGAGTCGGGTGTCCATAGCTCCTCGCAGAGTTCAGAAGCGAACGTAGCATCCAAGGTTTGGAAGATGATGTCTCCAATAGGCACTTCAGTCTGTCCAGTGATTTCTTGAATCTCGAGCGGCAACGTATATGTGTCGACACGGTATCTGGTCCAGGGAGTAAAGTAACGCATCTCTCGGTAGTTGCCATCGTTGCAGAGGTCAATCTTGGGTCTAATAGCCAGAATTTTACCGTTCAATGCAAGCACTCTGGCATTGTGAGGAACATCGTTGTGACGAACGGGCAGACCCAGATCGATGATGATGTCCTGGGCTTCTGCAGATTTGATGATCTCGGTCGCAACTTCCCAGGAATGCGAGAAAGTATCAAGCTCCTGGAAGTGATCAAGCAAGCCGTAACCTGGGATGCAGAGCTCAGGAGTGAGTATCAACTTGGAGCCCGCTGCCTTGGCCTGGCGGATAGCTTCTAGAATGCGATTACGGTTGCCATCGAAATCGAGTGCCCACTGATTCAGTTGACAAGTCGATATGGTAGCCAAGCGACCCATGTTGGAGTTGTTATGTGTTGTGTAAAGCGACAAGAGTTGCTCGCGATCGGATAGCTTTGTTCAAGTTGTGACTCTTGACGTTGTAATCTACTCTGTTAATAAAGCCACAAATTTCACGTCATCCCATCTGTCGCACGCAAAAAAATCACAATATTTTTGTTCACTTAAAGATACACTCTTCGAGCAGTATTATTTCACATCACTATCTGATCAAAGCTTCGCACAGTCAACAACTATTGTTTAAGAGCGTCAGGCTAAATGGCCTTTCGCTTTGTGCCTCTTGAAGTGCGAGGGTCATTGACCGGATATACCACCATGTACTCCGGCTTGGCTCGAGAACACCCGACAAATAATTGCAGATCAGAAAACCAAAGAGGCATGCTCCTCGGAGCGTGATCCTGTTATCATGCCAAGAAGCTCCTAGCCATAGGTATCGGTGCCAATGTGGTAAAGACCGCGGCGAAGGCGAGAGTGTCTGAATGCTGTCGCGGCTTTTCGAAAGCGCGACGAAGGCTGGGAGGTTAAATCGGCTAGAGTGGTCGAAATATGTGTCACTTGCATGCTTCAAACCTTACCGATGCATCAAGTTGACAGAGCCGTTTCAGCCCACCAATTTTTCTACAGGTGGTGGAAGTTGGCGTGCAGCGCTTGCATAAAAGCGACAGCTGTGCAACATGATGCGCAACAAAAGGCTTGACCTCGGTCACTTACTGGATGTCACACAAGAGGATCGGATGAATAGAACCGATCAGAAAAGTAGAGCTCAGAGCTCTGAGCCGCAGATACCAGTAACTGCCCCGCGTATGCAAGTAAGTTGGACAGTGCTAGGCAACTTTGCGCGATAAAGGATGCCAAGTTCAGGACCGAGGCGCAGATCAATTGGCGAAGAAGCAGGATAAAGTTCATGCAAGGCCGAGCGGGATAGATGGTTAGATGGCCGGGGTGTCACGTCGTCGAGCTATCAGAGACAGTCGTGTTAGACTGGTTGATCTGAATGCTCATATTATTGCGATAGCGATGAAAGGGGGAGGCCGGTGACGGCGAACAGTTTCATTACAAGAGCTAGAGATGGCAAAGAGTCCAAGACAGGTAGAAAAAATGAGGGCGGAGATGAGAATAGATGAGGTTTAGGTTAGCGTGATGGTGGTTGCCACGGGCCGGCAAGAAACAGCGCGCGCGGCATCCACGCCGCCGGATTGTTCCTGCCCTCTTGCTGTATTTATGTCTGTTGGCCCCAGCGACCATTCTCTTCCTTCCTCTCCGTCCCAATTGACTCTCCATTGCATTTCTGCATCTGCAAAAGACGACAGCAAAACATCGACTCTTAATCAATCACCAAGTAAGAATCCCTTGATCCGAGCGCTTGCACATCACCCATGTCGGTTACATTACTCGCATGGACGCGCAATCCTTCAGGTGCCCCCCAGTCCCCCAGAGCTGTCGCATCTAACGCTTGAGCCTGCGTAGATCTTTTGTTGCAAACATGCTCTACTCCACCATCTTCTTCGCCGCCTCGGCCTTCACTGGCCTCGCCGCCGCCCAGCAGACTGGCAACTACACCATTGACCCTAACTCCGTCGATGCCACCACCAGAGCCGATTGGTGCCGTGCCGAATTCAACACCTGCAATGTTCTCTGTGGTGGTAGCGGATTCAAGGCCAACACTTGCGACCAGGTCAGTACCATCTTGTCTGCAGTTCCGAGCATAGTGCTGACTTTGCCTGTAGNNAACGCTCTCACCTATAGCTGCGTCTGCAACAACGGCCTCACCCCCAACATGGCCGAGTACGGAAGCACACTCCCCACCTATGAGTGCGAGGCGTACAAGGGCCAGTGTTATTCAAACGGTGCCGGCTCCCAGTCCGCCCAGAAGGTGTGCGACCAGATCACTTGCGCCAGCCAGAGTGCCTCCAACCTTGTCACTTCGTCTGCCTCGGCCACGAGCTCGAGCTCCGCTTCGTCCAGCGGTTCCGGCGCCGCTGCCAGCACTACTTCGGCTATGGCTAGTGGCTCTCAGACCGCAGCCTCCAGCGCTGCCTCGGCCACCCACACTGGTGCTGCCAACGCTCTCAGCATCGGCAATGGCGCTCTTGCTGGCTCCCTGTTCGGTGTCCTCGCCTACGCTCTGTAAACAGGTCCAGTAACCAGCCTTGACATGGACTGCGCGACAGCAATGGATACCCCGATGAGTAGTAATCACGGCACATTATACGAATGGTACCGGGCATGAGAGCAGGCGTTTTTAATCACCATTACCAGCGACGGAGTTGTTCTTTTGGGCTTTTATATTCTATGCATCTATAGCGATGCTTCTTGTTACTCAGTAGTTAATGATTCAATGAACAACATTGATCCGAACATGCAATTTACTCTTGCGATTGTTGTGATGAGATTTGTATCGTTGCAATATACACGGTCAAGCCAATCAGAGCACAGGGCAGCATGAAGCCGGGGAAGATGCTGGGCAGTGTCGCACAGGAAGTTGGAGCACGAGATAAGGGTGTCGGTGAGCATGTTCAGCAGGATGACTGTGGGATTGAACTTCGAATGCAATCGACTGTGTGTGTCGTATCAGAATAGATGATGATGAAGTGTATTCGGGCAATGAAGTCTGAATAAAGGCATCTAGATCAGACCCCTGCGGCGGCGATCTTGACCACCAGGTCGGCACGCTTGATCAACGCGAGTGACGTCTTGTGGAGAGCAGCGTGTCTGGTTGCGAAAAAGTTCCTAGGCCACGGCAAAAGCACTGAGAGCTTTGTGCTACTACGTATCAGCTAGTCCCAACGAACAGCTGTGAGGTCCACATGAGTGGGAATGCCAGAGATATTTATTGCAAGAGCCCGACTGTTCTGTTTGCGTCGCTCCTTCAGCACCTCTAATCACCGCTTCCCCAGCAATCTCGCCCTCTCTCCCTCTCCTCGCCCCCAACTTTGCGTCCTATTCTCCTACAACCACATTCCTACGACCACGAACCATGGCAACTCTCGGCGCATATCAAAAGAAGCACAAGGTCGCCATTGTCGGCTCTGGCAACTGGTACGTGAACAGAAGCTATCTTGACGCATTTACCCTCATAAGACTGACATGTACAGGGNGCACTACCATCGCCAAGGTTGTCGCAGAGAACACAAAAGCCAACAGCGACCTCTTTGAGCAGGATGTTCAGATGTGGGTTTACGAAGAGGAGGTGTCCATCCCGAAGGACTCGGATCACTACAAGGGCGACGACAAGCCCCAGAAGTTGACCCACATCATCAACGACATTCACGAGAATGTGAAGTACCTGCCAAAGGTTGCTCTTCCCAAGAACATCATCGCCAATTCCTCGCTCGAAGACACCGTCAAAGACGCCAGCATCCTCATCTTCAACCTACCTCACCAGTTCATTGAAAAGACCTGCGACACGTTGCAGGGCAAGATCCTGCCTTATGCTCGTGGTATCTCTTGCATCAAGGGTGTCGAAGTCTCGGACAAGGGCATTGAACTCTTTTCCGAGTGGATTGGCCGCAAGCTGAACATCTACTGCGGTGCTTTGTCAGGCGCCAACATTGCTACTGAGGTTGCTCTCGAGAAGTTTTCCGAAACCACTGTCGCATACGACCCTCCTACCATGGACAGCCAGCAGCCCACCCCCAAGGGCTCCCCTCGTTCTTCCGAGATCGACCTGTCTCAGCTGAGCGGCAAGCAAGATCAACACCAGAAGATCAAGCTTTACCCTCTGCCTACCGAGTATCCTCCTCTCAGTCACGACAACGTCAAGAAGATCTTCCACCGCCCCTACTTCCACGTTCGCATGGTCTCGGATGTTGCCGGTGTATCGCTCGGCGGTGCGCTCAAGAACATTGTTGCTCTGGGTGCTGGTTTCGTTGATGGTTTGGGCTGGGGAGACAACGCCAAGGCTGCCGTCATGCGTGTCGGTATCTTGGAACAGGTCAAGTTTGGCAAGATGTTCTTTGCCGACTCTGTCCGTACAGAGACATTCACAGAGGAAAGCTGTGGTGTAGCGGATTTGATTACCAGCTGCAGTGGTGGTCGCAACTTCCGTTGTGCCAAGATGAGCGTCGAACGTGGCATGACTATCAACGAGGTTGAAGAGCAAGAACTTAATGGACAAAAGTTGCAGGGAACCAGCACTGCGGCCGATGTCAACAACTTCCTGAAAAAGCAGGGGCTCGAGGACGAGTTCCCTCTCTTTACTGCCATCTACAGTAAGTCCAGCATCAGCATGCTACACTGTTGGTCTGACCACTGCTAACACAATGCAGATATCCTCCAAGGCAAGGACAAGGCGGAGAACATTCCGGAGCGCATTGAATCGAAAAAGTACCCATGAAGCGACGACCCTCTCATGTTATCTCACGACCAAGGTTGACTGGCTATTAGGAGTTATTCGGGATCAGCCAGAGCAAAACTATAGATTGTATTAGGTAATGTCCCTATGATGTATTAGAGCAAGCATTTGTATACAATTAGCAGGCATGGTGTTTAAGATGACCATGAATTAGTGTATGCATTCTAAAGCTGGGAGTTCCCGTCTAGGAGATACAAGGTTGTAGACGAAGTAGTCAGAGCTTGCACAAGCCGCCAAGCTCAATCGTTGGGCTCTTAAAATGTTATACCAGGTCTGACATCTCTGGTCAGTATGCAGCACAGCAGAGTAGAGACAGGGTTGCGCTTGAGCGGAAGCCTCGGCGACGGCTATCGCGACTTCCGAACCACCTTGGTATTACTGACATCATCCCGTGGTCAGTCGAAAAACAACAAAACGATGATGGACCACAATACTCAGCCAAGAGTCGATGATTAATCTGGATAGATAGGTTGTTCTGTCTACCTGCCTTTACTTCCAGTTTTCTACATCCTACGCCTAAGATTGTATTGTATAATGCTGGCACTAAGGAGTACCACTCTGTCGCGAACACTTGGTGTGACACGACAGCATGAGTCAACCGCTCCCGCCGCTGTCTTAAGAGGTCATGGCCAGGGTATCATCTCAAGAAGTACTAATGCCGGTCAATTGGCTTCAAGAACACAGACACGATTCCTCACAAGGGGCATTGAAAGTAGCAAAGGAGGTGTGTCATCGTCTCTACTTGTTGTCAGTGCAATCTTTTAACATTCAATTCCAGATCGTGAACGTGTTGTTGTACTAGGCTCCGGTGAGTGTCTATTGTATTGCTTGAATACCCGGACTGCACCTCATCTCTACTACANNGGCTGGGCTGGCTACACCCTCGCTCGAGATCTCGACCCCAAGAAATATCAAGTTGTCGTCGTATCACCTCGCTCCTATTTTGTCTTCACCCCTCTCCTCGCTTCAACCTCGACGGGTACCCTCGAATTCCGCACCGCTCTTGAGCCTGTCCGCTCTCGTCGCACCAAAGTAGAATTCTTCCAAGGCTGGGCTGATTCTGTGGACTTTGCAACCAAGACATTGAAAGTTGAAGAAGCTGTTGAGAACCCATGGCAGGCTATGGCTCTAACTGCTGATGGTCGCGAAGATCAGAATGCAGATCAAACAGAGAAAGAAAAGGGCGTCAAGGCGAAGAAGGGCAAAGTGTTTGAAATGAACTATGATAAGTTGGTTGTGTCAGTCGGGTGCTACTCTCAAACTTTTGGAACGCCTGGCGTCAAGGAAAATGCCTATTTCCTTAAAGATGTTGGTGATGCCAGAAAGATCCGCAACAGAATGCTTTCTTGTGAGTTTTTATCGAAAAGTAATCTGTTCTTAATATCACTGACCATATTACTACAGGCTNTCGAGACGGCTTCTCTACCAACCACTAGCGAAGCGATGAAAAAGCGGCTTCTCAACTTTGCCGTCGTGGGAGGTGGCCCAACTGGCATTGAGTTCTCCGCCGAGCTCCACGATCTCATCAAAGAAGACATGGCCAAAATCTACCCTGAACTCATGCAGTACTACAAGATCACTGTCTACGATGTTGCCGACAAGGTCCTCAGTATGTTCGACGACAAGCTCGCCAAATACGCTATCGAACGCTTCACCCGCGAAGGTATCGATGTAAAGACATCTCACCACGTCAAATCGCTTCGCAGAGGTACGCCTAAGCAACTCAAAGAGGACGGTGGTGACCAAGTAGTCAAGGATGACTCAAGCTGCTACACCCTGGACTTGCAAGAGGAAGGCGAAGTGGGCGTCGGTATGGTAGTCTGGAGCACTGGACTAATGATGAATCCCTTCATCTCAAAGTCCCTCGTAAGACCTTACGACATACCTATTTCCAGCGCTGCAGTGGAAACACCTTCAGATGCAAAGAGCTGGAACATTTCTACCCATCCACGCAGCGGAGGCATCATGACAAACGACCGTCTTCGCGTAATCATGCAACCCTCCACCCAAGCAAAAGAAGGCGAAAAGATCAGTGGCAGAGCAATCATAAACGATGTCTACGCTCTCGGCGACTGCGCAATCATGGAAAACTCGGCTTACCCAGCTACCGCTCAAGTAGCCAACCAAAAGGCTCGTTGGCTGGCCAAACAACTCAACCGCAACACCATCGACAACAACGCCTTTACCTACAAGGATTTGGGCGTAATGGCCTATGTAGGGAACTGGAACGCAATCATGCAATCGTCGGGTGGAGACGTGAGTGGTCGAGTTGCGTGGTTAATTTGGCGTGGAGCATACCTGGCAAAGAGTGTCAGCTGGCGAAACAGGATTCTGATCCCTACCTATTGGTTCGTCAACTGGATATTCGGCAGAGACATCTCGAGGTTCTGAGGATACGAATATAGAATAATAGGTACTCGTGGTCGAGGATAATTGGCTAGGTCGGGGCAGGGTGTCTCCCAAATCCACTTACCTAATGATTTCCGACCATCATATCTTAACGACTGTTTGCTCTCGAAACTGACTGAGACTTGCTTGGTATTCTACGTTTATCAAATATATACTTCACAGGACTTCTCACTCTGTGGTTTGAGGTTGTTATGTTGCTTTGAACTCTTGGGGCCAGTATCGATGTATCTAAGAACCGCCCCACATTGCCAACAATCCCAATCCAAGAAGAGTATCTTTCCTTTGTTTCGATATTCTTTGCTCAAGACTGCAGATACGCCTTTCTGGGCATATCAGCTTGGCTTGTCAAGACAGATTGAAGTGCTTGCGAGAGTTGATACCAAGCAAGTGCAACAGAACACACAGGGGTTTGTAGGGAAGAATCGGACAGCAATATCAATCAACGATAAGTTATACTACACTAGGCATCAGCTTCTGCTTCATCGTATTGCTACTTTAAGGGAAAGCATTCCAAGATTTCACGAATGATAGGACTGATATAGGCATTTTGAAAGTGAAGCCTCTTATCGAGGTAATGTATTTGTACAGTTGATCCATCTAAGGTAATGTTTCGTAAAAACATGCTACTCGAGTAGTTAATGAAATGATTACATTATAAAGTGCGTGCTTTTGTCTTTCGTTATGCTGAACGTGAAGTATAGAAAAAGTGTCCAACAACAATAATCTAATATGTATCAGAGACGATACGCTTAGCAGGCACGAACGTAGAGGCCGAGAGGGCTGGGGTTGTAGTCCTGGAAGAGTTCCAAATCGAGGCCGCCGGTGGAAGTAACCTCGAAGGAAACTCTGGTGCCAGCAGGGCAAGCATCCTGGCTGAGGGTGTGAGAAGAACCACGCTTGAGAGCATCGACAGAGCCGATCTGCTTGGCGACAGCAGGGGCGTTGGCGTAGGTGGTCGACTCGTTAGCAACACCGTTCAAGACAGCAATGGTGAAACCACCCTGGTCGTTGAAGGAGTAGCTGGAAGTCTCGAGCTGGTCAAGCTGGGGGAAGAGGAAGACGGTTGAGCAAGTCTTGCCAGCGTAGGAGGCAGGAATGTCAAAGTTGAAGATGGTGGAAACCTTGGAGTTGATAGTGGCGTTGTACTGGGTGCCGTAGGCCTTGTTAGGGTTGGCAGCATCGACAGGGACAATCAAGTGAGGGAATTGGTAAGCACCGTTGATGTCGGCAGGGCATCCAGAAGCAGCGGGAGTACCACTGGGAACAACGGCCGAGCCTGCAGCAGAAGTGACGCTAGGCTTAGCGGAGATGATAGAGGTCATGCCGGTGCTGGTGCAGTCCGAGACGGTGGAACCACAGTTGGTGACGGTGATCAAAGTGGTAGAGAAAATGGTGACGGTCTCGCCATCATCAGCAACGGAGGTAGCTGCCTTGGTGGTAACGGGCATGACGGTAGTTCCGGGAGCAGAGCTGGCAGAGCTGGCAGGAGAGCTAACAGCGGAGCTAGCAGAGCTAACAGCGGAGCTGCCAGCAGAGCCAACGGGAAGAGAAGCAATCACTGAGCTAGCAGCGGACGAGGCGGATGAGACAGCGGAAGAGACCGAGGGAGCAACCGAGGCGACTGAGGAAGCAACAGACGAGACCTTGCTGGAAACGACCGACGAAGGGACACCACCGGAGGGAACAGCGTTGGTGATCGAGAGGGTGGTGCTGGCAGCAGCGGATGTGGGCTTAGTGGCGCTGGCAACCGAGCTGGTAGGGGCGGCCGAGCTGCTGGTGGCGACGTTGGGGCATGAGAGATCATACTTGGGGGTCTCGCCAGATTGGAGGACACCAAAGTTGGGAGTGGCAGAGTCCTGGAGAATGTACCACCAGGTGGGGATGTTGCGGCTGAGCAAATCACAAGCAACAGACTTCCAGTAGGTCTCGGCGTTGTCAACGCTGGGAACGGCCTGGTTCTCGGTAGGACCGGAAGTAGGCCAGCCAGTCTCGGTGATCCAAATGGGCTTGCCATTGGCAACACCCTCGACAGCGTTGTACTTGTCGAAGAACAGAGAGTTGGCGTTAGAGACTGCGTTCGCCTCGGTGTTCTCGTAGTAAGGGTACTCATCGAGACCAATGAAATCGACAGCAGCGACAACGGCAGAGTTGCTCGAATTAACATATCCTGTCCAGGTGTCGACGTGGCCTACAGGTGCAGAACTAAGAGCAGTGCCGGCGATGGCAGATCTGACTTGACCAATGTAGTCGACAAGGACTTGAGGGGACTGGCCAGTACCAGCGTTGGAGGCAATACCAGCGGGGGTCTCGCGGTAGAGGTCCTCGCTACCAACTGAGATACCAACAACGAGATCGGCGAAAGCAGAGCCATACTGGCTGATGGCATTCTTGAGAGCAGTGAGCTCATTGTCGAAAACGTCCTGAGTCTCAGATGCCCAGAGACCAAGAAGAAGGGTGGTGTTGGTAGCAATGGCAGCGGGAATAGCACTGATAACAGTGTTGGCTGTACCATCCTGGATCATTGTGTAGAGACGGGCAGAGTTCCAGCCGCTGGTAGTGTCGAGACCTTGCTGGGTGCGGAATGAAGCCTCGAAAGTCTCCAGAGTGTTGCCTTGCGAGCCATAGTTGAAACCGCGGGTGGCAGCCAGGACAGACGAGGCACCACCGACGAGAGAAAGAATAGCGGATCTCATGTTGATGATGAATATCCTAAGGAAGGGATGTTTGTGATGAGGGAGAAAAACACAAGTTGAGTTGAAGAAGGAACCCAGCAGTTTTGTATGCTGTGGGCCTCTGTGACGACAACATAGAAAAGTGTACGATGTACATCGATCCTGCCGTGCTTCCGCCAAAGAACGTGAAGTGTCTTGTGGGGAAATAATGGGTTAGTCGCATGACGGTGCAAACTCAAGCTGGTCTTAGGTGGTGGATGGGGCCCGAAAATAGCACCATGACGCCTGGCTCTGCAGGTACGCCATCACTCCGTGGAGGGCTCAGTCACCAAAGTTGAGAAAAACTCAGATCCGCGCGGCCAAAGGCTAGACGAAGGACGGAACAACCTTTGTTGGGCCGCCGCTGTCCGCCAAAGGTTGTCGTGTTCTCAACCCCAGTCGGGCAAAGCGGAATACGACGTGCCCAAGAGAAGGATGTCCAAGAGGTCGATCGTATGTGATAGCGTGACGGTAAGGATCGTATTCGCGTCAATGGTGTCTCTCATAGTCTCGTATGTCTATATATGGACAACGTCCTCCTGACATGTCCAGCAAATGTCTTGTTACATGGCGGATATCACTGGCATATGGTGGTAGGGGTGGCAAGGTAGGCTGTGCGCATTCTCTGTTGTGCGACGGCAAGGTTCATCCACGTTCCCGTAGTCTTCGATGACGCTGCAGTTCAGCCGCCGTGTGGCGGCGGCATGGTTGCCGGTCGATGTTACAGCGTTGGACACATCGTTTCCGCCCCCGTTTGCTGATCAGGAACGCTCTTGCCATGTTCAGCCAAAGGTGGGGAACAATATTTGCTTGGCGTCGGAAAAGTCTTGTTCCTCCAAATCCTGTCCATCACTGAGCATCGGAGAGGAGAGAAGCTGTTTGTCACAGAAGGAAGTGGTTTGTTTCTATTCATGGCGAACCATTATGAAGCCTTGGGCTTGGGTCATCGCCAATTTGACGGAAGTTTGACAGCTCAAGACATCAAGCAGGCATATCGCAAAGCTTTGCTCGAGCATCATCCGGACAAGGTGCAGACTGGAGACGCATCTCGAACCGTGGATTCCATCACTGTCGCCTACAAAACTCTGTCCGAGCCTGAGGCCAAGGTAGATTACGATCGTGAACTACGTTTGCAGCATGCGCGCAACAAAGGCGACAACAAGATCTTCCACACCGGACTTGACATTGTAGATCTGGATGATTTGGACTACGATGAGAAGACTGGTGAGTGGTGGAGAGGCTGTAGATGTGGCCAGGACCGTGGTTTTGTCATTACCGAAGACGAGCTGGAGAACGAGTCGCGCTACGGAGAACTCATCACGGGCTGCAAGGGTTGCAGTCTGTGGCTCAAAGTCTTGTTCGGGGTTGAGGACGAAGAACAAGACGTCAAAAGCGTTGCTTGAGCTTTCGCATGAGCTTCTGCTTCTCAAATTCCATCTACGTGACACGGACTCGTAGTGCCTTGCATCGGTGGACTGAAAATTCCACGAGAAAGCTGCGCCCGGCTGAGAGAGTCATGTGGCCCAACTTCGAACTGCTGTGGGAATGGTGGTCCAGCGACTGAGTGTGAGGATACCTGGGTCCACGCCTTGACAAGCAGTCGCTTGAGCCATTTGTCGATATTACCAATGCCCGCAGCTGGTACCAGCGAAACAATCTTCCCAAAGCTTCGCAACAGAGCGGTCGTCGCAATGCACAAAATTCTTTGTCATGACCTATTCGGCCAACCATGCGAGATCTCTTCTCTTCGTCATTTGTTCGATATGCATTTAGACAACTGCATTTCCATGGTGAAAGGACAACCATGTTCATAAAATCAAGAGCATTTGCTTACTCAAGCCGAAGTTCTTTGATGCAAAGCAAACAAAGAGATCAGACAACTACGATATTACTAAATCCAAAAGTCGAGGAAACCTTCTTTGTAACCTACGCTTCCGCATCCGGTTCAACAAGGAATTCGTCGACCAGGAGAGGAACTCGAAAGGTTCGAAGCCATGACTTGGTGCGAAAACATTGTGTGTTTCTCCAGCTTTTCTGAGGTGACAATTGGCATTCCCTGAACGTCAATCATGGCATCTTACAGTGTTCCGGATCCACCGCCATCGATCCCCCCAGGCTTCAATCCCAGCAATTATATCGCAAGGTTGAATCGCGTAGCAAACCGATTCGACGTAGAACCTCGCTCTACAGGCAATTACTCGCAACTTGGACCCATCGCTGGACAGACGGATTTGAAAGTCGGTCCGCCTAGTCGAGCTCCAGATTGGCATCCTCTGTTAGAGAAATGGGGTCTTCAGGTCATGGAAGCGGCTGGGTTCGTCAACAGCACAGCTTATCGTGGGACCGGAGAAGGGCAGATGCCTGTAGGTCGTTTTACCGCTATTCTGGGTAATGGGCCGACACATCCTCTTCTACGAGAAGAGATGTGGCATGGACTTCGGACCGGCGAATACGCCCTCATGGAACCTGCGCTACGTCTGGCTTCTGCTATCTTGGACGACCCCGAAGTTTTACGCTTCTTTGCAGGACTCATGGTTTCCAGCGACAAAATGCCATGTGCTTACATCCCGCACATTGGAAAATGCCCAGTATACGGACCCATCTGCCAACCACTTGATGCGGCTGCGCTAGCAGACGTATACAGTAAAATCATGGATATGCGCCAATACATGAGATGGGTATTGCAAGATATGAATATCATGATGGGTGATCACAATGCCTTTGGCCTCACAAAACCGTTGCGAGAGAAAAATGGCACAGTTGCCGAAGGTGCGAGAGGACTTGGGTACGTGATTATTCTTAAATCGATTGGACACGACTAACACTGTCGAATAGAANCACGATCCAGCGTTATTCACGTGAGTCGAGGATATGTCGACGCAGTGCGAATGTTCTTGAATAGTGATCCGACGCTCACCGAACTCGGGAGATACATCAATGACACACAATACCTTGCTTCAATACCCCTTGAAGACGCGATCTGTATCGATGAAGACTCAGCACTTGGGCGCAGTACAATCTTGTTTGTAGACACCCTAATACATGAACTCACACATGCAATAAACGGTGCCTACTTTAACAGGACTCCAATGGCAATACCAGGTATGCCACCACAAAATCACGTTCACGAGCCCTTTTTCGCTGGCAATCGTTGCAACGAAACTGGACACGCCATCTCGTCCTACATATTCCGCGGAAATCCCAGGGGCATAATCCAGTGGAACATCCCTCAGGACTATTCGTCTCTCTGGCTACAAAAGCACATTGGATCGTTAGGACTTTACTGGCCTGACAGGTGGGACAAGTGGCAGATCGATCAAGGCGGAAAGGATGCCTGCAATCCAAGAGCTGTGCATTCTCCCGATTATGGCGTTATGCAACATTTGTTTCCAGTTCCTCAAGCACACATCAACAAGATGTTTTCCCGTCAGCTGTGGCAAGACGAGATATTTCGTTTTGGCCTGGACGCCATTCGGATGCCACGGATGGACAAGTGGTCGGCGGAGTGGACTCCTGCGGGAAAGGAGAAGGGCATATGGGGCATAGGACGCGACAGGTGGAACGATGGACCGGCTCCATCCCCCAGTACTCCTAGCGATGATGGAGGCGTTCCGCTGTGATGTTTCTACGTAGTCCAACAAGAACTATTGTTCTGATCATGTGCTTGACCTGTCTTCATCGACTCGCAAAAAATTTGATCCCGGACATCTAAGAGTTCGTTTCATGAGTTCACCTCATCATGTGCCAGGGTCGTACCCTTTACAAGCTCTGCACATTTGAATAGTCTGATTTTTGCAAGATAACTATAGGTTTTTCCATCGTGTCTCTATCATGACATTAACTGAGGTTATACTCAAAGGATACAGTATTTATAGATACGTCTCTTGCCTTGGGAAATGTTAATGGCTCCGTGCATCTTTTGCTGCTTCATCATCGAAAACTTATTTCGTATGCTACGATCACAATACTTTCACGAATCAGTCGTAGTCAAACAGACAGCTGAGACTATTATCGGCGTTGATCCTGTATGGCAACTTTATATCAACCCACGCTGCTCGTTTCTACAGGAAACCGAAACGACAGAAGAAAAGATACTGCACGAATATTGGTAGAGCAGGGTGACACCTAGTACATCAGACATGATCGTGATCGCCAACCTATATGAATGATGCAGCAAAAATGCACAAGAATCTTACAAGGCAAGAGCAACCCAAGGGAATAGCCCTTCTGTAGGCTGTCTTCATGGCCGTACCTGCATTTAAAAGTAATTGTGCATCGCGATGACTTAATGACTATGCCTCACGATGGGAGAGTGATCAAAGCGAGACTGTGACACTCTTTTCACACGGAGATGTATAACATGGCACATCAATTGCTAGTATTGCTGTTCTAGGTACTGCTTTTGTTTACTTGCTCATGGAAGCCTAGTCTACAGCCATGCGAACCTTCAACAAGTCCTTCTTGATGATTTCATCTTTCTTCTCCAGCAACTCCTTCATGTCCCAGGTCACGCTAACGTATCTACCAGCCAGCCACTCCCTCTTCTCGTTGACAAGCCAAGCAACAGTATCAGCAGCCAGTGCAGGCTGGTCAGAGAGTAAATGACGAGATTCTGTGGGCATGCGTGAAGCCAGCTCGGTCACCACACCTCCCGGATGGATAGAATAGCAAAGGATGTCGGGGTATTCTGCTCCGATAAATTCGCCCAGTCTCAGAAGTGCAAGCTTAGTGACTTGGTATGAGCTAGCACCCGGCATGATTACGTGAGCACCGATTGAGCTGGTGTTGATGATAGTCTTGTCTCCATCCTTGGTGTCTAGAAGAACGGGGATACAGGCACGAGCAACCAGGTAAGGCCCCTTGATGTTGACTTCCTGGGTTCTCCACCAATCGTCAGGGTCGCTCTCTCCAATTTTCTTGAACTCCTCAAGATATCCGGCGTTGTTGAACAAGAAATCCAGACCACCGAACTCGCTCTTTATAGTCTTGGCTGCTTGCTCGGTGCTTGATACATCTGTTACATCCAGCTTGATGCAGATGACCGTGGGTGCTGGGTGGCCGGCTTCCTTAGCTGCCTTCTCCACCTCAGTTGCGAGGTCTGAGAGAGAGCTGCGAGCACCGAGAGCGATACTAGAAGCACCAGCACGAGCAAAAGAGAGAGCTGTCTCCTTGCCGATGCCCTTAGAGGCGCCAGTCAGAAACACACGCTTGCCTTTTAGGTTCTGAGACTTTGTCGAGATGTAGTCGTAAGTGTCATTGTGAATCGTGGAAGTGAATTTGAAGCCTAGCATAAGAATGAGTTAGTTTTGCCTTTATATCAGCTCAAGTGTAAATGTTCGGTACCAGCATGATGAAGCCTAGAGTCGGACATCTTGGCGGTTCAGTTTGGACAGTAGAGCAGTTAGGAAGACAAACAATGTCTCGTTCAGTTTGCCAGAAGAAGAATTAAATCGAAAAGAAGAAAGAAGGTAGATTGATATCGGTGGTTGGTTAAGCAATCGGCGTTATGTGATTTCAGCTCCGTAACTCCGGCTGACGTAACTCCGGTCATGGTTTCGTAGGTTCAATTTGAAGATTGCATGATTCGGAGTCATGGTGAACAATTGCATTAGTATAAAATTGTTTCTGCTCGAGTATTACTCGGAGCGGAAAATAGTCGCAGATAAGTTCCCTTACATTTGGTCCACAGAATCCCGACATAATCTTCCTCAACCTACCTCTAGAACTACATCTCAACATCACCAGACTGAAACTATATCCAGTGCAATAGACCGCTCCGAACTACCCCCTACAGCAACATGAGCTGGCGCTCAGAACGTATCATGTATATCGTCAACTTCATCATTCCTCCTCTTATAATCAACAGCCGAACATCTTTGTGGTGCTGACGTTGATCCGACTCCATTTAAAGTCTGTAACCAAGCTCTTAGCAAACTGGAACGGCCAGTAGACGTGATACAGCCACCAAGCTGGAAGCGGGTCCCAGATTTCGTAGGTGCCGTCTCTCCAAAGGAACAGGTGCTCAAGGAAGGTGCCAAAGTGCTCGAAAGCCTCGACAAAACTGTTGCCGTGGACTTTGAAGAGTGAAAGAACAGGCAGGATGACGAAGGTCGTCAGGTCGTGACCGATCCAGTAGTATTTCCCAGGGTTATGGGGGTATACTGGAGGTGTGTGGGAAGCTCCGTTGGCTCCTTCTTTACTAGTTGTAGTCGGCTCTTCGAGAAGGGACATGTAGCCCTTCTCGATCATCTCCGGTGTGTTGTTGAACAAGGCGACTGCGGTATGTGCACGAGGATTACATTCGATTGGATAGAGTGTGACCACCATGTTAGGGTCCCTCTGCGCACGCTCAGCATCTTTCGGTCAACCAAGAAGTCGAAAGATAGATGGCCTGTAAAGTTCTCGGGGTCGCTGGCAGCGTACTCTTGCGTGAAGCGCAGCATACTGCGGCTAAGTGAAGAATCAGGAGAGAGTGCTTCATAGTGCATCAGAAGTTCAGCAGAAGGACAAGCAGTGAATGCTTTGACTTCACCACGAACTACCAACGCATGAGTGCAGTATTCAGGGCCATCGATGAATTGTTGCAGAATCCAAGGACGGCTTTCTGAGATCTGGAGGCGAGAAATGTGTGCCTTCGTCGCGGAGACCGAATCGAATGGCAGCAGAGTCATGTCACCTCGAACAGAGTCATCCGTTCCAATGAACTTCATAATGAATTTCTTGCCTGAGGGTCGCACATCTTCTAGGACCCTCAAAGCAGCGGTTTTGGATGTAATGGTATGAGTCTCGGGGACTGCGAGTCCAAGTGATTTGGTGTATTCGGTGAAAGAGTGCTTCTCGTGCAGCTTCTGTGTGGTAGCTACGTTGTATTGCACTGCTTTGCACTTTGTGAGCAGCTCGACCATCTCTTTGGCCTGCCCATCCTCAACAGCGCTCGCTACACCGGAACAGCTGACCCACAGGTCAACCTTCTCCTTGCGGACAATATCCAGAATACTTTGACAATATCTAGACGAGCCTTCTCTGGTACCATCAGGCTTCGCAAGACGGTGAAAAGCCTTTATCGAGCGTGACACGTGCCCGCAAGTGATTGGCAAGAATGGCGGCTCGAAATCAGCCCCGATAACGTTGTGACCAGCAATAAAGAATAGGCGAGCAAGGACAAGGCCCTTGGTCATGCCTACACCAGTCACTAACACTGTGCGGGGCTCAAAGTAGCGCGTGTAGGTAGACCGCACTCGGGCGCGGTGCGAAGTCGCTGGGAAGGCGACGAGGATGCGAACCGCATAGCTGAAGAAGAGGATGAAGGTATCGAGTGGAAGAAAAAGAAGCTCAAAGCGATCAGCTTCACGTTCTGCAGTGCATGCGCAAAGCGCGACGACTCAGCAGTAAGCATGGTGGCTGCACGAGGGAACGAGTGAGAGATGCCTGGAGGGAAGAGCTCCAAGCAGCGCAGCACTCGCAGGAGGTTAGCGAAAGGATTGAGCCTGCGTGTCGTTGTCACGACTAGATCATGGCATTTGTCGACCCATGCAAGCCATGTTTTGTTGATCACGATAGCTTCGCGATAGCTCGGTGGATAGCTCTCCCGTTTTCACATGCTTTCCACTAGCTACTCGTAGCCAAACGTCATAGATCTGAACACCTCGGGATTGTCTTGAATTACGGCTGAACCCTAGACATGATATCTGAGATCTTGATTATCGAATAGTTGAGTTCGATCGCGTCAGTGCTTCCTTCAGGAAGACGACAGAAGGGTCAAAACTTCCGATCGTTGGGATGAGAGAAGAGGCAACAGGAACGGCAGTTCAACAAAGCTCAGGAGGAAGGGGCTCCGGCTGCATGGGAAAAGCTCAAGCAAGCGAACTCAGCTTGACTTGCACAATTTCACAACCCTCTGTTTACAATTTATGCAAATTTGCATGTGAAATTCAAGCAAGCAATTTTTTACTCATGATACATTTGGGTATCTCTTGTAGTCCGCTGAGCCAATTCTATATGCTGCGTTTCATTCGCATCCATGCTCTCCACCAGACTCATAAGCTAGGACGTATGGCGCGTATACACATTATATCGTCGTGGTCTGATCCGCAGGTTCTCCCGCATGATCGGTTTCTGTGAAGCACGGGCTTTACCTAGGAAGACTCTTCGCCAGTGCAGCGAGTAATTTCGACACCGTCCTGGCAAATTTGTCAATACTGTTTCTTATGGGCTGCAGCGAAAGTGTTCAACATACTGGTACACCTGAGGGCTCGTAGCTGTTGATAAGCTTGCTCTCGTAGATCAGGTTGGGGTTGCCTCTGGACTGTTGCAGCTTCTCCTCTGTCTGTCTGTTGGCGTACTGTTTGGCGGTTCTGTCGGCGAATCTAGCATCGGGGTTGCTCTCGTCCGAAGAGTCTTCCGCAGCCTTGCGCTTCTCAGCGACACTGCTGCGAACGTACTCGAGGTATGGTGGGTTGCCGGGCTTGATGACGTTATCGGCAGCCAGCACGCTTCCAGGAGTCACAAGCTTGAGCTCTTCACAAAGCTTCAGATCGGTCTTGTATGCGGGCTTGTAGTGGTCGAGGAACATCATGTCGATGTGCTTGAGAGTGCCCTCGGTGTGTAGTCTCTTGATTGAGACAGCGCTGGAACCAATGATGACCTTGACGAAATCACCCAGACCAGCCAAGTCGACCAGCGAGGAGATGACTGCACCAAAGACAGGGTCTCTTTCGAGACTGAAGTAACGCTTGCCACCAGCTTTGCGGACAGCGTCGGCGTAGAGAAGGCAGGAATAACCAATGTAGCCACCCAATTCAACCTGTGTGTATCGTAAGTACTCCAATCTTTTCATATTCGCTTGATCAACAGTACCATAGTCTCTGGCTTAACCTCCGAAATCAATTCGGTAACAATCTTGCCCTTGTCTTCTCCCACGTTCATGAGGTACTTCTTGGTCCTGGCGAACTCATCAATGGCAGCCAGCACCTTCTGAGGATTGCCGCGAATCTCCTCAATGTCTGGCTTGCCGTAGACAAAGTGCAGGAGCTCGAGTTCACGGCCATCGTCAAAGAAAACTTCCTCCTGCTCGGCGTAGGCCTTGCTCTGATCAAATTCTGCCATTGTAGTGTTTCTTGTGGTGTCTTTGAGGTTTACGAGTTTCGAGTATCCAGTTGACGAGTGTCCAGAGCAATTGCACAAAACGAATGATTACAATTCACTCGGATTCCAAGCGAAGCAGTACGTGGCAGGAGCTCCAACAGCTGAGCTATCGGGGGTGACGCGACGAGCCCCACTATCTGTTGATGAACCAGAGAAGATCGCTCGCGACGACGCGATCTGATGAGCTAAGAGGAGGGGTAATGCTGCAACGAGCTGCTAGACTCCCCAAACGGGATAGTCCAATCATCATGCAAGCGTCACCAAAAGAGGAAGCACTGACGCAAAAGTTAGATCTGCCCCTCACCTGAGCCCCGCATCAACACATCCAAGAAGCATGATCGTTTTATTAATCTCGAAACAGCTCGAGCTCGCTGGCAGCATAGATATGGGAATGGAAGCTCCACTCCAGCTATGCAGCCTCGCGAGATCCAGAGTAATACTCACTATTAGAGCATCGCAAATCATTGGTTAGCACCACATGTGTCTCTCTTTTTCCATGATTTCACATCCCGGGCGACATTTTGAGCCGCAAGACGGGAACCCCAGAAAATGTCTCAATAAAAGCTCCGAGCCTAAAAGCCTGATGTCAGGAACTCATAAGATCTGTTGTGGGTCACTAAACTGAACATGGTTTAGACGGATCTTGTGTCCACGACATGAACCCCACGGCCCAAGCCTAACGCGGAAGCTGAGCTGCTAGTCTACGATGCTCATTGGGCGTTTTCCATGGCCGCTGGGATCCAAATCCATGGCAGCAGAAGCCTCATGGGCTTGCATCTTGCAGAGACTTGACAGACAGGCTTTGAACCAGACCGGTGCAAGCGGCGGTGCAAGTCATGATGCTAGTCTTTGTGCCGGCCAAACGGGGCTGCCATTTGACGCACACCCATCGTGGCAGAGGTGCATCGGAGCGATTCGTCTGGAGACTTCGTACCTGGATTGACTTAGCGTCAGTCTGGTCAAAGGTTTGTTGACGTGATGCACTTGAGCTTCCAGTGCCGTGCTCCAAGATATCCGCCGATCTCGTGGTTGGCGAAGATATATGAAAACCCCTCTTCCTCGACCATCCCCTCTTCCCACTCACCTTTCTTCTTCCACTCTCATCACTCCTCATCCTCTTTTCAACTTTTCCCCTGCGTTTGTTCAACACGCACACAACACATCAATCATGTCTGACTTGACCGCTACTGTCCAGGAGACCAAGGCTGGTTTCCACGTCGCTGGCTATGAGAAGATCGAGTACGACTTCGAGTTCATGGACGGTGTCTTTGACCCCAAGAACAGCCAACTTGCCGACTGCTACCAGCGCTGGGGCAGAGCCCTGGCTGTCATGGACGCCAACATCTTCGATGTCTACGGAGACCAGATCCAGAAGTACTTCGACCACTACAAGCTCGAGCTTTCCATCCACAAGACCATGATTGGCGAGAAGGCCAAGTCTATGGACACCCTCTTGAGCATCGTTGACTCGATGAACAAGTTCGGTGTCTACCGCAAGGAGCCCGTTCTGGTCGTTGGTGGTGGATTGGTCACCGACGTTGCCGNNGGTAATACACACACAATGATCCACCGCCATAGATCTATAAGGCACTCTGGCCAATATCTCCTAAGCGGTCAATCCCGACTTTTGAACATGTTACTAACCGTCTACAGTTTCGCTTGCGCTTCCTACCGCAGAAACACCAACTACATTCGTGTTCCCACCACCGTCATTGGTCTCATTGACGCTTCCGTCTCCATCAAGGTCGCCGTCAACTACGGCAACTACAAGAACCGTCTGGGTGCCTACCACGCCCCCATGAACACCTTCCTTGACTTCAGCTTCCTCCGCACTCTCCCCGATGCTCAGATCCGCAACGGTTTCGCAGAGTTGATCAAGATCTCCACCTGTGCCCACCTCGACACTTTCAACTTGCTCGACAAGTACGGTGAGCAGCTCATCGAGACTGGCTTCGGTCGTCGTGAGGGTGCTCCCCAGGAGGTTCGCGATGCTGCTGACAAGATCAACCGCAACGGTATCCACGAGATGTTGAAGCTTGAGACCCCCAACCTCCACGAGATTGGTCTTGACAGAGTTATTGCCTACGGCCACACGTGAGTCAAGCCATATCTTATACAACATGACTTCTACTGACAACACTCAAGCTGGTCTCCTCTTCACGAGCTGATCCCCGACCCACCTCTTCGTCACGGTCACGCCATCTCCATCGACATGGCTTACTCTGCCACTCTTGCCAACATGAGAGGTATCCTCAGCGACGAGGAGCACAAGAGACTTCTCAACCTCTTCTCCCGCGTCGGTCTCTCCATGGATGACGACCACTTCACCGAGGACGTTCTTGACCAGGCCACCAAGGCTATCCTCAAGGTAAGCTAAACTCGTTGTATACTGAAAAGAGTCACCTCAGCTAACGACATTTTCACAGNNACCCGTGATGGCAAGCTCCGTGCTGCAGTCCCCAGCCCTCTTGGCTCTTGTGTCTTCCTTAACGACGTCGAGGCAAGCGAGATGAACGCTGCCTTGAAGAAGCACAAGGAAATTATGAAGTCCTACCCTCGCGAGGGTAAGGGACTCGAGGCACACGTTGACTCGAGTGATACCGGCTACACCCACAATGCTAAGGCAGTTGAGAACAACGCTACCAACTCTGCCAGCAAGTCCGTCATCAACGATGATGTTAAGGACGGTGTCAACCCTGCTGGCAAGAAGACCGCCGAGAAGATGGCCAGCGGCCCCGAGGGTGTCAACGGTGTCTCAAACCCCACCACCAACGGTGCCAACAGCCTTGCTCAGGGCGGCGAGTGCTGCTAGATCCATTCATCTCATTGAATTGGGTTGTTCTCTTTTGAAGGAAAAAAGCTTGGATGGTCGAAACAAAAAAAGACCCTACCTTTTGTGGCGCAATGAAGGCGCTCTTGTAATAATATTGCATAGATGAACCATCCTGCACAAGGATTGGCAAGCTAGACATAGCTACGAAAATATTGATGATTTTGATAATTGACTCTTCTTCTTGATCTCATGAAGTGTTCGCGAATGTTTTGAAGCCAGGCACGTGCTTTCTGCTGCGGCTCCATGCCAAGGCCTTAACATTCCTATCGCTCATTGTCCCATTGCTGACGGTACTTGGATGGTCGTCGTGCACGCCCTCACCGAACATATTCTGGTCTTCGCGAGGTTCAAGTGCACCTGCAAAGGGTATCGAGTAATGGGAGAGTGAGATCGTCTTCTAGACTTCCTCATAACCGAGATGACGTCTCGGCATTTGACTATAGGTACAGTGTCACATATTACTGCACTCTACGCTAGAATACTGCCTGCTCGACACAGCATCTCTGGAACCATAATGGATTTGCCGCAATTAATCGCGACTGCAAGCGATGTGCCGCCTGTGATCGAAATAGCAGAGATGACTGATGTGACGACGAGATGGATCGTTATTAGAAGATCGACATGCCTTATTTTCCAGGCTTCAACATTTTACCACACGTAACCGGTCCGATCAGAGGCAATGATGTTTGATGGTCGTAGTAGCTAATCGGTTGTGAACCGAGAGCAATTGAGTGTGATCTAGCACTATTCAGTCGTGCCTCTTCCAATACTCGCAGTATTAGTATATGACCCCAGCCTCTGACCCGCATTGTGCTGTGCCTCTGATCTATTGTCTGCCTCAGCTCAGACCCCGTAGAGCGTTCCATATTGCTGGGTCAATATGGTCAGATGTGTCAAATTGCTTGTGAGCCGCGTCTTGCATCACGGCAATGGTCGTAACAGGGTCTTATAGAGTCCTCGGTTCGTTCGTTCGAGAACTGTCTTATACGGCGGTAGTGTACGCGAGGACTTAGCGGAGCAAAGAATGCTTGGCTCAGACTCAATTAAAAGTTGCGGCATGTTTCGTGAGAGATACCTGAGGACGTCTGAGAGCTGAGTTGAAACTTAGCACACGACCACAGCTCCATGTACCAGGCATGTGACGATTGTTACCGCCCGACAGGTGGTCAGAAGTGCAAAGGAAGGAAAAGAGGGTTGCCATCGCAAGAACAGTTCGAGCGGCACGGCTACACACACGATGACCGGTTGACGAACGCCAGCCGGACGGCAATCGGGAAAGTTAACTTCGTTAGGAATCGGGCGAGTACGGGCTACCGATCCAAGTACATTTGTAAGTCGAGTAGTTATGCGAAATGAGATGACTCGAGCAAGCAACAGAGTCACAAAGGGGGCACGAAGTGTGACGAGCAAACCAATTATGACAGTAGGTTGGGCGGTCGGCGGAACGGAGGAGCAGGTTGTGCAGGACTGGCTCGCAGGTTCATCCAGTAGAGGATGATTTGGTTCATATAAAGACATGTTGACCTCGGAAGGATGACGATCATTGCCTGTTCCTGTGGAGAGCTTGGCCCTTTATGGGCGGCGCATGGGTCGCAGGTCGCTCAAATTGCACATAAGGCTTGACCATGGCAAAGTCAGGGTGGTGTTTAGAGTGCTTAGTCGGGGTGATGGACAAGAGACGGCGACGGGAAGGAATGAGAGTGACGAGCTATTGTTTGATGACCCAAGGGAGAGGGCGGAAGGTTTTGATGCGACCAAGTACCTTAGTCGAGCAACCATGTTAGTAGCAATGCTTCTCTTCTACAATTGATTTCGACGCAGAAAAACCTTGAAAGCGTGCCATGTGCAGCGAGCGTTGTCGTTGCTCGCGCGTGTGATTGACCAACGGCGCGCAGATTGCTCTTGTAGTATAGGAGCAGGGGCATCACAGCAGCATGCCCGGAGGAGGAGTGCAGCTGCTTCTGCAGCTCGAGCAGGAGCAAAAGGCACAACGGCATTCGCAGCAGCAGCAGCACTACCTGTATCCGCGCCCTGAACAGACACAACCCCAGCAGCATCATTACCAGAACCAACAGTACCTCAGCCCGCAGGCGCATCCGCCGCCCTCGATCCCGCTACCGCCGTTGCCCGCTATGACGAAGATACGAGGAGCCGACCCGGCTGAAGAAGCGCCCCGGCCGTCGGACAAGGAGCGGAAGCGTGCAGATGCAGCAGCAGCCATTGTTGTTTCAGGCGACCTACGGGCGCGTGCAGCCACGGCCATCCCTCGATCCGTCACGTCGTCGCCATCAATTCCTACTCTGCGCACCCAGGCATCCTCGCTGTCGCCCTCGCCGTCGTCGTCACGAGTCCCGACGCCCAACTTGCGCAAAGCCGTCAGCATCGAAGCCTTTCCGCGCCCTCCTGGCAGTGGCAGTGGCAGTGTTATCGCCAGCCCCATCGGGCCATTGGCCTCGTCAAGCCCTCGGAACTCGTCGCAGTCGTCAACTTCTCTGGCATCCAATGTCCATTCTTCTTCGACATCACGCCTGCCATTGTCGCCCTTACAACCCCCTAGCGGACTGCGCAAGCCACACTCCAAGCCATCTCTTCGCAATCTGCGCTCCAAAACATCCACTACCTCACTCAACACCACCGCCGCCAGCGCTATCCGTAACTCCAAAAGCGAGAGCCTACTAAGCATACCTTCTCCACCCGGAAGCCGCTCATCCTCGGCACCTGTGTCCCCAGCCACTCCTCTGACACCGAACACCCTCGTGGCCGACTCGACCATGTCCGAAGCAACAAATGGCGACAAGGACAAAGAAGCAAAGGGAAACATCACTGTCAGTGTTCGCGTGCGTCCCGATGCTGCCGCAGATACACAGCCTGATGGGGAATGGCTGGTCGATGGTCGGCGCTCCCTCATAACTTACGAAAGTGGAGAATATCGCTATGGTGCGTCGTTTATGCTCGATTGACTAAGGAAATGCTAACTCGCTTCTTCGCAGNACAACGTCTTTTCACCGCATGATCAAAATGCCCGCGTATACGAATCAGCTGCCAAACGCCTGGTACGCCGTGTTATGGAGGGCTACCATGGAACCGTGTTTGCATATGGAATGACAGGCACTGGTAAAACCTTCTCCATGCAAGGTACTGCCATGTCTCCTGGTGTTATCCCTCTGGCTATTACCGATATATTTTCCTACATCCGCCAGAACCCTGCGCGCGAGTTCTTGCTGCGTGTCAGTTACCTTGAAATCTACAACGAAAAGATCTACGACTTGCTTAATCCAGACTCAAACGAAGAGATCAAACTGCGAGAAGACCCTCGCCGTGGTGTTTATGCGACACCGCTCAAGGAAGAGATCGTACAAAGCCCTAACCAGTTGCTCAGAGTTATCGCGCGTGGTGACCAGCAAAGGCGTGTGGCAGGCACGCAATTCAACGCTCGATCCTCACGCTCGCATGCTGTTGTCCAGATTGTGGTCGAGTCGCGCGAACGCTCTGCCGTCCCAGTTGGCGACCCGAGGCGTGACAAGCTGCTACCCGGCAGTGTTCTGGTGTCGACCCTTTCTTTGATCGATCTGGCTGGTTCCGAAAAGGCCGCCGAAAGCAAAGAACGACGAACTGAAGGAGGCCATATCAACAAGTCTTTGCTTACACTAGGCACGGTCATTGCTCGTCTGTCCGGGGACAAAGAGCTCGCGGAAAAAGATCAGAAACATCTTCCTTACCGAGACAGCAAGCTCACTCGCCTTTTACAGCCCGCTCTTTCGGGAAACTCACTAGTATCCATTCTTTGTACCGTACAGCTCTCTTCAGCATCCACGAGTGCTGCTGCAACCTCCTCGCACACAACTGAGACTCTGAACACACTTAAGTTTGCAAGCAGAGCGAAAAACAACCTTGTCAGCAATGCGAAGCGCAACGAATCGAATCCTTCTGATGGCGCCGACCCACGTAGTCGAGCTTTATTGGATAGATACAAGCTAGAGATCATCGAATTAAGGGCTCAGCTAGAAGAACAAAGCAAAATCAAGAATGAGGCCGAGAAGGCCGAAAAAGCGGAGGTTGAAGAAGAGCGGTGGAGAGAAAGAGAACGTGAGAGTGCCGAACGCCACGAGGAGCAAATGTTGGAAATGCAGCTCGCCAGGACCGCTTTGAAAGAACGCATCGCCCATCTGAATCGACTGATTTTGAGCTCCAAGTCTCTGGGAGTGAACTCGGGACGCTTCTCTAATGCTAGTTCGAGCATGCCAATCCTCCAAAGAACGAGCACACACAGCACTTTGGAAAGGCCGAAAAGTCGGAGACCGGGCAGCAGCGGCAGTCAGACTACCTCGGGTCGCATTCAGTCCGGGTCCACTACAGCGGGTATGCTTCCTATAGCACGGACTTCGCAAATCGAGCTGGCCTCTGCGTCAGAAGACGAAAACGATGATGAGGAGATGGCAGCTGATGAGGACGCCTTAGACCCTGGGAGTGCCTCCTCGGCCCGTCGGATCAGTGCTTTACAGGCCGACCTCGCAGACAAGGATCGGTACATTGCAACTCTGGAGAGGCGCTTATTGCAGACTCGTAACAACTCTTACAGCAAAGCGAGCAGTGCAAAATCACCTCTACAGAGCCGTGTGCCATCACGAGACGGACAAAACACTGATGCTGTTGTCAAAGAGAAGGACCAAGAGATCGAGCGACTCCGACAAAAGCTTGAAGATCAGACTCGTATGGTGACTGCGTTGAGGAATGCTGCCAGAAAGCGTGATATGCTGGATACCTCTGGGACTCTGTCACAACACCCAGCCTTCAGACAAAGTCCCACAACATCACCGGAGAAAAGGGAGACACGCACACCATTCCGCAGCATGAGTCGCCCTGAGCTCTTCCGAAGCGCCAGCGGCCCCGTTAGTGCCGTCGACAAAACGTCACCACCTAGTTCACCACCTCCTGGAGTACAGAACTTCTCCCGCCTGTCAAAGCATCACGCTTCCATACTTCAAGCTGGTACGGACGAGGGCGCAGTGACTGAGAAGAACGGATCTTCTATTGAGCCATCGAACAACGTGGCAAGAGTTACGAGCATCAGCAACGTGCCGGGCACCAAAAGGAGCGTGGACGAGATGACGAAGCTTTTGGATGAGATGATTCAAGACAAGGTCAACACTGGCCATGTGATCCGTGGCGACAGAGGCAGCTTACGGGTAAAGCGCGACACAGTCATGAGCCGTGCTGGGAATGAGGATGTGTCCTCTCATGACACCCAAGCAGGCGCCGCCGCCTTGCACTACGAGAAATCGCAGTTCATATAATGAGCGTAGGCTGCCTGATCCGCGACTTCTCTTTTAAATCAGGCGCAGGTTCGCGAAAGAGACGAAGTGTCTTTGTATTTAATATTGGCCGCTTGATTGGATAGAAAATCTGGCCTGGGATAGGATCTAGAGGTGGGCTAGGGATTGCGATGTGTTAGCGAATCATTGCGGGTTTTTATTCTCTCGATACCCTATTAATAAGGCATGCAAGATGGTGGAAGGCCTTCTTCGTTTTTCTCCTTTCGCTATGCCAGCACTGCTGAACAGTGTGGCTATGTACCGGAAAACCATGAACTCGATCTTGGTAACAATCTCCTAGGAGCCTCCTGTGGAAGGCCTCGAAGGCAGCCCTATTTTACGTACTTTTGCAACGATCATAGACTCATATGTAGAGCAGGCATGGACCTAGCTTAGAATGAACAAGGACAGTCCATGTACAATGACTCTCAAAACAAGAATTTGTTTCCAGCATATGTCGTCAAACAATGACAGAGAGATCAAAACAATTCTTGGTACGTAGCGGAACAATCGTTGATCCCAAAGGTCACACGGCACCCTCCAAACACGAGCTTGATGCCTGGCGGGACGGTAACTGTTAGCTCTCTAGGGCCATCCATATGATGTTGTTGCGGCGGGCTGAACGGCACGGGGTTATCTGCCTTCTAGAAGGGCTTGGATTAGGCCTGCCATCTGGAGATCATTGCATCCATACTGACGTGCGGGTTAGGTTGACCACCGCAGGATCGGGGTAAAGTCGTACGGATATTGTGGTATGCCTGATGGCGCAATGCGATCTTTCATTCATCTCGGATATTTTGACTTGATATTAGGAAAACGTCGAATGGCAATGTGCAGGCATATCACCCGAGGAGTATTGAAGCTTGACCGGATTGCTGGANACTCGGTTTAGAGAGTGAGACAATACTGCAAACCCTTTAAANCTGTGTTGATGCGGAACGTTTTGGATTGCAAGAGAGGTCGCTTAGCGCGCTTCGCTCTTTCCCTTGCCGAAGCCGNNGCACAAAGCATATGTTTGGAAGGGGCTTGCTGTCATGTCTGAAAGTCGTCTGGTNTTGCCGGCGGCAGTTTTGCTCTTGCCGCAAAAGTTTCCCCTTCTAGAAGCCTTGTGGAACGTCNNAAATTCCCCTCCTTGTCAATTTCGCGACCTGACCCACGCGCCGCTTCGAAAGAAGCACAACCTGCTTGACAGCATGGACCTCTTTNNTACCTCGTGGCTTCCTTGCCCTGCTGCATGTGCTTGTGGCATCACGGCAACGTTGCACCATTCGNNTGTACGCTATGTGCTGATGCTGCCCTGTGGCTTCTTGATCGGTGAAGCAGGCGAAGGTAAGTTAGAGTGCAAGTAATATCGGCCGCTAGTTTTGACTGTGTCGTGGTTTATGACTGCCCGGCGGACCAAAAGAGGGGTCCAGTTTTTCCAGAGTTCAAACCTCGCTGCCCAATCACGCTTGTTCGATACCCAGCAACAGATCAACCTCTGAAGACGACTTGGAGATCGCGGAGCGTCAACAACCTTGATAGATTGCGACTTGAGGACGCGAGGGCATGTTCAATCACCGATCTTTATGTGCTTAACTCGAAACCAAACTCCTCAGTTGCTATCCTCCACTTGAAATGCGTCTTCTGATAAAGAAGTGCTTCGCACGGCATGGCAGCGAACATGAGTTCTAGGAGCGTCCGGGCGCCGTTTACTGTCTTGCTGACCTTGTTCCCTTCTTCTTTTCTACCTCGTCAAGCCCCTCCCGGTGCCGCCATCAGCCTTGCCCGCACAAGCCGTTACGCATGGGAAACGTNNGCCCCCTCGAGTCATGATGAAACAACCTTATCCACCGAGGCTTTTCTCTCTTTCCTACACCACACAGCGGCGCCGTATCAGAGCCAGGGTGCGGCCTTTACTGTCCGAGATCGCCGAGTTTCAACTTGGACAACAAGCCCGAAGGCGTGGTGGTTGGAAGAAAGCACCAAAGGTAGATGCCGGACGCATCGCGTGGACGAACGTGTTTTCAGGGATCGACGTTGGACGTTGCGAAAAGAAAATCGGCGCTCGGCCCTCTCTCTGCCACATTTTGGCTCTTGCTCAGTAGAACTGTTTGTTGCCATAATCACACGCAACAAGCACCTACTCGTGACCGACAGCGGATGTGTCGTATTTGGACTGGCGGTGGACATGAGTATCCACGGCTAAGTCACTGGGCATCTCTCGGTCTGGTCCGGCGACCCGTGGTAGGCCAGCTGTCCGTCGGGCAGCACCAAGCATCCAAAACATGGAACCTGCGTTTTTGATCCCAGACCGTCTTGTGCGAAGCTTTTCGGCTTTGCCCTCTCTGGCAGACGTGTGGTGCTTGCTCGCGCTTCTGGTGCACTGCGACGCTGACGCCCATCTCTGAGGCGTGCCTGGAGTTGTGCACACACCACACCCGTCCCCTGCTCATTTCAGTGCGTGGTGCACCGTAACAAGACAGGTCCTTCTGCTTTCCTTCACATGTTGTGATGACGAAGGTGCCCGCAATTGCAGCGATTGGCACATTTGGGAGGGGCTCCCTGTTCTGTTTATATCAGCTAAGCACCTTCCTCCACTGCCGTAAAAACACTTTTTTTCTTCCAACAAGCCATTGATCCACAATCTGAATCCCCACTGCCTCGACCCCCCTTTGCAGCACAAATAGTGGCGGTATGTCATCGGTTATGATTGCTCGGCTTTGTTCAGAACCCTCTCTCAATCCTGCATTCCGACTGCCCGACACTTCTTCCTCTCAACCTGGTGATTCAGTTAAGCCGACCAAANAATACTCGCCCACATCGACTCCCATCATGTACACTGCTCGTAGTCCGCTGGAGGACTCTTTCAATATCCAGCATTCACAGCCAACCTCTCGACCAGCTCTGAATAGACGCCCCACTCTGCTTCAACAATCTGGCTTGTATGTTCATACTGATAATCGCTCCACTCACCGCCTGGGCACAAAGTTGATCTTATCATATCAGGNNTACACACCTGCTTCGCCAGAAGCTTCACGAGCAACCAGGTCATACTTTTCCTCTGGCCTGCAGAATGACCGCTCATGGCCCTCATCACCATGGCCGACAACCAACCCAAGAGATTCGGGATCCTCGGTGAGCTCTTCAAGGATGTCTTCGGGCGGGGCATTGGCAGTTGGCTCTCAAAGATCACCAAACCTACCCGTTTTTCCTCCATCGCCGGATTACTACAACTCATCCATCTCATCAAACCTTTACACGACAGCACCACCCCCAGGATTCAATACAGTAGATTTAACCAGCACCCAACAGCTGCAACAACTTCAGCAACTTCAGCAACAGCAGATCCAGCAGCAGCAAATGCAGCAGCAGCAACAACAACAGCAGCAGCAGCAGTCTGGAATGCTTCACCCTAACTATAATTCAACCGCCATGGGCAATGACGGAGGTGCCATGCTACCTGGTAGCTCGCACCGCCGCTCATCAGGCCGTGACGAGTTCGACGGACCCCATCAACTACTAGCCAAGCCTACCAACTCACACCTCGAGACCTCCGAATCAGAATTGATTCAGCTGCCTGTGTCTCTGTATGCCGAAGAGCAGGACTCTATACTGACGCGCGTCAACGACCGCCTCTCTCAATGCGCCTACGACTTTGTAGCCAAATACCAGTTCCCTATTCCTCTGGAGCCCGACAAGAGACCTGTCCGCGTCCCTGCCGACCGCGAGTGGACTGAATGGTGCTATTTGCTCAAGCGCCTGGCGACCAAACGCCGCGTCCCTGCCCGCGTGCTCTACAATGGACAAATCAAGCAACTAGTAACTGTGCTGGAGAACTCGCTTGAGATGAGACACGCAGCAAAGCATCAAAGCAGACCTCTCAAGGATGATCGCAACGTGCTGCAGCTCATCTCTGCAGGTCTGCAGGTCTCAAAGATGCTCAAGGATCCCGATGCCATGAGGTACCTTGACGAGCTGTACGTTGCTGCCGAGCGCCTGATTGAGAGCAGACGTGGCAACCCATCTTCTTGAGCGCGCTGCATTCCAAATGCAAACTTCCTCTGTTGTCAGAGTGGCGTCTAGCTGCAAGTCACTCTTCTGTGGAAGCGTTCGCGACCGTAGCATACGACATGTCATCAGAGGCTTGAGAAAACGCCCATAGAGCCCTACGATCGCTTTTGCAGCGGACCACACGGGATATATCCCTAGTCGCACAATTAAATCGATGTTGGGCTTTGTTCGCGTTTCAGCCTCTTGTCAGCCACCAACACCATGCCCGATATTGGATCGATAAGCTTCTTCTTCGTGATCGACACCTTCTAGGGCCGATCTCCTTGTTTCATCTTCACTGCATACGACCCGGTTTCAAACGCAAAAGGAAGACTGGTCAATTTTTGTTTCTTTTCTTTCACTTTCCCTTTCTGGACAATGGCTTGGCTTGATTGAAGGAAAGCTTAGGAGAATGAGCACGCGCGATTAGCGCGACGGTGGTAATCTGTATTTCTGATTTTGCATTTGGCTAGCATGTCAAAGTTCTGATTTGATTCGCGGTTGTTTTGTCTTTCTGGTGGGCGCTCCGGGAAGAGGCTTGTGGACAAGGTTGCATAGCATGTATGGGATGTATCTGATCTTGGGACGAGATATAAAAAGGGAAGAACATCCTGTAGAAAGAACTTCTGAGTTCAACATATACCATTGTCAGTTTTTTTGCCACAGAGAGATTAGCGAGAGAGATACGACAATTCATGCAAACATCCGAAAAATGTTCTTTTCAAGTAGCTATTGGCATTGAAGACCGAGCTCTGGTCAGTGTTCTCGTCATAAGGGTGTTCATCGAGACCAATGAAATCGACGGAGGCAATAACAAAAACGGCAGAATTGCTCGAGTTAGCGCAAGCCTCTGTGTCGACGTGACCTACTAGGACGGAACTGGCAGATCTGACTTGACCAATGTTGTCGACAAGGAGGGTCAGGGTTAGTTAGGTGTACATCTAGGTGATTCTTCTCACGGCTGGTGAGCTGAACACTATGGCTCTAGTGCAAAAGGCAAGAACATATATTAAACTAGCAAGACTTAATAACTAGCACTCCCTCTACTCACACCCTCCATCAGTATGTCGTGATCTTCAGAGGGCAGTACATATTCACTACCACTAGTCAGACTTGGACCACTCGAACCTTCCATGGGGTCGTCTTCGTCGTAGTCTTCTTCCCCATCTTCATCTTCATCCTCATCCTCATCTTCCTCCCCGTCTTCTTCGTCATATTCCTCGTCCTCCTCTTCGTCCTCTTCCTCATCTTCTTCTTCGTCCCCAGCATAGGCTCCGCTTGCGTCCGGAATGTTTATGACTCCCTTCTTGCCCTTGGCCTTCAGAGGACTTTTGTGCTCATCATCTTCATCGTCATCATCCGAAGAATCCTCGTCATTCGAGCTGGGTACCGGTAGACCTCCTATCTTCGCCTTTCCCNNGTTTTTTTCTTTTGGTGAAGATGGAACATTATCGAACAAGTCGTCGATTTGAAACTTTTCACTTGGCGACCAGTGCAGCCATGCTGGATGTAAGTCGAAATCATCACAGGTCGGCGCTGTGGCCATTTCCTTCCACTCATCCTTGTTTTCATAGAACCACTCGATAATATCTTGTGGCGTGGGTCGAGCTCCGGGGTTGGTTTGTAACATTTCCTCAAGCATGTCTCTGAGTGCGACACTGTAGTCTTGAGCTAGATCGTTGAGTGAGTGCATTTTTTCTTCATCCAAATCCCGTTCTTTGTACTTTATCTGATCTGGATACTCAAGTCTCATCAGTGTCACGATTGCCATTGCGATTTGCCAAACCTAACGTGAGTGAGGTTAGCTTTCTGATGTTACGGGTCGGTGTTGTCCATTGCTACAGGCTCGGACCCTATCACTTACGTTCGTAGCAGAGCTGAGCTCCCATGCTGTTGCAGCATACACATGCGGATCCATCTCCGGCGCAATGTAACCAGGCGTTATTGCATCACACCATTGTTCCGGATTATCAGGGTCGAGTGGAAACGTGACACGTGCAGAGCCAAAGTCGCCCNNAGCTTTATGATATAGTTAGAGAATCTGCTGTGAGATCGTGTGTATGACAAAAGTACTTACCTTGCAGACTGGATATCTTGGGAACTCATAAGGATCTGGATTTGTCAAGAAGACTGACACCTAGTCAGTGGATCGAACAAGTATCATTCATGTCTTACTTACTGTTTTCTGGTTTGATGTCTCTGCAGCGCGGGTTAGCCATAGTTACCAAATCATGCTAGGAGCCGCTACTCACTGATGGACCACAAAGTCGCCTTTGTTCTTGCGGATGGGTATGTTGTTCATGCGATGTAATGCAACTGCCATCTGCTTCAAGTAGTACCAAACGAACTGCTCAGGGATCACCGCTCCAGCCGAAACCTTGACCGACTTTGGATTGTAAGAGTCTTCTCCACCGGGAATGTCAGGATCATAATTCGGGTTAAGATGTCGGCTGTTNATACAGGTTAACGATCGGGATACCAGCTTTGTGCACTCTGTGAAAACTTACTATGTGTGTCTTTGAGCTTTCATCAACTTGTGAAGGTCTCCCCCGTCACAGTACTCCATATAGGTCCTGTTGGTCTTCCATTGGTGATTGATAGAATGGCCAAGATACTCGACGATATATCGCTCCCACCTCTGGCGCGTTGGCAAACTCAAGATTTTGTTCACTATCGACTCCCGAGGATCGATTCCAAATCTGCCACTTTCCCACCAGTTATCCTCAACCCATATTTCCAGTTTCTGAAAACTGTCTTTGACCACGATTCTCTTGGTGATCCTGTTTCGGTCATCGAGTTTGACAAAGAGCCGAGCGCAACCCTGGCCACCTTTTCCGAGTCTACCCTCGACGCCAATCCAGCCTCCATCTAGCCTTTTGACATTCTGGAACAACTCGACAATCTCGTCTTTCTCTGGAGTTGACGTCAAGACCAGAGGTATGGCGAACGAAGGCAACTTCAACACGGCCTTTCTGAGCCTTTTAGAAAGCTCGCCGAGAGCCATTCCTGGAAGTGGAAGAGCTGCTGCAAGTGTAGCGAGCGGGGCAGGTAAGGGTGAGGGTTCGGACACCATGGGCATTGCATAGGTTGGAATAGTCGGGTTGTGATATCCTGGGAATATCTTTCCGTTGTCAACATACACGAGACGATCGGGGAAATTGCCTTTCTCGTAGTCGAGTCTATCAAGTGTGATTCTGGGTAAATCGGTGTCGTGAGACTCTTCTTCCTCGGCTTCCTCAGGGTCAGGAACATCGTTCGTGTCTTCAGGTTCGTCGGATTCGAGCGGCACATCGTACATCTCTTCGTCGTCGTCATGTCTGTCCTCGATGCGGGGTTTTTTGGCTCCGCCTGCTGCCGATGATTCGTCTTCCAGAGGTCGTTTTTTTGCCATTGTGAGCCTTTGTTAGGTTGGATTGATGGTAAGTATGGAATAAAAAGTGTTTACCCTGGTAAGACCAAATTTACTCGATACTCAACCATTTATTCTACGTTGCTACGCGATCTTTGTTCGAGCCGGATTCGGCTGACTCTTTGGACGTCGCATTTTCTTTGATGGCTCGAATCGCAACAACCCAGCTGCTTTCGGCCATGATTGTGGATTGATGTCGACAAAGAAATGACATCCAAAGCATAGTGAATTTCTGAAAACCATTGTCGTTGGTTAGCGATGCGGCTCAAGGGTGCTTTGTGACCAGTTTTGTTGTGCTGTGACAGCAAGTGGAGTGGTAGGAAAGAACGACCATCGGTAGACGTCGAGAAAGAGCCCGATAAGCATTCCTCGGCTCGTCGGTCTATTGGATGCTGTACGCGGCCGACTGCTGATATAATATGTGTATTTCGTAGATACGACCTATCTAGGTTGTATAGGCACTATTAGCTGGCTTGATAAATAGACAATGGAGCAGAATCCAGGACTTTGATAATCCGCCCGACCATAATCAAACCTACAACTTGGCCTTTTGACCCTTCTTGGCCTCTTCATCCGCTTGTGCTTTCAAGACACGTCGTAAAATCTTTCCACTGATGCTCTTGGGGATCTGATCTACAAATCTAACACCGCCTCTCAGCTTCTTGTGATTCGCGACCTTTGCTCCAATCCAATTGACAATATCGTCCTCGAGGGCTTTGCCAGCTTCGACACCCTTGCGTGGTACGACGTATGCTCTGGGGACTTCGGTCGCAAGATCTTCTCTGTAAATCCCGATGACTGCGACATCATCGATTTTGTCGTGAGCGACGAGATAACCCTCCAGCTCTGCTGGTGGAACTTGGAAGCCNCTAAAAACCCCACATTAGATTTCTACTCACACTTAACCTTTGGTGCATCTTACCTTATACTTGATCAACTCCTTGACTCTATCAGTGATGAANAAGTTGTTGTCCTTGTCTTGGTACCCAACATCACCAGTCTTGAAGTAACCGTCGGATGTCAAGGCGTTGGCGGTACCTTCGGGGTTGTTCAAATAACCCTTGAAAATGTTCGGCCCCTTGAGCCATAGTTCACCGACCTCTCCGACTGGGACTTCCTTCTCTTCTGGCGACATGTACTTGGCGGTCATGTTGGGCAGCAAAATGCCGACACTACCTACAGTGCTCTGCCAGACATCCCATTGTTGAGTGTGGGTAGTTGGCGAGGTTTCACTTAGGCCGTAACCTTGCTTGACCTTGAGTTTCGTGCGATCGTAGACTGCGTTGACAAGCTCTTTGGTCAGAGGCGCAGCTCCCGAGTTCATCATACGTATCGTGCTCAAATCGTACTTGTCGACGATAGGGTGCTTGCTCAAAAGCAAGACTACTGGAGGAGCGACATAGCTGAATGTGATCTTCTCCTCTTGTGTGATACGACAGAAGTCTTCAATGTCGAACTTGGGCATTACCACAGTGCGACAGCCCTTGTAGAAGCTCATGTGCAAAATGACGGTCAAACCATAGATGTGGAAGAAGGGAAGGAAGGCAAGAATTCTGTCTTTGGGGGTCAAGGGAGCTTCTGCTGTGCCGACTTGGAGAGTGTTTGCAACAATGTTTCTATGGCACAGCATGACGCCTTTGGGAAGACCTGTGGTGCCGCTGGAATAGACCAAGAATGCCAGGTCCTTTTCGGGATCGACCTTAGTACGTCGGTAGCGGTTGGTACCGGCGGTGTTGCGGATCGAGGTAAAATGCTTGACTCTCATGTCGGGATCTCTCTGGTCGCCGATCAGAATTATACGGTCTTCCGGTAGGCCGACCTTTTTNGCGGCGGCCCGAGCAGTCGCGATAACGGGCCATTGTGTCACGAGAGCCTTTGCACCGGAGTCTTTCAGCTGGAAAGCCAACTCGTCTGCACTGTAGCCAGGGTTGGCAGGAGAGACGGTAGCTCCTGCCCAATGAGCACCCCACATGACAATGGGAGTGTCGATGGAATTCGGAGTGAACATGGCAATCACATCTCCCTTCTGCCAATCCCAGGCACCCTTGAGGCCTTTACCAAAGTCGATCGCGGCAGCACGTGTCTGAGCGTAGGTGTAGGAACGTTTGGTGTAGGCATCTTGGAGGACAACTNNGCATCCATGTCAGACAAGCATGATGGCGACGGCGGGTCTGAGGTGCATACCATGGTCATCCGGGTATGGCTTATCTTTTCGTTCAAACAAGAAGTCCCATAGGCCGACCTCTGGGACCTGGATACGTGGGTACGGGGACTCGGTAGGCATGTTGGTGTGATATAGCGGCACAAAGAGGATGACGGAAGAAGATGAGAGCAGAAAGGGAGAAGAAGAGAGAGAGAGAAGATATGGACCGAGAGCAGAGGAATGGATAACTACATGGTGATGTGCCGAATAGCCAGCACGAACCACATGGATAAGTGGCTTGCTTTTGGGACCATCGTCACTGCCAAAGCCGTCAGCCCCGCGTACAACAACCGGGGGACATGATTTTGTGGAGAGGCTCAGAGCCTTGACCGATGGAAGTTTTGACAAGAGCCGCGGTACACCGATTTAGCACGCCGAGCGAAGCCGATGGCCGAAACGAGTAATATGCCAAGTATATCATCTTTATGCTTCGGATGCTGTCACCATCAAGAATAATTCCACGACTCCAACATGGCATCATTAGTATCACCAACGCGCCACATTGCCAGGGCATTCGTGCCAACAACCCGTCTCACCCAGCGACGATGGGCGCAGGTGCACGATATCCGCTTTNTGGCGACGCACCAGAAGCCCGATCAGAGAGTCTTTGACAAGTACAAGGCCAAGCTCGAGCAAAAAGCAAAGCAGGAGGGCCACGGCGATGTCGACAAGCTCAAGTCGGCCTACAAGGACAAGATTGTCGAGCTCCGCCAGAAGGCCATCGTTCCTGGCGCAAACGCCCCTCTGGACGCCACCACTCCCACGACATCCAACACACCCAATGCTCCCTTCCAGCCCCCGCCGCCGCCCCAGCCTCAGACACAACAACCTGAGCCACCAAAGTCGTCTGTATCCGCAGAGCAAAAGGCCGGCATCAAGACGCTAGCATCCTTCATCGACGTCGCAAAGACAAAAGAACTGCCCCAGAGAGAGATTGAATACATCTGGAGGTTGCGCCACGCCAGCTCCCCCAGCTCCTTGTGCGCCGTCGTGCCCACTCCCACCTACCAGCAGATTGTCGAGACTGCCCGCAAGCATCCTCAGTTTGTCTTGCCTTTGCCCAAAGAGGGTCAAGGTGCCGAAATCCACTTCTTGCAGTGGACCTTCCCCTCGCCCACTACCTGCACTGTGCTCTTCACCGCTCTGGCCGAGTTCAAGCTCAAGGGCGAGTTCGCACAACCTCACACCACAGTCACCCACCATCTGGATCTGGCCGACGAANAGGGCCTCGTCCTGCTTGAGGGCACCGTCATTGAGGACAAGCAAATCACTGTCGAGGAGGGCAAATGGCTGTTGATGTGTCTACAAAAGTTCTACGGAAAGTCTGCCGAGCAGAGTTCTCGCAGAAAGTTGATGGAGCAGTTCAGCCAGGGAGACAGCAGCTTCAAGATTGAAGAGCTCCTGGAGGAGGCTGAGAAGATTTAGATTGTTTCGACAAGTCAGATCAAATGTACAATATATCTGTAACAACATCAACCTCAACACACTTGCACTTTGTCGCCTGCAGATGGTCCCTTTCAAGCACGCCATCAAGGTCCGTCATTCTCAATGCGGGGTACAAGAACCCGACAGAGAAACATTGCTCTGCCATCCTGCAAGCACCTAAACATCGCCCAAAGAGTTCTGCGTCTAGCCACGACATCTCAGCATGAGACCTGCATTGATAGCTGCTGTGTGCGTCGCCACCATTGGTGTTACAGGTCAACAACAATTTCTCGGCCAACAATCCGCACCACCAAACATAGTCTTCATCTTGACCGATGACCAAGATGTCCACCTCTCCTCTCTTGATTACATGCCACTGGTGAGAAAGCACTTGCTCGACAAGGGAACCTATTATGATAAACATTACTGCACCACTTCTGTCTGCTGCCCCTCTCGTGTGACTGCGTTTACCGGCAAAGCTGCACATAACACGAACATTACAGACGTCAACCCACCCTACGGCGGTTACCCTAAGTTTGTCAAACAAGGCTTCAACTCAGCATACCTACCTGTTTGGCTACAAGAGGCTGGATACAACGTCTACTACACTGGCAAGTTGTTCAATGCACACAGTGTGGACAATTATGATGCGCCATACCCAGCTGGTTTTACAAGCCATGTAAGACTATCCATCTCAAGCAAGTGAACAAACCCTTTTACATCTCCAGNNGATTTTCTGCTTGATCCTTTCACATACAACTACATGAATAGCTCTTTCCAACGTAACCAAGACCCACCTCAGAGCCATGAAGGCGAATATGTTACAGACGTGCTAGCTCAGAAGGCATACGGACTCCTCGATGAAGCTGTGATTGCGGAAAAGCCGTTCTTCCTCATCATCGCACCGAGTGCTCCACATGCCGATATTCAGAACAACAGCGGTTCACTCACCTTTGGCGCCCCTGTTTCGGCACCCAGACATGCAAATCTATTCAAAGACGTCCAAGTGCCCAGAACAGTAAATTTCAACCCAAAGCAACCCTCAGGCGCAAATTGGATCCGCTCGCTCGAAAGACAAAACGCCACGAATGTAGACTGGAACGACCATTTCTATCGTCAGCGCCTGCGTGCTCTACAAGCCGTCGACGAAATGGTCGATAATTTGTTCTCACGCCTAGAGTCGCACGATCTACTCCAGAACACATATGTCATTTACAGCAGTGACAACGGCTTTCACATTGGGAATCATCGTATGCAGCCTGGAAAGTCTACAGGTTGCGAGGAGGACATCAACGTCCCTCTGATCATTCGCGGTCCAAATGTCGCTCACAACCAAACTACGCAACTCGTAACCAGCCATACAGACATTGCAGCCACGGTCTTTTCCCTTCTGGATATACCCTTGCGCGAGGACTTTGATGGTACGCCCATTCCTGTGACCAAAAGCGCCATTGAAGCGGAAGAAATGAGAAGACGCGAGCACGTCCAGGTCGAATATTGGGGGTTTGCAGGTGGAGAAGGGATCTACGATCGCAGGCTACACCAAAACAACACTTTCAAAGGCATCAGAATCGTGGCAGAGGAATATAACCTGTACTATCAGATTTGGTGTACCAACGAACACGAGCTCTATGATATGAGTAACGATCCAGGACAGATGGCAAATCTGCTAGAAGACGGTGCAACAGCGGACGCAGTGTTTGGGTATCCGATTCGAAAAGTGGTGCAGAGACTGGATGCACTACTAATGGTGCAGAAGTCTTGCAAGGGGCAANCTTGCAGAGAACCTTGGGGATCTCTGCATCCGAATGGTTCTGTGCAAAGTCTGAGAGATGCAATGGCCGAGCGATATGATGGTTTCTACGAAAGCCAGATCAAGGTGCAGTGGAACTATTGTCACAATGGCTATGTGCCCGAGGCCGAAGGGCCAATGTTTGAAGATGAAGGATCAGTGTTCGATTACCAAGAATTCATGTGGCCCGACTGGGTGTAAGCATGAATCGCACATGATGAGGTATTACTGTATCGCTCTTGCCATTTCTGAGTACAGCTGAGTCTTGTGCTGACTGATCATCCTGAAGGATCATAAGCTTTTGAACACGGATCGCATTACCCCACCTAACAAATTAATCTAAATGACGGCAGTAGCCTCTTACCCTCGATGTCAGAACTAAGAGTGATCAAGCTCAGCAAGATTTGACGTGGACCAGGATGTTAAGCTCGCGGCATTATTTTCATATCAGCCATACTCACCGGTTATCGCAGATCAACTGCACCACGGAGAAGAAGCTGATCTTTTATTGGCTGGCGGAGGACACATCGTACCTTCCTCAACTCGTGTGAATATTAGTTCAAACCAGATATATATATGAACAGCAATGGCCTGCATTGTCATTCCGCATCTCATCCCAAACACTTGTCACAACTGAGGATCTAGCAGCATGAACGGAAAGACAGAATCCTACGCCATTTTGCGCGGTGAAGATGCCTATCCCATCAAACAATCGATCTGGTCTTCCTTTACCAAGCTGGCCAAGGAGAAACCTGACCATGTCGTCGTCATCTCGCGAACGCAACCTACCGACCTCCTGGCGTCTGTTGTCGGTACTTCGTCCAATGTTTCCACCACTGGTCTTGAATGGACATGGTCGCAAATCATACAAGGCGGGTTGACCATTGCTTCTGTTTTCAACGACCAAGGCGTCAAGCCGAACTCTGTGCTCCTCGCTTTTCTCCCTCCAGTGTGCGCGGAGTGGTCTCTGCTCTGGATGGCGGCAAACTGTTTCGGAGTTACCATAGTCACTATTGACGAACGAGCTCTTGAGCCAGCAAGAGTAGATGAATTGACTTTCTACATCCGCTCTCTCCAGCCGGGTATCGTAGTTGTCCATGAATCCAATGGTGCTGATGCAGTGAATAGAGTCTGTGAAGAAGTACAGCATTCGGTCGATTGCAAGTTAACTCTCGATGCTGGCGAGGGAGCACATGGTTGGACTGGATTAGCAAGCTCTGATGTATCTATCGATACAAGAGGCTTCACTCCCAACACTCAAGACAGAGATCTCAACCGCACAGCTGCCATCTTGTTCACTTCGGGAACTTCAACTGGCCAACCCAAAGGCTGTCCTCTGACAGAAAGTAACCTTCTTCACGGCTGGTCTGTTCAAAACCCTGCCGTTGCTACAAACACGGACATGCCCTTGAAATCCATCATGATGTTTTCAAACTCCCGAGCCATAAACCTTGCTTTGAGTAGCTTGTGCTGGCTTGAAAGTGGGACGCTCGTGTATCTTGCGACAGGCTTTACACCCGAAGGAATGCTAGCAACCATCGAACAAGAAGACATTACTTCCGTCATATTCATTCCACCGATGCTGGGTGCAGTGGTGAAACATCCATCATTCTCGAGCGAGAAGATTAAGAGCTTGGCAAGAATCATTGTTGGTGGAGACATAGCATCAACAAACATCCAAGACTTGGTCACCAAGTACTTCCCAAACACGCAATTGGNNTACGTAAGGCAAGGGTACAGATAGCATGGGTGGACCGACATCAGATGGTCCTAATACCCATCAGGTGGCTTTTCGATTTCTGTTTATACTATTCATACGCAAGAAACATGCTAACTGTGCCTTTACATCAAGCTATCTGGATGGGCAATGACCGAAGGGCTTTGGGTGACTGGATGGCCTTCCAACCGAGTTCCAGAGCGTATTCCTGCATCTATGGGTCTACTGGCGCAAGGAACAATCCTTCCCGGCAATGTTCTCAAGATTGTCAACAATGAGGGAGGCATTGTAAAGAGAAGGGAGCCTGGAGATATTCACGTTCAAAGTGCATGCATCATTCATGCATATTTAGATGACGTAGCGCCTGATACTTTCTATGAGGATCAAGATGGAAGATGGTTCAAGACTGGCGATGTCGGTTTCGTCGATGAAGATGGTCTGTTTTACGTCATGGGAAGAAAGAAAGATATCCTCAAGCGCCTCGGTATCCCAATCCCACCCATCTTGTTAGAAAACGTGCTTTCTCAGTTTGGAGGAGTCCAGGTAGGTCTTGTAAATCAGCGTTCTTGAGTGGTCGCTGACAGATACNAGGCATCGATTTTTGGTCTTCCTAATCCAGAGCTTGGGGAGGAAGCAGTAGCAGTTGTTCTAGACATGGCAGGCACGACACCCGAGAAGCTACAAGACCTGGCTGTGGAGCATTTGGGCCCGGATTATCCCATCAGTAAAGTGTTTACGCTACAAGAGTTGGGCATGCAAAAGTTCCCGGTCAACGTGACAGGAAAGGTCATGAAGATTGAACTGCGCAAAGCTGTGGAGGATTTGCTGTCGAAGAGAGAGTCATCTTGAGGGTCGATAGTTCAGATGCATCTGCTGTATGTAGCAATCTGCAGATGAACAAAGGTCTGAGTGAAACTGAGAGCACAAGTGGAAGCGTGATCAAAACATAACCTCGGTCCCGTCACGGAAAATCAGTGGCGGTGGAAAATTGTCTTTTGTCGTCGTTGTCGTCGTCGTCGTCGTTTGCTGTTGTTTGGCGATTTTCCAAACAAACCATCCAAGTTTTCGCGTGCGCCGCCATTGAGCGTCCAGTCCAACAAGGTAGCTCTTTGCACGACCTCTATCGCAACAATCCTCCCTCCGAGCTTTAAAGATTGCAGCGCTACCCCCTCGCCATGTCGGACACATCCGGCGATAGCTCTGTCGGAGTCAAGTGTGATGCTGTCGACACTCTCGATCAGCACAACGACCATTCGGCAGATCAAACATCTGGCAGCAGAAGCAACAGCGAGTCTGACTCGGACTCCTCAAGTGAAGAAGGCGATGGCGGGATCCTTGTCGAAGCAACACCTGTGTCCAAAAGACTTGGCTATGTTGATATCTTCGCCATGAAAACCAAGATGGACGGTATTCACGCCTGGCTGAGGGAGGTTATAAACGAATCTACCGAGGACCACGTGTACGTCCATAAGCCGACTCTTCGCTACCACAAGAGAGCTATGGATAGCATGAGGCGTTGTCTGGAGGATGCCGCTCCTATGGCCGTCAAGTATGAATTAATCAAGAGTCCAGATCCGTGCGGCTGCTATTGTTCTTCCAGGATTAGTCAGTACATGGACGCTTCGGTGAAGAAATACGTTACCACACAGCTCGACAAGACTTTCGAGAAGATGACAAAATCAGAAGGAAGTGGAAGTGCCGCCATGAAGGAATTGCTCGCTCAATCGACTTTCAAGCCTAACCTAGTCAAAGACATCGAGCAAGATGTTCTTAAGGACGACAAATTTCCTCACAAGAAACCCAACGTGCTCAATGCAGAGATTGGCGAGATTGTAAACTCTCACCTTGGAGCAGCACTGCTCAAGCACGCACAGAAACAGACAGAAGCCAAACTGCTCAAGAAGTTCAACGCCGACACAAAGAAAGCTCTAGAGGGACTGAAGGAGGAGCTGAAGGGTGCTGGATTGATGAAATGATTATGCTGCTTAGCTCCAGACCAAGATCGGGTTTGATTCCAGAGCAAATTGGAGTACGTTTGGCGTCGTTGGATTTTATGGTCTCAGCATGAAGTCCTAGCCATTCGGCCCTCGGCAAATTTGCATATGACTGCGGCCAGGGTACTGTAGATTACGCCTAGGAGAACAATAATATATTGACCAGCCATCACTCCATGCAGATTTGATCCTATCTTTTCTGGTGCAAGCTTGTGAAGAAAGGTATGAAGAACGCACGGGTAATAGAGCAAGAGAAGTCTTTGACATCACTAGCAATCCTACGAGCAAAGACGTTCGAGCGTGGCAGACAAACACGATGTAAGCGAAGAATGTTTCTTTTATTTCTTTCTTCCCAGACCCGAGCCTGCCCTGTGACTTCGTTTGCGTCACGCTCAATAAAACATGGCAAGAGGCCATACGCAGTATCAAAGCCAGGAATCAAGATCGTCTACATTGCTGAAACCATCCGTGATGAGTCGCTTCCGGAATATTTCGAGGTAGGAAAAATGTCTTAGAATGTTTCAAACCTCTCTTGTAGACGGATCGTATGATGCTTGTAGGATGGATTTCCTTCGAGGTTGACACATTGAAGACAACGCAGAATCGTTTCAACTTTCCAGTGATTGCCCAAAGCATTTCTCAGGCCGCCTTGGATGGATCAGAAGTGCAAGCTCCCGTAGGGCAATAGCCATGACTGCAAGCAAATTCGCAGAGGCCGCTGTACTGAGCAACATCCTGGCCAGCGGCAGGGAAACCAAGAGTATTGGAGGCAGCGGGGGATCGTTTTGACTTCCTCTTCGAGTGCAGGTGCAAGCGTTGCTAGGGCAGAATCCGTAGTTGCACGAAAAGCTGCAAAGTCCAGCCAAATTTCCATTCCCGCTACCACCAATACAGAAGGAGCCATTGCCGTCTGCTGCCTTTGACGGATCCGAGGTACACGCGCTTGAAGGGCAATAGCCGCGGCTACAGGTAAACTCACAGAGGCCACTGTAGATGGCAATATCCTGGCCGGCTACGGGGAACCCAAGCGTGTTTGATGCAATGGGAGCAATGACTTGGCGCCCTCTCTGTGTACAGGTACAAGGGTTCGAGGGACAGAATCCATAGTTGCAGGAGTAGTTGCAAAGGCCAGCCAGATTACCATCTCCGGTTCCGGCAATGCAGAATGAGCTGCTACCAGTAGTAGATGTGGAAGTGGGTGCGGTAGTGGAGGTTTTGAACGTATAGGAAGCTTTGCTGGAAGATGGAGTAGATACACTACCAGACCCCGATCCGAAGCCTGTAGCACTAGCGCTACCGACCCATGCGTTCCAGTTCTCGATATTGTTGGTACAACTGTCCGTGATTGATTCTCCGTTCATCTGCATGATGAGCTTGCCATTTCTGGAGATTCTGACAGACACAGCTCCACGGCCTTTGAATGGAACGCTACCATGATAGATACCAGAACCACCAGTTGGCGTGTTCTCCCAGATGCCGGTCTGTGTCGTGCTGCCGATAGTAACTGTCACATCAGCGTGAGATGTAAGTAATGCAGAGAAGAAAATCTTATCTTGTGCGAGTTGAGCTGGGGGATATTCTTGTTGGCCCTGGCTTGCCGAGTTGCCAGTAGTGCCGCCACTGGCACATGCTGTACCCAGTGATTTTCTATACCATGATACAAGCCCTTCCACTGAGATGGAGGCTTTGCCGCTCTTGTACATGTCGATGACATAAGGAAGGAAGAGTCGCCAGCCATCGTGAGGCATGTTTTGAACATAGTTGTAAGGCGCATTGCCATTGCCAGAGTCGAACAGACCCCATTGCCTATCGTCCAAAGGAGCAATGTAGTGCGACTCACCCCAATCGTTCCAAGTCAGAATCTCGACAAAATCTGGCTGGACAGTCATGACCTGGTTCCAGCGATCAAACCAGAGATCATCACCACGCCATAACCAGTTCTTGCCATAACCCGGTAGGTTGGTAAAGAACCAGGGAGAGACAGGCATCATATAGGGCTTGCCATTCAGAGCGCTTTTGTAAGAATTGTCCGGCGTCGTGGTCATGTCATTCGGGCCTGAAGGCCATGCTTCCCAGCTGAACAAGCCATCCGCAACACCACGACTGATGGCAGCANNGGCGCCCAGCGACGACCAATCAGGAATGAAGAAGCACCCAGTCTGAGACTTGATCGTGGTCCAATCACCAGAGCTCCCAGGACCTTCGAAAGTAGACACGAATGGCTGGCCGTTATACTTGTAGTATGCGCTGTTGGATCGGTACTGGTTGATCAGATTGATCACATCCTGTTGGGCAAAGGCGCCTTGTGCAGCATAGTCGAAGGAGAAGAAGAGTTTGAAGCTAAGAGAATCGGCTGCTGAGAATGCATTGGCGATCTGGCTAGCATAGCCGCCGTTGTTTGCGATATTCAGAGCGAAGCCATCAATGTGGGAGTCCTGGGCCAGACGAATATCTCTTTGCCAGTCTGATATAGCCCAAGAGTTGACGTTCCCCACNCTAAAGGCGTATCAGTATTGAGAGTGGTGATGCCATCAGAGAAACCGTACCATGAAATGAGCGAAGACTGCTTTTGCTTGCACATGGCATGCAGCCATGAGAGCAACCAACACGGGAAGAAGCAACATAGAGCCTGAAGTTACGCCCGGCGTTGAGCTGCAGTACTGTACGAGATGCAGAGACTGGAGAGAAGAGCGCGGCTTTATGTAAATGCCATACTCGCGAAGGATTCGAAACAGGGCCAGTTGATCGCCATGGCTCGACGCTTGGATAATATATATTGCGAAGCATGACCGTTGCTCTTCGTGACCACCGTTGACCTACTGCCTAACTCTACGCCTACGGGCCGTCCGCCCTGGAAGATTGATCAGGAACCATGATGGTGAGGTTGAACCAGACACATGTATCGACAGAAGGATTGGTCAATATGGCTTAGCAGAAGCCAATATAGAATTTGGCATGCCTAGGATTCGTCCAATCATCGTCAAATCACAAATGCGATGAGTTGCCTTGTTTGCGCGCGCGTGGCAGCATTGTAATTTTTCATGAAGAAGAAGTTCTCGTCAATCATCATAGACGGCATGAATCAGATCACGAACCGACAAGGACATATTGAAGATTTGACAGAACGGATAGACCTCAGTGCACAAGAAGGAAAATTTGGGCGTGCCGCTGCGTTGGCGAGCCCCAACACAGAAACATTGTTGCCCCTGAGTGATGCATCAACTATTGATCTCGACAATTAGGAGTATAGAATTTCAGCGAACAGCTCTACTGATACGTACGGCCACAGTCAGCTGAAAACTGGGCATCCCGTCCGCTCTGCCATACATAAGCAGTTGAACGGCAGATTAGTACTACGGTGGGTGACCACGTGGGAATCCCTGCTGCTGTACGTTTTGCTTCTAGTCTTAAGCCATTCGGTTTGAACTTACACATCAGTGAGGCAAGCTCAGCTCTTTGCTGTCTCAGTGTTTTGTCAACCCGAGAAGGTCTGTTTGGGCAAGAGTCTGTAGGCTCGCTCAGTATCTATGATCTTGAAATCTTGCTGATTACACATGCATGAAGTTAAGCTACAGATTTTCGGAAAGACAAGCTCATTCGAATCGTTTCGTATTCAGTCCTATAGGTTTGACACAACCTAATCAAGCTACAACTCAAGTCAAGTCGCTGCCTCTTCTAGGAAGAATGTCTTCATAGCCCTGGGCTCGATCTGAGCCCTGAATCTGCCACCTTCAAAAGTGAACTGCTCGGCCTGGGTGACGTTGTGTTCGTTGTCAGTCAAGTAAGCAGTCGCCATGGACACATTTGTGGCGGACAACTGCACGTCCAACGTGTATGTGTAATGCGCAGCGTTGATGACAGGAATGGCAATGGTGCCGTTTTTGTTCTCCCACGCAGTGACATAAACTTCTTCAACACTGCTGTCGGTGAACAAGCGCACAGCGCCAGGACGTGCGAAGCGGAAGTAACCAGCAAAGGCCCACAGGCGAGCAGAGACTTCATACGATGTGCCGTTCACCTGGACAAGGGCGGCATCTGTAGGACCTGTCCAACTGCACCACCAATGATTCCAACCAGCGACGTTGTTGCGGAATGCATTGTGCATGTAGATAGCCCACTGGAAACCCTCGAAGTTGTTTCCTGTGACATCCCAGGTCCTAGTCCAGGTGTTGCCGCCATCACTCCATTCAGTCTCGATGGTAGGTTGTCCGGCAAGGAGGTCGTCAAAAGGTCTCTTGATATCAGACTGGTAGTTGTGATAAGTGTTGACATCAAAGAGAGTCTTTCCACCAACGCGATCAAGTTCGTATAGAAGGTCGCGCTGTTGGCGAGCACCGGTTGAGTCACAGCAGGACACAGCCAGGCTGGGGAAAGCCTTCTTGACCATCGGGTAAAAGACGCTTAGGAAGTCGTAGGCTTGGTAGCCGTCAGACAACATCGCAGAGTAGGTGACAGGGTTGAAATCAGGTTCGTTGTATGCGCCTAGCAGAGAAACCTTGATACCGCGCTGCTGATAGAGTTTGACGTACTCGATCAGATAGTTGGCATAAGCCTCACGCCAGTCATAGGTGCAGTTCGAGCGTCTGACACCACAGATGAAACCACCGCCAGCTTCACGGCCAGTGGTCTTGAAGCAGCCTGGAGCTGACCAAGCATCTGCGTACAAGTACAGGTCCGGATTGTACTTGAGCGCATTTTGAGCCAAGGTCAACTGACAGCTGTCGTTGTTGGAGGGGAAGGTGTAGTTGAACGGACCGGCAGGGGTAGCAGGGCAGGTAGGAAGTATGGTCGCGCCAGGAGAAGATCCAATAAGGTTGCGGAGTATAGATAGAGCGCCAACGTTTTCGTCGAACAACGTTCTGACTACCGCGTCCTGGTCGGCTGCAGAGAGGGTGTTGGTAGTGCAAGCCGCTCCAAACGCACCTGAGCATCCACCACCAATCATGGTCTGATAGCGCTGCTCAGCGTTGACTCTGATAGTGGCATCGAAGGACAGGGAAGCATTCGAGTAGGTAGGACTGTGGTAAGGACCCCAATATTTGGCTGACACTGTGCTCGCAAGAGCGGTCAACATAAGAGAGTTTTTCATTCTGATCTCGTTTGCCAGTTTGAAAAACGAATGAGGAAGCAAAATAGCTTGTGGAGGAGGTCACCTCGAGCTCTTATACCATTGCGGATGTTATGGCAAAATTGCATTCGACAATCTTCGCCGCTCTAAGAGTATGTTGCCCCGCCTCGATCCACACGGAACCATGATGTATTTCAATAAGGTGCATACATTGTTAGCCGTATCCCGTAGAACGGGCATACAATTGAACGAGTCATGGCTAGCCGCATGAGAGAAGTGCAGAAAGCGAGGTCGGAAAACTGCATACCAACCACTTCTTGTCTAGCGTTCTGCTAGTCGTTCCTGTGGACCTGGATATCCCCGCATGGTAGCAAGATGTACTCGTGAATATGGAGTGAAGTACTTCTGGCTAAATGTGCTGTGCCCAATCTGAAAACAATCCTTGTCGATCATGGCGGGGAAGACGAGCCATCTCTACCATCTCACGACACGGCTAAAACAAGCATTAACCCCAGAGCTGCTAACTCGCAGTGCGGAGCCGTCCGGCAGGTGTTTTAATCAGGAACGGTGACGGAAAAAAGCTTGTATGCAAGCCTCCATGGTTTTCTGATCGATCAAGTATTGCACCAGCGGAACGAACACTCTAGTGAATCCTTGGGACTTTCGTATCGAGTCTTGAACTTGCAAGCTCCAATGCAGCATGCTTGATGTCGTAAGTCCTCCATACTGTCATAGCATGCTCGTCGTTCCGTTGTTAGTGCAATGGTAGTGTATCCACCAAAGGCTTATTGCTGCCCGAGTCGAGACAAGTACCTTGACCTCCAGCAGGTGTACAGACCTGCAAAGCGAACACAGGCTTCAACTTGTCAGAAACGTCAGATCCAGTGAATTCGATACTAGTGACGCCATGGCCATTGTCTTGTTGTATGGTGAACGCAGGATCGGAAGGCCAGATACTGACTGCGTCTTAGCCGATGTGATCCTTGAAGTAATGGGAAGAAGGACGTCTGAATCAGGCAGCCAGATTATCAAGACTCAACCTGGGTTGGGCACCTACCGTGTCAAGACGTCGCTTCTTCTGACGTAGCATTTAGTGTTAAGAATTTGATGGGGAGATGACCCAAGGGAGATGTTTAAACGAGTCCACAAAACGTGGAGAAGCTGTTTGACCAAGTCTGATCAAACCGAGCTGAACTGAGCTGGCAAGTTTAACCGCTACCCACCCCAGCCACCCGATGCACCAGCCAGGTCGGCGACTCTTCTTCCGACGATTCTTGTTTGGTCATCTCTGGTAGCATACTTCGTCACTCATCAAAGTACAGCAGTGCGTTCGCAATCACAGAGATCCAAAGACCAGGATTTCAAGAGCTCCTTCCGCTTTTGTGTTTCGTTTTGGCCAGCCTAGCCCAATTCAGCTAGAGGATCCTCTTCTTGCGAGATATACGAGAACCTCTCATACATTTTCTCGTTCTTGGAACTTTGACAGAGGCACCTCACTGATGCTCTCGATATCACACTAACCTCAAAAGTTGAAGATGTGCCCCGCGTGCGCTTTGATATTGCGCCTTGTGTACGGGTCATTCTGTCCGGCTGACTGTGCAGTAGTCTCGTCCTCTTCCTTGACCAAGTCAAGAAAGCTCACTGCAGGCACTTTCCTGACCCATCTCGGACACGCTTGTCTTGGGATAACAGCATCATCACGGGTCACTCCGAGATCGTGTTTCTCATTGAATGTGTCGACAAGACACTCGATGGTCGCAGCCAAAAGAGCACGTCGCTCGGGATTGTCCTCATCTGGATCGGCTATATCTTTCAGCCTCCAATTCGTTCTGGCCAAGAAGTAGTCGGTCTCGGTCACGAGCTGGTCTTCTTCGTCTGAGCAGATGAATTCGCACATTCGATACACCGAGTGAAGCGGCTTGTCATGATCACGGAACCTTCGTATGTATCGAAGTGCGTGGATGCCATCGTACCGCTTCCATACGAGTTCTTCGTCATTGCGCAAGGCTCTCGGAGTGGGTAGAGGCTTCGGTAAGGTCAAAGCCTCTGGACAGAACACCAGCTTTCGGACGACTGTCGTGGGATGGACGGCAGAGCCCCTGAACAGCCAGAGCAATTTCCAGTATCTGGCCGGCATGTTTGCTGAGAGCCAAGACGTGATGGGGCTTATTCGAGGGTATTCATCGATCATTCCAGGTTGAGATACGGACATGATGGAGAGATTGATAATTATCAGGTGAAAGATCGTAGAAGTGGTAATTGTGAGTTTTGGTATCCTCTGCTCATTTTTACGGTAGTTCTAGGTGTTTGCTACAGCACCGGGAAGACTTGTTACACATGACGTTTCGGAGAGGTATCAACCATCACTCTACCGGTGGCACTGCCAAACATACTGCGTTATCTACGCAGCACAAGTTTAGATACTCCTATGGTGGAGTTCATTCCATCCTGGGTGACACCGAGGTTGATTCGTGCAGAGTCTGATTCAAAACTACTCACTGGGCCTTGCATTTTCCCCCTGTCGACTCCGCCAGATGCTCCCGCGACTCTCGCCCATACAATGCTTTCATTGCGGCGTTGGTTCGTGGTAGTCGATGCACTTCAGTGGTCACAGCCAAGCCTGCCTCCTAAAATTGTAAAGTCTCCATCGCCGCTGATGAGCGATATAGACATTTACTCGTCCTCTTTCGGAGGCCACAGGTTGTGTGGTATCGACTCGCCAGTAAGCCACTGATAGTGGAACCCACGCCGCGTATACACCCAGGTCGAACCAGGGAATGGATCCCGGCCGATTCGTTGACGCACACGTCTATTCAGCTCTGCCACCATGTAAGGTCGAACAGGCGTCTCGAGGTCAGTGTGGTCGTACCGCCTCAAAAGACTGGGACTCATTTGAACGCCCTCTCTGTTGTAAAGAAGGGTTGCGATTGACACGCAATCCAGCCAATCTTGAGGCTTTTGGAGTCGGTTTGGCCTCTAGAGTCTTTTCAATTTGCGGGCGAGCACCCATTCCCACTTGACAGCATAGATCTTCAGATCAAGGTTTTGGTAGATTGGACGCATCTGTCGCTTCGATTCGACGAACAGGATTTCAGGGTCGTTAAGAAGTGTCAAATAGAATTTGACCTCGTCGTTGGCCCAGTCGGAGCTGTAATTCAAGACGTTGGCGACTCTGTCAACTAGGAACAAGAGTTCCCGTCTGACGGCTTCATAGTGTCTTCCGTAAGTCCGTTCGTTGAGGAAGAAATCGAGATCGTGCGTTGAGGTGCGGTTTCTAAGATACATGGTCGAAACAAAACCACCGCAAGAAATGAGTTCTATCGGCCGGTAGGGTGCAAGGATGGGCGAGTTTTCGATCTGTCTACTCAGATATCGAAGACCTTATCAAAGTCAGTTCCATGACAGACGTCAGAATCCATTTCCAACAGGCTTACCGATCATGAACGCATTCAAGTCGAAAGTGTTTCGCCGTAAGTCTCGTCGAGGCATGTTGTGGATCTTCAGTAGTATCGAGATTGATAGTGGACTAGGTGCACATCCATAGCAATAGTCTGTCTATATAGTCTTCCGAAGCAGACCCCAACACACATTCACCATTGATTGGAACACATATCCACCGATACTGAGATTCAAGATTTGCAGAGCTCGCAAGGTCGTGCAAATATCATGGACAAATGAGCCATGAGACACGTAACTACTTTGCTGTCGCAAACATACCTTTGTGTACCCATTGGCCATGCATCGATGTTCTGGTGGCTATGCTGAAGTAAGTGGCAAGATATGAGTACCAAGTCCCTGGCACAGAAGACACGTGAGTCCGCCTGCATTAATTCTAGGAACAATGACTATGGTTTGTGAAACATGAAAAACACCTTACTCGTTCCTAACATGCCCGATGCATAGCCTGGTTCCAGTGGTTGTCAAATTCTCATATTCGTCATGGCTGCGGCGGCGTCCATTCTTTTCGAGGCATGACCATGCACAAGCTGGACGTCCTGGGAGTGAAGATGCCCGTGACATTCCAATAAAAACTACCCAAGCTTCTTGATACACACTTTGGTCCTTACATAAGACTGGTCTGTACATTCATCTGACGCTGCCTCTTCAACTGCGGTGTGACAAAGTTGGGATTCTTCGACATTTTCTCTTCGTCATCATCATCCTCGTCTCCAAGCGTTTTTGGAAGATCCCATCCGATTAACCCGTTATGTTGGGTGATCTTCAACATCTGCCCTCTATCCTCCAAGTTCATGTTGCATATGCTTTTGTGCACAGGCCAATCCACCTTCTGATGCATAGGACAGCAATAAGCTGCTGTACCACATCTACCACATCGTTGCAGGGGCTTGACGTCTTTGTAAACGTCACAAGTGGCGCAATGGCCAATGTTTGGAGCGTCGTATAGCCAGTGCGGGTTCATGGGAATGCCATCGCCGAAAGGATCCATCAGTGCATATTCGACATACAGCTGATGTTGCATCTTCTTGCCCGTGAACCAGCGTTGCTTGAGGATCAAATCTCTAACGAATTCCCTAGCCAGTTTGTCGATTTGCGCAGGGTCTGTAAGGTCATCGTCGCCGAGCATGCTCTCAGCAGGATTAGGCACCCAAGCTCCCTTCTGAGGTCCCTCGGCAGTGATGTTGAACGTCAACATGAGCTTCCACTTTTCGCCTTCAGCATCTAGTGTTCCCATGGTAATCTGGTTTTCCACGCGTCCAATTTCGATTTTCATCTCATCCTGGATGGTCAGGGTCCATGTGAAGGAGAACCAGGCGTCGATGTCGATGAACGCGTTGAATGCATCAGGATTCCACCTGAAGAGTACAGTCGTGATGCCAACAGCAGTGGTCAGGTTGCTTGTGTCGGTGTGCTCAGTGAATTTTCCGTCCATGTCGTTGACCATCTTGATGGGTGCTCTGTCCAGCTGGACACGCGCATTTGGGAAGCCTGGCACCCTGACATCGTTCAGAGCAATGAATTTTGTGCCCATTGTTGTAACTTGTGAGACAGTAGGATTTCGTAAAGAGGTGCGCGAACTGTCAGAAGGAAAAGGGAATAAAATTGTGGTTGCTGGGTATTAATTGCAGAAGCCGCAGTCGTCGGTGTGCGTCTTTTCAACAGCCGGTTTCTTTCGTCTTTTTGGTATTTTTGGTTTTTTGCTCAAACCTCCGCTCACTCTCTCAGCGAATTGATTGATTGAACAAATTATATGTGAGCGCCCTTGTCTGGTTCTCAATGAATTTTTAGAGCCTAAGATCATGATGCGCGAGTTTACGTCACTGACAGGAGACTTGTACAATGGTTCGCAGTATCTAAAGTTTCATTGGTCTTCGTATTTACAAAATAATATGGACAGTCGTTTGCACAAAAATAGGCTAGAAGCGAAGGTGAACAATGCAAGGAGAAGAAGGGCTCTACGAAAATGAATGCATAAATAGGGACGTCTTGTCAACACTTGCGCAAGAGCCCTCATGAAGAGAAGCGAAAATGTAAGAAACAAGTGCTCTAGAAGACGGAACACTGGTTCTCTGCCCGTCTAAAGGCGTCGGCGAAGAAGCTTTGCATGGCGCTGTAATGAAACAGAATGCCACCAAGTACAGCAAAATGCCAGATGTTGTGGCTGCCGCCAAAGTAGTCGAAGAAGCCAGGAGCGAAGCGCTCAGGAATTTTNGCAGCGTAGAGCATTGCACCAGTGAGGTACACAACCAAGCTTTTGGTGATGGGTGCGTAGAAGTAGATTGCCCAGCTCGCACCACGGGTGTAGATGAGTTGGATCACGGGCAAACCACCAGTAGCAGCGAGGGTCACGTAAAAGGCGACACGAGCCCATGCCAGATCGTTGCGGTTGAAGGTTGGATGCCAGGGAAGGATGACACCACCAACACCCAGGGCGGCCGTGAGCGACATGTAAGTCCAGCGACTGATAGGTTCGCAATAGAAAGCTGTGTACTCTGTAGTCATGATGGACGCAGCTACTAAGAGTGAAATACCAGTGTAGTCAATACAAGCAAATCTCTCCATAAGAGTTTGATTGGAGATGGAGTTCATGGTGTGCCAAACAGTGCTGCAAACCAGGCACTTTGATGCAGCGAAGAAGAAAACGGCGGCGATGAAGATGTCCGACTTTGTCGACATGGAGAAATGGACTGAGGTGGGGTAAAAGTAGAATGCGATGGAGAGAACGACTAGGAGACCTAGGAAGTGAGAATAGATGTTGACCGTCTCGTTGGAGAAGGACAGGCAGGAGCGCAAACAGTCGACCTTGGTCTCGCAGAAGCGGTAGCCACGAGTGATATGCGGGTTGATCCTCCATGGATCGGGTAGGTCCTGATAGCTAATGAGGCCTTGCTCCTTTGCGCGTTTGACGGCCTCGTCGATTTTGGCCTTGACTGCATCTTTGACGGCCTCCTTTGCACGACGGGCTTTGTCGAAACCTTCGTCGACCAGCTCGGTAGCAATGTGCATGCCCTCGTCCATCTTCCTCCTTCCAGAGTCCATGAGGTCCGAGGCAACTGCTCCTAGTCCAGCGTCACGCATAGCATAAGCGCGAGTCTCGAAATCAACCAGGATCTTCTCCATCAAACGGACACCCTCACGGACCTTGTGTTCCAGCGTCTCTTTCTTTGCCAAAGCGCCTCTGTAGCGCTCTTCTAGAAGGTCAACCATGATTTTTGCGCGCCGTCTGCCAGCATCGATAACTTCGTCGGACACATAGCTGCAGGATTCGTGAACAGCATGGAGGGTGCTGTATGCGCGATCAATGCCAGAGTCGAATTTGAGATGGCCGTATGAGTCGAGGAATTCCAGACGGCGACCCAGTTCTTTGAGGAAACGGTCGACCAGTAATTGAATGTCATCGGTATCTGCGGACCATGATTGAGGCTCGTAGGAAGAGTGGCGGCGCTTCTTAAGGCCATCTCTAACGTGAAGGCGAGCACTCGATGTTGAGCCAAGAGCAGGCTCTTCGTAAGAGTCGGTCATGGTAGTGGTGCAAGTGGCCGTAGCCATTGTTGAATGGGAAGTAGCAGTTCAGAGGAACGGGCAGAGGTTGTTGTTGGGGGGAAGTACAAAGGGAGACAGAAGAGATTGTGGATGGTGATCTTGACCTTTGGAAGCGATTCAGGCGCAATCAGACTTTCGCCGGGGCAACCGAGTTCGGGGGAAGAAATGAAATGTCAAGCGTGGCAAACGGGAGCAGGTGGGGAAGGGTTGAGATGGAGGACGAGGATCAGATGCATGGGAAGGGGAAGCGAGAGAGGGACAGGTTCTAGTAGGTCATAGTCGCGCGTGCGGGAAAAAAGAGGCACGGCATGACAGCCAAAGTACAGGTCCACGTAGGTGGAAAGCCAGACGTGAGTGAGGTAACCATAAAATGGCTGGGTGACGACCGCCTTGGCTTTGTCCCCCCTGCCCAAACTGGTCCTGCTATTGCTAATCAACACTCGGCATCTTCGTACCGAGCGGATTGCATGCTTGCCTCAGGCTTCGTCATGCCAGCATCGCTCCTGCTCAAGGAATCCAATTTGACCGCTTGAGTCATTGCCTTCCTTGTAGTGCTGTAATCAAGGCAGTCTTCTTTCATTACGCAAACAAGTCCTTGTGATGATGCCTCTAGAGAGTGCGCCAATTGAGTTTGATGAAATAGTCCCTTGGCTCGGCCGCTTGGTATCGATTCAGCACAGGGCCCCAAGATCGATCATTCACATGTTGAGCGCGAACCATCTCCGATTGCTAGCAGCGACCCTGTCCTGCTTCATGTGAACATCCGTCCATCAACCTGACTCTCCGCATTCGCAAATCACTTTCTACAATCCACAACACGCGCATTCATCGTCCAACATGGCCGACCAATCACCCATGGATGCCGGCGCATTCGTCACTGACGCCTTCCTCCAGTCTACCTTGCACGCTGCCGCCGAGGCTCGCCAACAGTGCCTGCACATGCTCGACTTCATCGACCAGAATCGCGCCGCTCAGCCTGACCAAGATGCTGAGATGAACCTCAGTCGCCAGCAGAAACTTCTTCATGCCAACCTGGCCAAGCTGCGCGGTCTCAACCGTCGTGCCGTTCTCGACACGCGCAACTTCAAACAGCAAACCCAAGAAGCAAAGTCCGAAATTGATTCTCTGCACCTTCACCTGCAGAACCTGTACTACGAACAACGCCATCTCATCGGTGACATTGCCGCTTGCCAGGGCTACAAGTGCGTTGCCGTCTCACTCCATTACCCCTAGCACTTTCTAACATCATCACNNAGTCACAAGTACCAAACTCTACCCTTGATTTCTGTCGACGAAATACTTGCTGCCAACCCTGAACTTGCCGGCGCAGATGAACACGACCTCATGGTCGCTCGCATCAACCACGAACATGCCGAGCGTCAAACTCTGGAAGAGCAACGCCAAGGACTACTCAAGAAGAAGCAGAGTCTGATTGCCGACAACAACAAGAAGAAAGACGAACTGGCTGCACTGGACAAGGAGATTGAAAAGTTCATTGGCTCTGCTGCTTCGGTCCAGCAAAAATTCGACCAACACGATCAACAAAACCAAAAGGCTGCCGCTTCAGCTTGAACCCATGACTATCATTTCATTTCATTCGTCTAGATTATTAAGATACCCCACACAGTTTCATCATGCCAGGTGCTTGTTAAAGAAATCGATTCCCTGCTTGCACGACTCATCCATGGCCTTCTTGTCCTTCTCCGAGTTCCAGTCACCGCGCAGAGCAAAGCCGTGGACCTGGTCTTCGTAGACACGCACCTCGGTGTCGATGCCCTCGCTCTTCTTCTTAGCCATAAGTTCCTTAATCTGGTCAACCTCCTTGTTTCCGAGCAAGCTGTCAGAATCGCCAAGTGCAAAGGATGCAGGAACGGCAAGGCCTTCGAAGTCGGCAGGAATGGCAACCAGCGAAGGGTGACAAGCGCAGATGGCGTCGACACCCATACCCTCGGCGCCGCTGAAGTCCTTGTCGCCGGCCAGGACCGCATATCTGCCACCCCAGCAGAAGCCGATTGCGCCAACCTTGTTGGTGCCAGGGATCATGCGGACCTGCTTGATGAAGTTCTCGATCAGGGGGNNACGAGCGACGCTCTCGCGGTGCTTGAGCAGCCAAGGGCCCAGTGTTGCGCCTGTCTTTGCGGTCGCAGTTGCCTTTTCGGTAATGGAGCGAGAGTCGCGCTCGGTCTTTTGGGGTTCAACGGTCTGGAGGAACTCAATGTCCAGCGAGTCACCCTCGTGAACATCGGGGATGTAGGCAGTGAACCCATTGGCAGCGTACTGATCGGCGAGCAGGCGAGTGTTCTTGAACTCCCATCCAAAGACNTTTGTTCGCATCAGCATTTGAGGCAGCAGATTGGAGGGGCCGGATGACTTACTGTCAACGAGGAAGATGATGGTCTTGGCCTTTGAGCCGTCCTTGGGCTCGGCAACATAGGTCTGAAGACCTGCAATGGTTTCGACGTGGCCCTTGGGAGTTCCCTCCTGGACCTTGCCGGTCAAGCAGCACGACGACATTCCAACTCCGGTAGACATTTTGACTGTATGTGTTTGCTTGGATTCGATGGATTGATGTGGGTGTGGAAAGACAGAAGTGATGTTGTGATACAGGAAAGACGAAGAGCTACTAGCTTCTATCGAGTGTATATGACATCCGGGCGGCCCGCCAACCACTGGTACACGTACTCGTGGAGCTCTCAAACTGAAGTTGATGCGGGGCTTTGGTGACATCATGGTCAATGACAAATTCCCATTTGGGTCGAGCATCGAAGTTTAGCACAAAGTAATGGAAGTGTTCGGGATGCATGCCAGCATGGCTATCTCCTCGGGCTTCAAAGCCTCTGCTTGTAGACATGCGAGCGCCCAAGGTAGGTCGGTGAAGAGTAAGTGGTAGAATGCATATCAAAGTGCACAAGGAGTGAAGTTCGCCAAGACCAAGCCGAACTGCTTTCTGGACGACTCTGGGCTTCTTCGACCATCAAACATCAACATGTGAAGACCAAACTCTCGCTCGCTGCATCACGCACGCGCACAACATCTATCATCCTGCACGCAGTACGCCTACCACCACTATGTCGCTCTCCTTCGACCTCAACACAAAGGCCAAGGCGCCCGCCTCGCCGCCGAAGCCAAAGAGACGTCCCGTCGCTATGGATGTGCTAGACGACGATTCTGACGACGACGCTCCGGCTGCAGCTGCTCCCAAGTCCAATGTCTTCGAGGAAGAACTCACCGAATTCGACGCCTCAAAGCCATCGCGACCTTCTGCTCCGGCACCAGCGCCAAAGAAGAAGCCTCTGAACAAACTGAAACCTGGCTCCATTCCTACCAAACCTCCGACAAGGAAACCTCAAGGTGTAGACCCCAATGAGTACAGCGATCTTTCGGCTCAGCGCGAGAGCGCAGCCTACGCTGCCGAAGCCACAGAATTGGACCCCACAATCTACGACTATGACTCTTTCCACTCTGCTGCAACCTCGGCCGCCTCTGCCCGCAAAGCAGCGGCTAAGCAAGAGACTGTGAACCAAGGTCCCAAATACATGAACGCTCTCCTCACAGCAGCCGCACAACGAAAACAAGACCAACAAGTCGCTCGTGAAAAGTTCTTGCAGAAAGAACGCGAGAACGAAGGCGAAGAGTTTGCAGACAAGGAGAGTTTTGTCACTGGAGCCTACAAAGCACAACAAGAAGAAAACCAGCGCCTGCGCGAGGAAGAAGAGAAGAAAGCCGCAGAGGAAGAAGAAAGAAAGAGAAAGATGGGTGGAGGCATGCAAGGCTTCTACCGCAACGTCATGGCCGATAGCGAACGCAGGCACCAAGAAGCTCTCGAAGCAGCCGCGGAATTGGAAAAGCGCAAACTCGCGGGCGACGACATTGCAGACGACCCAGACACGAAGCAAGAAAAGGATCGTGTTGCGGAACTTGCTGCAAAGGGTGTCAACATCACTCTCAACGATGAAGGTCAAGTGGCAGATAAACGCCAATTGCTCACAGCTGNNAGTCTCAACGTGCTTGCCTCTCCTGCTGCTCCAACAAAACCTTCTGCCACAATCCAAAAACAAGATGACTCGGCGCAGTGGAACAGGAAGCGCGATAGTGGTGCCAGAGAAAGGCAGACGAGAATGATGGAGCAACAACTAGAGGAAAGCAGGAAGCGAGCCTTAGAAGCCGACAAAGAGGAACAAGAGAGACTGGAAAAGGCCAGCAAGAGTAAGAAGTCAGAGTCCGACATTAGTTCGGCGAGAGAAAGGTTCTTGGCCAGAAAGAGAGAGAAGGAGGAGGCCGCGAAGAAGAAAGCTGCATAGATGTAGTAACGAGGCAAAGCTATCGACAGAAAGTGGTCACATCTCTGATATGGGTCAACTGTGTTTCTTACTCTCGCCACCCTGGACTCTTGTATCTCCCGAACTCGAATAATGGTAGGAATATCGAGGAACAGATACAAGGATTGACTCTAATGTTAACTATAAATGTTGCTCATGGTGTGACCCTGACCATATATCTCAGGAGGCTTCCAACAACTTATAACTCTACAAGGCGTCAGATTGATAGCAGACGCCAACACAAGCACGAAGACAAGCAGGAGCAGAGATAGCACCACACGTTTTGTGCTCTCGACTTAGATCGGGAATGAGATGTGGAAGTACCATAGATTGTGTGGAGTCGAAACACGAGAATACACAACATAGCATGAAACAGTTGACATAACTCGTATAGATTGGGTTGCTCACAAGATGATCTTCGAACCCTTAAGCTTAAAAACTAGAACCAAAACCCCTTTCAGACCTTCTCGATCTTGTCGGTCTGGTATTCGATATTCTTCTCGTTCATCGCAGCATCAAAACCCTCTTCGAAGCCTTCCTTGGTAAATAGTCTATCGACGTCTTCCAACGCCAAGCCACGAGTCTCTGGATAGAACATGTACNNTGTAGAAAAGCGTCAGTATTCATGTTAAAATGATGTATAGTTGCGAGATCTTACCATGATAGGTACCCATGTTGCATTGAGCACGGCAAAGATGATGTAGGTTCTCCATCCGATGTTTCTGATGGCAGGAGGAGTGATGTAGACGATCAAGAAGTTCAAAATCCAGTTGGTGGCCGTGGAGATGGATGAACCTCTTTGACGTAGTCGTAAAGGAAGGATCTCAGAGGGNTAGACCCAAACGGTGGCTTGGAAGCCGATAGTGAATGCGCCTTGGAAGATGAAGAGCATTGCTGCGGCACCGATGCCAGCACCGTCTGAATCAAAATGTTAGATCGTAGTTTTGGAGGTAGAGCGAATGAGAATATGAAACTTACGGGCAATGGCTGTCTTGTTCTGAGTCTGGTAGACAAGACCTGTTTGGACAGCCATCACTGCTGCCATCAAACTGACCATGGACAACAGAAGAGGACGACGACCGATTCTATCAATCAGGAACCAGGGGATAAAGGAGGCCAAGAAGAACCATGTGTTCAAGAACCCAGACATGAGACCAGAGAGGTGACCATCAAAGCCCAAGCTCTCTTTGAAGAGGGTGCCGGAGTAGTAGACCAGAGCATTGATACCACCCAACTGTTGGAATGCCTGAATGCTGCAAGCAATGAGGAATCTGCGTCTACTCTGGATGCTGTCGCTCTTGAGAAGGTCGCCCCAGGTGCCAGCACCGATGGACTTCTCGATGGCCACAGTACGAACAATGTCGGTGTGGATGTTTTGAATTTCTTCGTGGCTCATTCTGTTCTTATTGAGGCGGGTCAGGACTTCAAGAGCTTCTTCGTTACGATCTCTGGCAGCGAGCCAACGGGGAGTCTCCGGAATGATCCAGATGATGAAGATCATGGGAATCAGGAAAACGCATTGGAGAATCGTAGGCACACGCCAGACGAAGCTAGAGCCTCTACCACTGTCCGAAGTTGAGAAAGCATAGTCGATCCAATAGACCATCATGATACCTNNGGCAACTGTCAGTATCGTGAAGAAGTAGAATGCTTCAAGAAACTCACCAAAGTTGAGCGTTGACAACTGTGCGCAGACATATCTGCCTCGAGTTGCCTTGGGTGAGAATTCGGCCTGCATGACTGGCACTGTCGAGTTGATAAAGCCCATGCCAATACCGCTGACGATTCTTCCAACGATCATGTGGGCGACATGGTAAGCAGTACTTTGCAAGATTGCGCCTNNGCGCTTGTTAGTCTGTTGGGTTATTCGCTGACGGAGGCGAGCTAACTTACCAACAATCATGATGAGGACACCAATGAGAACCGATCTGCGTCTACCCAGCTTCTCACCAATGAAACTGGTGGTGACAGCTCCGATGAAACAACCGATCTCGTAGATTGACACAATCAAGGCAATGATATTGGTACCATAGTTTGTGTTGAGGTCAATACCAAAGGTTTCGGTGAAGGCAGCACCATTGATGAAGCCTCCCATCAAACCATTGTCGAAGCCAATAAGAAGGAATCCAAGACAGGTCAGTGTGGTTACTGTGTAGAGAAGGGCGTTACCCTCGAGTTGAATCGCCATGGTGAGAAATTGGTTGAGTGGTCGATCTGTAGCGTGGAACAAGTCTCGAAGGTGAGGGAGCAGAATATATAGAACGGATCAAAACCCGATGGCACTCTAATCGATGAGGCTCTTCTAAGATCCGGTCGAGCGCATGCGGGGCCTTAGAGAAGGCAACCGCGTGGTATGGGGTTCTCTGGGGAAGGAGGACCTGGGGTTGAACGTGAGCAAGGTTTTGCATCGCAACTTCCTGCCGTTGAGCTTGTGGTGCCCACCGTTGATCACCGTCAGAAACCGGAGAGCCTAGAACTCTATACCTTGTAAACGCGCGGTCGTCTCTACCAACATCCAGCCGACATTCACCGACATACTCTGTTATGCTTTCATGCAGAACCCATGATCGAACGACGTTCTATACATTGAGCCGTCAAAAGCCGTCAGACTCCGTCGCCTGTTCGTGACCATCATCGACATTGTTATTGTCAGCAGACCACGGACGACTGGTCATACGGAAGAAACTTTCGTACAGTGACACTCTCGATCGAGTCGGCTTTATAGCAGAAGCCGATTGTTCTCAGCAGCGTCGCATAGCCTGAAGATACCGAGATCTTTGCGAAGCTGAGCTAGATGCAACAGATAAAACCGCCTACAGTGAATGCACCAAATGAGCAGTGTTGAAGCGATGGCGGATCTTGCAGTTTTGAGAGTACGACCTTTTATGAGTTCCGAAGCTCTGATCTCTGTGCTGACAATGAACAGGAGTTGTCACCGAGTGAGAAAGCTTTACAAGGGCAACATGACATAGCATCTACAACCGGCCATGGATTTCTCATCTACGACAAGTCATTCAGAGAGATCGTTGGCACTTCTGCAGCTCTGGAGTGTGTAATCGAAGACGATTTACCATTTGCACATGAAGCTGCTGTATACTTCCCTAACCAGGATTCGTTATTTGTCACCAGTAACAGGTGCAAGTGGAACCAGACTGATGTGGCCTCCATCATGGTTCACAAGCTCAAAAGAGACAGTAATGGCAGGTGGACGAAGACAAGGGTGGATACCGACATCACCATGGCAAACGGAGGCGTCAATTACCAGACCAGTATACTTTTCTGCGCCCAAGGAGACCATTCTTCCAGGGGAGGTCTCGTATTCATGGAAGCCGAGGCCCCTTACAAAGCCCAGATGCTCGTGAACAGCTATCATGGGCGAAGGTTTAATTCGGTCAACGATGTCGTGATCAAATCAGACGGGTCAGTGTGGTTCACCGACCCGATCTACGGCTCAGAGCAAGGCTTCTGCCCGAAGCCGCAGTTGCCAAATCAGCTGTACCGCTTTGAACCAGAAACCGGAAGCATTAGGGCAGTCGCCGATGGATTCGGGAGACCGAACGGACTGTGTTTCTCTCCCGATGAACAGACACTCTATGTGACCGATACAGATTGGGTTCATGGTGATGGTACAACAGACGATACTCGCGCATCTTCGATGTAAGTTCTCCCAGACAGCGCGCATTGCGGTATATTGACGGCCTTGTAGCNNTATGCGTTTGATGTGATTCGACGTTCAGGGACGGACTTTCTGGCCAATCGTCGGCTTNTTGCCATGGCAGATACTGGCATTCCAGACGGCATCAAGTGCGATACAGTTGGAAACGTATACTCGGGTTGTGGAGATGGTCTTAACGTCTGGAATGCTGGAGGCACTTTGATCGGCAAGGTTCTGGTACCTGGAGGTGTGGCAAACTTCTGCTTTGGCCGCAGTGGGGAACTGTTCTTGCTGAACGAAACCAAGTTCTGGGTCGCGAACATAGCACCTTCAGTAAAAGGTGCCCTATTGGAGGGTATGGGCATCGACTGTGATAAAGTCAGCAAGAACAGCCGTTCTTCTGTCATATAACCTACATAGCTGGTCAACTAACAATGAATCTCCGTTGCATAAGGAAGATAAACCGCACTTCGTGCGTCTGAGCTGATGTCCTTGATCTGATTACAGTCCAACATAGCATAATCGCCCACAAACTCATGATATGGCGAAGGTCGAGAGATCGTTGCGAAAATGTTTAGTACAACTAAAATGCTTCGATAACAATACTAGAGTAGGAGAAAGTAAACCATGCGCCTCAATATGACATGCCATGCTACGTCGTACCTCCTATCGTAACCCGCCACCGACCACAAGCGATTGACCCTAATATTTGTGAGCTCCGACAACACAATACAACCGGCGAAAATGTGTACTTACAGTAGCGAATCCAGTTTTNGCATACATCAGAACAACATTGGCTACCTCCTCTGTTTTCGAATATCAGCGAGGACGTACTGAGAAAATGACGAGGAGAACTTGAAGCTAACCTGGTGCACAAAGACGTTGCAGTGGGATGTTGTCGACGACGCCAGGAACGCTGTCGGCAGAAGGCAGAAGACCAGTACTTCCCACCATTGCAGGACTCACGTCGTTGACTGAGATGTTGTAAGGTGCCAGGCGGGAAGAGAGGTTCTTCATCATTGCTTGCAGTCCGCCCTTGGAAGCAGCATAANNTCTGAACAAATTAGTGAGACACAGCGCATTTGATGAGGACAAGTTCAACTCACGACATCCGTTGATACCAGCTCCGTATGCTGCGATACTGGAAATGAAGATCATCCTACCCCATCTCTGGTCTCTCATGCCTTCGACGACACCCTTGACAAGCAAGAAAGTAGCACGAAGGTTGACATTAAGAGTATGCTCGAACTCCTCGAGTGGGATTTCCCACACGTTCTGGATTCTGACACCATATCCAGCATTGGAGACCAAAATATCAATTGCTCGCCCGTGTTGTTTGACAACCTCTGGGCACAATGCTGTTGTCTCTTCGATACTTGCAAGATCTGCTTTGTGGAGAGTGATCTTGAGATCTGTATTTCCAGAATCGCTCTTGAGCTCGTCGGCAAGTCTTTGGCATGACTTCAAGTTCGATGAGTAAGTGAGTGCGAGATGCACACCTTGAGCTGCAAGTTGTCGTGCACATGCGGCTCCAATACCTCCGGAGGCTCCTGTTATCAAGGCCAGTCTTCCCTTGATCTCGTTGTCAACCTCGACAGGTGGGTAGTCGTTGGTAGTGTGCATTTTGATTTGCTTTCTGGATGATCTGGATCTATGTTGATACCACTTCCTCTCCACGGTCGTCCTATAGGCCAGTCTTAAGAGCAATTCACGTCTGCTGATGAGCAGAGGAGGTCAGGCGTAGATCACCGTCGATAGCCGAGTGATACCGTGGTGACTACATGTGAGCTGCGTTTACATACACGAACACAGAGTCGGCTCACATAGTCGGCAATAGCGACCCCGCTGCTCGTCCTAGACTAAGATCGTCCGTCAGATGCCGACGGCAATGAATCTCTCTTCTCAGGCCGCCAAATGCCGACGAGGCTTCAACATGCCTCACAAAACGCATACCGTTTCATGTTTAATATTAGGAGAAAGTTTGCATTGCTTCTGGTATAGAGAGGTGGTGGTTTAGAGAAGGTGACAAGGCAGGTGGAAAGCTTTGCCGAGGTTCGGCTACACACCGGCTGTTAGCACCTTCCTCTCCATGAAAGCCATCTAACAACCACTTCTTCCTTCTCATCGACAAACAATATGTTTGGTGATGTGCGCTCCAGATTAGTCAGGAAGGAACGCACTCATGCAACAATAGAATGGAGTAGTTGCTAATTGGAGCATGATATCAATGCCACTCCAAGCTCTACCAATTCTCTTCTCACTCATCCTCCAATGGGAAGACTGACAATACTGTCAACTCCGTCCGGGCTTAGGCAGATCTCGACGTAAACGATCCTGAGAAACGTCAAAAACTCGGCAGTTGACTTCTGCACTGTGTCTGCCACCAAAACCGGTCCACCAATCCGTGAAATGGTAGATGCACATACACAGCCAGCTATAAACACCAGCGTTATAGATCGAAGACAGGGTCGATACGATGTCAGCTTCTGCCCTGTAGTTGGTGCAGCAGGATAGATCCTCTGACTGGCGGAAAAACTTCGCGATCTGCGTTCAACGAGGGCTTTTCTCGCCTGTTTAGACGATGTGTTTCAGGTTATGCGCTGCCCTATACAGCTGTCCGCTGACAGTGGTCACCAGATATTTCGTACAAAGACAGTCATTAGCCCTGTACCCCATGGTCAAAGCCTATAAGACTACTCTTAGTCGTCGCAATTTCTGCAAAGGATAATCCAGACACTTTCATTGCTGCTTGTCACGTTTAAACTTCTCACACTGGTCGTGCTACCCTACATCTTTTCAGCATTCACCATGGTCAATCGCAATTTCCTTCTCAGTGCTCTCGCTGCTGCCATAACCGGTGTCGTTGCCCAAGGCTCTGGATCTGAGAACGTCCGCTTCGGCCATGCATTTTCCCTGGGCGCCACACGCTCCTACATCATCGAGGCAGAGACCACTCTGTATCCTGGCAAGACTCAAAGCGGCGACACGCCTCGTCTGGCTCTGTGGCCTGGTATGGGTACAGACGAGGGTCAGCTCATTCAAGCCATCGTTCTAGCCTCTACCGATGCTCAGGGTGCAGAGTGTGGTGGCAGACCTCATGTGAACGGGGAATGGTGTGCATTTGCCAGTGCGCTGCAGGACGGCGTGCAACTCCAAGGCGACACTTTCCCTGTAAAGTCGAATCAGGGTGTCAAGATCCACTGCAAGTGAAACCATCCAACTGGATTTCAATCGCTAATTTCATNNAGAACAGACAAGTACGACGAAACTTCAGGCAATACCACCCAGACTGTCAGCGTCGAAGGCAGGGTTGTATCAACCTTGTCCACCAGATCCGGCAGAGCCGTTGGCTTTGGAACTGCCGAAGAAGCCCAGAACAAGTTCAAGGGAGTCGTGTATGAGCATTCATATGTCAACACTACCGTTGTTCTTGCTGCAGCAGACGCCCGATTCGCCTCTACTTTGGTTAAGACCGGTGCAACTGGTACCCTTGTCACCAAGGACAACAAGACCTACAAGGTCGACAAGATAACCATCGCGGAGTACAGCTTCCCTGCTAGTGTATAGAACTTCACAATGGCAGCTGATATACATGAAGTCAGTGTAATGTTATTAATAGTATTGGATCGTTTGTCTTCCACTCGTGTTACATTCAGACATCTGTTCATCTCATTCGACAGCCACCCTGTCTTTCCAGAGGAACATCATTTCTTGCAACCGCATAGCCAACCATACATGATATACCAATGACCAAGACAGCTCCTGCCCAACATGTGCAAAGAATAAAAAAAGTCCATAACAATACATGCCTTATTGCTTATGCTCACAAGCAGAATATCAAGCAGTCTCGCCGACCTCGTCCTCATCCTCGACGATTGCCGCATCCTCGTCACCAGGTCTGGGTCTACCAAGCGCAATAGCAGGCAGACTCTGCGTCATGTGGTCAGGGACATTGTTGTCCTCACTACCCACATCGACTCCAGAGCGGCTTGTCACCATACTGCCCTTGCGACTCTTACTCACAATACCAGGGAACAAGCGAGGCTCCGATGCGTCGAGCGATGACATGGGCATAGGTGCCATGTCCGGTGGGATCGAGGTGGGTGCGGGACCGCCAGCAGGCGAGCCATGGCCGACCATGCTGGATGTACGAGTGTGCTTGTGGCCCGGCAGACTGACCATGCTAGGTGATTGGGAGATGCGAGCAGCTTGGGCATTGGGAACATAGTGGTGATGAGCAGCCGGGGCAGGTAGCTGGAAGTTGCCGTTCTGTGTGTTTCTAGACTGGAAGTATTCGGAATGGTTAAGAGGATTCGTAGCCGAGGGGTTGGTTTGCATCGACTGAGCAGTGGGCGAACCAGGTGCTGTGAGGTTGGCGGAGAAGGGATGGTTGGGTTTAAGATTTGACATAGACAACTTGCGCGATGGGTCGCTCGCTGCGGTATAGCGGTCAATCNNCTAGAGTGGGAAATCAGTAAACGTGGGCGAATTTCTGCCTTTGGGGAGATTAGCATACATGGCAAGTTCTTGCAACCAAGTCTCGTGGCGGAATGCCTCGCGGATGTTTGGCACGTTGACCTTTGCCATGTCGTTTCCAGCAACTCCGGGAAGGTGGTAGTTGTGTCCGAGCCAGCGCTGTTTGACAGAGTGCTCGAATCCACTCTGGAGGACCGAATGCTTCGCGAGCTCGCACATATCGACTGCACTGAGCTTGTAGATCTGAGCAGCCACTGCGTACTCTTCGATGAGCGGTTCCTTTGTGAAGGCAAACTGTAGGGGATCGTCGGTAGAAAGGNNGGAGACATTCAGGCCGCGGCGGAAGTATAGTAGGAAAGGGTTGCGCTCGTACGCGAGGAACAAGGCGTTGTTGGACAAGGGCGACATTGCAACGCCGATCTGCTCCAGGTAAAATATGTATTGCAACAAGGGAACCTTGCGTAACAAGAGACCGTGAGAGATGCTGTGGCAGCACAGGACAGCAGCCGCGAGATGGTCAGTGTCACCAGCCNNCTCACCACAATGAGGTCTCAAAAGGAAGGTGTTGAAGCCACGCTGTTTGCGCCAGACGTTGAGCGATGACATGTTCGCGAACAGATAGTAGATCCAGTACGAGTAGGGTGGGTTCTGCGCCGTGTTCCATTCCTTGGGGAGCGGGAATTTGCGATAGATTCTACGCTCCGTCTTGCTCTCGTCGTCGACCGAGTCGAAGCCAATAACTCGCTGCAGGAAGATGTGCAGTTTGGGGTGCGACGTGGGGTCCTGCGTCACTTCGAAAAGAGGCTGGAAAACATTCTGAATGACCTGCTCGAAGTTTTCCATCAGGCTAGAGTTCTTGTAGACGTCGTAGAGGCGAGGGATTTGGATCAGCCATCGCACGTTAGGCGAATACAGCTTGTTATCCACAACCCACGCCGCCAACTTGTCCCATTCTTCTAGGTCACGACCATAGATGGAGATGCGCCATTCAACCATCTGGTACTTGCTAGCCTCGAGATCGGCAATGACCTCTTTCGTGATCTCAGCCAAGTACCTGCCATGAATGTAGTTGTCCGTCTTCAAGAAGATGGTGCGCAAACGTGACTCGCCGACAGGATTATATTTGAGGTTGAACTTGTCGAAACGGTGGAAAGAATCAGTGTGAGCGTGCATATCGAGTGTGTCAATAGAGAGATCGTATGCAGTCAAGTTGATACTCTCAAAGACCTCTCGCAGAGTCAGATGCTTGCCATCACGGTACAAGACAACCTCGTTGGGGCTCTTCTTCATCTTGCTTTTAATGAATCGAAGCAGATGCTTCTGGTTCATACAAGCAGAGTGGTGTACGTGGGTGTCAACCTTTCGGACATTGTAGAAATCTCTGTGCGGCACAGCCTTTGTATCTGCAATCTCCTGATACTCATTGAGCAGAATATACAAGTTGAACTTGCCTTCGAGATATTGCAAACGACGGAAAGCAAAGCTCTTGCTAGGACCATCAGAGGAGACGGTCAGGATGGCGTCAAGATCCATGTAGAACTCGCGGATGGTCGGAACATGAACGATGGGAGTGTCGAGTTCGGCGGCTTTGTTGTTCTCATAGACTTGGTAGACACCGTTCGGATCGAGACGGAAGGCCATCTCACCAGGACCAGGCAGAGGCATCAGGTCGTCGATTTCGAAATCTTCACCAATGTTCTGGCCCATCTTGCGAGGTCTCCTACGTGGGGTTTTGAGATCCTGGCTTTCGGTCATGTTTTGCTCGTACTCCTGCCACGAAGGATCGGGATGAGGAGGGTATATGGTCCAGCCAGGCTCATCCTTGGGGTTGTCCGTGGCACCCTGTAGCGACAAGCGCATGTATTTATGTCTGAGGTCCAAGACCTTCTGGATGTTGCTGTAGATGGCAGTCAGCTCAGCAGTGACCTTTGAATCGTCTACAGCAAAGCCTCCAGAACCACTTCCCAGACCCACACCGGCTCCTGCACCATGTAGACCTTGTTGCTCCAGGAAAGGCTTCTGCTCATGAGGCAGGTTGGGGTGGTGTGTGTGGGCGCGAGCTTCCCGATCGGCCTGGATCAATGGTGAAGGAGCATCGTTCTGTTGGGAGAAAGAGTGGCGGGCGGTATCGAAGTGGCCAAGACCAGGAGTCTGAACCTCGGTGCTGGTAGGAAGCTTTGCGGCATTGGCGATGCCAACAGGCAAAGCAGATTTGTATGAAGTGTCGTTTGCTTGCAGGCTGACATTGCTCTTACTAGCTCTCAGCGGGTTAAGCGGAGAAGAGAAGGCAGTGGCATCGCCAGCAACATGAGAACTCAAGGTGCGAGGCTTGCCCATGGTGGGACTGTCGAGCTTTTCGGCGCGTTGTCGTTGGTAAAACTGCTTCGCCTCGGAGTGGCTCATAGCCTTCTCGAGCGACGAGTTGTAGTGGGTTGTGCGACGTTGCTTGTCTCTGGGCAGCATGCCTTCAGGCTCTTCCTCACGCTCCAGGAGCATACTGGCTGTCATGTCCCCTGCCTTGTCTGAGAGAGTTCTGGATGCCACCATTGAGAGGCTCGGGTCGTCGTCGTGGTCGTCGGCTGCCATGTCGCTGTCGAGTTCGCTCCTAGAGTCGACACCGTACTCGCTGTCATCATCGGATGCATCCTCGGGGCCAAAGGTAGGCGCGTATGTGGGTGGCATGTTCAATGTGTGTACCCGTTTGTGTGACTACCCAGGGTATCCAAGTTGGCGTCGAGGAATGGCTATAGCTTCCAATGCTACGAGGAATGCTCAGGGTATATATACTAGGGAAAGAAAGCGCTTCGTTGGTGATAGGGCGGAATAGGTCGACACTCAGGACAGCGCACGACAGGAAACAAAGAAAACGAGGAAGCAGCTGCCTTTACAGCAGAGTCTGCGTCGCCATTGATGATTCTCTACTCCACTTAGTATCTCCATATTTTTCTTCATGTGACGCCGCATCACACGTCCAAGCTTCTTTTTGTTCGCTGGGGAAACCCCGAGCCTACATCACCACATTGAGCAGCATTGCATGTTTTGCATCTGCCTAACAATCCTGATATCCTAAGTAGTCAATCGATTTGTTCTGTAGACCATCAAACATCAAGACGGTCGGCAGTCGGGTTGATTCTGAATACTTCGTCTCTGCTTGTTCCCAGCTTATTCCCTGAAGCATCATCGAGAAAGACGATGCGAACCAACCGCTGATCGTGCTCCATGCTTGACTCGATTCACAGAAAGATCTGCCACGTTTCCTATGTCGCATCTCAACACTTTTCAAACATACTTGAGCAGTTTCTTCTTATCTGAGTCTCATACCGGGTGCTGTGTAGTCGAGAGGACGTCCAATTACTGTTCAGGACTTCGACTCGTGCTTGCGTCCCACCGATCGGGTGCAAAGCTAAGATCAGCAACTTGGTTTTACAATAAAACGACCAGGTCTTTAACAATCCGGTGTGGTCCAACGGCTAGGATTTCTCGCTTTCACCGAGGAGGTCGGGGTTCGATTCCCCGCACCGGAACATCTTCTTTGCCTCGACATCCTATCTCTGGGTGCACAGTGTTGTGCAAGTGTTTTGCATGACGGTTTGATGCAACTCGTCCTTCTCTTTCTCTTTTCCCATTTGTCCTCAGACAAGGAACCGCTGCTTGTAAAAACGGCTCCCAACTTCCAAAGACGCCTGGGCAATCGATTCTCCTCTTCGCATCGTTGTGATACATTTTGGAGGTCCTATAGGATCCTGACAAATGATCTACTTTACAGGCGGGAGGACGGAAGCTGCCTCCCGTATGCATGCCGAAACCCTTCTTTCCAGAAGCGCTGGTCGAAGGATCGTGTCGAGGGACCACGCACACTGGGTTGATATTAGATCAACAACAAGAGGAAGATATTATGTGGGCATGGTTATATTAATGTGAACATTTCACTAATCACGCAACCACCAGGAGTCTAGGACAGATCTTCAAATCACTTACTCAGAAGCGATATAGCATGCTCTCGCTTGCACAATATGTTCCAGGTCTGTGCCAGATAAACACGATCCCGTCCAAGCTTGACAGTTTCGTCTCTTGCATATACGCGACCTTCAGTGTTGGCGAAGTTGGAACACATCTTGACCTTTGCTAGCGAGGACAATAATATGACAGCAGACACAGCGGTAGGATCAGCAAAGTTGAATCTTCGCGGGTCTTCAATTTTGCAGAGTCGTGAGATACGAGTCTGAATCTCCGTGACTCAGCAAGTGCAATTGACGACTCGGATCTGCTTTTTCCTGCACGAGCTTGATCCGCGTGTCTTTTCTGCAACTTGACGAAACCAGAAATCAGCCCCTGACTCTCTGCCCTACCGCATGGCTTTGTGTCCAAGAAAGATAGAGACTACCCTTGCGGTTGGCGTTATTCTTTCAAAGTGGCATGCAGATGCCCAGGCGCTCATTCAGCCATGTGTTGCTCGGTCGTGTTTCAGTCGCTACTTGCATGCCACGGTGGGGCCCGCCTGTCAAGACACGAGCGGAGCTAGAGAGCTCGGTGCAGTAGTTTCACCACCCAGCGGCAGATCGATTGCCAGATTGGACATGTGTAGAAGCACAAGCGGCAATTCCAGGGTGCAAGGATGATGCCTTTCGCACCAAGGCCGTGGCAAAGTGGACTCGAGACAGTTCTTTCTAGCTCCCCTGCATTTCTTGGTTTCTGGCTCATGCTTCAGCATTTTCACCGCTCGTGTCGCACCGGCATGAGGAGGATTTTGTCACGGCCACAAAGGATCTTAGTACGCCCTGATGATCCGGAAAATCCTGATCCTGACGACGAAGTGAGGTCGTGAGTGGCGTGCTCGGAAGCAGCATACTCATGGAATAGGTAGGGTATCAGGTGAGGTGCTTGGACCCTGGTCGCGGCAGACCCTCAAATTGGATGCCCGTGCGGAATAAGTCCACGACAAGCTCAAAGAACTTTCTTTCAACCCTCTCCTTCAACCTGCATCATGAATGCCATGTGCCAATCAGGGCCACGCTAATCAGAGAAAGCTGGGTCTTACATGCTACTGGCCCGCCTTTCCGGGAATGCTAGTACCATGCTGTCATGCGACAGTTGGCCTTGGTCTGTGAGAGATACCAATCTCGCGCTCCGGTTATGTCCATGGTCGAGCTAAAAGCGCAATAATCAATTCTTTTCATGCTTGCCTACCTTCCCCTGCTTCTCTTGAACCTGTTAGCTCCGTGACCTTGGTTCTATGCTGCTTCGTTGTATCTCAACTCTTTAGCATCACGCGCCGTTCAGATCTGATCGTCGACACACATCTTCCATTGACAGATACACTAACAACTTTAATCACACCACAATCATGTATGCAGACCCGCCAAAATCTATGGAGCGAGTAAGCCGCCGCGACATCTTCACCTCGTTACCTGCTAGGGTGCAATGGTTGCATTCGTTTCTGGAATTCGGAACTGGTCAGTGGCACTAGCAATATCCACCTGTTCACTCTAACACTGGCATGTTATAGNACGACGTCCAAGCCTTGATATCTGGACAGAAGTACATCAAGGCAGTCATCCCTGCTATCGTCAACATAGTGTACAAGAAGCTTCTCAAGTACGACATCACAGCCCGTGTCTTCACCACAAGGGATAGCAGAGATGAAGGCCCAGTTGAGAGCTGGCCTACAGAAGACAGTGCCCAAATTGAGCACAGGAAGATGGTAGGTCTAGGCCTTGTTGACTGAGGGTATTCATATCTAACTCTTCACAGTNTCTTGAGGTGGTACCTTACAAAGCTCAACTCCGACTGCACAAGAATGGACTACTGGGTAAGCATCCATCCGTGTCATCTATTGAACGTTGCTGATCATTTTTAGGAATATCTGGACAAGGTCGGGTAAGTTACCGTCAGACCGGACAACACTGGCATATCGACTTACACTTCTTCACCAGCTNTGATGCACGTAGGCCGAGGTCGTCAGAATCCTCTCCATGTCGACTATGTCTTTCTGGGCGCATGTCTAGGTTTCATTCAGGACTCGCTTTTCGAAGCCATCCTCTCGCACCCACGCCTCGAAATGCACCGCAAGATCGCCATCGTCAAAGCACTCGGCAAAGTAATCTGGATCCAGAACGACCTCATCGAAAGATGGCACAATACCGACGGCTCCGAGTTCCAGCAAGAGGAAGCCGACGCACTGTTAGGGGAAATTCAAGAGGAGGATCGCGAGGGATACCTACACGGCAAGAAAATCCTCGGCGATGATGGCTCATCCATTTTCACAAGCCGTACTGGAAGCAGCAGAAGCTCTGACAGTGGAAAGACATCACTGGGCCGCCCTATCGAAGAAGCAACACACCTCGGCGACGGCATGAGCAGGTGTCCTTTCAGCGGCATGGCACGCACAGGTCCAAATCCTGCAGAGCTGGAGCGCCAGCGTGCGACATCGGCACCACGTTTGCCGCGTGTTCATGGCACAGCGCCTGATGTTCTTCAACAGTATCACTCCCCGGGGACTCCTCGTATTCGCATAATTGATGGCAAAACAGTGCTGAAAGAAAACCTCGAGCCCCTTCCCAAAGTCTTCGAACCTAACAAGTAAGTTTATTTCTCTATGTCATTTCCTTATCAGTCTATCCTTGTCTTTGTCGACGCCCAAGAGATGCTGATGGTAAGCAGGTGATGAATCCTGGCCATGCCATCTGAAAAGATATGTATGGGGCGAACAACACCACAACCGCGTACACATACCATAAGAATGACAAAAGCTAAACCTTGTCAGCTTGGATCAACCAGGACATGATCGAACACGGCAGGGTCAAGTGCGCCGGCAGCCTTCCAATTGGAAACTCGAAACCTTGAGAAACAGAAAAGAAGGGTACAAACAGTTGTGAGCGTGGTGTCTATTAAATACCTTGGTGGGATGCAAGAACGCGGAGTTTAGGTAGGAGGTCGGCCCCTTTGTAATTGAGATACCAGAATCATAAACCACAGAACTTTGACAGCTCAATGAGCCAGCATGAGTTATCTCTTTGATCAACTTTTCATTTCATGTCAATTATCATCTAACCCCGGCCTCGTAGCAAAGGAGACCTCTTATACACCAACAGCTTTACAACTGAGCTCCCACAAACGATCTTCAGCCTCCTCGTCATAGGCATGACTGACATACTCGGGGCCTCCAACCGGTGCATCGTCGCCAGCTTTGATAGACTCACCGCAGTCGGCACAGTAGACTCCGCCCTTGTCATTGAAGTGAGGTGTCAGAGCAGCCCACACAGTAGTTGCGGCACCCTGCTCAGCACTCTTCTCAAGCTTGTCAAAGATATTCGGACCTCCGAATGCGTCGAACGCATCTTTGGTACTGTGACGCAGCAACTCGGTATCAAGGATGGCACCTGGATGGACTGAAACTGCATGCAGGCCCTGGGATCCGTAGAGACGATCGATGCTATTGGCCATATAGATGTTCGCAGTCTTACTTTGGCCATAAGCTATCCAACCATTGTACTCAGTATTTTCGAAGCCTATGTCATCAAAGCGGATGGGCGACATGGTATGACCATAGCTGGACAAGGTGACGACACGAGAGGTGTCAGTCGGTGTGGACGAGGCCAGCAGGACAGGCTTCAGAAGTTGGAACAGAAGGAAATGGCCGAAGTGGTTACTTCCCATCTGCGTCTCGAAGCCGCTCGCAGTCTTGCCTTTGGGAACATTCATTACACCNTACAACGTTTAATGAGTCGGAATGCAAGAAGCAGGAGAGTATGACACAATCTCACCTGCGTTGTTGATCAGGATGTTCAGTTGATTGCTTCTAGCGAGGAAGTCTTTTGCTGCTGCACGCACGCTGTCAAGGTCTCCAAGATCCAAGTAGACAACCTCGACAGCTTGTCCTTGGATTGCGTCTTTAGTGATGGCCGTGATGGCTTTTTGACCTTTCTGCTCGTCGCGAGCGGTGATATAAATTTTGGCTCCGGCCAGGTACAAGGCTCTAGCCGTCTGGACACCAAGTCCCGCACTGCCGCCGGTGATCAAGATGGTCGTATTCGCGAGCTTGCCATCTAGGCCCAAGTCCTTGATGATTTGAGTAGCTGTAGGACGGGCGTCGCCAGGTCCCGCTGGGCTTCGGTGTGATTCCAAGTAGGGACGGTATGCTTGAGATGGAGGAGACATGATTCTTTACGAGTCCTGCTTGATTGTAGTGTGTGTATAGTAGCGAATTCGCTTGTTCACTTCGAGTGGATGGTTGGCTTCAGGAAGCCTCTGGTTTTGTACCGGCTGTTTGGGCTATGAAGTTCCTCTACCTCCGAAGCGCAACGGCGATACCAGCGCCTTACAATCTCCGTATCCATAGATGATAGAGGCATCTAACACTGCTAGTGAATCTTTTCGTCGCTGCATGGCCGGCCGAAAGTCGAGATGGCACTCTAAGCTCCGGGCCGGACTTAAGAGGGAGGCCCTGGCCGGTCGCTCCTACTTAATCGCAAGACAGGTTGATTGAGCATGGAGAATCTGAAAGAACCAATGCCATGTATGATCTCGTGGAATCGAACATAGCGACTGACTGCTCATGTTCAGTAGGAGTCGATGTTTTGATGGCGAGTTGGAGCGAGCTGGCGGGGTCGGCTTTGGTCAGAGTCGTCTCAGCTGAGGAGAAACGGCGAGCTTGAGACAGGCAGCCCCTGACGCATGGGCTGTGAACCAAGGATGAACAAGAAAACATGCACCGGTAGGTCATTCCTTCTCATGTCGGTATCGAACGTGCTGTGCAGCGTGGCGCGATGCTGTTGACCATCCCTCGACCGCCGGTAGCGCTGGCCGCCATTTCGACAGTCCTTCTTTTGGCCTATCTCTACTTTCATGCCTCGCTGGATGCGAGTCCTCACGTTTTGTCCATCAAGGCCTCAACCCAGCCAGCACAACTATCTCAATGTCCGCCAGCATCAGCCATCAGCAACATTGTCTTGTCTATCAAGACTGGCGCGACTGAGGCCTTTGAGAAACTACCGACCCAGCTGCTCACCATTTTGCAATGCGCCGACACTCTCCTCCTCTTCTCCGACCTGGAGCAAGATATACATTCGCTACACATACATGATGTACTCTCCCGTTACAATCCCGAGTTCCTCGCCCACCACGCCGACTTTGAGTTATACCGCAAGCAGAAAGAATATCAGGCCGAGGGCCGTGACATCCAGACACTAAGTACGATGAAGGACTCCAACTCTGACTGGCGAACCGCTGGTCACAATGCAGCCTGGGCTCTCGACAAGTACAAGTTCCTGCACATGATTGAAAGAGCTTGGGAGCTACAACCCGACAAGGACTGGTACATCTTTGCCGAGACCGACACCTATATCGTGTGGCGCAACCTCGTTCAATGGCTTGAGAGGTTTGACCCAAACAAGCCACTCTATCTGGGTCGGGGCGAACCTATGAAGAAAGAGGAAGGAGATGGCTTCTACTTCGCCCACGGCGGAAGCGGTTTCGTGCTGTCGCGTGCTGCCATGTACGACTTTTGTGTTACCAAANAGGGGCTTGCCAGTCGATGGGACGCTAGGATACCCGATCTGTGGTTCGGCGATTACGTCGTCGCGAAAGCCCTCAAGGAGGAGCTTGATCTCAATTTGACCTCGGCTGCACCCATGTTCAGCGGCCACAAGCCCATGAGCTTGCCTATCGGTGCTGGCATTTGGTGTCGTCCCGTCATCACTCAGCACCACCTACGGCCTGAGGAAGTTCAAAATCTATGGATGCTGGAGGATGAGTTTTACACAAATTCGTCTTCAAGTAGTCTACCACATATACGCTTTTCACACCTATTCAGAGATATACTGTCTGGGGTCAAGTTTCCAGAACTGCGCCCTGAATGGGACAACTTGTCGCAAGATAATGTTTACACCATCAGAACTCCTCGCACGAAAGCTCAGGCACACAAAGAGCCAGACGAGCGCATCGGCGAACCTACTGTAGAGTTAGATCCAAATTCCTCGCCTGACGCATGTAATACCGCTTGCGAGATTGTGGAAACATGTTTCCAGTGGGCACATCTAAACTTCTCTACGATTGACGAAACGAAGCAATCCAGTGGCGGAGTCTGTTATCTAAGTAGTGTCTTTCGCTTCGGTAACCAGAGACCAGAAGAATCTTGGGTTGATGAGAAGAATGCAACCAATATTCACTTGTGGTCATCTGGGTGGAAAACGGCGGCGATCGAAAATTGGCTCGCGGATGCACCAGACAGTTGTGGTCAAGTAGACTGGACTTGAGAGTCTGCCGCCTGTACATGCACAAATCAATTTCATGTCTTGAGTTGTGCAAAGAATCATAACTGCACGCGCTGATTAGATCCGCGATTCATATTATCTTATCGCCAAGATCTCCTGCCGAGCCTCGGAGAACTCAGCACTTCGCGTCCGCGCTGTTGTCGGTTTGTCTTTTGTCTTCTTGCTACCTCAGCCAAATACACATCTTTCCAGTATTGCGAGTCTGCTGCAGGGGACAATCAAGTATCTGGATTGCTCAGCCGCTCCAGGGAGTGCCCAGCTTGTTCATGCACTGCTCGCTTGTCAGCGTCATCTGATTAGATTGATAAGCAATCTAGTCCTGTAGTGGCAGGTATCGTTTCTCAGATCCGGAAGATGTTGACTTCTTCTTCTCCATTACTGGAGACACATGACGCTACAGGCTCGTTCGGCCAGAGGACTTTCGTTACTTCCAAGAGAACAACACTGCATACTCGATCTCGAACAAATTGGACCTGGTTCTCGGTGGCTTGTTTCATATTCAATGCAACGATATTGTTCGGATTGCTATACGGTGCTGGAACATGCATAGCAACTATCCGAGCAACTTTGATGCCTAGTAACGAATATTGCTTGCATACTGTCTCAGTTTCGTACAACTATATCACTTTCTCTGGCGAAGGATACGGAACGTACTATGGACCAAAATGCCTCAATCCGTTGCGGACAATCTCTACATATGCTTCTGGGAAAACACTATGTACAGATGATGAGATTTATGCCGGCTTCGAGAAGATCCGCAGAGAATGCGAGAATGATGGGTTCGAATTTCTGGACTGGCAGCAAGTCGTTGCCAATGTCACACACGACAACATTGCTGAGATGAGAGTTGTGGAATTTGATGAGGTACCTGCTGGTACGAATACCACGGAACCAGTCAGGCTTTCCAAGTCTTTCTTCGAACGAGTCGGCAATACTCTTGTATGTATAGCGCGGTTGCTACTTCTTCTAAGTGACTGACCATAGCAGATGACTTGGGAGTATGAGATGAATTGGCATCATCAGTCGGGTTTTGCTCTCTATGGATTTTGGGGTATCGTTCTTGGGGCTTCGACTATTGTACATCTCCTCAAGTCTATCAAGATACCGTGTCACTCGTCCCATACACAGACGGGGACAACGACACGGGTATTGCAATCCGCATGGATGTGGGTTCGAGTAAACCTGATTATTCCGCCAGCTTTTGGATCGCATCACCAACGTTTACTGTACTGGTGCACTGTTCCAACCCGTCTAGAGGCAGCTATTGTGGCAGCCTTCTATCTGTTTACGACATATCTTTCCATATCTCACTATCGTCTGATAAATAATAACATCNTAGTAAGAACGAGACCCTTTAGTTCGAGGACAGACGACTGATTCTGAAACAGCTGGGATTCCAGATCACAACAACTCTGGCGATATGCCGCTGATCGTACAGGCATCATGGCCTATGCTACACTTCCTTGGATCTGGATATTCGCGGGTAGAAACAACGTCTTTATGTGGGCTACAGGTCTCTCATATCAAACATTTAATATTTATCATAGACATGTTGCTCGAGCTGGTACAATACTGGCCATCGTACACTCAGTTGTGTACATTTGGTTGTTTATCGACTTTGGTATGTTGAGACTGTGTCTATCACTTGTTGCGTGCTAACGATGTGCAGAAGGGTGGGGTATGTTTAGGACAGAGTTCACACAGCTCTGGCTATTGATTGGTGTAGTGGTAAGATATCAAATCAACCAGATTGAATCGCTCGTCAACTGATTTGATGCAGNNGCAACTATCACTATGAGCCTGCTACTATTGTTTTCTGTATCATGGCTTCGTATCAGGTTCTATGAGTTCTTCCTGGTTCTTCATATTGTGCTTTCAGTAGTCACTCTGGTGGGATGCTTCTTGTAAGCTTAACCTCTTGCTTTGTACACTATCCCAAGTGCTGACTCTAACAGACACACTTCCATCTTCGATGCCAGATACGATGCATACCTCTGGCCGATCGTGATCGTGTGGGTACTCGACCGTGCACTCAGGCTGTTGCGCCTTGTGACTTGTAACATACACATTCGCTGGAGCAAGCAAGTTATCCTTCGCACACATTCAGTTGCCTCATACAGCAAAGAGTCCGATGTAGTTAGGCTTGACGTCAGGACAAACGCGTTCCTTACTCAACCTGCTGCAGGACAATTCTATTACCTTTATCAACCCACTACATGGCAAGGTTATGAGAATCACCCTTTCACGCTAGGAGCCTGGTCACCACGATCTTCTGTATCCGATGATGCTGGCAACTATCTCCTTCAGCACGACGACTTGCCAAGCGAGGTTGATGAACTCGATCTTAGTTCGAAGTATCAGTCTACTGTTCAAACTCTGACCTTCTGGATCCGACCGTACGACGGCTGGACGAGACGGCTGAGAGACGAATGTCTCCAATCAAATGAAGGCATTTCTAAACCAACGATCCTCCTTGAGGGTCCTTATGGTCATCACTGTCCTGTATCATCGTTCGACTCTGTGCTGCTGATCGCAGGGGGTACAGGTATTGCTTCAGCAGTACCATATATCATGGAACACATGGCATTATCCAAGGCAGGCAAGACAGATACCACAAACATGCATCTGCTCTGGACAGCACGGCAAGCATCATACATACAAGAAATTTTTGCACAAGAACTTCGCACTGCAGCACGGAGAGATGATTTCTCAGCCGACCTGTTCTTCACACGACATGCCGAGAGGTCGAAGCAGGGAGAAGAACAATCTAGAGGCGATGACAGTGAACTTTCAATGCCAGAGCTGCAGTACGGACGACCAGACATTGCAGCTGCTATCGCCAAAGCTGCGATAAGAGCTGAGACGACGGGAACGAAGATGGCGGTATTGGTATGCGGTCCACCTGCCATGGCTGACGAAGCCAGACTTGCTGTCCATCGTTCACTGAAGCGCGGATGCCATAGTGTGGAGTATTTCGAAGAGTCTTTCGGCTGGTAGACAGTTTTGTGGGCGTACAAATTGTATGTTTGACCACTGAGAAGAACCACATCTAAATGGCTATTGATGTCTACACCGTTCCGTCTCGTAAGACTCGTATGGGAGACGCTCTGCATATTGGTTTTTGCAAGTGGTCCTGGAGAGACACTTCTGGCTAACATCCCTGCCGTATCCGCTCCATCGCGGTGGGGCCTTTCGCCTACAACTCAGACGGCGCGATGCAGTTCCTCAAAACGACCAACACCGGGGCCCCGCAGCTCGGAACCTTGGAGCCCGTACAGTCGTAACGAAGCAGTAACTATAACCTCGCCTGCGGGCAGTCGAACTCCAGCCACGACTGAGAGCGCAACCGCCACCACCAACATCGGAAACGGCGATTGTGTCAAGGTTACGAGTATCCTTCCTGGCAAAGTGCCGGAATCAATCTCTATTCGAGTCACTTCGACCACCAATAGTAGAAAGATTGAGCTTCCTTTGGACAAGGTGACTAGTACTCCTGTGGGCACCCGTAGTGTTTCTGGTGCAGCTGGATAGCAGACTCAGCAAATGAACACTTATACTGTCGATGCAGCAAAATGAATAGAGAATCTGTTCCTGAAAACCACCGGTGTAGTGATATGTGATCGATGTTGACTGTTGGCAATTGTTTCCAAGCAAGGTTGACGTAGATAATTCTCGGCACAATTGTTGTTTGATACCGAGTTAACGGTCGGGTTCGGGTCAATGTGGCTGTTTTGGGTGGGGCTCCGGTGGTGCATAAACGGGCAGTGGTCCAATCGCAGGCTTGCTGAAGCTCCCAAACTGAGGGGGGGAAGATTGAGGGGCAGACCCTCACTCGGCCATTGAATGTTTATCAGCACTTTGAGAAAGCCGACGAGGAGGTCAGTAAGAGGGGCTCCGAGATCTGGTCTTCGCTGAATCGTGTTCACCATGTTCTACATATATCTCCCCAGCTTCCAAGGACCTGGCCAAGCATCGCCTGTCCAGCTCCGCTCGAACAGTCCACCATGTTCGCCAAACAGGACAATCGTCTCGTCTTCAGCTACGATGCCGACAAACTCTGGATCGAGCCTTGGGGCAAGAATGCCCTCCGCATCCGCGCTACTCAGCTGAACCAGATGCCCTCGGAGAATTGGGCTCTTGAGGGATCGCCAGGCCCGTCCTCTGTGGTTGAGATTGGAGAGAAGTCAAGCTCTCTGACCAACGGTGAGATCAAGGCCGTAGTTACAGCCAAGGGCAAATTGACTGTATACGGCCATGGCGGCAAGGTTATCCTCGACGAAGCTGTTCGAAATCGTCGCGACGTCTTGGACCCAAAGTGCAGTGCAATCGACAGAGAAGCTCGTGAGTTCCAAGCTATACCGGCTACCAACGATTACCATATTATCTGGCGCTTGGAGTCGCTCGACAAAGACGAGAAGATATACGGCATGGGTCAGTATCAGCAACCTTACCTCGACCTCAAAGGCCTCGACCTTGAGCTTGCACACCGAAACTCACAGGCCAGTGTGCCTTTTGCCGTCTCTTCCCTAGGATATGGCCTGCTCTGGAACAACCCTGGTATTGGAAGAGCTGTGTTTGGCAAAAACATCATGTCTTTTGAGGCAATGAGTTCCACTGTCTTGGACTGTTGGCTGGTGGCAGGAGAAACTCCTGCCGAGATCGTTCAGGCATACGCTGGAGTTACGGGTACTGTTCCTATGATGCCAGAGGTATGTATACAGGACCTTTTCTGTAGAAGCGGTACTGACCTGTGTCCTAGTNATGGTCTCGGTTTCTGGCAATGCAAGCTCCGCTATCAGACGCAAGAAGAGCTTCTTGGTGTTGCAAGAGAATACAAAGCCCGTAATTTACCTATTGACCTGATCGTCATCGATTTCTTCCACTGGCCCCTGCAAGGAGAGTGGAAATTCGACCCCACCTACTGGCCAGACCCTGATGCCATGGTCAAAGAGTTGAAGGAGATGAACATTGAGCTGATGGTCTCGATTTGGCCTACCGTCGATCGAAGATCCGAGAACTATGAAGAGATGGTGGAGAAGGGTCTATTGATCAGATGCGACCGCGGCACACGAATCTCCCTGGATTTCATGGGTGATACTGTTCATTTCGATGCCACCAATCCCGAGTCTCGAGAATATGTCTGGAACAAAGCCAAGCAGAACTACTTCTCGAAGGGAATAAAGACTTTCTGGTTGGACGAAGCGGAACCAGAGTATTCCATCTACCATTTCGACAATTGGAGATACTGGAAAGGATCCAACGTGAGCATTGGCAACATTTATCCACGAGAATATGCTCGTGCCTTTTACGAGGGGCAAGAAGCCGAGGGTCAACAGAACATTGTCAACCTTCTGCGGTGCGCGTGGGCTGGCAGCCAAAAGTATGGTGCTCTGGTTTGGAGCGGTGACATTGCCTCATCCTGGTACAGTCTGAAGAACCAGTTTGCTGCTGGACTCAACATGGGCATGGCAGGCATCAGTTGGTGGACAACTGACATTGGTGGTTTCCATGGTGGCAATCCAGATGACGAAGCCTTCCGGGAGTTGTTCACCAGGTGGTTCCAGTACGGAGTGTTCTGTCCTGTAATGCGTCTGCACGGTGATCGCGAACCTCACCAACCTCAGCATGGTACCACTGGCGGCGCAATGTGTCTATCTGGAGCTCCGAACGAAGTCTGGTCTTATGGCCCTGAGGTCTATGAGATCTGCAAGAAATATATGAGAATCAGAGAGGACATGAGAGAGTACACACGAAGTCTCATGAAGGAGGCCCATGAGAAAGGCTCTCCAATTATTCGACCCATCTTCTATGACTTCCCTGCGGACAAAAAGGCGTGGTCGATCGAAGATCAGCAGATGTACGGTCCCCAATATCTGGTGTCACCCATCTTCAATCCAGGTCAACGCAAGCGAACAGTCTATCTTCCTAGTGGTGCCTCTTGGAAGGCTTTCGAAGGCGGTGAGGTTCATGATGGTGGTCGCGAGATCGAAGTTGATTGTCCCATAGACATGATGCCTGTTTTCATAAAGCAATAGATTCTCTGCCTTAGAAGTTTTTACCAATCTTAAATGTCAAGTCGACCTCGCAAATCTAAAAGGGATTTTTATGCCAGTCTTGCTTGTCAATCCATAATTATCTCTACATACAGCACCTGGAAATGGCAGTATGATGTATAGAAACTACCATACAACAGCTGTCACTCGAGAGCTATTTCACCCATGTGTCTGTGTAGACCGGTAGCTTAGAAGGTTGGGCAGGGTGGCCTGGGCGACGTAGTTGTCTATCGGATTCAGCCGGTTTAGCCGTGGCGGTTCTCAAGCTAGGCAAGTCGTCCTGAGTCAGGAAGTTGTCACGTACACCTCAATACCGTCATCATTATAAAGACAGAGATATGTCAGCCTCAATGCCCGAACACGAGCCTTATACCACCCGCGATGATAGCCAACGGAGATGTTCGACCTGCAACATTGTCTTTCAGAGAACAACACACTTACGACGTCACATGCTGACACACACTCAAGACAAGCGATTTGTGTGTTCACAGTGTGGAAAGAGCTTCGTCAGAAGGTTCGTAGTTGCATGCCCCGTCGCTTCTTAGCTATCTCCCCGTGTGCTAAAGACAGTCACGATTTACAACTGACCCTTCTCCATCTCGAGCTATGGGTTGTTATAAGCTATCGAAATGCACAGTTTTGGCCCGAACACAAGTCCGGCCATTGAGATAGCCATCATCAAATTTCTCTCAATGGAGTCCATAGTTTTCGCGAAAACATTGTGCATTTCGACAGCTACGACTGTGACTGTCTCTTGCGCACGGGGAGGACAGTCGCACTAATCTCCCCAAGCTGTGGATCGTATCTGAAGTTGATCTGAATCTCAGGGATACACTTCATCGGCATCAGATAACTCATCGCACTAGTTCTGTTGGCAACCACGTGGGGCCTGCTGATGTTCTCTCCCCTCGAGCCTGCAGAGCTTGTGCTAGTGCCCGGGTGCGATGCTCCAGACAAAATCCTTGCGAACGATGCCACTCAAGACGGTTTCAATGTGTCTACGAGGAAGCAGAACAAAGAGCGGAGCCAAGCGCAGACCACAGGCAAGAATCAAACATAGTATCGGTGCAACCTCGCGAAGAAGCTCCTAGTCTTCCTCAAGATCGCTTGACAACTATTAGCGCAGAGCATATGAGTGCAGAGCATATGGCACAGCAAGTACAAGCGCCGCTCCCTCAAGATCGCTTGACTACTATGAACAATAGTACAGAGCATATGGTTCAGCAAGTACAAGCGGCTCCACTCGATGAGAGCAACACATCGTTCTTGCCGGCTACAGGCTCACAGGCCACGCAACCACAAGACAGGTCTATAATGAATGCCACCTGGGTAGCCCAGGATCCCGCAGCTGTGTCACCCTACAACTACCAGGATCAAAGGATGGTTGCACCTTTAGTTGAGAGAGATGCACCATCTCTACCAGCGACAAACTGGCTACCGTACACTAACGGCATGGACTGGGACTTCGACTTCTATATGACTCAGGCACTGAACAATTTTTCTCCCGCCTTGGGTATGCAATCGAGCATTTGGTCTCCCAGTGCAAATCCTCTGGAAAATGCTGCCATTAACATCGGTACGAGTCCTGAAGCCGGAAGTAAGGGATCTGTTGCAGAAGACTCTCCCTCGATATCAGTCACCAACTCAGTGGCTTCTTCGAAGCGACATGGGACGTTTTACGCGGACGGAGAGGTGAGTCGGCTGGCAAGACATCGTAACGCTGAAGTCTTGCAGAATCAAGACCATGTAAGCAGGATGGGAAACAGACTCGAATTCAGCAACATAGAAGCAGAACCGTTGGCCACGACTGCTGCTTCTCGATCAATTATCCCAACGAACACGTACAATCGCATTTTAAAACAATTTGACGAGCTATGCATGACTGAGGGTCCAGTTCTTCTCTTCGAGAAATTTCGGTCTGACCGATTTCCCTCTCGTCAAGCTCTGGAAACATGTATCGAGTCCTATTTCGAAAACATTACTACCGTGTTTCAAGTTGTACACCAGCCTACAGCAACGTTGGATGGCGACAATGACTGGATCCTTTGTCTGGCGCTGGCTGCTCTAGGCGCCGCTATGTCTTCGTCCGTACCGCTGGTGTCCAACGCTGAGGCTCTGAGAACATTCCTTCAGCGAGCCATAAATACGCAATATATGCTTATCGGCCGCATCAAGGGTGCATCGGAGCTGTCTTTTATGCAAGCTTGTATCTTATATGATGTCTTGGAGCTTCATCTGCAACACAACATCAATGAAGAGGCTTTGGCGGGCACCCGATCGTTCTCGGACTACTGTACCAACATCAAAAGATCCCGATGGCTAAATTTGACTGAGCCAGTCTGGGACGACACGTGGACAGAAGCTGACTGGAAAGTTTGGGCGTATCGTGAGAGCCAGCGAAGAGTGGCATACTGTGCATGGCATCTTGACAGTTGGTACTTTCTGACTTCTGGGAAAAACCTGTCGGCAAACTTCTCCCTTAACGATGTTCAGACACAGCTGCCTGTTCACGAAGCTTTGTGGTTGGCGACATCGCTGGGAGAATGGTTGAAGCTCAAAGCAACGCACAAACAGCCGATGAGTTTGACCATCTTACTAAGGTCAATCTATCAGCAACAGCCGCTTGTCCAGGAGCTTGGCGATTTCGCACAGATTGTTGCTGTCCATGCAGTCTGCCGACGGACGTTGGAAGTAGGAGCCAATATTCTTGACCCATTGAGCGGCCTCGACGCGGGGCAGCACCATCGGGGCGAGTCCGTCAGGGACATCTATTGGCTGCCCTCAGATCCGGAGTACCAGAAGTGGCGCAACAAAGCTCTGGACTGCTTAGACACCTTACACTGGGGAACACATGGTGTCATAGCCCGACTTCAAGGTCTCGAGCCGCCGGCGGTTCTACACTTGCACATGTCGCGGTTGGTGTTGCTGGTTCCTTACCAGGATGTCTATGACCTGATGTGCGAAGTTGTCTCGTCACATGGTAACGACGCCTCCTTCTCTCACGTTGGAAACTCTCGCTCGCGCCGAGAAGATCTCGTGGCGAAGATCTGGTTGTGGATCTCCAAAGACCATTACAAATCGAGACTAGCTATTGTGCATGCTGGGGCTATGTTCTGGTATATCCGGCATCACGGCACAGGCAACATTCTTGAGCCGACCAGTCTTTTCGTGGCCAGTGTTATCCTGTGGGCCTACGGATCCTTCGTACCCCTCTTACAAGCCTCGACCGACGAGCAGCACCATGTGACATCTCGCGTGGATACAGACGAAGAATTCGATCCGACAATGATACAAATTGACCGGCCTTGCGACGATGAGCTTATTCAAATATTCATTCGTCGCGGAAACTCCATGCAGCCGCATATGTTGGGCGTAGGCAACATATGCCAACCCGGTGGAGCGCACAATGTGCTCAAGGTTGGTGCGAAGCTAATCAAGAATAGATGCTCGGCATGGCCAATCTCCAAGACATACGAGAGCCTCCTCCTCCATTGCGCACAAGTATCGGCAAGGACTTCGTAGGAACATCAAGTACAGAATGGGCACAAGACTTGGTCGACGTATCATATACTTATGGCCAGATGTGCACATAGCTTTTGCAAATCACAAGCTACATGAAATTTGAAATGTTCCAATGAGGGTTACCAAGGAGGTTGAGCAGCCTATGATTTTCAAACCAATTCACAATGCCCTGGTCTCATAGCAGACTTATGGCGCTGACCGTTTTGGCGAAGTCAAGAATGTTATCAATACACGAGCTTTCGGGCACACCACACCATGCCACGGTCCTAGAGCAAACAGTGGTCGTCGATGAGTATGCGATACATCCAGTTCCGCACGTCAGATTTATCCTAAAGCAGATGCCAGCATCATTCTGTCATGTGCTGAAAGCAATCCACGACTTTGACTTTGTACATGTACTGTACGTACTGCCAAGCTCCGACGGAGCTTCAACGTCCGGGGGGTATCTGTCCAATGAAAAATTTCGAGGAACAAATCATCTCAAATCGAACCGCCCGGTGGTGCATGTGGACCTCAGTTCCTTGCAATCCTTGCACTGTCGCAGGTCTTTCCGGATTCTCCACTTTCCCTTCTGTCGTCCTTCTTCCCCATGGGGCACGGTGTTAGCGCCTAGGTGATCGGCGTGTATATATAACTATCGCCATGATCGGCGTGCAGTGATATACCACTTCTCAGGACTCAAGAGCATTCGGTAAACGCTACATCCTTCCCCTGATCACGATTTTCAGGCTATTGCCCGTCCGCTATACTGAACATGACAGAGAAAAAGGAGGAGATGGTTTATATCGAGGATAAATCCGGCTCGTGTGCCGGAGATGAGAAAACTGACCATGGGATGGCTGCTGCTGCGACAGACGAGGAACACAACCTGACTCTGATGCAAGCTCTGAGGAAGTACCCTCAGGCTTGCTTCTGGTCCATCGCCATCTCGAGCGCTATCATTATGGAGGGATATGATATCGTCCTGATCTATTCCTTCTTTGGACAGCCAGCATTCGTCAAGAAGTATGGCGAATATGATGCTGCAACAGGAAAGTACACACTCTCGGCTGCCTGGCAAGCAGGTCTGGGCAATGGCACGCAGATCGGCACAGTCATTGGTGCCTTCCTCAACGGCTATCTTACCCACAAGTTTGGCTATCGCAAGGTCATGATCGCATCTCTTCTCAGTCTGCTCGCGTTCATCTTCATTCCGTTCTTCGCCCCATCCGTTGAGGTCATCTTAATCGGCCAGATTCTTTGTGNNGGTGAGTGGGCAGTCAACCAAAGTAGTACTTTTAGTATACTGACTTGGCGTGACAGAATCCCTTGGGGCGTGTTTGCAACGATGGCGCCAGCATACGCAAGCGAAGTCTGCCCAACCGTACTACGTGGCTACCTCACAGTCTATGTCAACCTTACTTGGGCCTTTGGCCAACTCGTCGGCGCAGGTGTACAATCCGGTGTGTCGGGTATCACAACAGAATGGGCATACAGGATTCCCTTTGCAATTCAATGGGCTTGGCCTTTGCCAATCGCCGTATTGGCCTACTTCGCTCCTGAATCACCCTGGCATCTCATTCGTACTGGCAATGACGAAGGCGCTTTACGCTCCATCAAGCGCTTGTCTCCGACCAAAACTGAGTGTGAGCATAAGGCTCAGCTTGCGATGATGCAACACACGAATCAGCTTGAAATGGACATCAGCGCAGGCACATCCTACTGGGACTGCTTCAAGGGCATTGATCGTCGCCGTACTGAGATTGTATGCATGGTATGTAGTAACCGGCACTTCAACTACCATTACTCTCACCACTAACGCTCAATAGGCCNNTTTGCTGCTCAACCTTTCTGTGGCAGCGCCATGGGTGGCACCCCTACATACTTCTTCATCCAAGCTGGGCTTCCTACGTCCATTTCATTCAAAATGACTGTAGGTGGCCTCGGCATGGCTTCCGTCGGCACCATCATCTCGTGGTATCTCCTGTCCGCTTTCGGCCGTCGCACCCTATACCTCTGGGGCTTGGGTCTACTCATCATCGTCCTCACCACGACCGGTGCCATCAGTGCTGCAGACGCCACCAGTGTAGCTGGCAACTACGCACAAGCTGTTATGATGCTTATGTGGCTCTTCATCTACTACCTCACCGTAGGCCCAATCTGCTATGCCATTGTCGGCGAGACCTCAGCAACCCGCCTCCGCAACAAGAGTGTCTGTCTTGCTAGAATCGCTTACTATATCGCCAACATTACTTGCGGCGCTATCAATCCTTACCTCTTGAACCCAACCGCACTCAACTTGAAAGGAAAAGCTGGGTTCTTCTGGGCCGGAACGACGCTGATTTTCTTCCTTTGGACCTTCTTCAGACTTCCAGAGTGCAAAGGACGTACCTATGAAGAGTTGGATGTGCTGTTTGCCAACAAGGTCAGGACGCGAGAGTTCAGAAAGTTCAATGTCAACGTGTATGCCGAGGNNGACGGAGAGACTCTTGTCAAGCAAGAGTAGATTAATTACTCAATTTGATGACAGCGACATGTTTATTGATGTACATGATTTCACGGTCGGTCTGGTTATGACATATTGAGGTGTTGAGGAGGTAGTACTTTGTATATACTTGTATCTGCAACCAATAACTTCTTCCCAGTACAAACATAGTTCTCACAGTATACCGCGTTTGGATTCATTACCATATGAACGAGATTCGCTGTAAATAAAACCACGTTGATCCTCTTTAGACATTAGTTCAAGAAGCAAAGGCGGCAGTAAAGTTGAGCCCGGTGGATGAGCCAAGAATATTCTAGGGAAACGATATCATCGAAATCATACTCAGGGACTATGCAAACACGAGGTCTCCGCTCGTCGTAATTCTAGCAGTGTACAGCTCTCTCCGTCCGTCACCCCTTTTGCGCAGCGAACGCAAAGTGGCTGTTGTCGAAGGCAGCATCGGCTCCACCAGGACCTCGAAGCCCTCCATAACCCGTTCCAAAAGGACTCCTTGCTTCGTGAAGCCAGATGTAGGTGATGAGCTTGTCGCGTACGCCACATCGTAGTCTGTGGTGGTGAAGCAATTGGATGAGTAAAAGAGATAGTACGTATCACCAGAGTGTATCATACTGGGGCCCTCGACCAGCGGGCCGTCCTCAGGAGAGTCGTTGGTGATCAGCTCGAAAGTATCGCCGACCCTGAGAATCGAAGGATCGGGAAAATCTGTTGTGATATGAGGACCAGACTCGGACCGTTTTTGTATCAAAGGAGCCGTGGACGAGCGTTGCAGGACAGCTGTGAGTGCCAGAACGAGCGATGTCTTCAATAGGGTCATGTCTGCTGCATATATATAAAGTGTCAAGGTAGTTAAGGATATCAGTCAAACGAAGGAGAAGGTTGAAGGATCGATGGAGAGCAGATTTTGAGACCAAGCTGAAAACAATCGAGTTCGAGGCAAGAGCGAAGAGTGCTATTCTTGTCAGAGTTATACTCGGCCATTTCCACTACCATGACGATAAAGCGTGCAGCGCCATTTGATGACGAAGACTTCTGTCCAGGCACGTTTTAGCGCGTAAAGGCTAGATGTTACTGTATACAACATGCAGTTAGGTACTGGAGACAGATCTACGTTCAGGTGGCAGTACTGAGAGAGGATATCGATGTATGGCGAATCAACAGGCTTCAACATGAGCTCGTGGTCTGTATCTGGGTGACCGAAGGTACAGTACGTGTAAGACGGGGCGGCGTGGTGTCGAGCTGAGCGAGCTGACATGTCTCCTGGCCCGCTACAATGGACCAATTCGAGCTTTCTATGGCATGGCGTCAAGCAGTGTGCCCATCGCGTGCTTAGCATGCGTATGAGGAGGTCGCAAGGCGAAGACCGAAAGACGATCTCTGCTCGTTCGGTTCATCAATGTTGAGGATAGAGGTCGTGATATGCATGATGTGACTCGTATCGACGCATATCGCCAAAGTGCAAGCATGTTGCGACATCAATAGCGACGGGAGTGCAGTCTTGTGATTTATCAAGGGAGCTCGAGACTTGACTCGAGATTGGTTTGTTTGCCCTCGGCCTGTTCTCGAGAGCCCCGCGCCGGGTCCGCTTCCCTGCCGGAAGAGAGGCCGAGTCGGCATATGACGCTGCGCAATTCAGCCTGTGCGTGACACGAGAGCTTGCTGCTGTTGCTTCGATTGCCGACTTTCCTCTCGCTGCATCTCTCTCCGATTGCGTAACACCAGCACGAGAAGGACCATTGCACCTTGAATATCGCCGAGCTCGCACAACACAATCAATCATGGGTGTCTTCAAGACCTTGTCAAAGGTTGCCGCGTACGGCACAGTAGCAGGAGCTGGAGGCTGGGCAATCTGGACAAGAAACTCCAACTTTGTGCCTTTGTCAACTTCCGACTACATCTACAACACGACTTTCTATGCTCGCAACAACCCCGAGAGAAACCCAGCAACAGCCGACTTGTGTGTACGCAAGGTGCCGCTGAGCCAGATCAAGCCCGAGTACCTTGAGAAGGAAGGAAAGCTGGTCGAGAAGTTTTGCGCCGGTGTTTGGGGTGGCCTCGGTGAGTAAACGTGCTTCAACACCTATCACGACTTTACTAACCTGGCTCTTCAGNGATACGCATACCAACGCCAATACCTTGAAAAGAAGTACCGTGATGCCGACACAGAGTCTCAGCTGTGGGACACTAAGGCTCTCTTAGAATCCCAATACCCTGTTGGTACACAAATTACAGACCACTTCGAGGTGCTCACCAAGACACCCGAGTCGATCATTGTTCGCTGTGGTGACTCGCCTCGCAAGATGGAAGTGAGACCTAGCGATGGGCTGTTCGAGATGAGGGCAGAGATCAAGAAAGACGAGGGCGTTGCCGAGTTCCAGCTCAAGAGTGTCTTTTACCAGGGCCTCGGAAAGGCAACTGGTAAGCCCATGCCTGCGCACATTGAGTTCCTGCACAGACAATATACAAAGTTGTGGATGGAGACTGCGATCGGCAATGTCACACGATGAGGAGCTCAGAGAGGGATTAACGTTTTGTTTGACAGGCGCAATGTGGGCGACGTGATGTGATAAGAGAACCATGTTTGTTCTGTGTATAGTGTTCGAGTAAGGTGATTTGCTGAATGAAGAAAGAGCGACTGGTTGCAAAGCACATGAAAGCGCAAACAAAAACGCGTCATAGGCCAAAGCTCTCGATGGTTGTCGCCTCAGGTCTCGACCTTTCCCTTCTGACATCTGAACCATGACTTGGCCATGAGTTGAGAATTTGTCTATTTTCTAGACGACCAATGCGACTACCATCAACACAGCTTCGCAGGCAGCATGGCACAAGGCCGGCCCCGCCGCAAGAAGACAGTCTTGTCATCCTCGGACGATGAAGATGACTCGATGCCCACAGTCGACCTGGAAGACGCTCCTGCACACCATGAGGTCAACGAGACCAAGCCTGCAAGACCATCACGATCAAAAGCGAAAGCTCCGGCCTCGACCACGACCAAAGTCTCCCAATCGCCCTCCAAACCACGACAGAACCGTCAGCCCAAGAAGTCTGCCATCGAAGCACAACCCAAACGTGCAAACAAGTCCATCTTCTCCTTCTTCAACCCAACCGCACAGCGCCATCAGGCCTCATCCCAGGGCTCGACAAGTCCACCGGCCTCTGCCATTCCTGCTTCGGCAGAGCTAGACATTGAGGATGACATCTCAGCTGACGATGCCTCCCTGTCGCAACCATCCCAGATTGCCCAGACCCTACGAAAGAGAAAGCTGATCAAGGACGACCCTGTCGACACCAACCGAGATGGCCTTCCGGCACCATCACAGAAGTTTCGCAAAGTGTCTGGCGGCGCTAAAATCTCCACAAACTCGACCCCTCGTCCGATCGACATAAGACCATGGACCGAACGCTTTGCTCCTGTCGACTTGTCCGAGCTCGCCGTGCACAAAAGAAAAGTTACAGATGTTCGCAATCTCTTGGAGTCCGCTTTGTCCGATCGCCCAAGGCCGAGACTGATCATTCTGAATGGTGCAGCTGGTACTGCCAAAACGACAACTGTCAACCTTCTGGCAAAAGAGATGGGTATTGGCATAATGGAATGGAAGAGCCCAGTAGGCACCGACACTGCGAGCAGTGCTTTTACATCGTATTCGAGCCAGTTTGAGGACTTTGTCTTTAGAAGCGGAAAGTTCGCTGGTCTTGACCTGGTTCGAAGCGATGGTACAGCCCAGCCAGCTCTTGCTGCCGTCAATCATCACGCCAAACAGATCATGCTCGTCGAGGAGTTTCCTAACACTTTTACCAAGTCTTCTCCTGCTCTGCAAATCTTCAGAAACACCATTCTGCAATACCTAGCTGCCCCAGCATCATCGAATCCTACGCCCATGGTCATGGTCATCTCAGAGGCCCTGCTATCGACCACAACCGCATCCGCCGATAGTTTCACTGCTCATCGCTTGCTCGGTCCCGCTATTCTAAACCACTCACAGACCGCCTCAATCGAGTTCAACGATATCGCTCCCACCATCCTGACGAAAGCCCTGGACGCGATTGTAATCAAAGAATCTCGAAAGTCAGGTAGACGCTTTGCACCTGGTCCTGGTGTGCTCAAGCATCTGGCTGAGACTGGGGACATCCGGAGTGCTGTATCCTCTCTAGAGTTCCTATGTCTTGCTGGCGACGACAGTGGTGCTTGGTCATCAAAAGTCGCTTTCACAAAGCCCAAAGGTCGTGCGGAGGCTCCGTTGACCAAACAAGAACAAGAGGCTCTGAAGCTGATCAGCAACCGCGAGAGTAGTCTTGGGATATTTCATGCTGTTGGAAGGGTTGTGTACAACAAGCGCATTAATCCCACTAGTCCAGTGCCTCAGCCTCCGACATGTCTTCCACAACACCGGAAACCCAAAATACCAGAGCACGATCCTAACAGTTTAATTGATGAAGTTGGCACCGACACGTCGACATTCGTTGGTGCACTCCAAGAGAATTACGCCTTGTCGTGCTCGTCCTCATCAAGCGAAGATGCATTGGACTCGCTCAATGGCTGCATCGATGCTCTGTCCGACTTTGACATGCTTTCTTGCGATCGCTTTGGTTTTGGTACACGGATGTCTTCCGGTTCTGCCCAGGACAACCTCCGCCAAGATGACATTTCCTTTCAGACTGCCATTCGTGGTGTTTTGTTCTGGTTACCAACCCCAGTCAACAGGCTTGCAGGGTTACCACGAGGGGCCAAGCGCGGTGACGAGTTCAAAATGTTCTTTCCATCAGCTTCGAAGTTGTGGAAGGAGAAGGAAGAATTTGAGAGCACATTAGAGAGTGTGATAACAACAATGCATAACCTGGCCACTGGCTCGAGTTCCAATTCGACCTCTGCAAACACAGAAGGTGTGGCAGCGTGGAAGCGCCAACAGATAACGGACGCGGCCTCAGAGGATGATGCAGACCTAACCCTTACAACCGCTCCCCTTTCGAACACTCTTTTGAGCTCTGGTGCAAGAACCGAGCTGCTCCTTGAGCGGCTACCTTACGCCTCCCAGATATTGCCTCATCAGAAAGACATACCAACTTTGCTCGTCTCCAAGGTGGACACCTTAACTCGTATCTCGTCCCAGAAATCTGCAGCTATCGCACTAGATGATGCAGCCTTGGATGTAGTCGAGGACAACGAAAGTCTGCAGCAGTCGGAGTGGACTGATCGTCCTGATGCCGAGTCAACTGTTATGAAACGAGGCACTCAGAAGGGCGAGTTCGAGGGAGGTGGATTGCACATACCAGTGGAACATGCAGTCGAGAAGCTTGTGCTCAGCGATGATGACATTGAGGATTAATACCCGTCGCTTGACGACCAGAATATTCTGTACATGACTATGAATTAATGTTCGCACAAACCATATGGCCTGATGTTCCTGATGTCGCCATCTTGAAACGTGAATACGCAGACTTGATGTTGATATCATAGTGCAACCATGGGAACCACTTTGATATGGTACATCAGCTGGTTGTGATGTCCATGTCTTTTCATATCTACAAAATCATATACAGAGCATACTAGATGGTTACATATCGTACCTGCAATAAGCCAAATCATGTGGATCTTTAAGCAGTAGCCCTCCTCTTCATACCGACCCAACACTCGAGCGGCTTCCTCAAGAAACCCTCTCTGGTCTCGAGAGTCTTTTGATAGAGTTCAAAGTCGTAGTTGTGGAAAACGGTCGCGACGATCAAAGCGAGTTCCATCTCTGCAACGTTGCGGCCAACACAGGCACGTGGACCATAGCTGAATGGGATAAAGGCTGATTTTTGNACTGTTGTGTGTTAGCAAGTATGCTTATTTGTGGTAGAGTGATGTAGGACTTACGTTTCAGTCACTTTCTCCCATCTTTCTGGTTTGAATTCATCGGCATCGGGCCCCCAGATCTCTTTGCTATGGTGCATTGTGTATGCGGGCACGCTGAGGACTGTTTCGGCTGGGAAGTGTCTGCCACAGACTTCTGCTCCGCCTGCAGGAACTACTCTAGGAAGACCAAGGGAGGAAGTGCTGTGAATACGCATGGTCTCCTTGATGACGGCATCCAGATAAGGCAGATCGCGGACTTGGTCGAACACAGGGACTTGGGTGCCTGCAGGGATAGCGGCATCGAGTTCTTGTTGCAGTTTTTTGACTACATGGGGAGTTGCGAGACAATGGTACAGAAGAGCGCATGAAGTGTTCGAGGTGGTGTCGCTGCCGGCAATTAGTTGGGTAAGTGCTTCAGCGGTCAACTCCTGACGGCCGAGACTGTTGCCGTGTTCGTCCTTGCCTTCCATCAAGCGAGCTAGGAGATCTACGCGGTCGATACTGTCGGCATTGTCTAGACGTTGCTTCACACGTGCGACAGCGATACCGGCGAGGTTCTGAACTGCTTGCACACCTTTTGTGAAGAAAGGATCAGGGAGGTAAGCAGCGTAGGGCTTGATCCAAGGCCAGCAGCCAATAGTGCCCGAAACCTCGCCTCTGCGGTTCAAGACCTCGATGGCAGGAGCGAACTTGGGAGGAGCATCTGGTGACTCGCGAATCTCGGCAATATCTGCACCTTTCTCGAGCATGCCAAAGGGAGCACCAAAGGCCAAATCTCCGATGATGTCGAAGGCAGTGTAGTTGAACCAGTTCAAGGCGTCCATCTTGGCGTACTTGCCGTCTGCCAGCTTGGACATTTTGTTCCATTGTTCGACCAGCAATTCCAGGTTGTGGTGCATGTATTGTTCGAATTGGCCAATGCTCTTTGCACTAAAGGTGTGGGAAACAGTCTTTCTCTTTCTGGTGTGCTCGGCTCTGTCGCGTGTGTTGAACAGACCGCGTTGGATACTAACGAAGGCATCGTAGTACTCGCTCTTGAGGAAGCCAGTACCGTGACCATAGACGATGGGGATGGCATCCGGGTCTGCAATGGAGACGTGGTGAGGGNNCTGGATGCGGACGAACTTGCCGTATGTCTTGTGTGCTTGATGGACGGCAAGGTATCGTCTGCCCCGGCGGCATTGGTACATGAGCCATAGGTTGGTGAAGGCGGCTGGGAAGGGCGAGGGGATATCGCGGATCGACCAGTTACGCAGGTACGGCAAGATGTAGAAGAGAATTGGTAGAGCCAGAAGGGCATACGGCGTGAAGAGGAGCTCGACCACGCCCATCGTGACTGATTGAGTGAGGTTTAATTGAGTGGTACAAGGGTCAAGACACACTTGGCTGAGCTTGACGACTTACAGGATGCCTCGTCTACTTATACATTCGAGACAGCAGCAGCGAACGAGGGGCATCGTGTGACGCTCGACCGAGATGACCTACCTGAACCTTCTTGCTGCATTCTTGGCGCTCTATCAATCGTGCCTCTTCGACGTCGGAAAGGTCATCAATCCATCTCTCTCCGCAACCTCTCCTTCTTTTCTCGATCCGTTCGTTCCGTCCAATACTTTTCGGAAGATGCACCTGCGAAAGTGCTCAAGATGGTGCTCATTCTGTGGAGGACATGGCGGGGTTCTCGACATATCCGATGTGCCCCGTGCACTCGGCAGAGCAGCTGCACTTTTCGGCTCTTACTCCACCAATCTCGACCTTGTCTTCTATACCACCCACAAAAACACCGAACTTCGGACGATTTGTCAATCACTCCCGATCGTGGCGCTCTCATTCAAAACAATCTGCATTTCTTAAAACTCTTGGTCTCATGCCGACGAACCGACTCATCCGTCATGTCATCCTCTTACATGTGCTCGCCCTAATCTAGAAGACCACCTCCTTGTAGCCCTTGGGCATCTCTCTCTTGTTGTGCCCTGTGCCCTTCCAGTTGTTCATTCCCCAGCTGCCAAAACTGGGAGTCCAACCTCCAAATCCACCGTGACCCCAAGCACCACGCTTTCCACCCCAGCTACCTGACCAGTATGTTGCTCTGCCGTGCACTTCCAACACACTGACACTGAGGTTGGGGAGCTCGAACTTGAAGGTGCCATCAGCAGAGGCTGTGATGGTAGTGTTGGTCGATGTCACGACTTCTGCCTTGCCAGGAGCGTTGTAGCTGTTATGGCTTGGTGCAGTCAAAACTGTCAGCGTCGCAGTGGCGCCTGCAGAGACACCCTTGAAAGACACTGAGACCGGAACATCGCTTGTAGCGTTGTACACGGCTGTCTTGAGCATGTGAGATCCCGTCTGGTTGTTGTATCCAGCCACATAGTAGGCAGGTCCGAAGTTGCCGCCAGTCGTGGGCAGAGTCTCGGTCACAATGTGGTTAGCCATGAGCTGGATCATGTGCCAGGATGTCGACAAGACGTCCTTGGTCGGGTCTGCAGTGAAGCTGATCATGTCTGGAGTCCACTGGTAGCTGTTCAGGTTCTGCAATGTTGGGGCATACGATGCTCCGATCATCATGTCTGAGTTACGTTCGGCTCCGAGAAGGAAGACGGCTTCAGCAATACTGCCCTCCCAGGACGGGAAAGCCAATCTCTCTCTGTTCGAGCTCCAGTCCACTCCAGCCATACTGGCGTTGTTACCCTCGATGACGGCGTATTCGCCTNNGTCTCTTTGTCAGCTTTGTTCGCCAATTCACCTGGTCGTCAACTTACCGATCAAGATGGGATGGCTTCTGTTGTAATGATCGAACAGGTTGAACTCTCTGACAAAGTTATCGGGTCTGGAGTACTCGTGGTAGTCGAGAGAAATGTGGTCAGGGATGGGGTCAACAGTAGTTGTTGATGCAATGATGGTGATGTCAGGGTAGGCTGCCTTGATAGCGCTGGTGAACATGGGGAGACGGTAAGCAGAGTAACTGGAGTTTCCACCGCCAAGGTTGTCTTCGTTGCCGATCNNTATGCAATACATCAGCAACTATTCACGTTGACGACCCAGCAAGAGATCATGAAAAGATCACGACACGACACTTACCTCAACGTAGTTGATCTGGAATGGTTGAGGGTAACCCAAGGATTCTCTGAGTGCTCCATACTTCGTGCTGGTCGAACCCATCAAGAACTCAAGCTCGTCGAGAGCAAATTGAATCCAAGGTTCAAGTTGGTCTTGTGGAGTCACTGGTCCGCCGAGGTAGAAACCGTCCCAAACAGCAAGGACAGGCTCAAGGTCCATATCCTCGCACCAGTGGAGGTACTCAATCAGACCCAACCCATCGGTGTTCTCATAGCCCCAGGTACCGGGTCTACCGGGTCTATCCTTGAGAGGACCAATCGTCTCGTTCCACTTCCAGAGGTATGGTGGAGTGTCTCCCTCGAGGTTGTTGCCNTACATCTTGTCAGTTCTGCGTGCTTGCAATGCTTGATGGTCAGACTTGCCTCCAGGGAAACGAAGAAATTTGCCATTGAGCGCCGCCAGTGCTTCGGCGAGATCAGCACGCAGACCATTGGGTCTGTTCTTGAAAGTGGGAGGGAAGAGACTGATCAGGTTGAAGTCAAGCGATCCACCACTGACCCCAGACTTGTCGAAGGTGAGGTAGAACGAGTTGTTCGAGTTTGGTGCGGCAGAGGTAGGGGTGAAGGTGTAGTTGTGCTGGACCCACTCGTTGGGAGAGGCTTGCGACTGCACCTGTGCGGTAGCGAATGTCTCGTTGGTGATGTCAGACTTGAGAGATGCAGTAAATTCGCCTTTGTAGGATCCCTTGACCCAGAAGGAACCGGTGTACTTCTGAACCTGGACGCCAATGCCCCAGTATCCNACTGCGATTGTGTCAGTAGTCGGTCTGATATTACAAAATCAGTAACCTTACGTGTTTGAGAAACCAACCTCGTTGCCCGTGGCGTTGGCGGTGGCAACGTTCATAGAGGTAGGCAGAGCACTGGAGAGGGGCTGAGACAAGTTCTTCAGCGACAGAGATGTACCTCCCACCGAGTTGTAAGCCAGAAGGGTAGATGGGTGCTCAGTACTGCCTTGGAATGCTCTGTTACGGATGAGCTCGGCATAAAGTCCACCATCACCTGAATAGTTGATGTCNCTTGGATAGTCAGTCTGGAGTCAGAAGATATACATATCAGGATAAAGTACCTCGAACATCAACCCATACTGGAGAGGAGAGGTAGCATTACCGCCACTAGCAGCGACTTGAAGGTTCAAAGCATTGGCTGTGGCAACAAAGGCCGCCAGAGCAACACTCGAGAGCAACATCTTATTTCAAAGATCAACTCTGGACGCAGATCGATCTGTCGATACTGTTGAAAGTGTTTTCAATTGAAGGCTACCCTTGCGTTCTTATACTACACCAGAATATCTCTCCTCACGAACTCTTCGGCAACATGTCCTGATCAACAGGCAACATCTTGATGATCGACCGTATATTATCCTAGAACTGCGCTGGCAACCCCATGTCCCCTCTGTCCCGCAGTCACGTCTTGCATGGACGTAGGACCGTGCATGCACACTCTGCATCTCTTGGTGGACTTTGGAAACTCTGATGATCTTTCCGGGGCTATGCATCTTGGAGAATACGAGCTCACGATGCCATAAGTTGAACCTTTGTTGAAAGAGATTCACGGTACTCTCGATGTTCTTTTCTTCAATAACACCTGTTCTCCTGCCACACACAGTTCAGGTCGTGGACAACTGTATTTCTGTATATGGATGCATTGTATGCGAATACCCAAGGTTGTCCGCCCCGCTGCGGATGTATTGCGGGGTGAGGGGTACAGTATGGGGCCCGACCCAGTCCCCATACCACACGCATACTGTACTGCCCGAAGCGGCCGACGGGGGACGACCTGCAGGCTGCAGACTGCAGTCGAAAAACCCATGTATACCTGTCTCCCCGTATGCTAGATTATGTAACACGTATAGCTATACAAATGCATAAAACTGCTAGGGGAGAGGACAGTGTCCACTGAGAAGCGATAACTTACCGGCTCTCTGTGGCCACGCTTTCTGCCCCCGAACAACATTGTGTCTTCTGATAGTATGGACCTTGGTCCTCGATCTAGCCGGGGTAGGATGGAAGTCCCAGACTCTGCATAGCATGCGAGGTCCTAATCAAATCAAGAGAACTTGTCCGCGGCCTACCTTTGGAAGATTTACTCTCAGCTGAATATGATGTGCTGTAAGGAACGAGAGGCAGGCATCTTCGCACGTAGCATTTAGCCTAATCTGCTTCGCCTGGAATCTAAACTTCTGTCTAGGACCGAGATCAACAAGCATGCGGGACGGAACAACGTCATGCTTGTTATTCACTTTCGGAAGGTGCCACGGATTCTCGGCCGACAGAGTTGGAGTAAAGTGGCATGCAAACTGGATAAAAACAAGCACCACAACGGCAACCGCAAACTTGAATTATGAGCAACTGACATCAAGCTAGCAAAGAGACTCTTTCACAGCCTAAAAGCAGTTGGGACCGGATCAATTCTCCCTTTGCGACAGCCACTCTCTCCACTTCGGTGCACATCTCCTTCTCCATGACTTTCCATATATGCTCATGGGAATGGCGGCCAGCATAGAGCAGAGAACGCAAATACCGAAGAAGAGAAAGGCGTACCCGTAGCCAGCTGCCTCAATGAAAGGCTGCACGCTATAGCTGATGGCAAAATTGATGCAGGACGAGCAGATAGCAAGAACCACAACCAATTCTCCACCAATTCCTGGGAAGCATTCCATGGCATATGTAGTTGCAATGGAACAAGCCGAGACCTGGTGAGCAATCATACAGCCTACTCCGAAGGCGATTGTCATCCAGTGTGCCCCTGCTTGGGCACCAAATCCGTACATAAAATATCCAATTGCGGCATAGACGAAGGAAAAGCACAGAGTCCAGAGACGCATCTCGGGCTCTTTCACGCCGCCGTTTTTGCGTGATAGATGGAGCACGATCCGATCGGACAAAACTCCAGTCAGCCAGCCTACAAAGTTACCAACCAGCGCAGCAAGAAAGACGAGACCAGTAGATGAGGTGCTCCAATTATAAGGCGGTTCAGTCAAAATCTCGGAGATGGTGTTGAAGGACACAATCCCAGCTNNGCGACGAATAAGTATACATGCCTAGAAAATGCTAGGTAAATTCAACTTACCTGTACAGCCGAATGCAAAGATGCAACCAGAGATGACGACATTTGGGAACAAGAACAAAGCGAAGGGACGACGAAAGTATTGAAAGTATGTTGTTTTGTCTTCCGGGAAGTACACCCACAGCTTCAATTTCTGGGCGTAAGTCCGGCGAGGGAAGTCACGCTGCTGGATATCATGATTCTCAGACTGTGTGGTAGTAACAAGGTTGAGATCTTTCTTAACAGTATCCTTGTCGTCGATATTGGACTCCGCAGGGCTAGATCGACCCTCGGTGACTGGGAGGGTCCCTTGGATCTTCTCGAAGATAAACCTCGGGAATAGTGTTTCCTCAAACGTGAACGTCAGAAGAATTAAGACACCCGCGTCTATCATCGCAACACAATACTGGGTCCATCTTGATAGCATATTAGCAGATGTATTTGTGGTGTTGGAGAACGCTTACCGCCAACCGAGGTTGTCCGAAATGATACCACCAGTGATTAGGCCAAGAATGCTACCAAGCTGCTGACCAAATAGGTAGAATGACAGCATCATTCCACGCTCATGCGCAAAGAACATGTCAAAAACTGATAGCTGTATCACAGCTTGGTAGGCACTTGTGCCAACACCATTCAGGATGTTCGACAAGAACCATTGTGCGGTTCCATTGACACGACCCTGCCAGACACCCGCCAAACAACATATGAGCGTAGTGAATAGGAACACAGGTCTCCGTCCCACTTTGTTGGCCGTACTGATCCACCAGATGTTGCAGAGGCCGAGAAGCAGATAGTTTAGTGCACTTCCACCATTCATGTTGACTAGTGAAACGCCAGTATCTTCGGATACAGTTGTCCATGCTGCACCAAGAGTGTTCTCCCCGAATGAGAATGCGCACGCGTAGAGCGCAAGCAAGAAGAGCTGGTACCATTTCTTCCAGCGAGACCATGTGAGAGGGTCCGAGCCGCATTCTGTTGGACGTGGGATAAGAACAATATCAGAATCGCCTTGGTGAACAGCATCAACGTCGTGATTTACTNNGCAGGATTGTAAGAAACGTCTTTGTGTGGTTCGTAGATGTTTCTTACCGTCAACAAGCTGTTCAGTACCAGGCACGTCGAGGTCATAGTCTCGGCTCGTCATGATGGATCTTCGAATCACTAGTGATATGAGACGAACTGCAGTATTGCATGCACTTTGATCGGAGAGGCAGTGCGTCTTTATAGCAGTTGAGAGTGCCAATGAGTGTCGCATGCGCAGTATCTTCCATGATCTTCGCCTATTACTGAAGGACTGATGTTCCTCTGATAGAGGAACGTTAGTGCGGAGTAGATGAAGGTACAAGCGAGGCCAATAGGAGGTGCAGCCGTATGCGCGATAAGCTTTAGCCCCAGGATTTAACCTGTCGAGACCATAGCCAGCTGATCATCCGGTGTAGAGATAGGCCACGGTAGATATTAGCAACGTCAAAAGTTCGAAGGTACAGCCGAAGTGTGCAGTGCGATGAGTTGAAGCATGTACCCATGGACTTGCATCAGAACCCATGGATAATCGAGATAACGCATCTTGATATCAACAAGATATATCATAGCGATTCCAGATAGCCAGGCAAGTCTGGTCTGCGACAAAGACCTGCCTAAGCTGGACAGCGATATGACAGGTGCAATCTAGATCCAAATCTCATCTGGTGATCCATCATTGCTGAATCATTTGAATAGAGCCGACCTACGACGGCGTCTGTTGTATCATCAGGCAAGGCTCAAACCACCACACAATGGAGCAACGTAGCGTTCCCAATCATTCTGACCCTTTTCAAGTCCCNNTTCCACTTGTGTGTCAGAGATCTCATCGTGACTCCTGGTTAGCCATACTCTCTCGATAACAGACCTTGTCTTGGCTATATTGGCAATGGCGTTAGATCCACCTAAGCGGTCCAAAGCATACAGAACAAAGGGTCGAGCGTAGTTTGGCACCTCATCGGGTAGATCTTGTCTCTCGGCCCACTCAAGGTCTTCCATAGGATCGAGCTCAACGGCAGCAACAAANAGAGGCCAGCTCAAACCAGCAAGTACTCCATGCTCAAGGAGGACTGAGACAAGACGGAGGATCTGTTGTACATGCCCAACAACAAGAGGCATTGCTGGGGTTGCACCATTGAGAGCACAATGCAGGTAAAGCTCAGCTGCCAGTCTTTTCAGCTCGGCAGAGAGTTGTAANAGATCATCTTCTTCGTCGAAGACCCTCTGTCTTAGACTAGAGAGTCGGCGCTCCAAAGATGCTGCCTGGTATTGAAAGTCGGGTAGAAGACATATGCCCGGGCGTGATCGATGTTTGCGACTCAACTCAGTAATCTCGCACAAGATGGACACGAGACCAGCAGAGCAGCCAAGCCAGGCATCGGTGTCTTCGCCTTGTGATGTCCAAAAGTCACTGCCAAAGATTGGCTCCTCGCCACATGCCGTTCGCCCAATAACATCTTGAAAAGCAAAGTACTTCTCAGTGAACTCGACAAGCTCATTGGAAGATTGTCCAGCTGGAAGATAGATTTGAGCATTTCTTCTAACTCGGATGAGATCTCGAGCTCCTTTGAGATGGACAACCCAGCGTTTGTCGCACTCGTTGATGATTTCGTACTGACACAAAATCATCATGATGACCAGTGTTTCGGGATCCATGGCCACTTTCAGAGGGTCCTCAGTGCCGAGCCTTCCACGTAGCGTGCGAAGAACATTGTCTCCCAATCTCAATGAGGTTGAACGAAAAGCGCTATCCTTCTTTGATCTATGGCAGGCGGCGAGAGCAAGCAGAGCCTCCAAGACAGCAGGAGAAGATGAGATAGAGAACGGAAGAATGAGATTGGCAAATGGTGATTTATTGACAGAACTCGGAACGGTGATGGGACATATCTTTTCCAGGTAATATGAGAGTAGATTGGAGTGCATGGGGCTAGGGAGATTAGGCAGCATTGGTAAAGCAGATGGTATGGAGTGTTGACGGGGTAGAAAGACAGGTTGTCTTGCAGAAAGCCATGGTGATAGCGAAGCAGTGCTGGAGGTATCGTCGCGATCGTTGGCACGAACGACATCCAAGACTGGCGTAGCTTCCAATGCGAGGTTGTCCAAAGTTGTAAGCTGTTCGACATTCCCTACCGTAGCGTTGACGAAGCTGTATGCAGTAATCAGAGGAATCTGAATCCAAGATACTTCGTCCTCTGAAACATGGATACATGGCGAAGAAGCATCGGCTTTCTCGGCGGCCTTCTTGCTCCACAAGCCAGCTCTACCAAATGCTCTTCCAGCACTGGTATAGTCTTGCTCCCATTTGAGCTTGATGCTCGTCTCACAATCAAACCCCTTGGCACGACATTGGCCGCAGACGGGTTTCTGCTCGTCACAGCGAACTTTGCGAGAGCGACATTTGTTGCAACCAGTCCTGTTGCGTTTTCGCGGAGGCTCCTGAGGATTCACGCGTTTGCGGGGCATCGCTGATGTTTGAGTTAGAACAGGTGGGCCTTAAACATGATGGTGCCGCATTCGGTAGGACGATAGGGCGATTGTAATTCCAAGGAAGGTCCAAGTCAGGCTTTGTCTTGTGATGGCTGGGGCAAGCTGGGGCAAGATAGGCGGATGAAATGCGGCTAAAGAGGTTGGGTGACGGAGGAAAGCACGAGTCATGCCGCCAAGGGTGCCACTCTGGCTTGGACCTTCCCCTTCTCGAGACTTCCCCGCCATCACCTCAAGGTGAATTTGATACCGTTATGTCTCCAGTCAATTCATTATAGGTAGGTTAGTAGCGTATTAGTAGTAGGTCACTGCTCGTTGGAATAAGTCAAGCACCTTGACGCCCTTCCTTCCCTCTGAAGCACCCTCACAAATCCTCACAATGTCTAGCCAACTTTCCATGAGTTCGACAATCCTGATCGTTGGTGCAGGGACCTGGGGAATCTCTACAGCATTGCACCTGAAAAGGTCTGATCACTATTTCTGTTCAGCGTTCCACACACGATTCAGAGGTATTGACATGCTGCCANGGCGAGGATACAAACACGTCACTCTCCTCGACCCTTACCCTGTACCGTCTCCTATATCCGCTGGTAACGATGTCAACAAGATTCTCGAATTAGGCACTTTTGCTGCTGGCGCCGACTCGGACGAACGTTTTGTTGCAAACACCTTGATCAACGAAGCAACCAAAGGATGGCTCGAAGATCCTGTATTCAAGCCGTACTTCCACGAGACTGGATGCATCATTGCTGCAACTTCAGAGGCTGGGCGTTCTCATATGAACTCTGCTAGTGGCCCAAGCGAGGATGCAGGCTGGGTACCACTCAAGACGAAAGAGGATTTCCAAGCAACCATGCCAAAAGGTGTCCTCACCGGAGACTTCCCAGGCTGGGAGGGCTGGTGGATGAAAAAAGGCTCTGGGTGGATTCATGCCAGAAAGTCTATGGAGAGTGCAGCCAGAGAAGCAGAACGTTTGGGTGCAGTCTTTGTCACTGGTGAGGAGAAGGGCAAGGTCGAAAGCCTCATCTTCGAGAACGGTGATGTAGAAGGAGCCAAGACACTAGATGGGGTTGAACACAGAGCAGACCGTACCATACTTTGTGCTGGTGCAAATGCAGGAATTATCTTCGACATGAAGGATCAATTGCGTCCGACAGCCTGGACTCTAGCTCACATCAAGATGACANAAGAGGAGTTGCAGCTGTTCAAGAACCTGCCAGTCCTGTTCAACATCGAACGAGGATTCTTTATGGAGCCTGACGAGGACAAGGGCGAACTGAAGATGTGTGACGAACATCCCGGCTATTGTAACTGGACTGTTGACCCACAGAAGTGAGCCTCCACTACCATTGACGACCTCATTCGCTAACCTCTCCNNAGCTCTCAACGGTCCAGTGTACCTTTCGCAAAACATCAGATCCCCAAAGAGGCAGAAGAACGAGCCAGAGGTTTCCTGCGCGAAACAATGCCGCATCTTGCGAACAGACCATTTAGCTTTGCCCGTATCTGTTGGTGTGCAGATACTCCGAATCGTGCGTTTTTGATCTCCAAACATCCCGAGTATCCCAGCCTTGTGCTTGGATGTGGTGCATCAGGCCATGGTTTCTGTCACATTCCAGTAATTGGTGGATTGTGAGTGCTCTCTATCAATCGGTTATGATGATTTGGCTGACCTTATTCACAGTNNATCACAGATGCGATGGAGGACAAACTGGATCCTCGTATGAAGCACAGTTTCCGCTGGCGTCCAGAGACGGCTGTAAATCGCAAGTGGGAGGATCTGCAGGATAGATTTGGCCCTGAGGGGTCAAACAGGATGATGAACTTTGGCGACATTATAGAATGGACTAACATCCAACCTGAGATTGCAGAAGCCAAACTATAGGCTCTCAGTGGACACACAACCGACTACCATCCCATACTGCACTCTTGTAGCTGCTTGACAGAGTAGCATAGATAGTCAAAATGAGAATATAACCATGAAATTGGATAAGAAAAGACAATCAATGAAGTTTGAGAACTGGATGACTTGATAACTATAGACTGTATTAAAGGGAACATATTCCTTTCCCAACTAACTTTGACCCTTGCTCGTTTGTCTACCTTGAAGTCGATGCTGCTGAAAAGCAAATCTATCCTACTGCAGAGTAACCTCGCATTTGTGACCTTTGGGCACAATCACAAAGTAGTTTTCGAGATCCATACAATCTGCAGGCATGCTCGGAGCAATACGCATACCTCTGCACTCACGGAAGAGGAAGGCGGTAGCATATCTCAGTTCCATCCATGCGAGATTAATGCCGAGACAGCTGTAGGCACCTGCACCAAAAGCGCAGAATGTGCTCTTGGCTGCTGCACTCTGCTCNTTGCCCTCAAACCACCGAGAGGGGTCGAACCTNGGAACAGATGTCAGAAATTTGTCATCGAATAGTGGCGAAAACACTTACACTTGGGCGTTTGGCCAGAGGTTCTCATCTCTGTGCATGGTGTATGCTTGTGTGCTGACTGTTGTGCCAGGAGGAACAAAGTATCCGTCGAGCGTCACGCCGCCCTCGGGCACTACTCGAGGAAGACTTCCTGGTACAGCACAGTACAATCGTAGTGTCTCGTTGATGACTGCATTGAGGAGAGGCAGCTTCTCGAGGTCTGCGTCAGTGAAACCGTCGCTCAGCTTTGCGACTTCCTCTTCTAGAGATGCGCGAAGCTGAGGTTGAGACACAACTGCCCAGGATAGGAAAGTCATGGTGTTGGCAGTCGTTCCTGAGCCAGCGAAGATCAACGAGGTTGACTCGGTTCGAACGTCCATATCGTCGACATGTGCTTCACCTTTCTCGGCTTCAGCCATAATAGTCGCCATCAAGTTCGAGTCTTGGCCACCCTTTCGGGCATTCTCAACAGCTTTGGTGCCGTAGCCTAGAATGTATGCGCTCGAATTGAAAGCCTCCTTGAGTGGCTTGAAAGGTATACGGCTGCCAATAGCCCGGAGCCAAGGCATTTCGGCACCAATGCCGTTACCGATGAGGGCGGCTTCAAGTACGCGAATATACTCGGTTTTNCTAGATAGGTACCATATCAGTAGGCTGAAAGTGTTACTGCTCAATCTTGGACTTACTTTGCCGAGCTCGAGCATACCAAACGACTCGCCGAAGCCAAGGACACCAACGATATCTGTAGCCATGAATGTCCACCACTTGAGCAGATCCGCAACACCGGTCTGAGCGTCAACCTTGATCTTTTCGACAGCAAGAAAAGTCTTCTCGCGGACGACAGGCTCCCAGTGCTCCCTGAGGTACGATTTGCTAAAGCCGCGAGCAAATAGCTTTCTACGCTGACCATGTTCACGAGGGTTGCGCATAGTGAAAACACTCAGACGTGGAAAGTTGGTCAGCTTCTCATACCATATGTCTTTGGTGAACTTGGACGAGACAGCATGGATTTGCTTGAAAGCTGCTGGATCTGCGACGGCAACCTCTTGTGGTGATATGCGCACTATAGGGCCATATTTCTTGTGCAGATCGTCGATGTAAAAGATTCGACGTCCTCCAGTAACAGCGAACTTCAACTGCAAGTTAGTATAGCGACTGATCCATGGACCTGGAACGTTCTTCAGTGGTGATGTGAGCGATAAATACAAAGTCTGTCGTTGACTGTCCGTTAGCACACATTCATAGTGATTGTCCTACTCGAATGATAATACCTGTACCACCCAGAACAAGATGGTGATACCCAGTCCCAGCAGTAGGAGTGAGCCTGATAGAGCAATCATGTTTGAGAAATTGGAAGAGATAGATAAGACTCGGTTTGGGGGGACAGCATAAGACTACTTATGATGCACCTTTACTTACCTCGTAACTCACCCGCGCAGCATTTGACTACGAAGTTCGAATGCCGGACTATACGCATATACTTCATCCCTTGCAAGCATGAAATCAAGAACTCGCAGCGCATTATCGTAACGCGCATATATGGAAGCTAAATCCATGGCAGTCCGCAAATAGAACATGAAAGTACCAGACGATGTGGCACGCGACCGACTTGCCAGAAACAAGCTATCGGAAATGAATGGCACCAGGAGCACTCTCGTAGTGATCTGCATCCATTCTGGTAGATGACCAGCATGGTACAGATCCAGGCGAAGGATGATTGGCAAACAGATATGGAGAGAACAGTATGTCCTTCGGACATTCGTGGGGGTTGCGAGGCAGGTGCGTTATACGAGGCAAGATATCGATAGCAGATAAGCCAGGAGGATGAGGCATACAGGAAGGATCTGAAGGAACCCATGTCACTGGCCTCCAAGCTTCTGGTTAAGCAAATGATGTGCAACCTCGCGCGGGAATTATAGTGGTTGAAAATCCCCCGCAGTGCAGACCACCAACCAGGGTCTTGATGTGACGACCAGGGTGTCATCCAGAGTTGATCGAGCATATCTAGGTGCTGATTAGCTTCAGTCGCCTGTAGTTGTACGGCTGAATGCGTGTCAACATTAGGTATGACCTGACAGAAAACGTAGACGGCGGGGTAGGCGATCATCGTCTTCGCGGAGATATAGGTCAAGTAACAGAGGTGCGTCTTCAAGCTGAGGACGAGCCAGAGTGATCGGTAATGGCATGTCCTCTTGAGCAGAAGGATTCTCACATCCACATAGGATCTTCGGGCGACAAGGCAGTGTTCTGACTCCGCACGTCTGCAGGCTGATGATGCAACTTGCTGCAAGTCGCATGGCGTCCAGCTGTGGTTGCTCTGCTCTGCTTGGTCGGTCTCGGCTGAACTTTCCATCGACTGCCGGACGACATCCGCTGCCTTCTACCCAACTGGCAGGTTTTTGGGAATCTGAACGACATTGCAACCTCATTTTTCAGACATCCGGCTCTCCGCACCAAACATGGGTTGCCCTGCGAGCAGAAGGCACGGTCACGATAAGCGCCTGCTGTGTTGGCGACGAGATCTTCTCTGCATAATTGTGTAGCCGGACACGAAAATGGACACAATGATGAGATAACACGGACGAGACCTTTGTGGTGATGAAACACAACACTTTGAGAGCATCTACGATCGAATTGTGCTCTGCGTGGAAATTCATGTAGCTCAGTCCTTCGTTCCTGCCATCGAGCGAAATGGAAGCAGAGCTGTGACAGAAGGCACCATCTTCATCGGCTCATGTTGAAAGGCTTTCTCTTGAGATTTATATTCACAACACGCAGCCTCCATCCAGTACTCATCTGTCTTCATCTAACATTATCGAACCCTTTCAATATATCAACCATCACTATCAAGCACATCTAATATGGCCGGACAAAGCCCAATCTCACCTCATGGCACTCTTGGCCCCATGTAAGGCAATGTGCAACCGTCTGACAGAGTGCATTGCATTGACCCCGTCCCACACAGTCGCCAGAATGTCGGCCTTCTCTCCTTTCTTGCCGTTACCGGAGGACTTCTATGGCTACTCAGATCCCGGTCCATGGCTCGCAAATCCTTCGAAGAGAAGCAAAAGAAGGCCGAGGATGTCGTTGATCGTCATCCCAACTCGACCATGGGACGAAACATTTCAGAAAGAGATCCGCACACGCGTTGATGAAGCTTGATCAAAGAACTAAGACCCTAATCAGTCCTGACAACCGCTTGATGCCTCTGAAGTCAAGTATGGAATGGAAGGATAAATTGTATGAATAAAAGCATTATGCTCGTATGAATAGAGTGGCCGCCGTAAAAGCATTAACAGCCAGTGTGAACTAACGATGTAAAAGTATGTCATGATTTGCCTCCCACGGCTCCATGCCCAGTGTAGCCACCAAACACCCGTGCTTTGCTGCAGCGCTCTAACCAGAATGTAATGCAGATAAGAAACCGGCCCAGAAACGCCTCCATCAAGATCCCTATATTATGCTGACACTTTATGACTCTTGCTGAAGACCATGCTTTTCGTAGTCCTTTGTGAGCAGCTGGTCTCTGGCCTCGTAATGGCCCTCCATCCTCCAGCGCCAACTCTCCATATACGGCTTGAGGTCCTGGACCTCGGGCGACCACCACTTGTCGTGCAGACTCTTAACTCCGCCAAGAAGATCATCAACCTTGGGATAGTGGATGTTCCATTCGTTGCCGAGCTGGGTCCAAGGCATGTTGCCATTCTTGCGGTGCGCGTAGTTCAACAGGTTTTGCTCAGGGAACTGAGGGTCGAAGCGGTTGTCTAGCTTGAGTAGTGACATGTAGTAGTCAAAGACTTCGCGCGAAGGCTTGAAAACGAAGAAACCAGCGTTAAGGTAGCCAATGTTGGGGNNGAAGTCGTGGTGTTCCTCGGTGGGAGGATAGCCATGGTCACGGTTCATCTCAGGCACGCCAGCAAAGTTGTAGTCGAGAGGCAAAGCTCCCTCATCCGACTTTGTAGCAGCAGGCTGTGTCAGAGTTGCATGAGTCTCGACGGCGGGATCAGCAAAGATGCCGTCAAGAGGCTCGACCAGAACTGTATCGCCATCCAGGAAGCAGATGCGCTCGAATTGTGTCAACTCCCACAAGCGCAGCTTGGTCGCGACGTCTTGCCACGTGCTTGTTTCGGTCTTGACCCAGTCGGCCTTGATAAAGTCTGCCAGAACCACGACCGCTCCATCCTTGCGCAGTCTCTGTCTCTTTGCTTCCGACACGTTCTCGGTGACCAAGACAACGAAGGGAATGGACTTGTCGCGAGATGACGTCTCTGGCGCATGCAACAATTGATATGCGAGGATGCGCGTAGCAACAAAGTAGTGGTCTTTNTCCCAGTTCTCGTCTTGATTGGCGTCTCCAGCGAGGAATGTCGCGAAGGCGTACTTGGCCTTCACCTGGTCGAGCTCTGTAGGGTGCCAGTTTTCGTGCGACAGTGCCGGAGGCAAAACATCCTTGGCTGTGTCTGTGATGGACTGAATGACGGCATCGCGGTGTTCGTCGTACGTACGCGGAAGAGGGGTGAAGAAAACGGACAGAAAAACGACGATGGTGATTAGCGGAATCCAGAAGGTCTTTGTGTTGCGAAACGTCGGCGTGCGGCGAAATTGAGGAAGAGGCGAAGGCGGTGGGAGTAGATGTTCTTGGGCCATGTTGATGTTGTCTGGTATGGGGAGCCGGTCGTGGGTGTGGGTATGCGTATGCGAGAGTGATTTCACCGCCGCAGCAGGCTACTTGAGCGAGTGTGGTCAAAAGAGTGTCGGGTCGAGAAACGAGTGTCGAGTCGAGGATACGAGGGAAACAAGTATTATTATTGCTTGGTGCAAGGAAATTGACCAACGGCGAAAAAAAGGGACAAGGTTGCAGAGGATCAAATTATGACATAGCGGCCAGCCTACATACGAGCGTTGGCTGTCTCAATCCTCGATACGATCGCCAACATTAAACCAAAGGCTCCCTCTCAATCTCGTGTCTTTATCATTGTCCAAGGCGTTGGGGCGCTTGTCAGCTCTGCCGATAAGGAAAGGTTACGAATGCCACTCTGCCAGGAGTTACCCGCCAAGCAGATACGGGCTTACACAAGACCATCTCCTTGCTAATTGCGACTCCTTCAGCGACGGGTTTTCAGCTGAGGTATCGCCAACGGGTCACAAAGTCCTAGACGGTTGGAGAAGATGGTGGGTTGCATGAACTGTCCCTGGCTGACTCCACGATCCTTCCATCACAGACCGCCCGATTATGCCGGTGCACTGCCTGCTGCTTGAACCTGGCGCGCAATCTGCTTCGGATTGTGACAACTCACATCTTGATTCTTGAAACGGGATACATCATCGTTTTCCTGTCGTCTCTAGAAAGGGAGTCTGGAAGCTGTCACGTTTGATCTCCCCCTTTGACATGTGCGCCTCGCATGTTGTTGTCCTGAGCGCCACCACCAAAAGGCCTTTTCGATTCAGCTCTTGGCGCTGCCATCGAAGCTTATGCATTTTTACTTTCAGTTCTATATATAGATGGGCATCCTATCGAGGCTGTGAAGCTTTAGCAGCCTTTGATTGAGTGCAGAAAGAAGTCCTTGTTCCTTGAGGCATCTCAACAAATAGACACCGCTTGAGCTTGGTCTAGGCAAAATCAGCAAGTCGATCGGTGGCAGGAACCCCGCCATGATTTCGCAATCCCCTCTTCCCCCCACGTTCGACTACTGTCTTCCAATGATCGGTTCACAAACATTGGGCCCCAAGTCGGGAGAACCATACCCCTCGCTGCCGAGACTAATCTGTAAGACTTCTGGCACTTGCTTACAAATGAAGTCACCGTCGAAGCTGTAGAAGAGCGACGTTGTCGCTGATGACTATACATGATCCTCCGAGCGGAGTGATTGTGTTCTCCGCTTCTGCCATGACGCGAGGGCTTGCGACACTGTATGCAGATCGCCAGACCGAGTCGCAAGTATAAAAGTGTGGTGAGTGCTCGCTCTCAAGCATAACAATCTAGCCATCACATCTAGAGCATCAACCACAATGTCCGAATCAGGAATCAAGACGGTGTTTGGCGGAGCCACTGTTGGCAGAGCCTTCAAGACTGTAGAGGACTGCCATGATGTCTTCAAGACGCTCAAAGCCTTTGACGTCGAAACCATAGATACTGCTCAGCTCTACGGCGAGTCTGAGAAGATTCTCGGAGAGGCAAAGGCCGGCGAGCAGTTCATCATCGACACCAAGACTCCTGGAGGCTTTGCTCCACAAAACAATACCCCAGACATAATCACCAAGAACGGACACGAAAGCTCGAAGATATTAGGAGCAATTGACGTCTTCTACATCCATTCTCCTTCTCAGAGCGAGCCCAATGCTGAGGTCCTGTCAGCAGTCAACGAGCTTTACAAAGCTGGCGTCTTCAAGAGATTCGGACTCTCTAACTTTGTAGCCAGCGATGTCCAGGCCGTTTACGACCACTGTGAGAAGAACGGTCTTGTCAAGCCGACTGTCTATCAAGGCAACTACTCGCCCGTCGCTCGTCGCCAGGAAACTGAGCTTCTACCCACTCTTCGCAAGCTGGGCATCTCGTTCTACGCCTACAGTCCGTTGGCTGGTGGCTTCCTGACCAAGACAAAGCAAGAAGTCCTTGATGGCAAAGGCAGATTCGGCTTGGAGATGATCGGCGCAATCTACACCAACATGTACGCCAGACCTCAACTTCTGGACTCGCTCGTGGAGTGGGAGAAGATTGCTAGTGAGGCCGGTGTTTCGCGCGCTGAACTAGCTTATCGCTGGGTCAAATACAACTCTGCCTTGAAGCCTGAACATGGAGATGGTATCATTATTGGTGCAAGCAGCCTCAAGCAGTTGGAACAGACCCTAGAAGGTCTTACCCATGGCCCTTTACCCCCTCAGATAGTCGAAAGGATTGACAATACCTGGAAAAGCATCGAGGATTTTGCTCCCTTGGACAACTATAACGACGGTATAATGAAGGGCAAGATGGCATAACGGGGATAAGACGACATAATGTAGGGCAAGTTGAATCACGCGGTTTAGTCGGTACTCCTAATGAATTCATGTCCAATGAGGGCAGACCATTCGTAAAGTCGTGTGCTGTAATGAACTTTCGATTGAGATTTGAAAAGCAAAGGAGCTACGTCGTTTTGGTAGCGGGCCGAATATTCAATACTTATGCTCAGTATCATCAGTATGGAGATATCTTTCAGGGGGTGAGGATTTTGTAGCGTAGCTATGCCATTATCATCGTATTGGTCAAGATCAGGCTTCTTGATGCCAGGCTTTCGCAACACTCAGCTGTGGTGCGCGAGAAGCTTTAAGAACCCGTCGATGAGGTACGTGACCATCTAGTCAGCAGTGTTGCCGTTGAAAACAAGGACATAATCAAGAGTCAAGATCTTGGTCTAGAGATCAAGAAGATAGAAACCCAACTCAACGGGTTATAGCAAGATTTCAACAAAGCAGACGAGCACACCTGGCCTACCTCGATCGGTCCTGAACATGACCTAACCGCCCGATTACAGCATGGAACTGGAACGAGATGCAGTTAGTCTTGAGGCATTGTTCCAACGTGGATGAAACTCCCAAAGCCATCGATGTCGACAAGGAAAAGACTAGCAGCAAATCATGATCAGAAGACCATCAGGCCGGATAACCATAACTACGTGAGCCTGAGCCGTGTCAATTAAGAGCAAATGTTTGTCATATGGTATGTTGCCTTGACACAATATACAGCATGGAACACAAGCAAGCTGAATTGGAGATATAGCCTTCGCATCCTTCCTAACAGGTCATCCTGAGCTGCGAACCCCTGGAACTCGATCAGATGATGTGAAGTGCCAGTTGAGAGGAACAACGCTCGCGGTCTCAGAGGATTCTCATACGATTGTCTTACGACACGATACCCTCGTCAGTTCAATACCATCTCATCAAGGCCCCTTTGTTTGCGATGGCAGACAACTTTCGCTCTCAGAGGGGCTTGCAAGCTACAGAACAGACAGCTAGCAGAGAGAAAACAAGACTGTAGCTTGTGAGTCTGACAGTACACGTATTCGCAGTAATATATGGTTTATAGGGGACACCCTGCCCATGCCTCGCCAAGTACTACCAGCCGCATTGAGTAAGGGATGTTCGTCCTAAAAATGGTCGATGGCGTTATCGTGCCTGAATTGACGAGTCGTCAGGGCTATCCGTGCCGTGTTTTGCTGCAAAAATATGGTCTTGAATCGGGCTGCATGAGAAGAGCAAGAACACACAAGCATGCTAAGGCTCGCTAAGCAACGATGGTGTGATCGGCATTCAGTGGTCGAACGCTTGTCAGGTTTATTTCGATCCACGAGCGACATCTACTCGATGAAGGGCTTGTGGTATTCCTTGAGATTTAGCGGTGCAGTAGCGAATATTCTCAGCTGGTCGTTGATGTCTGGTTTGTCGAGCTGGAGGTCAAAGTTTAAGGTCGGACCGACCAAAAGAAGAAGGATATTTCGGGCTTGATGGCTGGCAACGCGGGATGCCATCGCTTGCGTGTTTTGTAAATCAGGATCAACAAGGAATCCGCATCACTCGACGACTCGCGAGTCCGCCAATAAGAAATGTTTCATGGCCTGAAGCTGCGGTACACGCCTTGATCCCCGTCTGCGCTTCTCAACATGGCCGAATGAAAAAGCGGGCCCCGGAAGAATGCTGATGAGCAACCCGATAATCAAATCATCAAAGGGCTGTGCAGAGGAAGCACCAAGTTGTTTCAACTTGTAATCGTACACGCGCCCTTCGTCATCACATCACCTTGATCTGCTCGGAGTAGTTGCACACTCGCTTTCACGTTCATACAATCCAGGAATTTCTGAAGGCTGGTCGTACCGCCATTCGACGCCACCACTTTTCGTCTATCGCTCAACTTATCGTGAGGCTGGCACTCTTCTTTTGGCTGCTTTCGAATTGTCATTATCGTCGCTCTTTCAAACTTCTTACATGGTCGCAAAACCTCAGAGATGAAACCAGTACTTTCGTCATGGCTTGTCAACGCTCTGTGCTTGACAGCACACTTGGGTTCAGCATTACAACTTGATGTCAGTAGTCCGGGTAAGTTCGCAGCAACACCATGACACAAAGTCACTCAGGTCTGACACCAAACAGACTCGATCAGATCAACAGCTAGTGTGGTCGCGTATGACTTGATGTCTTACTATACCGGAAACCGTACTGGAGACGTTCCAGGAAACCTGCCAGCTCCGTACTACTGGTGGGAAGCGGGTGCCATGTTTGGCGAGATGATCGAATACTGGTACTACACTGGTGACACGACATACAACGATGAAGTCAAGCAGGCTCTATTGCACCAAGTCGGAGATGACAACGACTACATGCCCAGGAATCAGTCGAAATCACTTGTACGTCTCTCCAAAGGGTATCTGCACATCGTGGCGTGACAGTCTGACTGACACGATGGTGGCTAGGGTAATGACGACCAAGTCTTTTGGGCGTTCAGTGCCATGACAGCAGCCGAGCTAAAATTCGAGGATCCGGGAGCCAGTGAGCCATCGTGGCTGGCACTTGCGCAGGCTGTATTCAATGAGCAGGCATCAAGATGGGACACAGGAACCTGCGGCGGAGGCTTGCGCTGGCAGATCTTCACCTTCAATGCTGGGTACGACTACAAGAACGCCGTCTCTAACGGTGGCTTCTTCCAGCTGGCTGCACGCCTGGCGCGTTACACGCAAAATCAGACATATGTCGATTGGGCAGAGAAGACATGGGAATGGTATGCTGGAACACCTCTGCTCAACACGCATACATGGCAGATCAACGACGGATCCAGTACGCAGAAGAATTGCTCGGATGCCAGTCAGCTGCAGTGGACATACAACTATGGTGTTTTCATTGCTGGAAACGCATACCTCTACAATTACGTGAGTGATCTTGCACGACACGCAAGAGGCCGTACTGACAGAAAATCAGNNACTGGTGACGCAAAGTACATGGATCGCATGGAGGGACTTCTCAACGCCACACTGGAAAGGTTCTTCCCTCAGAACATGGGCGGAGTTATGGTTGAAATTACCTGTGAACCGCTAGGCAACTGCAACAACGATCAGCCAGCATTCAAGGCATTCCTTACTCGATGGCTTGCAGTAACAGCACAGCTGGTTCCAGAACTTTACGAACGCATCTTCACGTATTTGCGCAAGTCGGCTGCGGGAGCGGCAGGACAGTGTTCAGGAGGTGCGCTAGGAAGACATTGCGGCCGCGAATGGAACACGACAGTGTGGGATGGAACGTCAGGAGTAGGTGAACAGATGTCTGCTCTTGCGGCCATTCAATCTATGATGATCGACACGACGGAACTGGCTGCACCTGTGGGATCCACGACTGGAGGAACGAGTAAGGGTGATCCGAGTGCAGGCACAGGCAACAGTGGCACGACGGGTAGCAATGGCATGCCTGCGATAAACACAGACAAGATCACGACTGGTGATAAGGCTGGAGCTGGGATCTTGACAGCGATGGCGCTGCTATGCACGATAATTACTGGAGGAAGTTTGGTTCTTGAATAAAATGCTTCATAGACGAGCAGGGAAAAGGTTAGGATAGACAATGGCTGGCTGGCTCCAGGATGGTATGTACAGTACAGACCAATTTTCCACACATGTGCGCCTCTCTTTGAGTATATTATCTTTGTGTTTTCAGATGGTTGTTGGTAAACTGGTGGTCTTGACTTGGATAGAAACGGCACGTGATTGGTCAGAGGCGATGTTCGACGGGCGTCGCGAAGTTGGCGGCGTCGAGAGCGGACGAAAGAAGATTATTTGGATCATCACACACACAACAGCAGACATGCCGCCACGACTCAATCTTCTCTCGCGGGCATCGCTATGCCGACCCTCAGCGCCTCACTCGAGTGTAGCTTCGCTGCTGCAGCCCTTCCTCCGTAGCGCACAGCAACCCCAGCAACAAAGAAACGCCTCGATTCTTTCATCGCTCTCGGACAACTCAGGCGCTTACAACAAGAAGATCAGAAGAGGAAGAGGTCCTTCATCGGGCAAGGGCAAGACATCAGGACGTGGTCACAAGGGTCAGAAGGCTCACGGAAAGGTCCCGCGCAACTTCAATGGTGGTCAAACGCCTGAAGAGGTTGTCCACGGTGTTAGAGGTTTCGAGAACCAGTGAGCACTTCTCGTACTGCAGGCGCAGACCAAATAGATGGCTCATACGTGAATCAGGCACTCTATCGAAATGACACCGCTCAACATCAACCGCCTCCAAGCATGGATTGACGCAGGTCGTCTCAACCCAAACAAACCCATCACCCTCAGAGAACTAGCGAAGTCGCGCTGCGTTCACGGTATCAAGGATGGCATCAAGTTGCTCGCCCGTAGCTCCGAGAAGCTCACCACCCCCGTCGAAATCGTGGTCAGCCGCGCCAGTGCTTCAGCCATCCAGGCCATCGAGTCCGCTGGCGGCAAGGTCATCACCCGCTACTATACCAAGCCTTCCATCTCTCGCGTCCTGAAGGGCGAGACAGACCCCGTCTACAGCATCCAGAGCGCTCCTTCTCCCACACCTCGTCCCGAGTTCAAGTACAGACTGCCCGACCCGGCCAGCAGAAAGGACATTGAATACTACAGAGACCCTGCACACAGAGGTTACCTGAGCCATATGCTGCAAGAAGGCCAGGGCCCCAGTTTGTTCTTCAAGACTCCTGGTCAGGGCCGCGTCGACCACAAGAAGGTCACTTCGAAGGGTGCCAAATCTGCCATCAAGGGCGAGAACAGGGTCTGGTGATTTGTATAATACAACCAGGGGCGTCTTTCTGCCCGTGTATCAACATCTTCTTTTCAGGTGTACGTTCTTTTGGGAGATTTTCATTTGCTCGTGTTGCGCAAAAGAGCAGACAGGGTTGGTTGTGTGCAACGACAGGAATTCCGCATGTGTACTTTTTTTCCATGGCTGTATGGTTACTCTGACGCTCACACCTCTTCCATGCTCGTGAAACGTAACGTTACGTGCTACCATCACCCTTGTCATGTCAATGTCAAAGTATTGAGTGAGCATGAATCGACGTGCATGACGAACAAGAACGACTGAACGAGTGCAAGCGGTATGCAAGGAAGGCGCCTGGTGTCTTTGCTGCCTAGTAGCAAACATCCCGTTCGTTCGCTCATGATGCAAATGTGACACTAATGATGCATGTCCATATTTCGCGGAGGAAAAGTCCAATGACAAGTACACGCGATAGGGTTGATGTACTTTTTTCTCTCTTATTCAAGGGGTGCTGACACTCGTAACTGCATGTTCAGACCATGGACTAGAGTCACAATCATATGGGCATCGAACAGACATGCGATCGCTGTCAGCCTGTCACAGTCACGGTGTGCACCATATTAAACCCCAGCTAAGGCAAGCTGTCCATGCGGCCTTTGCGCAAGGCAGGAAGGAAAAAAATACTAGAATGTTGGTCGCTTACGGGAACAGTGTTGAAAAGGGAAACAAGCGTCTGGATGCATGCATGGATGAAGAGCCAGCTGAACGGGAATATGGCTGGCTGCGCTGACCGCAGCGCCCGAAAAGCGAACTCACGCTTCGGTGCTTCTTTTATTGATGGTCTTGCAGGGATTTAACGAATGAAAAGTGAAAAGATACTTGGTTCTGACCTACATTTTTTCTCCGTCGTTTTGGAGTTACAGTCAGGCGGTGTGTTGCGTGTAAAGACTAGTGACGGGAGTAGACCAGAGGATTGTCTCAAGCCCTACAGTAGCCTTGCTGCTGGCTCTTGAATCGCGTAGTCGACGCTGGCTCGTCCTTCATGTGTGACCACTCTAGACGGTCTCACATCTGCGCGAGAGTGATTACTCTATATCTTGGTGGGATATTGGTGTACGTGGCTCGTTGCGCCCAACAGACGGCACATCTGACTACTATATGAACCAGATGCTGCACAAGATACGGTGAGCTTATTGCGAAGGATCCGGGTGGTTGATGTTTTCGTAGGCACATCATGGTAGGTGACATTCCAGGCCGGGTAGTCGTAGTGCCACCGCCTCTCTCTCGAGATTACGGTCCAAAGAAGCAGCGTCACGAGACATGGTCCTTTTCATGCACACGTCGCCTATCAAGGTACCTCTCTTGCAACAGACGAAACGTTGTTATCTATTCGCCGTTCCAAGCCCTTTGCCCTGAACTGATTGCTCGGAAAGGGCGACAGGCGGATATGAATGATACTTCAATCAAACAGATCGTACTCGGGACTGAGGATCGATTCTTCCCTGGTGACCACGTCTGCTTGTGGATGATGTGTAGCTGTCCAATCTTGGATCACTATGCGTCACCCCGTATCTGCGTTCATCATTGCTGCATTTCAACTCGAGCCCACACATCGGACCATCACGAAAGGAAGGAAGATTCGTTGTTCGTTGCTGAAGAGAAACGCCATCTCGCTTGATTGGCTTTATTTGTATCTGGTTAGTTGATTGCTTTTCTCTCTTTCCCTTTCGAGTCTCGAGCGCCATGTTCCTTTTCAGCCCTGACCGACCGATGTTTTTTTGGACGCCCGTGACAACATGGTTTGCTTGATGTTGGCACTTTTTGAGACCGATTCCGAGCAATGTGATCATCATCCTTTGCAAGGGGGGCTTGCAGCCAAGCTGAAGTTGACGTAAACGCCATCATTAGTGGGATCATAGTGGCTTTTCGGGATTTTTGGATCTTTGGATTTGTAGAAAGCAATTTTTCCAGAAACACGAACAAGTTTCCGCCCGTTCGCGGGTGCGGCTGTGGTCATGCAGGGTTCGTTCATGGACCGAGGAATGGTTGTAGCGATGGGGTGCAGTATTACTAAGAGACCAGCCACGACACACAAACGAAGTCTGAGTCTGGACGCAGAGGGTAGCGACGCATGGTGTGGAGGCTATTGCTACTTGATCTCGATACAAGCAAGCCTTCCGAAGCATTGAAGCATCGTCGCGATCATACCCAACAAGCCGGGTAATAGGAGCAAAGGCATGTTTGCGGAGTTGGTATCGACATGGGTGACGGAGTTATGCTGCCTACCGGACCCCGGGTAGTCACATACCCGCCAAGCTCAGAGGAACACTCCTGCCTTGCTGCTGCTGTTTATGGTTTTGACTTTCCATTGAATTGGTTGTCAAACTAGGACGTGCTTTCGGGAGCGAAATGCGAAGTACAAGGCTACAAGTAAGGGGTAGATTTTTCTTAAACTGCCCAACGTGATCTCACGACGGCCGCGGCATGCTGTGTGTAGAATTAGACGATGAGACATGCGCAAGGGTTTGATCTCCGAACAACAATGCGCAAGCTTCCATCTCTCGACGCCGCACCTGCAAACAAAGTTCCTGCTCCACAGCAGACCTCTTTCCCGCGTTGGTCAGGTCCGTCACCATGAAAAGAAAATGTGGCTGGGTTTCTTGCTGATCTTGACAAGTTGTGGTGATGCCGACCGATCGACCTACCCCTTCGAGTCTGCACATGATGGAAGACAGAGTCAGTTTCCTGTGGCATAATTCTGTTTCGATGCCAACTTCTCCTTTCGTGCTCGAGATCGTGTCTTCGTCTGTTGAATTCGATAGTTGATGACAATCCAAATCTCAAGCTGAAAGGCTGGGGTTGGCTTTCGTACGAGGCGCTTTCTCACGCTAAACGAGAATCCTAGGCAAAAGTCGTTTTCGTAAAATCCTCATGCTGTGGACACGAAGATGATCATCTATTGGCAAATACCACCGAATCCACACCTTCGCGTTAGGAACGAACGATGTCAAAGTTTTTCCTTCTGATTATGTGCCCCATTCGCCAAAGACAATGTGCGGCACGGAACAGAGAGGCAANCAACACAGGCAAGGTGGAGAGAGCAATAACAAGACGCAGGAATGAAGCAAGCCTGTCGCTAANTTACCAGTCCACATGATCTGATCGAGGAGAAAGNNGATAAGCGGTGGACAACAACGAGCGACAGGAACNCCAGACAAGAGTACGAACTCCATNGTTTGAGCAAATGCACTAGCGAAGAGCGAGCAAACGGGCAGCGACAAGCGTTGATTGGTTTTTNNTGTATGGACGACTCGCGGCGGTCTTCGGGAGTGAGGGATCAAGATTTCAGGATTCTGGTGCTGACTGNNTTTTGCCTTTTGACTCCTTGTCTGGTGCGCTCCACCACCGCTCCCCGTCNNGAACCCGTCCCGCTGCTCTNNCTGTCCGTGCATGTCTCTGTACCACTGGAATGGGTTGCATGGAGTCTGGCAAGATATCTGAATAGTCAAACACAGGCGACAGTGGCTATGCGAGGGAATGGAAAGAAGGTTGTCATCACGAGTTGGAAACAAAATAGAGATCGATGGTCGATTTGTCCGACCATTAATCGCCCTNGACCGCACCATGCTCGCTAAAGGTTGCACTTGATGCACAGCTGTCACTTCCCTATGNATGACGAATTAGATGATGAAGAGACCTCCTTGTTGCTGCATCTGATCTTACTTTCCACGTCCCCAACTACGAAAGCAGGAGTCACATCATGCATACAATATGAATAACCAGACGCACAGGCTTAGGTCTCGAGCACCTCTCATCAACGTCCCAACCGTATTCAGGAAAAGCATGTACGATAGGTCATCAAATGACTACCGCCGAGGTCATGATGCGGACGCGTTTCGTGAGGGGCGTCTCCAAGATCAATCAAACTTACTCATTTGGAATAGTGCGTCCGACCCCACACATGTTTCCACACACTACTCACCTAGGCTGAGAAAGACCTGTGCTTTTCGCTAGCCCTTCGGATATACGGTCTCGGGGCTTGCTCATAATCGTTGCTCCTGAATCGCATATGAGATCCTCGTCACTGAATATCAGGCATGGGACGCGAAACGGGCGGCATGGATGGATGTTATTATCCTTGAATGATGTGGTCCCGCTCNNCACCTGCGTGGCTTTCCAACAGACAAGATCAGTCGTGTCAGCTGCTGTCTCGGATACTCCGCCGAGNTGGGTACAGAGCAAGCATGTTGCAACAAGCGTACCCTGTACTGCTGATGGTTACTGTGCAGATACTTACCTGCAACAGTTCAGTGCACTACCCATCCATCGTTCAGACCTGCGACTCAGGTCGGGCAGCCGTGGAAATCTAGAAACTTGATCAAGGACATACCCTGATTAGTCCATTCACCCTCCAAGGCTGATGCGGCCACCAGTTGTGACTTGCAACAAGTGGCAACGGCGTTCTGATGTTAGAACCTGCTGATCCTGATATTGATAATCCAAAGGCGGTCACGCAAGGCGCCTAAAGTTTCGTGCAAGCCGCGTGTGTACGATGCTTGCTTGCTTGCTGGAAACTAAGAGTCAAGGAATGACTCTCACGACGTGATGCAGCCTGGCAAGCAACCGTTCAATGCTGCTCAAGCCAGCTGGTAGGTACTCAGACATGATGCGACGCCCTCGGATCAAATACGGACAGGACCGAATGATATTTGACTCGTCGCCGCTTAATAGGCTTTGAGTATTGCCTTGGAGCAGCATGCTTGGTAAGGCAGGCAGATGAGAACGAGGTGAAGGTGTGATCCCGGGAGATGGATCCAGATTCCTCGCTTGGTTGGGAAAGGCAATGATTAGCACCACCAAGCCCTGGCGTGTGGTACAGCCAGCGAACGGTTTGGAGGGAAAGTAGAATTGTAATAATAATCACTGTGCTGTGCCATCTGCACCATGCGTGACAAGACAAAGATAGCGTTCGCTTGCTTGGAAGCACTGTGCACCAGGTAAGAAAGCGAATCGAGGCGACTGCGACGAGCCACGGCTCACGGCAGTTACGGATGGACAAGCAAGAGCTGTAAATCCTCCTGACTATGAACGGGTGCCACATCCTCGGCTTTAGAGGACAAATTCCAGAACAGGATGATGTTGCTGCTTACTCGAGACCATCTTTTTTCAAATTAGACATGGTGGGTCATGAGTAGAAGAAAGGGCGAAAGTCTAACGCCGGCGGCAATAGTCATTTAGGGGAGAAACGCCAGTGTCATCGGCAGGATACCTATTAAAATCGACAAGGCACGAGGGTTCCATAAACATGTGTGCATAACACTGGCCGGGCAAATCGGATATCGTATCGCTTATTAGTCGCCCAGGCTGAGTGTGGGTCGATTGTATGCAAGACGGCGAAGCGCGGGGAGGTTTTGAGATACGGACTGGTCCGATTAAATTGGCTCGCCAGCCGGCAGCAGCAGTTTGGGAGTCTCGAGTATAATTTTGCTGGCTGTTGCGCATTGCGCAGTGCGCAGGTGGTACCAAGACCGTGTGAGACGGACGGAGCCAGCCAAGCGTCGTCGTCGGTTTGCGTCGCCAGTCGCAGCTAACGCAACGATGGCTTGGACCGTCCGTGATTCTTGCCTTGCAAGGTTTTTTCTTCTGTCAGAGGATTTTTTGATTGCTATTTGCCGGCCCTTTTGTGGCTGCCAAGGTTGGCGTATGGTCTGGCGAATGAAAGGCGGTGCGAGTGTGCCCTTGTCTTTGATCATGATGAGCCAAAACAAAATGCTCGAGCCGCACAAGCCGCGGAGGTCATGCACACCCGTGTTCGAGCAGATATACGCCGATTCTTGTATGGATCGGGAGCGCGAAGGATGGAAGGTCACTGATAAGTTGTTGCATACATGGTTTTATCCTTGAACTTAATTTTGACGCGTGAGCGGCGGGACCTGGCACAGCCAATACTTGATCCGAATTATCGATGATGGGATGGATCATGGATGCGTTCGTTACGTTGCTTGGTCAGGCCGACATCCGTCGGCGCGCATGGCAGCAGCAGGCAGGAGTAGCAGCAAGCGACAGCGACGCCCGCAAGGGTGTGATGATTGACGGTGGCATCGTATCACAATCTTGTCTCCTGCTCGGAGCTTGCTTGCGAGGGATTCGTGTTGGTCGGGCTGGGCGGGCTTAGAGATTATGATTGATGATAGTATGGCAATCTCTCAGCACCCAGGGGCTACGAGCGGAGCTACGCAAACAAGCTATGCGGCGCGCGTGTGTGCGCACCTTGACGAGACACGACGATGATACAGTAGTTAGGTATAGACGGCCTAATGCGGACTGCCCTGGGATCGGAGGGCTCGCAGGCCGAGGGCCCATCTGTTTGGCTTGATGAATTGCTGGCCAATAACTTAGTATCGGGCGAGCTAGCAGTGCTTGGACCGCAGTTGATGTCAACGTTTTGGCCTGACTGACCCTCTTTTCCCTTTCGCATCTGCGCCTCTTTGCGGTCAAGGTCTTGGGTCCATGTCTGGAACCTACCGACCACTGATTCACACTTCACGCCGGGCAATCCTCATGAACGTTGTGGTTTGCCAGCGCCGCCGGGCTTTCCGCCATGATCATCGGAAGGCTCTTCGTTATTGCTGGCTGCCTGCGTGCATCCGTTATGTACCCTGTGCTGCTGGTGCTTGACGAGCTGGCCTCCACCAACTCCGCAGTGTCATAACCATCATGGAATAACCTTTGGCTTGGTCAGACTTGTCTTTGCTGCCGTCCGTCGTTGCTGTCATACCTTCTGCCTATCCTACTTTCTTGCCCTCTACATACCTCTTCACATCTCATCTCACTCGCAACCTCCTTGCTTGACCCTCCACACCTCCCCCACCTGGATAGCACGAGCCTCGACCGTGCCTTGTTGTTTCCTCACGCAACCCTGGGCCATGCAATAATTCTTTTGTTGCCTTGACCTGATCTTGCTCTCGTCCTCCAACTGGCACGAACTCTCTCAATCTCCATCACGCCTTCCTCGTCTGCCTCATGCTGTCCATGTATCCGCCGCCAGGCATTCATTTCCGCAACCCTTTCGTCGACTCTTCGACCTCGACTTCTCAATCCTTCGATCACTCACATCACAGGCTTCCACTCGACATCCAATCTCCTGCTGGCTCGGCTAAATTCACGTATCCTTCAACCAAGCCCCTCACGCCGCCTCCGGACATGAACACTGTTGCTGCCCATGTGCAGCCTCAGCACAGCAGCTACTATGGAGAGAGATCGTCTGCCGCTCCCATCAAGTACGAGCACCGCAAATATGATCAACCAACCTACGACCACAACTCAAGTCACAGTCTGCACCAAGTGCAACTACCGAAACCTGATGCTCATGCTGCAAGACCACCAAGTCCTGTCTATCAACCACATCCCGTACACTTCACCGACCCTCCAAACCAGAAGCGGGATTCTCACATGAGCGCGATCGCTCCCTCGCTCCAGATCCCACGATCAGTAAACAACAGCCAAGGGAGCATTGCTGAGTTGGCAGCACAGGTCAGTTTCTAATCGTTACTCGAGCGTCTTAGCATCCCGCTGACCAAGATCNAGATCACATGTTTGTTCTGGTTCGAGAGCTCTAGCACGTTGGACCGGGCTGATGACCCTGCCACGACGTACAACGTACATTCTCTGGTACCCGAGGCAATTCCCACAACAGGCTTCCGCAAGTGGGTGACGACCATTCTTTCGACGACTCAAGTGACACAGAATGTCATCATCCTCGCTCTCCTGTTCGTCTACCGCCTGAAGAAGCTCAATCCAAGTGTCAAGGGAAAGCCTGGCAGCGAGTACCGTCTGCTCACCGTGGCACTGATGCTCGGCAACAAGTTTTTGGACGACAACACATACACAAACAAGACATGGGCTGAGGTGTCTGGTATTTCGGTGGCTGAAGTGCACATCATGGAAGTCGAGTTTTTGAGCAACATGAAGTACGCTCTCTTCACATCGGCTGAAGAGTGGGCTCAGTGGCAGACTAGACTGGGACGTTTTGCCAGCTTCTTCGATCGCGCTTCGAGGCCCATGCCTCAACTACCACATACCCTTCCTTCGCCGCCAACCTCGAACCACGCCTCGCCTCCCTACTATGGTGCCACTAATCCCGTCACTCAATCCTTCCCTCAGTATTCATCCTCTCTCGGACCGCTCCCCGATCTGTCCTCGCAGGTCTCCCGAAAGAGAAGCCTCGACAGCTATACCGAGCCTCCTGCCAAGCGAGTCACCCCGGCTTACCCTCCATCTGCTCAGACCCAGTCACACTTTGTTCCAAGAGTCACCCTGCCAAGTCTCGCACTCCCACAGCCTCAATCTCAGCCTCCGCAGCATTTACCACTTCAGTTGCCTCAGCTGCCTCCCCTCAACTATTCACAGCGCTCCATGAACCAGGTAACTCAGCCTCCTGCTTCGTGGACTCCGGCAACCTCTATTCCACCTGCTGTCTCGCACGCTTCCACACCTGCTGCCATGGCTTCGGTACCCCAATCTGTTGTTCAATCCAGACACCAGAGCCCCTTCCCCACTTCCGCCGCCGCATCTCCTACCGACGGCCATTACCAACCTGCAGGCCAGGCTCATCTCTCACAATTGTCGCCATCTTACTTCCTGGCGCAACGTAACAGCCCTTACCGACCAGTCCGTGGTGTATCGACTCTGCTCGTTCCACCCCCTTCTCGGGCCATGCAGCAGCCTCAGAACGTGCAGCACGAGCAAATGCATTATCAGCCACTTGGACGTCCTCAGGAACGTCAACAAGGTCGTCTGCCTTACATTGAAAGCCAGTGGTTCGATAATCCCTCAGCCGCCAATCAGTGGTATTCGCAAACCCAGCAGCAGCATCTTCCTCCACCTCCTTTCTACAACAGAGTCTAGGAACCTCTTCGCCGCCTGAGGTCGATGCCTGACTGAAGCAGTTTCGATTCTTCTGTACCATATTCAAGATGCCTACTTATGGTTAATCTTTTACTTCCCTTCTTTCTTTGTTCTTGTTACGGCTTATGCATTGCATTACACACTCGCATTCAACCCGGCGTTTTTATCTTTCCTGCTTTTTCTAGCTGTGTTTGACTGAAACCCAGTTCACATACAAGGGCTGTTCACAGGAAGCGAGCGAGGATGCATTTTTCCCCCTCACCACATCACAAATGGCGTTTTCTGAATTTTATCAATGGGCATGATACCACCTCCTGTTTTTTGCTCGTTTTACGTTGTACTGGCTGCCTTTTTAGGTCGAGGCTTCTTATTTTCCGGCATGCGAGTCTTCCTTAGAGGGGACTTGCCATAGAACCTTGGCTTCTTCAAAATACAACTTATCTTAACAACCTTGAATTATTTGCATCTTTATCCTTAGTGCAACGTTGTGTGTCTGACTTCGCATCCATGCTGAGACTGGGCTGAAGTATCTTGATTTACTATGGTCGGCAACCCAAATTTCGTGTAGTCTAACCCGTCATTGAACTTTTGGTGTACTAGAAAGTCATATATGCCATTCCAATCAGCAATGGTGCCAGCACCACTTGGGATGGAGTGATCACCATCAGACCAATACACAAAATGTACAAAATATTCAAAACCTTAGTCTAGAGATTGGAAGAGGCACGTATGAGCTGATAGTCATGGGAGAAATTGTCGTTGGGGCGACCCTGTTTCTCGTCATGACTACCTAACGCTACAGCAGCCACATCCGGGTAGCTTCCTGTACTTGATCTACTTGCATAGCAAATGTGATCTTTCTCAGAACCTCTGATAAACAAAAAGACGGTTGAACTATGACCATTGAAATTTTCTTAGAGCAGTCAATCTAAACTGGAGATTGAAAATCATAGTACTGCCAGGCTACCCGATGCGGAATCTGATGCCCTGCAGTGCGACAACATCTGTAGGCTACCAATTCTCGAGCTCTCATGTTTATTGGAATCCACAACAGCCAATCCTTCTTACACTTCCTCTTTGTTCTTACACTTGGAAGCTCCGGCCGCTCTTACCGTCGGATGTTGTTTCTTGATTCTTTTCTAATCGACTAATTGACGAGATGGCATCACGCCTCGCTAGCCTTCCAGTGGAAGTGCTTGAGACAATCACCAGTCGGCTGGACATTGGCGACGTCTGCAGTTTGCGACTGACAGTACGAGAACTGGCAGTCAAAACGTCTCAGAAATTCTACAAGGCCCTGTTTGTCAGCAAGAGCGTCAACGTCTCGAGAGAGTCTCTTCAGGCTTTAGTGACAGTAACGCAACGTGGATGGATGGGATGTACGCTTGAACATCTGACTATTATTGCCATTGCGCTATCTTCGGACGACGAGTTTCACGACTTGCACGATCAGAATGTCGTTGAGCTTCTCCAGCAAGCTCTGACGAACCTGCAGGTCAATTCAACCCACAAGTGTCTACGTTCGCTTGATCTGGCCGTCAAAAGCCGGACAGAGAATGGTACATTGACCTCGCTCAAGCATGTCCGTGATTGGCATTCGATATGGAATTGTGCAGACCGCATTGCCCGCCTTGTTGGGGTTGCGGTCAAACGTTCCTCTATAAAGATAGAGAAATTGGATCTATACGGCACAACTCTCAGATGTGCGCTCAGCTTGCGCCAATTGCGATCTGTTACGAACTTGCTGCAGATACATGGGCTCAAATCACTTTCGTTGGCTATCTCCGCTAGTGAGCCATCTGAATGTCTAGAAATTACATCTCGACACCTCTGCGATTTAGTCTTGTCTTCGCCCGATTTGGAGCACTTGGATCTGCGCTGGTTCAATGTGCATGGCTCAAATCAGTCTGATATGCAGTTGGACGAGAAACAATTCTTCGCCGAAGTTTCGAAGCTGGCGATACCGCTTCTACAGAGTGTCTCCTTGAGAGGCATAACTACGTCGGAAGAAGCACTGCTCTCATTCCTAAAAGGACATCCTCGTCTGGTTCAAATCTCTCTTGAGGAGTTCCATCTCGAACAAGGTCGTTTTCATTCGGTATTCGTTTATCTGACCAAACATCTCGAGCTCGACTCACTCTGTCTTGATGATCTGTGGGAAAATGTTCTTATCCAGTTTCCTGGGTCTGCCGGTGAGCCTCATTTTCCTCATCCTGGCGGTCCGACTTGGATCAAAAGGACAGGTTTAGAAACACGGAAAGAGATAGTGCATAGACCTATAAGAGGTCATGTGAAGGCGTCTGCTAAGGCAAGCAATTGGCATCGCCGGAAAGCGTCTCTCTACGGCCCTTTCTAGGTGTTTCCTGTGGATATAGATGGAGTGACCGAACTCAATACCTACGCGAGTTCTGAAAGTTTCTTCTTAATGACCAGTTGAAACGCTGAATTATGAAAGGTCGAGCAACTATGAGCAATGAAGTGCATGAAGCTCGTCTCGAGTGCGAATCATGGCATGGGCGATATACTGCAAGGCTACAAGACTACAGTGCGTAGAGTTTAGTCCTTCAAGAACGCGCATTGTTCATCCATCCACGTATTCAACTGCAGGGAGGCTGTCAAGATCTGTCTTGGCTATCTTAAAGCAAGTAATCAAGTTCAGCCTGACTCCTCATTGTCAGCATGGCTCATCAGGCCAAAACCTCAAAGGCTGAGGCTACATGCTTGATGCAATGCAAGCCTGTCGCCTGTGCTGCTTCGTGGATTTGTCGCTACTCTTCACGTTTTGATACTGTTACCCTTGTCGTCAGTGGTGGAAGGCTGAGCAAGCATCGTTCACTCAGGTGGGTTCCTGCAAGCCAGCAATTTGGTCAAAGAATAGCACCATCATGCTAGTTCATCAAGGATTGAACCTTTTGGTGGGTGGAGGCAAGGCTGTCCGCGAGACATTACATTGGAGGCCACAAGTGGAGGAGTATTCGTAACTCCTTGTTGGCATCTAGCTGCTTGTCATTCGCCTTTGATTTCTGTCGGTCTTCAGAGATCCACGGTGCTGCTGATGGGCCTAACATTTTACTCAGTACAGAGTGTGTGTACTACGATGACGCCGGAAAGACTCGATGCAAAGAACCCGATTCCCAGAAGTTGAAGCAACATGGTAATTTGCTTCCTTAAACTTGATTTAGCTGTAATACAAGTTACATAACGCTACCCTGTCAGATCATTGCTAGAATCTCAATCCCGTCGGCGGTTATATGGTGAACGCGCTGGAAGGATTCTTGCCTGGATGATAGAATCATGAATGAAAGGACAGTATGTAGAAAACGTGATGCATTATCCGACAGATGTGGATTGATCATTGTCTAATCCGGTATGTGTATGAAGTGACACATGTGATGACTACGTGTATCGACGGCAACATGCTTCTCGTCAAAGAGTGTTTGGTAGTGAGTATATAATTTATAAAAATTCATTTGTGGGCACGTACGGCCACAGTCAGCTGAAAACTGGGCATCCCGTCCGCTCTGCCATACATAAGCAGTTGAACGGCAGATTAGTACTACGGTGGGTGACCACGTGGGAATCCCTGCTGTTGTACGTTTTGTTTCTCTAACATCCCTTTTGCCCTCCATTATCAAGACGACTGCCAACAGTTGTTGTACCTGAACTGGATGGGTGATGTGTGGATTCAAAGTCGCCCATGGCTGCGGAGATGAACTCTAGTAAACCCTTTCGCTCCATATTATGCGTATGACTGTAAAGATAAAAATTGGTGTATTTGGTAGTAGGATGTATACACTACCCGACGTAGCCATTGACTTCCTATCGAGATCAGGTTCTGCACATAAAATGACTCCATACCGAGGAAACCAATCCCTCCTAATGCACTTGATTGTGCTCCTTCATGCCGCAAATTCAAAACAGTAAGCCGGTAAACACTCCAAACCCAAAGTAAACAGTCCGGCAATCGAAGAAGGTCGAAATGAAAACAGCATAAGAAACTCATCCTGCGTCAGTGCCAAGCACTGGATTCAAAACCAGGAAGGAAACGTCCAGGTCGGATGCCACTGAGCAGATCGTGAATCATTCCATCATTCTTGATGCCGTCGATGCGCTGCCAGCTATCGTCGCAGCAGAATGACTGATTAGGTGCGTTTGCGACATCTCGGACGATGACATCGTCAATACCTTGTTCACGCTGATGGTGCTGGTGATCCTCCTCTTGCCAGAGATAGCAACATTCAACACTCTCTTGGCCCTGCGTCTTGAACGGTCGTCTAATCAGTTCGTTTAGTTCGCGAGCAGTGCCGATGACATCTGGGCCAAACTTGAGTTGACCATTAGCGGTCGCGTATAGAATGGCATAGAAGCGGCTGAGTAGTGAGTGGAACTGTCCGGCAGCCACGTCTTTTTGACTGCATACTCCAAGAAAGTCGAGACAAGCGGATGCAAGGTGCAAATCATCTTGCAGCCTGGTGGCAGGCCGTCCTTCCATGTGTTGCTCAAATAGTAACTCTGCCACATGGTGGAGTATCATTACACAGCTAGAATAGGCTTGGAAGNNCTATCGCTTGTCAGTATCATCCTCGGATTATAGTCTCGGCGTTTGGCAAACTCACATGCAAACCCAACATTTTTGGACAATGCCACCTTCAATGTACAGCCTTTCGAACAGCTTGGCAGACTCCCTAGCAGCATGCTTTGCCTGCATTATCAAATCGTTAACTGCTGCTTCATCCCCAGCAAGGAGACTGTTGTTTTCATGCATGCTCTGCAGAACACGGCGCAGAAGCATGATCTGGGCTCCAAAATAAAGGAAGTTGACGTAATAGATGGTTCTCCGCAATTCAAAGGATATCTCAGGGTTCTTCGCCAACTCGGTCAGGCGCATATCGCGCGGCAGATTTTGATACCAGTGATGCAGCTCCTTGGTGATCGTTTGAACCATAAGCGCACTTAAGCCCTGGAATGACAGGCTGAGACGCAGCATGTCGAATTTGATGATGGTGATCCTGATCATTTCCGTCGTGACCTTCGCCTCGAGATTGGTCTCATCGTCGATCTGAAGGTTCTTCGCGTTTGTGAGTTCCTTTGGCAGCTGCAATCCCGATACATAGCCGAGAGTCGAGGAAAGCCAGGTTTCGAGAAATACGAGCACTCTCCAGGTTTTCCTGAGTTCCGTCCAATGACTTCGTTCCATGTTGGGTGGACAGACTTGCGGAATTGGCGGTCGTGTTAGAAGGTTCAGCCCCATCTCTGCAAAGACTTGGTTAGGGGAAATGATACACAACAGTGATTGATCAACTGTTCAACTTACCGACGAATGTCATGGCAACTTTTGTTTGCTCATGATGTTGAACAAACAGAGCATAGCACAGATTTTGGCAGCCCGACCTGCGTCAGCAGTAACAGCATCTTCCAANAGATGCTTCGCAGAACTGTACATGTTCTGCTGAGTTCCTTCCGGTAGAGTTTCCTTGATGTATTGGGAGCCCAGAGCGCCCACTGAACACAGCTCACAAGTGGCAAGGCGGCGCGCTTGCTTGTCGCCTTAGGCTGCTAGAATCTGGAACTGAGTCTCAATATGGCTGGGTGAGAAGACGTGGAACAGTTTGCCAGATTCGTTGTAAAAGGTGTTGATGCATTTTCGGAGAACATCGACGCTTGGTAGAGGCCTTTCAAAATCGAAGAATAATTGGGAGGGGGTGTCGACGGCAGGTGTGTCGTCAAAAGGAAATGATGAATTCAGATTAGTGTTAGAACCACAACTCCGAGAACGAGAGGTGTTAGGTGTCTGAGAAGTGTCGTTGTTAGAGGGAGGGGACGGACCCGAAGACACGGACGAGTCGGACTCCTGGCGTTGCAAGGGCTGAGACTCGGGGTCGAAGTGGGCCAGTGTGGACAAAAGTTGAGTTGAGGCGTCGGCAGTGCGGAGAGAATCCAGCATTTCCTGGGCTTGAGAGGGAGATGCTGAGCGCAAGGCCTCTATGAATTTTTGCATGCGATCCGACTCTGTTACGAGAGAGGCATTCTTCCTCTTCAGGGCAGTGAAGCGTGTCTCTCCCGGGTTCACGGTATATTCGCAAGAATCAATGCCCTTAGCGAGGCAACGCTGACAGCTGGGGCGCTGGCCATCGCACNNTGTTTCCTAAACTCAGCACCAAGGCGCTTGCTTCGGGCCAATGACTTGTTAAAACAATACCTTTAACTTCTTCAGACGACACTCGCGACAGGCGGCATTAATGGTGCCACGCCTCGATCGGGTCGACTTTAGAGGATAATGATGCTGCAGAGGCTGCAGGACAGGAGCATCGTTAGGCCTCACAGGCTGCGGCGCCAGTGGCCGCGTAAATCCGAGCACTGGCGGCGACATGACTTGCAATGTTGCAGTCTTCGCAAGCAGGTATGCGTAGACAAACGGGGGATAAAAAAGCAGTCGAGGCGGCGATGAAGAGAGTGCGGAGGGGGCTCCGAACGATGATATCGATTGGCAATTAACGAAAGGGTCTGGAAACAACGCCACTCGCACAGCGATCCAAATCCGAAGCTGACCCTGTCGCTCCGAGAAGCAACACAAGCACAAGCACAAGCACAAGCACAAGCACAAGCATCGAGGACGCAAAGAGGACCGACCAGTCAGCAGAAGCAGAAGGGGCCAGCGGCCAGTGACAAAGCGGCAAGAGCAACGGCGGCCGAGCTCAGGGCGACTTCTCTGCTCCGTACCCCACCGGATCGTCTCATGCTTCCAAATGGCAAAAGGGGAGTTGCAGTGTTTGTATGAGCCGGTCACGGTGACCTGATGCGGTGGGCGCCGGCGACTGTTTTGCGCCTGCGGTCAGGGTCATAGCGAGATCGATGGTGACGCATGGCCGTCTATGACTCGACGTGCATGTGGGGAAAGTCGAAGCTCCAAGCACCTTGATATTGGACGCCTTTCTGCCAATTTGCCTAACAGAATTCCAAACATTTCACTAGCTCTCTCTGTCTGTGAGTCTTCTTGGTATACACACTGCTCGTCAGCATGGCCACACGGAACGACCGTTACAACAAGCTCTCGCCCCAGGAGCGTCGCGCTGGAGAATCGGTATGCGCCCCGCCACCCTGATGCATCAAACAACGAGACAGCTCTAACCTGTGATGGACGCAGGCTCTCAGCGACTTTGCCGACTACGTCCAGAAACAGCAAGCCAAACGCCGCCATCCCCAGGACCAGGACTCTGCCTATGGCACCCAGTCGGTTGTCACGACCGAAGAACATGCCGAGCTCGATATTCTTGATTCTCTCAACCTCAGCGACGAGCCTGCCACCCTCCCACTGAAACACCTCTTCCTCGACAAGTCTGACGATGCTGATGAAAGCCTGAGTCTCTTGACGGGCTTCGTCAACGGCCGCCTTGAGGAAGGCCACGGAGAAGCCATGTTCGACCTTGGTCTGGAAGACAATGGAGATTCCATGAACTTTGACAAGAATGACTGGGACTTTGCTCTGGCTAGGCTTCACACTGTCGTCGAATCATTAGGCGCTGACTACCAAATACTTATGACCAAGAATGTTGGTGGCGACAACGAGGTCGATGTCAGCCCGAAAGAGAAGGCATGCAGCGGAAAGTTGATGATCAGGCGGCGGCCCAACTCGGTTGATAATGTCATCGAGACTCGAATAGCTGTTGTCGGCAATGTCGATGCTGGGAAAAGCACCATGCTGGGTGTTCTTGTCAAGGGCGGCCTGGATGACGGCCGTGGAAAGGCTCGTGTCAACCTGTTCCGTCACAAGCACGAGATCGAGAGTGGAAGGACGAGCTCGGTGGGCATGGAGATTATGGGTTTTGACAGCAAGGGTGAGGTCGTCATGGCCTCGACTGCTGGTCGCAAACTCTCGTGGGAAGACATTGGTAGCAGATCGGTATGTACTGTACTTGTCGTGCTTATGATTGACGCAGCTATTAACCTTTCTCTAGNNGCTAAAGTCATCGGCTTCACTGATCTCGCTGGCCACGAACGCTACTTGCGCACCACCGTCTTCGGTATGCTCAGCAGTGAGCCCAACTACTGCTTGCTCATGGTTGCTGCCAACAATGGCCTAATAGGCATGAGCAAAGAGCATCTGGGTATCGCTCTAGCCCTCAATGTGCCAGTCATGGTGTGCATAACCAAGATCGACATCTGCCCGCCGCATATTCTACAGCAGACCATCACTCAGTTGACCAAGATTCTGAAGTCGCCAGGCGCAAGAAAGATACCAATATTTATTAAGAACAAGGAGGAGTGCATAAACACCGCCACCCAGTTCATCAGTCAGCGCATCTGCCCTGTCTTCCAAGTCTCCAACGTCACCGGCGACTCACTCGATCTCGTTCGCACTTTCCTCAACATCATTCCCCACCACGGTCACTATGATGCCGAAGCTCCTTTCGAGTTTCACATCAATGACACATTCTCGGTGCCATTCGTCGGCACAGTAGTTTCCGGAGTTGTCAAATCTGGTGTCGTGCACGCTGGCGATACTGTATTAGTCGGCCCCGATGGACTCGGCAACTTCACGACGACTAGCATTAGAAGCATCGAGAGGAAGCGAATAGGTGTTCCTGCTTGTAGCGCAGGTCAAAGCGCCAGTTTCGCTTTGAAAAAGGTTCGCAGAAAGGACGTACGCAAGNGCATGGTGTGTCTGCTCAAGAACGACGAGCAGCCACCGAAAGTTTACCGCGAGTTCATTGCCGAAGTTCTCATTCTCAGCCACGCGACGACCATCAAGACGAAATACCAGGCTATGCTGCATGTGGGCCCTATATCGCAGACGTGTGCTATAATCGACATCGATCGAGCATACATCAGAACTGGCGACCGTGCTACAGTAGCATTCCGGTTTGTTCAGCGTCCAGAGTTCCTTGCTGTGGGTGATCGTATACTGTTCAGAGAAGGCAGAACGAAAGGCCTTGGCATTGTCAAGGCTGTTGGCTACGATCCGAGCAAACCGCTCAACCCTGATGCTGGCAAGCAGAAGGTCGTTACCACCGAAGCTGCAGTTACGCCAGCACCGGCTGCTGCCACAGCATAAGATCAGATACGATCGTTTCCTGTTCAAGAGGTGTTATCGCTCTTTGGGGCTGAGGCGTTATCGACCACTTGCAAGGCGTGTCGGTGTTTCGTTCATTCTTGTCTTCGTTTCAAGGCATTATTCTAGACGAACTGTGTATAAAAACTCAACAACCATTTTTTCGACCACACTGACTCCTTCATTGTTTGCTTCTATCTGTGAATACACATGGCAAATGGTTTGGTCAGACTTGATTGAATTTGCACGCCCTCAAATGACTGACCAACGACACTACCCAGGCAGAATGGAACAGTTTCTAGGAGAGAACATCTCGGTTACCCTGACCGGTACAATGAGCATCATCCTCTACAGAATAAGGAAAGCGAACGACAAGGAAAGGTACACCACACAAGTGACGACATAGATGAGTTAGAGAGCAATCAACAATGAAGAGAACAAATCGGTCAAATAGAACTTACTCACATTAGAAGGAACAGCACAGCAACAACACACAAAAACAATTTCAAAGGAAAAAAAAAACATTAGATTTGATAAATCAATTTAACACTAACATCATCACCAATACCAAAAGCAGCTTACCTTGTTTACTTAAAACAACGAGCACAATACCAACCAGCAATCTCAGAACAAAGCATATTCGCACTACACTTATTGCAAAACCTAGGCTGAGCCAGAATATCATCAATAATTGCATTGTACTTGACACTCTGCTCAATCTCTGTCAAGGAGTGGATTTCTTCTTCAGGAATACCGAGATCGAGCAGCATTTTCTCGAGGGCAACGTTGCGCATCAGTTTTTGCTGGTTTTCTTGACGTTAGAGTTGGTCATGTTTTGTTTGCTTTGTGTGTGTGGTTTTGTACCTTGGTGTTTTTGGTGTTTTGGATGGTTGGGTTTGAGACAGGACATCAGCAAAGGTCTATATATCCACTTGAGGTGGGTATGGTAGCTTGCATTGGTATCCACAAAAAGTTCGTCTAGGTAAAGAGCCAGGACAAAGGAAACCAGCATCTGTGAAAGAACTTTGCGAACAATGTATGAAAGAAAAGAGAGCTTAGGATAAAGAAAGTGACCATGTTGAACAAAGGTATTGTTTTTACGACTCAAAGGGCGGATTCTCATTGTCTGGCATACCAGGAGACCAAGGAGCAGTAATGCGACCTCATCATCGCTTGGTGACTGAGCGTAGAAGGAAGGAGCGGCGCTCGCATGTTAGTCAATAACGCTTTCCGGAAAGGAGCGATCGCACAGAAAGAGCAAGACATGAGTTATGCGGGAAGGAACGATGGAGCAAGGAAGTGGTAAGGATATACACAGCAGCAGTGATACAGTAGTAACAGAGTATACACGAGCAAAAAGAAGCATTGCGGGCAGGACTCAAGTTTGCAATTTCCTATTCACGCGATGACTGAAATGCCAACTCATCAGCAGTTGCGCTCAACCGTATCTCAAAAGATTGGGTGAGCTGAGTCCCGCCGAGTACCGCGGCTCTGTTGCTTGCGGCGAGATAGAACTATCTATAAGGATTGTTGGTTGAGACCTAGCAGCGACTTCCGCAAGCTAAGCCGGTCGATGAGCTTAAGGAGGTTCTTCAAGCTCAATCCATCCTTTAACTGGAAATTTTGACCAGCGAGATAGCTCTTCTGGTATGGTCTCATGTTCAGTGAAAGGCCTGGAAATCCTGCGAACGACACTTGTTCGATGCTTTTCCAGGAGTCCTGACCGGACTCGTGAATCTCGGGCGGACATTACCCACTCGGCGTATATGATCAAGAGTCTCGTACACTGAACGGGTAGCTGAGGATCAGCCAACCTCGAGACCCAGCGGACACTCAGATATAGTTGATGTTCGTGTTGTTGGTTCTCAGTCATCTTTTGGTTTCTCATTGCTGTCGCCTTGCCTCTGAGGTACCACTGTTTGTGCAATGCCATTCAAGGCACGCTTCCTGTGGCTTGACATGGCCTTNTTGTGTCTTTTGCTGTTGACATGTACAGTCCAGGCGTCCTCTGTGACGGATGTCGTGTTGCAGACCTCACAGTGCTTGCGGCTCCAGAGATCCGCGCGAGCGCTGGTATCAGGTTTCGAAGCTGTCAGCATCTCGGCTGCGAGCGGCGACAGGCTCGAAGGGTCTGGCAGTGTCTCTTCCTTGAGGAAGCTGTCGACCAACTTGAGCCCAGTTTCTGATACATCTTGCTCCCAGTTCGGGAGATCAGAACCATCGAGCATAAAGAACGAGTTTTTGGCTCCAGCTGTATCGATGGCATTGTTGAGCTTGATGCGGATCCATCGAATTTGACGCTTTGCATACTGCCGTGTGCCTGCTTTGGTCTTCTCGATAGCTTGTGCTAGTAGTTTATTGAGTTGCGTTGAGCTTGTGTCGCCTTTTCTTAGAGCAGCTTGGTATTCCAGAAACTCTTTGTAGCCGATGGCAACCCATATGCCTCTAGTCGTGTCGATGGACTCACCATCAGCGATCCTGTTATCGTAAAAGTCGGATAGGGTAGACACTTCGTCCAGGAGACCTTGTGTCACCATCTTGTCAACACGAGCATCAAGACGCTTCGAGAGGATGTCTGGTTGTGCGCTGACCCATAGAACAAGCGTCCTCATGCGAAGGAGAGATGCGTCTTGAGCATCATCTGAGAGCGCCTCCTGGCCAGTAGTTTCGCGACGCGTTCTCTGTTCTTCGTAGATGTCTGAGGCCTTGCGACCGGTCTGCAGCCAGATCTCAAGACTCCTTTGTATCTTGCGGCGGTCGTTGGGGTGCCACCTGTCAGCCATCACTGGGTCAACTTCTCTGAGCTTTGCAAGGAGTACTTCAGTAGGTTCTTCAAGCATGGCTGGCCTCTCTGAATTTTGAACTGGTTCCTCATCTTGAGATTTGTTTGCAAGCGCATCGTGAAAGAGTAAAGACTGTGTGTAGTAATGTGTGCCGCCGACTAAGATGGGCAATCGACCTCGTGCTCTGATCTCGCTAATTTTGGCAAGCGCATTCGAGACGAAGTTGCCTACTGTCCAAGTCTCCTCGTTCAAGCCTATACAGCCAAGGAGATGGTGAGGAATCCCATCACGTTCGTCTTCAGGCATTTTATTCGTGATGACTGGCAAGCCCTCATAAAGCTGCATGGCATCACCATTGATGATTTCACCATTGAATTTACGAGCAATATTTACGGCCAANCTATTTGAAAGTATGAGTGATGCGCTTCCTTCTTTTGCTCAAGAATTTCTTGTGATGCACCAGAAAATGTCCAGACTCACCTCAGACTTTCCTGTGCCCGTAGCACCGACTACCGCGACCAGCGGCGCGCGACCTAGAACTTTGGCCATGCTAGAGAATCGACAAACGGTTCTGCTCAACATCAAACCGATGTTGACATATTGATTTGCGCTGTGAATCGAACGAAGATTTGAACGCCTTGGAAGTGTAAAGGCACGTGACCCTCATGACCAATCCACCTTTCCATTCTTCCATTTCCATTTCTCGTTAATGATTCATCATACATTGTCAATACTCAATTTCAAACAAAATGGCATCTAAAGAGCGTCCCTCACCCAAGGTGGATGTCAATAACTTGACATTCGCGTTCCCAGATGGCAGTACTGGTCTACAAAAGGTCGCTCTGGAGCTGCCCGCAAACAGCAGGACCCTGCTGATCGGTGGTATGTGATACTATCCGCGATTTTATGGTTGATATCCTGTTCTGACAAGAGCTGTAGCCAATGGTGCTGGAAAGACTACTTTGCTTAGACTTCTGTCTGGAAAGCGTATGGCGCCGAAGGGTACCGTCAGCATTGCAGGCATCGATCCCTTCGCCGAAGGTCTTGAGGGTGTAACGTATTTGGGCATGGAGTGGACCTTGAATTCTATCACTCGCACAGATATCGACGTGCCGACCCTACTGGCTTCAATAGGCGGCGACGCTTACCCCGAGAGAAGGGATGAGTTGGTCAAGATCCTAGACGTGGATTTGAAATGGCGTCTTCATGCCGTTTCTGACGGCGAGAGAAGACGAGTCCAGCTATGCATGGGTTTGATCAGACCATGGACTGTTCTCTTATTGGACGAAATCACCGTGGATCTGGATTTGCTTTCACGTTACAACTTCCTGCAGTTCCTGAAGAGAGAGACAGAGGCTCGCCCTTGCACCATTGTCTATGCAACACACATTCTGGACAACCTGGCTGACTGGCCTACTCATCTGGTCCATATGTCTCTCGGCAAAGTGAGACAGTGGGGTGCTATGGAGTCTTTCAACGTCGAAGGTGTCCAAGGTGGTCGCTCGGGTAACAGTCTTTTGGGAGAGCTTGTGTTGGAATGGCTGCGTGAGGATCTGGAAGAGCGTGGCCCACGCAATGGACAGCAATCGGAGAGCAAAACATATGACTCGCACGAAGGAAAGGGTGGATATGGCCAATTGAAGGCACCTCCAAGGGAAGCTTAAAGATCTTACAATAATGCTGAAAGACTGCAATCACGGATCAGGACGAAATTGACGACAGAGGCCAATTCAACATAGAGGCGTGACAGACTAGACATGGCACGGAATACACATTGAAAATTATTATGAAGAGGTGAAAGTGCTTTTAATTCTCAATGCGCTGTTGAAGCAATGAATAGTAACGACCCAAATCTAGTCCATTGACCCTTCAACTCCTCGCTTGTAAACAATCCGATCTGTTAGACGCTGTGCTCGACAACAACCTTTTATCCAAAACGCCGGTTCCGCTTGCTAAATCAAAGCTTGGCCATAAAACTCGTTGCAATTGGGTATAGTGTGCAGAATAACAAGAGAGAAAAGAAAGAAAACCTCCCGTCATACAAATGACAGCGAGAGAAAAGTGCTCATGAAAGATGGAGCTGATCCACATCCTCGTTGAGTTCGGAACCGTCGTAGTTATCGATTTCTATGCGGTAGCCAGGAGGGCTATCGGGAATATCCTCGTAAAGAGGGGGCTGCTCGTCCTCCCAGGCGATGCCCATGCCGCTACGCTCGGTGACGTTGATGTTGAACTGGGTGCGCAGAACTCTGGCAGCACCAGTAGGAGTTGCTTGGTTGGGCTTCTTGTTGGGGGCCCATTCTTCGGCGATAACCAATTCCAAAACCATGACGTGGCTGATCTTGAGGCCAGATGGGCTATCGACATCGCATTGAGGCTTCAGACCGCTGTCAATGGAAGCAGTGAACTCGCCTTCGAGCTGACCATCGGCAAAATCGGTCTTCCAACCAGACTTGAGGTCGTCACTACCGATATCTCTGGTGTGCTCGTGTTGGACGCCTCTTCCCTCACCGCCAACTTTGGCCATGTGCTTGGCACATGCTGGTGAGACGAACTTTTCGTGTTCCTCGATACGCCATGTCAACTTTCTCAGACGCCATCTGATTTGTGTATCTTCTTTCTTGGTGGTGATGCCAGACATGCGAGCGTAGACAGGGAAATCACCAATTGGATGGATGACCGAAGGCAGAGTGACATTGAGTGTCAGGTTGGTAGGAGGGAAGATTCTGACAGAGTTCTTATCGTTTCCAGGGCGGATGGCGCGGTTGATGACGACTGGGCGAATGTACTCGGCGACTTCGCCATTGACGGTCTCGGCGCGAGCGACCAGCTTGTAATCGATGCTGGCAATGTGGCCGTGGGTTGTGGTGGGGAGGTGGCCAGGCATGAGGTAGCTGAAAGGGAAATCATGGCTGCCGGTTGACAACTCAACATTGTCGCCCAGGAAGTTCCACTCCTTGACATCCTGCGACTTTGAGGAGCAGTCTTTGCAGTGGTCTACCACAGGACGCTTGGTCGAGGTGGTGGCTCTGAATGCGAGGGTGAATGACTTGATGGCGGCGGAAGGCGTTCCGGTAACGATGAGTTGCATGCGGCCAGAGAAAAGAGAACCCGAAGAATGTGTGGGGCTGTCAAGAAACAAGACCGGGGGAGACTCTACAACCATGTCGAGTTTGATGTGTCTTGCGGCTTGACGGCCCAGACTCGATTCGCGCTTAGCATCCTTGTCCTTCTTGTCGTGCGAGTGGCTCTTGCCAAAGTGGGGNCGTCTGAGATGCTCCATGCTGTCGTTGCGGGAGCCGTCTGATCGCACTGAAGATGCGCTGCGCTTCTTTTCGGGAACGGGTCTGAGAAGAGGAGATGGAAAGTCGAATCCCAGGATACGACCGGGCATGATTAAGTGACCAGGTAGCTGGCTATCAAGGTCTTTTTTCGGTGTAAAACGAATTCCTGATCCGGGGTAGCTGATCGACGCTTGTAGATCTCGCAGGGCAGGAGTCTGGTGGTGGACAAAGGGTGTATCTGGAGTGTGTGCGATGGGGAATTGAGCGAGGGAAACAAAGAGCAGAGACTCTTGCGGTCGTCAGGACTTTTAGCACTTATTATGGAAACCGTAAATAGTTGGGGTCGAAAAACTCTGTCATCATGACTACTGAATTTCTGTGACTAAACTTCAAGCTAAAATGACTTGGACCTCATGATCAGAAAGCCACTTTTTCCACCATCTCAGTTGGCCGCCTTCGGCTCCCCTTTCTCGGATCGGCTGACTTCTGGGCAATACTGTCGTGACTGCTCCCTTTAACGGTCCCTATTGATTGCACCAGAAAGACGCACACTGCCTGTGACTGCCATCGTGCCCTCCAAAGCCTGTGAAACATGTGCGCACTCAGCTGCTTCCAACGGCCTTCTTTGGGCCCTTCGAAAAGACACTGCTCCTCTTGGCTGCCGTTAACACGTTTGCCCAAACAGGATCAGACCGATCTGGACGGGCAGATTTAAGGTCTCTAGCTCAGGAGCAACCGTCCATCACACGTTTCGCAGCAAATCCCTTGGGGATCATTGCCGGTTTTTGGGCATTGTTGCACTCAAGACACTTTAACGAATCTTCTGCATCTCCGGCCACGTCGCGCTGCCTGGCCCGCACGAGAGGAACACCTTGTACTGTACACCACTGTACACAAACACAGCTGCCAGCAACTCTTGACCTCTGATCAAGCCACACCCCGCGTTCAAGCGCTCCTCGTCGTCGGACGCGGAGCCGCGTGCTTGCATTGCATGTGCATTGTGACATGACTCAGAGCTCATGCCGAACTCGCAATCCACTTCGGCCTACCGTAGTGGGCAATATCAATGTCGCAATATCAACACACAAACACACCACGCAAGCATCCAACTTGAAGTATGAATGAGCTGACGCATACCATACCATTGCATGACGCGACGCCTGAGATCCATGCAGGTGGACACGAAACACACAACCCTGTTATTCATAGGTCGCCTAGAATGCTACATTCCTCGCACGTTCCTCGTTAATGAGAAGGAACACACGTGGAAACAATTTTTTTCCATCCAAGATAGAATTTTTGCAAGATCACCGATCTGACGGGAACTTGTTCAGGGTAAAAGAGACCGTTTGCGCCCTAGAAAGGAGGAATTTTTTCACCGCTCATTTCCACGCCTTTGCTGTGCTTTAGAGCCAGCTTGGATCTGTGAATTGCAGGACGTGCTTGCAAAGTCTGGCGTGATTTGCGCACACACTTGCACGATCTAGAAGCTGAGAAAACGAAAGAATCAGGAGAGTGCGGAGCTTTTCTGCCGAACACACTCAAGCATTGGAAGTTTGAAAATCCGGACGATGTCGCCATGAACACTATTACATAAAACTTTGGCCAAGCTGCCTATAAACAAGCTGAGCCAAGCAACCACCACGGTGGATTTTGGGGACAACAGAACATTGTGCTGGAGTCAACAGAATAGACAAGCACGCCATGAGAAAGAAGTTGGGGCAATGCGATACACTTCAAGTCGCGATGTCGCAGTATCTCTCAGGTCGCAGTGCTCATCTGCTAAACGAGATGTAGTATTCCAGTGTCCGCATTAGGAACCTCAATGCGACCGTCGGCCTGTGAANTCCGAAAAGGCTCAAGACGGCCACCGGCGGCTTCCACGTGTTCTGGAAGGCGAATGCCATTCAAGGAAGGTAACAACATCGAAGACGAAANNAAATGCTGTCAATTGACCGAAACCCAGGCTGCAGCTGNNTGTACAAAGCGCCTTGATGTGATAATAGGGCGCAAAGAATTCAGGGATTTATTTGCACTCGCCACAACCGCAGGGCGCNGTCGCGGCTACACGTGCTATGGTTCGAACNAATTTATGGGTGCTGCAACAAACTCACCAGAACGTCCGACAAACAACACGTGGGGCAGTAGTCGTTACAATTACGCGATTCATACAGCCTCTGAGGGTACAGCATGATGCTCATGGAGTATGAGAGTGTAGACTAACGACACGTGTGCCTGTTCCCCTGTCATGGTTTCGGACTTGACGCTGGACAGTTGGTTCGATACTTGTCGTACATCGACCTTCGCCGTGACCCACTCGAATAAGCATACTAACTTATGTGCTCTCGCCACCAGTTGATTGTTCACGAGGTGTGACAGATTGATAGGGTTCCAATGAGCGCTAGAAGTACCCATGCATAATTGCAAAGCACGTACGAGCTGCTCAGAAGAGTGGCATGACATATCAGAGTCAACCAAGGAGAGTATCTCTTGGAGTCACGCACACCACATGTTCACTGGAAAGCCGTGCAGAGTGCATCCTCATTGACATTGGCCGCGCTTTGCAGGCCGACATCCATACTGATTTGATTTGATTTGATTTGATTTTCTCAAGCTATTTACCCCGCAGGGGTATGAGCTGTCGCTAGTTACACCATATTCTGACCAATAGCAGTCATCAGATTCAGTAGAAAGGAGGGTAATGGTCGCAGCAGACCGTGTAAAACATCAACGCCGATAACTCCTAAGTGCCTTTTTAATGAGTGTTGTACACGTCCTTCTCTCAGTGTTGGGGACCGGTAGCCTCCTCCATAAGGGTTTTTCCCTATGTCGCGTACATCCTTATCGGCCGGGCGCTGCATGGAGGCAGTGTTGTTATAGTGCTTACCTGCCAGACCGTCTGGCAGGTCAGGAATAGTCTGGCCGGTTATTTGACAGGTTGTTCGCCAGACGGTCTGCCAGACGGTCTGCCAGACCGCCTGCTAGACTGTTCTGTGCTTCCTGCCTAACTACCTGCCAACCCACCTGCCAGGCCGTCTGCCAGGTCTGCTCTGTAACTGTTTTGCTGAGATGATGATCATGTCTTAGTTATTCCCTAGGCACTTCCTTCTAGTTTGTCTTTCTCACTCCTGATATTGCAGTCTGCCTGTCGCCTTTGCAAACTCAATAGTGGCCTTTACTGCCTGCCAATCTGGTCTCCACTTGTCTTTCTCACCATCTACGATCTTTCCGTGTTCCTTGTGATCTGAGTATCCTCCTAGAGCATATGATATGTTGCCGAATCTCCTGCCGTGTGCTGATCTCATGTCTTGTCTCTGCTGTCTCCATAGTGGGCAAAGAACAGGAAGTGTTGGACTGTTTCCAACACTCCACATTCGCATCTATCTGTTTCTACCACTTTGATCTTGTGCAGATAGGTGTTCAATCTGGATATGTTCGTCCTCAACTGTGCAAGGATAGCCGCACCTGTCCTGTTAAGTGCATTGTAAAGTTTTCTTGTATGCTTTCCTGGCAAGGCTTTGTCGATTCTCTGTAGGAACTTCCCAGTTTTGGCTCCATAGAAGTCCTCTTGATCAGGTTTAAAGCATTTTGCCTTTGCTCTTGCGTAGATCGTCGATATGGGCACTGTTGCAGCAGCTGCTGGCATCGGTTGTAACTCTGCCGTTGCCATTTGAGCTAACTCATTGGCTCTCTCGTTGCCTGCAATTCCTTCGTGTCCAGGAACCCAGTGGAGGGAAAATGTTCCTTTCCTGATCTTCTCCCTTATTTTCATGACTAAGTTAATACTGTCGTTGATCTTCGGGCTCTGTATGCTTTGCAACGCTCCTTGACTGTCTGAGAACACTCGTACCCGTACTTGGCTATTCATGTCGTCTGGGATGCCTTTGATTGCCATCCATATTGCTAGCAATTCCGTGTGATGAACATTGGTGTCTTCTTCTCTTCCTACTAGCTTTGATGCTTCCCATGCTGTTGTCCATATGCCAATGCCTGCTCTACCGTTCCTTACTGACCCGTCAGTATAGAAATCGACTGTTGCACACTCTGCAACTGTGGCTTGTTTGGCTTGTTCCTTGTCTAGTATGTACACGCGGGGTTTTGGCACCCACGGTTCACACCCGACAGTAGGGATCTTGTCTGCCTGCCGAGCCTTGATACTTTTAAACAGTACAGCTGCTTTACGTAGTGGAGATATGAAACGCTTCTTGCCCTTGTACTTGGCTAGCTTGTGGTGGATGTGAGATTCATCTAGCTTCTGGATGCCGATCCAGAATCTGAGAGTCTGCTCGTGCAGTCTCTGTCGTGTTGTTGCAATGCTTGCCTCCATGACTGCTGTGTTTAGGCCCATGGTTCTAAATCCCCCTATGATGGCCTGTGCCGCGACTCTTTGGGCTTTCTCTAGTGTTGCAAGAGTTTTGTCCGACACTGCTAGATACCATATAGGCGATGCATAGTCCATAACTGGTGCCACTGTAGCTGAGAACAATTGTCGCATACTTGATGGTCTGAGTCCTTGCAGCCTTTTTAGCGCTAACGCTGCCTTATAGGCTTTATCGGCCTTTCCTGCAACATGTTCCTTGTATCGTAGTTCTTGATCCATGGTGACGCCCAGGATCTTGACCGATTGGCTAGGGCTAATTGTGTCTCGCTTAAATTGCACGGGCATGTCGCTATCCCGTTCTAGGGATGTGTTCCTAGTGAAATGGATAAAGGCTGTTTTCGATGATTCGAAAACAGCACCACTTTCTCTTCCCATTTCTCTAGTTGCGGTAGTATCTCTTGCTGGATTCTTCTTGTGTTGCGCTCAGCTGAGTCTCCTACCACCCACGCCGTATAGTCATCCACAAAGGCCATGGAGCCCCCTTCCTTGATCTTGTGCTGTACAAGGTTGGCGTTAAAGAAGAGGAACAGGATCGGCGCTAGGGGTGACCCTTGCGGCAATCCTGCCTGTGGCAGATCCTCCACTTTAGACGTAAACCCATTGACCATAACACATGCTTTTCTGTTAGTGCAGAAATCCTGTACCCATCTAACTATAGGTTCTGGAATCCTTCTCTGCCTAAGTCGTTGCAGTAGCGGTTTAGTTGCAACATTATTGTAGGCTCCTTTGACATCAAAGGAGACTAGCGAGAGCGTCTTCCTTCCCCCTCCATGCATTAAAAATGGATTCTTGCAGGTATGATATGGCATGTATTGTCGACTTTTGTTTCCGAGCTCCAAAGTGGTTGTTTGGTAGCAACTTGTGGACCTCAGTAAGGTAAGCAATCCTCGTTGCTATTACCGCTTCCATGATCTTTCCTAAAGTTGCAAGAAGAGAGATTGGGCGATAGTTCTTTGGGAGCGTGTAGTCGTCCTTGCCTCCCCTTTTTAAGAGGGATAATCTTTGCGACCTTCCATTGCTCTGGTAGTTTGCCTTGCCTTAGAGATGCCGAGAAGAGCTGACAGATCTGCTGTTGCAGAACTGGCCACACTTCCCTCCATACTCTAGTCGTTAGACCATCCCTTCCAGCCGCACGATCAGGGCTTGTTGCAGACAGTGCTCTTTCTATCTCGTCGATTGCTACTCCTCTTAGCATGAACTGTTCTGCATTGTCGTCTCTAATTTCATCTGGTTGCTGAGGTTCTGGCGGTGGTGGGAAGAAGCTAGCTAGGAGTTCTTTTGCTATGCTTGGTTTATCTTGTGTCAATTCACCACTTTGGCCTTTAATTGCCGTGATCCTGCTAAAGCTTGATCCTGTGCCTGGGTCTAGATATCTTGTTGCTTTCCATATGTTCTTAGTATCATCTAGAAACTCGGTCCAGTGCCGTTTCTTGACTCTCTTGATTGCGTGATGGAAATCATGTCTTGCTATCTTTGTTGCAACTTCAAGGTCCATGTTCCGGTTTCCTTGCCTGCGCCTTGCTCTTGCACGGTTCCGCGTCCATGTGTAGTTCTGACGTAGAGCTGTTAGATCTGGTGTCCACCATCTCTTCGCATATGCTGACGGCTTTGCTTTAGGACAATGTTGCTTGATTGCATCCTCGGTTGCATTCTGAATGTACTGTTGCATTTGCTCTATGTCCGTAGTTAGGAATGGTGAACTTGTAAGCTTCTGTGTGATTGTCTCGCGAACTGCCTTCCAGTCTGCTTTCTGAAGAAGGTATCTCTCAGCTTGTTGTTGTTGTTCTTGGTCCTGGTCCATGGAGAATGCTGTGTGTACTGCTCTATGGTCGGATCCATACTCGTTGTCCCATGTCTTGCAGTTAATCCTGTCTTCGTGCAACCGTTCGCTTGCCATTACTAGATCAATGGTGGACCTTTGCTCATTTCTTTCCCACGTGATCATTCCTCTTGGTGTGAGCATTTGTAGGTTGTTGCACTCTAGGAAGTCGAGGATCTGAACTCCTTCTCCTTGTCTTCGCCCTAACACTACCTGGGATCCTCCCCACAAACTGTCGTGCCGGTTGAAGTCGCCTGCAACTATGATTTCCAAGTCTGGATGCGTGGTCTTCTCCTTGTCGATTATCCTCTGAATGTCCTGCATGCGGTCTGCAAGTTGCTGTTCGTTCTCCTCCCTGTTTGGGGTATTAGGGGGGATGTAGACCGATGCAACTAGGATGTTTCGGCCTGCTCTCTGTACTGTGATTACTGTGATGTCGCTACTGGCTGTCGTGTGTTGTATGTATTCCATCGTCCTACTTGCCCAGATGCATGACCGGATCCTCCTCTCCTGGTCATCTTGTTGTGTACTTTTCGGTTTTATTGCTTCAAAGTTCGGTCCAGTTCCTGTGATATGTGTGTTGTTGCCGAAGTCCAGGTAATGTGGCTCCTGCATTAGTATGAGATCAAAACTCCATAACTCCTTATCGTTGTATAACGCATCCTGAACTCCTGACATCTTTCTCAAGTTTGCTTGAAGGATATTGAGTGTACTAGTCATGACGGCGTATGTTGATGGCTCTTTCTTGCTGCTTCCTATACTCTGGGCATTTCTTGTATGTCGCTGGATGGTCTCCTCCACAATTGCTACACTTTGGGTTGCCTGTCTTGCAGTTGTTATGACCTGTTTGTGCGCACCATGTACATCTAGTAGCATTCTTGCACTCCTTCTGGATGTGTCCGAATTGATGACAGTTGTAGCAGCTCCTCGGTCCCCTGTTGTCATGGAAACTTGATACGTTGACCATGCATCCGAACAGCTGTACTTCTTCGCCATCCGCTTGCCTCTGGAGTAGCCTTTCTACCTGCTCCTTTGTTGCAAGTTTAGCAACTGCGGACGCGTGGGAGGCGTATTCCTTCGGCCTTCCTAACCATCTCATCATCTTAACCTCAACATCATTCTCCTTTGAGAAGGCCTCTTGGGTTTCTTGGCTGATTCTTCCTGTCTCCAGGTCTGTAGCTTCCCTTTTCATGACGAAATCTACTTTGATTGGGTACCAGGTGGGTTCTATGAGTCTTGCTCCTTTTAGGAACATGTCGATCCATTTGTCTGCTTGGGCCCTTGCTATTTTCTCCGCATCTTTGTCAATCTTGAAATAGGCTAGATGGACGTCTTTGTTTGTGTGTCGAATCATGAATTGGTTCAACACGACCTTGTCGAGTCCTTCGTTAGATCTGATTGCTGCTAGGATTCGATGCCTGGTTCGCGCCATGAGATTTGCTCCTGTGCGTCCCTCTGTATCAAGATTCTTTATGTCTATCACCATGTCCGCTTCTTGTAAGTGCTTTGTTTTCTTCATTGCACTTCTAATTGATGTTCCTACAGATAATGGTGGCGATCTTGGAGGGCTGGACTGATCCGAGAGGTCGAACGAGACTGACGTTCTTGGTGATCTGAACGGCGTTCTCACCGCTTCCTGGTCCGACAACTGTACTCCTTGGGCAGCTACACTTGCATATGAATCGGCAGTGCCCGTCTGCTGAGAAGATGACTGGAGAGAGCCCCAGTTCGGGGCTGCCTCTTGTAGACTCTTAATGTCAAGTACCAAGGTTGTAACTGTGGTCTGTAGTTGTCTTATCTCTTCTCTGTACTGCTCTTCCTTCTCTTGGGCTCTCTTCTGGGTGTCTAACAAGTGCTTCATTATGTCGTTCATTGTTATCTCCCTAGGAGTGTCGTTGCCGGTACCGCTAGGTGTTGGGCTGCCTTCGACATGGATGGCGGTCTCCCTACTTGTAGCAATGCCTTCTTTTCGGCGCTTCTAGTGACCATTCTCGTTGCGGTCGGCGATGGTTTCTTCCTAGGTGTCGCCTCTACCGATGTAGAGTCGGACTCGTAACTGTTCGCTCGTCTCTGAGGACTGTCTTCGGCTCCGCCTCGTCTACCATCTCTTTTTCTCTTTTCTGGGTGTCCATCATCTCTCATGAACGTGTCCTCATCCCCCTGTACCTCCGCGCTACCCTGCGACAGCAACTCAAACCTCCCTCCTCTTGCTATACCTCCACCTCTCGCACCTCCTCGGCCTCTCGGAGCTGGCATCTCGACCCCGCACCGTGGCGCTTCGCTGGAAATTCGAGGGAATCACCAGGAGACACTGCTCCAGCTCGTAGTTCAATAATAATTGGATGTTTCAATCAAAATTCGGTTTTCGTTATTCTGACCCTCCATCCATACTGTACTAATCTTGAGAGGGTTCTACTTCATTCTGTCTAGATCAGGGTCGCTACTCCGACAGGATCATTTCGAGAGTCAGCAATGATTATTGACACCGTGACGAGCTTGGACAGTCAAGTAAACACGACACGGTAGAGAAATTCTGATTCAGCACATGCTACGTGCTTTCTCTAGTGTCATACAATCGCAGTCAGTATAATCAAGCCAGTCAAAATTACAGCTATGCATTTGAGCATGAGATACCTACATACCAGCCACACCAGGTTCAGCTGTTGGTGATCTAAACCATCTAACCACTCTTTACATACTGCAAAACCATTATTTGATAGTTCTCTAACCAGTAAGCAAAAACATGGATAGCTGAGCGAGAAGCAAAAATNNACAAAACGTACAGCAGCAGGGATTCCCACGTGGTCACCCACCGTAGTACTAATCTGCCGTTCAACTGCTTATGTATGGCAGAGCGGACGGGATGCCCAGTTTTCAGCTGACTGTGGCCGTACGTGCTTAATCTCCAAATTTGATCGAATATATACTCGACAATCATTATTTGTCAGTACTCGCCAGCTCTAATGCCATTCCAGACCCAGCACCTCCAGCGTGGTGTGGCCGACTAGTGTTCTGAAACCGTACACTCGCTTTCTTAGCCGAGATTGTTTCATTGAGAAGAGCATCAAGTCGAATCGAGTTCATGAGTCTGTTCAGGCACAGGCAGTTCCTTGCTTATCGCATGTGGCGGCAATTCCTGAACCTGGTGGTCGTATGGAAGCTCTGCGTGTCCTTCTTTGTGCTGCATATTAGACGAAGCCTCCGAAGACTCCTGTGAAACGGGTTGGAAGGGTTGTTTTCTCTGTCGTCTCAGAAGGTAGATGATGATAGCGACGACGAGGGCAACCCCGGCAATGACGCCTACTACGATTCCTGCTATCGCTCCACCTGAAAGATCAGTATGGTGTTTGTTAACGCTGTTAGGCGCCGTCGTTGGAGATGTGGAATTAGAGCTGGAATTGGAATTGGATGGCTTGGAGTCATTCAGCGGTGTCCAATGATTAGCCCAAGACTGTGCGAACAAGGTCTGATCGTTAGTTATGTCAAGTGTTGTAGCGCCACCACTCATGTTCTGAGGTTCAAAACCGAGTCCTTGGTTGGAAGCTCCAGGGCCAGGTGCCTGCGCGAGCCACATTGTGTTTGTTTGAGTATTGTAGCCTAGGAAAGCGCCTTGAAGGAAAGCGCGGCCGAGACGCCACTGATCCCCACGCGGCATATCGAAGGGCATGCACGGGAAGTATTGCACAACTGAGGATACCACAGGGGATGTAAGCGTGAGGTTCAGAAGTTTGAAAGGGACCTTGATTGTAACGTTGGCCTCGTCACCAGGAGCTGGAGTGAAGTGAAATCCTAGGTATGCTGGGGAATTGATGATTGTCTCGTAAGATGGGTCAGATATGTTCCAGAGGCAATACTGGGTGGTTGGATCAAAATAGATGGGAAGCTTCTCTGCCAGGGCTGAGCAGGTTTGGGCAGGAAGATGCAAGCCTGGAGGCATGGGATCCACCTTGACGATCAAGGAGTCTGGCTGTCCAAGAGTGTTCATGAGAAGGCCTGAAGCGTTGCTAAAAGAAAAAGGACTCGAGCCTGTTTCGACATTGATTGTTATGTCTAGCAGGGTAGCGGAATAACCAGCGTAGCTCGTATATGGCCCAATGGCTCTTCCCTTGTCGTAACCACCCAGAATGAGTGAACCACTATAGTTCAGCGCCGCGGAGCCAACGTGCAAGCCGTATGAATAGGATGGTATGATGGATTGGTTATACAACGCGCCAGCGACGATCCAGGGATCTACACCGTCTTTGTTGTAGTTCAGAGCCTGAGTATCTTCATCGTTGCCACTGTTCAGTGCAAANAAGCCAAGTTCCGGAGCTGCAGTCTTTTGGTTCGGGTACTCGACGGAAAAGGTGTCAATAGTGGCAAGGTCAATATCGTAGACCGTCTTCTGTTTATCTGCAGAGCCAAGGGTGACTGCCGCAGGATATACAGTGCCTGTGATATTTACAGCAGATGGGGCATCCCAGATATTTGGAGGCGATGAACTCGGTACAGATGTGTCTGGGTCCCATTCTCCTCCGGTACCGCACTGTGGACCATAGGGTCGGCAAGCTGAGCTCGAAGGTATGTACGAGGCATAATAGCTGCCAACTAGAAGGTCTACCGAGACTTGTTCCGAGGCAATGTTACTGCTATTTTGGCTGCCACCCACTTTGATGGTTATTGCGTTCCACGGCCCATCCGGTCCATAAGACTTTGAACTCCAGTTGACTGCAAGGTATTGTTGCGCCGTGCTGGTTTGGACTGCACACAGTAGCGTCGAAATTGAGACTACCATGTGCCGATGACGAAGAGCTTGAAACATCGCAGCGTGCTCCGTCGTGATTGAAAGAATAAGGAAGAGAAGAATTGAGAATGCCTGAGACCGGTGGACGTAGAGCTTACATGGCTACTGCGTACTGTCTTACACCAGATCTTCTGGCAAATCGAAAATAGAGCAAGGCTGAGACTTGACTGTACTGCGCCATGCGTAAGTGGCTACTGTACATTGCATTCGGCGACTGCTCAACCTTGTGCTGCATTCAGTCTAGCGAGTACGGGTTGCCATTGAATCCTTCTTGAACAGGGTATCGAGGCATTCATTGGACAGTGTGTGACTTGCAGACTGGCGATTTTGACCTTGGTGACACCTACCTGCGATCCTTAGATATGTAGACGCCTGGAAGTGAGCGCTATCCGGCGGACGTGAAGGTTCCCTTGTAGGATCCTGGTAGCACATGCCGTGCGTGCATTAGAGGTGACAAGCCTACAAGGGGCTTGTGATAAAGCTTGTCCGGCTGTTCAGCCAAACCGATTCATCGCACGGCATCGGTTGGTCAAGTGGTGAGCGGCATGCGATTGCGGTAATAGAGCATACTGCAGGGATCACTTACTCTCAAAACTCAGCCTCGTGGTACAACACCAACAATTCGATTGATAATGCAGATTCATGCATTGCATGTGTCCAGACAGCTAAGCAGCTTGCAGCCATGTAGCTCTCTGACTGGTCACCTCCGGAGTGGTCGCCAGGTACCAAAATGTCCTGTTTCAGATGCGACATTGTACAGCAGACTATTCAGTACACGTGTTTGAGGCATTTGTGGCTCCAATTTGATGGTGAACATAATAGTGACCCTCGGGTTGATGGTGAGATGATTGTCGAGCCAGGCTCTATTCTCGTATTCAGAAGTCGTGATAATTTGCTACTCACAGCGAAATATCACTGTTTTCTAAGCAGAGCACAAGACTCTTGAAGAGGGATGCATTTAGACGAACATTATGACCTACTGATGGATGCACGAATTCACTTGGACAGTCTTGACTGGTAGGGTTGTCCGCACAAAGTGTCTCATCACGGATGTGCCAGATATAGCAAATTGGCAGCGAAGTCTCAGAAGACTGAGGATCTCGAGCTTCTTACCAAATGTCTCAAAATTTTTGTCTCTGCTGGTGTCTCTGTTGTCATTGAATGCGACTAGGTATGTGTCGTAGATGTCAAAAAGTTCAGTATAGCAGCGCCAACATATATAAGTGCTCGTAAGTTGTCCGGGTAGTGTCAACCGGATCTCTACAAGCACTATCTTGATACTCCTTCTCACAAGAAACATCATGAGTATTGCAGCACAGCAGACCGCATCCTCTCCTATGGAGACAACAACGGAAGATGTGGATATGATTGCCTCATCTGTCTTGCCTGCTTCAAACGACGACAACAGTCCATCTCTTGCCACACAGTGCATGGCCTTCCAGACTCGTATCGATTCGGTGAGAACCATCACCTATGTGCTACATCCTTAGGAACCGTCTGTTCTGACTCTTTCTCCCGATAGTACGCCAGCGAACTCAGTCGTCTGGAAGCAATGAACCATGCCATCCATGAGGAGTACCGCAAGCGCCAGCAAGAACAATGCCGCGACCGCCTGATCGACAGCGCGTCTCCAGAGCCAAAGAGCGTGGCTGTGCGCGAAGAGAGATACCAGATCATCATGAAGAAGTCGAAAGAAAGAAGAAGACGGCTGACTCGAGGTCTTGAGGTGGTGAGAGCGGGAATGATAAGTTGAAGAATGAGATCGAGAGTGTTCAGGCGAAGTTGAATGCTCATGATTCGTGAGGAGGTCATTGCTTCGACACGGGAGAATGGCTGGGATGGAAAGGGACAGAGGAAAGGCAAACAAAGCTCGAATGATCAAGTCGACAAGAAGGAAACACACAATGATGAGATGATCATCAAATGAGTAGGCAGACAAGCAAAGGACCACAAGCTCATGGCAGACAAGCAGATGATGGACGACAAATTCAGGGCAGGCCTTATGGTGCAAGCAGACTTAGAACGTCGGAACGAAGCAGATATTTGCAACCATGTCTTGACCTTTGTTGGTTCGTTGGCTTCGAGGTGATTGCAGGATAAGCAATGATGAATACCAGGGGGAGTTTCAGATCGAAAGTCCAAGAACGGTCTGTTCTTCTTGCGAGAGTCAATGAATGTCATAGGCGAGTCGAAGAGAGTTCTTTCTAAGAGAAGAGGCCACTGCTCGGATCGTAGTAAAGGGGTATGAGCTCCAGTATACCGAGATGTGCTGTCAATATGCTTGCGCTAGAATGGTAGACTGTCAGTAGTAGGGGTCACTAAAGACAAAAGGCATTGGACAAAAGGTGTAAGTCATGAACGGAGCGGGACCGATTTTCTCATTTTCATTTCGAGAAGATAGTCTTTCTTTTTTCCTTCATCCACCCTAGCAACATGCAGCGTGCGGGCCATTGCCGTCATGAACTTCTTGCAGTGTCTCCTTCGCTTGCAGGGTATTCGAAAAAAAAGGAACATGGTGTTGCCCATTGCACATAGCATTGCGTGCCCGTAAAAAAGTAAGAACTAACTCCTCATTTTGACTTTACAACCAGCGATCACCCAGGTTGACAAGTTTAGTGACCAGCGCGACGGGACTCGGCGATGTAGTTGGTCATCTCGTCGACCTTTCTCTTGGCGCGACCGAAGGTACCGAGCNNTGTGTCTTGTGTTAGCGAGGGACTTTCCAGGTCGGGACGGTGTTGGTCATGGCGTACTCTTCTCTTTGCGAGCTTGCGGGCACGCTTGTCCTTGGAGTTGCGGAGAAGTTCAACAACGCGGCGCTCGTAGGGGGCGAGACTTTGAGTATGTTAGTTTGATGCCGATGAGGTCAGGTAGGCCAAGGTCGAAGAGATTTTCGAGCTCGATGAAGTGGGAACGTACCCGGCAACCTCCTTGACAACGTCACGGACGAAAGCGGTGCGCTTGCTGAGATGACCCTTGGTGCGCGAAACGCGGGCAGCGGGCTGGCGGGGNGTGACCTTCTGTAGAGAGGAGAGACATGTCAGTCGAGTGATTCTTTAGGACTGAATTCACATGTCGAGGTGGGGTGTGCGTGAGTCTTTGATGCGAATGCGTTGTCGAATGCGTGTAGGTGTCCCCATTGTTCAGATCTCTCTAGCTCTCAATGAATGTGTCGTGTTTGTCGGTGTAAAAATTCATCGTCCTCCTCTTTATCACAATTCGCATCTTCGACGGCGGCGGCGGGTGCAAGGTCTCCTGGAGATGATAGGGATCAACGTACGTGGCCGGCGTTGATGCCGCGAGCGAGGCCGCTCTTCTGCTTGACTTCCTTGGGCATGTTTGCTGTGGTGTTAGTCGACGACAATCCGCTCAAGGAAGAGTCTGCCAGAGAGATTCGAGATCCAAGCGGCAGGGCAGCTGAATTTCGGGAAAACTCCGCACGCGATTTGTGTGTGCGTCTTGGCGCCCTGGACAGTGCTCGCTTGCCACCTGAATCTTCACTTTGAGTATATCTGAGCATGCACCGAAGCTCTCAGCATGGCAACTGCCACTTTGGCTTGCAGTGTTGTTGTTCTCGTCGCTCTTTCTCAGACTGTTGCTGCCGCTGTGCTGCCGTCGTCTAAAATGATCGTCCACTTTTGCTGCTTCTGAACAAGAGCACGATGGTACATTCTTCACAGGCCTTTTGCCTCTGCATTCCCCCTCTCCGTGTGCAAAAGGATGTAACGCGAGTGATAAGGATGCACAATACTATTAAAGGAAAGGATAGTGTCCACTGGGAACGAAGCATATGAGCTCTCTTTGGCCATATCTTTGTTTCTGAAAAGGATTATGCATTTTTATGGCGTGTACTTTACTCTCTACTATGGTCGGAGTAAGTTACATTCTTTAACACACGTGAAGGCCACAAGATACTCTCATGATCAATCACTTCCGGTCTCGTTTGGCTCCTTCTTCGTTCCTTGTGCTTTCAGCCACAACCGTCTCGCATTCAGCCTTCCGGCGGAGTTGACGACCGACTACACATGTCCTGCTTCCTTTGACTGACACTTGGATTCATATGCTCCTATGCCATACCGCTTTGTCAGACTAAAATCTGCAACATGCCGCTGTTTGGGCGATGACAACTGCATCGCAATTTCCCACATGCGGACGACGTTGATCTCGAGCCGTGCTCAAGGGACGCCGCTACGCGCCTATGACGTTTTCAATGCTTGCGCAGTGTGGCTTTGGAACCTCTGACGCTGCCTTTGCCTTTTTCCACATCATTGAAAACCAACCTGTTCATTTAACTTGAGTCGTGCCCTCTTATCCCTGCCGCTGACCATTGACGACGATTTCCTCCTCCCTGTCGCGACAACTATCTCACTGTCCGCTTCCTACGAACCCTTTCGCTGAGATCTTCGCTTGAGCATCAATCTCACCGCACAACGGTCCCAGCCACGAACGAGCATTTCTTCATTAGACTTCACGCGACACTCTTCAAACTTTCTGGTCCATACACCTATTCCAACTCGATCGACTAAGAAAGAATTCGCAAAAATGTTCAAAATCTTCTCATATTGGATGCTGCCGCTCATCGCAGCCTGTTGCTGGCTAGGTATGTTGGACGCCTTATCAGATATTCGCAATCTCCAAGTCTGACTGGTGACTATAGGAACCCTCCTCGGTATGCTGGGTTGGTGGCTCGCGAGCGGTTCCCCTCATCTTAATGGCATGGAGCCAGGTCAGAGAATCGCATACATCTCGGACATTGGCGCAACACACCTCCAGCCTCTCTTCATTGCCGGTTCTGCCGCTTGTGTCATCGTCTTTGATGTGTGCTTTATCTCAGAGCGCTGGTTGCGCCACAAGGGCCGCCTTGCTCACAACACGTCCACTACCCAGAAGGTCCTATCGGGCCTGGCTTCTGCCTTCGCTATTATTGGTGCCATCGGACTGATCCTCCTCACCTGTTTCCNNAAGGATACAAAGTTTGGTACTGTCCACGACACCTGTCTTGTGATCTTCATGTATGTCTATCTGGTTCCCTTTGTCTTGATCATTGCTGACAAGATCTATAGTGTTGGCTATATCATCTCTGCCATCTTCGCCTGCGCCGAGTACCAACGTCTTGGTATCCACTTCCGCCAATACCGCATTCTGCGTATCTCCTTCTGGATCAAGCTGTTCTTCATCTTCACTGAGATCGCCCTTGCTATCGGTAAGTAGTTCAAACCCTTTCTGCGCAGTATACTTGCTGACTTGTCTTAGNCCTTTGCTGCCCTCGGTCGTCACGAAAACACGCGCACTACTGCTGCCGTCCTCGAGTGGACCATCTCACTTATCTACATCATCTACGTTGGCCATTACTTCATGGACTTCCTGCCCGCTATCCACAGCAAGGACCATCTCTTCCCTACTGTCTCAGAGATGATGGAGAATGGCAACGGTCCATCCTACTCTGGCGGTCCCACCTTCTCCGAGAGCGCATCATATGCAAGCGAGAACCCTATGCGCGCCAACAACCAGACCGTTGAGCCCAGCAGAAACTTCTAAGCTGTAACTTGGAAGCAGAGGCAACGCACAAACTACCAGTACTAATAAACTAACCTTCATGTATTTTTATTGATATGACGACGACAACGATCTTTTTCTTCTTAAACGCCAAGGGGGATTTCAGGGATATGAAATGGCAAAGGGCATGAAACCAAAGGTCATGGAGTTTCTTCTCGATCTGTTAGCGCATTCTTTGGGCCGAGATCTGTTCTTATTCAGCGAGCCCTTTTTCTTTTCTGCTTTTGATGCATTTGCTTCATATGCGCTGCACCTTTTACAGCAAACAAGGGTTGGGTCATGTACACAATACTTCTAGACGATACTACAGACATGCAATTCAGCATGACGATTCGATTTTGCTTTGTCCCGAAGGTGTCAACATGTGCACGTAGAAGTGTCTCTGAGCTTTAGTGGTCTTTCTATTTCCATAAATTACCTTCAACAGCGGAAGTGAGCTCTGTCGTTTCTTGCTTCCTGCATACCTTACTCTTCTTTTATTTGACACCTGTATCACAATCACCAAGACCGACATTTGAGTATGAGTGTTCCAAAACGTTGAAGTGTGGCTATTGTCATTCGTCTCGTCATAAGTAAAATAAGAAAAGAAAAAAAGAGCTTCAACTATAAAACTCTTTAGGCAGACATGAAAAAGAAGATATCTCTCCTTTTGTGGTTCCTCCGGTTTGCTGCAATGTACATCCCTTCTATATATCCCAGTCGATTTTTGTGTTGAGACGCGATATTCTATTTTGTTTTTCTGGTTCCGCAAAGAGGTGTGAACATCTTTTTTAGTGGTGGAACAGACGGATGTGCTGCTCAACAAAGGTGATGTTCAGCTTCTCGGCGGTGGTGAAGACGGCCTGGTCGTTCTGGCTGCCGGTGGGGGCGGCAATGTACTTGACACCGGAGCGAGCGGCGCGGAAGACATTGTCGATGAAGGGGAAGAAGGCGTCGGAGCTGACGGCAACCTCGGAGAGCTTGCTCAACCATGCCTGGCGCTCTTCGGCGGAGAAGGGAGTGGGCACCTCCTCGAACATCTTCTCGTACTCATGCTTCTCCTCGTCCGAGGCGGGCAGGACGCCACTGCAAAGCATATCGATGGCGTTGCTCTTGTCGGGGCGCTTGGTACCCTTCTTCCACTTGATGTTGAGGGCACGCTCGTGGAAGCGCATGAACCAGTTGTCGGCCTTGTCGCCGGCAAGACGTGTGCAGTGGATGCGGCTCTGCTGGCCAGCACCAAGACCAATGACCTGGCCGTTAAGAGCGTAGCAGACAGAGTTGGACTGGGTGTACTTGAGTGCGATAGTAGCAACAGTCAAATCGCGGAGAGCAGACTCGGGGAGAGCGGCAGAGTCCTTGGGGGTGATGACGGTGCCAAAGCTCTCAGAAGGAGTGATGTGAGCATCGTTGCGACCTTGGGTCAGGTTGATGCCGTAGACGGTACGGTACTCCTGAGCAGCGGGCTCGAACTCAGGGTCCATCTGAAGAACGAGGTAGCGACCGCCCTTCTTCTTGCTGAGGATCTCGAGAGCCTCCTTGGTGTAGGAAGGAGCAATGACACCGTCAGAGACCTCACGGGAGATGATCTTGGCGGTAGGGACATCGACTTCGTGCGACAAAGCGATCATGTCACCGAAAGAGGACATGCGGTCAGCACCACGGGCTCTGGCGTAAGCCTGGGCGAGACCGGAGCTCTCGATGCCCTCAATGTCATCGACCATGTAGACCTTGCGCTCAACCTCGTTGAGAGGAACACCAATAGCAGCACCAGCGGGTGAGACGTGCTTGAAGCTGGCAGCAGCGGGGAACTTGAGAGCAGCGCTGAGCTCCTTGACCAGAGGCCATGCGTTCAGGGCATCGAGCAAGTTGACGTAGCCGGGAGCACCGCACAGAACCTTGAAGGGCAGCTTCTGGTCCTTCATGAAGGCAGCGGCAGACTTCTGGTGGGGGTTGGTACCGTAACGGAGCGAGACGTGCTGGTTGCCGTTGCCAGCATACTTCTTGCGGAAGAACTCGGAGATGGCAGTGTCGTAGTCGGCAGTGTGCTCGAAAGCCTTGAGGGCGAACATCTGGCGGGTGGCGTCGGTGACATCGCCCTTCTCGAGCTCGGAGAGGAAGTCGTGGTAGTCGTTGGGGTCTGAGAGGATGGTGACACGCGAGTGGTTCTTTGCGGCGGCACGGATCAAGGTAACACCACCAATGTCAATCTCCTCGACGGCCTCGGGGATGGTGACATTGATCTTGGCGACAGTGTCCTTGAAGGGGTACAGGTTGCAGATGACATAGTCAACCTTGTTGATGTTCTGCTCGGCCAAGTCCTTCTCGTCAGAGGCGAGGTCACGGGCAAGGATACCGGCGTGGACCGAAGGGTGGAGGGTCTTGACGCGACCACCGAGCATCTCGGGAGCCTTTGTGATGGCCGAAACATCTNNCTGCGCCTCGGTCAGCTCTGGCCACTGCAATTGCTGGTCGCAGGAGACTCACTCGACGGGGAAGTTGGCCTCACGGATCATCTTGGCGGTACCGCCAGATGCGAGAAGGCGGACATTGTTCTTGACGAGGCCCTTGGCCAGGTCGAGCAGGCCGGTCTTGTCATAGACGGACAAGATGGCTGAGCATTGCGTGAGCGCGTGCCTCTCGGCCAGAGGGTAGCTATCAATCCTGTTTCTTACCAATCTTTTGCGAGTTGGTGGCAGCCATTGTGAAGATGGNGATGACCAGAATCTGTCTTTGACAAAGAACTGGCTGAGGAAGGTGTCTAGNACGATGTGCGACGGGATTTTTCTTGTATCCATCGCACTGCCCGCAATCGGCGGGGCAGCTTGCATCTCTCATCACCCTCCGTCATCTCATTGGCTAGCGCCGCGGGGAATCTTTCCTCTGTTTGTCGTGACTTTTGGTCACCTCGCCGCGGCATGCTACCATTTCTGACTCGCTGCTCTCAACCAACTGAATTCGCCTTTTGTATGCCTTTGCAACCTGTCTTGCTTGCCGAGTTGTCTGCTCTGTCGTCGACAAGTCATAGATCGAGCCACTTCCGCCATCTGGGGAACTGAAGCAGGACAGTCTTGGAGCTTCGTCTGCTGTCTGTATCTCCTCCACAGCACAAGACGCAAAATGGATTGGCTTCGTGCCAGAGCAAGATCATCAGGTCGTATCACCGCTATACATCTCCGTAAACATGGCTCTAGTTTGCAGATAGTCGTGTACCCCCATGGTCTATGTTACAACAACGTTGCGTGATGGCTGTCAACCGTGCTGGATCCTGGTAGCGTGGGGAACCTGCTGTTCAGTAACCTGCCAGAAACACATAGTCCTCGCAACAACTAGCATATGACTGTTGCCGGCTCCATTAGACTGTTCGTAGGTCAGAAGAAATTCTCAAATCCACGATGACTTACAAAAACACTTTCCAGTCGAGATGATCGAGTTGTCCATTTCCAAAAGTTTGCTTGTGGAGCGACCCTGGTGCCACCGAGGGCAGCAACGAGCATGATTGTGTCACAGTATGCCCTCAACGATTCTAATAAACAGAAGAAGCATCGTCATAGCCGGCGTTCAATGGAACGATTCAGTAGCGGTCTCTCTCCCCTTGGTGACAGTCAAGCCATGTCCAATGCTGATATGGAGCAGGACAAAAACGTCAAAGTTCAGACGTCAGGGTCCCAGCAAGGTTGACAAGGGCCGGGGCGGAGCGGTCCTCGGACCCTAAAACGGTCCTGGCGTTAATTTATCCAGGTTGGAGTCTGGCGGTCACCAGCCTCTTCTGCAATGACGAGGAGAGAAGGAGATGTTTGGTGTAATCATGTCAGGCACTGCTGCATGGATTGCGCTGGCGCGTCTAAAGTGACAAGGCCGCTTTGTTAGCCGCCGCAATTCTGCCCAACTCCAGTCTTGTCTTACAGGGCGGAGAGAGCTCATCAGGGTAGCTGCTGCTGCAATCCACACTCGCATCGCCCCTGCCTCTTGAGCTGCCGTTTTTCAGCATGCCTTCCTCTCGCGAAGAAGAGCCTCGCCGGCGCAAAAGATCTTACGACCGAGACTCTCCCAAAACTTCATCCAGGGACAAGGATACAAAGGAACGACATAAGACATCGGCTAGAAAGACAACTACTCGCCGACGCAGCGACGCAAGCAGGGAATACAGTCCTCCACGACCAGATAGATCCACCTTGTCAGAACGCTCCTCGAAGAAAGTCACCATGTCGATACCAGAGATGGAACGTCGTTCGTCAATCGGCGAGAAGCGGCCGCAGTCGTATCCCAACTTCTCAAAAGCACACAGCAGAGAAGCTGTCGCTCCGGGCTCAGAACCTATCATCGATGATCTACGACCTCGCACTCCAGCAGATATGGCCAGCAGTCCCTCACGTGTACCGCCGAGCCCTCCCTTGACCGCTGACGATGTAGACCTTCGACGAGCAAAGAGCGGGAACAATATGAGGAGTCACGCGGACAGGGTCAAGTCCGAGGCTGGTCTTAATTCTAGGAGAAGTATGGACAATGGTCTGCGGGTGAACATGACAGGCTCTGCGGCGAGTAGCCACCGTCCGTCTCCCTCGAGTGTCTCTGAGACATCTGCTCCAAGCACTGGCTCGACCAAGTACAACAAGGCCCCCTCCCAGCCCACCTCAACCATCAGCCAGACCACTGTAGACTCGCAGGCAACATCAGTCGCTCCCGAACGCAAGCCACAAGCCAGGCCTCCACCAGTTTCTGTCGCACAACATTGTTCTCCTCAATCACGACCCGACTCATCACCGCGTACCCCAACGCCGCAAGATCCAGCTTTCCCTCCATACGTTCAACGACCAAAATCTACTCCCGGCATTGATGTCTTCCCTGGCGGCTACTCTCCTCGGTCCGCTCATCCAGACTCCGTTGCTATGCCTCCCCCACCACCGCCTCCGCCAATGGTTTTTGCCCAAGATACCCCTCGTGTCGATTATCTGCTGCAGAATGGTGGATTGCCGTACCTCATCTCAAAATCCATCGTTCCACCTGCTCATGACCAACCTGTTCAATCCTACGCCCAGTACCAGTCCCCCCGCATACCTTCTGCAGTCGATGTCCAACACATCTTTGCACCTATCAGTGGGCGTCTTGAGGATATTGGAAAGGTTCTGTCANAAAGCGGGTCGTTAGCTGTCGCTACAGGTTATCGCTCAGTCGCCAGGAGATTACTGGATCGTCTCGAAGCTGTCTTTGCTCGTAGCATCTCGCACGAGCGGTGTAAGTGTGTCTTGTGCCTGAGAACTGCTCAAACAACTCTATCCGACGAGGAGGATACGGGAATCAGTTGGGGCGAGATCTTGGAGTATGTTGCTGGCCGTAGAGAGCTTCCACAGTGGCCTCCTTTCTCTCTATCACCTGACGCGCCGGGCTTCAGTCTTTCTGGTGTTGAACCAATGCAANAACTCGATCCTGATGTACCGGACGAGTATCGCGCCCATTACATTAAGCAGAATGCAAAGACTAAGCGATCGGTGCAAGACTGGCTCATTCGACAACCAGACGCTCCGTCTAGCCCTCCACAGGAGGTTGACGACGAGACTTTGACTTTTGCTATCCTCACGCACATCGAGCCTGAACGAAGACCGCTGTTTACAGCTCTTATGAAGGGTCTTTCGACTATACCTTCTTCTAGAGCGCCGACACCTGCTAATGAGCCCAAGAATGAAGTCTTGGCTAAGACTGCAGCCGCTCTACAACGTCTGTATCGTCTACCATACTTACCAAGAGATCCAGAGTGCACTATCTACTTGCTCAACAATCTGCATCTGCATAGTATGCTTGCCACACTTGCCGCGGTGAGCGCTGGTGAATGGGATATCTTGGTGTCTGGTCGTTTTGACGGTTTCTTGTGGAGCGGAGCAGAGACAGTACCGCCTTCTGTAGCCTATGGATCGACAATGACGCCCATGTCCAGAACAACGACCCCTTTCAGTGGAGGCGTGCCATCTCGCAACACAACTCNNCCCTTCTCACCACTGCGAAACGTCATGTCTCCGGACCACACAGCAAACATGTTTCCTTCTCGTGGCACGACGCCCGCCCCTGGTATGCCTGGTGGTGCCCCAGCACCTGTCCAAATGGATGAAGAAACCGAAATTGCCGTCCTGGCTCAGATGGAGCGCGAAATCTACCGCGGTATGGAAGCATTAGAGGACCAATTCGAAGTTCTACATAGGCAAGCCGAGACTGTTAGACAGAGACTACGCGAACGCAGTGCTGGACTTGCAATGGCCGCCAAAGCACGCAGAGGCTCCATGGCATCTGATATCGGTGTGAGGATTGGCACACCTGGCGGACCATGGGATGATGAGCAGCAGTCAATCTTCGATGACGGAAGATCGGAACTAGCGCCAGATGACTCCGCCAGCAATATTGATTTTGGAAGGAAGAGGAGGTCAAAGCGACACGATCGCCGCACACCTGCTGTACCAGAGGAAAACGAGGACGTCGAGCGTGATTCCGGTAGGAGAAGAAGATGAGACCAGGGCACTCGTTAGCAGAGGAGGACACACCCACATGAACTTCGCATGGAGCAATCAACTCACCCAAGCTCGACACAACGAGACGAACAACCTGCATGAGATTACCGTACGACATAGATATACCCACGCATGACGACATGTTATTTTTGAGAGGCGAGACTCAGGAAGAGACTAGTAGCAAAGCAAATACTGCTGTGACACTCTCCACGCAATGCGCAACTCTCTAATTGGAATGACCATTTTACATATTTTCCTACATGCATAGCGGGAGCTGGAGCGGAGGAGAGCATTAGTAAATTTCGGACACTGATATCCCCATTTCAAAACGTCGCAATATCATAGCTATAAATCATTAATGACGAGATTGAATCTCTTGATGTGAGCAATTGTGTTCGCTTAGTCAGGTGGTGCGTTCCTTCACCTCGGCGTAGCTGATTCTTGCTTGGTAATGCTGACGATGGAACACGTCTCCACCTACACTCATCGAATCGACCACTACACAACGTTCAACCAAGATGAAGCTATTTGTGTATATTCATTCTGGTCGCCATTGAAGAACGTTGCTGATAAAAGTGAAATAGGACAGGAGCAACAGGCTACATTGGTGGAGACGCGTTACACCTCATCGCCAAAGCTCACCCCGAGTATGAAATCACAGCCCTTGTTCGAAACACAGATAAAGGCGCACAAGTCGCAGCAGAATACCCCAAAGTGAAGCTAGTCTATGGTGACTTGGACTCCTCCGATCTTCTTGAAGAAGAATCAAAGAAGGCAGATGTTGTATGCCGTACGTCATTGTTGATATCTCGTAGGCACACCCACCAAGTACTGACACATGATCAGACTNGGGCAGACGCGGACCATGAAGTATCTGCTAAAGCTATCATCAAAGGTCTGTCGGCCAGACAGTCCGAAGTACCCGGATTCCTTATCCATACTTCCGGCACTGGTATTCTCATGTATACAGACCTCGACCAGAAAATGTTCGGCGAAGAAGCCACTAAGATTCACGATGACTGGGACAACATTCAAGAAGTGATCACGGGCATCCCAGACCATGCGCCCCACAGGAATGTTGACAAGATCGTCCAGTCAGTTCGTGATGGACACACCGTCAAGAGTGCCATCGTTTGTCCTCCTTGCATCTACGGAGCTGGAAGGGGTCCGGGCAACCAGACCAGCGTCCAAGTACCTGCACTTGCTCGCTATACCTTACAACAAGGCCATGGAATCCAAGTAGGCGCTGGCAAAACCCTCTGGACCCAAATCCACGTTCACGATCTGTCAAACCTCTATCTCAAGCTTGTGGAGGCAGCTGCGAATGGTGGTGGACCTGCTACCTGGAATGACGAGGGCTACTACTTCTGTGAAGCAGGCGATCTCGTCTGGGGAGATGTAGCACGTCAGGTGGCCAAGTCTGCTCACAAGCAAGGCTTCTTGAAAGATGATGAGGTCAAGGAATACTCACCTGATGAGGTCAAGAAATTTGTGTCCTATGGACCTGCGTTGTGGGGATGCAACTCTAGATGTCGAGCTATCAGAGCCGGGAAATTGCTGGGCTGGAAGGCGTCCTCTCCCAGCCTGAACGAGGAAATTGATGCCACGGTCTTGGTCGAAGCAAAGAAACAGGACTTGGTCGTTGGCCATGCCAAGGTTGCTGCTGGAGAGGCATAATTTGGGCAAGAAGTCGGGATCACGCTAGCTGAACATCGCTAGCCAGACATATGTCTCGTGGCTCCTATTCAAGAGGAAGATGGCTCTAGTATCGTCTATTCGTAACTCAATCTAGTTATCAGCACTTTCAATCTTTGCCCCCTTTGCCCATTCTCCGTTTTCTGCGGCGCTCTCCTGGCGGATCGCGTACAGCTCGTCGATGAAAGCTGGGACAAAACTGCCAGGGCCTTTGACAGATTCCTTCTTCGCAGCCCTTTCGGCAGCAATCTCATACATCAGAATGCCGGTCACAGCTGCGAGCAACTTGTCCTCCCTCTCGATAGCCAGCAGACTCGCAATTGTAGTACCCAACGTGCACCCACTTCCGGTGATTTCACCCAGGTATGAATGCCCGTTGCTAATCTTAAAAGTACGTTTGCCATCGGAAATGACATCTACCTCACCAGTCATCAAAATCACGTTACGCTCTTTGGCAGCGATAGACTTGACGAGTTTGACACGGTCGTCCAAGTTCAAGTTTGAAGCACCACTGTCGACGCCATGCTGCTTGAAGCCTGTGGCGCCAGATACAGTGCGAATTTCACCTTCGTTGCCTTTGATAACATCGAAGTAACCACCGCGCATGAGCGCTGCGACACCCTCACGGCGTTGTTGAGTAGCTCCTGCTCCAACAGGATCGAGCAAGATAGGTCCACCAACACTGTTGTAGGCAGCGATGGTGTTCAAGTGGTGAGTACGCATCTCGGGGGTAGTGGTGCCCATGTTGATAACAAGACTACCACCAAAAGATGCGAGATCACTGGCTTCCATGCTGTTGTTCGACATGATGGGACTTGCGCCAACGGCCAAAGCGACGTTTGCTGCAAAGTTCTGCACCACCAGGTTGGTCATGTTGTGGCAGAGCGGCTTCTTGCTGGCCAGACGCTTGACGAGCTCTGGGATCTTGCGCACAATGTCCTCGTGGGAGAGTGCTGGAGCAGAGATCGAGGTAGCGAAGGGAGGAGGAGTTGCAACAAGTTGGCGAAGATCGGAAGCTGCCTTCTTGGGGTCTTTGGCAGCCATGATGGCACTAACGACAGCGACGCCATCGAGACTCTTCTCTGCAGCTGCAGTCTGATGAAGTACACGTTGGCAGTTCTTTGCGTTGATGCCGCCGATACAGACGGTCTTGATCTCGGGTGCGGATTGAGCCAAAGATGAGAGGATGTGCTGAACTCCAGAAGTGCCAATGATGGACTTTGTGTTTTCCTTTGTGAGAGTGGCGAAGACGGTTCCCACGCCTAGGTAGTCAGCTCCTCCTTTAGCAGCAATCTCTGCTTCTTCCAGAGAGTTTGCGGTTACACCGATGATGGCGTCCTTTCCGAGGAGTCTGCGAGCAGATGCGAGGTCNTGACATACACAGTCAGATTCACGAGTCAGATTAGGAGAGCAACACATGGGTTCGAAGCCTTGTTCAAGTTTCGGACTTTTCAAAGACGGTAGGTGATGCTGTAGAGTAGGCTTACCAATGTCATCCTGGCCGATGTGGACTCCCTCAACACCAGCAGCCAAAGCTACATCTACTCTATCATTGATGAGAAGAGGAACGTTTGCAGGCTTGGTCACGGCATGGAGAGCTTTAGCAATGCGAATCTGCTCGGCAGTATCGCTTGTTTTGTCACGCAACTGAACAATTGTGACACCTNNAGGAAAAATGTCAGATCAGAAGTAATAGTAGTTGTGTTGTGACTGGATTCTCGGACCTCCTTCTACAGCAGCACGAACAACTTCAACAAGATCATGGTCGCCAAGAATGGCAGGAGTGTTGTCAGTCACCAGATACACAGAGTAATCTACGTGCATATTGATTCACTGGGCGTTGTTCAACAGCTCAAAGGACAGGTTTGTGGTTGGGAAGAGAAAGAGCTAGATCAACCGATCCCGGCGTCGAGTCACGGCAGAATCTAAATAGCTGTATTGCACCATCCGACGGTCGCTGTGACTGCAGGAGAGCTTTTACCACGCAGTAATTTGTCCATTGAGATAGTGAATAGAATGTCGTGTATGCTACTGGAGGATAATTGCAACTGAAACATTTACAGAAGCTGCTGCCTGCATAGCATAAAGATGTGTTCGGTGAAGCTTTGACGAACGTGAGACCTTTGAGATCACGATCAAGATTTAATGCAAACCGCACAATCACAACGACTGCAGCATGCGCAGCATCGAAACAAAAGCAGAAACAGGTTCTGCATGTGAATTCAAGGTCTGACATGCTCAATGCTTTGATGTTCTGCTGCTTGTTNNGCTCGTGAACAAAGACCTGTTGTTCAGGTCACAGACAGACAACGGCGGCGATCACGCGTTGGAAGCTCGAGCGCTGAGCGCGGGGCGGGTCGACAAATTCTGCGGCCTGCCTTTGACTTTCCCGGCAGCACGCACCCACCACCACTCAAGGCAGGAACTTCGACGCTTCCTCCTCCTCTTNTCTTCTTCCCTTCCCTTCCACACAACACGGAGACTTCTTGTGTTTGCCTGGCCTCAGATCCGCGCAAACCTTCCNTGAGACAACAGACCAACACTCGCCATCTTNCACGCTCGCCCGCACTCCGGATCCGAGTTCAAATCCACCAANAACCCGCGACATTCAGACCACGCAGGCAGTTTATGTATTCGTCCCGCCGCTCTCAACGACTCGCAGTTCCGGACCCTCCCAAGCTGCAGCCCTTTCGTATATTGCGAAGACCTTGTAGCAACCAACTCACCAACGACTGAACAATTGCATGTTGCCGACTAATCTCGCCAACCAATCTACAATCTCCTACTTCTCAAAATCTTCCTAACCCAATTCTTACCAACAACAACCACCAACAACCGCAACCATGGCTGGAGGTTCTATCAACATCCGTCGCGTACGTTCACTACCTTGCCAATCCACCACTAGCATTGCGCTAATACTCTTCGCAGNNGACATCAGCGACCCCTTCTATCGCTACAAGATGGAGCGTCTTCAGTCCAAGATTGAAGGCAAGGGTAACGGCATCAAAACCGTCGTCGTCAACTTGAGCAACGTCGCTCAGCAGCTTGCCCGTCCTCCTACTTGTAAGTCACCGCCACCTTTGGCTAGACAAACCATTCACTAACCACATCTAGACGTCATCAAGTACTTCGGTTTCGAACTCGGTGCTCAGACCACCAACGACCCCAAAGACGACCGATGGATCATCAACGGAGCACACGAGGCTTCCAAGTTGCAAGACTACCTCGATGGCTTCATCAACAAGTTCGTCCTCTGCAGAAGCTGCAAGAACCCTGAGACCGTCATCAGCATCAAGGATCAGCGCATTCTTATGGACTGCAAGGCTTGTGGTACCATCACCGAAGCCGACCCTCGCCAGAAGCTCTCTTCCTTCATCTTGAAGCAGCTCCCTGCCAAGGGCAAGAAGGACAAGTCTACCAAGAAGGCTGAACGCAGAGCTAGAAAGGAGGCCGAGCGCAACGGCACTGCTACCAACGAGGATGGCAACGGCAGCCCCAACGGCAGCTCCGACCAGGACGAAGACGATGCTGACCTTGCTATGGATGCCGGCAGCGACGATGAGCTCACCCGCCGCATTAACGCTGAGGCACAGGAGCTCGACGAGCCCGAGGAGGAGAAGGAGGTTGAGTGGACTGTTGACATGTCCGAAGAAGCCATCAAGGCTCGCGCCAGAGATTTGCCTGACGACCTCAAGCGTGCTCTTGTCATCGAGGGTGGCGAGGACGAGGACGCTGAGGGCAACCCCTACGATCAGTTCGGTAAGTGGGTTCTCTCCGAGGGCGAGGAGAAGGGTGGCGTCTCTAAGCTTGACGATGTTGAGGTCTACCTCAAGGCCAAGGAGCTCGGTATTGAGACCAAGCACAAGACTGTCGCTGTTCTTGCTCAGACCATCTTCGACGAGAACATCGTCAAGCAGGTTGAGGCCCGCAGCAGTATGCTCAAGCGCATGATCTCTTCCGAAAAGCACGAGAAGGCCTTCATGGGTGGTTTCGAGCGCTTCGTTGGTATGGAGAAGCCTGATCTCATCCCTCAAGTCTCCGCCATTCTGCTTCAATTCTACCAGAACGACCTCGTCTCCGAGGAGACTCTCAAGGCTTGGGGCTCCAAGGCCAGCAAGAAGTACGTTGACCTGGCCACTAGCAAGAAGGTCCGCAAGAGCGCCGAGAAGTTCATCGAGTGGCTTGAGACTGCTGAGAGTGACGAGGACGACGAGGAGGAGTCTTCTGACGAGGAGTAAGCCTATACAATCGAAAGATGTGTCATCAGAACTGTCACGGATCATAATAATCGGGTCATGTTTTACCTACTATTGGTTAGGATAAGATGCAGTTTGGAGTTTTGCTTTGCATTGCTGTATATTTAGCTTCAAGTAATCGCTCGCTAGTCTGTACTGCCACACCTAACGAAGTTCTATCTCCTCTCAAACTTGATATCAATCTTGCGCTTGTTATGTATGTGGTTCGAAAAGTAAATGTCGAGCTCGGTCGAACTCGTGAAAGTCGTCCCCCTCCACGCTTCTGCGACTCACGAAGTTCAGCGTGCATCTGCACCTCTTCTCGACGACCACAACCCTCTCGAATAACAATGACATATCACATGCTCTTTCCTCAGTGACGCGCCGAACACTGAATATCACAAAGTCTCGTCAACATGGACAACAACATTCCACGCAACACACCCGCGCTTCTAGGTACGACCTGCTCAACATCAAACAAGAGCATCAACTCACAGTGGGGCACAGCGCGTATCGATCAACTGCGCAACAGCCTCTTCAACAGATTCGAAAAACTACTTGAACAAGCACAGGTAAGATTTGATGATGGAAGAGTGCAAAGCCCCCATGGCAATTGCATTTTGGATGTCACTTGGGCGCCTTTTTTGAGAATTTTTTTTGGCTAATGAGTTGCTTTGCTTTCGCAAAACTGCAGAATGAAAAGAATGATCGCAATAGTACGGCTCTGAGTCAATATCAGACGCAGATTGAGACTGCTGCTTTGGTGAGTTTGTTTTTTCTGCATAATGGCCGTTTTCCTTTTTTATAGCTCTTTGTTGTTCTGCTTGTTCATAGCCACCATGTTTTCTGTCTGCTATCTGAGAACCACTATACTTTTCTTTCTTTGGCAGAGATACAGCATCACCCCTGGTGGAGAGATGGGATCCTGGAAGGACCAAACACGAATGCAGAACTAGGCTCTGACGAATTCTTAGATACGCACGAGTGAGGACATTCTGGCTCTTACACGCCAGATGCAAGAGCTTTGGTTATTCGGACAGCTAAAGACACTGGACAAGAACGATATCCAAGCACGTATCGATGGGGATGCTAAAGAAGTCGCCGAAATGCTTGCTGTGCTTGTTGGTGGCAGTAAAGACGAGGATGCCATGAAAGTCGAAGCTTGAGAAGGAGACCAAGACGACAGAGGTTTACGAGAATAAAGAAGCAAGGCATGGCCTCTGATCTTGTTAGCTCGAGCACGAATACAGCAGCAGTCACAGACATAAAAGATTCTGCACTATAATGCCTTGCAGTCCATCCCGTTCCTCCCTCTACACGACATCTTGTTACATACTCCTCCCTTTATCATAGGCAACCCTGTCCACACTATAAGTCTCAATCAAGCAGACCATCTACAAGATCCTGACTCATCTCGGCCCTGATACTCACACACGGAAGACATCGGAAACAGCACTCGAAGATACCGCGGTCCAAACTCGGAAAACTTCCATGAGAGCACAAACAAAACAGGCCGTTCGGCAGTCACAAAGAATTCGGCCGTTCATGTGTCTTGTCTTTTTTGGAGTCTCGGGCCAGAGGAGAAGCCTCGGTCCCCAAAACGACAACACCAGCCTTTTTCCCCAGATCGGCCTTTTGCGGAGAAGAAACCGCACACGCACATGTCAGAGCCAGAAGCCCCCCCGCGACGTCATCTTCGAGATTATTGTTCTTTGCAACAAAGGCATCTCTTGTTGATAATTGAGCGAGTCCGAAGGCTGGATAAACAGGAGGAAAGTAACACAAGATAGCCAACTGTGCATATCGTTGCTGCCAGAAGAATATTTGGAAGATTTGGCACAGAGCGAGCAGTTCTGGATCCATGGCAGTTTTGGAAATCTGCTGGGCCAAAGCAATACCGAGGTGATCCATTCGTCCATACGCCAACCCTTTTCTTCTGGACCAGGTAACCGAAACGAAAACAAAGGTCTGATGACTCAAATGAAAAACGCAGCTCATGATGAGGTAAAATAATAAGAACGTAGGCTTCTCTCCTCATTTTCTCCTTTGACCACTTTGTGTTTTTTGTTTTCTTACAACTATCCTCTCTTGTTTCTCGGTAGTCCTTCTACAAGCTTGCATAACCCTCCTCATACGCATTACCTCGTTACCGTTTCGGATATACCTGTATAACTAGCTCGTCGAAACACGAATACTTTACTGCAAGGACGAGCACGAACTCAAGCGACAAGCAACCACTAGCTCTCATTCTAGAAACCAAGGCATTACACAACTGCATCCCCTCTTTTGAGTCCCGGAGTCAAGAAGAGGAAAGAACCAAACAACAATGTCAGCAAAATCGACAAAAGGTCCAGGCGGCAAGAAGCCAGCCTCTGCAGCAACAAACCTGGTCGCTGGTGGAGGAGCAGGCATGATGGAAGCTCTGGTGTGCCATCCTCTCGACACGATCAAAGTGCGCATGCAGCTTTCAAAACGATCGCAGCGTGGTGTGAGTTATTCCCCTACTCTGATTCTGCTTCCCTAAAAGCAATCATTCTGACATATGCACCTCACAGNNGGCACTCGTCGCGGCTTCATCCAGACCGGAGTTCAAATCGTAAAGCGCGAGACGCCACTTGCCTTGTACAAAGGCCTTGGTGCTGTGCTCACCGGCATCGTCCCCAAGATGGCTATTCGCTTTACCTCGTACGAATGGTACAAGCAAGCCCTAGCCTCTGAATCCGGCGAAATCACCTCCAAAGCCACATTCATGGCAGGCTTATTGGCAGGAGTGACAGAAGCCGTTGCCGTAGTCACACCCATGGAAGTCGTCAAGATCAGATTGCAGGCCCAACACCACAGCATGGCTGACCCCTTGGACGTCCCCAAATACCGCAATGCCGCGCACGCATTGTACACGGTGGTCAAAGAAGAGGGAGTGGGTGCTTTGTACAGAGGAGTCTCGCTCACGGCGTTGCGACAAGGCACAAACCAAGCTGCAAACTTTACTGCTTATACCGAACTCAAGGCTTGGTTGCAAGAACGCTCTGGAAGCCCTGAGGCTGGGTTGCCTGGCTGGCAGACGGCATTCATTGGTTTGATCTCTGGTGCTGTGGGTCCGTTCAGTAATGCGCCGATTGATACCATCAAGACTAGGTTGCAAAGAAACCCCGCGCAACCTGGTGAGACGGCTATTGGGAGAATCGTGACTATCGGTAGTCAGATGTGGAAGCAGGAAGGTATCAGGGCCTTCTGGATGGGCATTACACCTCGCGTCATGCGTGTCGCTCCTGGTCAAGCTGTCACGTTTGCCGTATACGAGTACTTGAAGGAGATTATGGAAAGAGGGAGGGATATGATACCGGGTGGTAATTATGAAGAGTAGAAATCTATGTTAGGAAATGGAATCGCCTACCACTGCAAAACAATGTCATTGTTCACACCTTCCTGCGGTAACTGAAGTCTGTAGGTGATATGATTCGAATGCGCCATCATCGACTGCAGACGTTGGAGATGTATATGCAAGTGTCTACCTTCTTCCTGGACGCTTAGGTCTTGCAAAGCCCTTGCTCTCCACCTTNTGCTCCTGGAACTCGGAAGCCAGAGTACTCGCTGACCACTCGTCTGGTGAACTGGCTTCAAGTCTCTTTGTGATGTTCAGACCAACATTGGATGCCAGAGTAACCAGCTGCGAGCGTGATGAGGCGTAGACCATGCGTTCCTTGATCTTACTCTTGCTAGGGCAACTGTACATGAAAACGACGCCTTGTTGACCAGGGTAGTTGTAGAATGAGTAGCGGGGTTCGGACGAGCTGATTTCGGAACTGAGGTCGGCGGGCTGGATGTCCTGTTTCGAGGCATCGAGGTGTAGCGTCTCGGTAGGCACGTCGATTTTCNNTGCCAAAGCTGTTAGTTCCTTCTCGAAACAAAGCGCGCCGTGACGGAGACTCACAATCATAACCAGAGATCCCTCACGAGAATCCTTGAGACTCTCAAGAGCGTTGCTGACCTCGTCGCCCAGGTTGAGGGCAATGCCTGCACTGGGCAAGCTCTTGCCGCCAGTACCTCCACTCTCCAGTGCCTCGGTTTCTTTGATGTGCTTCAAGCCAGCCTCTTCCTCGGTCAAAGGAGCATCCAGACGGTTGTGCTTCTCATGACGGTCCCAACCCTCGGGTGTAAGTTCTTCAGCAGTGGTGCAGAAGACAGTCTCGCGGAAACGCTCGACTCCCAATTCACGCACCAGCGTCAGACGCGTCGAGGCAAACAACATCTTCTGGCGTACGTTGGCGGCATCGGGGACGTATGTCACGGCGACGTAACCGTCGGCTGCCGAGCCATCTTGCTTGAGCAGAATGTATCTTGCTTCGTCTTTGGTGAGGTGTTGCGACAGACCAGACAGATCGCTGCGGAAGTCTCCATTGGCTTGCAGGGTTTCGACGGGTACGAGGGATTCGTTCTTTATGGTTGCGAGGAGGCCTCGCTGTGACGACGAGGACACGAGGTTGTTGAATGCATCCTGCAACTCTTTCGACGCTGTAGATTGACAGGTTAGTCTCACAACTAGACCATAGAGATAATGAGATACGCACCTGATATTCCTGACTGCATTGTGTTTGTTGTGTGAGTTGGCTTGGAGAGATGGCCGTCGACTGCCCCTCGAAGCTCAGGCACAAGTCCAAAGCAATGACGCGTTTCACCAAACTCCGGATCAACACTGACAACACACCAACCTCTTCACCTTCTGTTCTGCGCAGCATTGTTCATGATGATATGTATTGTGCATTACGTTTGTTACTCGCCCTCATAAATCATTAATTACGCCAGCCAATGCCTAGTAGTACAATCAATTTTGAAACTTTGACCAAGCTCAGTTTCTCCTTCTGGAATCACCCTCGTTGCCATCGGCCTGATGCCCGTTAGCCTGTCCGCTCTCTTCATCCTGAGATCCTGGCGGAGGCATCGTGTAGCTTCCATTCCAAGCATCCTTTCTTCCGCCTCTGCTCTTTTCGTCTTGCTCTTCCTCTTCGCCCAGCCAATCCTCAAGTCCCGGAGCTGAGAACAAGCTGCCCTGCCAGAATCCTCTGAAGGCTGTCTCCAGAGCACAGAACAGCCACAGAAGAGTTGCTATCATGACCATTGTCGCTGCCCATCCTCTCATGCCATCATCGCGTAGGTCGCGAGAGATAAAGCACCATGCATTTGCATATGATGCCATACTATAGTCCACAGAGTTAGCGTATATTCGTGATATTGAGTTGCCGTGTGTATGGCTTTGGACTTACGGAAACACTGCGCTCCAATAGGCGATGTTGAATTGCAATTTTGGAAGTGACATGAGGATGCTCGTCGTGCCCTGGACCATCCAAAATGTGGCGTGGGCCAAGAGGAACAGATTCATGATGATGCCAATCCAATGGATCACTTCGGATGTTGCCAAAAGTGTGGCCTGAGAGAGTGGTGGTGGATTAACCTGGGTTGGTGCGTAACCGTTCTTGATGTACGTGGCCAGGAAAATGCTAAACCTTTGAATAGCGTAGGCTCCTTGGCTCAGAGCTGCCACGGGTAGGAAAGATCCAACCATAAGAGGCGCTGCTGGTGTCTTATCTGCGATCAATCTGAAGAAGTAGATTGTGATGATCATCGTGCCTTCCGCGATAGCAAAAGACCATGCCAGGAAGCCTGTGACGAGCAGAGCTATGGCGCATTTCGTGCTCTCCATGTAGACGTACGGCAGAATCGAACTAGCGGTTGTTGCAGTGACAAACAGAGGTACAGTGGTCATCACCCAGACACCTGCCACATCTGACAGCTTCTGAGGCTTTGCATGGCTCATTTGGTAGATAACGAGACCAAAGGATATCGTCAAAGCCATGACAAGCGCAATCCAGTAGAGAACGAATGTTGCCCATCGAGCAGAAGTCCGGTAATCATAGTACGATATGATGCCTTGGATGATTGTGTTGAAAGAGATTGGAATTGCGCCCAGGAACGAACTCGTTGGAAACTCCATCATGTTCTTNTTGAGCAGCACAGGATGCGAGATATAGCGCCAGATTAACATGCCAGTGAAGAAGCCAAATAGGACGATCTCCAGAATCCACAGACAGTAGCCAATGTCGCGAAGCCATCGGGCTGCTCCAGTGATAGGGTATGGGAAGTTAACGAAGCATTGTTGCAGAGTGCCAGTGNNCCTGTATATACAGTCAGAACCCTTCTGACGCATCAATGTTGTACGAGCACGCATACTCATGACAATTGTGAACCATGACGGCTCAAAGTTGGCAATTCTCTCCCTCCAATGCCATCCTTTGAAGTTGTCTTTGACAGGCATGTTGTGAAACTAGGGTTAGTTTGTGTGATGAGGCTGATAGTGTCGGAAAGTGGAGTCAAGTCGCACAAGGGGCGTCTATATATCAGCCCCTCCCTGTACAGACATGTTGTTTCTCCGTACTCGTGATGGCATTTTCGTCGAATTGACGTAGTGAAAGCAATGATGTTGTAAACTCAGTGCGGCCCGCGGCTGAACGGCTGCACCCCAGAAGATCCACAGCTTCCACCAGCCACAGATCTCATTAACCGCTAAGTGCAAATCAGGCATCTCGACAATCATGCTCTGCACCGTGTTGCATCTTCATTAATTGGTTGGCCATGTTGATGTTCTACATTGAGGCTCAAGTAGATACTATAGCTTATTCTTTCTATGGCGCCATGCTCGTAAGCAAAGTGCTGGTCAAGTAATTGCTTCCAGTTTGGCACTGCGATCGATGACGCATGATTCGAAAGGGTCTACATGTTTGAATGCATTAAATAAGCCCGATCACTGCATCGCATTGGAATGATGGCGTGAACTTGTTTATTACTTCTTATATCTCCGCGATATATTCCACCTTGAGATCTTCCATTGTCTTGGCCTGAGATCAAACATGTCAGAGGAGAATATGGTCGTCATTGTCACTGGAGCGGTGGGTAGTGAACCTAATGTCGACGGAGATCATTAATGCTGAGAGAAGGCAAAACAGAACCGAGGCATTGGCCTTGCCATTTGCGAACTCATTTTGAAGACCAACCAGAATGTGAAGTTGTATGCAGCATCGCGCGCTGGAGCCGACCTTGGTCTCAAGAGCGCTGGTTCGGGATCGATCAAATATCCTAAGCTGGACGTAACCAAAGATCAAGACATCAAGCAGCTGGCCGAAGACATCAAACATGAAGAGGGCTCGATTAGCGTTCTCATCAACAATGCTGGAGTCAACACTTACCCTGAACACACTCCTGAGAGTGTAAAACAAATGCTGGATGTCAACTATCGCGGAACATACAAGATGTGCAAGGCCTTCATTCCTTTGCTTTCGCAGTCAGGACGTATTGTTAACATGTCTTCCGTGGCTTCGCAATTGAAAATCTACAGCCAGCACAATGCAGCTCGCTTCAGAAATACAGGATCATACGAAGATGTTGAGAAGATTGCCGAAGATTACATGGTCAGCTGCAACCTGACCCAACATCATGGGGTTCTAAATTTCGCTGACTGTGTTCTAGNNAAAGCTGTAAAGGAGAAGAAAGAACTAGCATCAGGCTTCGGCGACAAGGGTCAAGGCTACAGTGTTAGCAAAGCATGCGTCAATGCAATCACCGCCATACTTGCGCGTGAGAACCCAGGCCTCACTATCAATGCATGCTGTCCCGGTTGGGTGGATACTGACATGGGAGGTATTATGGGCAAGCCACCCAAGGAGCCTAGTAAGAATCTTCTGTCCAGTGATCGAGCTCATCTGAATTGCCATATGCTGACTGAAGTCTAGNTCGATGGTGCTAAGATTCCGGTTAAGCTGGGTTTCGGTGATATCTCTGAAACAACCGGTCGCTATTGGGCCAACCCTGGGATCTCAGATAAGGGAGACGGTCAAGTGATGGCATGGTAATCATTGACACTGCGAAACGACGTAATGTAGTTATTAAGATTGTATATAATCCATCCACGAGATATGTCCACATCTCTAGCACAAATTTAGCTATTATTCTACCAGATGACAAGAATCATGACCGAAAACGGAGATACACAGGAAGCATGTGTGGATGATAGATGATTGTCATAAAGTCGTTATATAAATACATGCAATGAAAAGCATCGACATCCCAACTCCACTCAGCGCCGGTAGCTAATCCCGGAGAAACTGAACCAGCGAGCTCAAAGGCTCGAAAAGGTGTGGTATGTGAAAATATGCTCATATCGTCTTGTTTCGCTTGTGCTTTGTTCTTGATCGCTCAATTTCGTAGTCGCAAGTATACAGAATATCAAAGCCGATCGAGAAGGTGGTTTACTTCTGGGCTTCGGGACCGACACCTCTGACGGCGCTNGCAATGTATGTTAGCTGGATGGTCAGAGAATGGATGTTGTGAAGCACTTACTTGTCCCACAGCTTGCCGAACATGCCCTTGGGTGGGCCCTGCTCCTCGATGCTTGCACGACGAGCAGAGTAGGCAGCGTTGTCGGGGCTGCGCTTCTGAGACAAGATGTTGTTGAAGAGACCACCAGAGGAGCGACGACGCTCGCCATCGAAGGAACCCTTGGAAGCAGGAGTGGTGTCGGTAGGAGAAGACATGATGATGGTTGGTTGAGGTTTGAAAGTGGTTTTTGTAGTGTGGTGTTGTGCTTTGATGGAAGATATGCTTGATGAAAAAACTAAGATCTGATGGGTGGGGTGCAACAGTCTTATATAGCTTGAGTGCTACCTCAAGAAGCTTACCTCTGGAGCTCTGTCATATCATCGGACTCGGAGCTTTTCCAGCATCCGTCGTCAGCTTTTCCACTTGTTTGCTCGACCGCTCTGCTGGGTGCGAATGCTCTCGTGATTCTTCCTGAGGATCGCAGCACTGGTCAAGCCATCGACACATGTTTCGTCGTCATGGTGTTGAACTCAATCCGGCATGATCCAATGGCAATCAATCCTCAGACCGTTTACTTTGCTGCCCCTCACGAAAGAGAGGTGGTCGTTAGCAAGCCACCAAAAGTGGTGGTCCAATTTTCCCCACGATAAGGCTGACCTGTGGATTTGGGCTTCACGATCGGGATGCGGGGAAGGAGACTTGTTGATGTCATCGGTCTGGTCCCTGAATCTGTTTCTGAATCTGCTTGCTGTCATTGGTCGCAACAGCAGTTGCAAAGACGGGCCTTCACGGTCAGATCGCTCCGGCCCTGTCGTGTGTTGAGCTTATCTCAAGGCTTTCTTGATTTGCATGTGCTTTGATACCAAAAAAGATACACGCATGTCAAATCTTGGTTGGATTGAGTCAAGCGAAACACATGAAGTTCGAAAGAGTGAAAGATGGGCAAGGTCATGGTCTAGATGGCATCGTGAAGGTGTTGTTGAGTGCAAATCCTCCTTCGGAGAGGGCTCCATGCTCGATGCGAGGGACATGTGTTTGAGACGTGGTGATCTGACGAGGTTTCCGGCCGGTAAAAGTGGTTCTTCCATGACGAGCTTTCCAGCACTTAGATTGTGCCGTCGAAGGGGTCGTTTGTGATTTGGAAGATGGCTTGCTTGACTGAGAATTGGGATCGGAGACGGGCTGTTTGTCAGAGATAACCACGGTCTTTGGATTGACGAACCATCTTATTATCTGCTTTATGGTTGGGATGTTCCCTGATGGTTGCTGCTACGCACGCACTCGACATAGGTATGTCGTGTGATCAGAGCATTTCAAGTCAAGTCAATTGTTTTTGACAGCGAAAGAGCTTCGTCCTTGAATCATTAACTACTCGAACCCTTCGAGTCAACCCACCTAGTCATGTTGAGAATTTCTTCGAAACGAAATTGTCCAAGTTGTCGAACGCTTTTGATTGCTCTGTTTGAGGATACTACGAAACAGCTTCGCTAAGGTCGCAATGGCCTCAGCTAAACCACCGCAGATCAAGAACAAAATGCAATGGTAAACAGAATCCGACGAGGCTTCTCGAGTAAAATCATACTCGTGTCCAGTTAGTGGTTATAAGCAGAGCGCTGGTGTGAAAAGATGAACATGGTTTGCATGAAAGTGCATCTCGTCGGATTGCTATGCGAGTTCATGCAATTGTGAAGTACTTCGGCCAGGCTGTCGATAAGCGTGCATGAGTCTATGAAGTCGGGTTGTGTATAATTTCAAGGAGAATGCTGTGAGAGAAGTTGCGATGGACGTTGTATAGAGTGTCTTGGCGTTCAATGCGGAGTGTGACTTTCACGCGACAGCAAGCCACAAGGCAACCTTCTTTCCATTCACCTCTCATCTTGTGATAATTCTCGACTCAACAGCGCATTAGACCGTCCACGTACAACGACTACCGCATATCTCCCCTCGTCGCATTTCTCAACAAGCACCTCTCACTTTAAGTCGCAGCGCTTTCCAGCGCGCAATCAGGCATCAAAATGGGTGGCGATCTGAACTTGAAGAAGTCATGGCACCCCGTGCTCATGTCCAACCAGAAGCGCGTCTGGGAAGAAGAAAAGAAAGCACTGGATGAGCGCAAAAGATCGACCAGGTCCTCAAAGAGCGCGCCGAAGAACGCCAAATCCAGGAACTACAACAAATGCAAGAGGCCGCTGGCGGCAAGAAGCGTGTCGACAGAGTAGACTGGATGTATGGAGGCCCCGCAGACGGTCAGAAGGGAACCACAGAAGAGATGGAAGCATATTTGCTCGGAAAGAGAAGACTGGACGGCCTTGTCAAGAAAGATGCCACCGAGGCCATGCAAAAGCTGCTGCCGTAGGCCCTCGGCCCTGCAGATCGCGAACAACCAAAGAGACACGGCTATAAAGGTGCGCAATGATCCTATGCTGGCCATCAAGCAGCAAGAGCAAGCCGCACTGGAAGCTATGATGAGCGATCCCACCAAGCGTCGAGCTTTGCTCAAGGCTGCTGGCAAGGACGAAGGCGACTCAAAACGCAGCCATCGCAAGCACCGTCACAGAGATGATGAGCACCGCAGCAAACGCAGACGCCACGACGACTATAGCGATGATGAGAGACGTTCATCTCACAAGCACCGATCACACCGCCGTCGCTCGCCCTCGTACTCTCGCTCTCGATCGCCTGAACGCAGAAGAAGGGATGATAGGCGCGACGACAGACGTGATGATGACAGACGTTCCTCCCGCAAACACGACTCGTATCGTCGCACCATCTCACGCTCACCAGATTCACGTAGACGGAAATCATACCCTAGTCCGCGACGATCAGACTCGCGTTCTCCCTCTCGCAAGAACAGAGAAAGGGACAGCAGACGACGTTCGCCTTCTCCTGTTCGTTCAAGGACAGAACGAAGATCTCCCTCGCCTAGACGTCGTGCATCACCAAGCTATGAGCCCTACAGCAATCGCGGGCACAGATCTTCTAGAGATGATCGCCCGCCCAGGTCTCATAGGGATGACAGCCGACCCCAGAGGCAAGAACGCCCTGATTCTCCTGATCGTGAAGCAGAACGCTTGGCTAAACTAGCAGCCATGCAATCCAACGCCACAGATTTAGAAGCAGATCGCAGGAAGCGTCTAGCCGAGCTTGAAGAACGCGACCGCAAACAGAAAGAAGAGGATGACAGAAAGAGAAGCGAAAGGGCAAATTTGTCGGCCAACTAAGAAGTCAGGCCGATATGGGCCAGGGTGGCGGTCTGGGAGCCAGGTTGGCTGGCAGGACTGGGCTACAGAGATTGACTGGAGATGAGTAGATTGCATCTCTTTCAATCCACGCTATTCGGTGAATGGGCGATATGAGCTGGCATCGTATATCATGGCGTTATTCGTACGACAGGATCATATATCTAGAAAGCATAACTCACTCGTGTTCAGGAACAAATTCCTGGCCTCCTCCGGTATTGAACCGCGTATCCGTATCTAGCTTCGACGCAGCTTATAGAACACCCGCAGCAAGTTGAGCAAGTTTCCTTACATAATCAAAGCAACCGAGTCGTCTTGGACCATGCCTATATATTTCCTCTTCGAGCTCTCCCTCTCCTTTTCCTCTACATCCCATTCCTTACACCTAAACATCTATCCTCCCTATCTCACCTATCCTACCCATCTCATCTACCATCTATCTCATCTGCCATCTATCTTATCCTCTATCCATCTTATCTCCCTCACCTCTCCCATCTCCCCTATCTCTTCCATCTCTCATCTCTCCCATCTCTCTCTCTCCCTCATCTCTACACAACAGCGCTTTCATGCCTGTATCTGCGAATAAACCCTCAAGCTTGTTTATTTCGCTTTGAAGTTAGAGTGTGATCTGCTTTTCTCACAGCGGTCCTCTGAAATTTTTTTTTTGGGAAACAAAGGCTACTTTGGCTTTTTACTTCTTTTCTTCATTGGTGTGGATCTGGCTGTGATGGCTGGGTACTGAAGAAGAAAATTCGCGAGGGATCCCTTGGCACAATGAATCCGTTGCCTAGAGAGCTTTTGGTGGAATCTTTGCTTATATCAAACTTGCTCATTTCGTCGCAGAAACATAGAGGATGACGACTCTCGAGTCACTAACCATAGAATCCTTTGGAAAGCCTATGCAGAATAGAACTGTACGCGAGATATCAACTTGTCTATCTGAAAGATCTCCAGAAAGAACAAAACGTAGACTTAAGTAGTGATCATCGGACTATCGAACAAACGACGTCTCGAGAAGTGTATATAGACGTTTGTCTTCGTATGGTTACTCCACAATTGCTACAAGAACTCCGATACTCAAGCGTATACATAGCAGAATGGTCCAGCAACTGTACTCATCACATCCCTCATCGTAACGTTCAACCCCCTTCCAGCCCAGCCAATACTGATTTCTGTACCCAAAGTTGTGTTTGCACTAGGCGGTTGATTCAAAAACGTGTTTGTGCCAGCAATGGCATCCTTGCCATATAATCTGTTCTCAGGATCCAACATCTGCCATGCTGTCCAGACTAGATCTATCATGCCGTGGTGAAGGTAAAAGGCTGGATCTCCTGGTGAGGTAAACACATCGCGGCCAGGATCTCCGCCCATGGAGTAATGGCCACCACCATGAACACCGATGTTACCGCTGCCGGGGATGCCTTGCATCTGCATCTGGAAGTCGTAGACATTTTTGGGGCCGAGGATGTTACCGACGATGGCTGTGAAGTTTGCGAAGCGCCTGTTGAGCTCGTCTGTAAGGTCGCGTTTCAGGCAGCGAGGGTTATAGGAGAGAGGACCATTGGGGCTGACAGAGGTGATGTTGCCAGGGATGGTGAGAGCTGCTGGTCCAAGATTCACGGTCATGTTGACAAGGGGNCCAGACTCGATGCAGCCGCCTCCACTGCCGGTAGGGAAGTAGATTTCAGGGAGCCCATTGCCACCGAGGACAACTTCGAGGCCGGTTTGGTTGATGTAGGCGCCGTCGCCACTCATGCTTGTCTTGCTGCCGTCCCAGACAGGACTCTGTTCCATGCCGCTCTCAGCAGAAAGACCCCAGTTCCAGTAGGGTTGTGTGCCTTGGTAGCCGCACTCGTTGCGAAGGGCTTGTTCGTACTCCCAGAGGAAGAAGCGATGCCAGCCCAAGAACGTGCCGGTATAGTGGATTTGAAGTGTCTGATCGATGTGTGTGGCCACCCAATCATCGTAGCGCGTTTTTGCACCCGGAGCCCAGGAAGCAGGTGACTTGGCAGTCTTCTTCTGAAGACAATGGACAGCATCGGTATAGGCGATACGTTCTCTGGGAGAAAGAGTGCTCCATTCTTTGCGAACCTTGACGTTACCAGGCTTGCATGTCGGACTGAAGGGCTTCTTCGCTGACTTGACGATGTATTTGGCATGAGATACCAGTATCTTCAGCTGTTCCTGAGCGATCTGAATGTCGCTTGATGCCGATGTTGGCAGCTTGTTGCCAGGACTAGCATTGGTGCAAGTCAGCACGGCGGCGACTGCAAAGATCAATCCAGCTTTCATATCGAAGAAATGGTAAGATCGCAACCTATTCAATCAACCGGATGAGATCAAGGGGCTGACCATACCTTTATACTTGACCCGGTCATCTTACGGTATGCATCGTTGCAGTCTGTGCTGATCTAATCGTTTAGGCGTGCCATGATACGAGTGGTGCCTATTGTCCGTCGTGGTGTCGATATTTACCACTATGCCGGAATGATAGGTCGTCGTCGACTCAGCACGCGGCATGCTGCAGGTGAGAGCACGCGAAGGATCTTCCGGTGGTCAAATTTGATTGATAGACCGCCTCGACCACCCCTTCTTTCCAAGCGAGGATTCAATGATCAACATGCCAAGATGCTCTATATGTTAGATCCTGACATGATACCAAAATCAGTACGCCTTTGTTTGTACGTTGCTCGAGGTGTTGTCCGTCGAGGGCATGGTCGCAGTTCGATACTTTAACACCGTGGTGAAACAATCTTGACATGATTGGCATATCATATCGACATGAGTGTCGACTTAAGGTGATGTGTGAATGTGTAACGTGAATCTCGGCAGCGACAGCATTGTTAGTTCCTGCCTTTTATGGTTAGTGCTTACGCGCCGACCTCGGGCCATCGTGGTTGCATTGTTGCGCTAAGTGCCTTGACGAGCATTGAGACCACAGTTCGTTCTCAACTTCACTTTTCCATCTCTTGGTCGGGCATACGAATTGGCATGCCATTGGGATGAACTCCTCGTTGAAAAATGTCGAGAATCTCATATCGACAGGCAAGTTATCATCCGTTACGTTGATGTGAAGCTTGCTGCCTCTCACTGGCACTCCTTGATAAAAGGCGTAGAGCAATGTAAGGTGCAAAAGTGCATAATACTTTCGAAGAACGTAGAAGCCTCCATTAAAAACCAGGTTTCTGTCAACTCTCATGGTATACGTTACCAGATGGTATTTCTACGACAGACCCATAGGCACGAAAAGATTGAATAACCACAACATGGAACAGAGTCGAATGGAATCAAGGTTGTTTGAAGCGTGTCGGCACGGATAGGCACATGGCTTGAGCAAGATCTTGTCCGTTCGAATGGCCTACATCGTGCGCTTGAAGCCAAAAGCATATCAAACTCACGCATACACAAGACATCCGCTCGCACACAATTTCGCTAATACGTTCTGCTCTACAAATGATCTTTCTCTTCTACATCGCAAAATATCTTCTCATTGCATTCGTTTCTGTCATCGGATCTTTCCTGGCGTATTTTCAAGAGTCATCGGCGACAGAGCCATACTTAAGCATGCCTTCATCCAGTCCTCTCGATCCAAAGGCAGCTGTCTTTGCTCCAAACCTCCCTAGCACTTCTTCCAAGTAGCTGAACCCAAAGGCTCCAGCGTTCGTACCTGCTCGCAATCCAACGATCGTGCAAGGTTTTCTTCGGGATCTACAAGCCTCATACAGGCAGTATCGAATCTACCACTGAAGATGGCAATCGACTATCCAACAAACGAGACTTACGAACTCGTGAATCTGAACGAGGAGCACACCGAACCAACGACCAAAGGATTGTTCTCCCTTCCACTCGAATTGCGTCTGGGAATTTATAATTTGGCTCTTGACGATGAATACGAAATCTTTGAGACGGGATTGCCAGCACTCCTTCGCACTCGCCTTCAGATCACACGCGAATTCTATCAACTCTGTAAACTACGCGTTGTTCTTGTTCATCAGAGAAATATCAATCTCATCAAACACTACTGGACCAAACCGTCACCATCACTCCGAAAATACAAAAGAGGAGATCTCAAAACTTATCGCGTATGGCAACACTACGAGCGAATACTGAAGCACAGCAGCACAATCCCCCGATGAGATCCATTCGTTGATGTCAAGGTTGAACAATGGTGTACTCATGCCGCTGTATATCCAGAAAACGCCATAAGGACTCATGGAAAGTGTCGCAATTGCAGGGTTCGAAGCGTGAAAAGGCTTTTGGTACAGCTGTTTTGTTTTTGTTTTCTACTTCTGATGGTTTTTGCGATGGTGTTGTGTTCTGTTTTGATGTACATGATGCAGACGGTGGAGTTGCAAAGGGAAGGGAGTTGGGAATATCCAGTTGTGTGAGAGAGTGCTTGGAGGATATGATCCATACACGATGATGTTGACGAACTAGAAGGGTCCATGACCAAGTTAGTAATCAAACAAGTTGTCAGCACATGATGAATTCACGACTTTCAAAATCAGGCAGTTTGCACCAAATACTGAAGCAGAAAATAGAGTTTGGAGATAGACGTTTGATGACGAAGTGAAGGTCATCGGCTTCGAAGACAGCCGAAAGCAACTCGGCCTTGGCATGAATGTCTCTGTTCCCCTCCGTCGATCGAGAAGTCCAAAACTTGCTCTCTGTCTCGATCTCCTCTGTCTTCTCTAAACCGCAAATATGACAGAAGTACGACAGCGTGCCAAAGCGGCAGACCCCACGGTTGCGCCCAAAGAACCCTCGAGCTCGAATATCACTTCTAGCAAGAAGAAGAGCTCTGGCTTCAGCTTTACAGATGTTCTTCGCGTGTTGGGTGGAATACTCCTGCTCAACTGCGCAATTAGCTATTTTGTCACTTCCTCGTCTCTGACATGGGGTTGGCGACCTTGGTACTCAAAGCCTGCTCTCGTTGCTTCCTGGCTCGTATGTCTCACCCCACTACCCCTCTATCAAACCAGCCACTGAAAAAGACAAAAACAGAGAGGACCAGTCTACCTCACCGACGAAGAATTAAAAGCCTACGATGGCAGAGACGCAAGCAAACCAGTATACATCGCTCTCAACGGCACGATCTACGATGTTAGCGCTGGCCGCCATGTCTACGGCCCTGGAGGCAGTTACAACTTCTTTGCTGGCCGTGATGCTACTCGCGCATTTATTACTGGTTGTTTCCAAGAGGATTTGACGCCTGATACTAGAGGTGCAGAGTTGACTTATATCCCTGTGGATGATGACACTCCTTCCAAAGCCGAGTTGAAGAAGAGAAGAGAAAGGGACACGAGGTTGGCANAAAAGAGGGTGCATGACACGATTGAGGGATGGAGTCGCATGTTCAAGGGTGAGGCGGGCAAGAACTACTTCGAAGTTGGCAAGGTCAAGAGAGAGGAGGGTTGGCTGGAGAAGTTGCCTAAGAGGGAGTTGTGTGAGCAGGCGCAAAAGCAGAGACCCAAGCGCAAGGCTTAGAAGACACTCGAAAGCGAACATGGTGAATTTTGTACAGATATACAGAGTGTATAGGGGAAATGTAATAGTAGTACAAGGATCAACGCTTGACCCAGGCAGGCATCTTGCGCGCCTTGACCTTTCCGGGCTTCTTTCTCTCGACGCGACGAGGGTCTCTTGTGACAACACCAGCNTGAAGGGTATAGTTAGCACTGCTGTAGCACATCAACTCAGACCTCGAGTTCAACATACCTCTCCTCAAAGCAGGCTTGAGCAACGGCTCGTGAACCATCAATGCCTTGGACACAGCCAGGGCAATAGCATCGGCCTGACCAGTAGTACCACCTCCTCTAGCGACGCACCAAACATTGTACTTGTCCATGCGCTCGGTAACCTTGAGAGCCCATAGAGCACTCTCGCGGTCGTGTAGACGGCCAAAGGCCTGAGTCAAGGGCTTTCCGTTGATCAGAACCTCACCTTCACCCTCAACCAAGTATGCTACAGCGTTACTGCTCTTTCTCCTGCCAACGCCTCTAGCACGGCCGTACTCGTCGACAACACCGGGCTTAGGCTGGTTGTGGAATGGCTGGACATCACGCATGTAGCGTCGGAGGGCAGTTGCGACTTCGTCTGGCATGAGGTTGGGGTGGATGTAGTTCAATCGTTGCAGGACCTGCAGGATCTTTGTGTAGCGAGCGGCCTTGACGGGCTCGTTGCTGTTGACCTTGTACTGTGCCAGAGTCTTCCATGCGACGCGGGGAGCATGTCCAGTAGGCAGAACGGGCAAGGTCTGGTATTTGCGCAGCAGGTTCTCGAGGTTCAACAGGTCGTCGGTGAAGTCGGGCTTGCCGGTGAAATATGAGGGCGAGGCGGGGACGATGCGCAGACGGTCCATCATGGCGGTGTAGGCAGCGACACTTCGGCCACCCTCGAGGTCGTCATCTTCAGAATTCTCTTCGGCGGCAGTAGACTTGCTCTCGGTGCCAAAGTCGATCGGGGGAGCAGCGCGGATGTCGCCCAGTGGAGTGTCCGAGTTGGTTGAAGCCAGACGGCGGAATTGTGTTTGGCTGATGGGAAATCTCCTTGTGGCAGGTTGGCGGAATGAGGCGATTGCGGCGCGCAGGCCTGACCGCAGTGCACCGAGCTCCATGATGGCAGACTGTGGCTAGCAGATACCTTGCTGTCGCTGTCGCGAGCGCGGTCTCTCAGTGAATGTTCCTTGCTGGCGGAAACAGCCGAGGATAGTCCGACTAAAATTGGACGGCGGTGCCCAAAGCTCAACGCCGCCGCTCTGCTCTTCTTTTCACCTCATCCACCCCCCTCTGTGTAGCTTCTTCTTCATCAGTTGCACATACCCCTCACAATGTCTTCTTTCGGCAAGCTCTACACCTACTCGGTATGCTGCCATTGCCTGCTTTCTACTTCTACCGCACAGCTAACACCCTCGCGCAGGNGTAACCCCCGTACCACCGCCCTGCTGGCCGTCGCAAAGGCCAACAACCTCAACCTTGACATTGTTCACACCGAGCCTGCCAAGGGTGTCGACACCGAGTACCTCAAGCTCAACAAGCTCGGCAAGGTCCCCACCTTCGAGGGCACCGACGGCTACGTCCTCACTGAGTGCATCGCCATCGCCATCTACCGTACGTTGCCCAATTGCTCCTCGTTTCCTACAGCCCACCTCTGGTTCTCCCACCGCCAACCTCCCTGCAATGATGAGACATATTATCAAACAGTTATCCCTGTCTGAAGACTATTGTTGAGAATTATTTTTGATCTGATTGCACCTTTACCCCTCATTTCTGCACAAACAATGGCTCCCAATTTATCTGCGACAGCGTGCTGACCGCAATCGCCATACANNGTCACCTCCCAGAACGAGAAGACCACCCTCCTCGGCAAGACCAAGCAGGACTACGCCTCCATCCTCAGATGGATGTCCTTCGCCAACTCTGAGGTCCTTACCGCCCTCGGTGGCTGGTTCCGCCCTCTGATTGGCCGCGACCCCTACAACAAGAAGTCCGTCGAGGATGCCCAGAAGGCCACCGCCAAGGCCGTCGGTGCCCTTGAGGACCACTTCCTCGTCAACACCTACCTCGTTGGTGAGCGCCTCACTCTTGCCGACCTTTTCGCTGCCGGCATCATCTCCCGTGGCTTCCAGTACTTCTTCGACAAGGAGTGGCGCAGCAACAACCCCAACGTCACCCGTTGGTTCGAGACTGTCACCAACCAGTCCATCTACTCTGACGTCGCCGAGAAGCTCGAGTTCATCGAGAAGGCCATCCCCAACCAGGCCCCCAAGAAGGAGGCTGCCCCCAAGGCTGAGAAGCCCAAGGAGGCCCCCAAGCCCAAGGCTGCTGAGGCCGATGAGGAGGAGGCTCCTGCCGCCCCCAAGCCCAAGCACCCCCTCGAGGCTCTCGGCCGCCCCACCTTCGTCCTTGACGAGCTCAAGCGCAAGTACTCCAACGAGGAGACCCGCGAGGTCGCCCTTCCCTGGTTCTGGGAGAACGTCAACTTCGAGGAGTACTCTCTCTGGAGAATGGACTACAAGTACAACGATGAGCTCACCATGACCTTCATGACCTCCAACCTCATCGGCGGTTTCTTCACCCGTCTCGAGGCTTCCCGCAAGTACATCTTCGGTGCCGCTTCCGTCTACGGCTCCTCCAACGACTCGATCGTTCGTGGTGCTTTCCTCGTCCGCGGCCAGGAGGCTCTCCCTGCCTTCGACGTCGCTCCCGACGTCGAGTCTTACGAGTTCACCAAGCTCGACCCCAAGAACCCCGAGGACAAGAAGTTCGTCGAGGACATGTGGGCCTGGGATGCTCCCGTCCAGCCTGAGGGCAAGGAATGGGCAGATGGCAAGGTCTTCAAGTAGAAAATCACTTAATACAATGCTGTCGATGATATAGCAATGTTGTGGAAAGGCTAGGAGGTGCAAAAGCATAGGGAATAGAGATATTCAAATTTTAACGCGTAACGTCAACCAAACTCAAAGGCACGTGTCTTCGACTTATGACTAGCATTCCCAAGCTCTAAATGTCTTTTCAACTAATGTGTTCTGTAAGTCCATGATTGAAGATGAGGGTATACGGGCCTAGGACGCTCCCATCCAGCCTAAGGTCAAGGAATGGAGCGATCGCAAGGTTTTCAAGTAGAAAATCACTTAATACAATGCTGTCGATGATATAGCAATGTTGTGGAAAGGCTAGGAGTATATACAAAATCGTGGAAAATAGAATCATCGAAGATGATTCTATTTCCTCGGGTGGTATGGGTCGAGCTGTATGTAACAGAAAGCTGCCAAGCTTGAGCTGCGGCGGCTTTGCAAGCCGCCCCAACGACCACCATCCTCTCTACCTTACACAACCGCTCTCAGCCATAAATGTTACATCAACCTGAGCCAGGCTTGAAGGAAGCGAGCGTGCGCACCGTGAGATTTGTCGCGCGAGGTGTTGCAGTCGACGAGGTCGCTCAGCTGACGAACAACGAGGAAGGTGGACGCGCAGTCGTGAGGTTTGTCGCAAAGGAGATCGTAGTGACGATGTGCCACTTGAGGAAACAAGTTAACGGGAGAATTGTCTATAGGTGAGCTCAACTCAGATCTCCTACCGCAGAGACGCATAAAAGTACCTATCAAAATGCACAATACTTTTTATTAGAGGCATGTTGTTAATAGAGAGTAATCACTTGACGTTCTCTCTCTAGGGCTACCTCGGGAGAGGAGCTTATTGTGCATTTTAATAGTCAAGAATTTTGTCTAATGGAATCCTGGGAGCTCATGCTCTTAGCTAGCATGGGCGAACACTCTTTCTACGCTCTCTTTGGACCCATCCCTCAAAAGTCTTATATTGTGCATTTTTATAGCTAACAATCATCTTGCTTGATGGTATCCTGGGAGTTGTGCGGCCATCTCAAATGGTATGGGCAAACACTCTTCTTATGACTTTCTCCGGACCTATCTCTGGAAAGTATCATACTGTGCATTTCGACAGGTTATAATCTAGCTTGATGGCATCCTGGGAGCTTGGACGGTCAGGTAAAGAAACATCGTTATGATGGCTCTCAGTGGAGCCATGTCTGGAAAAAGTTGTACTGTGTATTCTGATAGGTTATAATTTTGCTTGACGGCATCCTGAGAGTCCATGTGGTCATCCTGAATTGTGTTGTGAGGCCCTCTTTTCATGGCTCTCCTTGGACTCATCTCCGGATAGTAGTATACTGTGCATTTTTATAGGTTATAACTTTGCTCGATGGCTGCATGAGAGGACCATCTGGAGGTAATGGGTGTGGGTAGCAATTTACTGTATCATGACTTCTGATTATGAGAATATTCTTTTCGGTATTCCTTCCCCGTCCTTTACAACTGACTACATCTTCATACTAAGCTATAAGGGTTATTATAAGCTATAAAAATGCACAATCCAAAATCGAATATAAGTCTGGCCATTGAGATAGCCTTCATCAAGGTTCTCTCAATGGAGGCCATCGTTTTCGCGAAAACATTGTGCATTTCGACAGCTACGTTATGACTGTCTTTAGCACATGGGGAGGTTCCTCCACGTCTGCCACAGTCTGTAACTTCCATCGTACTCCGACTATAGTTACGAGGAAAACGTACACTATAAAAAGGCACAACCGATTTCAAGACTAGAGATATGTCCATAGAGAGTCGACGGGCTGTTGCCTCTCAGTGGATACTATATCGTCTACTATTACTATTGTGCAGCATAACAACAAGACGAGCAATCCAAGGAGCATCCGGGAGCTCCGGTTGAGGCCTGCACAGAAGCCACAAGGAATATGGATCCATGGTGATAAGGATGTTGTTCGCTGTTCTACGGCCACAACTCGAGCATGAAGGACAATTCACAGAGAGATCCGAGAGGAAGCTGGTTGGCGATCTCATGCTCCATCGATTCTCATGACAGGGCACGAAAACAAGTAATGGAGGCCCAAGAAAGAAAGAAAAAGAGAGAAAAGGGAAAAGAATCACATTCGAGCTCCAGCAGATATAGAACCTCAGGACATCAACGCAGCATGGAGCATTATGGTCGGAGCACTTCTCAATGGCTGCCATGTCTAGTGTGTTCGAGCAACGAAGAACTATCCTTCGACCCAAGAAATATTCGAGCCTGAACTGATGCTACAACCAGTCAGGCCTTTCAAACCTTCGGATGTGGTATACTCGACAAACAGCCAGACTCTCCCAGCTTTCGGCGGAAATATCCTTGTCGCCGTTCTTGTTCAGCAATCGCTCCTTCCTTCTAAGTACAGAGTTGGAGCCTTGGCTTCACTTTGGTTGCTTGATCTGCGCTTCACTTTGTGTGCTTGGTCTCCGCTTCACTTTGGTGCTTTAAATACGCTTCCGCGCGACCATTCCTCCTAGCCAACTACATCAACTTCGGTTTCCGTAAGTTCATGTTCGACTTCCATTTGCTTCCCTCAATCTGATACCCGTTTACAGATGGACTTCGATTCTGGTTCTGAGGTTGAGGCGGTCCAGGCCCAGGCCGCGGCTGCTTCTTTGCCTTTGGCAGCATCCCTCGTCGACGAAGACGACGAGATGCTCTTGGTCTTGACACTGAGCTCACATCCATACGTAAGATTCGGCGTACCGCGGCCATATTACCTACCACTAACACTATCCAAGCATACAAGCGTTCTGTCACCGACCCGGGTTTAAACCCTTCAAAGACAGCAATCTATCGTGCACGTCGAATGCGCACCAACCCTGGAATCCAAGGCAGTTCTGTACGAGCTTCGGCAGCCACCATCGCTGCAGAGACATTCAAGACCATCAAGCGCAACATGGAACAGCATGGCCTGAGAACCTCCCATCTTTGGCCTCAAAACTTCCAATGGTTACTACCCAAGTCTGGAGCCACACAAGAACAACTCAGAATCTTTTGCGCTCTCCGCGATCATCCACTAATCGTGCCAAATGGCGATCTGGAACGTATCCTCGAACTTGAGCATTCTACAGTAAACTCGCCTCCAACTCCTCCCGGTCAGCATTTCTATTCCCGCTCTTGGGGGTTGACCCACTATCAGCTCCAAAAAGTCATCGAGTTCATGGCCCAACAAGATGTTCTACTCTCGGAAGCTGTTCACTGGAAAATCACTCTCACTATCCACAACAGTTCGACCCAGCCCTGCACATTCACCATTCGATACATCGCCACAGTTTCTGGACCCGAAAGACCTATCGATCGTCACATTGGAGACTTGGCTGCAGACAAACGACCATCGGGTGTACTTCTTGAGTTCGTAGCAGCAGTCGAACAACTCTTCCCAGAAGTGGCTGCAGCTGCTCAAGTTCATTTGATCAAGCAAGCATCAATCGACGAAGATGGCGCCTCTTACTTGGCAGAGGACGTTGAACGTGTTCTGATCGAATTTTTCGATCATCGATCTCTTCTCAATCGCGCTCGTGGAGGTTACTATGTGAGCTTTGTACCTTTCGCTGAGGATGTTACTCTTTTCGAAAATCTCCATACTCGCTACTACAGCAGATTCATGGCTGGCGCTTGCGATGTTGGCACTGATCCACAGATGGCCGTCGCGCTCATCGACCATTTCGAGGAAATTCAGACTTATGCAAACTCCAACCCATCTCTTACTGGTACGATCCAACACCGCTTTACAGATGGAGTTCGTGATACAGCTAGGACGAGTGGCGAGCCAATGTTGTACCATGGTACAGCCATTCTCGTTATGCTGGGCAAAGACATTACCTACGAGCAATATCTTGGAGAAACAACATACTTCGGATGCAATTCTCGCTCAAGCTACTTGGTGCATGATTTCCTCTCTAGACTTGCAAGCACAGAAGAGACCAATTCGGGTGCATCGTGGGATCTTCGGGCATTTCGTCCCCGTCATGTCGCTTTGACAAATCTCTGGCCTTGGCTATGGCACCCACGCGACTCTCTAGCTGATGCACTTCGATTTGCTCGGCAGTATCTGAGCATCGTGCGCCCTTTGATCGTCGCTACTTGCAGTCGACCGATCACATCTGCTGTCCGTGCCAATCTTCAGAACGAGAGTGGTATGCCCTATGGACTGAGCCTATCATCAGTAGTCGGCGAAATCACCATCTAATACCACGGCTCAGAAAATGATGAGGATAGCGCTTTCCTAGCAATTCCTCACATCGATCCGGGCTTCGAAAAGTACTGCGGTGCAGGTTTGAGTCAAATCGTCCTCAGATTCATGGATCTTACTTGGCAAATCACTCTTCACCTTGCGGACGAGGCTCGAAAACTTCTGGATGAAGATCATGCCAAAGGTGTGACCAGAACCAGGAAAGCCCAGTGCATCGAAATTCTCCGAAAAATTCAAAACCTGCGCGTATCAGATCCCGACATGCGTGCTTTCATGGCGAATTTTCGCGATACTGGAAATGCTTTACGCGATGCATGGGCCAGAATGCATCGTCGCCCTGAATTCGAGGATTACAGACCACTGCTAGACGAAGACGGTCGAGCAAGAATTGCGGCAATCGGTCGTGCAGAAGGACTCCCGCAGTCTTATGTACGCGCTCAACAGCTTGAAAAGCTCTGGACCCGAAACGTGCACGATCTACATCTTGTTATACCACACCAGCCTGAGCGAAAGGAGGAATGGATGGAAGAGTTTTTAGGCTTGCAGCAGGGCCAACTTCTATTTCTTCAAGTTATCACTGGTCTGCCTCAAGATCGCTATCTCCAGGAAATGCTTCAACGTTTCAGACCGCAATGGAACGAGGAAGACTCATGGCTCNACAAAGTCCGAAGATTGGAAAAAGTTGTCCTGAGCTGCGGCTTATGGATCGAGAAGAAACTCAAGGAGGGAAAAAGACTGGTAACACTTTCCNACCCAGTCCAGGCCACAAGCACGAAAGACTTGCAGGGTCTCAATATTGATTTCAATGCTGAGGGGTTCTTTTCCGTCCGATGGCTCAAGGACGATGGCTCCGCCATTACCTTCCGTTTCAAATGCAACACTGGAGTGATTCCCCTTCGACCCCAAGAAGTCAGGGCGCTCTCATTCTCGGGGTCTGGTATCGATGTCGTCAACGCCGCTGGCAGTGCCATTCTCGGCGTCGCCAACTCTGCAGGCGCTACAATCTCTTGCAGTCGTTTCGATCGTCACGCTCAGACTGAAGACCTCTGGGATATGTGGGTCGCTGTTCGAAGAGCTAATGGTCACACTGCTTTAAGACCTGAGCAACCTGCTGTCGTCCAATGGCAAGGTGAGAAAGGCGTGGGAGCAGTCAACGTAGATTCCAAGGAAGAGAAGCCGAAACAAAATCGTCCACCTAAGATCCTGGACGCGCTCTACTTGTTGGACAAATTCCTGATGGAACGCTTTCCACTTGGTGGCCACTTCCGCACGGCCTCAAGGGAGCGCAAGCCAGACTCTACAGAGGATCTACAAGCCTTTGTCACTTTTCTCAAGCGTCCGGAATATTTTGGCCATCCTTATGCATCCTTCTGGATTTCCTGTTTCGACAATGATTACATATGGGACAAGAAGATCCTTGGAAGAAATCTGGCTGTACTTCGACGTGTTCGAACCGTATTCACTCACACACGCCATGGTGCGGGTAAAGTTGCTGAGACATCTTACATCCTTGGTCCACCAGGAACGTCCGGCGTCGAAGAAGAAGAAGAACCAACTAGCGACGACGACAACGCCGGTCGTGATGGCCGTCCATGGGGAACCAGAAAAGGTGTCAAGTTTGTTGACCACGGCAAGAAGTCAGAAATGCCTCGACAGAACCGTCCACCAAAGCGCTTGGATGCAAACTGGCTCCTGGTTGAGTTCTTGAACGAGACTTTCCCTAACGGAGGCGTCTTCAGAACAGCATCCAAGTCCAAATTTCCCGACTCTCCCGACCACGTCCAAGCCTTCTTAGATTTCATCAGACGTGACGAGAACAATGGACACCCCTACGCTGCAGCTTTCATAAATGAGCTGGAGCCATCATCCATCCCTGGCAAAGCATCTACACCACCTCGAATCAATGTTTTGTTCAACAACATTCGCGTCTATCGCAGCTGCACGAAGAAAAGGAACAGAAAAGTCGACAGGCAGACAAAGAAAGAGATCTCAGAACAAGTATACACTATCGGAGCTCCGGGAACTGCCTTGCCTTATGATGAAGCGGCTGTCAATGACGAGATACAAGAACAACAGGACCGCGCTTCAAAGCGAGCTGCTAGTGCGAAGGCGAAGAAAAAGGTGGCCGATGATGAGGATGATTCTGGTGACGATCAGCCGGCCAATCCCGCAAAGGCTGCTCTCAAGGGTGGTACCAAAGCTACACCCAAGGACACGAAGGGATCTAAGGGCAAGAAACGTGCTGCACAGTCGGATGATGAGGATGAGGATGCACCACCGAAGGGTAGAGATTGTTCGAAGAGAAGTCGCGCTTATCTAACTGCCCCCAACGATACCAGATCTCGTAAGTAGAATTAGCTTCAAACAGAGAGTATCAAGTGGTTGCTCCATTCCAGATATTTGCTTTTCATTTTCAAAAGAAGTCGTGGTATTTTGACTGCCAAATCATCAAGTCGCAAGGCTTTTAAGAAGGATTGATCCACTCTCCCAAACCAAGTTCGGTTGTTTTTGCAACTATAAAAATGCACAATAGCTTAGGAAAATGGAGTCAGTCCAAGGAGATCTCCTCAAGCGACTACTCCCTACTCACGACTCGCTTCCGCTCAAAAATTTTGTGCATTTTGGCATGTACTTTGCGTGCACTTCTGCAGCAGGAGAGTCGACTCTAGCACATGGTTCTATTTTCTCTCCCTCTCCCCTCTTTCTTGTTCCTTTTGTCTGTCTCTACTTTGGAAAACGGAAACAAAAAAACATGATTTGCAGTTACAAGAGCAGTCTTTGCCTCATCAAGGCCATTTGACATGGATGTGCATTTTTATCTATATTCTGCCATGTGACAATGTGACTTTGTTGGTGGTGGCTCCTTTCGACGATGACAGAGTCATCTCTCACAACGGCAGCAATCAAACATGTAGCCTGTAAAAATGCACAATCGATCTTAGACTAGAAGCAGTTCCCAGGGAGAGCTGTGAAAACAAGGTCTCTCTGTGGATGTTGCTCGATCTTCGCAAACTATTGTGCATTTCGATAGTTGCGAGACTCACAGTGTCTCACACGCGGAGAGGGTCGTGCTTCTTTCATCTTCACTCGGTCTTTCACTTGTTTTTGTGTTTGCGTTATTGTCAGCACTCACTCCTTGAGCTTGGCCTCTTTTCCTCTTCACCCGCAACACCTGCTCATTTTTCTGTCGACCAACCACAAAAGAACCGACCATCCCTCTAAACAAAGACCACTTTCACTCAATCAACCCATAACTGGCGCCTGACAACAACATTGCCAGCACCACATTCATCAGATCACTTTCTCGTCTCCAATCGAGCCGAGCGCGCAGAAACTCGAATATCTTCCAGCACCCTCAATTCTACAAGACCATGGTCCACTTCCCTGACGAGATCTGGCTTAGAGTCGCCAACTATCTGAAACTCCCAATTGATGTGTGCGCACGCAAGTATGAGACACTCAGTGAAGATGAANAAGTCAAGCAGCAAACTCTCATGAATTTGTGTCTTGTATCTAAGCAACTTCGCGCTGTCTTCCAACCACAGCTGTATTGCAGTTTCTTCAAGCATCAATTCGCCGCTCAACACCAGCTGCTGGAATCTGACTCAGAATGGCAGCACAAATACCATCACCAGGACGAACGCCGCTACCGTGCTATCCGTAAGCAAACAAAACTTGAGAACTTTCTCGTTACCATAATCCACCGCCCTGACCTTGCTGCCATGGTCGAACAACTACGCGTCGGCTCATTCACACAAGACAACACTCTTCCAGAATACCTCCATCATCTCGAGGAAGTCCCTTTGCATAAAGCAACTTCTCGTGCGTTTGTCGCTGCTCTCAAATCTTTTAAGGAGCTTGTTCATTTGCGCAAGCGCTTTAGAAGGTCGTGGAAAGAAAGCCTCAAGTGCGGTGATGAGGGAGCAGAAGTCGCGCTTCTACTGACTCTGCTTCCGAACCTGCGTTCGTTACGCTTTGACTCGAAAACAGGTAGCCTTAACTATTTTGTGAAGGAGCTTTTCAACGCCATCTTGGATCCTACTCCTAAGCCCCCGACTCTCGAACCTGCTCAAGGAATGTTGCATAAACATCCAGTCGCATCGCAATCAAGGCTAGAACAGTCTTCCCGGATTCTCCGTGTTCTTGAATCGCTTGATGTGTGGTGGTTTGATGGCTACGACATTTCACTGGGCAGTTGCGTGGGACTACTTTTGCAGCCATCAATCACCTCATTTCATGGAAGAGGGCTGTCTGTATTCGAATCATCTTTGTCATTCCCCCCGGACACCACGTTTACCTCGCTTCGTCACCTAAAGCTTGTCCGCTGCAAACTGAACGGAGAAGGTCTCNAAAATGTCCTGCAGAGATGCACCAGATTGCAATCGCTGGAGATCAATGCCAAATTCGCTTTCGACTCTGACACAATGTCGCGCATACTCATCACTACCGAGCACCTTGAACCTCTGCAGAACATGAAAGATACACTTGAACGTCTAACGCTGATGCTGCCTGAGTACAGTACAGCAGTATCTCTTGATCTGAGGTCTTTTAACAAGCTGCGCTATCTCCACGTGGACATGAATCTGTTGAGAACTGATCATCTCATCCCCCTATACATGCACGAATCGTTACCAGAACACATTGAGAAGATCACTATCCGTAGAGCCTACATATGGATACAAAAGCATGTCAACAAGCTCCTCGATTCAATGATTGCAGACCATCGATTCTCTACTCTTTCAAGTTTGAAAGTCTATACACTTGACCAGTCTCATGAAGCTCTACAGGATGAGTTGGAATATACAGCGGAGCGAGCTCGTGCACTCCAGCTCCGCTTCGAGGTGGAAGAAGACCCCGGGTTCAGATATTCGTGGCGGTGGGGACATGGTGATCCTGACCGTGACTCGGATCGGGACTCAGACTAGGTGATCCGGACGATAAGACATCAAGCGAATGTCGATTGAGAGAATGCTGTTGCCACGGCTTTCCATGGACGAGCCTAGAGATCAAATGAAATCCTGTTTTGTTACAGCTTACGACATCACTACTTCTTACTGTGGCAAAGAGAGCTTCGAAACTGAGTGGAACATAAAAGGTATTCTCAATGGATTGTGGATTGAGCATACCGGATCGCTGCTTAGTTGTGTCGATGTAAGGATCAAGAATACGCAGAATCAAATTTTTCAAATGCTGAGGCTCTGTAGTCGTTTTACACTTGAACAAGCGTTTGTTAGACAAAGAATTGCGAGGGACCGCACTTGTTTTAGGATGCGAGATGGGCACTAAAAAGAGCCGAAAGGCCCATGGACCTCCGGTAAGTTTTGCTGCTTCTCTGAGATGATGTGTGTTTCTTGATTCTAAAAGCCTGGACAGAACTCAACGAGTCTGCGATAAGAGAGTGAGGTGAGATAACTTCGTTGCACAAAGCCGATCAGCTGGTGTTTCAGGTAGGAGCAGGCGGAAAGATTTTACCGTCGGGTCACTGCTTTGGTTGCTCCTCGTTTGCTTCGTCGATGCACCTTGGCGACTCTGTTTGCATGGATCGATTCTGCTATACAACTCACATAGACCGCTATCAACTCACCATCATGACATTGCACCGGTTCAGACAGTTCCAGAATGCTACCCAGTTCTCTCAGAGGTTCTTACACCATCTACAAGGAGGATACAGACTCAGTTGCAACATGGCTAGCATCCACGGCCAGGAGATGCGGCTACTCTTTCGATCTTCTCACTACAGTGGCAAAGCCGGCTTCTCAGACGGCACCGAGATTGAAAGGAAAGGCTCGTAAGCTCGCTAAAGTGGCAGCCTCAACCAAAAACGAAAGCTTGGAGTCTAAACAGTCGGGCACGACGACCTACACTATTGCCGTCAAAGATTTCATACCTCTGGCTGAATACATCGCCGCCTTCCAGCAACCACCTGTCAAGGTTCCTTCCTCCTTTGTCCGCGTTCTGGATCGTGCCATTACTCTCCGAAGAAAGCACAACTCCTGGTTCAAAGATGCTGATCAGTCTTCGATGGACGATGGCCACAACTTCTTCCTTGGTGTGCTCGAACGGGTGCGTGAGACATTGAAGTCACGCTTGCCTACTGACACTGTCGATGATCCTATGACCCGATTCTCCACAAGTTCTATCACGAAGAGCTCTGACCAAAGCCATACTGTCAATGCTTTTGCAGCCCTGGCTCTGGAAGAGCCTAGCGACAAGTTCCTCAACACTCCTCCGCCTAAGAAAGCCACCGAACATCCCGCCGAGGTCGACAACAACTCTCGTTACAAGGCTGAGCGACTTCAAAAGGCTGAAGAGCAATACCTTGCTGCTCACTGCTTGTTGGCCGATATCGACTCCATCAGAGCTTACATCAAATCGTTATGGACCATGTATCGCGATGGTCAGATTGACTTGCATTCCGCTTCAATCACAACGAACACCGCTGTCGAGCTTGTCCGCCACATGCAGGAAGATTATGATAGGAACTTCCCAGACCATTCAGACTATGAAGGTCTTATCGAGACTCTCTACATCGCTGAATGTGTATCCCAAGGTCAAGATCCCGACCACAGGCAAAGACATCACGACATCATCAACATGGCAATGTACGACCTTGCTGATCAGATTTTCTTAACAACCTATGCCATCCTGGCCTCTCTGGTTGATGTGGTTGCCCCTGGTCATATTCCACTGTACAAGCCTGGTCACTTCGGCTTCCGCGATCTCTCAACCGAATGGTCACAAAAGTCTCCACATGACAAACTTCAGGATGACAAACTTGTGCTGTTAGAAGCTTTCTCCGGCTTCTCTGCTATAGCCAAGATTGGTTGCTTTGCCGAAGACGAGCTGATCAGAGGTGTCAGGGAGATGGCGCCAGGCAAGAAGGTACCATTGTGGCTCACCTTTGCCGTCCAGAACTTCCTGGATATTCAGCACGTTATGGGCTCTCAAGCTTCGAGGGCAATTGTCGAGTAAGTTGCTCCAACGATATTTTTTTGGTCAACCTGCACCTCGCCCAATCTTGACCGACCTGTCATGAGGCCACGAATCATGCTGACCTCGTCTTTACGCTAGGNNCTCCAGACTGCTGCCAGACATATCGAGACTTCCCTCGGCGAAAACTCCAAATTCCATAAGAAGCTACGCATTAACAACTCGGATGCTGATGGTGGCCGAGTATTGGATCACATCCAGAACATCATCGACACCTGGATCAAGCAGGACAACGTCAAGAGGATTATCGAGAGGTCTCTCCTCAGAAGCCCCGCCATCGCTACCCAGATCGCTGGTGAGCCATTCAAACTGCTCAAGCAATATCCTTCCCTTTGTGGTATCTGGTTGTTCTCGCTGAGATATCTGATGCAACATGCTGGTGTCACCTTCTGCAACGCTTGGGGCTCGGTCGTGTATACAGCCCATCTGTACAATGCAGCTCGACAAGAGAAGCTTGTGAAAGGTCTTTGGAGAGATATGGAGCTGGCACTGTTGCTGCAAGGCAACGAGAAGATATTCATCGGTGGCCGACCAAAGAAACCTGAAGGTATGTAAACAACATAACATGTACACCAAAAACCCGCTAATCAACTCCGGTTTANNGATTATCTCAAGCGGTTCAATCTCTGCATGGGCACTTCAGTCACTTCTTTGGCCAAAAACGCAAGACGAACTGCCCTTAAGGCCTCACCAAAAGGTGCTCGCGGCTTGAGTAACGCTTCCAAACTGGCACAATTGTTTGCTCAACGCTACCCTTACAACGGGAAATCACTGTCCACCGATCTAGATGCGGTTGAGAAACACGTCAAGAGCCAGTTCAGCGATCCTGAGAACTTCGCTTTCGAAGGTTTCCCGCCGACCGATGAAGTTGCAGCTCAGGTACGTACTTGAGGCGCANCAATACCGGTGCAGAAGAAATGCGTGCACAGTCTAGAGCTAACCCTCGAACAGATCACTTCGAAGTACACCACCACATCCAAGCTCAACGCTGGCACGTTCCTCGAAGGTCTTGCCAATTCACTCAACTCCGAAGGCATGCACCTTACCTTTGACTACCTCCGCCTACACCGCTCCTGCTGGACGCTACTCCGTAGTGCTAAAGACGCTTGCGCGGACTCATTGCGCCAAACTTTTGGCTCTGATTACCTTGAGGGCGAGAACCAGTTGCCGTTTATTGTTGGCTATCTTTTCATGTGTGCTTTCACTGCAGACAAAGTGGGTAAAGGTGATGGCTCGACTACTAGAGGTAAAGTCTTCCTTGAGGCTGCGGGTGCTATAGATGTAATGATTGAGACTGGCGAGGGAGCCGTCTGTGCGAAGATGATGGAGGAGTATTACAACTATGCTGTGGACTGGGATGATTTCGAGGATGATGAAGACAGTACTCCGGTCTAAGAGTTCTAGATCGAGCATGGATGGTGGAAGATCCCAGCATTGTCTTCTTTGCAAGTCTCGCTTCTCTTTGAGGAGCAAAATTGGTAGTTGAAAGGACGCGAAATGTAACTCACAGACTCGCATATAGCTCATCTCTCAAGTGCTTCTTATGTTCTGTTCCCAAATTAGCCATTCCTCGTCCTGTCACCTGGCCGAAGTGAGATCTGTGTTACTCTTGTGCCATAGGCTGTTACATCGAATAGTCTGACTCATAGAGGTACATCTTTCCAAGAGCAAAACATAAAATTGCCTCAGGCATAATGGAGTGTTGTCCAATGATAAGTCCCTCGTTCAAGACCACAACTCTCTCTAATAAGCTCTTCAAGCTGCGTTGGGAAGGAGCGAAACTCATCATCTACATAAGCCGCTCGGTTGACGTCCGTCACCATTCATCATAAACATTGATTCAATTTGCTTCCACTCATCTCATCACGGCACCACCAGCGTGTCGTTTTGGATGGAATCTGTGCTTCACATATTCAAACACATCAAGGACAAACCTTTTTCCTTTCACTTCGCTTCCCCAGCGCCATACACTCTATCTGGAAAAACTCCACACACCGACAACGAACCTCACCCAGCCATGGCATCCACTCAGACCGACTCTCACATCGTCCGACCACAAGGTGTGCACACGCATACCGTCATAATGCTCCATGGCCGGGACAGCGAGGCAGCAGAATTTGCCGACGAGTTCTTTGAGAGCCAGGCCTCTGACGAACGTACGCTTCCGCAAATCTTCCCAGGCTTCAAATGGGTGTTTCCTTCATCCGGCACCTGCTTGTCGGAACGATTCGATGTCCAGATGTCCCAGTGGTTCGACATGTGGGCTACCGAGAACCCGAATGAAAAAGAGGATGAGTTCTCAAAGGAGGGTTTCGATATCGCCGTCCCAAAAATCCTCAGTATCCTGGAAGAAGAAGCAAAAATCATCTCACCTCACAACATTTTCCTTGGAGGCATCAGTCAGGGTGGTGCCGTCGCTATCCACACTCTGCTTCGTAGCGAACCACCCATTGCCGGGTTTCTTGGATTCTGTACGTGGCTGCCTTTCCAAGCCGAGGCGCTCAAGTTACTACAACATAAACAGCAAGCATTCAAGACACCGATGTTTCTTGCTCATGCTGAGGACGATGAAGTCATTGCTATCACCAACGGCGTGAAACTCTGCCACACCCTACAGACCAGTGGACTGTCTGTGAGCTTGAGAAGATATGAAGAGGGAGGTCACTGGTTCAACGAACCTCAGGGCATTGATGACATGGTCAAATTCATCCGGCAATGTATGTAGAATAGGAGCGAGTAGAAGCTATTGGTACTTATCTGCCACTTTCAGCGCTATCCAATATACTTATGCACGTCAGAATCTCATCGTGTACTACAACCTGTAACTCTCACCGTACTTCGATGACAGCGAAGAGCAAGGAACATAGACTGTAAAAAGTCTCAATTGTTTTCGAAAGTAGGGGTGTATCCACAGAGAGTCGATGAACTGTTCCATCTCACTGGAGACTGTGGCTGCAACCATTCTTGACTTCGGAAGACCGGGGTATCGTATCAATACAATAGTATCGAACATCAAAAGCGACCAGCCATGTCACACGCGCAAAAGTAAGGGAATGGCGATGGAAGGAAAAAAGTATTGGTCGTCATATAAGGGCAAAACGTACAGCAGCAGGGATTCCCACGTGGTCACCCACCGTAGTACTAATCTGCCGTTCAACTGCTTATGTATGGCAGAGCGGACGGGATGCCCAGTTTTCAGCTGACTGTGGCCGTACGTGCTGGATTCCCAGATTTTGTCTGATATATACTTCTAATTGCGGACACTCACTTAGCAACTGCAGGCCTACACATCTGGTGACAGTATGTGGTTGGCATGGTTGTTTGAAGTCCTCAGCTTTGTAGCAGACTAACCTATGGCTCATCTTTAGTATCAATCGATGCACTATATACACTTATGACGAATGCACATTCAAAGCATTGTTATTATGCAACCATCCTTGCTGAAGTCTAGATAAATGCACATTTTCGACATTGTAGGTCGACATCGCAGACATTTCCTCAACAAACAACTGGTAGACATTCAAAGAGTACTGGTGCGTGTACTATATCAACCAGAAGTCGAAAAAATATGCCAGGCCTCCTTAATGTGGTCGCCGATGATATTTCATATTGCTGAGGGCACAACCCTGACTCAAGTCCGCAGGCTCAAAATTGTTGCTTCCTCGTCGGTGAATAACATTATTCTGTGATGACACCAATTGATACCATTTCATTAGATATACAAGTACGAACAAGTCTCTATTAACTCGATTGTTGTATCAACAGATGCATTGCTGCCTGTCGTCACATTTGGCTATCCAACCCCACGGCTTGTGGCTGCGGCAAGGCTTCAGCAGTGACCTTGCGGCTACACCAGAAATTTGACAGAAGCTGAGTGATGTCTGTGTGCGTCGTACGACCAGAAACAAGAGTGTGTCCGTGTATTTCTGCAGATGTGTCGTGCTTGGAGTCAAAAACTGCGGCTCTTGCGATTCTTGGCTGGAGAAGTGTTCTTTCCAAAAACTGATGACTTCATGACGCGGACTTAGTGGATTACAACATCCTCAACGCGTTCTTTGCGACGTATCGTGAGATCATGGCGTGTGTTTGGTGATTTGCTAGGATAAATATTTCTTGTTACAAGTTACTTTGTACCAATTTTCTGGTCTCGTGCTCTTCGATTCGCTCAATCCAATACCGATCAATCCGCGCTGGTGACACGAAACAGACATGGCTGCCACGTACTTTACGTGTACTCTAGGGCAGGCGCAATCCCTAGGCCTCACCAACTCCAACTTCAAGAATATCAACCATTTCATCGATTCGCAGGCAGAAGCCATACCATCTCAACATGCTATTGGATTTGCTATTCCTTCCAACTCGGATTCCCAATGGAAGAGCAAGACATGGACTTTCTCGGACCTGCAAATTGGCTCCAAGAAGGTCGCAGCTGTGCTGCAGAAGATGCATGGAGAACTTCTGACCAAATCGGAAACAGTCGCATTGATCTGTCCAAGTACACCGGAATTTCTGTTTACGTGGTTGGCTCTCATGCGATTAGGACACCCTGTCCTTCTCATCGCACCGCAATGTCAGCCAGCAGCGATCGCTCACTTATGCAAGACCTGTCAGACTACTGTCCTATTCCACGATGAGACATATTCAGCTCAGTCCCAGGAGGCTGAAGCAGTAGCCCGCGACGATGGCTCCGAACTTCATGCTATTGAGTTGCCATATTCCAAGGACCATTCTCTATCGGATATCATGGCACAGGAAGCGTTCGACTCCCCAAGCTTCCCCGAAGTCAAGGAAACAGACGTTGCATATCTTCATCATACCTCAGGAACATCTTCCGGCGTACCCAAGCCAATCCCGCAAACACATCGTGCAGGTGCTGGTGTTCTTCCCTCCTTCCCTGATGGAAAGCAGTGTGCAATGTTCACAACTACACCACTCTACCACGGAGGTGTAGCAGATGCTTTCAGAGCGTGGACAAGTGGTGCACTTATTTGGCTGTTCCCTGGCAAAGGCATACCAATCACCGCAGCAAACGTGATCAAGTGCCTGAGCGCAGCAGAGAAGAGTGCAGAGCAAGGTCTCCCTCCTGTCAAGTACTTCGCCTCTGTACCGTACGTACTTCAGATGATGGAGGCCGATGAACAAGGCTTTAAGTACCTTCAGAACATGGATATCGTTGGCGTTGGTGGTGCTGCTTTGCCAGCAGAAGTGGGAGATCGCATGGTTGGCAAAGGAATCAATCTTATCTCGAGATTTGGCAGTGCAGAGTGTGGTTTCCTCATGGCATCTCACCGTGACTATGCAAAAGACAAGGAGTGGCAGTACTTGCGTAGTAACGCAGGAGCTGAGTACCTCACATTCGAGAAGAACGAAGATGGTCTAGCTGAGTTGGTCATCAAGCCAGGTTGGCCACACATGGTAAGGTCTCTTCACGCTCTGGAACTAAACATTGACTGACATGATACGTCCAGGCCAAGAAGAACCGCGACGATGGATCCTTTGCTACAGCCGATCTCTTTGCACCACATGACAGCATTTCAAATGCCTGGAGATACCACTCGCGAGCCGATTCTCAACTCACGCTGATCACTGGCAAGAAGTTCGACCCAGCTCCACTGGAAGGTGCGATTGCCACCGCGGATCTTCTGGACGACGTCTTGATATTCGGAAACGCACAACCGTTCCCTGGTGCCCTGTTGTTCCGTTCAGAGACGGCTCGAGATATTCCCGACCATGACCTCGTACAGAAGGTCTGGCCAGCCATAGAGAAACTCAACTCAGAAAGTCAGGATCACGCTCGTATTCCCAAGAAGATGCTGGTTGCCATGGCAGTACTTGATCAGCCGCTAGAGAAGAGCAGCAAAGGTACTCTCCAACGAAGTGTGGTCGAGGCCCGCTTTGCACAAGACATCGACAAGGCGTATACCAACATGGGTTCCTTCAACGTCGGTGACGTGCCTGACGAGAAGGTTCGCGATGTCATCATTGAGATGATAGAATCTATCGTCCCGAAGAAGACCAAACTGGAAGATAACACAGACCTGTTCTCTTATGGCGTTGACTCGGTCGCCGGTATGCAGATAAGATATGGTCTTCGACAACTGCTACCACAATCGACCAAGCAGTTGCCACTCAACGTGGTAGAGGATTGTGGAACGGTCAAGCGATTGGCAGAGTATGTCGTCAAGCAGCGTCATGGTGAAGAGCTTGCCGACGAGGAGGATGAAGACAAGCTCACGCTTCAACTCGTCGACCAGTATTCCAACTTTGATAACAGGGAGTCCATCGTCGTCCACAAACGGGCAGGGTCAGAGTGGAAACGACAAAGGAGATGTTATCGTCTTGACCGGTGCAACGGGAGCTTTAGGGGCTCATCTCCTGAACTCCTACCGTCAACTCGATTCCGTCAAAAGGTCTACTGCCTCGTCCGAGGAGCTGAACTGCACGCTTCAATTGAGCGAGTCGACAAGGCTCTAAAACAGCGCGGCCTTGATGGTCTCCAAAGTGGTGACGCAAAGGTCGAAGTCCTTCAAACGTCACTAGGAGATGATCACCTGGGCCTCTCCAGTGGAGATTACGAAAGGATTGCACAAGAGGTTTCGATTGTTATGCACGTGGCATGGAGTGTCAATTTCCGCATGCGTTTACGCAGCTTTGCAAAGGACAACATTGCGAGTAAGTCACGCCCCAATCCTCCCCATGCATGAGTGTGTGACCAGCCCGTTTGAAGCTTTCACCGCCGTATCAGAAGACCTGGTCAGAGGGTGCATAGAGCACTATTTTTGCAATCTATGCTCCCAGAAACCAGGTTTTCTATATTGCAATTAGATGAAATCGCTGCAGGGCTGCATCACCACAAGAATAGCAAAACAGATCAGATGCTGACCGGGGTTTGAAATGCAGGTGTGACAAATCTTATCAATCTTGCATTGAGGTCCGGCAGATCTGAACCTGCAAGATTTGCATACTGCTCGAGCGTAGCAAGTGTCATGGCGTACAGCAAAGGCACCTCGATCCCTGAAAGAATTATCGACGATCCAGAAGCAGCCAGCCCTCTGGGTTATTCGCGCAGCAAGTGGGTCGCCGAACAGATATGCAGCAGGGCGAACGAGCACTCGCTGCTTCAGGGTCGCATTGCCATATTCAGAGTTGGCCAACTTTCAGGGGACACCCAACACGGCATCTGGAATAGTAGCGAGGCCTGGCCGATGATGCTGAGCAGTGTCAAAATATCCCGCGCACTACCGAACCTCGATAAGGAAACCTTGGACTGGCTGCCGGTGGACCTCGCTGCCACGGCCTTGATGCAAGGAATAGCAAGCGTGGACGGGAGCGGAGACGGGGCGCATGTCCTGCATGTGCTAAACGAGCATCGTCGTCCTACATGGCCCACAATGTTGCAATGGCTAAAGAAACGATGCGCCTTTGACATTGTGGACCCGCCCAAGTGGGTAGCGCGACTCGAGGATATGCAGGAAAGAGACGGCGCCGATCACCCCGCATATAAACTTCTAGACCATTGGAAGAGGGCTTATGCCCCTGAGCACAAATCCGAGGACACAGGTTCGGCACCGACTGTCTTGCCGTTCGACATGTCGAGAACCAAACAATCAGTTGCGGTTCTGAGAGACGTCAGTCCTGTCGATGAGCAGTATTTTGCCAAGATCTGGGACTGGATCGACACAACCATGTAGACATTTAGCTATTATCGAGAGATTATCGTCCTAACAGCAGCTGGATCTCTGTATACAGTATCCAATCCTGATGTGTAGACTTTGGGATCTCTTTGGGATCATCGTGTAAATACAACCCCTCTCTTCGCATAAGTTTACTCTGTTCATTGAGCCATTTGTTGAGGAGGATTATAGAAACACACTCTCGTGATATCCATGCAATACCAGTATGAGCGAAATGAGAAGCGTTGTCGACGATAAACTCTTGCCCCTGGATTGAAATTTGGCAGGTATAGACAGAACGTCCAGGCCTCGGCATAGTGACCTTGGTATAGGGAGAGGTATGGGGATGGGAGTGTAACGTCTCGGTGGCTTTGGGACCGAGGAGCAAAGATCGGTTGAGAGAGGGGACAAGAGAGAACGATTTGAATAATCGTCCTTGTACTAAGCCTCCTTGTACCTTTTGGCAGTACCTGTCATGCCTTACAGGGCAGGAGGATAAGGCTGCACAAGCCGAAGAGCCAGGTGCTGGTACTTGCTCCCTGAAGATGTTAAGCGTATCGAGTGGGGACGTCTTTTTCAGTGCAAGAGGGAGCCCGGATCTGGGTAGGTTGGCCTTGCGCAAGTGACCTTACATGGCGCTAGCAAAGTGTCTCCTGTCGAAGCGGAGCCGTCAATGCTGTTCATGTCAAAGGGGGGGCACAATTGTATGGAAGCGTGGTGCGGCAAGAGGCAGCGCCCGCTGTCCCGCGATAAGGGGATAAGACATGGACATGCTTGGCGATCTGGCTTGGAGTCTGCACGAGCACGCCGCATCCACGCCCTCACGTGCTTTCGCTCCGACGTCGTGTGGCTTGCACCGATGCCATGCGGGTCGCGAGTCCGTCAGTTCGACAAAAGGCCAAGCAGACGCGGTCGGGGAGTTCGTCGCCGGGAAGCCCAGGGCTAGAAGAAGACTAAGCTCATTCCCCGGCCTCTTGTGGGGCGATCATCAGAAGAGAGCACTAGACCTCACGAAGCCACAAAGGTCATGGTATCGCACAGAGGAGAATTCCCGATGAGAAATTGCCGCTGACAGATCCGGTCCGGCAGTGGTGTGAAAGTTTTTGTGTCCCTTGTCAAATACTCTGGAGAAACAAGCGAGAACAGCCTTACACAGGCAGAATAGACGAGCAGACATGCTCCTTTTGGTCAACCCTGTGGTTCCTGCATCGCGTACCTGCATGAGCCACAGAAATCCCATAATGGTCCCAGACTCATACAGACAAAGTATGACGTAGCAATAGTGTGAGATTGTGAAGATCAGGTCACTGCCGTACTACCGGTCACGGGCATGCTAAGCCCACAGACTGAGTCAACCCCAGCTGAAAACCCGTTTTTGGCAGTTGTGCTTGTCGATTGTCTTAATCTGCTGCAGGGCTAAGAGAGTTATGCAACTAAAGCACTCATGAAGCTCAATTTATCCTGCAAGATGACAATTTGGTCTGAAATATGCGATGATTGCGAGAGGGCTCGACAAGTGGAATAGCGTGTATAGCTTAATCCTGCCCATCGGCGATGGCTGATTAGACCCTCGGAAGCCGTTGCCCTGTTTCGACGAGCACGAGAGTCAGAACGCGGAAGCTTTTGCCGCAGATTTTGAGTCTTCCCACACGCGAGTTGGGAGCAGCTGGAGTTCAAGGGGAAAAGTCAATGGCAGGACATGAATCGAGATAATCGATTTAGCAGATCAAGCGAGAAGTGTTGTTGAAAAGTTTGTGAAGCGAATATTGCTCGAGCGAACTCGTACCTGGCATACCGTTGGCGTGAGTGGGATCATTTCCACAGGGCAGAGAACCGAGCGACGGTGCACACACACATGCGCACAAGGGTCTGCAGAAATTAACGATCGACGTTGGAAGGCCAGTAGCAGGGTCTGTAGGGATGAAGAAGTCGAAGACTCTTCCTTCGAATTACACCGCCAATTGATTGGGTACCAGCGCTATCATTCTTGATTGTGATGTATATTGAGGTGTGCTTTTCGGAAGCTTTCGAGAATGGCCAACTTTAGCAGGCCAACATGAAACACTGAGTCGGAGGACGGAAGGCAAACGTGGGGAAGGCTCCAGCCAATCAGCAGCGATAGGGAGATCAACACACCTGATTGTCGCGTTTCAGAGTGCACTTCGATTGTCGCTGCTACGTAACCCTCGACCACGTGAGAGATGATTGCAATCATTTGCGGCCAAGATGACAGGTAAGCGGTATATGTGTACTACTATATGAGATATATATGATATAATGGTTTTGATTGGCGACTGAGACCTCGTAAATGAGACGACGAATGCGCAGCGCCGCAGTGCTATTGGCCATCAGACTAATCACAATCACACCCGAATTTCGAAACACAGCGCTCGAATTCGTGTCAGCCCCGCCAAATCCGAGGGCAGTATCAAGCAGGTACTGTACAGTACATGCAGTACATGCTGGATATCTGGCAAATCGGCAATTTCTCACCCTGCGTACGGCCGAGTCATTGACGATTGCAAGATGATCGTTTGCATGACGAAGATATCAGACGCTCACGGAGTGCACGCCACCAGCAGCAGCGATGTAACTGGCCATCCCGCCGCGTAGCCGTCCGTATGTGAGAGCGTTTGCTTTGGCAGAACGAGACGCGATAACAGGTGAGCGGACATGTATCTACCCAGGCTGACCAACGGGCAACGGACGAGCAGCACGACCTTGGTACGAGTGGATAGGCGGTTTGCAGGGTCAGCCGTCGAGTGCACTCGCTCACAAGACGTGTTTGTTGACGAACTAGCCATGTTTAACTGTTATGGATTCGAGTGTCGATCGGGCCAAGATTGTGCACCTATCGAATTGGGCGCCGCTGCTCTGGACACCCGAGTGATATGGTCTGCAGGGCATCTCGGGCAGATGCACGTGGGCTACTCGTCCTGAGGCTTCACGATTGACACTCGAGGTGCAGTAGTGCGGTCGTTAGAATCAACAGCCTTAGGTTAGCTGGCGTGATGGCCGTTCCCAGCAGAAAAATAAGAGTCGACGACGGATGGAAATAGACTCGACGCCGCGCCACAGGGCGTCGAGCGGCAAGCTGGCGCGTTAGCGTCGGGATCAAGGCACAGACAGGCGCCTTCGACCGCAGCACGGGGCATGGGAGTAACGCGTCTTGAGGGAGCCAGAGGTGCAGGTATGTGCACACTACAGACTCGCTGGACCGGTGCAGATGGGCGTGGCCTTTGTCAGTTGGTACCCACCAAGCCGTCCGACGCTCCCCATCCGCCGCCATGATTGCACCGGTCCTGCGGCCAGTTTCAACTTGGACGATCAGTACTTGTATGCTCTGCTCCCCCAGCCATAAACAGGTCGTTTCATACATCAATCGACCCGGCCATTCTCTCATTGCATTGCTTTTGCTATCAACCCGTTGGACGTACCATTCTTTTGCCTGCTCATCAGACGTCACTTGGCCTCAAGAGCATCTTATACATAGCCCTACCAGCACACCACCACACTCCCAATTCGTCTTGTCATATCTCTTCTGAAACCGACTCGCCTTTTGCAATCAAACGCAAATCCCAATTTACACACGGCATATCCCAAATCATTCGGGTAAGCGTCGTGTCGAAGCCACCACCGCCTCTTGGACCCTCGAGGCTAACCGAAATTGTTCAGATCCAATGGAACACCAATATATGACCCAGACTCCCATGCAGTCGCCCATGTATTACTACACTCCTCAAAAGCAGCAGCACATCCACTACAACTCGCACATGGCCCCCCAGAACATGGATTACTTTTCTCAACCCATTTCATCCCACGTCCTGTACTCTCAGCGCAGCTCTCCCGTCTACCACCAACAGCCTCAGTACATCTCGCAAGCCATGCTCACTCCTGCCGCTTCACCTCGCCCTCAACACCAGAAGCCTACCATCATGCTCCAGCAAGAGATGCCCAGCATGAACATGTCATTCGACTCTGACTGCTATGGCCCTGCCACTCCCACTCTGTCTGCCACCAGCTTCAACTCTGCCGACAGCCCTCAGTCCAACTACCACATGATGCCCACTCCTGCCAACGAGCTTCACATGAACCCCTTCGATGGTCTCAAGCAGAACTGTGAGGATGACATGTTTGGTGAGTGGACTCAGTCGGGATCTCCACCTTTGACTCCAGGTAAGTGTTTGATTGAGAAGCAATTTCCCTGGCTTGGCCAATTATAGAGCTTGGCTGACTCGCTAGCTGAAGTGTACCTGCATCCCGCCTCGGCATTTACCGAGAACAGCAGCTATCTGCTATCAACCTCTGCATGCCCATCATTGTCGCCCTCACCTTCGCCCAGCGTCTGTGATCCCCGCACTTTGACCGTCCCCAGCAACGCCTTCCCCTGCTTGCCCACTCTGTGCGCCGGCGATGACGAGGAGCACAAGTTGATTCTCAAGGGTGACTTCACTCCTGCCAAGACCTTTGACGCTTCTGAGTTGATGCCTGCCAACCACGGCTTCCCTACCTTTGAGCCTCTTTTCGAGCTTGACGTTGAGGACGAGTTCAGCGCCAGCAAGCGCCAGCGCGTTGACTCACAATTCACTTCCGACTCCAGCTTCTGCTTCACCGACGCAAGCTTCAGTGACGAGGACTTGACCTTCTCTCCTTGCCAGTCCGAGTTCTCCTTCACGTCTGCCCCCGTTCTCGACATGACTCCTGTTCGTCGCTCGGTCACCAAGAGAGCCGCTAAGGCCGCCCCTCAATACAACGCTGCTGCACACTCCACCAACAGCCAACCCCACCAAGTTCCCAGCAACGCCGCTGCCTCCTCCTCGTCTGCCTCTAGCGACGACCACTCGCACTCCCACCCCTCGGCTTCCTCAACTACCCGCCGTGGTCGCAAGCAGTCCCTGACTGAGGACCCTTCCAAGACCTTCGTCTGCACTCTTTGCTCGCGCCGCTTCCGCCGCCAGGAGCACCTCAAGCGCCACTACCGCTCTCTTCACACTCACGACAAGCCCTTCGAGTGCACCGACTGTGGCAAGAAGTTCAGCCGTAGCGACAACCTCAGCCAGCACCAGCGCACTCACGGTGCCGGCACCGTTGTCATGGGCGTCATGACCAGCGACATGACTTCCCAAATGGCCGTCAACGTTCCCGATGTTGGCTCCGGTGTCCTGCGCCCCAAGAGCGAGTCTCCTGATGCCAGCGAGCTCGGTGCCATGCTCTTCGACCACGCCGCCGCGGTTGCCGGGTCAAGCAGTGGAAGCCAATCGGGCTACGACTCCGCCGAGGACAACAGCTTCCAGCAGAAGAAGAGAAAGCGCGATGAGTAGATTTCTCTCGCCCAGCACCCTTTCTCTTTCTGACGTTTGACGCCTTACGACCCTCATGCCAACCTTTCTCCTTTATGTCTGCTGCTTCGTTTAGACTTGTTCTCCCCGCAAGGTACTGTCTCTCTGGATGAGAGTACAGGCAAAAAAAGTCACATGCTCTGGCGTGTCCAGCCTCAAAGCGAGCCTTTTTCTTTATTGCTTTTTCTTCACTTCATGTCTATCATTACACCTTCCTGGGGCAAGGTTTCTTTCTTCTCAGCCCCTTTGCTTTGGGCTTTTCTGTACTGTACAGCGAGATATCTGCATTTGCATGGATGGGAGCTCTGGGAAAACGGTCCTTTGCTATCTTTTAGCTATTTGAATCTCAACATCAAGCCCAACAGTGGCCTCTGAATTTCTTGAACACTTCCTACTTCTGTATATCCATGTTCCTATTGTGCAACACGTCTCTGCTTATGCCTTTTGCCTTTGCAAGCTTTCCAAAGCTGTCCTTGTCAGCTCGAGCGAAGGTTTCACGTGCGTTAATTTTGTGGGGAGGATCGCACTCTACCAAGATCTCAAATGCTCAGATCTTTTCTATGTTGGGACCGTCCCAGACTTCACCTTAGATGCTCTAGCAGATGACCGCTTGCAGCACCATGACTTCTGCAAGAGACACGGCAGTTGTAGTGATGTGCGCGGCATGACTCTTGGTCTCTAGACCATCCCTACAGTAGGAGCGCCTTTCATCTCACATGCTTTCCTCATCCTGCAGAACCAAAGTGGATATTGCATTCCCGCTCCAATCCGCAGGGCTTTGTGTGATTACTCTAGCGTTCCGAGGAGGTCTACAAGATTCACAAGGATTCTCACAAGCATGAGCGAAGAGCATACTTGCCCGCACTCGATCGGGCAACGACAAAATGCAAGTTGCTGATGTTCGTACCTGACTAGATAAAAACCTTGCTACTCTGCCTTATGATTGAATGCCGCCGCGCCTGCCGCTTTCGGGGGCTTTTTTCTGCTGAAGCATTGGGCACACGAGCGGGACGCTCCCTTCATTCGGATAGATCAAGCGAAGATCTATATCTCTCTTAACATGATCCACTCAATACGAATAATGACACCGCGAGAGTTCGTGGGATTTGGCAGGGGTCATACAAGGGGTTCAGTTGAGGAAAGGCATAGTACTCGCCTAACTGCTCTTTGATCCTAAATCAATGGCTCCTATCAGCACTTCACGCCCTAGTCTTCTTCATCTCTCGCTTTGCTCGAGATCAATGCTCTACTAATGCCCCACCGGATCAAATTCCTTCCGACTCTTTTCGCTGAGCCTTCTCAAACACCCCACACTCTTGCCGAGCCAGACCTTTGGACGCTCTACTTGACTCGAGAGTCAACTGCTCCTGCACAAATCGTCATGCCGCGTTTCGCAATCTTCTTTACTTTTGTGCCATTTTTCCTTTCTTCGCCAGATTTTTTCTTTTCTTTCCTTTACTTTACTTCATTTTTCCTTCCGAGCAAGGGCCTAGAGCGGGAGATTTGCAGAGGGACGAGCCGTCCGTCGCCGTATCTCACCCATCGGTTACGCCATTTCTCATCGACTCAGTTTTTCTCAGATTTCAGATCTTCGATCCTGAGGAAATTAGGCAAGCCAAAACTCCATGGTCGCTTTTCTCAGCTACTGGTTTCAAAAGCCATGTCTGCTACACCATCAACCCATGGTTGCATGAGTGTCTTCCGAAGGATTTTCGCGTTTTAGCTGCTTTGTAGAGGTAAGAGTCAGTCACTGACGTCTTGTTTGATTGCGAGGATAGCCGGCTGCATGTCATCGCGTTTCTGGTGCATGAAGAGCTACGTCAACGTCAAGTCTGTATATCCGACGCGACCAACACTTCCAAAACAGGTCATGCAAGGAACAGAGTCAGGCGTCCCGAAGGCCTGGCAGATCTGACAGTTGCAGTTTGGAAGAAGGACGTACCTTCCTCCTGCACCTCGTCTATCTTCTCTGCGAATGACCTTCGTCCGTTCGATTCTCCGAAAGCCTCCAAGTACCTTGGACGTTTGGGTGTAGCAAGATAAGACAAAGCACACATGACTTTGTACGACCACGCGTCTCGAACAACGCCTCTTCTTTCGAGGTCTATGCAAGCATAACGGTCTATCTTCATGACCCTTCTTGCCATGTGCATGTGCATTTGTATCTTATGACCCTCTTACCAGCCACAGCCGACCAATTCCAGGGGACACGCCACTGCGCGAAGGATCCATGGCGAATGGGAAGATCAAGGGATCATAATGAGACGTCAAGATGAGGAAAAAGGGCAAAGAGTATGGAAGAGATACATCCACGTCGTACCTCTCCGGAATGAGCTCCACGGATGCACTTCGCGGCCCCGGGATCATAGTGCGTATGTGAAGAGGATCGACGGCCTTGCTCGGTGGTGATGCTGGCCGGCCATACTCAGGGCAGATCTAGTGAGATACATTCGCACCACCACTTGGCTCTCTTTCCACCACGATCCTCAGGCACGATCTCCAAAACGTGTGTTGTATGCAGCCGTCGGCTTTGTCGGCGCGAGCGGAGTGGAAACAAGACGCTTACACGCTTCTCTCTCTGCAACGCCAGAATCCTTCGTGAAAAATTGGTGCAGAATTGACCCGCAGCTGCCCCATCATGATATCCCCACTGCTCTAGACCTCTTGAAACAGTGCCATCACCCTCTTGCTTGCGGGTATGGCTTTGGACTTGTTCCAACGGACAATAATCACCGAGTAGAGGACCAGAGAACATCACCAGAGGTCGGGACGGGGGCAGTCAGGGGGCGATGAGAATGGGTTGAGCTGTACAGTTGACAATAGTGGCAGCAAGAAGTGGATATCTTTCTTCTGATTGAGTGGTGGACTGATACGACACGTAACTTATTCCTCAACTTACTGTGCTATTCCCACCGCAAGGGTAATCTCAATATAAGCTATGTGGGGAAACAGCAGTTATGTCGTATTCTTAATGTTCCTTTTCTTGGTGTTTCTCTCACGCGTTTTCCTACCCGCTCTTGCGTGATTTTTTGATCCTTCAAGGCACGTTTTGATATGTCTCAGATCGTGTAACCCCACAAGGTGGATTTTGTAGAGGAGCTATAGCGGGTTTTGTGGGTGACGATCACCAGTCTTTTCTGTGCCTGTAGGAGAATAAGACACGCAAAAGGTACAAAGACGGCATGTTTGGTCCGACATGTGTCCAACAAGTTTCTAACGGGTCTTTGTCTTGGCTGTGGATATGCCATTGTCGTACACTCCAGCCGAGTTGCTCTTTGAGCAGAGAGGATCCAGACACGCGCAACGGGCCTAGCTCTTCGTTTCTCTCATGCACTTACTCTTTTCTCTCCATCTTCTGTGTTTCTGGCTGTCGTTTCTTTTCACGCAACGGATGGAATGTCATCGCAGGTACGAAAAGGTGGCTTTGTGGAGAAACTGGTGTAGCTGAAGTGTCAACCGATCCGTGGAGTCTCCTATGGCGTCTTCGTGCTGGCTGTCGTTCTCGGTGCAAAAGCCACTGTGTGAAGATGTGTACGGGCGTAAGGGCACAAAACTCCAAAAACACGAGAAGTTGCAGTCCAGTCCCATGGGGAAAGTGTAGACTAGCAGGCACGGGACGGCCCAGCACACCTCTTGGGGTCGCATCTTACTACTGAACGGATGATGTACTTTTGTGTCATTTCGCGCAGTAGTTTCGCCGGGTGGATCTGATGGAATAGAATTTGGCATTGCATAGTCTTTTGTCCACGATGGCCACAAGAAGTGCGGACTTGGCCGGCATCAACGAGATGTGGTTGTTATAGCTAGTCCCTTCCCGATTCTGTGCATAGATCTGTCGATCATTGATCGACACGTATGATTCGTGCGTGCAGTGAGCGTTTTCCTATTCAGCTCCACTCCTCGGCGAACGAAAAGATGAGGGCAGCACAGAGCATGCAAAAAGCAAGCCGATCGTGCATAGTGGAAATAAGTCGAAAACCGAGGTGAATGGCCTGGAAGGATTCAAGATGGCTTATTCATCCTCTTGCATATATAAGGCTATGCAGACCCTTATACACAGAAGATTGAGTTTGTTCTATGATCTGAAACAGAAAGCACATGAATAAGCTTTGGCCGTGCCCTGCATAAAAGTAATTCCCTGAATAAACCCTTGCAAAGCAATCCCTGGATAAGCCGTTCGAACAGCCGTTCGGAGTTTTACAGGAAGAGAGCTACCCTGGATTTTTTTGTCCATTGAGTTTGTGCGCTATCCAAGATTTGCAATCCATTCTGTTTGTGCGGTCCAGGTTAATGCAGGGCTTGCCGTATTCACCCTTATTATCCTTGCCTTATGTCCACTCTGGATCCCTCGCTAAGGGAATGTGCTATCGTTGGCCCTGCATGTCCTAGATGCTCTTTCTGGCAGACAAAAGTAGCCAAGCCTCCCTCCGCTCAAACCTTCGGCAGGTATCCGCACGCGGCAGAGATAGGCGACGGACGGATTCCAGAGGAGACTACTACACGTGATATCAGTGGCTACTCTTCAGTGGCTGCTGCTCTTTTGGGAAGCGGCAATAGGCGAGCAAGAGGGTCCGTGGGGAGCAGGAGAAGGTGGACAATACTTCGGTACTTGCAGCTATACCAGCCCCTTGTTTGCAAGCACTGTCGAAGATGTGTAGTCAGATCGGAGGATTTCTCGATTGTTGAGTTCTTGGGCTTGTGTGGAGGAAGAACTCTACGCGAGACAGGGGCGTTGTGTGTCAAGCAAGAAGGATCGAACTGCTGTTCTCCGTGCGTTGTCCTCTTTGGATCGTGAAATCTTGACTTTCTTGAAGATCTTCTGGAACGAGTTAATACGCGCAAAAGCTTGCGATATAGTCTCTACTCTCATTTGGAAGACTTGACTCTTTGGAGAGTTACCGCATGCGGTCCGAGATCAACGTGCATTAGGTATGCAGAAGAGCCAACCCCACATCACATCAGCCCTCTGGATCCCACGACGAGACCGCGATATCCCGTGGATGAGCGCCTCTGAATAAACTTCAGCCTCTTATGCAGAACACAACGGTTCGTTGGATGAGGATTAGTTCACAAGAACGACGTAAGCTTCCCGCATAAGACACAGCCGCAACTCTATGCTGCGTGTTGTGAAACGGCGATTGTTATGAAACGGTCAAGATAAACAATGAACAAGCATATCTAAGACGCGTTCTTTTGTGAGAGGGGACGGTTTTATGCGTTGTACGGCTGAAAGACTGACAGTTGGATGCCCCGTTTATGTCGTTATGCCCATCCTCCCATCTCATTTCCCATGCCTCTACCTGCCCCGCGTGGTTCCCGCAACTGTATATCCATTGCGTACCTGGCTAGCACAAACATTAATAGCTGAGACAGACAGGTTCGCGTGCAATTGCGATGTGCAAACGCATAAAACGCTCTCCATCCTTGAGGATTGTGGATAACTCACTTCATCTGATTGGGATTCACTCAACAAGAAGGACGATCTGTATAGACTAGAAATGTGGAACTTCTGCTCAGCTACTGCAAGCGATCGGTCTTCGAACAATCGAAAGAGGCCACCTAAAGCGAGACACGTGCTGTTCCTTCTGTGCCCCTGCTTCTCATCAGACCTAGTCAACTATTCCAAAAGCCTATACCACAATGCCTCCCGCTCCGCGAAGCTTCAGACCACAATGCACGGAAGTGCCGAGAAGAAAGACTAAAGAATACGAACGAAAAGGCAAAGTTGTCATTGCTCGGTATACAGCAGAGTTATGCTTTTAGGGCTCTGCCGCAACCTGTTCTACCGAAACCAATGCCTATGAGTCGGAACATTTCTGCCTTTTTCCTCGGGTCATTTCTGTCTTCACCTTCCCCAAGAGAACTGCGGAGATGCTGTTCGAACCAAGGATGTATGCCCTGGCTAGCAAAGCAACACTCAACCTTGAGCCAGATCTTCATGAAATCTTGTAAGATCTTGCTGTTGACTTTCGAACCTCGAACTTTGGAGTTACCCTCCGCGACTGGAGATCATGTATTGCTGCCGCTCGGGCACGGGGAACAACGAGGACGGAATGTGTTGCAAGAAATGCACGAGGAGGCAGGGTGTAGTGGGGAGAGACGAAAGTTTGAGAGGGACAAAGACTGTACGACGATAGCATAAGCTGAGAGGTGTGCAGTAGCGTACATGTGCAGATAGGCATGGCCCGTCTATTCTCCCTGCTCATCGCCTATCTTCTCAAGCTTGCCCATGGCTCTCTTCTCGCCCGTCTCGCCGATGATCCTGATGCGGTCGATCCTTGTCTTCTCGCCCTCGCCTTCTCCCTCGGAGACGAAGATGACCAGACTCGTGACATTTTGGAACTTGACGAAGCGCAAGTCGACTCTAGCAGTGCCAGTCTTGGCATCCCAGTCTGACTCCTGCAAAGTAATGTCTTGAGTTGAAGGAATTGACTCGGCCTCATCGAACGACAGCACATTTGACTTGTTGGTGTAGAGCTTCAAGGTACGAGGACGAACGATGTCATCGTCACCTTCAGTAGGGAAAGAAGTGATGTGAATGCCGTGGACCTTGAGAGAACTCTGGAAGGGCATGTACATCATGAGTTGTTCATCCGTGTCACTCTCGATCCAGTCCTTTCCAGCAGCCGAAGAAGATTTTGAGATTGCGCTTGGCTGGGCGGTGTTGAAGACGGTGCGAGCATTGCCAGCTTCAGAGTCGACATTGAGGAAGTCCAGGTTGAGCAAATCGACACTGTCGGTAATGTCTGAGTAGCCACGAGGAAGGGATGCGCCGATCCATGTACCAGACGAGGACGACGAAGCATCGGCTGAAGAGGACTCGGCCTCGCTTGCCAGGGACTTTACGGCAGCATCGAGAGCCTTGGGGTCGGCACCACGAATGCGCTGAGTTTCACGGCCATTCTTGAAGACCATGAAGGTGGGCATGGCGGTGATGTTGTATGTCTGGGCAATGTCCTTCTGGTTGTCGGTGTTGACCTTTGTGAAGGTGATTTGATTAGGGCGGGAGAGCGAGCTGGCGAGCTGCTCGTAGAAGGGGGCGATGGCCTTGCATGGGCCGCACCAGTCGGCGTAGACTNNGTTGTGATGGTCAGTATACAGATGGTGGGGTGTGTACAAGTCGGCGCACTCACAGTCGGTTACGACGATGCGCGACGACGACAGCAACGAGCTGAATTGCTGGGGCGACTCGATGTGCACAATCTTGGACGACATGGTTGCTAGTCTTTGTCGATGTTCTTGCCTGCAATGAAGATTGCTCGGCGTTGTTGACTGCTCGCCATCAATGGAGCACCTTCACATGGCGGGGCAAATGGACCCAAGCGCGTCACCGAAGCTCACCGAAACAAAGAGACGTCAGCGGGCAGCAACCACAAAGCACTGCATTCTGTTTCCAAACATGCCTGCCACCACCGCGACTTCTCCGACGCAACCTCTCTACGGCCTGGCTCTTTCCCGCAGCGAGCGCATTCTTGTCGTCGCTCTTTCCTATACCTGGTGCCTGCCTTTGTTCCTGTCCTTTGGTTACCGCTTCTGGAACTGGGCCCGTTCACGTTCGAGCAATCGCTCCCCATAAGCATTTAATACTCATCGATACTCACCGCCTCTCTTCATCGCATCTCCGTAATCATCGTAGTCATGGCCTCCCACGTCGTCGTCTTGGATGCTGCCTTCAAGCGCATCCAAGTCAAGGTCACGCCCGCCACTTCCCTTCGTAGCGTCCTCGAGCAAGCATGCGACAAGTTCCAACTCGACCCCGATCAGCACATCCTCAAGAACACAAAGGACAAACCCATCGACCTTTCTCTCCCCTTCCGTCTCTCCGGTCTCGTCTCAGGCGCAAAGCTGCAGCTTGTCCAATCCTCACGCTCTCCTTCGGCCGTCAAGGTCGCTCTACAACTACCCGCCGAAGACAACTCGCCACGTCTAGAAGATCATTTCCCCAGCAACACTCCACTCTGGCTCATTCTCCGCAAGTTCGAGGATGGTGTCGCTGGCAACACAAACAAACTCAACCTCACCGAGCGAAGCGCCCTGAGCTCGCAGACTGGCAGCGGCTATCTCTGTTATCTACAACCTTGTCTGAACATTGGAGGCAGCGCANAAGAGCTATCTTCCTTCTTGGATCTACAAAAATCTCTCGCTCAACTGGGTCACAATCGCGGCAATGTCTTGATCAGACTATCATTCAAGAATGAGGGTGTGCGCATGGAAGAAGCCAAGGCTCAGATTACCACATACCTACAAGCTCTGTCGCCTCAAGAAGCGTCACAGGTGCAAACTGGTTCATCACACGGTGCACACTCGGCTCCGGATGTGCAGCTCTCGTCACTTCCTAACGCCGACGCTGACAACTCTGCCGTACCACGCGAAGACGACGCTGCCCAGGACCCATCAGGAGATACCATCATGACTCCCGCTCCCGACCTTGCTCCTTCAGAACAGCCCACACAAGAAGATGATATGATAGCATCATCTTCCACGACGCAGATGCCCTCGACTGAAAGTCAATTCCCTTCACTGGACTCAGGTATCTCGGTCTATGCTGCTCCATCCAATAACACTCCACTCGCTGCTAGGCAGACATACAACGAGGCCGACTACTTACCTTCCGTCGAACATGCCAATGCCCATCAAGCCAGTCTTACCAAACTGGGCAGAAATACACGTTTACTATCGGACAAGGAGATAGCTGCCAATAATGCAAGCAAAGCAGCCGCTCTCGCTGAGATCAAGACCGCGACTCTCCGCCTACGCTTCCCGGATACGGTGCAAGTTGAATGGCAAGTCACACAGTCAGATACCTCCGAGTCTCTCTATACGAAGGTCAAAGAGATGCTCGATGATCCTTCGCTCAAGTTCAGACTGCAGATGACTGGCCCTCAGATGAAGCCACTCATCTTCGATCCTACAAGCCAACAGAGACTGATCAAGGATCTTGGTGTTCGAGATCGCTCTCTGATCATCTTTGTCTGGGACGAGAGCGTCTCGAAAGAAGTTCGTGACCGACCATTACTAAAACAAGCCCTCAGAGGACAAGCCAAGGAACTGGAGGTCAAAGAGCCAGTTGCAGAAGAAGAGGTCAAACAAGCACTTGCATCCAAGGCCGAAGAACCTAAGAAGAAGTCTTCGCTTTCGTTTGCGGAAAGAGAGGCCAAGCTGAAGAAAATGATGGGCTTTGGTGGTATTGGAAAGAAGAAGTAAACCGCGATGGAAGCGCATTCGAGCAAGCAAGTTAGTGTTCCTCTTAATGATTGAAATGAAATGATTGCAAGTTCGGAATCCAGCAAATCAAGTCTTATGATCAGTCCTTCCTTTCGATCTACTTCAACTTGCGAACCACGCTCTCATGGTCGGTCATACGCATGCGTACCATGAAGGGGTATGCGAGATTCTACGTGCCCAGGAGCTGAAGTGGAAGTTTGAGGTGACAACAGCCATTAAAAGCAGATTCCATGACCCTTCTAACAGTTGGGAACTGAGCGACGATACGAGCTCATCTTGTGGGACGTTGACAGGTCATTGCTTGCCACCTGGCCAAAACGTGCAAAGACAAGCACAGTATTGCATCCTGGAAGCTGCTTCACAAACCATGAAACACACACGTTTGTTCCTACAAAATTCAGGTGTACGTTAAGGCCGAGTTACGGTGGTCATATCATCGACATTGTTTGGATCGCTTTGTGTTAACCACTCATTGTAGATCTGGTTGGAGTTGGGTTGAGTGATGCCGGTCTGCTTTGATTCAACAGCAGCTGCGGCATGCCAGGACTGCAAGCATATACGTTGTGGATACCTTCTCTTTCTTGATAGACTTGCCTTCTGAATTTCTTTGTAGGTCACTCTTTCTTCGTGGCTTTACCGCTCTTTCCTCCAACTCAACCGCTGCTTCTTGATCCGTAATTTCTCCATTCAAAACTTCTCCAGGACAACCCGCTCTTTCCTCAACAGCGTTATTTCGAAAGAGCATTGATATGTGTGCTTTCGTCAAGGTTCCGTGAAGGTCGCGTAGATAGGTATGATTTACGATAGAAGTCCTGTCTAGGAAGCATATTGTTCTGGTTACCATTATAAGAGTCTCATATCAAGTAAGGTTCACACGAGGGCATGTAAGGGAACTGGGTACGGTTACTTTATCTTTGCAAAGTGCCTTCTAATAGAATCCTTCCACATCGAAACAATAAGTCAATCACAGAGCCCAACAAGAAAAAGGGGAAAAAGTTGCATCACTCATCACCAAAGTCGAACCATGCATCTCTCTTTTGGTAGACTGTATATTCACATCAAGTTCCCTTTATCACTGTGATCGATTGAGTAGTGTGGCGGCTCACACTCATAACCGACAACAAAAACATCCAAATCAGCATTTCGCCACGTATGCCTTGAATTGCGTATGGTAGCCTAGTGTCCGCCATCAAAGTGACTCTGATCAAGGAATTCAGATAGGGGGGTTTCCCAAGAGATAGGAGTTCTGCTGTCTTCGTGGAAATGAGATGGTAACAAATGCATAACTCGAGTGACATGACACCATCTAGCAAAATAATTGGCTCTCGATTTCCTCACTGTTGATCAGAAGTGGTGCTTGAAGATGATTAGAACGACAATTCAGAGACATGACGGACATGGACAGAGATCGTCCTTGTCAAACGAGCATGAGAAGTTCAAAGTATTGTTTGACCTCCGACGGATTCTTGCAGGTCTATTCCGATGCAGTAGTTGTGTTACTATGTCTTTCAATGCAACATTCGTTACAGGATGCAGGTACTGCCTGTTAGGATTTGTGGATCGCTGTCTTCCGAGCTCATGTCGCGGGTATCACCATCGCCGTGTATCAAGTTTGTTCTGCACAGGCGTACATCGAAAGCAGAGGCATCTCGAGCGAAACTATATTCGCCCGAGCGAGTATTTGTGCAAGGATTAACACTTTTGGCCTTTTTGATCGGTATCACGACTGATGAAGATTCCAAGAAGATGTAGCACCGAGAAGACCTCCTATTTCGTCCGTCTTCAAGAGATCGCCGTCATGCAACAGAATGAGTGGCAGCTACCACGAGATGACACATGTACTCGAGCCCGGTAGCGTCTTGAGTGTAGGTGGATGGTCCATGACCGATTTTTCATCAACAAGCAAAATAACTCCATCAGTATTGCAGACAGCCCAACACAAACGCCAGCATAGAAGCCTGTATTAGATCTCCCCTCTTAATCGCGACCTCTTCCCATAACTCATCAACCAAACTCCCCACCCTTCGAGACTTCCTTGTTCTAATAAGCAGTGTACGCAGGAGGCGTATACTTGAACTTCGCCGGTACTGGCGTCACAACTGTCGCACCTTCTCCAGCTTCCAGATCAATAGATTCTCCATTCGCTTCTCGTAAGGCGGCTGCTTGACGCTCGCGCTCTGTTTTCTCGGCTGCCAGACGAGTCATATCGGCCTGCATTCCCTTGTTGTACAGGCGAGGGATGTACCACCAGATGAAGATCAGACAGGCGAGACAGAGGCCTCCGAGAACGCCAACGGGAATGGCCCAGGATGGTGTCCCCATGGTGAATGTGTTGTGATGGTCGTGCGTTCCACGAAGGAGATTGAATACAGGTGATGCGGTGTTACACTTGGACCCAGTTGGCTTTTGACTTGGCTTGGGAGAAGCTTTGCTCGGCAGGTGAAGCTTTGCCCGGACGATATGAGTTTGAAGATTGGTGTATCGAATCGTTCGACGAACTTGCTAGCCTGCTGAAGTCCGCCAGATATAGCCTGAGTTCGACTGCTCTTGCGAAAGAGATGAGCATGCACTGTTGTCTGCGGTGTGAGGAACAATCAAAGATGACAAACGTACAGACCTTCATCTTGCGCTCGAGGGAAGGCACACCTATATTGCGGTAGGCGCAGGCGAACCTACACACGGAGCGGGGTCAGCCACCACGTTGTAAGTATAGGGTACCTTCGATTGCAGGATCGATTTCTGAATCCTTCGACTTTCATCTACTGATTATGCTAAGCAGCCGACGAGCAACTCTTTCTCGAACAGAGAAGAATATCGCACGAGAATGATCTGTTTACTCGTCCCTGCGACCAGGTTGCCGGTGATTGAGTGGAGAGATGCGGAGTCCCCAGCATACAGTGGAAGCATGCAAACAAGCGTTGGTCAAGCATCCTACCGTTGCGAAGGAGCGCAGGCTAGCGACAAGGCTCAGTCATGTATTGGCCCATTTGGGTCGAATACACGAGATTTGACGAACTGTATTCGACAAAATCACACCTCGTGGCCACACATATCCGACGGCAAGACGTCAGCTGGCTGAGGACATTGAGCCGTCTTATCCGGAATACCTTGTTAAGAGAGATCGAGTCCAAGATTCTCCTTTGGTCAGTGAAATCGGTTCTGGAAAACTACGACCATCATAGAAAGGGTGGATGGTATCTACGGACAGTCGAACACCACCAAGTTAAGAGACGTTTTCGGGGCGCCAAACATGATTGGTTGTCAGCAGGTGGGCGAGTCGATCGTGCCAAGCACGCTGGCACATTAACAATTCATAAGATCCGGGAAACCACAGATGTTTGTACATTCTGGCATATGATATCTGCGTGAGAGGCCAACAGGAAACTCGCACAGGCTATCCTCCTTGCGCAAATCTCACGCACACCTCAGACCCCACCAAACACCTTTGAAACAGCGATGGCCAATGTCGCCCAAGCAGCCAAATCAACCGTCAATCCACGAATAGCATTGACACGCAGCCATCGGTCGAGATTGTCATTGTGGTCGCCATTCTGATCANNTATACCACTTGGAGCAATCATAGGCACGAACAGAAAATGCCCAAAAGCGAAAGTCGCGCCGGCCTTGTACCAATGGATTGACTGAGATGCAGGCTGAACGTAGAGGTTTGCGCTCGAAGTTCCTATTGTGGCAGCCAAAAGCCCGATCACATATGGCGTTGCGCGCTGGAAAAAACTGCGGAAGTACGTCGACAACATGGCTTTACTGGTCTCTCGAGTGCCTGGTTGGTTCAAAAGTCGAAGGAAGAAGTGCTGGTCCCAAGCAAACCAAAGAGAGCATGTGGCAGAGACGAGCGGAGCTGCCCGCAATGCGACGAGTGGGTCAATAAATTGTCGAGAAGCCATTTACAAGAAATCCGGTATGTGTGCCTCGAATGGAAAATCAACAAATGATTCCCAGCGAAAATCGTGAGTTGTTCTCGTTGTTGTTTGTGTTGTTGTTGATGTTTTCGTCGTCGCGTCTGTTATATACAACAAAGGATCTGAGGATTCGGCGACTTTTTTAATATATGGGCTCAGCCGAAAGCTGGTGATCAGCCATCCTTATGTTATGTTATATAGTATCATCACGCTATCGCGCGTCGATTACGGAACAACAATCCCGTACGCAATTGTTGGACATGTCGCAGAAAAAGGTGACCGTCGAAGCGGACGCTCTGGAGATCGAACCAGGTCGGCACTCCCAATTCTGGCTCGTTTCTCCTGGCACTGTCCTTGACGACTTTTCTAGCCGCCTTGGATACTTTCATCATCTCGACAGCTCTGCCAACTATTGCTGCTGAGTTCAACTCCGAGGCTCTATATGTTTGATTCATCGATTCCTATCTTTTGACTTCGACAGCTTCTGGTCCTGTCTCTGCACAGTGTGCTAACATCTATGGTAGTTTGATTATGACCGTCAGTTCCGTATACATGTTTGCAGTTAGGAGTGGGGTCTCGTGAAGAGCCAAAGATACTGCAACAATCATAGGAGGCTGTGCCGTTTAAGGCGTAGGTGGTGAAGGTTTTGGTACCATGTCTGAGATTGTCTTATGCGATCTTGACTCCATTTGGCGGGAGTAATATCAACAGCTCAACATTTTACCAGGAACAACGGATAAGCAAAATGGTACTGAAGATGTGCAAAACATACAGCAGCAGGGATTCCCACGTGGTCACCCACCGTAGTACTAATCTGTCGTTCAACTGCTTATGTATGGCAGAGCGGACGGGATGCCCAGTTTTCAGCTGACTGTAGCCGTATGTGCTAGGATGATCATTACGACACAATAACATCCTGATAACCACCGAAAGATTTGATCTGTCCAGTCTGACCCTCCTTTCTGCTTCCAAATATGCCAACGATGCTCTATTGCTGAATCTCATTCATGGCCTTAACTCGAACCTGCTTGTGAAATTGTCCGGTCAGCGTCCACAACCTCCGTGCTATCTGCATTAAGGTCGATAGGCTCGTCCTCTTCCTCCGATCCATACTCCTCAATCAATCTTAGAGTCTCCAAGGAATACGGGCTCATCATCCTTTTACCGCGACGGGGTCGGATCAATGGGTCACTGTGGCTGAAATCCATGTCGACACAGATGCAGTCTGCCCATTGCATATCCTTGTCTGCAATCNNTTATCTCAAGAGTCAGGATTGAAGTCTTTCTTATAGCACAGGATTGATACTTACGCCTCTACATTTGCTGACTCCATCGAATGAGCCTTTGTTACCTCCTCATTCATCGCAATGAGGGGTATAAAGATCTTCGGGACAGCCGTCAGGTTGGTCACCGCCGAGATAGACCTTCTTCTGTGACACTGGCGGGACATCTTGAAGTTTCCTATCGGAGTTTGTTGCTGTCGCGTTTGTGTCTTTGTCCTTTCCTTTGAATCTATTAGTGGACACGTTCGTAGTTTCGACTATGACAACAAGATTGACCGCTCGCTCGGTATTTGGCTCATATCTCTTCAACACAGAAGTTGTATAGTTGCAACCAGAAGTTATCTCGAGGGTCGGAGGACAAAGATACGGTTTCAATGCGGTCTCGATCCCGAAAAATATCCCGAGCGGAAACGGTATTGACGGTACATATGCAGCTGCACCTCGAGAAGCGGTTGTGCAAAGTAGAAGGGCCAATGCTGCTCGGAAAGGCATTGTGCGCATGTTGAAGTGCTGATGCCTTTCGATGCGGGCTGATGCAACCTTTATATGTCAAAGCGGGCGTGTCGAACACGGACGTAGAGCTCAGTGATCATGAATAGCTAGCTTACCAATCGACTTTTGTCATCGGCGAACACCTGACAAGGTAGACAGGGCTCTTGCGATCGCAGGATTTGGGTCATCCATCCTAGGATCAAGGCGTGACAAGAAGTTGAACCAGAGAAAAATAGGCCTATGTTCAGAGGAACTTACCCGCAGTGACATACCTTGGAAGGAGTGCAGGCGAAGATACTTTGATACGTCTGCCACGACGTTGTAAAATCATTTTGTTATGGGTAGAACTGATGAGTTGCCTGGTTTCAGGTGGGAGCTGTCTTGTTGATTTATACTCATACTGCCGACCACAAGGCGGTGAAAGAGCCAAGACTCGGTCCCCGAGGCCGGTCGTGGGGCTTGGTGGGGTCGCTACTCAGCCCAAACACCTCGAAGCCCTCTTGCAGTTATATTGCGGCGGGGCTATAGAAGACGGCAGCGAACAATTTTCCCCTCTTCACCCCTTTTCTTGATACATATCATCAAGAACATTTCACACAATGTCTGCCGCCAAGAGAAGCCCTCCTTTCAGAGCCGAGCACGTCGGTTCGCTACTTCGTCCCGATGAGCTCGTTCAGAAGCGTTACGCTGTGGCCGCTGGCAAGGCTGATGCTTCCGAGCTGAAGCCCATTGAGGACAAGTCTGTCACTGAGGTTGTCAAGCTTCAGAAGGATTGTGGTTTCCATGCTATCTCCAGTGGCGAGTACACCAGGTATGTGCTCTTTCCTTTATTCAAACATTGCTCTATACATGCATGACATCACATCTTTCATTCATACCCATTCAACTCCTTCCTATCGAATATTCAGAGAATTGCACCATGGAGAAACACACTGTGGGAAATTTACGCGAGAACACGTAAGGATATCAATGGACGGTTTCTAATTCAAATGACACCAAAANGACACATGTTCTGGGGTACTTTCTTCGAGGAGCTTAACGGTATGGAGGATCGCCAACTCGGTGTCCTCAAGGGCTACGATGCTTCTATGTTCCGTGACTACGCACCCGATGTCAAGTCCTTCCTCGAAGCCAAGGAGATCCCCAACGCCGTGACTGTGTGCGTGAGCAAGATCAGCCACCCCGGCCACACCAGCAACGCCCGCGAGCTCGAAGTCATGAAGGCCAATGTCCCCGAGGACGAGTGGAAGAACATTAAGATTACCCTCATCTCTCCTTCTTGGTACCACTTCCGCTACCGTGCTGGACGCGCTTTCCCTCAGGAAGTCTACGCCAACGATGAGGAGTACTTTGCCGATGTTGCAAAGGCATACCAGACCGAGTTGAAGCTTTTGCACGACGCTGGTATCCGCAACATCCAGATCGACGACCCTAACCTTGCCTACTTCTGCTCTGAAGCCATGCTTACTGGCTGGAAGGCCGACAAGGGAAACACAAAGACTGCTGACGAGATGTTTGACGCCTACGTCAAGTTCTACAATGCCTGCTTCGAGCGTCCCGCAGACATGCATTTGGGTATTCATCTCTGCCGTGGCAACTACATGGGTAGTCGTCACTTCAGCGAGGGCGCCTACGACAACATCGCCTCCAAGCTATTCAAGGATCTCAATGTCGACACCTACTACCTCGAGTACGATACCCCTCGCGCCGGTGGCTTCGAGCCCCTGAAGCACCTTCCCAAGAACAAGAACGTCATTCTCGGTGTTATTACCAGCAAGTTCCCTGAGCTTGAGGACAAGGAGAAGATGGTGCAGCGCGTTTACCAGGCTGCTGACTTCATTGCCGAGGGCAGTGGTCAGTCGAGAGAGGAGGCTCTTCAGCGTGTGGGTGTCTCACCTCAATGCGGTTTTGCTTCCCACGCCGAGGGCAACTCGCTTGGCTACGAGGACATGCGCAAGAAGTTGCAGCTCGTCAGGGGCATTGCTGACCAGATCTGGCCCAGCCAGCCTTAAGAAGGAGCCTTTGTGGCAAAGCTCTCCTGTTTTCATCCTTTGCAAAAGGGCAAAAGCATTTCATTGTTGGACCATCTTCAACTTCTCTTTGGAAACTCCCAAATGTTTGGATGGGAGACCTATCACATCTTTTTGTTTCGATTTTTTGTTTATCATCGCAGTTCACGGCTATTCAACAAGCACCAGTCAAAAGATACCAACGACCTCTCACAAACATACTTATGTATATACCCAAAATATCTATCATCTTCAACATCTTCAATTGTCTCAGCTACAGATCTCCGAAGTCCCACCATTCATTGAACATCCTTCCTGAGTTTTGATCCAAGAATTCGGTAATGGCAGCAAGGTTTTGATCATTGAAGGCCATATAGTTCGGATCAGCCGGTGTGTGAAACTGCGCAACTCCAGGCATAAAGGCGGGTTGTTGGCCAGGCGTTGCAGGGATTGCAGACATAGTTGTGGCTGGAGTGGGAAGAGGAGGCCTTGCAAACGACGGGCCCACAGAACTCTGGAAGCCATCTGCAGGAGTAATGTTCTGGACTGTCGACTGAGTAGGTCGAGCCATGGAGGTGGCATCTCTGGTTGTAGTTTCATTGGGAGGCGCGGCGAAGTCTTTGCTGAAGAGGCCTTGGCCAGTAGCGATGGATCTGCTTGGCGAGTGAAAGATGAGGATGTCCCAGAGGAGGTCTTGCTTGCTGCCACTCGAAGCTGCGGGTTGGGGACTTGTAGAGCGACGTGATGTGTCCATTGCCTCGAGTCTGTCTAATGCTTTCCTCNNTGTGACTTGCGTCAGCTGCGTTGCTACTTCTGCGAGAGATTTTTATCATACCATGCGTTCGACGTTCTTTAACAGCGATGACAGTTCGCCTAATTCTTGTCGACCCTTGAATAGTCCCTTTTCCGCGTTCTGGCGAAGACTGGGTATCTCTGCATTGCGATAGTGTATGAACACTGTTATCGCGACTGAAATACAGTAAGCCAGAAACGGATCTGAGACGTTGACCTCCTTCTCCTCGAGTAGGTCCAAAAGACGAATGATCCAATTGGAGTGCACCACCACTTGATCCGAAGAGGACTGACTGAAAGTTCTAGGACAACGCCCAGCAGCAGCTATCCGCAACGATATGAGAAAAGGATGGTTTAGCAACATGTGGATCGTGTGATACATAAATTGGTTAACCAGCCAGCAACTCCAAAANGCCCAGTTCTGCTCAATGGCCTCTTTGGAGTGCTGGTTCATTTTCGTCCTGTCGAATCGGTACTCTGGGTAGAAGTTTGACTCCAACTCCAGTATATCGGCCTGGATCGCGGAATAGTCTGATTGCTGTTGCCATGGTGGGTGTGGAAGCGCACCATTTTTCGTATCTGTGACGTACTTCGCAGTCTTNTTGAATATGTCGAACATGGGCAGCGTATTGATGATTATGCCGGGAACGGGACCATCGGCCACGATGTTCTGCGAAGATGGCGATACCAGTTCTCCTTTTGAGGTTGCATTGGGACTGACTGGTTTGAAAGAAGCATGGTAAGTAATGCTCTTGGCGCCGAATGTTAGGGTTTGCAGGTTGAACATGTTCTCCATAATGGCAATGCTCCAGAAGCAGCGTCTTCGCTCTTCCAGTTCGACCGAATTATTGATCACCACCTGTGGGTCGAGAAGGCCAGATGTTTGAGCAAGAGAGATGGCGTTCACAAGGAAGAGATGCGACCGCTGCCCATTGTCATCTGTGNNATCATTAGCCACTGAACGGACGCAGCCAAAGGCACACATACTCGTAAAGTCCAAGAAAGACAGCAATACGAACGCTTGTATGGTACTCAGTCTGACTTCGCCAGCAAGAACTCTGCCCAAGGCTAGCTCTCTTGCACGGTGAGCATTAGCCTCGCACCAATCATCGACTTCTGGTCCTCGTGCATTGAGACGACCTGCCATTGCGAGGATGGCGAACTGGACTTCTGACCCTCTTGCCATGTAGTCCTTCTCCAAGTTTGGGTGAAATAACGGAATAGGTTGACAATTCCATTTCTTCATCAAGATAGGGACAGCAACCTCAAGGCGTGTGGGCTCATGTGGTATCTGAAGTCCTGACGGAGTAGTGCCTTCAGCCATCTCGAGGGACCTCCTTCTCGACGATGATACCCTAGGCGATGCTCGTGCGCTCTCGATATGAGACTCAAGGGGAGTTCGCGGGAGTATCGTAGGTGGTGTACCAGGTNNCTTCACGAGTCAGTGTCTTCATCATCAAGATACGCACATATCTACGAACATGGCTCTAAGAAGAGTTTCGAGTTTATTCTCCAATTCAGAAAAGCGAGCATTNCTTTACGTCTAGTCAGTATAATCATCAAGTGGCTTGTTTTTGCAGTACAATTTTAAGGACAAGTCTTTCGGTCCAGGCTGCGATAACAGACTTACCATTCGTCGCTCAATGGCGGCCGATCTGACCTCTGGCATTGATCCATCATCCGCGTATACACAAATCTGTTTCAACCTTGTGCAAAGAGAACACGCAGGCTTCTCTCCAGGACATCTCGACTTTTGCGACNNTATCCTCAACAATATCAGTTTCACGTCCGCAAAGTCTTTCGGTCGCTATACGAAGACGTACCGGCAGGCTTCACATGCTTGGGAGACACGCTTAGGAGGTCGCACGCTCTCGGGCGTTTGCTGCACACTGCTCTCCATGGCTATTGGATGGTGTTGAGGGACAGGGCGGTCCGGTGTGCCGGGCCCTTGTGTCTCTGTGTACGGGTGCAGGCCGGTGTCGCAGAAGATTGCTTCACGGCCCGCTTTGATCCGGTCAGAGCACGCCAAGCACAGAGGTCTCTTGCGACTTCCTTGCTCAAACCAGAAGCCGGGCCGGCTTCCGTCTCCCTTGGCTCTCTTATCGCAGGATTCATCATATGAGGACCCAGATGGCAGGGAAGAAGTTGAATATGGACGTCTGTGATTCGTCCCAGCGTCGTATGGTAGCAAGGAATGGTTATACGCAAAAATATCCCAACCTCTGGGGTCGGCTAGGATTCCGACGAAGAGATATCGAAATATCTTGCTTTGAGTCAGTTGCAAGAGTATGATATACTCTCTATAGTCACTCGCACACAACCGTCCAGAGTTCTCTAATTGTTCTTGAGCCTCATCCACTTATCTCATATACCTTTCGAGGACGAACTGTCCTGCTAAGAGACAGAAAGCAATCTGAAGCTTGTGAATACATCGTAAATCAGGATGGAGTCATCACAAAAGTCGCAACCAGCGACTGAAGCATACGAAACGGACGTCAAGGAGATACACGAGATCATCTGGAGTTCAACGAGCTCCTCGCGTGCTTCTCTCGATACATGTCGCGAAGAGGATGGCGCAGACAGCCAGAACGATCACACCGTAGCCTTCGCAGATCTCGAGCCTACGGCCTCCAGAAGCATCCCACCTCCACCACATTCGCAATCCGAATGGTTCGACTCGGACTATGAGATCAAATGGGAAGAGCACGATGTCGAGAACCCTAGGAATTGGTCAGTCTGGAGGAAGGCGCACACTATATTCGCTTGCACAATTGCAAGTTGCACAGTGTAAGTTTTCCGATAGCAATGTTCGTGGCTGGCACTAACCCACTGGATAGTGNTCTTATACTCATCTGCATATACCTCAGGCATCTCAGGCGCACACGGCATGACTGTGGAGCTTGGTGTACCTAACTCAACGATATCCCTTCTAGGCTTGACAACATACCTCTTCGGCATGGCTGCTGGAAGCATGATCTGGGCACCGTTGAGCGTAAGTCAAAGTGATACAGTCTTACTCAAGCATCTCTAACGCTTGTTCAGGNAAATGTTTGGCCGTCGTCCGGTTTACATCTCGACTTTGTTCGCGTTCATGTTCTTCATCTTCCCCTGCGCAATCGCCAAGGATATCTCGGCTGTAATTATATGTCGCTTCTTCGCTGCGATGGTCGGTTGTTCAATCGTATCAAACTCGCCTGGTACGATCAACGACATCTCGACAGATAAGCACAGGGCTTTGACCTTCAGTATCTGGTGCGCTGGGCTCATGAACGGGCCAGTCTTGGGTCCTTTGATCGGTGGTTTCGTGTTCGACAACCTGGGATGGCGATGGATCCACTGGATAACCTTGATACTGGCTGGAGTGTCTTTCCTGTTGATGGCAACAGTGCCCGAAACATACGGCCCTGCTCTCCTCAGGCGTCGTGCTGAAAAGAAGAGAAAGGAGACCGGTGACAACCAGTGGTGGAGCAAGCATGATGAGAAGCGACCATTCTGGCCTTTGCTTGGAGCATCGCTCTGGAGACCCATCTATCTTACCGCATCTGAGCCCATCCTCTGGTTCTGGGATCTCTACTTCTTGATCATCTACTCGATGAACTNNGTAAGTACAGCTATGGCGATAGTGTCAAAACATACTGAACCGTGAGCAGATTTGACTTTCGTAATTTACCCAAGAGCATTCGTGGGACTTCGTGGGTGGTCGATTGGCCATACTGGACTCTCATACCTCGGTATTGGTCTTGGTAACTTGTTGGTGATCGTATGCGAACCGCTTCTCAGAAAGATCATCCAAAGAAGGAAGCTAGATGCCAACGGCAAGCCAACTCCCGAGTCACCGGTGTTCATCGTATGTATCGGTGCGATCTTGGTCCCTATTGGAGGGTTGATGTTCGCCTGGACCTGCACACCGAACGTGCACTATATCTGGCCAATCCTCTCAGGCGTTCCTTTCGGAGCAGGCACAACAGCAACCTTTATATATGGATCAAACTACATTGGACGTAGTTACGGGATGTACGCGGCGTCTGCCATGGCTGGTAATGTGTTGACTCGCACTATTGCTGGTGGTACGCTTCCATTAGCTGGTCCTGCCATGTGGAATGCTCTCGGCCCACACTGGCAAGGAACACTCTTGGGACTGCTGGAAGTCCTCATCATCCCCATTCCATTTGTGTTCTACAAATATGGTCACCTGATTCGACTGAAGTCAAAGTTCATCAGCAGGATGGAGCAAGAAGCCAGAGGTGGAGAGAAGGGAGGAGCATAGATGGTAGATCATAGACTTAGACCTTAGAGACGAACAAAACGAAGCAATGAACACGAAGCTTGCAAGAGCAAGACACATACAAAGGAAGGAGCAATGGCGAAGAGGAAGAAGTGAAACGTCGAAGTTCTCGAAACATGTCAAGCTCAAAAGGCAGTGACGACCCCGCAGTCCAACACCAACGCGCTTCCGTCACTTTTTGGTCAAGACGCTCGAGTCGTCGACGATCGTGGCGGCGCATGCCAATCAATTCTTAGATCAAAGCACGACAAAGACTCTACTCGTACACATGGCCGACGGAAAACCAAAGCGATCACTTTTCAAACGTCCAACGTGGGCCGCGGCCACACCGACCGCTGCTTCAGCCTCTCCCGACCCGACATCAAAACCAGAAGAGCCGACAGACATTTTCAGCCATTCGCATACATTCAGCGAGCTCGTCGAGGACCGCCAACGTCAACGCCAGCGTAAGAAGAGTGACAAGGATATTCTGAGGCGGAGTCAGACCAGCGAAGCCAAAGATGAGGAATCGCGAGCGGGCAAGCGCCGGCGCATAAGTGATGAGGACGGCTCCGATCTACCTACCAAGACCAAACCCAAGGACACGGATAGGAAGACTTCAGTACAAGCATCTGCTGGATCAGAAAGCTTTGCAATAGCGCCTACACCACAAAAATCACGACCGCGAAAAGAGACGGTAATAGAGCTGCTGGACGATTCGGACGACGATGCGCCTGTGAGCCACAACAATGTCTCCAATGGCGAGGCTCTTTCAAACGCCACAAGTCTCGAACCTACACCTGCCGCAGAAGCAGACCCGGATGCTGACGAGGACGCCGTGTATTACTCCGATCCAGATATACGTGAGATCGCCCGTAAGGCCCGCGAGAAACGACGACAAGAAGAGCAAGAGCGAGATGGAAGTGGTGTTCATGATCCAACTGTCAAACTGCTCATCACGTCACCATTACCTGGTACTGGACCTCTTATCGTTTCCCGGAAACTATCGCAGAACCTCCAGGCTGTGCGAGAGGCCTGGCTGAGTAAGCAGCCACTGGAGCCCTCGACCGCTAGCCGTGTCTTCTTCATATTCAAATTACGGAGAGTGTACGACGTGACTACTGTCCGCAGTCTGGGAATCAAGGTGGACTCCTATGGTCGTATTATGGCCAACGGACCTTTCGCCAACACGGACGACGAGCATGCTGAGAAGATACATATCGAGGCTGTGACGGACGAAGCATGGCAAGACCTCAAAGACAAGAAGGCTGCGAAGGATGCACCAAAGCCGAACAAGTACCTGAGCAATGCCGTAGGCGCGAATAGCAGGAACGGCAGTACGGAAGGCACACCTGCCGTTGATGGCGAAGCAGTTGTCGAGGAACCACTGATCAAGGTCACGCTAAAGGCAAAGGGTCACTCAGACATCAAGATCAAAGTGCGGCCGGTATGTTTTATGCCCTTGATCACATCACATACATCTTGGCTACGCTTACTTACTTATATTCGTAGANGTACGACATTTGTCAAGATGATCAATGCAGCACGACGAAGTTTCAAGCTCGATGATGCGCGGGTTGTTCATCTCGAGTTCGATGGTGAGAGATTGGAGCCGCCGGAAGGGCTGGTCAAGGATACTGATATCTCGGACATGGATTGTATTGACGTTCACATTAAGTGAAGAGTGGTGTTCAAGTTGTGGTGGAATGGTGTTATAACGGATGTTTCGTTTCCTCTCTTCTAGCGAAGGCGTAAGGTTTTGGGCATTGCCAGGTGGATGGCACGTTTTGGGCCTTTGAACAAGAGGCTCTGTTCTTATCAATCCTGTTGTCGAGACTGCTTCTTCGATCATCTTTCGCACTGACTTCGATGCGTGCAGTTCAGCAAGGCTCAATGTCCCTCCTTCTTAAGTGGCTGTGAGGCTGCCGCGCCTTTTCATGTCTTGTTTGCCCGATTTCGATCCTCGCGCCGCAGGTGCGCTCAGTCTGTCTGCAGCCATGTCCGCTAAGGACCCCCGTCCGTTTTATGGTATGCCAACTCTCGATTCCTGCCCCTCAAGTCTCTTGTATGCACAGAACCATTCTTTACTGCCAAATATCTTCTTTCCTTTGCGGCCCAGTTCTCTTCTTCTCCGATATACATCTTAGACCAAATGACTCGGCAGCAAGAAGTTGGCAATGCCCTCTTTGACAGCATACTCGTGTCCGCAATGTCCACAGACTAATTTTCCATTACTCACACTCGTTTCCACGAGCAGCGAATGCAGATCTCTAAGTGTTTGTGTGGGTTCCTTTGTCGTTTCGTCCATCAAGTCTGATTCCTCTGGTGCTGTTTCGGGCAGAGTGGGGAGACCGAGNCTGTAGTTTTCCAAACTTGTCAGTACTGACTGAACCTTCCCATTTTTGTTCTTTTTGAAGCGCTTCTGGGAGACAAGACACACCTCTTCGCCTAGACTCCTGATGGCCTTCCATTCCAGACGCGGCAATACGTTGACCAGGAACTCGGGGTTCAATTCCATCTCTACGCGCTCCAGCTCTGCGTCGCGTGGGTGCAGGGGAAAGGCAGCGGGTTCTTGTTTGCAGGCCTTGCGGGCGCAGGTGAGGAAGTTGAGGGTGAGGAGCTTCATTCTTGCTGGTGTTCGCTCTCAACTATGTTTGTATGAGAAGATTCGAATCTGATATCTCGGGAAGAGTTGGTATGGTAGATGCGACAGTGTAGTTTGGTGTATTGGTTTAGTATTGAGAGCGACTTGTGGTGACGATGGGTCTGGGCCAGATGCGGAGATGAAAAAAGATGCAAGGGTTTCGGGTTTTGGACGCGGAGTTTAGAGTCGAGTTCAAGAAGAGCATGTGAAAGCACTCCTCTGAGCAGCATCGTATACCATTTGAATAATCGCTCAATTCATGATTTCGGTCTTGCCATAAAGGATTCATAGTTATGCCGTATCTAATTGATATATCTGCATTACTTTTCGTGAAATGTGATGGTGATGTTTCGAAATGTCTGTGTTGATAGGGAAGCCCTGGCTTGCTTGTCTCGAGCTCAGTTGGACCTTGCGCGCGTCAGCTCTCGCATTCATATTCTCGTCTGTACCATCGTCTGCAGCAATGCGAAATGTTTTGGACAAGCTAATACTTGAGTTGTAATATTCCCATCGATCGATATGTGGTCGGGACTTTTCATGTTGCTCGTCTTGAGCACCATCATGACAATCGCGTAATTGACCACCCCATCCCTCTGTACTCACAAGCAACCCAACAACTGACACAACCGAATCAGTTCCTTCCTCGCTGGATCCTTACCGTTATCATTCTCCCTCTCCCAACGGCAGCTTCGTTTGACCACGGCAATTGGCACTGGTGTCCTAGTAGGGACCGCCCTCATCGTTATCATCCCTGAGGGCATCGAGACACTGTACAGCGCGCGCGAAGTTGGTCATACCCACGCAGCAAGATCGCTCTCCCTAGATTCTGGAAGCCAGAATGCGCTGTCTGAACTGCTGCCTCTTGACTTGTCATACCCCGATATTTCAACTCTTGACTTAAACACCAGGGATACCGACTTGACTGGACCTGATGATGGACGCCCAGAGGACGGACAACCTTCTTCACAAGAGCTCGATCACAAGACAGAAGAACACAAGGCCGAGGATCACGATGATTGGGAGCCTCATGCCTGGATTGGAGTCTCGCTAGTCCTGGGCTTTGTCTTGATGTACCTCATCGATCAATTGCCTCGTCACGCGGCAGCTTCTTCTCAACCGCAGAGCTTCCATATCGCGCTGGATCGCTTCAACCTCCAGAGATCAACAAACCAAACTTCTGAAGCTGAAGACTCTGATGGTCCACCGCCTGACCCCATGCAAGAATCACGTCCTTCCTCGACTACTGTAGGTTTGGTGATCCATGCTGCTGCAGACGGCATCGCTCTCGGAGCCTCGTCAAGTGCTTCTTCGCGAAGGTTGGGCTTTATTGTCTTTGTCGCCTTGATGATACACAAGGCTCCCGCCGCGTTTGGCCTGACTTCAGCATTGCTCAAGCAGGGACTTTCTAAGAGGAGAGCACGAAACCACCTTATTGTGTTCAGTTTGGCCGCTCCAATCGGCGCATTGTTTACCTGGGCCCTCGTCAATATATTCGAGGGAGGAATTGGCCAGAGCGAACATGGCACTCGTTTCTTCACCGGACTGCTACTGTTGTTTTCGGGTGGTACCTTCNTTGTAAGTTGAGGTCACTTCCAAACGTTTTCTTTGCCTTGAGACTAACAATCAAACAGATACGTAGCAATGCATGCGATGCAAGATACGAAACACGGTCACGACATGGGAAATGCTACTCCCAATGGCTATAGCGACCCGAACGTGTACGATGGGTATCAGTCAGCATCAAACAAGCAGGAAGGTCCTGTGCTCAGCGACACGCTGGCTGTAGTAGGTGGAATGTTGCTTCCACTTTTGACACAAGTATTCGGGCATGGCCATTGATCTCGTCACGATAGACTACCACTTGGTATTTGAGTCTCACGATCTTTCGACAAAACTAGTATCCTTGTGAGAATTTACCTTGCGCTTTCAACCTTGCGACTGAATTAAACTGTCTTGTTGATCAACGGACGTCACAATAAGCACCTGGCTGAAGCCTTGGTAAGAGACATAGGCTTCATGAGACCGAATATTCGGGTGTAATTGAACGAGAGAGGTCTCAGTACACAGTGCATGGGATGGCTGGACAATAGCAACGGTATGGGTGGAAGCTGGCGGTATTGGTTTGCTGCATGCACGGCCGGTAGATAACAGCGCAAGGTGGAGGAGCTCAACGGCTGGATAGTCTGGACATGTGAACGAAAGCGGAATGCAGGCGTGACTCGAGCGATGTCCCTGTTGACTGAAGATGGTATCAGGCAAGTCCGACGACGTGAACGAGGCTCGGACATATGGTCACAGTCAGTAGACTCGTGATTTTTTAAGATGGGATTTGACTTTGGCATAATAAGGCTCTTCACGTCATGTACAGATTCCGAGTTGGGGCAACCTAGAACGGTGCCTTGGCGGGCGCCGACCGTTTGCAACTGATTGTTGTCTCTGCCACAGACGAAGTGCTGAGATCGATGTTGGTCAGGCAGAGCTGGAGCACAAGAGGACGAAACGAATATTGGAAAACGAGTCAGCAGCAATATAGGACTCATTGTTTTGGGGCAGCAAATTGTAGGGCAGGCTTATTGTTCAGGCGTGCTGGTCGTGTTTCAGAGTAACCAGCACCTCTTCAGACTTTCCTGGCCTCGACTATCTTAGTCTGCATTGCGCAACCAGTCCATTTTTCCTACTCTCTCCGGCACAACCACCCTTTCCGCAAGACTCCCCAGTCGCATCCATTCTTTCATCAGACCCCCGCCAGTCTTGGTCCCACCTCGATAAACACTGTGCCTCGTTGATCGCCATCGTCCCCGCCAACCCGCCATCCGATCGCAAATCCGCCCGACCACGAGGGTTGACAGCGCCCGAGCCAGCACAGGAGCGACGCACGCCTGCACAACATAGAACAACATGGAGGATCCCTCCGACTGGCATCCTTCGTATCCGCAGACCCAGCGTCCCTTGTCCATGCCTGTCGAATACGACCCTGAAGCCGCGTCGGGCAGCGAAGCGCGCATCTTTGGTCAGCGTCATCACAAGCCCCAGACTTCCGTCTCGCGACCCTCTTCAACCAGCGTACCTATACCGATCCCATCAAATCCAAATGTCATTCCTGGAAATCTACTCCCGTCAGCGCCTGCTTCTCCACCGACCCCGGCTCCGTCTCCAACGCCGGGCCGTCGTCTTCCCAGCTGGACCTCTACGACGGCACCATCGCTTGATTTGCATATGGCCGAAGATGGGGACCTGGACGATGTTGACAGTGAAGGCACGTTTAGCGTAGACAAAGGGTTGAGATTCAGGCATATGAAAACCATGTTTTCCGACATGGACAACGACGAACGCAAACGCATCCTAACAGAGCTGTTGGCGAATTGTGACGGAAAACTATTGGGTTATGTTGCCAATTTTGTTGCACCAAGACTAAAGAGAGATCCTNTTGGCGTGTTGCCTAACGAACTCTGCCTAAGGGTATGGATTCTCCTCTTGTTTGGCACCATATTCGTTCTAATGTGACTGCAGATACTCACATTTATCGATGATGCCAAAACGCTTGCTCGCTCATCGCAGGTTTCANAAAGATGGCACGAGCTGGTCAGCGACGATATGGCTTGGAAGAGCCTGTGCGAGAAACACGCTTATCGCCGCATGTCGGATGACACTCCTTCGACTAATACCAGGCAACAACATTCATCACCCTACGAGCCGTCCCACTCGGGTTCGTCTCTCAGCTTCGCCACTCATGCTCTGCGCATACATAACCCCGCACTTGCCAGCTTCAGCACTTCGACACCTGACTTAAGTCGTGTCAAGAGTCTTGATAGAACAACGTCTGCTCCCGTCCTGCCTTCTGCAGCCATCCGCCGACGACCACAGGCCATGACTTACCGCTCTCACTTCAAGCAAAAGTACCAGGTCGAAACCGCCTGGCGGACTGGCGGCAAGGTCGACCAAAGACAGATTACACCGGACCAAGGTGTTGTGACCAGTTTGCATCTTACTGACAAGTACATCATCGTTGCTCTGGACAACGCGAAAATTCACGTTTTCGACACCGAGGGCAAGCACTTGAGGTGTCTACAAGGCCACGTCATGGGCGTATGGGCCATGGTACCTTGGGGTGAGACTTTGGTGTCGGGTGGCTGCGACAGAGACGTCCGCGTTTGGAACATGGCGACTGGGTGAGTGGTTTGCGTCGTCTTGATGATCCGGATCATAACGCTAACTGTTCCCGATAGACAACCCATTCACATGCTGCGTGGTCATACTTCTACTGTTCGTTGTCTGAAGATGTCAAATGCCACCACCGCTATTTCTGGTTCTCGCGACACCACCCTTCGCATCTGGGACATTGAAAGGGTCAATGCAAACACGTGCTCATGGGTCATCAAGCAAGTGTTCGCTGCCTCGAGATCCACGGAGACCTGGTTGTATCTGGAAGTTACGACACCACGGCGAGAATCTGGAGCATCAGCGAAGGTAGATGTCTCAGGACATTGCAGGGACACTTCAGTCAGATTTATGCAGTCGCATTCGATGGAAAGCGTGTCGCTACAGGCAGTCTTGACACTAGTGTTCGTGTGTGGAATGTTGCGGATGGGTAAGCACACCTCGATACAACCAGTTGAAGAAGAAATACTAACGTTCTACAGCAAATGTCTGGCAATCCTCCAGGGCCATACTTCTCTCGTTGGCCAGCTTCAGCTCCGTGGTGACACTCTTGTGACTGGCGGCAGCGATGGCAGTGTTAGGGTCTGGTCATTGCAGTCCTACACACCTATCCATCGTCTTGCCGCACACGATAACAGCGTGACGTCGCTGCAATTCGATGAGTCGCGCATTGTATCTGGTGGGTCTGATGGCCGCGTCAAGGTCTGGGATCTCCAGCGCGGATGTCTTGTACGAGAACTTGGACAACCTGCTGAAGCAGTGTGGCGTGTTGTGTTTGAAGAGGAGAAAGCAGTCGTGCTTGCATCCAGGCAAGGCAAAACAGTCATGGAAGTTNTGAGTTTCGCCCCGCCGGAGGACGGAAACACCAGCAGCACCGCGTCGAGCCCTGCCGTCGTCTCCAAGCCTATGCTACCTGCTAGCGAACCCTCGCCAATGCATATATCAGATGCACCGGCATCTGATGATCAGGTCGAGGACACGATCATGACAGACGAGACTCCACGTGATAATGAGGTCTCTTCACCAGTCACATCATCATGACATTGCTTCTTGGTTTGAGCATGACACGGCATTGAAAGCAACTTACGAGTAATTATGGGAAGCATAGGCGCAGGGAGCTCAGGAGACCAACCGACTTCAGGAAGGGTAGAGGGTAACGAGAGTCAGAGGATGCACAGAGTCTGGCCTTCCTCTCATTGTGCTCACGGCGTTTTTGGGATTGATCTTATATTGGCATGGCGGATCATGGGTGAATCGACAAGGCAATCATTTCGGAGAACAAGAAAGGGAAAAGGAGTATATGGTGTTTTTCTTGACAAACGTTCCTTCATCACAGCAGTAGACTCATTAGCGAAGCATTACTTTTCATTATATGCATCATTTCGATTTTTAGAACAAAATTCGGCAAGGCCAGAAGTGATGGTCGTTAGAACAATGCTCGGTCAACAAGTCTCTCAACACATGTTTATCTCTGCATGGCTGGCGAAAAGCGGTACTGATGTGGTTGGGAAAGTGATAAGTCGGCGCTCGGTAGAAACGGCATGCGGGTCCGACGAACAGCCCTTGACATCATCGCCGTAGCATCCGGGGGGAAGGAGCAAGGTTGGAGAGCACCCCGTTCCAGTCAAGATACTTTTGTTTCTGCTCTGAGGTTGCTTTCTTTTTAACTTCTTACTCTGTTGCTTCCCATCTCCGCTCTTGTCTCGTGCCTGTCTTCTTTGGACTGTTGAAGTTGTTTCAATTCTTGTCAATTGTTCTGCGACGACTTGCCAGGCTCTACCATTACATCATAGCTGTATAGCTCTCTTCTTCGGACGCAACAACAACAATGGTTCAAACCAAGCCTGAGGCGCCTGGCGCTGTTACCCCCAAGAGAAACATTGAGCTGTTCTCTGGTACTTACTTTGCTGCTTGTACATTGGGCGGTATCATTGGTTAGTGGTTTGCTACATGTCGAGCAAGACTTGCAACAGAAGCTAACGCGTTTCTGCCAACAAAACAGNCTTGCGGACCTACCCACACAGCAGTGACACCCCTCGATCTCGTCAAGTGCCGTCGCCAAGTAGACAGCAAGCTCTACTCATCCAACCTGCAAGCCTGGGGCACCATTTTCCGCAAAGAAGGTCTGCGTGGAGTCTTCTTTGGCTGGTCTCCCACTTTCATCGGATACTCCTTCCAAGGCGCTGGAAAGTACGGAGCCTATGAGTTCTTCAAGTACACCTATGGCGAAAAACTCTTCCCCAACACCAACAAGACTATTGTCTACTTGGGAGCCTCTGCCACTGCTGAGGCCATTGCCGATTTGTTCTTGTGTCCGTTTGAGGCACTCAAGGTGCGCATGCAGACTACCCTGCCTCCTTTCGCCCACAACCTGCGCGAGGGATGGGGTAAGGTTGTTGCTCAGGAAGGCTATGCCGGTCTCTACAAAGGTCTTTACCCTCTCTGGGCCCGCCAAATCCCCTACACCATGGTGAAATTCGCAACCTTTGAGTCTGCAGTCGCTCAAATCTACAAACAACTCGGCAAACCCAAGGAAACCTATGGCACCTTGGCACAAACCGGCGTTTCGTTCTTGGGTGGTTACATTGCTGGTATTGGGTGTGCTGTGGTGTCTCACCCTGCAGACGTCATGGTTTCCAAACTCAACAGTGACAGAAAGGCTGGTGAGGGTGCTGGCCAAGCTGTCAGTAGAATCTATGGCCAGATTGGCTTTAGAGGCTTGTGGTCGGGTGTGGGTTTGAGAATTGTCATGATCGGTACGTTGACCGCTTTCCAGTGGTTGATCTACGACTCTTTCAAGGTTTCTATTGGTCTGCCTACTACTGGTGGTCACTAGAATTCCCAGAAAAACTCGATGGCTTTTTTTTCTCTTTTTCGTTTTTCTTCTTATATAATGTTTTTACGATCTCTGGGATCTTGGGGAGTTGCAAGCGGTTGGGCGTTCAAAGGTCTCTCGGATATAGAATCTAAAGAAATGCTATGAAACCTTCTTTCAGCAAATTCTCCTTCCTGAGCTGTTATGTTGATGACATTGCCCCTGATATCGGTACAAGATCGTTCTGCATAGCTGCTCCTATAAGAATAATGTCCGCATTCGGTAAGAGAAACAATAATACCAATTTACCGACAAGAGAGTTCCTACCGAGCTCAAAGATACTGTTTGGCATTTTATTCTAGACTCCGTCTTTGTTGCAAATGAGACACAGATATTGGATAAAAGGAAAGAAGCACTCAGCACAGTGTTTGAGAAAGCATAGAAAGGAAAAAATTGCTTTTTTCTTGTGCAAGAAATGCCTTCTATCTAGGACAAGATCTTGTTCTAGAGCCTGTCCTTTGCTGAAGATATCACAAATGTTGGCACAGGACTTGAGAAAGTATTGGAGAAAAGATTTGCTTTTTGTGTGCAAGGTTTGCTCTCTCTATCTAAGGAGAGAAAAAGAAGCACGTATTACTGAGGGCGGTCCTCTAAAAGGATACTCGCACCTCGTTCAGGGAAGAAAAGGTCTATAGATGAAGGAAGAAGATGCAAAAACGAAAAGAGGTATAGGAGGGGAAAGGGTAATCTCGACGCCTGATGCCATGCCATGAGTTGCAACGAAAGTCGAAAGAAAAAAGAGGTCCAAAATGAAAAGTGCGCCACACCCAAAACAAAGAGTCGTAAAAAGAGTCCGAGAAGCAAGAAGGAAGTCAGAGGAGAAGCCAAGTCTACTTGAGCTTCTTGGTCTCAGGTTCGTAGCTTCTATCGTCCTCACCCTCGACCTCCTTGACAATGTTCTCCATCTCCTTGACCTGGCGTTGCCACTCGGCTGTGCCCATCTTGGTCTCGCGGCGGAAGAGCTCGTCATTGGGCTTGCGGTAGCTGCCACCAAGACGATCCCAGAGAGTGGTGAATTGTCCGTAGTTGTAGTTGAAGTACAGGTGGTGCATAGTGTGGCAGGCGGCGCCGTTGATGATAGGGCTGTTGGCGACGTATTCACCGTCGTGGATCATGACGGTCCAGATGTTGATGAACATGAAAAGAGCAATGTAGGCGAACTTCTGCAGCGGGAAGATGAAGGGGAAGACGTGGTAAGGCAGCGATTGAGCGTAGCCGTCGAGAGGGTGGAAAGCGTGCGAGGCGAAAGGCGAGGGCATGATCCACTTGTGGTGAGGCTTGTGCAGCTTCTTGTAAACCATGGGGTGGTGCAGGCCACGGTGGATCCAGTAGACGAAAAAGTCGGTGAAGCAGACGAAGAAGGGGAACTGGAGAAGCAAGTACCAGCCACCGAGGTTCCACGATGAACTCTCAGGCAAAACGTCGTAGATGTTCGAGTAGCCACGAACCTCACCCAGGAACCATGGAACGGTCAGAGCAGACATGATGGGCATGGCTTCGAGAGCCTGGCGGATTTCGAGGCGCATCTGGTTCTTGAGGAACTTGGGGTGGTGTACTGTTGTCTTGTCGAAGACGAAGATGTATGAAAGACCGGCGCAGATGAAGTAGTTCAGCAGACCAAAGATCCTGTAAAGTTGTTAGTCTGCGACAAGGTTCATATACTGAATAGTCGCAAAGGCGTACCATGTGATAAGGAACAAGGACACAGCCTGTCTGGCAATGTTGTCTCGTGGCCATCGGCTCATGTAGGCGTATGAACTAGGCTCGACCGAGAAGTATTGGCTCGCAGGCTCGAATTTGTAGGGGGTAACACCACGGGCCATGGTCGACCAGGTAGCATTAGGAGAAGAAGCAAAGTCACCGACGGTGCTCATGGCCAACATTGACGACGTTAAAGGCAGAACGGTCGCGTATAGTCGATCGAACGCGTATGTGTCGAGTACCTCCAGTATCACATCCATCTTTGCGGTTTTGCTGTGTGGCGCTGTTTTGAATGTGCAAGTCTTTGATTGTTGATAGGCGAGTAGAAAGGAGATGAAAGGGTCCAGGCGGCTCCTGAGCAAAAAAGATTGTGTTTTTGGGCGTGAAAGCAGAAGGTGCAATAGCCGGTAAAGAATGACAGGCGCGTGAAGCAATTGAAAAGAACGACTTGTTTATCTATCAGAAGAAGCAGAGAGAGCGAGCGTGCTGCGGAGCTCGGAATCAGCCCACAAAAAATCGAACCACAATCAGAGGCAAATGAGGGATCAGTGGGGCCTGGCCGTCCGGTGAGAATAAGGAGCAGAGTTTGTTGTGTCAGGGTTCCTTCCGCTCCTGCCCGAAAGAGCTAAAATCGGCAGGGTCGCTGTCTGCCGCTGTCAAGTTCCATCCGAGCCTCTTCTCCTTAGTTCCAACAGAACGCCTCTTCTTGAGCCCCTTCCGAGCCCCTGCCATCAACTTTAACGCGACGTGCTCGCCTTGTCAACCAGACAATCATGCTTTTTTACACGCGACTCCCGCAGTCTGCCCAGTTTCATGGCGCCAGTTTCGAGTCTGAGCACCACAGGAAGCCGTCTGTCTTTCCATCATTGCGACCGGCAGCCAAGCGCTGTCAGCTCTCTCCTATCGTCTCATCTCTCAAACACAACGCTCATATCTCGGATCCACGGAGATTAGAACTCCCGAGCAGCCTCGGTGACCTATCCGCAGTTCCCTTTGTTGTTACCAATCACCAACCATGTGTCTGCCACGGGCAACAAGGGTTATTGTGCTTCTTTCTTCAGTCGCTGATACAAGCCGCTTTCACATCATAGAACACTTGAATGATTTTATTCATGATCGCCCTCAAGGACGTACCGAGAGCATCTCTTAATAAGCAAAGCGCCATGACTAGTATTGGCGCGCATGGTATCATCATCTTTCCCCTCTCGCGCCGCGCTGTAAGAACAAAGAAACCCATAAACCAGCAAATGATACGCCCCAGTGAATGCAACCGCATCCTAGCTTTTCCTCCTTGGTGCCCTGTTGGTACAAGACGCCATGCTCGCCGTATGTCGTTAGCTGCTGTCATTAAATCAATCGAGACGTTTCCCTAGCCACCTCAGCTCCTGGATGGGCTGTTGCTGTAGCTTTGTGAATCTCTATAGGGGCCGGACCAGGTTGGTGCCCCAAACGGCCAAGGTAATCTTTGATCTTGTGGTAATCCTCCATTCGGTTGGGGTGCTTTGATCGGAGGTAGTGCAAGAGTGTCGCCAGGATTCATTGGTGGTAAGCCAGATCCTACTACGTTAGACGGTCTGTTGGCCAAGTCAGCAAACCTGCCATCTTGAAGACTCGCCGGAGTGTTATAGGAAGTGTTCTGACTCGTGTTGGTGCGTTTAGCTGGCCGTGGGGGTTCATCCTCATCGTCCGATAGGGTCAAGTCAATGACTGCTGTGGAAGGGCGCTTGGCGCTAGGTCGAGGTGCGACTGTCGATGCTTCGCGTGAGACAGGCGGTGTTTGTTGTGCAAGAGCTGGAGTGGCCGAATTGCCCTCGGTCTTGATCTTTTCTACTGCTTCAGACTTCTTGGGCGTGTCCTGGATCTCGATAATGTCATCGTCACTATCGTTGTCATAAGCTGCCCGTGCCTGAGTCTTCTGACGGTTGTTGGTATCATCTCCATGGTCAACTGCTTTCCACTGTCCATCAGGCTCAATCGTGACTTGATCGACAGAACTGGAGGTGTTCTGCAGAATGTCCTGTACGTAATTGTCGACACACAAGCTCTGGTAGGAGAGAGTCTTGTTGCAGACAGGGCAAGTCCAAGTTGGCGCCTGTTCCTGGAGTTGCAAGAAGTATGAGCCATCGAAGCACTGGTTGTGCGAGCAAACATTGGACCTGCAAGGGATGTTGATGCGCATGGTTGAGATGGGGTCCTTGAGAGACATGACGGTAGAAGTAGCAACGATGTCCGGGTCTGATGCCTTGGCAGCCACTNNAGAGTATGTGATTAGTTTTGCATGATGTAGAAGCAAAAGTTTGAGAAACGCACTTTCTCGAAGCACAGTGTCTTTGGGAATCCTGCTCCCCGTTTGCTTAAGACGAGTAGCGAGGTCGTTTGCAGATGTCACCTTGACAAGGTTGACCATAAGAGAAAATCGNCTTCAGATCGAGTCAGCAGACGCGTAAGAAAAGTTGGTTTAGAAGATGGACAAACGCACTTCCTTCGTGAGCGCATAAGTCACGTGGATGATGTTCGGATAGTTGGAAGCCTTGCGGATGAGATCGGTAATGTCGACAGGTTTGGTGGTACCGGGCTTGTTCTTCAAGCCCTTGAAGCTCTTGCGCACTTCGTCTCCGTTGATCTTGACCTCGATCTGACTCGGGAAAGCTATGTCAACGTTGAAGGCGTAAGGACCTAGAGTCGAGGTAGTTGCGCAGTAAAGCATGATGCGCAGAGATGGGTCGGCCTTGAGGGATGTACAGATGGCTTCACTAAGATAGACCTTTTCGTCTAGAGAATGACGGTTGTGTGGCATTTCTNNGGAACTCTTGCGTTAGTCTGGTCTGATGACTAGAACTTGTTAAGATGAAGATGTGTAGGTACCTGACAATTCTTTGGTCGCAGTGAGAGCTTCTCTGATTTGATAGAAGGGGCTTTCTCTGAACTTGACCGAGGCACGAGAAGGAGCAGCCGCACGCGCCGCCGGAGCCTGATGGTATTGAGGCAAGCCGGCGGGCCTTGGGTAGGCAGGCATGCCAGCGGTGGTATGCGAGGCTGGAGAAATGGGAGTGGTGGTGTCGCGGGCTAGCGAAGACTGATGACTTTGTGCTGGAGGAGTGCGACCTTGGTGCTCGGCGCGGTAGCGCAATCGCTCGAGTGCTTCTAAGTCGTTCTTGCGGAGGTGATGTGCGATGACNTGGTGGGCGAGTTGTTAGCGCGGCGCGCGGGTTGTGAAAGTGGATGGACTCGTAGTATGATTACCTTCAGAAATACGCTTTTGAAGAGCGGCCTTCACACCAGACACCTGGAGACCCTCTTGACGGCAGATCTCCTTCAGGTCATTGTTGATGAGTGATTTTATTTTGCGGTCCACGAAAGACGCGAGGTCTCGAAGACGTGTGGGATCGCTTGCCATCTCTTTCAATCGTGCCTGCTTGTCTTCATGCAGTGTCTTGTGCTGGGGTAGTTGCCAGAGGAAGTCGCGGGAGATGCAGAGATTCGAACCCCGTCAAGAATTCTAGCTGATGAACTTCGAAGCACTTTTCCAGGATACCGTATCGTCGGAGAGAGTAAGTGAAGGCAGAGTGCTCATGTCCAAGTGAGGCGATTGGAACGGGCGGCTTCTAGAAGTGAACTGGTCGCAGAAGGCACAGTATCTACAGAACCGACATGGATACAAGTGACGACTACTTTATGCGCCAGTGCTAAGGGAACGACATTCACGGTGCTTGGATAGAAGCATTGTCCTTGTTCGACGAGGGCAGACTTCACCAAGTCGGGCAAACATCTTTCGGCCTTCTGGAAGAACGTGACCGTGCGTGCGTCTACCTGGAAGTAGTGACGAGCCAGAAGTCCAAAGTCCGGCCCGCCAGAATCCATTGCCCAATGCGGCGACCTTCAGCGTGGCGCAAAAGACGAGGCTTGGAAGTTGGCCCTCGACGAGGAGTCATCCTGCTGTTGCAACATTATTCATAGCAACAACCTGCAACTAACTCATCCTTGTTCCTTGCATCACAGACTGTCCAAATACAGAGTCACTTGCTTGTGGTTTCACACGCGACCTTAGATTCTCGAAAACTAGAATCACCAGACCCTGCACGTCTCAGCAGGTGCAGCAGCTGCCTTTCAACAGTCGCCCGATCGTCCTTCTCCGCACGTTTAAGCGACTGCCCGCCGACCCGCTTTCTTGTTCCATTCCAAGAGAATTTATCTCTTTCTTTCACCGCAATCTCGCACACAACAACCACACTTCACACAGCAAAAATGGGCAAAGGTCTACGATCAAGCGTCAACAAGACCAACAACAGAAAGCTCAAGAAGAATGTCTTTGGCCCCGTCGAGACGGCCCGCACAGAGCGTCTGTCGCAAAAGCTGCTCGAATTAGCCTCCCAGCCAAAGGCTCCCAAGTCGGACATGGAAGTTGAGGAATCAAGTGGTGAGACCTCTTCTCGTCGCGACACACATGTCTCCAAACTGACATTGTCACCCACAGACTCGAAGCAGGCCGAGTCCGAGGCCAAGGCCACCAACGCAAATGGTGCGTTAAATGCTCTTGCAATCCCGGTGCCAAAGTCGCTCGCCCATCAATGTCCTGCTACTGCTGCTGCCTCGATGAACATGCTCACACCTCCACCTACCCCTCCGCTCGACATCTCCGACTTCAGCAATCCCTCTGTCAGATCTGCACATCGACGCTATGCCGACGAACAGCTCTTCTTCCACCTCCTGGGTGTTTCGACCGACATTCACGGCTTCGACTCCTCTGGCAACATTTGTTTAGGTTTCGGATCCGACTCTGAGAGTGATAATGAGAGCAGCAGCAGTAGCAGCAGCCTTGGCAGCGGCTATGAGTGAGCCAGTTGACTGTCTGAACGAGGCTAACCCGCCTTTTCATCATCAGACACCGCAATGGACGTCGACTTGACCAACGCTCCCAGAACAAGCTGGATCAAGGCCGAGAAGAGAGCCAAGGAAGAAAAGCGCAACCGCATCGCAAAGAAGCAAAAGCGCAAGGTCATCAACCAAATGACTTTCAAGAAGAACCCTCGTACCGGAAAGAAGTGAGAGGCATCGCCACATAATTTTCACGCTTCGGGGTAACGAGACGAGTTTCGAGACATCGGTCTCAGGGGAGGACGGAAGGAGAAGAGAGAAGAAAGCATTAGGGTGCGACTCGATTGCCGCAGCCCAACGGAGTTCTGGAAAGGATAGAAGGTCTGTCTTGGGTTCCACCAAAAGGATTACTGGCGTAAGAAACACCAAAGGTTGGCGGCATTGTCGGAACAAAAGGACATTCCAAGGGTGTAGATGAAGTTTTGCTTAGCATACGCGATTTTCCATATTCACGCGAAGAATCGAGTTGCATGTATCTGTTCTCAAAACCGAGGCGAACTCTCCGATAATGATATTAGTGATAAAAGCAATGCCTATATGGGTATCCATGCCCAAACTCCTAGCTATGATTGAAACAAAACCCAGCCCTCGTGATTAAAGTGTACTAAACAGTGCCTTGCCATAGATCAAAACACCTCATGAGCTCGAAGGCGAAGAGTCAAAAGCGTCCGACTCACATCGACATGACCTCCCCATCACCGACGTCAATATGCGGATCAGGTATCTGGATATCAAGACTCAAAAAGCCCGTCCTTCTCAGATCAATCAACCTGACTTCTCTACCTTCCCTTTCAGCCTCAGTGTTCCAACCCTCGACCCACCTCTCCATGTCTCTTACTCCTCTTTTGACCCCAGTCCAGCCAAAGTTGTCCCACAAGAATCCAGTCGCAACGCCCATCAGAGCATCAAACCAACTGGCCCAAGTATTCGGCTCAAATGCATGTTTCAACATGGGATTCAACGTCTCAATAACGTTTCTGAATTCGGATTCAGACATCCACAAGTCCAGAATCTCGGGATATAGGTTCTGAAGGGCTGGGTAGAGGTCTCCTGCAGCCAACCAGTCTCGCTGTATTCTGATGACACGAGTACTTGCGTGAACAGGCGATGAAAGCGCAACATGAGGATTCAAATGCGGGAAACAAGGATGCGAAGGACCCCAAGGCAATTCATCATCCAAATGTGTGTCGTGGCTGTGTGCACTAGCCGTGTAGTCTACATTGGGAATGCCTTGCCATTGTGTGATCGGTGGCAGAAGACTGGGATGTAGACTTGGTGCTCGCAGGGAGTTGCGACTGGATTGTTCGTGCAGAGTGCGTCTGCTGGGTTTGCGGTTTACGGGCAGAGAAGCTCGTGAGGGTCGGGAGTGCAGGCTGTGTGCTGGTTGTGATTCGATATCGGGGATTGGAGGTGGTGGTGGATGGTTTTGAATGTTTGAGACTTCTTCTACGCCGGCGAGTCTGTTGAAGGGTTGCATGTTGTTTGCTTCGACTCGACCGTCTCTCTGGTAATCCGAGGATTGTTTGCGCTGGTACTTGTGGTGGTCACTTGTTCTGCAGTGTTTTGACCTTTGCGCACTTGGTACAGAAGAAGCGAATAGTGCAATGCGAGTGACGGCTTTGTGGTCAGATTATAATGTTGTACATGGTCTTTCTCTCGAGAGTCGCAATTTCCCAGGGCCTTGATGGCGCGCTGAAGGTGCACGTCCCTCCGTCCATCTCAAGCCGTTAACGATCTCCATCTATCGTCTCTACTCGTCTTCTCATCATCCAGATATGCATTTTGTGACTGTTCGCAGTTTTTTCTGCAGGGATATCATCACATCAATGCAGGTACTTGAGAACGGCCTTATAGAGTGCTTTGTTACCTATCTTCCGACTGGCTGATGACCCTGCTTGACATCACGCCTACACGGTTAATGCAATTGGAAGTGTACTTGCCTACGCCTCTTCCCATAGGTATATAAGCGCATAGAAACTGCACTCAGGCTCATCCACATATGTCTCGCGTTCCCATCTTTGCTCGTCAACTCCTATCCAACCTCCGTAACAATCTCGCAAACATGTCCAAGCCGACAACTGATAACGCCTCCCTCTCCGCCACCACGCAAATCTCTCATAACCTCCATCCTGCAAAGCTATCACAATACTCTGGGCTTGAACATCTACCAGCTGCCGCAAAGCTGCCTTCAATCGTCAAATCATTCAATCTCAAAGTTCAGGACGGTATTGATGGCGCAGTCCCAGCATTCTTACACCTACCTGAGAATTATCAGAATCAGCAGAGTACAGCTGCAATCCTTCTTTCTGGAGCTGGTGGTGGTGTAGTCGGCCCATCAAGTATCTATCTCAGTATGGCGGACAAGTTGGCTTCTCTACAAAACGGTCTTCCTGTCTTACGTATGGATTATCGCTTTCCAGCTCGCAACAAGTATTGCGTCCCAGATGTTCTGGCAGCGATGGGTTATCTCAAGGCTCGTTATAACGTCGGTCGATTTGTTCTGGTCGGATGGTCTTTTGGCGGTGCTCCGGTGTTCACAGTCGGTGGTCAAGATGCTAGGGTTATTGGGTGTGCAACCGTTGCATCTCAGACTGCAGAGACGGAAGGCATCAGAGCGTTAGNNGGAAGAAGAGGTGTGCCAGTGTTGCTGTTACATGGTACTGGCGATCGCACCTTGAGTCCGCAGTGTAGTGAGAGACTGTACGATATGTATGGGTCCAGAGGAGGGCACAGAAAGGTGCATTACTTCGAAGGAGATGACCACGCGCTTACAAGGAATAGCACTGAGGCTGAGAAGATGCTCTGTGAGTTCATCGCAGACATAGCCGGATTGAGCGTGGGCAGTAAAGAGAGGGGTCTTTTGAACAAGAGTCTTGTTGACGATGAGGACAAGATCAACAAGATGAAGAAGGGTGGTGATTTGAGGGGTGCTGAGAGTGCTGAATAGACATTGTATAGCTGAACAAACAAGATTAGTGCCGCACAAGCTTGCTTAGAAGTGTCATGTATCTTTGCGACAAAGATGCTCCTGAATTGCCGATATGAGCTATGGAAAAGATGGTTCAAGACAACGAAGGTTGCCTCTCTTGCTTTTGGGCGATATTATATTTGGCCGTTGTTATACTACTAGTCTGACAGTTGCGTCGAAGAACGCTCGCCGTTTCAGCAAGTCTGATGAAATTGGAAACTCGCGTGACGCAAACATTTCACCAAGTCCAAGTCCTCGTTCTTTCGGGGTCGGTCCGAGAGAGGTACCTTGGCTAGATGAACAGCAAATGTCCGACTAAAGTCAATGCAGCATCACTTGACACAACTCTAGATCCCCTGTTTTGCAGTATGTCAACCTGCTTGATGAATTCAGAGACATCCTCCCATCTGCGAAAGACTGTAACTTTTGTTTCGGACTCCTTTCCCACGGCGACTTATAGTTGTATCTCAGACTATAAAAATGCACAATACTTCCTAGGGGTGAATGCTATCCATAGAGAGACCTCCAACTCAAAGTGTCTCTGTGGCCATAGGTTTGAATCAAAAAGTATTGTGCATTTCGATAGCTATACTGTGACAGAATAGCATATGGGGAGGATGGATGACTTGTCGTCGTTCAATGATGCACGGGCCAGAGAACATGTCTGACAGGAGAGGGCTGATCGTACCGAGCCAGTACCCTGTGCGGCGGCGAGTCAACCGAGTTTGCAGGAAGCACCTTGCACTACTAACGGCCGGTAAATCTGGAGAGAAGTCACCTACCTGCTTAGGCTTCGCCGCCCGGGCACGGTCGAAGGACAAGACCAACAACCTAGTGAAACACACATAATACATGTGTCTCTACCACTGCTCGGAGTTATTCTCATGGTGTCACGGCAGACAAAGAGCATCGGTCAGCCAAACGTGGGGAGAGAGAAGCGCAATTGAGATTATTTCCGATCTGCATAAGGGTGGAACAAACTGCGGCACGCGGGTGTGGCTGATCTTGGGCCCACCAGCCAGCTCTCAAATTGAGTTTTGGGCGTAACCGTGCCGACTGGTCGAAGAACAGAGGTTGTGGGAACGGGGGATCCTGTGCGGTTGTGCGAAGTCTTCCATACGTGTCTCTCCTATCGGCCTTCACGCATCACCATCTCTCCACAGCATCCATCATCGTCGGCGCCGTCATCTCGAGTCCTTCGGCGCGAACCCATTTGAGCGAGTCTTAGTTCGGTTTAGGCTCACCTAAACATTGTGCCTGTTCGCGACGCCGAGCAAAGTCGCGACGCGCTTCTGAGTGCACCAGCGCCCATCGACCTCGATTCCATCTATCACCAGCCGACACCGCCAATTTCCACGTCGCCATGTACAACGCGCATCGTGGCATAGCCGGCGCTCCGGCTCCACCAAACAACCGTCTTGTCGAGCTGCTCGAGCAAGTCCGCGCCGAGTTCGAGGCTCAGGGTGGACGTGCAAACGAGTATGAACATCAGCGTGAGTCGTCCCCGTTTGCCCCGACAAACACCTGCCCGTGAGGCAGTTATCTATCAACATATGCTCGGTCTGCTGTGCCTTTGCAGCTGCCCACCTGTCCCCCATCAATCCTTTTCTCTTCATCGCTGGCGATATGGCCTTCCCTAATCCCGATGTTGTTTTTACCGACTACAACGGAAGCTTATACGATCTAGNTCGCGAACCAAATTCAGGAGATGGAGCTCGTCCGTAGCAAGATCTTCCAGCTCGAGCAGACCCATATGCAGATGAAACAGAAGTATGTTACTGTCACCCTGCTTCTGCACTTTGCGTTAGGCGCCAACTAAACTTTCAATGCAGATNATGAGGAAGACATCTCGCGTTTGCGCCGCGACCTTGAGGCTCGTGGAGGTCCCAGCCAGTCTTCGCACACCGGCCCTTCGCAACCCCCTCCACCTTCAATTGGCCATGGCCCTGCCAATCTCTTCCAGGGTATCATGGCCGGCGCCACTGCTCAGGGTGGCCCGGGTCTTGCCCTGCCTCCTCAAGATGGACCACCTNCAGGGTGTCCCTGCCCACATTCAAGGCCCACCTGGACTGAACCCACCTCCGGGCCCTCCTCAACACGCTCCTTTCGGTGGCTACGGTCAGCCCCCAGCTGGCGTCAATGGTACAAGTTTCGGCATCAAATCGAGTATAGAAGTAACTAACACAATCCTACAGGTTACGGCCCTGCTCCTCCCCAGCCTACAGCTTCTCCCGGTCCTGGTAAGCCCAGAACCAATGCTCGCGGTCCTCCTGGCATTCCCGGAACCCCTCAGCAGAACAACGCAAACCCTTACCCTGGTTCTCCCGCTATGGCACGCCCCACTCCTCCTCCCGCTCTCGCGCAACAACAGCAGGCTCTCTCTCTGCCTCAGCACCAGCAATATACCCAAGAGCTCGGTGGTAGCGGCAACCAGCTGGTCGACTTGGCCGTTGAGACTCTTCCCAGCAACCTCAAGCGCGAGGGTGAGGACTGGTACGCTGTTTTCAACCCTCGTGTCCGTCGCACTCTGGATGTTGAGCTCGTCCACAACTTGGCCCACCAGAGTGTAGTCTGCTGTGTTCGTTTCAGCCGTGATGGAAGATTTGTTGCTACTGGTTGCAACCGATCTGCTCAGATCTTCGACGTCGAGAGTGGCCAACAGGTCAAGCATTTGCAGGACACCAGCTTGCCTCAGGATGGCGACCTTTATATCAGAAGTGTCTGCTTCAGTCCTGATGGTCAATACTTGGCCACTGGTGCTGAAGACAAGATCATTCGCGTTCGTACAATATCTCTTATTTGAAGTTGATTGTTTGCTGACTCAATATTCTAGATCTGGGAGATTGCCGCTGGTCAGATTCGTCACCAATTCGCTGGCCACGAACAAGATATTTATTCTCTGGACTACTCTTCTGATGGTCGTTACATCGCATCAGGATCTGGTGACCGTACCGTTCGTGTTTGGGATATTCCTAACAACCAGTGTGTTCTCTGCTTGACCATCGAAGATGGCGTCACCACCGTCGCCATCTCACCCGACAACCGTTTCTTGGCCGCTGGCAGTTTGGACAAGAGTGTCAGAGTATGGGAACTTGCGAGCGGAAACCTTCTCGAGAGACTCGAGGAGGCTGGTGGTAACCCTGGCCACAAGGACAGTGTATACTCCGTCGCATTCTCACCTGGCAGCAGAGAACTCGTCTCTGGCAGTCTGGATCGCACCATCAGAATGTGGGAGCTTCAAAACCACTACCCTGGCAACCAAAACATGCCACCAAGAAACCCTCGTGGAGGCAAGTGCATTCGCACATTTGAGGGTCACAAGGTTTGTTTGACACTTTGGATATTGAGGACCAAACACTAACATATTTGTANNAAGGACTTTGTTCTCAGCGTCGCACTTTCACCGGATGGTGAATGGGTTCTGTCTGGATCGAAAGATAGGGGTGTTCAGTTCTGGAACCCTCAGACTGGTGATGCCCAACTCATGCTCCAAGGACACAAGAACTCGGTCATTTCAGTCGCCCCCAGCCCTGTTCCAGGTGGTCTGTTCGCTACTGGAAGTGGAGACATGCGTGCCAGAATTTGGAGGTTCGTTTCATCCTGCTTTTCCGTCATGGTTCTTGACTAACAATACTAGATTCTCGAGATACGACCCCGCTCGCGGTTGAGCAGTTGGGTCTAAGTGACATGTCCAAATTCGAGTCTCTTGGATATTTACGTACATTGTTCTCATTCTTGCTTTCATTTGCTAATTCTCTGGTTGTTCTTATTCGGTCTGTCTGTATAGCCGCTATGTGCTACATAAGTGCATGGAGTGTTTACATCAAGATGGGAAAGACCGAAGAACAACGAAGAAAAAGAGAGCGACGATGGAAGATTGACAAGACAAAAAAACAGGGAGTGCCTGTCAGCGACATGGCCTCATGCATCAATGGTTCACGAATACCAACATTTCAAGGTTATGGACGTGTCTCGCATTGAGAGCACATAGCGCAGTGTTCAAAGAGAGATTGTCTTAGTACCTCTTTTGTAGCCTTTCCATCAATATAGTTTATACCCTTTTATCATTCGACTCGTTCCATGCTCTCGCTCCATGAAATACTTTGTGAGGGTAGAATGTGCTTAGGCGGACGGAAGTATAGTTCTAGCTATGCGAGCACATGTGCACAAGGGGTAGGAGGATCCTGCATTGCCGATTGTCGAGCTACACGAATCTCGACAAGCAACAGTGGATCTCATGGCTGAGGCTTGTAAGGAGGGTGGGTGGAGCGCCAAGATTCGATGATGACCGAAACGTGGGAGGAAGACGCAGTCGACTTGTGGGAAGCTGATCACTCTACCTAGTCCGGGATCTTCTCGTTATATCTACCTTGTCAGGCAGCAGAACCTTGGACCCGACTGCTCCTTTCCAGCGCAAACCAGAATCGACTCCAAAACATCATCATCGGCCGAGTCTTTATTGACACCCCGCCCATCATCGAAAAAAGACCCGTCGCGGGACCTGCGTTAACTCCGAAACGCGAACGCGCGCATACCAGACAGCCATACCATCTTCCGAGCAGTCGATAGCTTGTCGCGCAGCTGTCCAGTCGCTGTCATGACGCCCACACCACCGACGACCAATTCCTCGACCGGTGCATCTCCCGATAATGGCCAATTTCGCGTGGTGCGCAAGAGAAACCGAATCCCTCTCTCATGCGGTCCTTGTAGGCACAGAAAGTGAGTTGTTTCGCAGAGGATTTTGGTTACAGACATCTAACTTCTGGTGGAGGCTGAAGTGTAATCGTGGACATCCTTGCGACAACTGCACCAAGCGCGGCGACACCAGCTCATGTGTCTATGCCTCTCCCNNAGCGCGCGCAAGAAGCCCGGCACCCACCATGTACCCACTGGCACCCCAGACGACATGCAAAATCGCATTGACAGACTCGAAAGTCTGGTCCTGTCGCTCATGACCAACGGCACCCAGGCTGCTGGTCCATCCGCTGCACACGCTGCCATCAACTCGAGCAGGAGCAACAGTCTTGGTACATCGATCAGCATGCCCTTGGATCCCCACAGAGACAGCATCAGAGAAGTTGAAGGAGAAGACAGCGATATCAACGATGTCGCTCAAGATATTGGTATCATGAAGATTGATGGCGCCAAAGCCTTCTTTGTGCCTGACGCGCATTGGTATGCCATCCTGTCGGACATTGCTGAAGTCAAGAACTACTTTGCCAGCCACAAAGAGCAATATCAAGAACAATTCAGGAAGGTCGAAGCTTCGAAACAGGACGATGCCTCGGGCTCGTTCCTGTTCAAGGGCCCTAGGCTGAACAACAAAACTGAAATTCTCGTTACAATGCCCGACAAGAATGCTGTCGATGATTTAGTTAAGCGCTACTTCCAATCATATGATCCAGCCGTCCGTAAGTACATGCTACAAACGCTTTGCTGTTCTTTTCGCAAGCTAACTCTACCAGATATCATTCATGGCCCGACGTTCCAGGGACAATACGACAGACACTGGCAGAACCCTAACGAGACGCCCGTCACCTTCCTTGCATTGCTGTATGGTATGATGACCCTCGCGTTGCAATCATATACTAGAGCAGGCGATGAGCCACCAGAGTATCAGGGTAGATCGCATGATCTGTCCGTCTCCTTCAAACGACTCACAGCGCAATGCATTGTGCTTGCAGATATTACTCAGCCGATGCCACAGTTGGTCGAAGCCCTAATTCTGCACATTCAGGCCGAGCACAGCAGCAGCAACGATGCCGAAACTGGCATTCTCTTGCTTGTCAATTTGTGCACCCGCCTGGCAATGCGTATGGGTTACCATAGAGATTCTGGCCCATACCCCAATGTTTCACCATTTACTGCCGAGATGAGAAGACGGGTTTGGGCCTTTGTTCGCCAGGCCGATTTACTCTTCTCTTGCCAGTTTGGTCTTCCTCCTACCGTTCGTTCCGACGCCACTGATTCTGAGCTTCCGCACAACATCTTCGATGATGAGTTTACAGAGGACATGAAGATGTTACCTCCTTCTCGACCAGAATCCGAGGTCACTCCGGCATCATACATGATCGCCAAGGCTCGGTTGATATCATGTTTTGGCCAGATTGTCGAGCGCATTCAATCAGTGACATCGCCTCCAACCTATGAGGAGATCATGAAACTGGATGCTCAGCTTCGCGAGGCCCGTACACAGATTCCTCCTCATCTCCAGATGAAGCCTCCTTCGGAGCTGGCTACGGTTGCACCTAACCTTATCATGCAGACATATGCCTTGGAGTTGATCTATCTCAAGTCGCAATGCATGCTGCACCGCAAGTTCATCGCGAGGGGACGTGACTCGCCGCGTTACGCATACTCCAGACGCACTTGCATTGATGCCTCGATGGAGATGCTCAACCATCAAGCTACCCTGTATTTGGAGTCACGAGATGGAGGCAAGCTGCGTTCGGTGAAGTGGTCCATCTCCTCGCTCACGACCCACGACTTCTTGCTTGCAGCCATGATCGTGTGTCTCGACCTTTACCACACCTCGGAGTCCGACCGAAACGTGATCAAGACCTCTTCATCCAACCCGTCATCTCCGTTGAGTGGAGATGTGTGGACGCAAGACCGACGAGAACAGATGATCATTGCGCTCCAGCACTGCGCTTCGATCTGGGAGAGTTTGCGAGACAAGAGCATGGAAGCTTACAAAGCATCCACACAGCTTCGTGTCATGCTGGGTAAACTGAAAGCACAGGAACAGCAACAGACATCAATGGTTGGTGGCAGGGAGCAGCAAATGCGTGGCACCAACCAATATGGCATGCGTGGCCATTCCTTTGGTGGCTTCCCCAACGGCCAAGTGTCTGATCTCGTTGAAGACGAGGTCCCACCTGAGCACTCTGCTGCGATGACCTTGGGCTTACTGTCTTCCGGAGGCGTCAGTCCTAATGCTGGATTCGCCTCGAATGCTCCCAACTCACTCGGCATGGAAACGCGTGGATTCCCAGCTAGTATGGCCGGGTTGCTCAACGAACCTATGGCTGAGCGTACAGGATTGACACCACAGTACAGTGGTGTAGATGTCAATGGCGCGCAAGCTGTCCAAGGGNCTGCATCTCCTTTCACACAGCTCTTTGGTGGCGCTGCACCAGAAGTAGACTGGGTATGTGCTGCATCTTGACACGATTATCACGAATGATGACTAACTTCAAACAGGNGTGCTTGGGACTCATATGTTCAAGGAGACCCCATGCAGATGTGGTCGATGAACCTTGAAGTCAACCCGTTGGACGGCCAACAAGCTCAACAACAGCAAGCGCAACAACAGGCACAACAGCAGTTGGCTCAACAGGCGCAGCAAGCGAGCATGAACAACATGTTTATGGGCCCAGCGGGCGCAGCCAACATGATGTGAAAAGAAGCAATGAACGGGACCAACACGACGAATGAATCAAGAAGTAAAATGTGGGAAAAGATGCCGAGCGAGCATCAGGCGTTCTTGTGAAGGCTGGCTATGTTTTTGCTTGGAGGGCTGCAGTTTGTTCACAAAAGATGGCTGAGTGGCTAGGAAGAAGAAATCGTTTGACATTCGTGGCTATTGTTGTTCTTACAAGCAGGCGGTTGCTTTCTTCAAATCAAGCAGAGTTGTTTTTTCTACTTGTAATCGGAATTCGGGTAACCGGATTTGTCGACAGGGTTGGCAGGACCTCCTCTTTGGCCGAGGACACCGGCGACGTCGACTTCCTCCTTCTTCTGTGCCTTGATCTCCTCTCTAGCCTCCTTTTGCTCTTCCTTCTTGCGGTCCAAGTCAGAAGCCATGTCGGGTGCTGCTCCAGTAGCTCCTGGCTTTCGATCAACTACATCAGCTACCTTTCCTTCACCTGGGGCAGCCATCTGTTGAGCGTCGAGTTCTTGGTTCCTGCCGACAGATTCGTGTGTTTCACCCTTGGTCTCTTCACCAGGAGGAGCACCACGGATGCCACGAGCTACTGAGGTGGGGGTGGCCTCGGATTGAGAGTGTGCTTGCTCAGAGGGAATGCGCTTGTCGNNCTGTCATGTGTTAGCCGGTGGAAAGGAAGTGTCAGTGGATCAGGTCAGGAGGTACATTGCGGCAGAGTCATCTTGTTGGCTTGCTTGGGCCTGTTCTGCGGGCTCTTTCGTGGCGGGGTTGCCAGCGGTAGTGTATGCAGCATCCAAGTTTGGCTGCGAAGGACCCTTGGGATCGAGGCCGGAGGAAGACATTATGATGTTTTGAAAGTAGTCTGATTGTATGTGGTGGGAGTAAGTGGGACTATGGCAGCAATTGAATGTATATTTCTCGAGAATATAGCAGGGAATGTAATAGAAGGACTACTTTTCCTGATAAGAAGAGCAGCAAGCTGTTGGTCGTCGTCGCGTTGGCTGCTTCCTCCCGCGTGTGCATCGTCATGCTTCCCCACACAAACACCTCCAGCGACGTCATGGCTCATCATGAGCTCGAGATTGTCTACCACGTACAAAGGCAGAGTCTTTTCACTTAATTTTCTTCTTGACTCTACTCAATTTGAAATCTACACAACTTCAAAACTCACAAAACACATTCACAATGGCATCTCGCAAGGAAATCATCAGCAAGATCTACAAGATCGTCCCTCCCATGCTCGAGAGCTTCCACAAGGGTATTGCAAACCATCTCCAAAACTCTATACACGAAACTCAATTGACTTTTTTGTGTAACANNGGTCAACTCGGTCGTGTGGCTGTTATCGGTGGTAGCGAGGACTACACCGGTGCTCCCTACTTCTCTGGCATGGCCTCTGCAAAGCTCGGTGCCGACATGTCCCACGTCATCTGCGAGCCCGGCGCCGGCCAGGTCATCAAGACTTACTCTCCCAACCTCATGGTCCACCCCTACATGCGTCAGAGCAAGAACATGAAGGAGGGCGAGACCATCGACAACATCTCCCAGACTGTCGTCGAGATGCTGAACCGTCTGCACGTTGTTGTCATTGGCCCTGGTCTTGGTCGCGACGAGGCCATGCAAGAGACTTGTGCCCGTGTCATCACCGAGGCTCGCAAGAAGGGTATTCCTTTCATCGTCGATGCCGATGGTCTCTTCATCATCCAGAACAGACCCGAGTTGGTCGAGGGCTGCACCGAGTGTATCCTCACACCCAACGTCGTCGAGTTTGGCCGTCTGGCAAAGGCAAAGGGCATCGACTCCAGCGGTGACCCTACAAAGCTGTGCGAGGAGTTGGCCAAGGCATTCGGCGGCCCCACCATCATCCAGAAGGGTGCCAAGGACTACATCTCCAACGGCAAGGTCACCTTCGTCAACGACAACGAGGGCGGTCTCAAGCGTTCAGGTGGTCAAGGTGACACCCTGACCGGTTCCCTCGCAACTCTTCTCGCCTACAGAAAGGCCTACCACGAAAAGCTTTGGGACCACGAGAACGACCTTTCCGAGCCTGAGACTCTTGCTTTGGTCGCTTTCGGTGGCAGTGCCATTACCAGAGAGTGCTCGCGTCTTGCATACAAGGAGAAGGGTCGTTCGCTGCAGGCTGGCGACTTGACCGAGCACGTCCACACTGCTTTCCTCAACACCATTGGCGAAAAGACAAAGATCTGAGCATCGTCGCCTGTATAATGACTTTGACGGCTTGATTAAAAGATAATCCCCTTTACCCCTTATTGTAATGTAGCGTTTGTATCATGAAGAGAAATGATCATGACCTTTTCTTACCCAGAATCGAATTTCGTCTTTCTGTATAAAAGTTGTGCAGTGTTTGTGCAGGTCTACTTGAACACATATTACTTCTCTGGATGCTTTTCAGGTAAGGCCACGATAGGACTGCCGTGTTTAGACCTGCCAACTACTTTCGAATCACTGTCCATTCTGTTTTAAGCCACTGTAAATACGTTCGTTAAATGTCGTGGGTGTTGTCGCATTATCGCGCCGCAAAGATACTGTGGTATCCGCGTTGAACTCTGGCTGCATGCTCTCAAGTGACAATTGCACGATATGCTTTAACCAAGTCATATTTCGAGGATATTTAAACACTGTAGCTCCTCGGATGGTTATGCCAGTCATATAAAGGTGTAAATGACAGGTCTTTGGATTGATAGCGTGATGAGAAGGGCAATCGAAAGAGGAGCAGGGTCATATCCCCAACAACAGCCGTCGAGTTGGTTTTTGGAACGCCGTTAAGGCTCCACGATCTATGCGTCCGAAGAGCCTCCATGCACATGACTGCAGGTGCGTGGTGCTCACGCTGCTTCTCTACGTCGCTTATCAGTCGTACCTCTTCTCGCATAGCCTACGATCTTGGGAGTAGCCCCGACAAGCATTCGACGCTCTGGGAAGTGCCCATCGTGCGTTGACCTAATAGAGACACAGAGACCCATATTCGCGACGCTCAACGGCCTTAAGCAGCATTGTAGGCGCGTCACTATGCAGTCAAGTCCGCCAACAGCACTCGAGTAGGAAACCAGAGCCAAGAGGTGAGGTTTAGGAAGCGCAGATCGTGGAGAAGAGTCCTTGAACACGTTTGTACCAAGAACGAATAGTGGAACTCTAGGTACGGTCCGTCAACTCACCATCGAATGACCTTACGACGTTTTGGGAGCTCCTTGTGACTTAGGAGCTCGAAGCTATGTATGATCAACAAACAACTACTAAACTCGGTGGTTGGAGAGTTAAGACAGACAGCGGTGCATAATCCTGGCTTTGATGACGGTTCGCATGGCGGAATCGACGATCAGCTGAGGGTTTGTCCGTGGATATTTGAAGGTCCAACACCCCCATGTTTCTTGCTTCGGTAAGGGTATTTGACAATACCTACTTTGACTCTCTTGCCCAACACCCAGCTGCCTTAGCTGTCACCTAGTCAACATTTCGAAGAAATCGAGATTGAAGAACAAGAAAATGGCCGACAAGGTGTACGTCCGAACTTTCTTACCACCAAAAACTTCGCATACAGATACTGATTTGAGCACACCACAGTTCTCAAAACACGCCCGATGTCGCAAAAGAGCCATTGCCCAGTGGTCGCAACCCACTCAACAACAACCCAGGAAACGCATTGAGCCAACGCAGCCCCACAGACTCTCAAGCAGGCGAAGAAGGCAAAAAAAAAGAAGACAGAGATTCCAGTCTGAAAATCAAGATTGAATTGGATTTGGATGTTGAAGTTCATCTTACTGCGAGGATTAAGGGTGATATTACTATTGGTCTTTTGTAGAGAAACATGCTGGAGTTAATGATGATTTGAAGAATGGGAATTTGTGTACAATGCAGGAGAGAAGGCTTGTAGATATCATGAACTTTTAATGTTGAAGATGCTGGATAAGTTTGCCCATTTCGAACAGACATCTGATGAAAAACACAGAACAAGTGACTTTGTGCGATCTATATCGGACGAACTAAAATGTCTGTCTCATGCAATTGCTTGCTTCGAAGCAAAAATGACATCACGGAGATTTTTCGCGGGCACGAAAAACCGTAATTGCAGGTTTACGACTCGAAGCAACGTATATAAACAAGACTTGAGGAAGCTCGACCGTGACAGCTGTTCCCTTTGACGCCCCAGAAAGCCAACACCTCCATCTTCTGGATCCATGGTCTTTGGGATCCTCACAGCCGTTGCGGCATGCCCAGCCATCATCGGCACAACCGAAGCCATCCGACAAGGCCAACGACAAAATGCCCGCGAGGAACACCGAGGACGGAAATCAAACCTGACAATCGCATTACCGGTCAAAAACTCCTACAGCGAACAATTCGATGGCGCAATGGTGGTGTTGAAAGACAACAAGTTGTATATCGATACGAACCACAGCAGGCTTGGTGTCAACATGGCTCATCCTNTTTCGGGATATTATCTTCCTGTACCTTTCATCGGAGACAAATGGAAGAAAGCAGGTTTTAGGAATGGAGAAGGGATGGTTACTACCATCAGCGACGATCCTCCCTTTNTGAATTGGGTCTATCTGGATAAAGATACGTATGAGGTCAAGTATGGCATACGTGTCGAAGCGGAACCTCATCTTGTTGGCCCTTGGGACTGTACTCCTATCGACCGCCGGTTGACTTTTGAGGGATGGGAAGGATTTGTCATCGTGCAAGAAGACGAAGAAAATGACCTCTGGGCTCTGTACTTTGATCGCGATGACGATGGCTTGCGAGGCGAAGGCAAAGTCGGCACACAAGGCAAGAGAATGCTTCTGGCCGAGGTTTCGAGAAAAGAGGTGCGCAGAACAAAGTTGACCTCGGACGAAGAAAGAATCACACGAATCCGCGAGCAAGCGGATAAGGAGAAGAAGCGAGCACAGGCAGAACTCGAGGTAATCGCGCCTACACAGGAAGAAGAGGCACCGCAAAACTCAGGATCACAATCTGCAACGAGTGCTGCGACAGAGTCCCAGAAGCCCGAAACTGAAACTCCGGATGCCCATGAGGACACTCGAAGCACATCCATCGAACAAGGCCTCTCCAAATCTCTGGATTCTTTACACATCGGGTACAACAACAAGACTTCGAGTACAACAGATACAAGGACGGAGCATAACGAAACTCAAGCCGGATCAGGACTGACAAGTCACCACGACAACAACTCGAGTGAATCCATCTATCAGGAATCCTCACAGTCGTCAAGCTCGTTTCACACCGCCAGCTGTGAGATGTCTTCTGAAACACAAACTACCACTACAACCTGGTGATGGATGTATGGACATGATTTTTTCTTATGCCGAAGTCCGTCAACAAGCTAGCTATAACAAAGCACAGTGCTCATTGACACAGAGTCCATCTCGGAGAGAATCCACTGTCTGATCGATCAGACAGAAGCCAGTATCGGTTTGTGTATCTGGCCATAACAGATTCGGCAGCACTGGACTCGACTGCTGTAATCCAGTCCCTAGAGATCGCCAATGCGCCTTCCATTTCTTTGCAGAACTTGCACCTTCCCAGTACACCCACGATCGAATCCTTTCGTACGGGGAAGTCGCGATCAGGCAGAAGTTACGCGAAGTGCTACTCGATGATCTCTACCAATTTCCTCTATGGTGGTCAGGATGGCACATGTGCCTTCTCCAAAGAAAACGGCGCGACGAGGATATCGAGTGAGCTTGATTGTATGATGAGATCACCCATGCTTCTGTATGATATGCTCTAGGGGTTGGACGTGATCTCAGATATCAAAGGCGGGACTATCTTGAGCTCGCCTAAGGAAAATTACGTTCATGGACTGCGCAAGCTCGATAAAAATACACTCGCGCCGCAGTGCAAGTATCTTCGGTATCATCACGCTACATGTTCCTTGTGGTGTCTGGTTGGCAGATGTATACGTGCAAGCCAAAGGTTTCAAATCTCAATGAGTTCGTCTAGTACGCGGTTGAAAGTCGATCCACGTTGTATGTGCTCGCATCTGCACAGATTGAATAGACGATTCTATTGCTGCCTGCTATAGATCTACAGATGGGCCACGAAAGTTGTTGCCTCAAGGCGGACACTGTCTTTCTCAAACAGACACTCTACATATCACTACAATTAAAAACTTGACAGATCGTCCAAGTTGGATTTGTAAACAACACACACCCCAAGCATTGAAAACAAGCCTCTACATCATACCATCCCAGATTGTGCTATTCGATCTATCTAGGAGTGCAAATACGTTGACTTCAGAAAGTCCAGTATCGATCGGGCTAACAATTGCACGTGTACCACTCAAGCAGCCACGACCTGAGTTGTTAAAGAATCACCATGCAGGCTTTCGCGGAAAGTGGCCAAAAGCACCTCTTAGACTCAAAAGATGTAGATACGGGTAGAGCGGCGATCAAGACGAACTTCGACGAAGAGGAAATGAGGTGGGACGGTGACTTTGGAAAGGAGGTAGGCATGGCGAGCCTCAAGGAAGACGAATCAGTCGTAAACCACTGTTTGTATTTGCGCGAGCGACGACTGATAATGTGATGCCGCATTCACCTGAGCCCTCGTAAAGAGATGTGTCAAGAGTTGTTGATTATAGAGCAACAGTGCCAGCTGGGGTATTGGCCTCAAGAAGCATACCAGAGCAAGTCGTTAAAACAGGTACAGAAAGGAAAAGAAAAGATGCTGTGAGCAGGATCTAAACCTGCGAACTTCCGATCCGAAAAATTGACTAGATAAATGAATGACTAACCAAACGATGGTATCAAACGAAAGACCAAGAATCGGGTGTGTTACCACTACACCACCACGGCTTTTTTGCTTGTTGACAGCTACCAGAAAAGCTGCAATATAATGTCTGGTGGTTGGGGAAGGTGGTGGCAGCGGGAAGGAGTTTGCGTGAACAAGTTTAGAAGGTGCGTCACGAGGCTCCCAATATCGAGCAACGAGAACTTTGGACCCAGAGCATTATGAAAGCGCATCACGATGATCTGACTAGGGAGGTACGTACAGTCAGAACTGACAAAGTCGTTTGAGAATGCATGTCTCGAGATGGGTGGAGTCATTCAAGAAATATTGACAAACAATAGCACAGCCGATCAGCGATACCACCCTTTTCGATATATCGCAAGTCGAAAGCGCTATGAACTGTGCTTGAAAGGCCACCACCACTTTTGCTCCTCTCGCTGAGTGTCTTTCGGGACCCACCAATGGAACTGTTCGTTCCACTCCCATGTCAGTTCATATTCTAAGCGCCACTGGCAAATCATCGCAGCGGCCCTGGAGCCAGCGAATAGTGGATGGTGTAGTCTTGCCCGCTTATCGCTTTGATTTTTGAGATTATGATAATCGCTGCCGAAGACATCCAGCAGTACCTCGTGCAAGACTGCGTCCTCTGTGGACTCGCCGAGTAAGACCAGCTCGGATATATCTACCGGTACTTGGTAGTCACCAACCTCAGGGTACCATCGATCGATGGGGCGCAGTAAATGTTCAAGCTGACGGGCCAGATTCTCGCGCTTGCCAGGAAAATTGATACGTGCCCCTAGGATCGCATTGCGATACTCTCGTAACGCTTCTGCGATACCACAATTCTCTTCTACTAAAGTCACCGTTATACCCGCCATGCTGTAATCAATGGCCAGGTACATTTTCGGTGGATCATCTAGCTCTCTCTCGTCGGGTGTCGCGCTCCAGTCGTTGAGGCATTGTCCTTCGAGACCATATATTCCTGTTATGCTTGTTGATGCCCTGCGAGTGCGAAAGTATCTTAGGCACAAAGACTCGACAGATGTGCTCAATGTATTGTCGAGCCATCCTTGATGAGGAACATGGAAGGGAGTGCTGATACCGACAGCAGTCAAGGGTTCTTCCACATAAGCTTCTGTGGCTGCTCTCAAGCCTTTGAGCATCCATGTGATGGCCTCGACATCAGGACTCACAGGCTCTGGAGCAGTCCATGATGGTAGATAGNNTTCTTGCGATCCTCGGATTGGTTCAATTAGCGACGCCGGCTTGTAAGGTTCGGCACTTGCTGAGCGCATAATCTGCTTGTACGCGAACCCTCCCTCGAGCTTGACGACATCAACTGCCGCCGTGCCGTTCGCATACCAGATGCTTGCTGTNGCTACGAGGAAAGAAGTCAGTGATCGATACAATGGTGTTCAATCCAGCTCTACTCACCCATAATCGAGCGCGAGATTGAAACCCACACCATATTCACCAGAAGCATCGTTACTCGACACTCTCGAACAGAAAAGAACNAGCACGAACAAAATGCTGTACAGCAAGGGCTGTTTCATGATGCTACCTCGGCCTGCGTGTCTGGACCACATATTATTGCCAGCAACAGTGGTAATGTTGTCTCCGAAGAAGTGTAATCGTCAAGCAAACTGCAACCAAACCTTACTTGACAACTTTCTCGGATAAGAACTCGAAGTTCTTTGTCTGGATGGATGGATGGATGGATGTGGCTTTTGTCGGAGAAGAACCATTTGCATTGAATAAGGCCACCTGTTCCCCGAGTCAGATGTTGCAGCCTTGCCCAAAGTAAGCGCCCGAGCAACAGGAGTACCGAAAATGAAGGATTGAACGTTCAAGCGAGTCATTATGGAGAGGATAAGCTTTACGAGATGCACATAAGCGAAGGAGCATATACTCGCCTGCAGATCTTCTGAGGACCTCTGTAAAAATACTGTAGCAACGTGTCACGACAGACAGAAACCGTAACAAAGCCATCACAAGCCATAAGTTCCGGTCAACTTGAAGGTCTTCTCGTCTTGGTCCCAGTTGACTTTGACACCATCGCCTGTCAGTCTCAGGGAGCCGTATCTGATCNNTGAACCAAAATCAGCATGCTTTGCTTTGAGGAGCAGCTGTATGAGACTTACCGAAGCACTGATATCACCGATACTGTTTTCGAAGTCGACCATGTCGATCTTCTTCTGCTTCCATGGTTTTTTCGGCTTCTCGAACCCAAAAAGCTTGTAGAAGACATCCTCGTGTGGCACGATACCAGTGTAGCTCCATTTTGTACTTCCTTTCTTGCAGCTTGGCTGCCACTTCATCTGCTTCTTGATTTCTGTTGCACACACATCTTTGGTCTTCTTTGCGCGCTCGACGATTTTCTCTTCGCTCCAGATCTCACCGGAACTGGAACCGCTGCCGCTCTGTTGAAGCGCTGACAGCTGAACCTGAAGATCGAAAGCATGTTTGGCGAGATCTTCGTGCGAAAGCGCAAGCAATGATTCTAATGTGTGCGAGGCCGAGGACGATGGTGCTGTGTCGGCGTCAGAATCATAGATTTTCTATGCTGTAATAGGCATGTAATAGGCACACATTTCTTGCTGACACGAGCGCGCTTCGTGGGAGCTGGAGAGAAGTCGGAGTTGTCTTCCGATCCAGACGCGTCGTCGTCGCGAGTTCGACCTGTTTCCTCTCAGCAAAAGCGATGAAGGATTCGATGAAACTGTTCTTACGCTTTGGAGGCATCTTGGTTTCGATTTCGGGAAATTTTGGAGGCAAAAAATGTTTGGATGGATACAAAAATCAATGCGATGCTCTAGGTAGCAACCACGAACATCGCGCCTGACGTGTAGCACTTTAGCAAAGCTTGGACCCATGGTATACCAGGTGGTATACCACTGAGATACCACTCTTCCAACAACCGACTCGCGAAACACATCTTTATACTGTCTCAAAAGGTAAGCGAACCCATTCTGAGTAAGTTGCGGACTTTACAGAGCCATCTGCCGTGTACTTCTTAGGGCTGTTCAAACACTGTTTGAACACTGTTCAGACCCTGTTAAGACCTTGACACCAGCATGATAGAATCATGATTGAACCCTGTTTATCACTTGCTTGAATACGGTCAAACATCGTTTGGTCCGAATCTCCACCAACAACCCTCGTTCTGTAACAGAGACTGATTGTCGTTGCCCCAAGTTCTCGAGTCTTGTCTCAAGCACTACTCCATCTTTTTCTGCTCAAGCATAGCTTGATCACTGCTCAAGCACCACACGCTCAAGCACTGCTCGAGCAGCAGGCTGACCCACCCCGCTTTTCTTCATCTCAAATCTCGAAGAAAAATTTTCATCCTCATCTTCCTTCCTGACGACTAACGACACAACCACAACAATGAGTGCCGGAAAGTGCGAAGTCTGCCTCGAGGAGAAGCCCAAGCTCGTCACCTGTGGCCGCTGCGGCAATCGCAAGTACTGCGGTAGGCGTTCCCGAATGGCCACGTCGCCAGATGGCCAAGCTGACCTAACTGCAGGTGTCGGATGTCAAAGAAAGGACTGGCCTACCCATAAGCACTCATGCCAGCCCAAGAAACAACCCTCCTGGATCCTCAAGATCACCATCCCTGACTCCAGGGACCCCCAGATTTGGCGCACCCTGGTTTGCCCCGATGGCGCAACTTTCCAGGAGTTGCATTACGCCATTCAAATCGCTTTCGGCTGGGCAGCGGCACACAGCTATGACTTTGTTGCTCGTGATCCCACCGCTGAAGAGCGTCCCGTCGAGGACATCATGGCTCTGATCCAGCGTCGCATGGCGCAAGACAGTGGTGAGCAGAGGGACTTCGGACCTCGCCAGAACTTCATTCGCATCGTCAATCCCAACGACAACAAAATGATCGACTCGATGCACTCTTACGACCGCAAGCATTCTCAAACCCCAGAGAAGAAGGCGGACAAAGTCTACGTCGGCGAGCAGTTCAACAGAAAGGAGTGGAAGAATGCTGAGTGGGAATACATGTACGATTTCGGCGATAACTGGGGTCACGAGATTGAGATCATTGGACGTGGTAACGTTGATGACATTTTCAAGTGCACTGATGGAAATGGTCATGGTATTGCTGAGGACGCTGGAAGCATGCCTGGTTGGGAAGAGTTAAAGAATGCTTATAGAGCTGCAAACCCAACCGCCGAGCAGAAGGAGAAGATGCATTGGTACCAGAATTTGGCCTCCAACTTTGACCCTGAGGGCTTGAAAGGGAGAGAAAGTTATGTCGATCTGAGTGTCATCAATGCTCTGCTCCGCAGCAGCATGGACTGCATGGACTAGTGGTTGTATCCGAGTCATTCTCTTTGGTCTAGATCGATTTAGTAGAATACTTTCTGCATTTCTATAGGTGTGTACTGACCTTCATTCGGTTTTGGAGCATGATGAGTTCGATTCGTCTCGTTTCTCGTTGCTGTATGCAAGTGCCTCTGTGAAACCACACAACATCAGATCGTGCCATTGATATCTCCTTTGGGAGTCCCTGACATACCCCTTGTACAAAGCTCTCCGTGGTCGATACGAGAGTGAGTACTGCTCACTGCTTTGCTACCGTTACTCATCTCTACGGCACGGTCGTGCGAAGGAGCGATATCAGGAGAACGAGGTGCGACGAAGAGCAGGTCTGGTGGGGTTTCGGGGGCGGGCAGGCTGCTCGATTGTGTCGCGCTCGCCGAAGCAAGAGCAGAACAGCATCTTGATTTGTTGCCACATGTTGTTGTTGTGGTGGTCGCGTGAGGTGGAGATGTAAAGTGCAAGGAAGGAAGGAGACAAAGAGGGGGACTAGTGCTATGATGTCGTTCGTGTACACGAACGAACCTGAGTGATGGTCTATGAAGTACCCCTTGGTCGATAGTGGTGTCGGCAATCACTGAACACAAGTGAACATCTCCCGTGCTATAGGGAGGTGAAAGTGTTGTCGTACAGTACGAGCGAGCATTCGTCGATCTCGGTATGTGAGATACTCCCTAACCTCGACTCCGGGTCCCGAATGAGAGTGAAACCAGGCACAGCCGCCGTCGACGATCCGTACTGCCGGGTATAAAGAGGGTCTGTAAACTCGATCAGAGAACGCTCTCCTCTTCTCTTCTACACAACAAACATATCACCACATCTTTTCCACACAACAAACAAACCACCACATCCCCTATCCACATCAACACCACCATCAAGTATCAAGGTATGTCTGCTGTCTACCGAGCATTGTCTGAGATCTCCTTACTTACAGACCTGCGCAGCACAATGATCTCAAGCCTAGCAAAGACCCGCATCGACGATCTTGTCACTGAGGTCTTCGACGCCGCCCACGAGCGCGCTCAGGGGTTCGCTGCCATGATGTGGCAGAGCCTTGTCGAGGAGGATTTCGGTGCTGGCGGCCTTGCCATGCGCACTGAGATCGCAGACGACATCAGAGACAGGGTTGCTGCTGAGGGTGAGAGCGTTCTCCGCAACACTCGTGAGCTCAAGGGCTACATCACGGAGGTCCTGATCACCAAGATCAACGAGAAGGTCGAGGAGGAGTTCAGCGTTCCTCTCCGCGCCTGGGCCTCTCGCTAAAGATAAGAGAGGGCACAAACAGTACTTGACAGGAGACATGGCAGAACCCTCTCCTCGACGGCTACTTGACCCCTCTAACGACTGAACGTCGACCTATCTCTTGCTCAGTTTGGCACATAGCTTTACCCCAGTCACTGTACATTATCAAATACAAGAGACAAAGCTTCCTGGCCAACCTTGAATCAACTCAAAATACTCTCATTGGTGAAATGACCCTTGTTGTTGTGTGTGATTCGGCAAGAGCTGTTGATCGTTTCGTCGCTCGATGCACCTTAGACTGCAAACCTGTCATAAGGCACAACTTGTTCGTTGCTCAGACTCCATACACAGGGAGAAACATGCTCGGCGAGACGACCATTTTGGCCTCTCCTTGTACTAAAGAGTGTAACACGCATAGCTATGAAAATGCATAAAGTAGTAGGAAACAAGATGGTATCCACTGAGATGCAACAAGTTGCCGACTCTCTGTGGACATGCCTCTGCTTCCTAAACAATTGTGCCTTTTATAGACTATATCTTGCTCTTAGCTATAGTCGGAGTACATATTTTAGTACACAGCGAGGAGGGAAAGTCATGTCGAGCAAGAATCGAGCAGAGAACAGGTCTTCTGATAAGTGCAGTCAATGTTGTGCTGTTCTCCAACAGCTTTGTCAATGCTGGCAACCGGTTTTAATGGATCGGATTTGTTAAACGGCTACGACGTCAAGTTTTGAAGCCAGTAGATGTTGTTGAATGCGATCCGGTCGTCTCCGCCTCCATTTTCTCGATCTCCTCGCTCTCCACAGCGAATGACTGGCGTTTCTTCGGCCCTCCATGTGTTCGGAAAGCGACAGCGCGCAGCGTCGGCAACTAGCCGCTCGGGTCGATATGAAGCCCCCAGTGTTGAGAGTGTTGACCGCGGAGAGCGTGGAGAGAGGCTGTCAAACGAAGCCTTGTCGCTTGGTCGTTCTGCAAAGCTTGTTGCAGCATGTCTTCTGCAGGTGTACTCTACAAGCACAGCGAGCAATATAAACGGAATCGCTAAGCAGAGAGCGGACGGACAAGCGAAATATGTACATATTTGCTGAGCCGCTGAAAAGCACAGGTGTTGGTTGAGAAATGCAAGTGTCAAAACAGCGTTAGCTTCGGTGCGGGATAGGACAATGACGTTGGCGGCTTTTTGTGGGCAGTAGAGTAGGAGCTATCGAGTCCCGCATGCAAAAGTAGGCACGAGTAAGAGGTCGATGGGCGATCGCCGAGATCAACAGGTACCGAGTAGCAGCTGCAGCAAACTTCTACCACGCGCCTGCACTTTCTTCCTCTGTGTCCATACCGGCCCCTCGTTGCTCCTGCCTCTTCGTCCTCGAGACAGTCAACAATTGGCTTGCTTGCTTGCTGTCACTTAGCCTTAATTCATCCTCATCACTCACCACTTTCGCTGCTTGCTCGAGTCTCGACACTCGTCAGCTCACATCCATTGTCTTGTATTCATCACTCCCAGCTATTCACTAGCAACATCTATCCTCTCCTATCACCTAACATCCAGTCGACGACGACGCAGCCATTGTCATTGCCTTACTCATCACATCCTAATCTGCCGCATCAATGGCTCCCACTCTACAACAGACGCAGGCCATCTACCTTCTACCCCTCAGGGATGATGGCTCACCCGACGTGGCCGGCGAGTACATCTACCTGCCACCACCCAGCGATCCTGCCTACAAGATCCGCTTTGTCATCGAAGGCACCAGCTCCATTTGCAGGGAAGGCAGCCTCTGGGTGAACATCCCGACCAAGGGCCAGAAGTTTGTTCGCAAGAACTACACTGAGTACAAGTAAGCGTTTCCTCAGACTCACAGTGATGACCACTACTGACCACCCGTGCAGANNTTGACTCCCGACTTCAACCGCAACATCGAGATTGATATCGAGATTCCCCACGCCGGTCCCTTCTCCTACTACATCACCTACACTCCTCTACCTAAGCTCACAACTGGCAAGAGCGATGTCCCCGAGGCTGCAAAGACAAAGGTCTGGTACCTTGACGTTAGCCCTCGCTTGTCGGTGCAGGAGTCGACTTTGCCCCTCAAGAGTCTGTCCATCATCTCATGTCTGTCCAAGTTCATGGGCGACTTCTCCAGCGACTGGGACAAGCACTTGCACGGCATGAGCGAGAGAGGTTACAACATGGTCCACTTTACTCCGCTTATGATGCGTGGTGATTCAAACTCTCCTTACAGCATTTACGATCAGCTCACCTTCGACAAGCAGGTCTTTGCTAATGGAGAGAAGGACATCGAGGCGTTGACCGCAAAGATGGAGAAGAACTACGGTCTTCTGTCTCTGACTGATGTCGTCTGGAACCACACGGCCAACAACAGCAAGTGGTTGGAAGAGCATCCCGAAGCCGGTTACAACATGAAGACTGCTCCTTGGTTACAAGCCGCTTACGAACTGGACACTCAGCTCCTCAAATATAGCTCCGAGCTTGAGAAGCGCGGCCTTCCTACCCAGATCAACAACGAAGAAGATCTCAAGCGTGTCACGCAACCCCTCCGAGTGGAAGTCATCAATGCCATCAAGCTTTGGGAATTCTACATCATTGATGTCAAGCGCGATGCTCAGGCTGCTGTTTCAGCATGGATGGAAAGCCAGGTCGAATTCCCTGAGAAGACCCCTGACCTCGTCGGTACCGATAGCTGGTCCTCGAAGCAAAAGACCAATTGGCTCCAGCAGTATGCTATGTCCGGCACTGACCACCTCGGTGAGAGATTCCGTCGCAGAATCAACCCTCAACATGCTGCCGCGCTCCTCCAATCGCTGTTCGGCAAGTACGACACCAAAACCGGCAGTACCAGAGACGAGCGCAGCGCCATGGGTGCCATGACCCACTTCTTGGAAGAGATCAACGCACTCTTCTACGAAGAATACAACCAAGACAGCGGCGCCATCATCGAGCAGATCTTCGGCCGCACAAAGTACATGCGCATCGAAGGCGGTCCCATGGTGGGCAAGCCGATCAACAAGGACTACCCTTTGATTGAGTCCTACTTCACCAGACTTCCTGCCAACGAGACGACAAAGAAGCACGAGGCTGGCGAGCTGGCCTTGGCCAACAACGGATGGGTCTGGGCCGCCAACGTGCTGATCGACAACGCTGGTCCCAACTCGAAGGCTTACCTCCGCAGAGAGCTCATCCCCTGGGGCGATTGCGTGAAGCTGCGCTACGGTGCCAGTCCTGAGGACAGTCCTTTCTTGTGGAACTTCATGGCCGAATACACTCGTCTTATGGCCAAGCACTTCCACGGTTTCCGCATCGACAATTGCCATTCCACTCCTCTTCACCTTGCCGAGTACATGCTTGATGCCGCAAGAAGTGTTCGACCCAACCTTGTGGTTATGGCCGAGCTTTTCTCCGGCGACGAGAAGATGGACTACGTCTACGTCGAACGTCTTGGGTTGTCTTGCTTGATCCGCGAAGCCATGCAATGCTGGAGCACTGCAGAGGTCAGCAAACTTGTTCACGAGAACTGCGGTCGTCCAATTGGCAGCTTTGAGCTTGACGAGATCTCAGACGCCCAGAAGCGCAACTCTGGTACCGAGCCGGCTCCTTCTGTCAAGGAGGTTGTTCACAAGATTCGCCCTGCTACCGTTCATGCCCTGCTCATGGACTGCACTCACGACAACGAATTGCCTGCTCAGCGCAGAGACGCCAGAGACACTCTCTCCAACTCTGCTTTGGTGGCCATGTGCGCCGCCTCCATTGGCAGTGTCTTTGGCTATGATGAGGTCTATCCCCAACTTATCGAGCTTGTGCACGAGAAGCGTCCATACAACTCGCCTTACTCCACCATGTCGAACCTCAAGGTTGGAGAGGGTCCCGGCATTGGACACGTCAAGCGTCTGTTGAACCAGCTCCACACCATTATGGGCAAGGATCACTACGACGAAACCCATGTTCACCATGAGGGCGAGTATATCACTGTCCACCGTATGCACCCCAAGTCGCGCAAGGGGTACTACCTGATCGCTCACACTGCTTTCCCTGGTTACGGCAATGGCAACGCTGGCTTCCAACCTGTGCGCCTCACCGGATCCAAGGCCTCTCTGCTGGGTGCCTGGAACCTCGAAGTCGACCAAAGCCAAGAGGCCAAGCAAGCCGCCATCAAAGACAAGGTGTTGAGAGGCCTGAACGCAAGCACCAAGGACATCCGTGGTGTGAAGGTTGACAACCACGGCGACACTGCCGTTATCACCATCCCAGAGAAGTTCCCGCCTGGCAGTATTGCAGTCTTCGAGACTTGGATTCCCAGCGCAGAGCACTCAGAGGGTCTTGACAAGTACGTCACTTCTGGAGCCAGAGATGCATTCAGAGAATGTGACCTCAACGACTTGAACGCTATCCTTTACCGCGCCGATGCTGAGGAAAAGGCTACTTCGAACGGCTCTGATGGCGTCTACAACATTCCCGGCCTGAGCCCGCTGGTCTACTGCGGTCTCCAAGGTTGGTGGAGTATTTTGAGAGATGTCATCAAGGACAACAACCTTGGCCACGCCATCTGCGACCACTTGAGACAGGGTCAGTGGGCTCTCGACTTCATTGTCAACCGTCTGGAGAAGCTTGTTTCTCGTGACGGCTACACTCGCCTGGCTGCCCCTGCCGGATGGCTCAAGGACCGCTTCGACGCTATTCGCAAGCTTCCCAGCTTCCTGTTGCCTCGTTACTTTGCACTTGTCATTCAGACTGCATACAAGGCCTCCACAGAGCGCGCTATCGAGCAGATGAGCAGCAACATCCGCCAAGGACAACGTTTCCTCAAGAGTATGGCTCTTGTCAGTGTTCAATGCGAAGGGTTCATGAAGAACGCTTCTCTATGGCCCGACAAGCTCGTCCCTTCCCTGGCAGCAGGTCTGCCTCACTTTGCTCAAGATTGGGCAAGATGCTGGGGACGTGACGTCTTCATCTCTCTTCGTGGTCTTTTGCTTGCCACTGGTCGTTTCGAGGATGCAAAGGAGCACATCAAGGCATTTGCTAGTGTTGTCAAGCACGGTATGATTCCCAACCTGCTCGGCTCTGGCAAGATTCCTAGATACAACTCTCGCGACTCTGTGTGGTTCTTCTTGCAGAACATCCAAGACTACTGCAACATGGCTCCCAACGGCCGCGACATCCTCAAGGAGAAGGTTGCCAGACGTTTCTTGCCTTACGACGACACTTGGTTCTCGTGGGAAGACTCCCGCGCCTACTCTCAAACCTCGACAATCGAGGACGTTATTCAAGAGTGTCTTCAGCGCCACGCTACTGGAATGCACTTCCGCGAAGCCAATGCTGGTCCTAGCATTGACGACCAGATGAAGGACGCTGGCTTCAACATCGATATCGAGACCGACTGGAACACTGGTATCATCTTCGGTGGAAACGAATGGAACTGTGGTACTTGGATGGACAAAATGGGCTCTAGCGACCACGCTGGCAACAAGGGTGTCCCTGGTACTTCCCGTGATGGTGCTCCTGTCGAGATCACTGGTCTTCTTTACAGCTGTCTCAAGTGGGTTGACGGTCTCAACAAGAACAGCCAATTCAAATACTCGGGCGTCAGCATCAAGGGCGACAAGGTCATTACCTTCAAGGAGTGGGCACAGAAGATCCGCGACAACTTCGAGCACTGCTACTATGTTCCCGCCGACCCTGCTCAGGACTCCAAGTATGATGTCGACAGCAAGATTGTCAACCGCCGTGGCATCTACAAGGACGTTTACAAGTGCAACAAGGAGTACCGCGACTACCAGCTCCGTCCCAACTTCCCCATCGCAATGACAGTCGCACCTGATCTCTTTGATCCCAAGCACGCACTTGGAGCTCTGATCGTTGCCGATGAGGCTCTCTTGGGCCCTACTGGTATGGCTACTTTGGATCCCTCGGATATGGAGTACCGTCCCAACTACATCAACAGCGACGACTCGAACGATTTCCACACTGCCAGAGGACGCAACTACCACCAAGGACCCGAATGGGTCTGGCCTCGTAGTTTCTTCTTGCGTGCACTGCTGAAGTTCGACCTGATGCGCCGGGAGACAAAGGAGGCCAAGGTCGAAGCTTTCCAGCAGGTCACTACCAGACTTGCAGGCTGCAGACACATGATTCACGATTCTCCTTGGGCTGGGCTTACTGAGCTCACCAACGAGAAGGGATCCATGTGCCATGATTCGGTAAGTGATTTTTCATACAATGTGTCAGAGACAAGGAAGGCTAACATGAATCACAGTNGCCCTACCCAAGCTTGGTCTGCTAGTTGCCTGATCGACTTGTACCAGGATGCCAGTGAATACAACGCCTTGTAAACTGGTATACTGGCGGAAGCAGGAGCGTTTACGCACAGCAGTTGCGACAGTCGAAAAGTTGGGAAGACGGCGAGAAGGATGGCTGACAAAGCATTGGCGGTGGTCACCTAATTGTTTATACCGATACCCTAGATACAGCAGATACATGTGAGCATGCTGACGAACTCATGACCCACGACGGTTTCAAGATTGCAACGGTGATGCAGTTCCAACAATGGTCGATGTATTGTGCATGTGTGCCCGATAAGTGGGTGAGAGATGATCNNGAAGACCCTAGCGTGGATACCCAATCCATACAACCGGTATNNCTGAACCTGGTACATGTGGCGCTGATAGAGAGCCGTCTGAGTTGGCATACAGCTGTAAGCAAGCCTGTGGAAGAGCACCTCAAGCTTCGGGCCCACAGGCTCCCAAAACCTGCGAGATGACGATTTGCACGACGCGACCAGGGACCCGACAAGGTCAGAAAGCAAAAAAGCGACGAGACGTCTCGGAAGNAGGATCAGCGTCAGACAACTGACACGCGTCACTTTGCAACCATAAACGCGGCATTGAGAAATCTGTAACACGAGAACCGGGACGAGGATTGTCAGACACGCAAGTTTTGGTGAGAGGGCTCAGAAGGTTGGTCGCATCCGAGAAGTGGGAAACGCCTTGTTCGGATAGGCGGACCGAAGCGATGATCTCCGTGCACGAGTNTGGAGCTTCCGCTCTTGTGCCAAGAGTTGACATCGGACTGAGTGGAAGTGAAGCTGCCATCATCATTGTCAATCCAGCGAGCATATTCGAACAATTCCAAGTAACGATACCACTTTCTCCGCCCACAAGAATTCGCACAAGAGGACCCGACAGAAAGCAAAGAAAGAGCAGGATCACACATACACAATGAGCGCATCACCCGTCAACAACAGCTCAAATGGCGCGGCAGCACCCACATCCGTCAACGAAGCGCGCGACCCTTCCGGTTTCCTGAGCGAAATCATCGGCGCACCCGTCACCGTCAAGTTGAACTCTGGAGTCGTCTACAGAGGTGTGTGAAGACATTCCTACTCGCGCATCTTTGCGCCAGCAGAGCTCGAAATCTCAAACAGTAGCAAGAAATGAGAGGAACAATTGCTGATGCAAGAGTGATGGAAACAGNGAGAATTGCAATCAGTCGATGGATACATGAACATTGCGCTCGAACAAACAAACGAAATCGTAGACGGCAAGGTCAGAAGGAATTACGGAGATGCGTTTGTGAGAGGAAACAATGGTATGCGACCTTGCGCCAGCCGGCTTGAAAGAGAATTGAGATACTGATGTTTTGTGTGACTGCAGTCATGTACATCTCTGCCGACTCATAGAATGGACGAAGACTCGATTTGCCGTTGAAGCATTGAAGCCCGTCGAGTGCGCGGGTTGCTCGAGCAAGATTGCGACAGTTCTCTCTATGGAGAGGATGTCGCAGGACGATAGGGGTGCTCGAGGATGTGATCATCCATCCAAAACAGCTGATACCACACTCAAGAAGGGGACACGGCTGCAAGAAGTAGTCAGGAAACAACACGCAGCCATGCTTTTGAGATTGAAGTGATGAGGCTCGCGCTTAGTACTCTATATCCACACCACCACACGACTATCAGTACAACTTTGTTTCTTACCTCCTTGATCCGATCAAGTTCTACCAGCCAGAGCATCCTTGACCGTAGTCAACAAACTCTCAGCACCCTTCTGCGGGATCTTTGTCGTCCATGCCGCAACAGTCATGCCATGCAACTCCACCTCTCCCTTCTCATTCCTTTCCACATCATCCCCCTTCAACGCCTCCTCAAACACCTTCCTCACCTTCTGCCTCTCCTCACCCTCCAAGACGGCAATCTGACTCAACGTGCTAAGTCTGTCCCAAAGTGCTTCTTCGCTCAACCACACACTCCACTTTTCTACATTTTCAGCTAGAGGAAGAGCGAACAGAGGTTCGGCTGATGAGGTGATCGACAAAGGGTTAGAAGACAGTTGAGAATCGAAGACGGAACGCCATTTCTCGTGACGGAAACGGGGTTGGTTGTCGTCAAAGGAGAGGATTAGGTCTTGGAGCTTTTGCTCCCATGTGGTGGTTGCGGCGTGCGATTTTGGTGCGTTGTCTAGAAGAATGTTTAGAGTTTTGGTCATACTAGATGTACTCGGAGTATGGAGATCTGGATGTGGCTTTCTGTGGTGGGCAATGGCTGCAGTATGTTTTGCAGCGATCTGTCTTGAAGGTTTCCTGAAGGGTGCTTCGGAGAGATATAGATCACATGCTGCAAAGCAAGATGGTGTACATCATTATGAAAGGGAGGCTAACATGATGTGCATGGGCGAGGTGGCTGACAAGGTTTCCCACTTACAGTCTTCAATGTTCCAAATCACGCCGAAGGCGCCATGAGGTTGTAACACACGATTGATCTCTTCCAGGGATTCGAGGTTGGCGAACCAGTGGAATGCCTACGGGATGGTGAATGTCACTGTCAGCCTACCTGATCAAGGTGCATCTCATGACTTTATTCTGAGAGAAGGTTTAAGGCATGTCATTGACCTAAACCTTTTAGGGTTCTTCTTTGATAGAGATGGTGGGGATTTGACATCGGAAACCGGAAGAGGAAATGGAAAGGCTGGGTAAATGCGAGAGGGGTCGATCAATCTCCTACCTGGGCAGCTATAACGGCATCCACGCTTTCATCCTTCAAGGACTTCATATCGGTAGAGAGACCATCTTGGACACTGACGCCTTGGAGGTGCTTGTCCTCCAATACTTTGCGCATGTCGGCATGCGGCTCAATGGCGATGATCTTGTACCCCTCAGCTCTGGCAGCCAAGAGCTCTGTGAACTTGCCGGTGCCCGCCGCAAGATCCACCACTGTGGCTTGAGGGCTGTCGCCGACGCGTACGCCGTCGAGCAGGACAGAGACGCTGTGGGCGGGGAACGAAGGGCGATGCTTGTCATACAGGGCGGCATTGCTGAAGCCGTTCTGCGCTGAGGGGTTGATGCGGCCAGAGGGAGTGGACGTCATGATGATCTTGTTATGTACAAGAGAAAAGAATACTCCGAAAGATGTGTATATTAGAAGAACGAGCACAGGGTTTGATTGCGATAATCCGGTAAGCGAGAAAGAAAAAGTTGTCAGACGGGTGCAGTGGTTGAGAAAACCAAGGTTGTCGCGATCGTTCGACGTCAAGCAAAGCAAAGCATCGCCAGCATCATGATGCGCGTCGGTTGGAAGTGGAGAACACAGCACACGGGAGATGGGCGGCGGGGATTGTATTCAAGATGGTGATGGCTGCATAAACACATCACAGCCACACCAACCACCTGCGAACGTGCGGTGGACATCCCCTATGAGGTGTGATAGAATGCAATGCATCCACGGCATTTCTCTCTGCTGGGAACTTGGAAGGCGTCGTAATATGTACTCAAGGCAAGTATCTGGTGAATATGCCATGCGCAGCTAGTCCCCTGCAGCATGAAAGTCCGAAATGTGAGACCTTCCTCGGGGGATCGCTGCAACGTCTTCACGAGATGAGACAGTGTTCAGATGAAGCCGAGAGTGGACATGGAACAAAAGGCAAGGAAGAAAAAGAAAAAGAAAGTAAAAAGGACAGTGCTCAATGCTTCCCCCTGGCTATTGTTACAGAATGAGGCGCGTGCGGGAGGCAGACAGACGGCAAATTTTCTTCAATGAAGCTTCTCATTGCTTCGACTGGTGGAGCGTGTCACAGATGCAGACGCAGATCCGAGTTGTGATCAATGGGCATCAGGATGGCGCCACAGCCGGGTTAGAAGGATCGCAAGCGCGTCGCAAGCAGTCCTAATGCATCATGATATTGAGAGTAGACACAACGGAGTAGAGAAACAGTGACTCGTAGAAGACGGAGACGAGGAAAGCACAACAAATGATTGAGGAAAAGCATGGGGAGGCCATTGGCTGTGGGACGGCCTTTCTCGAGTTGCTATTTTGGAACAATACTTGGCAGTTCGAAAGGGAGTCAGTCGGGAGAGCGAGGAGATGAAATGCACGAGTAGTGTGGAGACCTCTGGAGTGGTTGTTGACCTTTTGAGATTCGAGTACGGCATCAGCGATCTATGTGCTGGAAGACTCGATACGATCAATATATCAAAAACGCCAGACGTCAGTGTAAAGTTCAGAGTTAAAGGAACGGCTGCAGCACGGTAGAATGTGTTGACGCGTTCAGCATGGTCGGAGGCTGAGTGGAAGACATCATATTCTCTTCATCTCGCTGAAAGCCACATCAGGTTGAGCGGAAGGAAGCTACCACACTAGCGTGGTTTCCAGCGTGGTTACCTTAGTACTCCTGCAACTACTCGAAATACGAGACCAGACCAGCTCTTTCTTTTCCCTTTTTCTCTGACATTGTGAATTGCGCCAAAGCAATCCCCTTCTCCGTCGCTGCTCCTGACAATAAGCCTCTCGCTCGTTGATCCAATTAATTCCATACAACACATCGACAGTGCCACTATTTGCAAGGCCACAGCCTGCCCCAATCATCGGTCAGTGACGTCCCGACGCTTTTCTTAGCAGCATTCAAGGAGAGGCGCAACCGTTCTTCCCAATCGAAACGTAAATCAACGTTCAGCGGGAGTCTGTCTGCGATCCAGAGACTCTTCTTCCACAACATCGCTGCAGCGCACGACAGACGGTGATTTTGTCGTTGCTTTCGAGAAAGTCTCAGCGACACTTGGCACTTGTTGTTGCCGGTGCTGATCTCGTCCCCTGGAGAACGCCTTTCATCTTTCTTTTGCTTGACGAATCACCTTCGATCAACTCTTCCGCTGCCAGGAACCGCCGAGCCCAGCCAGCCCTGTTGCTAACCTCGAGCCAGATAATTTTGTTGATACCCATTATTACTTTATCCCGTACATATCGGCTCAGGAGGCGTTTCCGTTTAGCTCTGCTCTTTCGCATCTCCAACAGTCCATCACCAAGACTCTAATTCGCTCGCTCGCTCAACCAACTCGACTCCCTTCGCTCATCCCACTGCCTCGCAGGCATTGTCGGAGACGACAACAGCACCTGCTTTACCACGCACACCACACGGCACAACCTTCTATATGCCTAAGAATCCGCTCAAGAACTTTGCCCGTCGCAAATCGTCTGGAAACATCCTCGACCTCCCTTCGGAGTCCACATCACCCCCACCCGCCTCGTCCAGCTTTCGTGTCCTTGAGAGACCCGACAAGACAGCTACAGCGGGCAACGGCGGATACCCTGGAGGTCCTGTGAAACGGACAAGCGGCGGGCGGCCAGCTTCGAGCATCCTCCTGAACAGGAAATCGGGCAAGTCGCAGGAGGACTTGATCGCAAGCGCAAACAGGTCGGTCCTTGAAAAGAGCCATGCTCGGTCACACACAGTCGACGGAGTGCTAAAATTGGGCAGGGGTAGTGGCGGAACAGCCCTCTCGGGTTCTTCGGGCTACTTTGACAACTCGTCGTCCTCTGCACGCTACAGCTCTTCGTCCACTCTTCCCTCTTCAATCGAGGCGGAACACGAAGCAGACAACGAGGACCTTTTCCCTCGAAAAGCAACTGCCAACGGCAACAGCAACCTAAGCAGCAATCGTTCTTCAGCCGCATCCAACGCACTTCCCGAGCCACCGTCATTCACGGCCCGCGCAGGCAGGGCTATGTCCTTTGGTTTGAGAAGCAAGCACAGCGCTAGCCCCGGTACCATGACTGCTGCCACAGCTCACATGCCTGACCTGCCCGAGAATAGTTTGATTCGTGATCGCGCAACAACAATGAGCAGCAACGCCAGCACTGCCGTACCGCCGAGGCTCGATGCCAACTTGGGTTCCATGTCAGATTTTGGCAGCGACTTTGGCATGAACATGTTCGAAGGACTGAGCTCACCCAAANGGGTAGCACCGCCGCAACCTGCATACGAAAACTACGGCAGATCGGTACGTCGACAACAATCACCAGGCTTCAACAATTACAGCAACACTTACCAACATCATCCTTCTCAACAGGCATCTCAGCCCCTGCCCACCGCTCCTATCGCCCGTCATGAGCCCACTCCATCACCCGAGGCCGAACCCGAACCTGAATCCGAGGCAGAGCCTGAGACTCGTCGCAGACCAGCAAATTTGTCTGCTGCATCAGCAAACCGTTACTCATGGGCCAGCCGAACTTCCAACGACGGACTGATGTCTCCAGCCCAAGGCTCCGATATCTCTTCTCCTCCTCTGAATCCTCCCTCGACTTTTTCTCGTTTCAGACCTGGTTACCAAGCCGTTCCTGACCGCTATGGCTCGCCCGCCAATGAACCCGAGCACGAAAGACGCAACAGCTATTCTAGTGAAGATGACGTTTCCCATCCTATCTCCAGGGCAAGATCGCCTCTAGTTGAGTCGTACACAGCAACCACATCCCCGCAGAAAGCCACGCCAGCCAACCGAAACCCAACCATCACGGCAGTCAGTAAAGATGACTCGAACTCGGTTTCAGCAGGCGAATCTCAGCACACAACTCCTCGGGCTAACAATTTGCGTCCCACAAGCAACATGTTTGACCACTCCCCTAACGGCCCTACTAGCCGTGCCATGCATCCCGCAGCTGCCCCAGTTGCTCCCAGAAGCCAGTCTGGACAACTCTCCNCCACCAAGAGAATGACAAGAAAGGAGTTTGAGGCCCAACGTAAAGAGATGAGTCCCGAAGAAAGTGAAGAATCCGAAGAATCCGAGGACGAAGGCTATGATGACGATGATGAGGCTGAACGTCAAGCAGAGCTTGCTCGCCAGAGGCGCAAGCAGNAGGCCAACATGTCTGTATACAGACAGCAAATGAAGAAGGTCGCAGGAGGAAACCCAGCCGAGCTTCCATCGCAAAACGGCCGCCCAAGCCTGGATCGTGCTTCGTACAGCGCACCTGGTCTCACTAGGGATTTCTCCAACGTCAGCCTTGGTGCAGAGCAAGAGGAGGAGGACGACGAAGTCCCTCTAGGTATCCTTCAGGCTCACGGCTTCCCTAACAAGAACCGTCCCCCGACTCGCCTTTCGAGCGCTCCTCCAACTCCTGGAGTTGCCGGATCGGTTGTCAACGGCGGTATGNGGGGTGGTAGCCTTCCTGTCTTTGCTCGCAATCTTCCTGCAGATCCCTACTTTGGTGCTGGTCTCGTCAATCCTGCCAATCGCGAGTCACTTGCTTTCGGTTCTGGCGGCTCAGTGTACGGTGGAGCATCTCCTTCCATGAATCAACTGCCTCAAATGCCTCAGATGATGCCTCCACAGCAAATGCCTGGCATGCCCCAGGCAGGAGGCGGCCTTGTTGGTGTCATTGCTGGTGAAGAGCGTGCTCGCGCCGCCAGACGTGTCAACCACAACGGCGGTGCTGCTTTCAACGCGAACGGTCTTCCTCTGCCTGGAAACATGCACAACAACATGCCCCAGATGATGCCGCGTTCAAACTCGATGATGAGCATGGCTCCACCACAAATGGGCATGGGTGGCTTTATGCCGCAAATGCCTCAAATGCCCCAGATGCCTCAGATGATGGGCGCAGAGCAACAAAACCAGCAGCAAATGATGCAATTGATGTTCCAACAGACTCAGATGATGCAACAGATGATGGCGATGCAGGGTGGTCAAATGCCCCAGATGCCTTATATGCCTCAGATGAACAATGGCTACCCCAACATGCTACCAAATGGAATGCAAAGACCCATGTCTATGGGCGGTCCCAATGGTCAGCAACCTGGTATGCTTGGTCCCCAGGGTCCTGTTCCCCACCAGCAACAGAGATCGAGCACAATGACCAACTTGAAGCCGCCGGGCTACGCTGGATCAATGTACGACTATAGTCTTAGCGCACCTCGTGGAGGCTACACTCCCTCCATCGCACCTAGCGAGCGTAGCAACGTGGGCATGCCATCTCGCTATCGCCCTGTGACTATGGAAGGTTCCACTAGTCGCACTGCAAGCATGACTTCGCAGTCGGGCATTCAAAATTTCGCGAAGAAGAACGCTTCGAATGGTTCTTTCTTGAACCCCAATAACATCCCTGCAAACAACGCTGGCAACGTACCGCGGACTACCATTAAAGTTATCGACAAGCCCAAGGGCTCGCCAAGATCGCCTCAACCCAGACCCGACGAGGAGGATGATGACGAAGGCTGGGCACAATTGCGTAAGAAGAGAGAAGAGCGCAAGAAGCGCGGCACCGCCGGCAAAACCCAGGAGCAGACTCTGGAAGAGCTGTACCAGGGCTTCAACTAGTATCTTGAAGTTCGGCTACGCGTGAATCACCTGGTCTTTACCAAACTACCATTTTTATCTCGGACGCTGGACTCTGGTTTCGGCAACCTTGTCTATAGACTTCCCTTCTTTGTTTGCTTATCCCCTTTTCTTCACTTCCATCACCCTAGTACTTCTTGTCTTTTCTTATTTCTATTTCCCCACCACGACGGCTTCTTGGAAACAACTATTTCTACGTTATACTTGCACGTCACTCTCCCCCACTCTTGTTATTTCTTTTGTTCCATTATTATGGCGTTGGTCGTTATTCCTTGCATTTACAACCCCTCAAAACGGAGCAGCGAAGAAGGAAATGAATGTATGGGGTTTCTTGGAGCGAGATGAGACTTTCTTCTTTTTTGCCAGAAACATAAGAAGGATGAATGTGAAAGTGCAATTGAGTCCATGTGAGACAAGTATGAGTAATAAGAGAACGCTTCTTCTTTGATTCAAGCCTACTTTCTGTTTGTCTTTGATGTTTGTGCTGGTCGTTTGTGATGTGGTAGTTTATGTCTTGGAACCCCGAATAGGGGAAGGAGACGTTGAGGTCTGCGAGCTATGTTCACACCGCCATCTTTGTCATTTTCCTGCTCCTGCGGCTTCTGATAACGCAATAAAGGCATCGCAAGCGATATGCGCATAGGCCGATTGACAAGAGGCAGACCTCACAAAGGTTCCTTGAGATTGGTGTATCCTTTTGTTTTCTTCATGGCCCCTTAGATCCATCCTCTCTCTTCTCAGACTCCACCTACCTCGCTGCCACACTTGCACTCACTCAAACATCCACGAGTTGATCCAAGACGTTGGTTTTGACTGCGTTAGCCAGAGCATCCTTGAAGTGTCGCAAGAACTTTGCTTCAAAGTCTAGAAGCACGTCAGGATCGTTGTCGAGACCTTTTCTGATTGCATCTTGGGCAGTCCTTCTGGCAAAAGCGCTTCCGAGCACTTCTTTGATCAGTTGTGCGGCGTTGTTCTTGACTGCCTCTGTGGCTTTCTGGATGTGGTCGTCGAAGAGTTGGTCCATGCTTGCGTCAAGTAACACATCGAGGGATTCTTTGCGTCTGCGGAGTGTCAGTGATCAGCGGGTAACGATTGCAAAGAGCTCAAATCACTCACACGGCACACTGGGTATCTAGTAGATTCACCATACCCGCCAAGACATCGACATCGTGTTTGCAATCCAGAACCTCTTGTTTGCCTGGTCCAAAGCATTCGCCGGATGCGGCACTGCTGAGGTCGCTCTGTAGTTTTTTGATCTTGTTTGAGATGGGTTCGAGAGATCCGTGTGGGATGTACGCGTTTGTGGTGGTGACTTTTGGCGGCGCCATGACGGTTGGTGGGAATGAGTGACCTAGGGGGTGTTGTCAGGTGTGTGGTTGCGAATTTCATGAACTCGCTTGACGCGTTTGCGAGGCGGTTCGTTGGCGGTTGGGCGAGGATGAAAGGTTGAAGAAGGATTGGACATGTTAGAGTTGAGCTAGTAGTGGCGTCTTCTATCACAGAACGTGTTGGAATGGCACAAAGGTGTTGCAGAAAGTAAGTCATGTTGAGGTTTATTCATGCATATAGTAGTTATGCTCTTTCACTGCTCGTGTCGTGGTCAAGCTAACGTCTCTGGTCCTTATTCATAGCTAGTCGTCTCCATCAAGCAAACCTTCATCGTCCCTCAAGTCGCCGCTCGGCTCCACCTACAGATCGGTCTGCTTCATCCTCCATACTCCTCATACTGCTTTTGCAGTTGGCGCTTGAAGTCACTTGCAGCACGGTCGAGCATCTCACGCTTGAAGTGCCCTTTGACTTTGGTTTCGAAGTCTGCAAGTGGTTCCGGGTCTTCGTCCAGGGCTTTCTTGATAGCATGTTTGAATGTTCCTTCTGTATCCTCTTCTTCGTTCCAGGACTTGTAGGTAATGTCGAAGAATGCTTCATCGAGGTTGCACAAGCGTGAGAATTCATCACTGACAATTTTCTCGATGCCAGACAGGACGAGAAACTCCATGGCCGCTGCTGATNNCTACCAGTATGTCAGTGCTCAACTTCCATGTGGTGTTTCAGGCAATACTGACTTGGCTTCCTTCGCAGCTCTGGCTTCACGGTCTTCAGATGTGCGATTCCAATTGTCCATGACTTCTTTGATGCCAGGCTGAGAGTGTTTGGCAGCCTTGACTTCCAGACTTTCAAGTGTGCTGCGGAGGCTGTTGACCGTATCTTGACATTTCTTGAGAGAGTTCTGCATGAGGGTTTCGCCATAGGCCACGGAAACGTAATTGGTCCACGAGCTGGTGATTCTCTGGAGGTAGGCTGTCTGGAACACCATGCTGGAGAGATCGTCCGAGGCGACCCAACAAGCACCTGGGTCGATTACTGCGGCGGGAGGAGATTCACTAGCAAGCGTGAACTCGGATGTGACGCTGCTCATTTTCTGGCGTTTGGGAGATGGTTCGACCAACCGCGAATTGAGTGTGTTACCTTTACGGAACGGTCCTAACATCCTGAACCGCGGATGATAGGTTGGACAAGATCAAAAGAGAGTGGGTGATGCTCAATGACGAAAGATGGATGACGGCAAGGCAGCTGTGTTGATGATGTTCCTGAATCTGGACGAGGGAGGCGCGACTGCCTGTTGCTGCGTTGACATGTGACGCTGACAGCCAAATTCGAAAACATGAGGAACGATAACACGTTCGTCTGAAGTCATGAAAGTTGAAGACATCAGCTACCACGTCAATCCGAAGGATTTCATAGACGCAAAGGTTTCAATCGAGAGCCTGCATGTTGTAATCAAATGCATGTCTCACTCCAAAGTACTCGTTGGTATACATTGAGAAGACACTAGCAAGCCGACGACGCCCAAATTCGATTTTCTTGATCGCGTCTCATCTCAGTTCTCTCGAATTGATAGCTCTCGCAATTTGGCTAACATTGTGGTGTTCTAGCCTATATGCTCCTTGGTAGATGTTGTATTGATAGACGGTGATCGTTGACCCCTGGGTGACTGCATGTAGCACCTCAAGATCTGGAGTGAACAATCACTTCAACCACCTTCAATCTCACATGCCTTCACTCTATGGCTTCATATTCAAGCAGATCCATCACCACCACAGAGTTCGGTCCTATGGCCCAACTCGATAAACCTCTCCAAATCGGGTGTGTAAATAGAATCCGGAGGTACTGAGTTCGACTCTTGCCTTGGTCGGTCTCAGCGAGATGATTTGGTCGAAAAGATGTTTCCCATTCACATGGTTTTTTTTTTGGCTCGGCTGGCAATCACGCCATCTCCTTCTTCTTCCGTCTCTGGTTTCCACGGTGCCTCACACAGAATCCAATCAAGACAGGTGAAATAGATCTGCTGATATCCAAATCTCCTTCATGTATACTAAAGTCTGTAACGTCCAATGTACTCCGACTATAGCAAACAGCAAAACGTAGACTATTAAAACGCACAATGGTCTTAGGAAATAGAGTCGTTTCCACAGAGCGTCGACAATTTGTCGTCTCTCAGCGGGTATCATCTTGTTTAAATTATCACCACCAGAGTGTTTGGCTTGAGAAGGGTTCCTTCTCCTCCGCAGGGATTCTTGGTAAAGTGATCAACAGTGGTTGGACGGGTTTCCCTGACGCCTGAAAAGGAAAGTCCCATGGCTGACCAATATGTATGGCCAGTGAAGAGCTTTAGGAAAATATCGATCCGTGAAGGCAACACTTTAAAACTGCCAATATCCGGCTCGAGTGATGATCCGCTGAAAGTGAGCCTGACTGCTTTCACATCTCCATTTCGCCTTCCACTTATTATCATTCCTACAAGTCCGAAGTCTTCCTCTCCACCTTTACAGCTTCTCCCATCTGCGCCACAACCAAGGTGAGAGCCATCTGAATCTCACCAATTCTCCTTGCCGAAGACTGACTACCAGGCCAGATGGACGACTCCGCCTCAGACTCCTCCCATGATGAGGTCAAGCCCGCCTTCTACAAGATCTCTCCCGAAGACATGTGCGATATAAAACGCAGTCTCGAACTCATCGAAAGCGATCTGAACCATCTTCACTATACCAAAGGTCGTGCGCCCATCGGCATTACTCTGCACGAGTTGGAATTCTTCAAGGCAACCATCGCAAAAGCTGAGCCCGCTTCCGAAAATATGTATGTCACTCGCAGAAACTTCACAAGCATGAACATTTTGCTCACTATTCAGANNATTACTCCTGAGTCGTCCGACTCCGGCTCTGTTCTCGGTTCCGACGATGTCGCTCCGGCTATATGCCCTATCCTCGTTGCTGGCGGCGTGGACCTCGTCTTATCACGTATGCTCGAGCATCTCAAGACTCAAAACAACCAAACTTCCGCCCGTATTGAAGAGTCCTTTGAGAGATTTGTTGTGGCAGACCATGGAGAGGAACTCTTTACTGCCATTGAGCAGGCCGCGAAAGCAGACTGGGACTTTGTCAAGGAGTTTGAGAGCCGTGCTAAGAAAGTTGTCTGGGAATTCCTCGCCCGCAAAATGAAGGACGAGTTCAACAAGCAGCTCACGGAAGCGTTCAGCAAGATGTGAAGAGAAGACCAACGAGATCACTACATAATGAAAGAGACTGCAGAGGCAATCGGATTTCAAGGAATGAGATAGTATGGGCTCAATCAGTTGTTTCGAAACCTTTGTTCAGGATCCTTGGACACAAAGTAGCCACGAATCAAAGAGATTCTGTCACCATCCTACAAGCATGTGACGTTTTAATCCTGCCATTGACCCATGCGTGAACATGTTTAGCCATACTACCAAATATCCATGAACTCGGTCTCTTCTGCTTTGCTGGCTCATCTTTCAAATCGATGGGAGATGCGAAGAATTTAAGGGGACAAAAAGAGAAAAAAAAAGAAGAAAAAAGGGGTAATACCAATAACAAAACTCTCTTCTTCAACCAAGCAAAAGTATAGACTACTTTCAGAATCATTTTGTTCAAGCGTGCTTAAGTCGTCCTCCGTCAAGGTGATTGGTTAACGAACCTTCAGCTAAATTACCATCCAGAATTAAAGAAGGCGTGTGAAGAGATCGGCTTTTCTGGATGTGTAATCTGCTAGTCAAAGTAGACTGATGCTAGTTGATGAGTGAAAAATGCGGCTTGCTAGTTTACAGAGGAATGATCTTATTTGTCACAGTATCTTGAAGCAAAGAGGTTTGGGTTGCTCCTGCCGCTTGGCTGTTTGGTTTCATCGTGACGTCCTCCACACCCAACAACCACCTTCTAGCACATGGTCTCCATTCCTCCTTCCTCTCGAAGCATTCAAAGTACCATCATGGCAACTGTGCTTCTCTATATCTTCTTCTTTGTGCTTGGGACAATCGCACCTCTATCAACATGGCGGACAGTAGGCAGAGAGACCTCTTGTCTTTCTCGTCGCTTCCTCATCTGACAATGCCATTGCTGAAAACACCACGACGAAACTTCCTGCGACAGTCCATGCAATACCAGTGCACATCATCCGGCGGGCTTCTGGGCAGGCCAACGCATTTGAGATGGAACCACTTTCCTTTGCACTTTGCATTNTCGGTCAGTAGATAGAACAGAAAGCTTTGCGGATGATGATAACTCACGTCGCTGTCTCTGTGGTTGTCGCATTGAATCATGGTGCCACCATCAACGAGGTCCTGGCAAATGCAGTATACTCGGTCAGGGTCGTCAGAACTNTGACTCGTCTTGCGAAGATGCGTCCTGCATGATGATGTCTGTGTTGTTTACGGCTTGTGATCTTGTGCGGTAGGTGGTTGTGGTCTCAGGGGTCTCTTCGCGTGGCGACAGACTAGCTTCTTCTTCGACAGTCTTTTGCTCAGTGTTTTGTAGTGCAGGGTCATCGTCGTGATGATCGACATCCTCATCGATATCCTGGTGAGTAACGTCGAGCTGNNAGTGTTTTCTCCATCAGGACTTGTCAAGTCTGTGTCCTCGTCTTCGCTTTGGTGTACGACGATAGCCTGCTCGTTTGTGACCGCGGCCTGCTCATCTGTAATCACAGCCTGCTTATTTGTAGCCATAGCATCTTCTGCATTGTCGTTGTTTGCAATAGGTTGAGTCTCATGGCGGTCACCAGGGATCCAAGGAAGGTGCTCCTGATTCAAAGTAACATCCTCACGAACCCAAGGATTGACAACCACAGGCCGAAACATTTCCGTGGGACCACGTCTCAAATGCTTAGTCTTGCAACCCAGAATTCTGCCCCTAACACCGAGTTCAGTCACGAGNTTCGTCCCATCGAACATGCATAAATTGTTAATATCAAAAACTTACCGCATGTAAAGCAGACATTCTAGTACAGGGAGAGCAAGCAGATCGATCACTCGACCGTGAATTCCAGTGTTCAAAGCTCTGATCCAAGCGTCTACTTCACCGCGAGTGAGATCTTCAGGGGCGGGGAGGTTGGGCTCGACAGCGAGGTGAGCTGCGATGCGGCGCACAAGCATCATAGTCTGCTCAGCAGAGGTGATGTAGTTGGCTGCCATGATGAGCCTGCAACGGCGCGAGCACTCCAGACTCCACGAAGCAGAAAAGCTGCAATATCTGGTTGTAACGAGTGTGATGTTTTCAAATCGATGGGTTTGTTTTGATTTGCTTGCTCTGCGCGTTCAGGGTGAAAGGTGTGATTGCGACTTTCCGGTCTGTTCTTTTGTGTTCCGTGTTGCGGTGCAGATGTGTGAAAGCGAAAAGTCTCTCCTTTTTCGGGCAGTCTCGAGACGAGCAGGATGTTGCAGGCTTTGTCTAGGCGCGAGCTGAACTCCATGTAGTTCTCGGATATGAAAGACACACTGAGGTAAGAGCATAAAACAGGCATATATACCATGCTAATGCGAACTCAAGCACACTTTCTGTGATAAGATGAGTACTAAGCATATTGAGAAGCATACGAAGCTACATTCTCTGAAAGGATGCGACTTGTCCATCCAGCTGATATCTGGATCATTCTTCTCCACATCTCATCGCTATCAAGGTTCCTCCAAGAATGCCCTGATGGTACTAGGGACTTCGAATTTATCAAGACGGATCCATGTGCGCCACCTGTATTTCAACTCCTCTCTCTGGTCTCCGGATACTCTTGGACCTAACTGCACACACTGCAATATGCTCTGAGAGAGTGGCTCACCCATGGCGCCACCAGTATACAACNNGGTGGCATCAACATTCATGGTTTTGGTCAATACTTGCTTCTCCATAGATGTTATGAAGTCGCTCGGGAGCTCCGGTCTGCAAAGCAAGCGTATGATGATGCCTTTGTTGCCTGGTCGAGATTTGAATCTGTTGACTTTGCTTCGGATATCCTCGAGGTCGTTCATGTATAGTGGTGCAGCCTCGGATCTGACTGTTGTGGTGATTTTGCAAAGCGAGTACACTTCTCGAGTGATTTGGAGACAAGTCTTCAGTAGATCTGGCACGCCGTCGCGGAAGAAGTGGTGCTCCTCCTGCAAAGTGTGTTCATACACCATGACCCGAAGGGAAGTCGAGGAAGCCTGTTTTGTTCATTTCGGCTAAGAAGTCGGCGAGCTGCTGATGTGTGGTGTGGAAGATCAAAATTCGTGCAGTTTTCGAAGAGAGTTCTCCGGAGATTGTGCCTTTGCTATCGATATCACAGTTGAGGAGATAAGCAGCGATTCGCTGTTTGGTATTCTGTGATCCTCTTCATCTATTCGTGCGCTTTGGGAAGAGGTTCGTACTTTGCGCAAATATTCTCAGATCCTCGTCACTGATTTGTCGGGTGTGGACGGTATAGGCAGCAGGCCTCATAAATCATGAGAGAGTTTCTGCTGACTGATCTTGCTCAAGGAGCTCCTAGATGAGTAAGCAGAACCTCTGATCTCGAGCTCCCCTGAGCAGATATAAAAGTAGCGTCCAGCTCCAGCTCTTCTTCTCTTTCCATCGCACGTCGTGCTCTCCACAACACTGATCAGCAGATAAGTGTACCCCATTCCTGTTTCTGCTAACGTCCTCTAGGTGCCGGCACAATCAGCTTGTACCTCTACGTGGTGTGTCGGACCAGTAGCCTCGGGGTGAAGCCAAATCAAGCTGCCGACTTCGACAACCGATGATCATCCGCGATGCCGACCGACCGAAACCGTGCGCACGAACGAACCGACCGAACGACCGACGTAATGCAAGGCAGGGATTTTTTAAGAGTAAGAGGAGGTAGATTATAGCAGTAATGCGATGCAGGCAGGCTGTTCAGCCTTGGAGTGGGAGCAGATGGACGCTTCTGATTTAGCCCGAAGAGGAGGATCATCACCAGCGGTATGCGATGCAGGCAACGAGCTGACGAGCACGTGAGNNTGGGAGCCAGTCGGACACGACTGGGGCAGCCCCAAGAGGAGGTAGCTAATGGTATAGCTGATGAGCTTTGGAAGGGAGCCAGTCGGACACGGCTGGGGTAACCCGAAGAGGAGGACCGAAAATGCGGTGCAGGCATGGCTGATGAGCCATAAGGGGCTTGACTGGGTCGGCGTACCTGTTGAGTCTCAGNGAGGAATTTTTTTTTTCATTGGTTCGGTTAGTCCTTTGGACTGGCGGCTGAAGAAGAATGTGCAGNTAAGGTTCCCGACTGGCATGTAAGACAGTTGATAGAAGGGTAGTGTCCAGGACGGTCATGCCTTTATGGCCAGTAATGTTGCTCGGTCCCATCGTCGTTTCAACCGTGACCAGTGAGCTTGGTGCTTCTCATTTTGGTCTTTCGCCGTCAGCAGTACTTGGAGCTTTAGCTTCGTACGCCCCCAATCTTTCCAGTTGCTTCTTTCGTGCAACAACGTCCTTGAAATTACGAACGTCTTCGTATCCTTCAGGCATGTATGCTTCAGGGCCTTGTTGAATATAATATTTGTTACATCTGTATGAACTTGGCTGAGTGATAGACTGCCAAACCATAAGCAAGCCACTGAGTCTAAGGAGACCGCAAACCTCACAACGATGCTGAACAGGGCTCGCGTGCAGCACAGGACGATGGGTTTTCCACGGTAGCTCTTCGCGCACCCAATTATGTTTTCTCAACCACTGTTTCAACTGTTGTGACAACTTGTACATCGGGTCGGTNGTCATATCTTTCTTTGGACCATTTGTTAGCTCGCTCACTCCACTCGGGATCATTTGAATGCAGGCGAAGCCAGCTCCGTCTTTTATGGCCAGNCTCCTTCTTGTGCCATTCCTCATCTGTGCGCCTACGAAGCTTCTCTGCATCCAGCTGTTGTCTCCGAATAATGGGGTCCTTTGACTTGGCTTGCCGACTGGAAATTGAGAAAAGTTTCGACGTGATCAAGACATACGACTTCTGAGCCATGAAGCCCATTCTCTGGAATCGAGTTGGCAACATGGTGGTCGATCTTGATATGGTAGTCAGACGGGCAACAATAATATGCGGTCAACAAAGAGGTGAAGTTCGGCAACAAACGTCCAGGGATCATCATCGTTGTTGACGCACGGGCGCTGATTTTTGGGTCTCTCTGCAACAATTGATTCTGCTCTGCCAACGACATCAACCTTTTCTAGACAACCGTGCATATTTCTCTCAGCAACCAGGATATTCAAGTCGCATACGCCCAGTCTCAACAAATACACGTCGTATACCCCCAAAACTTCTGTCGAGACACGAAAACTCATAATGGCACCCCGACAAGCACCTCGTGCACCACCAGCAAAACGCCGCAAGACAACCACTCAAGTCGAAGAACTGAAATTTGATCCCGAGGCGCGCAACGAATGGCTCACGGGCTTCCGCAAGAGAAAGCAACAGCGCATCAAGCATGCCCAAGAACAGTCCGCCAAGATTGAAANNAGGAAGAGAAGGTCAAGGCGAGAAAAGAGGTATGCGACATTGCACTTCACACTTGCTGCTCGACAAGCAGGATGCTAACATGAGGAACACTAGTTGCGCGATCAGAGAAAAGTAGACTTAGAACGTCATGTCGCCGAAGTAAACGACCTGCTCAGAAAAGCGAACAAAGACTCGGACGACGAAACATCTGCCGCTGAAGACGAAGAAGAATGGGATGGCATCGCTTCACCACCGAGACCGTCCATTGACGGTGTGGACGAGTATGTCGACGAGGACAAGTACACAACCGTCACCATCGAAGCCATGGAAGACGCAAAAGCTTTCACGAAAGATTCAGACGATGAGGAGCAGACTACTGTGGTGAAAGAGGACGCCGATGGCAAGGNNGATGGCGATGTGGTCAAGAAGAAGACGGTCTGGTCAAAAGGGAAGAAGGTGGATCCCAAGAGCAAGCCCAAGAAGAAGAAGTTCAGATACGAGAGCAAGGGCGAGAGAAAGGAGACTCGCAACAAGCAAAAGGCAAAGAATGCCGCTGCGAAGAAGGCTAGAGAGGGAAAGTGATGGACGCATACGTTTCGTTTCAAGAGCACGCATGATACCCAAATAAGCATTTTGTTTTTCTCATGTCAAAGAGGAAGCTTCCATTTGATCGGCAAAAGTGGTGGTATCATGTGCGAGGGAGATGATTTCTTTGAAAAGTAACAAGTTCAGAAAAAACGCTCGGAGAATGCTCTCATTCTCTACGTAGCGATGATGACGCCCATGCTAACAACCCAAGATTGAAAAAACGTCGATGGAAAAGACGACGGGAGATACGAGAAAGAGGCCGCGACGAACGGATGCAAAGGTGAAGAGAAGACGTGGCTTTAGATGTTGCCAATCTCGGCAACAAAGTCATCGAGCTCCTTCTTGGTCTGGTTGTACTTCTGGGCCATCTCCTCGTACTTGGCCTCCCATTGGTCGCGGGCGGCCTCCAGGGCTTGCACCTTGCGCTCGTAGTGGCCGGCCTTGACGTCAGTCTGGCGGAGCCTGTGGGTGGCATGTTAGTACGAACAATGTGCGGCATGTTGACGAGCAAACGTACTTGTCGTTAGTCTCTCTNNCAAGTTTCTGTCGGCCTCCTCAGCCTCCTCCTCGAGGAGCTGAAGTCTTCTCTGCAAGCTCTCGTTCTGGGTACCGTGCTGGGCGCTCTCGTCGGCGGCGGCCTTTGCGTCCTTGAGACCACCCTCGATCTTCTCCAGTTCGCTCTCGAGGAGTTGGTTCTTGTGCTTCAACGAGGTGATCTCTTGCTCCTTGGCGAGGTTCTCCTGCTCAAGCGACTTGACCTTTGCCTTGAGCTCCTCGTTCTTGGCAGCGGACTCGTCAGCCTCGAGGCGGAGGGCGTTCATGCGCTGTTGTTGGGACACATGTCAGCTTTCCTGAAGAAGCGGTGGGGCATGAGGGGTAATTGGAAATGGCGGCAGCGACAGGAAGATCAGATATAGACTGTATTTTGGACGATTTCGAATCATGCACCTTGCGGTGTATTAAGGGGAATCGTTGATTTTCATCATGTAGACGTGGCATGCGCAGTGAAGGTGTTGGAGCTTTTGTTGATGACACGCACCTGCTTGATGGCATCCATCTTGTGTGTTTGTTGTGATTACTGGGTTTGGTAGAAGATCAAAGACGCTGTAGAGCTGAAGCTAGGTGAGATGAGGACAGAAGGTCGAGAAAGCGGTCTTGTCAGAGTGCGGCAGTATGTGTATAGAGTGTAGAAGTTCAGGGGGAGGGGGGATGCTTCTCGAAGTTTGGTAGTGATAGAGACGTTTGGACCACCGGGCGGAGGCTGCCACACAAACAACCGCGACCTCCGAGCTCAACCCGCCAAGCCGTTCAAGCCCAGGCGACCTCGCTGGTCCGTGAAGCTGCGTTGCCGCGTCGACACAGAGCATCAACAGAAGAGCCGACGACTGCATTTACGGCCTCCCTTCTCCAACCGTGGTTAGGACAATAGTTCGTAGCAGAAAGTCCTGTCACGGCTGTCGAAACTTGACACGGTCGCAATTGCTCATCTAATTGTTCGTCATGCGACTGATAGACCAAGCGTAAACAAAGAAGCCGCTTGACAACCACTCGGACTACATCAACTGCCTGACGCACTGCCCAGCGTTCTCTTGACTTTTCTCCACCTGCATGCATTGAGACTATACGACAATCGACCACCATGTTCGCTGCACGCGCTGATCAAGAGAATTTGGCTTATGCCCATCAAGCTGCTGCCGCTGCCAAACCATTGAACCAACAGGCAAAAACTCCCGCCAACAAGGCTCCCAAGACGCCCTTCCGCCGTAACCAAAATGACGAAAACGACGCTTTCCAGTCTGGTTTCAAGACTACCAAGACAACAAAGAAGGCTAACCTGGATCCTAATGCCTTCATCACTCCTGCAGGCCCACGCAATCGCGCTCCCCTTGGCATGAAGACGACCAATGCTAAGGCAAAGACTCCGGCTCCATTAACCATCAAAGCATCTGCTCAGAAGACTCTCAGTCCTCGGTTGCGCAGGCAGAAGGTCAAAATCCACCAAGCCGAGCCTGTCCAGCAAGACCAAGACGATGGTGTCCCAGACATTGAGTATATGCCCCCAGATCCATTCGTGAGTGTGTCCTTTCTTTCCCGTCTGTGACATTTACTGACCTCCCNNTTAGCCCTACCTGACCATCCAGACACAATTCACGAACGTGACTACTCGGTCCTTTCTCCCGAGTATGCTACGAAAGGCTTTTGGGGCGCCTTTGAGAACGCCCCTGATGAGCACGGCGTTCGTCCATCCGAACGCAAGAATCGCGAATTGATCGCTCGCACCGATAAGATCCAGCAAGACATCATCCGCCGCGCCCTTGAAGCCGATGACTTCCTAAGTCTCGACCTCACAAAAGTTCGCAAGGCTTTTGAGGAGAAGGAGCAGCAAGCCAGAGCTCCGTCTAGCCTGTCAGCCCGACGTGCTGCCAGTGCTTTATCAAGATCATCATCAACCACCACACTTGGTCCTCGCTTCGCTGCACCTACAGCAACCGCTACTGCTCGCTCCCGCACGACCACCGATGTTCGCTCTCTGCCTCGCAAGCCTGCTTCATCTCTGACTGCTCCTACTGCATCATCAGCTCGCCATGCCAATGCTACCGCTGCTTCGCGCAATACACTCGGCTATGCTAGAGGCCGTGCCGTTTCTGCTGCCTCGAGACGCCCTCTTTCTACTATCCACGACAAGCCTGTCACCCCTGCCGAGAAGAAGACCAGAACTGTACTGGAGAATTTGATTGCCGACGATGCCGAGGTTGAAGAATTGATTCGCGAACGCAATGCCCTTATGGAAGCCAACGAACCTCCTGTCGAGCCTATGAACAAGCTCTCAATTCTTTACGATGAAGATGACGAGTACAAAGACTTCCAGCTTACCATACCAGAGTGAGCAAGGAGTTGTTGCAGACCAATGTTCAGATAATCACTGGACGTGAACACTCTCTGACATGGTCTTGGTCACGAAAGATAAATTTCAACTACGTTCATTCTCTCATGCCACTGATGATTACTACGCCCGCTCTTATGCTCTACATGCACCATGTCTCCAACTGCATGATCTTGATGTCTACGCAGACTGCTCCGATCTCGGTTCAGATGACTGCATCCTTTGTTAAATGGTTTCCAGTTTGGTGGCTTCCTGTTGGGTTCTTGGTTTTGGTGCAAAGGTAAAGGGTTACTCTCCTTCGTTGGTTCAACTGGTTGGATCGACAACCTGGCTGGAAGAAGAAGCCCATCGGCTCATGGGTAGGTGTTTATTCGATGATAATACATTCGCTTGTTCAATCAGATCTGACCACCTTGCGCAAAGCATGGTATTACGTGATTTCTCTACATAATTTCTCCAGTCGCCCACATGATGACTGCCCAATGGAGACACGCTTGAGAGTAAGACGAACCAAAGAAAGGCTGTGACTTCCGGCAATTTGAAGAATGGTCTTGGTTCTATCAATATTCATAGATGAGGAAGACTGTTGAGAATCGGTTTCGGGGCTCTCGTCCGTATTCACAAATCGCATGTCTCAAAATATCCATTGGTTGGCTCCTCCGTACTGATCGCTTTCTCCGTAAGCTGGACGAGCTGACGCCATATTCTGAGGTGGGTTCTCTTCTTTGGCCTTGGGAGGATCCAGTTGCCTTCTCTCTACCCAAGTAACAGAAATCTGTCCTTCCTGGTCGCACGTACCAAAGCGAAGACCCCCATCATGGCGTAAACGGACATTTGCGATCCCATCGCTTGAGTCCTCGTCCACGCCTTCGTCATCAGGTACATCGCGGTATTTGCCATGACGCAAACTTTCGTGTTCCGGTGTAGGACGTTTTGGTAAGGTCAACGGACCCCATCCCGAGTTGTTGTTGTAATAGTCATGAGCCGCCGCATGTGCAGTTTTGAGATCGGTATAGACGCCGTGTATGTCTTGTTCGAATGTCCGGTAGGGGTCTCCGTCCAGACTTTGTACAATGTAGACGTATTTTGGATTTGCTTTGGTCGAGGTTGTTGGTTGAGGTTGCGAAGATGAGGTGGCCCTTTGCTTCTCCTTGGCTGGGAGTTCATCCACGGCTTTGCGTTTCTTGTCAGATGGCATGTTGTCGATTTTTGGTTCAAGGGAAGCTCAATGAGTTAGACTTTGAACCACTGTATGTCAATAACAAAGAGATGAGCAAGATGAGATGAGGTTACAGTGGCTTGATTCAGATAAGGAACTTTGCACAACTCATTCACAAAGATTGTGCCTGATGTATAAAGCGTGATGGCCAGAAACATCTCTCACGACCTCTGATCTGCTTCAGTCGATTTTCTGCCTGGTTCCATTTCCAATCCCAATGTGGTCTATTTATCTCGCTTCTGGCAATGTGGATGGATTGAGCTCACGCCTTTCGACCCAGACAACATTGATATACTCGTCTTCATAGCGCCCGCCAAATCGCAGCCCGCCATCATGGCGTAAGCGAACGACTGAACGCGCATTCTTCACGTCCTCATTCTCTTCTTCATATTCCTCTAACCAACGATACCCTCCATCATCCAGATCCTCATGCTCTGGCTCAAGTTCGTCAGGGATGGACACTTTTCCCCTTCTTTTGTTATAGTATTTGTGAGCTGCTGCATTTGCAAGTTCGCAACCGGTATAGACACCGAGAAGTTCTTGTATGTGAGCGTCGGGCCCTGGATCATAAATCAAACTGTAGACGGTAAAGACACTGGTCAGGGATGTGGTGGAATTCGATGCGGCTCGAGACTGGTCCAAGGTCGGAAGTTCCTCGTCGGCTTTGCGTTTCTTGTCAGACGGCATCTCAGTGGTTTTCTGGTCTGGAACAATATTCTGGTGTGGATATTTACGTCGCGAAGAGGTAAGTAAGATGAAGTGAGGTTGCAGTGGCTGGTTTGATCCATGTAGATCGCTTTGCACAACTCGTTCATAATAGTTGTGCTTGATATATAGAATTGTCAAAGCGTCCAGTCTCTGGCTGAGATGGTTTGCCATAGTTTGATTGTAAAAATGCACAAACTTAATCAGACACTCAAAAAATCCACTGAGAGCGATATATAATACAGGCTCTCAACGGATGACTCTTCATCTCAAACAACTTCTTGATGTTCGTCAGCTAACAACTAGCAATCGGTTTGTCGTGGAAGCGCAGAGCAAACAAACCTCTTGGCACGCAGCTGCACCAAAAGTTTTCGTCTCGCGCTTTCGGCACATCAAAACACCGAACGCCAACGTCTTTTTGGGCCACACATGTCAACGCGCGCAACGCAGCCATGAATGGTCGTCTTGCGCTTTCTGACCCCTCTGTGAAGGAATTAGCGAAGGCTACTTGCTCAAGCACCCATTACGACAACTTACCAGAGTTACTTGGTGAGGCTAATTGGCAAGAATGGAGTGATGCATTGCAACACGCTGCCTTGTTGGCGGGCACTGACGCTGTACTGAACGGTGAATCAAAGCACCCAATCTCACTGGAGGGCCAGCAATGTACTACCTCGGAATGGAATGACAACATCAAGCGCACTGCAGTCTGGCGTCGGCGCAATGAAAGCTTACTCAAGGCTATGCGCAACGCCTCAGCTGTTGATCTCACAGCATTTGATGGCTCAAACGCGCATCAAACTTACCTGGGCCTCAAATTACAGTATCACACTTCCGACAGCCAAAAGGCGTTCAAGCTGTTCAGCGAAGGACTCATGGTAATATACGAACTGAACAGCTCACCCAGAGATATCGCCGATCAGCTTCAAGATGCTTTCAACCGATACAATCACTTGGTCGGTCACAACACCGAGCAACGTCTTCCGGATAACTTCTTGAAGATGGCATTTCTCGATTCGCTCGATTCTGAGTATGGCGATTGGCGTAAGACATTGTTGAAAGAGCGCGACGTTCTTGCACTGGATGAAGGATCGACTCTTACCTTCAACGAGCTTGTAAATTTGACCATTGCCGAGCGCGACCGCCTGTTACAAGAGCAAACAAACAACAAAACCTCTGTACCAATAATATCACAACGACCGCCAAAGCGCAACATCTCTGAAGTTGACGAACCTGCTCAGCAGGACGTACACAACCCTTGTTACAGAGCATCTGCCCAGGACCAGGGATACTCAGCACAATATTCAGAAATCCAGAACATGCATTCTAACGATAATTTTTCGGACGACTCGGAGAGCAACGATGGTAGTGACCCCATGGCCGAAGATGGAGCTGAAGAACAATTTTCTACTAGCAACCAACACTACGCGTCGTCAGGAGAGCAAGCTGGTGATGACAACCCTGAATACCGTGCCACATTCGACAAGAACTGGCAAGATCTAGTGGTTGCTCAATACGACGAAGTCCAAGGCCAGATCGATGCCATCAATCGCGTTCTCAGGAGAATCGGCAGCTCAAAACGACAACGTCGCAAGCGTGGACCTGTCCTTGAGGAGCTCTCCGGGAAATGGCTGCTTTACAGCGAGGAGTACAATCCAGCCAACGCCGGCGCCCTACGGTTCGAGTGCTGGGAGATCACCTCAAGGAAACAGAAGCGACTGCATCCAACAAGTAAACAATACAAAGGACGACTAACTATCGGATCCCGTAAACAATTCAAAACAATCGAAACTACCTGCTTCTCGCCTTGTCCTCGGATCACGGGTCTTCCAACAATCGTAAAATTCAGGCAGCAGCCGGGTACAAAGCTCCAAGCTGGAGAGATGACGTTCTGGGGTGATGGGAAGATGCTTGCTAAAGTGCCAGCATCTGTTTTTGATCATGCAAATGGTTCTGAACCATTGTTAAAGTTCGCAGGTCTTCAGTCGGATCAGAGTACCGACTCATCTGGTACGAGTGATAGCGGCGAATCTGAGGGTAGCGACGACGATGAAAGCGATGGTGAAGACAACGACGATCGAAACGGTGACGATGAAAGCAGGAGCAGCGACAGCAGCGATGATGAAGAACGCTATGATCGCGTCATCAGAACAGACAGACATGCTAGCGTGGCCATCAAAGTTGAAGAGAACAACAACACAGAAAGGATGAGAGATGCTGAAGGGGTTGTTACAGCTGTGGCTATCAAAGCTGAACAATCCGACTCTGATGAGTCTGCCGATGAGCATATCGACAGTGTCGCGACTGCAATCGAGACTGTGCAAAAACAAGAAGAGATAGTCAGCCAAGGCGTGATCACTCCTCTTCATGACATTTCTGGCAAATGGTACCTGCACTCTACACAGGATAATCCGGGTTTTGATAGCCGTGTTACGATCACTTTCTCCGACCGTCATCACAATCATCACATCTCGGAGCGGGTATGTGCCCCGGGCCACTGCAAGTCTATGCCGGGTCGTATATGCTATTGCGGAGAGTTACTTCTCAAGGCAGAGGACGGCAATTCCAGTTTCGATTGCCTCATCAAGCAATTCGATGTACCAAAGCAGACGTCTCTTGATGCTCAAACCATCTTGTTGTGGAATCGTGGCGTTCAAAACTCCACGGTATGTATGCATGCGTGGTTTTATGGTGGAGGCACGATTCGTATCAGGCTTCCTACTCCATTGATTCCAGGTTATCAAGGTCAGGATGACTGGATCACATTCTCGGGACTCAAATGTGGATAGCCAGGAGAGGCTTAATGAGAATTGCTGAGGTAGGTAGAACAAGAACAAGGTCTCATGCAAATGAAGAGTATTCACGAGTTATCAATATAGTCCAGGGAGAACCTGTACTGGTAGGCATCTCAGTGAGTGCTCTGGTTGAACTAAAGGTGATGTGCTTTTCGACGATGCACTAAAGAATAGTCACTGAAGAATAGTCAGTCGAGCTAATATCTCGATCCCCCCTGAGAAGCTATCTCCAGCATCTGGACGGAAGATCTTCTGACTTCTGGCATCATGTTGATACACAATATGCATGTTTGTAGAGGAATTGTCCAAAGAGATGGTAGCACAACTCTTGATGGATATTATGGTTGAATGAATTGTGTTATGCATTTTGACGCTGACCAAAAAGCAGTGCTTTGAGCTGGAGTAAACATCTCCAATGCGACTTCCTTGTACGTCTGGCTGACTCGTTCGCTCTTTCCTCCATTCGCTCTTTCTCAACTCATCTGGCCTTCCACATCAGCAATCGAGATGACTCTCTCTTCAGCCTTGCTTGTCCACTTCATGTCTTGCAGGCAAGCTTTTATATTGTCCGTTCCGCTGGCTTCGAGGGTGCCTCTAAACTCCACACCATCCCCAGAGCTTGTAAGGTTGCTGAGATGACAGAAGTCAAGACGACATAACATGATGGCATCGACGAGTTCTTCGTGCATCCAAGAATCGGTGGTATGAGCATCCCGGATAGTCAAGCGTCGCAGGGAACGACTCTCAGTTTTCATGATGTGCTGCAGGCTGTTACAGGAGTCGCGTCCTGGCCATCTCCATTGTGAAAAATTGAGCTCGACCAGTCTCTCATTGGCTTCCGACAGTGCTTGTGTCAGAATAAAGTAGGTGTGCGTTCCAGTGTAAGTGATTGTACGACGACGCTGTGGCGTGATAGAAGTTGTGACCTGAGCTGCAGGAGACCTTCCGCGCAGGACACGAACGACGATGGGGCAGCATTGGCGCAGTACCCTTCGGATGTCATCGAGACGCTGCATGACGCGATCCATATCTGAGCTCGAGCTAGTGGAGCACTGTATATCCACGGTGAATGTCTCAGGCTTGTGTCGCTCCAAGCGAAACGCCCATATGACTGCCTCTATATTTTGGCAATAGTGTGATTGGTTATCGATTAACAATATGCCAAAATTCTTTCCATGCATGGCGGCCGAGATGTCTCCCAGTCTTTTATCCAATTGAGGTGTCCTGGGCAGCTTGGTTCCGGGAACTCCAATACAATTGCGAACCTTTTGCGAAAAGAGAGTATGTTCAGCAATCTTAGTGAGGCGCTCGAGACCTTCTGGTGTTATAGGATAGTAGAAATTTGTGAAGTACGCGTCGGCGAATCGAACTTCGACTTCGTCGCGGAGGACTCTGGATGTAGCGCGCAGAGCGGGAAGAGTTTCATCGTTGGCAAGCTGCGCGATGCGTTGAAGGACTTCATTAGGGAAGATGTAAAGGGGGCTTGGTTGGCGTGGGTGGACTGGCAGGGCTCAGGGCGTGTGACATGGTTGTTGTTGGTATGATGCTTTACGGGTGCGAGAGAAGCGTTGTGGGATTAATAAAGAAGGTAAAGTTGTTGTTGCCGTGATAGGAAAGTTATTATTAAAACTGACGATCTGGTAGTGATGGACCACGAGGTATCAGTGGTTTGTGTTGCACTTCGAGTGAAAGTGAAGCGACAAAATCAAAGCCAGCTTGAAGTGATTGATCACTGAAACGAATGTCTCAGCACAAAGCTGCATTGTCCTTCCTTTGTTGAATTCAAGAACAGTTTCGACCAGATGTCAGAGTTTTAGAGCATGGGTACCGCTCTTGCCCAATCCAGATCCATCAAACCAGCTCTGATCTCGTCACTTCCACTAGCTTCGAATGTGCCCCTGAACTCCAAACCACCATCAGAACTTCTCAGGTTGCTGATATGACAAAACTCAAGATTGTCGCATTCCATGATTGCAGCTTTGAGCGCCATATACGAACAGGCCTTGGTGGTGCGAGCGTTTTTGGTGATTATACGTCGCAGAGTGTTGATTTGCTTCTTCACAATGTCTTGCAAGCCCACATGGCCATCCGTGCTGACGAACTCGCAGTCAATAAGAGTAATCTCGGTCAGCTCATCCTCGTCGGCGAGTTGCTGCGCGAAAGACTGGTATTTGTGAGTGCCCTTGCAGGTGAGTGTGCGACCAAGCTGGTTGCGTTCGAATGCGACAGAAGCCGAAGGGTCATTTCTTTCATTCTTGCGCACGAAGCGAATGACAATGTCACGTTCTTCATGATATCTGGCCTTCAGCAGCCAGAGCTTTTCATCGATGGAATCGTCAGGGCTCAAGGTAGCGGAGTCTTGCACATCCACTATGAGCTTGTCAGGATCGCGGTAAAAGTTGAGGTAAGCAGCGACATCCATGGTTGCTTCATTCTGATCGCGCAAGGACAAGTTATCGATCAACAGGATGCCAAAGTTGCGTGCCTGCATAGTGACAGCAATCTCATTGTATGCTTTCCAGAGTCGAGGTGTACCCCTGATAATTGGCGACCATCCTCTTTGAGGTGGCTGAGCATTGCTGAAGCCGATGACGCTGCGGACTTTTGCGAGAATAAGGGATGCTTGGTTATGCCAATCAGACGAGCGAGGCCTTGTGGTGTTGCGGGATAGTAGACATTGGTGAAGTAGGTGTCGGCAAAACGAGTTTCGGTTTCGTGGTGGAAAAGCTTGCTGACTGCGCGTAGAGTCGAGAGATCTTCAGCATCGACGACTCTGGCGATAAGTATGAGAATCTCATCTGGAAGATAGACAGGGGTGTTGACAGGTTGGAGGGTGCTCGGTGGGTCTGACATGGTTGCTCCTTCTCCAAAGTCTGATGGCGCTGACATGCCAATTGTAGAGAATATTCTGAACCAAGAAGAATATATTCGCCATCACATATTACTCAGGCCCGGGCGACTCGCGTTCGACTGCCCATAATGGCTTAGTATGTCGTGTGCATTTCGAGTGCCCTGGCAGTCGACATGACCCTTGGCGAGACAGATGGGATATCGACATGGTGTGTGACTTGTCTTTCAAAGGTCTTGAAAGAGAAGTAAGCATCAGAGTCGATGTCTCACGGGCTTTTTCTTTGTCCATATCTGAGACATTCATCGGAGGCCACTGTTACTGACATAACTGTCAGGGCTGACGCCTCTTGAAGGCGATGGTGGTTGTGGAGACCAGGAGTCTGGAGATCATGGTGCACTGAATCCAAGGCTGGCCGACCCTTCCCTGATCCAAAAGGCATATTCAAAGAAAGAAGAAGCAGGAAGCAAGTAGAAAGCGGAAGACATCACGTACAGAATACAAAGCTGAGTCAATCCTTCCTGATTCGAGAAGAATATTGGTTCATCCAAGTTTGAAACTTCTCCAGCATGGCCTTGAAGCACTAAGACGAAAGAATCATAGAGACAATTGTACTTGTCAATCTTTCCAAAAGTAATTTGACCAATCTTGTGACAAAGAAGAAACCTACCACGTACCAACCAACATATCAACTCTAGTCCCCTAGCTCACCACCTAAAAGAACTTCTCAAACTGCTCCGCCCCCTTTACCTCCCCCGTCCACCCAGCCCTCTCACAAGTATAAACCTCCGCTTTCGGTTTCGCCTCCTCAATCGCACCCTCCCCATCCAAAACTCCCACCCTGATTACCATAATCCCCTGCTCATCACTCATATCCCCCACCCGCCACAAACTGCTTCCACAATCACCGCAAAACACTGTTGTTACAGTACGTCCAGAGTCTGCTTTTGCAGAGTACTTNTTGGGTTCGCCGGTGAGGAGGGAGAATGCAGAGGTGGGAACTATGATGTTGGTGCTGTAGGCTGAGCCGGAGATTTTGCGGCAGTCGGTGCAGTGGCAGATTGCCTGTTGTCGTTGTTAGATGTGTTTGAACGGCTGGGGTTGAGAAGTGCTTACCTTGTTGATTGGTTCTCCCTCATAGGCAAAAGTGATTTTACCACAGTAGCAGGATCCTTTTCCCATTGTTGCGTTTTTTTGTTGTAGATTTGCTGTTTTCAAACGTTTCGTTTGGTGATTGATAAGACTGCTGTGACTTTTGGCTGACGAGGAACAGCTCTAGCTTTGATTCTTTCTGGTCAATTGGATTTTGGCTTGATGATCAAATAGGTCTGTAGCCTGTAGAATTTCAATTGGGCCTTTCTTGGATCATATATAAGTACGCGGAGTATATTCCTTGCCAACAGGCGAATTACAAATTGCACGGGAGGACGTTCGGATGAGGGGTGGAGGATGCAATGATCTCATGGTCTAGACCTTTTAGATATAAGATAAAGCTCGGAAAGCATGGCACGTGCCTTTTTCAGAATGTTCTGATACTGGAAACCAGCATTCGCATTAGGGTGGTAAACAAAAGTCGGCTTGTTACAGTTGATGGAAGGGGATGTGAATATCCTGTCGATGTCTGTGTTCTGTCCATAGAAACTATTTTGCGTCGTGGAGTGTGGTTTGTTTTGTGTATCGGAGCTATCCTCCGTGAAATGTCAAAGTCGAGTTTCGGCCGAGGTATGTGAGGCCTGGAGCGACCGTACTCGAGTACCAACGACTTGTGTGGCACATTGATGATCAAAAGAGAGGCTGCGAGGACATGGGTTGCTGATTCTCGATCAGATCTGAATCCAGACCAATACAATTAGACTAGTGTTTGAATCCATGACACGACCAGGGTGATACGAGCAACAACTTTGCCGTGCTAGTACATATCAACTACATCATGAACAATGTCGAAACCTCACTCAAATGAATCATCATGAGTCGAAGTACTTTCAGTGTTAACACATGGTGAGATGTCGAGACCTGCGTGGCTAGGTTAGAAACCCAGCCAAGTGAGTGAAAAGAAGCAAAAGTCAGAAATCGGAAGAAGTGTGAGGAGAACAACCAAAGCAAGAGCCAGAAGGAAAACACATCAATTGGTAATTGTTCGCAGCTGCATACACTGCATGAAACAACACTGGGTATCATCCACCTCAAGAAGAATACGAAATCTCCAAACCAACCGATCCGATAATGTTATCCCGTCGCTTCAAATTGAGATCCGCACCGATGCTAACCAACAAATCCTTGATACGGCCCTCCCAAAGCACGCCAATCTTGCCATGTTGGTTGACTCTTGCTTTGAACACGCTATCCACTTCTTGAGTGTTGTTTTGTTGGAGCAGGTCTTGTGTGATCTTTGTCTCCAATACTGATTCTTGTTGTGCTGGTGGTGGTCGTTTGTCTTCAACAACAGGTATGGTGTCGCTAGCGACTTCTGCAGATTTTCTTCGCCAGAGCTCCAGACCGAGTTGGACGTCGGACTCGTAACTGTAGATGTTAAAGTCGAAGCGAGAACTCAAGGCTACATCATGGCCAGCCTTGACAGCATAGCTAGAAGAAATATTGCCCATTAGAGGATTCATAGTCAAAGCCATGGTATATGGAAAGCCAGTATGTGAAGGCAGTGTTGTAAAGCGGATAGCAGTAGACACACCGCCAGACTTGTTAAGCGGCGAAAAGTACAACTCTGCACCAGCACTGAGACGACCGATTTGAGGATCGATGGGTACAACGTTGCCTATGGGCGTTGTAGTGCGAGGAATTGTGCGGGGATCGAGACCGAAGTTGTAGAGACCGCGGATACCCATTAAGCAGCTGTCTGTCGAGAAGAGGTACTCGGTTGAGTATTTGGCGTGATCATTTTGCAGTTGGGCCAGGACAGAGCCACCGTTAGGGAGAGCAGAGTCGGAAACACATGACAGACGAAGAAGACGCGATGGCGATATGCGACGCAAATACAAGGCCTCAAGGGTCGATGTGGGCAGGTACAGACGACCATACAGCAGAGTGTCCTTCTTGTCAATCCTCCTTCCAGCCTGCCATATCTCCCACAGATACGTCTCGTCCGGTCGGCGTAACTCGGGTAGGTGTCTGTAGCCTCTGACCAGATTCCGCAAGTCTATGATGCTGCTTTGGGAAGGAATGCGCATGGGCAAGGACGAGTAGAGGAAGGAGATGGAGCCATCGACGAAGCCTCTGTTGGAAAGAGTGTATGAGGTCGCAAAGCCAGGCGCAGATAAGGACGAGATGCGAAGGCGAAGGCCATGAGGAGTTTGGAAATCAAGGAGGGCTNNTATACAATGGTCAGCGCAACGAATGTGGACTACCTAGACATGGCTATGTTTACCATTGGCCGTGGCCGTCAAGGTGCTGTAGGAATTGTCATGATCCCACAGGGACGCCGAGTAAAAGGCATTTTGGACATAGTCCATGAACTCGATCATCTCATCTATATCATGACTAGACTAGGCGACAATCAAAGATTATATATTCGACCATCGCGTCAACATGGAAGATGCTCGCAGGTCGAGGGTCGGCAGTCGGAGCTTTGAGAGCGTCTTTCCCCGCAAAAATGGCAGCTCCATCCTGATTTTTTTTGTAGCCCAGTCTGAGTCGCCCAGCGGCACATTTCCACATCCCAGTCGCATTCACCAGAAACACCACACCACACCACACAACCATGCCCAAGTCAAAGAGATCCAAGGTCGTTCACCTGACCCAAGTCCAGAAGAAGGACAAGGAGCTGCGCACAAAGCTCTTCGACAACGTTCGCGATGCCGCCGACAACTTCACTCACATCTACGTCTTTGGCGTCGAAAACATGCGCAACACCTACCTCAAGGACGTCCGTACCCACTTTGCCGACTCGCGCATTTTCTTTGGCAAGACAAAGGTCATGGCAAAGGCCCTGGGCATGACCGACGCCGAGGAGTACCAACCCGGCCTCTCAAAACTGACTTCCTACATCGACGGCAGTGTTGGTCTGTTGCTGTCCAACCGCGACCCCGCAGAGGTCCTCGAGTACTTTGAGAACTACTCCGAGATCGACTACGCACGCGCCGGTGTCAAGGCAACCAGAGACTTCACTGTTCCCGCTGGTGTCGTCTACTCGCGCGGTGGAGATTTGCCTGTCGAAGAAGACGTCGCTCTGCCTCACAGTCTGGAAGTCACCGTCAGGAAATGGGGCATGCCCACAAAGCTCGACAAGGGCAAGGTTGTCCTTGATGGAGACTACGAGCTCTGCAAGGAGGGCCGTACCCTCAACAGCCACCAGACTGCTCTGCTCAAGCTTTTCGGTGTCGCCATGGCCGAGTTCAGAATCCAGGTCAAGGCCTACTGGAGCCAGGCTACAGCAGAGGTCACTCCTGTCGAGGACCCCAACACCATGGAGGAGTAAGGAAATTGGAAGCAAGCATCAAAAGACAACAAAAGGGATGGGAAGCAAGAGATCAAAAGTGCCGGTACCGATGGGTTATATGGCTGGCAAGCTTGCATGAGCGAGGCGCTCTGGCGTTCTATGGTTGGTTGTTTTTTGTTCTTCATTTTCTGTAATTGGCATCTCACTTTTGAGAACGAAAAGTGGTCCAAATCATTGTATTCATTCAAGGTGGAAACAAAAGAGGTTCTGGCATGTGAAGGGTTTCTAGATTGATATCCATGACCGAAAAGAAAGTGTTTAACTTCATGCGTTTTGTGTCTGGAACATTGAACCGAACATCACTTATATTAAGGCGCTGTCTATTGTGTTCAAGATATACATTGATGAAGGCGGCATTAACTATGAGACGAATAGTAGTGCCACAGGGACGTTGAGTAGTACTGCTCTATTCGTGCAAGTCGCCTGCTCAATGTACAAGGAAGAGGCAAGACACAATTTCAAAAGAGAACCAGAAAGGGACACCAGAGTATGATCATAAAGCCATGTCTTTTTGATTGCCCTCAAATTTTTGTTTTTGTTCGCGACACAACGTAGCCTCGAAGACGTTTTTCATTGCAAAGATTTTTTGATGAAAAGTTCGCCTATTGACCATCCCCCAGAAGCCCAGATCTTTTATTCAGTCCGAGAGGCCGTTCCATGATGAGAGCATGATCAAGTGCTACTAAAAAAGTTTCCCCCTCTCTGCGCCGAAGAAAAGTACCGATGAACCACTACGACGAATGCATTTATGACTCGGTGGTGATCTTGGCCTTGGCGTTGGTGACCTTGACACCGAGCTGCTTGGCGCGGGCGACGATGTCGATGCGCTTGCGGGCAGAGACGGCGTGGGAGATCNNCTGTAAGTGTATATGTTAGAACAGAGGTCGCTTGGTGCAAGAGAAGCGGGAGCTTCATTGCTCGGTAGGAGGGATGTCGTACTCAGCGGCGTAGGTGCGGTTGTGCATGAGGAGAAGGTCGAGCTCGCGGACGTTGTTGACGAGGAAAGCCTTGTGGCCGGAAGGCATCATGTGGCGGGTCTTCTTGTTGGAACCGTAACCGATCTTGGGCATGACGGCCTGGCCCTTGAAGCGACGGCGCATGGCATTGTCGATACCCTTGGGCTTTCTCCAGCTGGGGTCTACGCGCATGAAGCGGTCCGACTGGTGGCGGGTGAAGCGCGAAGTGCCTGCAAATCCATCACTGTCAGCGACGGGCTCCCTGTTTCTTCTCTCCGGCGGTTGTGTCTATCGTGTCGGCGCTCTCTAGGTGGGTTGTGGAATGGTGTGCTCGTGGCTCCTTGGACGGGCGGACGTACGCTTCTTGACGATAGGGACATGCTTCTTTGCGGCGGGCATCTTTACGAAAAATCGAGGTCAGTGATGCTGCGTATGTGGCAGAGCGAGCGAGAGGTATATCGTACTGTGTCGTTCTGGGCGAGTTATCGTTGGTCGCTGTTCGAGAGTCGTCGTTTCTCAGAGTGTGTGAATTTTCCACATCGCACTTTCCTCGCTTAGCGTTGTGGCCAGCCCCACTAATTTCCGCTTTAGGTAAGAAACCTTCTGTTCTTTCTTCGCTTCACCTATGGATGCTCGACATCTACATATTTTCCTCCAACCAATTTTCTTGCGATAAACAATCTGGTGAATACAATCGTCTTTCACTAGATTGGTTCTTGGTCGACAGAAAGTCTGCCTATTGAGACGACATTATGGACGATTGAGATTATGCAGTGCTGTACGATATGTTCACGGCTAAATTTATTCATCACTGCAACCATTACCTTACACAGACTTGTTGGCCAATACAGAATGATTTTGGTAGTGATGCGAGTCGCATCGAGTCATGAATATCATCATTAAGCTAAGTAAAGACCAAAGCAATATCATCGTTGAAAGTCTGTGATCCAGCCAACCATGGCCATGTGCCCCCAATGAGTACAGAAAATGCATCCAAACGCCTCGCTAAGAAAACATGTCCTCTTTCAATGCATGCTACTTCATGTCGCAGTGACCGTCTGCAGTGTTTGAGAAAATCCCGATGACCTGCGCCGACCTTTGCTACCAGCCGTCCGCATCTTATGTGGCGTTGATGCCTTCTTGACATTCGGTGGTGGCAATGGTGTTTGTTCCACTTTGATCTCTGGCGATGGTGGTTCAACAGGTTGCTGTGGGACGAATTTGCTCTCCTCCATTATGACCGCAGGTTGTTCCGGTAGTTGTTCGCTTTGTAGACTAGATGTAGTGTGGATCGCGAACGCTTCTTGGTGTACCTTCTGCGTATCTTGTGTTACAGGTTCAGGGGCAGAAACTTCCACGCGTTCGTAGAAGAGCATAAAGACACCACCTTGCCCAAGAACATGGTCTTCACTGACGGCAGATACATCATCATCGCTCAGCCGCCACCACTTCATAGGTGTATGCTTCGACAAAGTATCGTTGTCGCTGTCTTGAATGTGTTCAGGATGTTCGCGATAGCAGATGTAATGGCCGTTCTCATGGCGACCGTAGTGGGTAACAGCGGCTCGCAGGATGTACTCCGACCTTGCGTCTTTGCCAGATGATCCGATCATTGATCTTGAAGGGTTCATGCGCCATTCTTCCTGGTCACCAGAATCCCTGGTAGTGCCCAGACACCACGGCCCCAGATTCAGTGTCTTAGAATATGTAACCTCTGCAAGATTTTTGCTTTGAGCACCTGTATACTCATCGAAAACGCTTCGGTTCACGTGTACTACCAAGCACTGCGGCGTTCTAGCAACTACAGCTTGGCGAGTTTTGGTACTAGATACCCGAGACTTCTTGGGAATCTGGCATTTCTTGTTGAGTGTATCATCTGAAACGTCTCCATCTGCCAGCGCTTGCTCTACAGCCTGTAATCTCTGCAGGATCGTAGCACGAAGCTCAGGAGGTAGAGAGACTGATGATGAAACTGAGTGGCCAGCAGAGTTGTCCGACTCTGTCGTCATGTTCTCCAGCTGTGATTTGGTACGGAGTAACGTGCACCTTGCGCATTCCACACCAGTAATCTCTTCCAGACTTGTGTATTCGTTCAAGCAGTCTTCGATTCTGTAACTGTAGTTTCTGCCGAGCGGTACGGTTAGACAGTTGAAGGGAATCATGGAAAGACCTTCAGAGAAACCACAACTAGTGCAGGCAACACGTTGAGCGAGGAAACCATCGAGAGGATTGCGTTGTTGTGCGCCCAGATCTTGGCCTTTCGAACCGGATGCCTTGACAGTATCCAGTGAGCCGACTTCTTGGAGTCCTGAAGTGCCTGGTGCAGTCTTGAAAGCTTTTGTCATCTCTTTCTCCATGTCGTCCATGATTTTTGAGAAATATTCCTGAGCATCTTGCTGCTGCCAGCTGCTCATAGACTTCAGCTTGGCGGGCGTCCAGATACGGCAGCCATTGTTGGAGGTATCATTCAGTCTTGCCATGAGATCACGCAAGGAGCCGACGGTTGTTGAAGTATCCTCAGACTTGATTGCGTCAGATTGTTCCAGGTAAGTAGTCAATGACTGAAGAGCAGACAGTCCTTGCAGAACGCTGTTCTGATAGCATGAATTGTCCCAGTTTCCAAGTCCCGGCGGGGCATCCGATCGCGAACTTAGACCACCGAGCCAACTGGCTCTTCTCAACGAGTTTGCGCCTGGAAGTAGGGCAGTCGAACCAGCTCCAAGACCAAAGATTCTTCTCATTGCTTCGCTCTTGAAGACGTGATTGTCGCCGTTGGATGGAGAGGTGGTAGAATCGTCGTATAGAGTAGGGTTCTTTCGTTTGTCGACAGCAAGGACGAGAGCGGTGGGGGTGAGTAGGACTAAGGCATTCCAGACAAAACAGGCGAGGACGGATGGAAGGGCGAAAGTATAGGCGCAATAGACGACAGCTATACCAGCAGCAATCCAGGCACCTTTCGAAGAGGCGAGTAGACGATCAAGTGTCGAAGGGTCGTTGCGATACGAGTAGGAGGCGTGAGAATATGTGTATGAGGCGCTCATGATGCGCCTGAGTCGTGTTCCAGTGCAGATGGCAGTGAGCGATGATGATGAAAATGATTTCGCATGGATTATTGTCTTAGCGGCGAGGCAGGGCGGCGACAGAAGACAAGATTCGGTTGGTTTCGATGCAAAAGTCAGCACAAAGAGCGACCTGCTGCTTGGGTTTGGCATGTTGCGACAAGCTCAAGGGTCCAGACTCCACCTTGAGTGTTCACCGCCTTTGGAATGACGCCGGCAGAAGGAACATTTTTGAATTGTCTCTTGTCGCATCAATCACAGGTGCATACACAAGACAACACAATATGGCCAAAGCAACAAAAGCAAAGGCTCGTCGTGAGTAGCCACAGCAAAACTTGTGTCATGCTCGCTCTAACAGGACGATAGCCGTTTCTGCTCGCTCTCGTGCCGCTCGCCGTGAAGCATCACCAGGAATCGACCTCGACAAGTCCATTACTTCAGAAAAGACCACGAAAGAATCTACAGACTACTATCCCGGAGTTCACGATGCCGGCATTTCANAAAAGAAGAAGCAAAAGCCTATGAGCCGCGCTCAGCGCATGCGTAAAGAGAAGGGTTTGGAGCGCGCCGAAGCGAACATGGACGTTCTGCACACAAAGAAGGCCAAGAGTTTCGTCAGAGCAAGAAGAATCGACGACCGTAGAGTGCGTACATTGTAACACCCCCAGCCTACCATGACAATATCTGACCATACACAGGTCAACTGGGAGACTCTCAACGACAAGACCAACCGCTTCGTCCAGCCTAAGGCTGCTAAGGGTTCGAAAGCTGTCGATATGGATGCCAACTCGAGCGATGAGGAACATCCTGGCAGGCCGTCCGTCTTCGCTATGCCTGGTGACGAATGGGAAGACGAAGACGACCAAGTGGAGCAGACTATGGATGCACCGAACACTGCCGACCCTATCAACAATGCTGCCAACAATGACGACGACGATGAGATCTTGTAGAGCTAGATGCTCCCATCTGGGATCCTCATCTCAATGCCACCCTTCGGGCTTACTTCCAGGAAAGTTACTTTCCAGCGAGCTCTGAAGAGCTCAAACATTCCGTCCATCAAAGCACGCTGCATCAGCGTTGTATATTGGGCGTGCCAGTACACGAGCATTTCGCGTCATGATGCAGCATGGTGCTGTTAGAAGCGGACGATGTTCAAAAGCAGTATGGTCTCGAGACCACGGTCAGGCCACCACCTTCTTCCTGCTCGAACAGGTTGATCTAGGCATTTCGAAGCTGCTACAAATAAGCGTTATATATCAAAAGCTCGTACCGCCATGCCAATTTAATGATCAGATTCTTCTGACTTTTTCCTCTGCTGGGAGACCACAGCCTAGCTTCGTTATAAGCTCAAATTGAATTCCCTTCGATATGACTTTCTGAAGATGTTCTGAAGTACCTAACTTGTGACTTCCTCGTGGGGAGTGAGTGCCGAACAGAGCCGCCATCCTCGGACTTTTCGGTGACCCCAGACAGCGGCGCGCTCTGACCATCTGATGTAATGAGGGCGGCTTGCCTTTGCAATCTCTATTGTTATTTTGGTCTTACCTCTCGTGCTCCTGGTCCTACATACATTAGACCATGAGAGCATGCGCTCAAAAACAATACCACATCGTAGCAGAGCCATTCGCTTGAGCTGTGCCAATATTAACCATGTCCTCCACTTCGCAGACCCCGCCGACAACAGACGCGCCAAGTTCCAATGGCAATTCAGAAAAACATGATAACAATGAAGGTGCTGGGGACCACGTTGAGTCTCAAAAGGCAAAAAGCCTANGTCTGAAAGAAAGAGCCGCGAAACTATGGTCAAAAACTCAACTGGATGTAACCACGATGAAAATCATGGCAAAGTGAGTATCATATACCCACAAGATTCCAACAGAGCTGACAGAATGTAGGGGCGCTCTTGCACCGACCATCAGTTTGGCTGCATATCAAGCCACTGACTTCGCCGAGGTTTATACCACCTTAGGATACCTTGTTGGTGTCGTTTCCATATTGAGTTTTGCAATTATGCCCAGAGCCAAATTCCTACAAACCTGGTTGTTGAATATGCTGGCTACCTGTTTCGCCTCATGTATCGCACTGTTAGCCATATATTGTGCCGTCCAGGCTAGACTTCACACCGAAAAGGCTGTACGTACAGGAGGGCCTGGCACAAGCGGAACACCTTCTCCAGGCGCCATTACAGCCACTTACAACTCGTCCGCTGCAGCAGTCAGTGGTATCTGGCTATTCTTTGAGATATGGATCATCAATACCATGCGAGCAAGAAATCCTCAGCTCATGATTCCAGGCATTATTGCAACAATCTTTGCAAACGTGAGCATGGTTTATGCTCCTCAATTTGGATCCATGACAGTAGGGATAGCTTTCGTCAAACGCCTTCTCGAGTCGTTCTTTACAGGTTTCGCCATCGGAGGAGGTGTTTCTCTGTTCATCTTTCCTATTACCATGCGAGGCGTCGTCTTCAAAGAGTTTACAGGCTACATAATGCTGTTACGCAAGATGACCAAGGTCAACCTCGCGTATCTGCAGAGTCTCGAGGAAGGAGATATGTTTTTCGGAAGAAGTGACACCAACATTCCGGAGAAGCCGAAACGGACCTCAGAAGCCCAAGCTATTAAGGATACGCTTGCAGGACTCTCTGCTTTGCACGGAAAACTCTCTATCGATTTGTCTTTTGCCAAAAGAGAAATTGCCATTGGACGACTTGGCCCTGATGATCTTCAAGAAATCTTCAAACAATTGCGAGNNGGATTGATGCTTCCAATCATCGGCCTCAGCAGTGTGCTTGATGTGTTTGAAAGAACTGCCGAAGACAGGAACTGGAACCATCCCGCTCCCGAGAGACCGCTCGAAGAACTCGATGACCCTAACGAGAGGAGCAGAATGGAGGCTGTCGCAGATTGGCATGCCATCTTCAGGACGATGCGTGAACCATTTGCCCGAATCGTTGGCGATATCGATGAGGGCTTCGAACACGTGTTGATCACTCTGCAACTAATAAAACCACCTAAAAGAGAACCTGATTCCGAATCTGAAGGCGACCGACCTCACCCTGGAGAAAAAGACTTCCAAAACTACCATTACACACGAGTCAGCGCATATCACAACGAGAAGAGTAAGCTTTTGAGACGTTGGTGTGAGCTGAGAGGCTTCAACCTGCCCGAAAACTTCTTCGAGAATGCACAAAACGCCGATTTCACCGCGCCTGACTGGTATCGCAGTGTTAAGAACAATGAGGAGCGCCAGAAATACAGAGCTCGACTCTTCATCGTTCTATACGTGGACTATCTTCTGGACTCGATAGCTATGGCCGTTCACGATTTCGTCAAATTCGCTGATGCAAAGGTTGAAAGCGGGAAGCTGAGTCGCAAGAGACTCATCGTACCTGGTATCAAACGTTTGAGAAAGTGGGTCGAGTCATCCTACAGTCGAAAGCAAGATGCATACACGGACGAACAGCACGGAATGAACGAGGATGGTAATCGAGCTTCCAATGTATACCTCGGCGACGCTTACAACAAGCGCAAAGATCCGGAGCACCTGCCACCGAGCAACGCTTGGGAGAAGTTTGGTGATCGAGTTCGTGGCGTTGCTCACTTCCTTCGCTCACCAGCATCTTCGTTCGGATTTCGAGCGGCTTGTGCCACCATGTGTCTTGCCATCGTCGCCTATCTGCGCGATACTCAAACCTTCTACGTCAGACAGCGATTGTTCTGGGCTCAGATCATGGTTGGTTTGGCTATGTCTCCTTCTGCTGGACAGAGTCTGTTCAGTTTCGTGCTCCGTCTTGTTGGCACTTTCGCTGCCATGGTGGCGAGTTTCATCATCTGGTATATTGTCGACGGACATACTGCCGGAGTCCTTGTCTTCTTCTGGTTCTTTAATGCCTGGGGCTTCTTCATTGTTCTGAAGTATCCTCGCTTCATTCCTGTTGGCATGATCTATTCTGTAACCACCACTCTAATCATTGGTTACGAATTGCAAGTCAGAAAGATCGGCGTGCAGCGCTCGGAGACGAATGGCCAGGCATACTATCCTATCTATGAGCTGGCTCCTTACCGTCTCGGCACCGTCGCTGCAGGTATCTTTGTAGCTTGGGTGTGGACAATCTTTCCTTATCCCATCTCAGAACACTCGGAGCTTCGCCGAAACCTCGGTTCGTCTTTGTATTTGCTCGCCAACTACTATTCAGTGGTAGTCGAAACTGTCAAATTTCGCGTCAGAGGCGATTTCCAAGATTTGAACGCTTTCGACGAAGGAAATAACCCAGCCAAGAAACTCGAAAAGATCCGACAGACTGTGTTCTCAAAATCCGTACTTTTGCTGCAAGGCTTACGTACGCATTCCGGTTTTATCAAGTATGATGTGCCGATTGGTGGTCGCTTCCCTCGCCAAAACTACGACAGAATCATTGCTCGCATCCAAGATATCCTCAACTTTGCTTCTTTGCTGAGCTATGCATCCCAGACTTTCTCAGAAATGCGCAATCCAGGCATAGATGGCTCTGAATCACAGTGGCTCAATGATTTCCGTCGCTTGATGAAGGAAGCAGATATCACGAGCAAAGAATCCACAACACTGCTTTCGCTGCTCTCAGCCTCGGTAGCTAGCGGCCAACCTCTACCCCCACNNCTCCAACACCCCGAACCCTACCGTCTGAGCGCCAAGCTAGAGTCTCTAGACTCCAACATTCTGTCTGTAAGACACATGGCCGAGCCTGGCTTTGCAGCTTTTGCAGTCATGCAGATCTCGACAAAGTGTATTGGAGACGATATTAAGGCGTTGTTGGCTGATATCAAGGAGTTGGTTGGCGAGCTTGATTTCTCGTTCCATGTTGTTAGTACACAAGATGCTTCGGTGAGCAGTTCGCAGGATACGTTGATTAGGGAGGATAGTCAGAATCGACGCAAGGCTGATTGATGTGTATATATGTTCGTCATGAGATGTAATGAATACTGTTTACTTCTTTTCCTTGGGTGTTTCTACTAAGTGGTTTTGTTTTCTGTCTTCATTTGTTCCTTTTCCTCCCTCTCTTGTATCAGTGAGATAGAACCTCTGCGTGTGTTAAAGGATATAACTCCCATCACTCCGACTATAGCAGAGAGTAAAGTACGCACTATAGAAATGCACAGTCTTATTCAGAAACAAAGATATGGCCAAGGAGAGCTGATCATAAATCGCCTCTCAGTGGACACTATCCTGTTCCCTCATGGTATTGTGTATCTTTATAGCCACACGTGTTACGTCCTTTAGCACACGAGGAGGTGAGACAAGGAAGTTGTAAACGATCAAGTTTCGGTCCTTCCAACGTGCAGTGGCAAGCAAGCGACTTGACGAGTCCTGTTTGAAATGCTTCAAAATGCCCCTTCGTCTCAAGCTTCAATCCAACACAAGATGCATCAGAGGACGACTGGCGCCAACAAAGCGTAGATACGCCAACTTCTTCTCATACAAGAACATGTCTGCAGAGAATGGAATACCATACAGCTCCAACAAAGCACTTGCTTTCTCATCTGCAATTCACTATCAGTATCGAGCTGCGAAAGTAGGCATGTGCGACTTACCATCCAGATCTTTGATATCTTGACCTGTAACAGGCACAGTCACCTCTTCTTCAGTCNNCCTTCCCTCTGGCAATGGAAGCATCTCGAGACCATCTTCGAGGGTGGAATGTTTGTGGTTGATGGCGCGTTTCTCTTGACGAAGACTAAGTACAGCGATTATGTTAGCGGCATATCTTGTCTGAGTAGAAACTGCAACAAGAACGTACCTTTCGACCTCATCTTCCTCACTGCTCTTGAATCCTCTTCTCAAGAACTCACGCATGGCTTCGCAGTCTCTTGCGATGCGGTCTACGAAACCGAGCATACCTAGGACAGCAGTGCCGACGTCGCTTCTTGCGCCAAAAGCCAAAGAGTCAAGATCTGTAAATCCTGCGGGCATAGCAGTGCTTGCTCCAGTATTGATAATGTTGTAGTCGGCAAGTTGTGGCGAAGACAAAGGACCAACATCAAAACTCTGCATCACCATTTGAGGAACTTGATCTCCAGCTGTCAAGAGCATTTGTTGAGGAGCACTTGTAGGCCCAGGGTTTGAAGCCTGTTGTTGAGAGTACACAGGTTGAGTGTTACTCCTCTTGACTTGCATTCTTTCTCCACTCATCGGATATGGCAAGTGTCTCTGCATCTGTCTTTTCTGGGTTGCAGCTGCTTTCTTCAACCACTTTTTGTTTGAGCTGCCGCTTGTCTGGGCAGGGCCCATGGAGTCTCCCAATGGTGTGCCACTACGATGGAACACCATAGCAGGGGGCGGCTGTACGATTTCTGCCATCAGGTCTTCAGGAGGAACAGAGACACTGCGACGATGACCCAGCATTTGATGGCGCATGGGTTCGTAAGCGTGGGGAGACAGATCTGGATCGAAGATAACAGGAAGAGATTGCTGGGGACTGAAGACTGTGTAGTCAAAGGGAGATAGTGGTTGTTCGTTGCTGAGGATAGGCGTGTTCTGATGAGGCGAGCTGAGCAGACGGGGGTCGATGCCGCCATAAGGGGGCTTGTCTGAGAAGTCGTTGTACTGTGGAAGCGAGTAGTTGTCCATGTCGTTGGAGTAGAAGTTGTCGTCCATTGGTGTAGTGCTTGATCTTGAGTATCTTGAAAGATTGACGGCATGGATGCAGACTCAACATCATATATGGATTCTTCAACGAAATGCTGCCTGGATAAATTCTGAATTCTTGCTTTCTTTGTTCATATTGCTACTAGGGTGTCCTTGAGACACGGCAGTCGCAGAAGCTATCCGCGGTTGGTCAGGTGTCGAGACATGCAGCTGAGACTCGGAAGGCTGCACTAATGGTCCGAAACACATTTTGTTAGTAGAACTGCAATATGCTGTATGGATGCCCAACCACACGAAATAGCGGTCACCGTGATAGTTTCCCGTGGCGCATTGGTCTGTACGAAAAAATGAACTTGCCGTTGCAAATTCAGAGGGTGTCTTCAAAGAAGCACATAATACCTACAAAACAGTCATGCAGGTGTCAGATCGACTAGGCTTGACCTCGGTTTCTTTTACGCCGTGATCGCTGGCTAAGGACCCATTTTGTGATGTTCAAAAGAACCTGTAGGATGAACTGGCAGAATCTGGTGTTTGCAACAACAGAATACCGCCATTGCCCATGATAGCGTACGAGTCCGCTTGACTTACTAACTGACAATCGACTTGGTAGTTCTAGTCAATGTGACAAGGATTTCTTCGAATCGCACTCATGTCAGCTGCTTGACTGTGGTTTCTTGACGACAGCCGTGAGCCTCACAGGTGTGCTCCTGGTTAATACTGGCAGCCATCTGTATGGGTTTGTTAATCCAGCGGAAGAGCATGAGAGCGACATCTCCCTGGTTCAGATCTTCTATACTTGGTTGATCAATCGTGAGTCTACGGCAGCTGGCACCCCTGCAAAAGAGTCTTGACCAAGCATGTAAACGAATATAAATTCAAGCAGAGTGGTTGTCTTTGTATCGACGTTTGATGTCAGAAGAGCGGAGGCTCGGACGACAGAAGGCCCGTGCAATACCCCCAAACCGCAACCAGACGGTCAAGGAGCACTACCCACTTTACTTTACAACCTTGATTACCCTCTCGAACACTCACTTGACCTTTACATTCTACTAGGAGGCTCTCCATCTTCTCTGATCCTAGCTCCGTCAGATCCGTACACTCTACTCAACATGGCAGACGAAGTAACAAAACACCAGATAGTCGTCAGCCTCCAAAGCAACCGCTAATATATCTCATTCAGGGTGCCTCATCCCGCGAACTCTTGCTCGAAGCATGCCGCCGCAACAACACCGATCTCCTTTCTTCAGTTTTGTCAGAGTTCCAGTCTTCCGACGAACTTGCCAACTTCCNNCTCAACACGGCGACTGACGCTCTGGGCTGTGGTGCCTTGCACATTGGTGCACAGTATGGTGCCTACGAGGTTCTGGATATGTTGCTGGATCAAGAGGGTGTGGAGATTGATGGAGTAGAGAAGAGAGAGGGAGACACGTGTTTGCACAAGGCTGTGAGATATGTCAACAGCTTGAGTAAGGATGAGTGGGAGGAAGGTCAGGCTATTGTCGATATCTTGATCGATGCTGGTTGCGACCCAAGGNTATGTGGTACAAAAGTGTCATTGTGAGTGGACTACCAAGGTTGACAAGTTTGCTCAAGGCTACGCAACAAGGCCAAGCTGCGCCCTATTGACCTTACCGATCCGCGCAACACCGAGCTCAGGAGTCTTTTGCAANAGGCAGAGTTCACCATGCTGGCTGGTGATGACGTTGTACAAGAAGACGATGACGATGCTGGTGCTGGTAGTGCCAGCGATAGCGACTAGACGCAGACCTTCTCCTACTGTCACAACATCATAGCACTGGAGCACAGGAGCATCAGGACAGGGAAACCACGAGCATGACCAGGCGTTTTGGGGGTTTGATCCATCTTCTTCATTTGATCTGTGCATAAAAGAAGCCTACAGAAGGACAAGACTACGGCTCGGTGCCATTCGTATCTTTGTGCCGTGCTCACATTCCTCCTTGGCCACTGTTTCCATGAAGGACGAGGAACAAGGACGCTGGTCGCAATAATGCGCTTTTCTCAATCGGATCAGTGGTCGGTCTATATCGTGACAGTCGTGATAATGCTTTAGAAGCGGCGCTGGGAGCTGCAACAATACAGCGGGGCGGTATAGTGTTGGTCATGTCGAACGCAATCATTCGAGGAATTCATCGTAGATCACTCTTGGTCTCGCGTCTGTGACAAAGTCAATTCATGAAGGACAGGCGACAGAAGATTCTAGCCACGTACCTCTGGAGGAGGACCAACAGGTCTGACCATCTTCTCAATGAGCTTGACGCGCATCTCNTCACGAGTGCCCTCGCCCATAGCCAAGGTCATGTAAGAGAGCAGAGGCGGGTGACCGACGTATGAAGCCAGACTGTCGCGTTGAATGTTGGAAGTCCATTCAAATCTAGTGGTGTCTGCGTGTCCAGTCCCGACGTATTTGTTCTGGAGCGCTTCAAGCTGCTGGGTAGTACGGAGCTTATCTGCCATCTTGTGTCGTTATGTGCGAAAGCTCTTGGTGATGTTTCGCACAGTAGAGGTTGGTTCCTTCCTCGAGTTAGATGGTTTTGCCAAGACTGCTCGCTTCTAAGTCCGCAATCTCCATCGCAATCAATCAATTTAGCTTTCGCGTCACTCTTGCTTGGAGAAGTCGCGACCTACGCGCGAGCTTCACCAATTGTTCGCATTCTCGAGTCACCTTCTCAGTTGACCAGATATCGCAATGCCGCCTGCTCGAAAGCGTCGCGCTGTGAGTGATCAAGCCTAGACTCACTAAAGGCTCAGACTAACATCTTTCAAGCCAGCCAACGAGGACCCAGACGACTCAGACGCAGACGTTAGACCACCACAACGACGTAGAGTGTCCGATCCCGACGAAGAAGATTATGCTGGCGGCGAAGCGAGCGCTACCCAAGGCGATGGCAACTTTGAAGCAATGGTCAAGAACATGGTCCGTCTAGCTCTGGCATCTGAATACTCTCGAACAACCATCAAACGCAACGACATCACTGCCAAAGTTCTTGGTACGAATGCTCGACAATTCAAAGCGGTCTTCAACGAAGCCCAAACCCAATTGCGAGGAACCTTTGGCATGGAGATGACCGAACTGCCGGCANAAGAGAAAGTCACCTTGGCTCAACGCAGAGCGGCCCAGAAATCCCAGACTTCGCAGAAGAGTACTTCAACTTGGATCTTGACATCGGTACTGCCTGAGAGATTCCGTCAACCTGAGATACTGCCTCCGTCACAAGCGCCAACCTCTGAACTCGAATCCCAGTATACGGGACTATACACGTTCGTCGTGTCAGTCATCTACCTGAACGGCGGTATGCTACCAGATGGCAAGTTAGAACGCTATCTCAAGAGAGTGAATGTGGAGGACGCAGCGGCGCAGAACAGTATCAACATCATGGCCACTGGAGGAGACAAGACGGAAAAGCTGCTCAAACGCATGGAAAAAGATGGTTATGTTTTCAGGGTTCGCGACAACTCAAGTGGAGAAGAGACGGTCGAATGGTACGTCGGACCTCGTGGTAAAACAGAAATCGGCGACAGTGGAGTCAGAGGAATGGTTAAGCAGGTCTGTGGGGAGGTGGAAGATCCAGCGGAGCTTGAAAGAGCGCTAGAACGCAGTCTTGGTGCCAATGAGGTGCCCAAGAGAAGAGAAGAACAGGCGGCACAATCCCAGAGAAAGGGAAGACGTCGCAGAACAGAGGCACGGGATGAAGGTGACAGCGGCGATGAAAGCAGCGACTCGAATTGAGGGCTGATTATCCGATCAGATGGACAGGAGCATACAGTAAATGATTCGCTCCTAACAAATAATAATATCACGAGTTATGACAAAGATATGCAGGTATGCATACTTGTGCTACCCCAGGCCAGACTAGGCTCGAAGCGTCCCAATGACAAGCTCGAAGCCTCTCGATTTCACATGCACAAGGCTTCGATTCCATCCACCTCCTCCCACACAAGAGATGTGATAGCAATCCACCATGTCGTCGGCTGGAGGAACAACTGACGTTGAATTAAAGACGGACTCGACGGCAACCCAAGATGTCGATGCGATCAACGGACCAGACGTCGCGACAGGCAGCGATGTCATACAACCAGTCCCGTCGCCCTCGAACCAAGTAAAAGGCTCGGCACAACACGACGTCGTAGGACACGACAGTTCCCATTTGTTGACCCATCCGGAAGCTTCTTCTTTGGACTCGACCGCTGCAGCCCAGCAGATCTCAGAGAACCGCGAACCTTCTTACACCAGAGAAGAAGCGACGACGACACAGATACGCCAAGCTGCTCCAGAACACTCGACAATTGCATCTTTGAAACACGAACATAGCTCTCGCACACAATCGCCACTACGCGAGTCGTCAGTGCCTGTACCATCGACAGAGATGAATGCTTCTGTGGCACCTTCTGCGCCTCCCAAGCGCAGCCATAAGAAGAAGGGCGTGGCAGCTGCAGCTGTTGTCAAGCGCGGTGCTACTGCTCCTGCTAAACGCAGTCACAAGAAGAAGGTCGTCGCCTCATCAACTGCTACTCCCGCGCAAGGCTCGCCAGCTCCTCGCTCTGTGCGGACCGCCTCTTCGCCTGCAAGATCGTCGCCTGATGTCGATGGCAACGGCGACCAAAACATGTCTGGAGACGAAGGCGAAGAAGAGGAGGGTGATGGTGATGGTAATATTTCCGACACGGACCTTTACTGCATTTGTCGCAAACCGGATACCGGAACTTTCATGATAGGCTGTGATGGCTGCGACGACTGGTTCCACGGCAAATGCGTTAACATCTCGGAAAAGTGGAAGACGCTCATTGACAAGTACATTTGTCCGTTTTGCGAGGAAAAAGGCGTCGGCGAAACGACTTGGAAGAGAATGTGTCGTCGCAATGGTTGCAACATGCCCGCCTTGGTGGCTAAGGGCTCCAAGTATTGCTCGGACAGATGCGGTGTACTGTTTTTCCAGACGCTGATTGCAGAGCGCACTCGTCAAGTCACCGCCGATGATCTGGGCGCCAGAGGCGGCCTCATCAGTGGCAACGAGCTCAAGGCTATCCTCCAGGTGTACCCTACTGCCGAAGCACTCCACAACCTGAACAACGGCCCAGTCTCTCCTGCGCCTGGCTCTTCTTCCAACGCTATCAAGGACGAAAGCGCCGAAGACGAAACTTCACACGAATCCGCACTCAACGACATCGAACGCGAACGCATCGATCAAATCACTCATCTGAAAGCTACCACGCGCGCCCGCCACTCTCTCCTCAAAGACCGCGCCAAGTTCGTCGCCATGCTCAAGACGGTCGCCTCACGCCTTGCCGACCACAGAAGCGTCAAGCCCAAAGACCTCTGCGGCTACGACTCCCGCCTCACCTGGAGCGAAGAAGAATTCAGCATCTGGCGCTCTTCAGAAGCCGGCCAAGAAGCCCTTCGCATCGAGAGCTTACCTCTACCCTCAGACGAAGATCTAGATAACGACGCAAGCATGAGCGGTATCTCCCCAGACCCATCCACCTGCATGAAGAAACGCTGCAACAGACACTACGAATGGGCCAAACTAGACATCGACCACACGCGCTTCGAAATCACTCAAAACGCACAAACCATGCAAGGTCTCGACAAGGAAGAAAAGGAAATCATCGAACGCGCTCGTCTTCGCGCCAGAGAAATCAGAGCTGGGGGTGTGGGTGGCACTGTCGAGTTTCATGGTTTGAGTGCCCCCAAGGAGAACAAAGAGGACAGAGAAATGGGTGTTGGACCTGTGGTTGAAGAGCGCCATGTGGACAGCCATGGTCAGCCTGCTTCTCAGGATGTGGAGATGCAAGACAAGACTGAGGAAATGGTGGATGTTGAGGAAATGCCTCAGCAGCATGATGGCGATAACGATGATGACGAGGGCAAGGAAGTTGATATGGTTGATGCCATTGCCGCTTCCATCTGATCAATTATTCTATCAAGCAAAGCATGGAGTTTGGGCGTTATCGGAACACACAAAGGAACTCAAAAGCAGATATACCCCTGATAGGAAAGGAGGAAAGCATTCACCGGAGCAAAGCAAAGGAGTATCAAACATCAAGCATGGACATTAAATAGTTCTTCAAGGCATCAATCAAGAGAGAAAGTTCAGCAAGGACTTTTTTGCAGATTCTATTCAAATCTTTCTTTCGCACATCCTGGATATCTTTGAAGCTAAATCGATCTACAGGAACCACTCAAGCTCAATCTCCATTGCCGAGACGGGGAAAGGCAGCTCAAAGTTCTTGAGCACCGTCGGGTGCATAACACCAAAGGTACCGACTCTTTGCGGCTTGTCGCCGAACTTGACGTAAATGGCAGCCGAGTGACCAGCGAAGAAAGTCGGGTCTNNGTTTTTACACTTGTTAGCTTCGTGATAATAGTCCAAGGGTCTATGGGTATACTCACCATCGACTTCCTCGATCCAGTAGCCCTTAACGGCAGAGTTGCTAAGGCCCTCCTCCTTGGTGATAAAAGCACTCTTCAACATCAACATGATACGGTCAAGCAGACCGTGAACAACCTCAAAGCCAGAGCTCTTGCCATACCAGCAAGCAGCAAAGTGGCGTTCGTTTCTGCTCTTTCTCTCGCAAGACTCGTCCTTGAGACCGACATCGCTGACCTCGAAGATCTTCATAGGCACAGAGTGATGCTTGTTCTCACGGATGGTCTTGAGGAGACCTGGTAGCAAGCTTGTGCGCACAATCTGGTATTCTTGGGTCTTGGGGTTTTGGAGACGGACAGCAAGGTTGTCATCCTTGCGGTTCAACCATGTGTAGTTCTCGTCGTATGAGCAGAGAATCAAGGGCATGACTTCTGACCAGCCAGCCATGGCGGTCTCGAAGCGGACGATGTCAGCAAGACGGTTGATGGGGAGGGCTGCACCGACTGAGGTTGTTGCTGAGACGAAACGGCGCTCAAGGTTGTTGAAGCCGTAGGCGATAGCAGCATCCTCCATGATATCGGCCTGGTGCAGGACGTCGGCACGGGTGATCGGTACGTCAACATCGAGGATGTCCGGTGTTGATGAGGGCTTAGCGTTGTAGCACATCTTCTTGAGCATGTCGCAGATCTCCTGAGGTTGAAGCTTCAATCCGCAAATAGAGTTGATGTAGCTGACTTCGGCTTGAGTAGTACGAGGGGTGAGGTTAGGTGCCTCACGAGTCTGACCGTTGTGCTCGGAGATGATCTTGACAGGCTCAATGGTGAAAGGCTCCTCGCAGTATTGAGAGAACATGGAAACAATCATGTGGTTGACAATTTCCAGCTTAGTCTTGTCAGTGGCTGTGATGTCGATCAGAACGTTGGTTGTGTCGAGGGTGATCTTAGAGTGGTTCGAGTTAATGATAGGCGGCATGGAGAGAACGGTGCGGTTGCTGTCGTAGATGATGGGGTATACAGGCGAGTCGCGGATGATGTGCAGGTAACGTCCGAGGTGCTTGTCCTTCTCGTAGAACTCCATCATTTCCTTTCCGGTCATCTCCTTGGTCTGGTTAAGAGGGGCGAACTTGATGTCCTCTGGTTTTTGAGCCTCGTAGGTGAAAGGCCCTTTGATAGTGTCGAGATCATGAGTACCAATAGCGACAAGAGTACGTTGTCTGGCCAGGTTCTGGTGGAGCTTGTCCTGGAGAGCGATGAAGGACTCGTAGCGGGCCTTTGTGAATTTGATGTTTCTCAAGACAGCGCATGAGAAGTAGGGTCTTATTTGTGATGTCTCTTCCTTAACGGTAACAGTCTGGAGTTCGCCATCCTTGGGAGCGACGAGGCGGTAGTTGGGAGGAGGGATGTTTCCGAGGAAGACATTGAGGTTCATGGCAATACCCTCGAAGCAGAGCATGTCATAGCGGTTGGCAGGGATCTCGATCTTGAGCTGAGGAGGCTCCTCGACGCCATCGACAATTGGGCGTTTTGAGTCGGTTGTCTGCGAAGCGCATCAGGAAGGGTCCAGTCAGGTATGGATAGGAAAGTTGTTAGGCATACGTCTTCATCGAGTTCGATACCTGGGCGAGACCATTAGTGCACTGTACTGTGGGAGTATAAAATAACAAGAATTACCAAATTCGAAGCACAGCTCGTCAAACTCTTGGGTGGTGTANGCTGGACAAAGTAGTCAGGATATTTTGCGGTGGATCGGAGGTTCAATGGTGGCATACGTCTTGCCCAGAGCCTTGAAGAGCTCGGCCTTGTCAACCGAAATGGTAGGCATTTTGCAGAGAGATGCTGTCGTGTGAATTACAGATTTCTGCAAGCAACGAATTGGTATGCGGGTGAATCATCGGGCAGTCTGATGGCGCTTGGTGGGACACAGCAATCTCGAGACTTGGCATGACCGAAACTCCAGACAGGCGCAGGTCGAGAGCAGCAGCCAGCGACGACCAAGCAAACAGCCTCCTCCGTCACGCACTGCACCTCAAATTTACACTCACAACCCTATCCTGTCGCCGCCTTTGTCAATTCGACAAGCCTTACACTGCAATACTCGCTGGACCAGCTGTCGCCCCTGTAACCAGGTACGCTCCACCGCTACACGAATCCTCCGACACGTCTGCTTGTGCTGGCCCCCCTCTCTAATTACACCATCAACGCCGCACCGCAACATCGACAGCTCCTCGATTCACCCACGCCAACACCCACTGACACGTCCAAGCAATTCTCCCGCGGGCTGTACGTCTGCCCACGACGCTCTTTCCCACAAAACAAAGCTCCAATTGCCCAACATGGATGCGCAACAGAACGACGAGCTCTACCCCATCGCCGTCCTCATTGACGAGCTCAAGGTCCGTCAATCCTTGCCTTCATGTCACAATAATTCTCCTCTAATGCGCAACATAGNNCACGACGATGTCTTGCTCAGACTGAATGCAATCCGCCGCCTGTCTACCATCGCCCTTGCTCTTGGCCCTGAGCGCACCAGAGATGAGCTCATACCCTTCCTTGACGGTACTGTCATCAGTCCGCGCCCGTACGCCTGACAAAACAATCGCTAACACTATGCAAAGNAATCCGTCGAGGACGAAGACGAGGTCTTGACCGCCCTGAGTGACGAGCTCGGTGGTTTCGTCGAGTATGTTGGTGGTCCAGAGTACGCTCACGTGCTGCTTTCCCCCCTTGAGAACCTCGCTGCTATCGAGGAACTGCTCGTCAGAGACAAGGTCGGCTTCCTTTATCGCCCTCTCGCCGCCGTCAACTTGCTGACCGCATGACAGGCTGTCGAGTCATTGAACAAGATTTGTGAACAATTATCAACCGAACAGATTGACCAATACTTCATCCNNCCCCTGATCGGCAGACTCTCAAAAGCAGATTGGTTTACCGCAAAGATTTCGTCCACCGGCGTCTACAAAGTCGCATACACCAAGACCGACCCCCAAACGCAAGAATCTTTGAGGCAAGGTTTCGCACAGCTCGTCCACGATGATACCCCCATGGTCCGCAGACAGGCTGCTATCAACTTGGCCAAGTTCTTGCGCGTCATGCCACCGAACGTCGTCATCGACGAGATGATTCCTCTTTTCCAACACCTTGCTAGCGACGACCAGGACAGCGTTCGTCTTCTTACTGTTGAGATTCTGGTTGCCATTGCAGAGACCGTCCCCAAGGAGCAGCAGTCAAGCCACGGCGTTCTTCTCACTGCACTAAGAAGCCTTTTCGAGGACAAGAGCTGGAGAGTGCGCTACATGGTCGCAGAGAAGTTCGAGAAGGTGCGTCACCCCTCAATTTTGTCTTCTGCGCGTATCGTACTGACAAATTTATAGATTGCCAAGGCTGTCGATGACGAGGTTGTCAGTCGTGATCTTGTACCTGCCTTTATCAAGCTCCTCAAAGACACCGAGGCCGAGGTGCGAACTGCTATTGCTGGTCAAATACCTGGATTCTGCGCCCTCATCGAGAGAGACGTCCTGCTCCAGGAAGTTATGCCCGCAGTTGAAGAGCTCGTCTCGGATTCGTCGCAGCAAGTGCGTGCCTCGTTCGGAACCCAGATTAGTGGTCTGGCTCCCATTCTCGGCAAGCAGGAGACTACCGAGCACCTTTTGCCCATGTTCCTCCAGATGCTCAAGGACGAGTTCCCTGATGTTCGTTTGAACATCATCTCCAAGCTCGAGCTTGTCAACGACGTCATTGGTATCGAGCTCCTCTCACAGTCGCTTCTTCCTGCTATTGTTCAGCTCGCAGAAGACAAGCAGTGGCGCGTCAGACTGGCAATCATCCAACATCTTCCTCTCCTGGCTTCTCAGCTTGGTGTCAAGTTCTTCGACGAGAAGCTTTCCAGCCTTTGCATGTCTTGGCTTGGTGACACCGTCTTCAGTATTCGCGAGGCCAGCACTCAGAACTTGAAGAAGCTTACAGACGTTTTCGGTGTGCAATGGGCCAATGAGGCGATCGTTCCCAAGGTTGTCGCTATGGGCGGCCACCCTAACTACTTGTACCGCATGACCACTTGCTTTGCAGTCTCGGTAAGTCACTTTTGGCATCTACATGTTGAATCTCTGCTGACAATATTCAGANCCCTCGCACCCGCTTTGTCTCTTCCCGTCATCCAAGAGTCAATCTTCCCTATCCTGTCAAACCTTGTGAATGACCAGATCCCTAACATCAGATTCAACGTTGCAAAGTCATACGCAGTATTGATCGACGTTCTCAAGCGCTTGCCCGACACCGAGTCAACAATTCTTTCGCTCGAGAAGACAGGCAAGGCTGGATCTGGAAGCCCTCAAGGTGACCAGCTCATCCGGGAACAAATTATGCCCAATCTTGAAAAACTCATGACTGACGACGATGTCGACGTGCGCTTCTTCGCAAGCCAGGCGGCCAAGAGCTACAGCGACGCAATGCAATCATAATCTCTGCCATTAGAAAGTACTCGATGCTGCGAGTAAAGAAGAAAATACCAGGGCACTGCCAGAAGCTGCAGTGTCAATTATACCTTACTTGTTAGAAATGAATACAAGAGTTGCACAAATGCTTGTCTCTTCTTTGCATTGATGGTTAAAATCTACATGGTCGAGTCAAGGTCCAGGTCAGCTTCAGCTGGACAATAAACAAAGCACTCGAAGAATGCTGTTGACATAACAAACACAACATTCTCCGCGTGGCGTCGGCCACCCCATAAGTTTCACCTTCTCCTGAATTTCGAGGATGTCACATGTTTGAAGGGAAGTTATAACGCAGTGGTTCTTGGAAATTCAAAAAGACGTTGATGTGTGTCGTTGACTCCCGCACAGTAGCGAGCATGCAAGGCAGTTGAATCTTCGCGGCGGTAGATTGCAGATGGATAGCCGTGATATATATCAGAATCAACGGCGTGGCTCGCTTCTTTGTTTAAACCCGCGGCAAAAGATGTCGAAAGCTTCAGGGTTCCACCATCCTCAGTTTGCCAGTTTTCCCCCTTTGTAGCGGTCAAATTCAAGTTACCAAACAATCAGGTTCGACGTCAGATGCCTTTCTGTTGGCTGAGGAGCAGATTGTTTCGTGCCCTAGAGAAAACAAGCAGGCTATCGATTGTGGGCGATGGGAGGTGTGTGCATTGATTGTGATTGTCTGTGCACACGATGCTCACCCACACGCATGCCTGGATCTGGCTGCCGAAATGAAGATGTCCTTTACATGCGAAGACACTAGTATAAGCCACCCCATGACTCGGCGGAGAAGACGCGCGTGTGCGCATAATTTGTGACAACCCGGCATAAGCAGAGTTGGTTAGGTTTGACACTGTTATTGTCAATCTATAGTATAGGGGCTTGTGGTGGCTTGCTCTCTCTCCAGCTGCTGTGCAAAGCCGAAGCTCAATTCGACCTCCAACCAATGATACTGACAACACTCAGAGACGACAATCTAGAGATATGAACATCATTTGGAAGCTTCCAGCCAACGGTTTGTGTCGGTATCCCTTGCATCGTGGCCATGATCCGAGCTCATGGACCTGCATTAGCCTTCGCAGACAGGAGGGCGTAATCTCCCAAATAATTCCCCGGCCGACGTCGATCACACATCTCACGAGCCTTATAAACCAAAGCATTGCTCGACCTCCAACTATCTCTTCGTCCTCTCCATCCAACTCACTACAATAATCAGACTTCGGTCGTTACATTCATTAAACACCAACTATCACTACATTCCTTAATCACCAACTCACCACCACCTTTTTCCAACCACCACGACTATTTCCACATAAACCCTTTTCAAACCCAAACCACATCAATCAAAATGCGTTTCGCTGTTGTTGCCTCTGCTCTCTTCGCTGGCCTTGTTGCCGCTGCTCCCGCAGTCACTGAGACTGTCCACTCCACTGAGGTTGAGACCATCACCTCCTGCGGTGTAAGTTGGACCTGATATATCAATTTCCACAAGATCTATACTAATTCTCTTCCAGNNCCTGAGGTCACAAACTGCCCAGCCAGAACCCAATCTAGCAGCGTTGTTGTCCCTACTTCAGCTCCCGTTGTCCCTACTTCGGCCCCTGTCGCCGCCGCTGTTCAGAACACCTCTGCCCCAGCTGTTCCTGAGCTCTCGACTGTCACCCTTTACTCCACCAAGGCCGTCACCATCTCTTCGTGTGCTCCTGAAGTGACCGACTGTCCCTTGAGAACTTCTTCTTCAGTTGTTTCTGTCGGTACAACCGTCGTCCCTGCCGCCCAGGTCCCCACATCTGCACCTTTCGCCATGGTTAACTCTACCATGCCGGTCGGTGCCCAGGGAACTGCTGCTTCCACCGGTTTCGGCGCTTCTGCCACTGGTGCCATGCCCTCATCCTACACTGGTGCTGCTGGCAAGCTCAACGCCGGCATGGCCCTTGCCGGTGTTGCTGGTTTCGCCGCTCTCCTCATCTAAGCGCAGAACTACCACCTTTTCTGCTTCTTTGATGTCTTTTTAGCGATGATTCCAACACTACTTCTTGATACGGCATTTTGTTTCTAGCATACAAGAGACGAAACATACGACTCGGCTTCACAGCATCGAGCGATGATTTCTGTTTCTTTCTTGAGGGGGGTTTTCTTTTGTTTCTTCTTTCGAACATGCGAGCACAGCAAGGCACATAATCGGGGTTTCTGTGTTATTTTGAACTGCGATACTCCCTGTACAACTTCGCATCTGAAGGTCGTTTGGAGGGGTCTTTTTTACAAATGGAAAAAAGTCAACTGGAACATCTTTTGCACTTTCTTCACATGTGATCAGTGTTTAAGCTCTTTTGTTCTACTACAAAGATGCTTGTTTGTATTCGCTAAATCCATGTTTGTGGCTGATCAAGCTTGCAGGTATGGATTCAGCGCCGCCGTCTGAATTTTTTAACAGGAAGGTGCGAACGCCTCGGCAGGAAGGTGCATGTCGATTCAAGGCTTCTTTCGTATTATGATAGTCGATCTCGAAGCAGAGTCACTCCAAGAACAATACCTGAACACATCTTGGTGATACGCCAGCAAGGCTCGAGGTAAACATCAGATCCCGATTTTGTTGTATATTTAGGATCTAGATATGCTAGCTAACGTGAACAAGCAGTGAGTTTCGCAGAGAACGCTCAATATCGATTCCAATACGTCCAAAGTCATTCTCGTAGTGTCCATATACATCAAGAGGACGATGAAGTAATCCAAAAACTTCACAAATACGAAGCTCACTCAACATCCTCAGGGTTGATATCGACTTCGTCGACGATTTGCACTTTGATGCTTCCTTGGCTTAGATCGGCACAGATGTGCATTGCGTCCACTGCCTTCTCAAGAGCAAACACATGAGAGACCAATGGTTTCAGATCCATCAGTTTGCCCTTGACGGCCGCAATGCCTGCGGGCCAGGTATCAGTGTACCTGTTGATGAACTTGAGATTGATCTGTGTTCCTCTAATCAGCAAATTGTGCCTTCCCAACAACGAAGAATGAAAGGGAAGGAAGACATAGAAGCACTTACCTCGCCAAGACTCATATGCATAAAAGGGATATTGTTAACCACAGGTCTGCCAACTCCAATAACCATCACCGTACCTCCTCTGCGCACTGCAAATGCTGCAGTAACAATACTACTCTCCACGCCCGTACACTCAAGCACAGTTTCCGGACATCCGTACTCGGACTCTCCAAACAGCTTTCTGATTTTCTTTGCATTGTCTTCTGAGCTTAGGTCTCTTTGAACTTGGTAAGTTTCACACTCGGGGACTAGCTTTTTGGCAAAGGCGAGACGATTGGGTTCTAGGTCGGTGATGACTAGGGGATGTGCTCCAGAGGCGCGGGAGGAGAGAAGGGCAATCAGACCGATGGGGCCAGCACCGCAGATCACAGCACCACGACCTAGAGTCAGTCCTGCGCGACGGATGCCATGAAGTACCACAGAAAGAGGTTCGAGGAGTGCGCCTTCCGCAAAGCTCACATCGTCTGGGATCCTGGTCTACATCAGTACTTGGTGTTACGCTGGAGGTGAATCTGGAAGGACTTACTTGTGTAACCACTTTGCAGCATGGACCTTGAAGCGCTGGAGGGTACCGTGGTGAGGCCAAACACCAGAGAACTTTACATCTTCGCACAGGTTGTAGCGACCTTCTCTGCAGAGCCAGCAGTTGTCACAGGGCATGCCGGGTTCGACTGCTACTCTATCGCCTGTTTTTTCCAGACAAGGTCAGCATTTATTTCTGTCTCATCTTCTGTTTCTTCCTTCTTCCTGTTCCTGTTTGCTCTATTGCTCCTTCCATTTTCGCTCGCCACTTCTGTGTGCCCTCGCTCTCCTGTTGCAATCCACTTGCAAGCCTGCAGAATGAAAGCTCCCTCGAAATCTGAGACAGGAGAAAGAATAGAAACCAATGGAAAGAAAAAAGTACTTACCAACGGCAAGATCCTTCACTCCTTCTCCAAGCTTGAGCACAACACCAGAAGCCTCATGTCCAAGAATACAATCACTCTCCACAATCAAAGGTCCAATACGTCCAGACTTCCAAAAGTGGATATCTGATCTGTTGTTCGTCACAAACATCAGCTTCCACAGCCTAAAACCACTCGGCATCTATCCGTGGACAGCCCCATGGACTTCATCTCTTTTGTCTCATGAATCTTTTCGACAGTGATGGGGGAGGTAGGGGAGATATAAACTCACCCACAGATTCCTGTGCACTTGATATGCAGCAATACCTCTCCGTATCCGGGTTGCTCGATGGGTGCTTCAGCCATCTTGATCTGGTGATCTGCCGTCACCTGTAGAGAAGGGTTGGACTTGTGAGAATGAGCCATGACTGCAGAGAAGACTGTATCGTTCTTGTCAAGGTCAAGTAGTTTAAACCTCTACTATAGTTCCTGGGCGTAAGGTATTCGAGAACAATGTTTTTGGTAGGCAACAAGACGGGGAAGAGCTTTACGTCCTTCCAAGCCGTCCATCTTCCTAGTCTTATATAGCTGCAGTCATGGTGATGGATTGCTTCGGATCGCTCTGCATGGCGCTTCGGTATACTCAAAGGGAAAGCCAAACGGTTCACCAAGTGCGGGGGTCGATCGACGGCAGCATCATCGCGAACATCTCGTGCTTGTCTCTTTTGGCTAATTTGGGAGCCAACGATCACCTTGCATGAACTACGATCTGCTTGAAAGCTTCGACGTTTGAAAAGTATACTGTTTCCATTTGCTGCAAGCAAGAAGGGGCTGCTAATATCGCCCTCCTGAATAATCTCCGTTCTTCTCTCCTTCCAAAAGCGCGCCTATCAAAGCACGCTCCTCCCCAGTATCATAACAAAAGAAACATTTGAACCATCGCAACCATTGGAAATTCTCCTATTAAACGCCTCTCCATGATCTTGTTGCCCTTGAAGATTCCGTGAGTTGGGGCCATCTGAAAACGCCTGGGTGAACACCTACCAATTGAACACTGAGTGAAATATGTTGTCACTAAACACATGATGACTTGAACTTCTTGTCAGTGTCCTTGCACTGCTTGTGGCGCTTGGTAATCTTGACTGCGTCAGTTGCTGACGCAGGAGCCTTCTTGATCTTCGGCTCGACAACAGTCTTGACAGTCAGCTTCACCTTGCTGGCTGTTTGAGAAGCCTTGTTGCGTTTCTCAACAGAGGTGGATCTCTTCAGAGCGTTGAAGCTAGGGAAGTGCTTCTGAAGCTCTGCGAACTTGGATGCCAGAGTTTGAGAAAGTCCCGGCTTGGGCTTGATAAGGTTATGCTTGGCAGTGGTAGACTTACGAAGAAGTCTGGTTCTGATCTTGAGGGCATTGTTGCGAGCTCTAATGAAGTGGCGTCTCTGAGGAATGGCACTCTTGACGAAAGAACCGAGGTCTGAAGTCTTGTTGTAGGTAAGACCACCAACGTAGGACAAGCCATGAGACGTGTGATTCGACGCGGCACCGATAGCATTGCCTGTGGACTTGACACCTCCGAGAATGTTGCTTCCAAGAGACCTGACGCAGTGGACCGACGTGTTGAAGACGGAGTGGACGTCAGAGATGACCTTGGCTTGAGCAAGCTTAGCCGCATGGTGAACTACAGTGACGTCCTGCTGAACACCCTTCGCGGCATTCTCGTAGGTGGCACGCTGAAGCAGGCGGTTGCCGAGGTCGACCTTGACTGTCTCGTTGCGTAGAGGCATGTGGGTTGAGAGCACGCTAATCTGGATCTGACCATAAGCATCGGTAGAAGGCAGCGAGATGGCCAGGACTCCATCAACGACTCGGGTGTTGTTAACATTGGCCAGAGCCTTGCCGTTCTTGAAAACACCAATCTGAGCAGATTTCCAGTAAGCCTTGGGAAGGGAGACGAGGAGTTGATCCGACTTGGCGACGTGGACGTGAACAGCTGTAGGGAAGGCGACGGCAGTAGTTGTAGAGTTGCCGATGATGCTGGTAGTGACAGGATAGCGAAGAATGTCGCTTGCGTTGATGTTGGCAAGTCCAGAATTGTTCAGAGCGGCTTGAAGCGCAGGTGTGCGGTGAGCCAATTCAAAGGCAGGACTCTGCTGTTGAAGGAAGTAAACAAGCAAGCTGGTCGAGGATAGAATCAAGAGCAGTGTCGAGAGACTCTGCATAGTACTCATGACAGGTAGAGAGTTGAGGAGCGACATCAGCTTGGATGGCTCTGACTGCTTGGCGGACTGAGTAGACGTCTTGTTCTTCTTGGGCTCATCGAGTTCCTTGGACATGCCAGTGAGGNNGTAGGCGACGTGGCGACTCAAGACATCGTCTTGCAAGGCATGGAAAGCACTCTCGGACAGAGGCACCTCCCTGTTTCTGACTTCTTCACCTTCGTCGTCAGGGAGGGAAAGGCGAACACAGTGTTCGCCCTGGGCAGTGTATGGGACAACACATGCCATGTCGTGATCACGCAAGGCGAGGTCGAAGGAGTCGTCCTGAACTTCCACCATGGGTATCTTGAGGATAGCCACCATCTTGGCAAATGTAAGCCAGGCCTTGTCATAGCTAGCGCGATGAAGAACAACCAAGTCAGGTTTCGAGATTCCAAATCTAGACTTTGACCCATCAGACTTCTCAATAGCAGGTCCGACGCCAGGGGTAACATCGAAAGTGTTGGCGCGATCGATTTGGACAGGCGAGGGAAGGTCAGATAGATAGTGCAAGACGGCCTCATCAGACTGGGCGCGGGATGCTGCATCCAACATGGCTTTCTTGTCAGCTGACTTGCCAGTCATGGCACCATAGAACTTAGCCATGAGCTTGACGACGTCCATGTTGCTGTGACTAGAATCACCCAAGTACACCAAACGCAAAGGGCGGTTAGGCAATTGATAAGGCTTGTCGGTGAGGGACAAACCGACGATACGAGCATGCTCAGGTGTGAAGTCAGATGCGATAGCAGGCTCGGAAGGGATGTGTGGCATGCGTTGAGCCATGGTAGGGGTGTCGGGGATGATGGTTCTATCACTCATCATGACACGCTCCATCTCTTCTTCAGACGGCTCGTTCTCCTGATAGCGAGCACGAGCAGCGAGAGCGGGAATCTCGTCGTAGTTGATCTCATCATACTCAGCATCGCTAGCGTGGTCACTGATGGTATCGCCGGAGATGGACTCAACATCGCTGACGCTGTGAGCATCGGACTCAGGCAGGCGGTTTGTCAGAGTAGGTAGCGAAGGGGTGAAGTCGTCTGTAGAGACGCAGTCGTCGGAGTCGTCATAAGCCTCCTCGTGATGAACGAGGGGCTCAGTGTGAGCAGTCATGGTGATCGAAGATGTTGCTCCAGAGGATGCGTCTTCTAGCAATGTTAGAATGCAGTGCAGAGGCGTCAGGATGGGGGAGGGAGGAGGGTACAAGTAGAATTAGGATGTGCAGGTGATGGAGACGCAAAGTGTTGGTCGTCGTGTTGTGAGCAGAAGAGTCTGCGTGTCAGTAGCAACTTCCACCGTTCACAGAAAGACGTGTGCGTGTTGTCGTTCGTAGATCTCGCCCGAAAGAAGAAGTCACGATTCGGGCAGCTGGCAACCCGGTCAGAGACGAACGAGCCAAGTTGGCAGTGAAGTGGGAAAAGTGTAGAGGAAAGAAACCTTCTGACGACGACCCAGGCTTATCTGAGGTCTCCCTGTTGAGTGGCAGAGGTAACAGCTTACCAGACAGATTATTGGGCCGCTGCAGCCTGGGAGGAGGGTAGACCAATCGGGTGGGCCTTGTCTTAACCTAGAAGGGAGAGGCTGCGTCGATATGAGTTCTTTCTGTTCTGATTTATAAGAGGTGTGGCGCCTTGACAACTCCAGTCAAAAGCTTGCAATACAAGTCTGCAGAGTCTTGACGATAGGATGGAAAGTACGATGTACTGTATTGCTCGGACAGAAGTAGAAATCAAGGTGGTGCAAACACCCCGCAGTCACGATAAGACAAGCTTTCAGAGCTGCACCATGATGGCTGCCGCCTTGCATGTGACGAATGGATAGGCCTTCGAATCTCTCAGCAAACACGGAATCGACCTGTTGAGCGACCTTTTGAGCCTTTGAACCATGGTTCTGACTACAGATCCGCTCACGAGACCAATCTACCATACTGCCTTGATATCGCTCTGCAATAGCATGAAAAGATGGAACCACGCGATTTGTACTGCGAATAAAAACCGTTGATTCGTATCTGTATCGTTACTATATCATGTACGATCAAGAATCAAAAAAAGCTGCTGAGAAACCAGAGGTCAGCGGAGGCACAATACGACCGAAAGTTGGGATCCAGATTTGTATCCACATGTACCGTCCGTTCAAACCGATCAGATAACGCCGTCCATGATCGCTGCAAAACGACTCGCGCCTCCATGCGTATACAACAGCCAATATTACATCCTCGATCATGCTGGCGGCCCGGGAGTGATCCAACCTCCCGCCACATCTACCCAGTTGGGCAGACAACTGCCTTCTTTGAGCTCGACCTCCGGGACTTCGGGATCACATCTGCATCTGCAGCCAACACCGTTTTCCTTCTCTTCGTCCCACTCCTCCCAGTATGCATCTTCCTCGATTCTCTTCTTTTCGTCTGTTGTTGTCATCTCAAGGTAAGGTTGGCGAGGCTCCTGGCGAGCCTTTGCGTTTGCTGGACAGTGTGCGATTGTTGTGTGACGATAGCCGATGTCGCGGAAGTAGTGAATCTGCGAGGGAGATAGGAGAACACCGGCTGCCAGCGAGTGGATAGGTGCATCGCCCCACNNTGTGAGAAGTTAGCAACTTGCAAAAGCTATAGTTCAAAGAAGGCATCTTACTCTTTCCATCCAGAAGCCTCCACTACGATCCATCATCTGGAAGAAATCCTCGTACTCCTTGCTTCGGAACCAGTCAAGTCTGGCAATCTCAAAGTTACTCCAGAAATGGCACATGTTGTAGGTCTCGCCCTCCATGGACTCGGGATCTACATCGGGGATAGTGCCTGCGCCAGGTTCTGTTCGGAGAATGTCTTCAGGAAGAGGCTTCTTGTACTTGGGGTCGTCCTTGGGCAATTCATCTGCCGGCTTCTCGGGCTTTGGCTCCAGGAACATCTCCCAGAGACCAGTCGAGGTGATGTTGTTAACTCGCTTGTAGGCCGAAGCATATCTGAAGATATTCGGCACTGTTTCCTTGAGTTCCTTGACTGCAATAGTGAATCCATAGGTCTTGTTGTTACGCTCCATATGAACGAAAGGATCACTAAGAGAGGTTAGCAAGCCACGTTCAGAAGCATGTGCTCTGTTGAAACATACTAGNGTGATATCGCAGAAGTACTTGATCTCGGGCTCAACACGCCAGTACCAGTCGTACTTCTGTAGAAGTTCGTGCTTGTAGAAGAANGCTGTAGACGTCAGCACAGGCTCAACTCTTCGAAACGGACTGCAGGCATACCCAGAGTAGAATCTACACATGTGGTGATAACTCTCCATACCACCGTACATGATGGCGGCATCACCCTGCTTCCTGATGCCCTCCTTGGCCACGTTGTGGTCGACCCAGTCAGGGAATCCCCACATGGAGGAATCGATCTTGCCGAACTCGACGTTCGCGCTGACGTGCTTACGGACCTCATCTTTAAAGGTCGAGTTGAAATCGCCGTCGTTCAGGAAGACGTATGGGTAGTGGAACCATCTGTTAAAGTGTCTCTCAACCGACTTGAGCGACTGGAGCACACCTTCGAGCTCCTTGTTGCGGGCGAGGACGACGAAAGCGGCGTTGGCGCGCGGTTGGTTTGTCTCAAGGGCAGGATCTTGACAACCTGTGACGAAGACCTTGTCATGTTTCTCGCTGATTTTTCTGNNCAAAGCGTGGTATTAGCGCAGGTAGACGAAGTAGCAAGAAGGACAAGTAGCGTACCTAATGGATGGAGGTGCGCCGGCGGGCATGAGTATCCTGCCAGCCTCGGTAGGGTGCCGCACGAAGAGCAGCAGTATTAATATTACAATCAAGCATGGGAAAAGCAAGACCAGGCCCAGAGGTATTGAGATGCGCGAGTTCTCTCTTAGGCGTATGCGTCGACGGAAGAAGGCTAACCTCGGGGTCATCTTCTCTGCACTCTTTGACAGATCATCGTATGAAGGCATCCTTTGCGCTGTGGGCAGTCGCTTGCGGACATCCTGAAGGAAGTTCATGTTGCAGAGGGACGGCAGCGGGTGCTACGCAGATGCGAAGCTATAACAAGCGACGAGCAAGGATTTCGGGACGGGAATTGAGTTGACGATGAGGTATGCGGCGTTGCAAAGCTGATCCAGACGAGTAATGAGCGACCGACAGAGCGTGTCAAGGCGAAGCAGACGTCGCTGTTCAAGGGGACGTCGACAGGTATGCGTCGACTGGACGCATATGAAGGATACTCGAGGCCGAAACGAGATTTCGACGGGTCGTGATTGGCGACTTGTCGCAGTGTGTGATGACACGCAATTAGGGGGAGGCTGGCTAGAAAGGGTCTCGCTGGAACTAGGCCGAACTGTTCGCGTGCTGTCTTCTTTCTGCGCCTATATCGACGTCAATCCTTGTCGGTGTAGGCTTCTGAGGGTCTGCCTTGTCGGCGGGCTGCTTAAGAAACGGCTGACAATCGTGAGTGCCCTGTCAAAGTTTCTGTAGCTGCCACATATGCTGTAGACGGCTAATTGCTGCTTCTTGCTTCTTAGGTACGCAAGCCCTTGGCAATAATCCCACATCTCGCCGTGTGCCATGGCTGCTCCATGCTTCGCCCACCAACTCCGGGAAATTGGCATTGTCTCCATCATTTCAATCATTAGCATCGAGCTTCTTCTCCTCTTGACTCAAGCAGTCAAAGTCTTCTCATGTGCATGAATTGATGTTATACGAGTTACAGCGCTAAACAATCAATTGTCTGAAGAGTTCATCTCTGAACTGAAGTTGAGACTGTAGACTGTAGCAAAGCGGCATACAGCCTCCTTGTGTGCAAAAGTACCTGTATAACGTGTGTGGCTACAAAAATACACAATTCTATTCAGAAGCAGGGAGAGCTGCTAAGAGATCGTTTCTCGGTGGACACTATCCTCTTGTCTAATAAAACATTATGCATTTTGTAACGTGTACTCTACTTACTGCTATAGTCGGAGTACGGTGGTAGTGACATCCTTTAGCACACAGGGAGGAAGAAGGATACAAAATTTGCAATTGTCACACTAACGCAGACATCGAATCTGAACTCCCCCAAATCCATATCACTCGGTCGCTACGAACATTCTTTATACATCTGTTGTCTAAATAGAGGTACACCTCAGCCATCTTCTGGATTGTCGAACAAAACCCCGAAAGGTCAGGGTCATACCAGTTGAAACCAAAACCGACAAACACAGACATCAAAGTCCTGTCACATCAACTGTCAACACACACAACAATGAGCAACATCAAATCAAAAGACCTAAGCTACGACAAATCAGCCTCACAGCCAGCATTCCTTCAGCGCCTGCGCGATCAAAACAGCGCAATAGCTTCTTCCGGCCGCCACGAACAACCCATCGCCCGCGCACAGCGAGCAAAAAGTCTGGCGNATGATGACGACGACGCACCAACCTATGTGGTAGAAGGAAGCTCTGAAACGCTAACCAAAGCCGAGTATGAGAAACTCACTTCTGGTGATGGCGAGGAGAGTGATGCAAAGTCCAAGTTTGGCGATGTCAAGGNNGATATGGTGACTGGAGAGTTGACGGGGGACTCGCCAAAAGCATCGGGGGCGTTGCCTGATGAGAGCGATGCGCCTGCCCGAGCATCTGCGACTGTCGATGCCGGGAAAGCAACCAAGAAGCGCAAGGTGGCCAAAGTGGTAGGAGGTGATGACGAAGACGAAGCAAACACCAAAGACGCAAGCAAAGACGAAAGCAAACAAAAAAAGATCAAGAAAAGGGCANAGCCGATAAAGCTTTCTTTTGGCGATGAAGAATGAAAGAGGTCGTCTTTTTGATGGCTATGTACAAACATCTACAATGGCGGCAACTCCTCACGATCGATTGGACATACGAGTCTGAACTTCATCCAGCCCTCCAAACAACTAGAGTGGAAGATATGTCTACAGGGTGTAACCATGTATCTTCTGCGCTCCAAAACCAAAGATCCAGTCGGAAGACCTTCAGCAGCAGAGTCTCCATTCAACACAGGCACCTCAATCTCATGCATACAAATTGCGCAATCGAAAACACGCTTGCCTTTATCCTTGGCCTCTTTTTCTTGCTCGGGTGAAGGCATCGACGTGGTTGCACCAATAGGAAGATTGTTGGCTTCCTCATCATCTCGGAGAATGGGATGGTAGTCATAGGCAGGTGGCACCCAGGTGCCACTCACAAACCAGCGAGGACCTATGATTTCCTGACTCAATAGCAACAAAACTTGTATCCAAATCCAAGCAGCCAGTATACCAAGATCAATCAAGTCGACAGCAGCAGAAAGGACATTCTGCTCATAACCATAGAAGTAGGCAAAGGGAAGGAGTCGCAGAAATGACTGACCGGCCACGAAATCCCACCGCAATGCATGTCGACAATTACGCATGCAGTTACGGTGGATTTGCGGTACCCAAAAGGATAGATAGCAGAATGCTAAGATTGTGAAGTAACCTCGCCGAAGAGCTCGGGGCCATGAAGTTGCGTTGAGTGAGAGGAACAATGTCGCTAGCAGAAGGAAGTAGAAGCGGGTGTATAGAGAACCGAATCCTGGAGCACGCTGGCCAGCCTCGACTCCCGTAGCGGCAGCGTTGGGAGCATCTTCTTCAGCCTGCATATCTTGATCGGAAGGAATGAAGACCGGTGTGGCTCCTGTATCAACTGGACGAGCTGCTGTCACAGGTTGAGGTAATGTTTCTGCTCCCGCAGGAGTGATGACTGGTAGTTGAGATGGTGCCGGTGGCTGAGCAGGCGCACTCTCCGTCGTGCCTGCTGGCACTGAAGTGGGAGCTGCAGTTGTGGCCGCAGTTTGTTGACGCCGTTGTCGTTCTTGTCTTTCCCGGCGTTCCCTCTCTGGCGCCTGTACAGCCCAAATATCCATCAAAAACCTCATGCCAAAGAAACTAACGCTCATAAAGGCCAGAAAAGCGGTAGCAATCACCGGCACCCAGAGAGCCTGAATAAACAGACTGACCAAGCAGAAAACCATTGTTGTGAAGCCGTCTCCCAGTGACAACATGCTGACCGTGTAGAAGCTGATTCTGCTTCTTGTGGAAGGTGTACTTGCGTCCCGCATCTGACGCAAGAANAAGAATAACTGGCCGCCAACGACGACAGCGAAAATCAACAGATGTCTTCTCGCACGCTCGTACTCGACCTCAATCTTGAGACCGCGAAGATGATTCGCTTCTTGCGGCGCAACATCTGGCGGACCTTTTGATTCGATCACGAAACCACAATCTGGCGAGAAAGCCACCATGGAAAAAGCTATCTGCTGAGGAGATGGGATAGATGCACCAGTCGGAAATCGAATCTCCTGCTCGATGAAGGATAGAAGAGTTTCCTGGTCAGGGCCAGGCTTGACCCCAGGTACCGGAACCAAGTGCTGCTGCAGGTAGACAATCAAGTCACACGTAGGACTTAGCATAGAGTCTGAAGTGCCTTCAGGAGTTGGCGCCCAGGGGCTGAAGCTTTGGAGAAGTCCGTCTTCCTGTTGTCCGATGGACGTTCCCAGCGTGCGATTGAGCAACTCTTGAGCGGAGCGATAGTTGTGGCCGGACAGAGCCATATGTGGTAGACCGAATATTCCAGCAAACTTATTCGTAGTGGTGGCCAGCATGATATGCCCAGTCTCGAGGAAGTGTACGCCAAACAGTTTGCTGTCCCAGGAGTTACCCACCTCTTCGTCGCCGACAGATATCTGAGCCTTAACCTCCCTAGCCACTCTCTTGTCCCCATGCCAAAGCAGTGTATCTTGTGTGTCCGCCTCCTCAAACCAGACCTCCAGCGATCCAGACTTTGCAGTGACATTCTTGCTGAAAGAATGAATTGGTATAGGACCGAAGGGACCGATGGACGCGTATTCGGACATATTCAGTTTGGGCGGCACGACTGATGTTTGAACGGGCGAGCGAGTCCACTCGCCGTACAAGGTGCCAGTCACGTTGCGGTATAGTGGTAGTGGTGGTTGATCGTCATGTTCGCCATCAAGTCGCACCAGATTGTCATGACCCAAGGCATGCGCTGACTGTTGTCTGGCTCGCTCCTTTACAAGAGGTAGTGCTTGCCATACGAAGGTGTCATTCTCCCGGAAACCGCTAATGTTGAGCCATCTGTTCTGCGTGGGATCGAAATCTCCGAAATGTGTTTGATTGAGGACAGTCAAGTCATGGCGTTCGGCAGCGACGATGTGTTCGAGACGTGAGCGAGCGCGTACAAGGGGTTCCNNCTGACCAGGCGGCGGCGAGAAGAATATGAATAGAAGAATGACCAGTGCGACAATGGCTCTCAGATCGGCCATTACTTAGGTTGTGCTTCAGTCGCCCGCCATTCTACCTTGGTGAACAAATGACGATCTTGTCACAGTCCTCTTCCATGTGTCAGCTCGGACCCTGCTCGCGTGCCTCGGCTTACAGTACCACCACCACCAAGGCATCACCATTTCTCAATCTTCTCTGAGTACTTTGGAAGCGAGAAAGAACACTCGAAAAGTAAGTTGAGGGTAGAATAGCATTACTGTTGCAAGATGAGGGGTATTGAACTATAGAAGAGAAGAGAAGTACACAATGCCTCGAACCTTCAAAAGCTGAACGGCACTAGCGATTTCCTTTTGGTTCCCAGAAATGAAAGATGAACGGATGCCTGCTCCTTGCGCCCTTTGCGCCTTTCCCAGTGTTGGACTTGATTACTTTTGCCCATTGATACGGCAACTAGACGCCATGGCCGCCGAGATGGCCAGGCGCAGGTCCCTCCAAGTCGACCCGCATCACTCTGCTTCGAATATCACCACTCTCTCTGATGAGGTTGCCGAAGTACTTTTTNGCGACCTCGCTTTCGCTCTGAAGCTTGATCTTCTCCTTGCGCTCGTCAAGAAGCTGCTCCACACTTCGCTGGAGACTCTCACGAAGCTTGTCGGCAGGGAATTTGAGTGCTCTCCTGACCTCGGACGAGATACGTGTAGCATTGGCGTGTGTGTAGTCTAGCTCTGCAAGCTGAGCCGAGAGCTTCTGTGAGAGGCGTCGTGGTAGTGAGTGGGGAATTGAGCTCAGAGCATAGGTAGCACCAAGAGCAATCGCGAGGACGATGCCGGGGATCATCAGTCTGCGCAAGTTGTTGGGTCCAAGGACCTTTGCAGCACCGAGCGCACCATCAACCCAACCAACACCACCAAACATACGGCCACCAACAACTCCAGCGATCGTGACAGCCATACTTGCTCCTGCAACCTTCTCTTGGCGCTCCCATAGACTTGCAAGATCAAAGAAGTCTGACATTTCAACATCGACGTCAACTTGTCGTGTCAGGGCATCCCTGCGCGAACGGAACATATATTCCGATTTGAAGGTCAAGTCTTCGTAATCGTCGCCGAGGTGGAGGACTCCAAGGTTCTTGATGCCATCGACCCCCTTTGCTGTATGGTCTCTTGCGGCTTCCTCGCAGTCGTGGACTGAGCGTGTAATCTGTTCTAGCATAGCTGTCTTCAGCTCATCTGCGTACTGGTAGACGCTGAAAAGGCCAGGATATTCGACGCCCAGATTTTGCTCCCCGACACGAGCGATTGTGTTGTTGATGGTGTCGCGAGATGCCTTGTAGATGTCCGATGCAGTCTCATCGATAGTGAAATCAACACCTTCCCCAGCCTCGGAGCGAGCCTTCTTGGACTTCTCATATACAGGTTCAAGCTCTTTGAGTTCCTTAGTGACACGGTCGAGCTCGTTCTGAGCGACCTCCTTGTTTACACTAGCAAGGTTGCCAAGATCGCCGAGAACGTTGAGTAGGTAGGTCTTTGCAGGAGCAAGCTTAGAACGTGCTCTCTTTTCCAACACAAACCGACGCAAAGATGCCTCGAGTTCGTTGAAGTCGTCAATCTTCTCTTGCTCCTTACCCTTGCCCTTGTCTTTCTTGTCGGAAGGCTCATCATCATGGCTAGGATCGCCACCAGGGCCACCGCTGCTTGAGCCAGAGCCGCTTCCCGAGCCACCAGGACCATCCGGACCGCCAGCGGGAGCGACAGGAATTGCGTTACTTGAAACGAAATGCACGAGCTCAGAAGACTCCTTGAAAGTGGCAGGGCTGAGGTGGTTGACTTGCTTCAAGATCATTTCCTGACATCTCTTNTTGTCGCGAATGTTATCGTAACCATTGACGACCATGAACATATAGGCCTTCTCACGAGCGGCGTTGAAGATGAACTCCTTGGCTGAGAGTGTGAAGTGATTAGCAGCGGAAACAACAAAGACGACAACATCAATCTCTTCTTGTCGAGCAAAGACTGCAGTGGTCTTGAGCGAATCGTTGTTCAAACCAGGAGCATCAATCAGAGCGATATCGACCACGCCGTTGTTGAGCAGCGACTGGTCTACTGAGCGAACGTCCCTGATGTATACCTTGCACTGAGACCATTTTTCGTTGTCGATTACAATATCTTCGAGTTGCTCGAGACCGAATACAGCATAGGTACTTTCGTCGTGGCGATTGTACTCGACACCATTTGGAATAGCGTGAACTTCTTCAACGCCTCCATTTTCGCGACAATCCAGTACTTCACAGAAGATACTAGTGCATGGCTGTTGATCTTCAGGCAGGACCTTGCGTCTTAGGAGAGCATTGCAGAAAGTAGACTTTCCAGCGTTGAGATCACCAGTAATCAAAACTTTGCTGGAAGTGTCCTCGATGCGGTCTCTTAGTGAAAACAGGTGTCGGACGCTGTTGTTGATCTGGCCGTCAAGAAGCGAAGCTATTGATTGCTTCTCCAAAGAGTGAACCAGCTCGGTTTGATGTACGCCCTCCATTCTCAACTCGATCTTGAGCACCGAAAACTGCTGAGACAGCTGTGGCGTCACTAATCTAGGTTCTGCAACTGGCGCACGAGCAGCGGCTCCGCTGGACTCGGGCTCCATCATGTCTTCGCCTATGGTAGTACCGGCGCGACGAGGGGCCGGTCTTCTGAATGTCTCAGGAGCATGATGGTTGTCGAAACCGGATTGAGTATGGACGAGACCAGGTCGGGGGTCTGGATGGAAGCGAGGGGCGGGAGGTGGACGTTGGACGGAAGGATAGTGGGCAGGCCATTTCGAGTTCATTTCTTGTAACTTCTTCAAAGTGTCGACAGTCTCGGAGATGGCACGACCGAGCGCAGTACGATTCTGGTTGTATTGGAGTTGGTGTACATGGCTGGTGATGGCGCGTCTTTCATTATCANNGCTGTAAGGTGGTCAGAATTACATGCATTTCACTAGATCGTAAAGCAAATGCTCACAGGTAGCGCCCTGGGCTGTGGCCAGATGGTTCATAGGATCTTGGTCGAAAGTGGGATCAAAGGTGGCGCCGTCAGCGATGCTTCCNCCATAGCCAGAGTCGTTGTCAAGCATGGCAGCAAGGCGAGCGGCATGTTCAGAAGTCGAGCCGTTTCCGACGGTCATATACTGAGGGCGACCCGGGTGGCGGCGCATGGGCGAGGGAGAGCTGTTGGAGGGTGTGGCACGGCCACTGCCAGAGGGCGAGCCTGAGCTCATGATGTGCTGGTGTTGTGCAAGATGGCGCTCAGCACAATCCAGATCTGAGTGGTTGTAAGGGACTGGCGTGTGATAGTAAAAGAGTCGCAGGTCGTCGTAGGTAGGTGGTGTGACGAGCAGCAACCAGAGAATGTTTAAAAGTGTCGAACTCGGAACAAGAAGATTGGACTGACGGAAGGCTTGGCCGTTCGATGCCGTTTCGGTGGCTGGCACAGACCATTGTGGGGAAGTGTGCCGACTCTCCCCGCTACTTGCATCTCGACTCTGACATCAACCTTGTTTGTGGAAGCCTAGCAATCGCATCACTGCAATCTCCCTTCTTCATACACGCCCTCACACGTCTTTTCAGGCGCCATTCTGTCACTATGAATGTGAGCACCTCATGTGTCTAAGCTCGTTCTCACAACCCGATTCAGTGACTGATGGCGCGTCTTTCTCTAGATTGTAGAATGGGCCTTTGGCAAGCGAATGACGCCGGCGGAGAAGATGCGCAAACACCAGCGCTCGCTAGAGAAAGCCCAGCGTGAACTCGATCGCGAACGTACCAAGTTGGAGAACCAGGAGAAAAAGCTTGTACAGGACATCAAGAAGAACGCGAAGAATGGCCAGATGGGCGCAGTCAAGATTCAGGCAAAGGACCTTGTCAGGACGAGACGATACATTCAGAAGTTCTACCAGATGCGTACCCAGCTGCAGGCCATCTCGTTGCGTATCCAGGTACGCCTGATCCAACCCTCCCATGCCGCCTTAGGCTAACACCCGGTACAGACTGTGCGCAGCAACGAACAGATGATGCAATCCATGAAGGGTGCCACCAAACTTCTCGGTGGCATGAATAGACAGATGAACCTTCCAGCCCTTCAACGTATCGCCATGGAATTCGAACGCGAGAACGACATTATGGATCAACGACAGGAGATGATGGACGACGCCATTGACGACGTAACGGGCTTGGAGGATGAAGAGGAAGGCGAAGAAGTCGTCAACCAGGTCTTGGATGAGATCGGTATTGACCTCGGTCAAGCTGTGAGTTGTCTCCCTCAACATCTACCACGCACGTGCTAACACATACTCAGANTGGGCGAGACACCTACAGGCTTGCAGAGCACTGCCGTCGAACATGGCAAAGTAGCTCAGGCCATCGGTGGAGATCCTGGTGATGATGATCTTCAAGCCAGGTTGGACAGTTTACGACGATAAGGTCTGTTAAACAATGTCGTTGGTTATATTTGTTTGCATGACAAGCGTACGGCGTTCCGGACAAGGATAATAGGTGCTTGCGGCTCCGTCTCTACATGGCGATGAGGATGTTATCTACTCACGAAACCTTTCAAGCTTTGTTGCTACGTGCTGAAGGGAAACAAGAGGATTGATGCACAAAGCATGCATAGCTTACGAAATGTTTACCCAGCTCGCCCAGTTTGTGGGGAATCGCCTGAGATTAATGACTAGATCCGCATTTCCCTGTACGCTAAGCATGTGCGACCAAGTAGATTAGGGAAGTGAGTGACTCAAGAGGATTGGTCTCCCAGTCGTCCAGAACAAGACCAGATATCGTCTGCGGATCCTCAGCGGCAGTGAGAAGATCCGGTGACCGACCATTGGAGTTGGCTGTACCGTTCAGCGCCAAGAGCTCCTTCCAGAATCGCTGTGACGTCGGCAGGCTCGCAGCCCCATCCGAAGAACCGCACCCCCTCACGTTCTCCAATTGACAACCTAAGAATCTCCATCATCCTGACACAGCGCACCACAAGACTTGCACTTGAAACAAGTAAGTCTCACTGCCCATATGACCTGTCCGGAACTCCGCGCTGCGGCTCCGTGCTTCCTCTTACACATAGAGCTGCACGTCGGCAGACCAAAGCCTCCACATGAAGCATGCTTGTCGGGCACTTTGCTGATGCTGTGCTGCAGAAAAGACCCTATTACCCACACTCTGTCCAACTCGCTTTCCCTTGCTTCTGAAGCATCCTACCTTCGACCTCCGTGTGGCGCTAGTCACGTCCCCATTTCAACCTGGCATCTGGCAAGAGTCGCAGAAGCTTCTCCACTCAGGGAGGCCTGCTGAACAGAATGTTTGGATCGTCACCCAAGGAGGGTGATGCAATGCCCAAGACCGCCGAACCAAGCTCCGTTCCTTCCACCGAGCCCTCGTCCATGGACGCTGGCACCAGTGCAGACCGTAAAGATGTTAGTCCCTCTGGCAAGAGGAGAAGTAGCGGGTTCGCCGGCGCGCGCAACGTCTTCTCAAATGCCAAGCAGTCTTTGAAGGACCAGTTCCATAGCTCTTCTCCCGAGGCCCGCGAGAAACCGCAAACTCCCATGCAANAACTTGGTAGAACCGATCCCGCCTTGAGCGTTCCTCAGGGTGCACTCAACAATTCCGCTGGAGAATCCGAGCCCGGCCCGCGCTCTACTTTCAGAGTCGGTGTCACTGAAGATAAGAACAAGAAGTGCCGAAGAACAATGGAAGACACGCATGCCTATCTCTACAACTTCCTTTGCACTCCAGCTCCCGCCCTTGGCTCAGAAACTGCTCAGAAGAGTATATCTTCCACCAATTCGACCAACTCTCAAGAGGTCGTCGAAACTGACAACGGCTACTTTGCTATCTTCGATGGACACGCTGGCAACTTCGCTGCCGACTGGTGCGGCAAGAAGATTCACTGCCTTCTCGAAGACATCATCCGCAAGCATCCGAACACTCCTATCCCCGAGCTTCTTGACATGACCTTCACTACCGCAGATCAGCAGCTGGAGAAGCTACCCTTGAAGAATAGTGGCTGTACCGCAATCACTGCTGTGCTTCGCTGGGAGGATAGAATACCCAATTCTCAGTCTGCTACTGGCTCCACCGCAATTGCACCTGCCACCGCTGCCGCTATCAAGGGCAACACTGACTCAACGCCAGTCAGTGCTGATTCCACACAATCACCTGCAGCAAAACTCCGTGAGGCAGCTTCGCGCCAACGCGTCCTGTACACTGCCAATGTTGGAGATGCCCGTATCGTTCTTTGCAGAAACGGCAAAGCTCTCCGTCTCTCTTATGATCACAAGGGTAGTGACGAGAATGAAGGCAAGCGAATCTCAGGTGCTGGAGGTCTTATCCTGAACAACCGTGTCAATGGTGTTCTGGCTGTTACCCGTGCTCTGGGTGATGCATACATGAAGGATTTGATTACCGGTCATCCCTACACCACCGAGACAGTCATCCAACCCGACATTGACGAGTTCTTGATCCTGGCATGTGATGGCGTAAGTTCATCTCTCAATCTTCAGACTATAACATCAAGCTAACAAAACAAACAGTTGTGGGATGTCTGTTCAGATCAAGAAGCAGTGGATCTTGTCCGTAACATCAAAGATCCTCAAGCTGCATCCAAGACTCTTGTCGACTATGCACTGAACCGTTTCTCGACGGACAATCTGACCATCATGATCGTCCGCTTCGACAACCAGGCCTTGCAGCAGACGGTAGAACGCAAAGTGGAACCTATCGGTGTCGATGGTGATCCTGCCGCCCAGAGAGGTGGTGTGAGCGAAGCCGATGCGATCATCGCCGAGCAACGCCAGAAGCTTGCAGATAGCGGCGAGCTTCTCGACCGTGTTCCTAGTGATGTTCATGAGGAGGAAGAACAAGTGGACCCCGGACCGGAGCTCAACATCGAAGCAGTCGAAGCAGCACGCAAGGACCGCAAGCCTCAACCGCCCGCCGAGGAAGTCGCCCGCGCTCAACAGTCTTAGTAACGAATACCGGCCGTGAGGGACAGATAGAAACTCGAAAAGTAGCTTAATCGACAAAGCTTTTCTGTGAAAGCCACCTTGTTGTCGCCTATTTGAACGAGACATGCTGGTCATGGTGGATTGGTGAGCAGACAGGCGTACTGGATGGAAGCGTTGGAGTTTTTGACTATGCGTGCATGAAGCAACATGGCAGTGGGCAGTTTACAAGGTAGTAAGGTTGAATCTTTTCAAGGCGTGCTCAAGAATATCGATCCAATTTTTTTGTTCCATGTGCTCGCCATTCTGTCCACCTTCAAGACATGCCCAAGTTATAATGTCCAGTGTTTGTCGGGTTTGGTTTCATCAGGTATGACCCTGTCCCTCTTGGCATTAAGTTGTCCTTGAACTTTTGTGACTCGCGCCAGTCTCGACATCTCTCCAATTTGTGCATCGTGTTCTTCGTCTTAACTTCTTGTTGGCAGTGGTGTTTGATCACTCTATCTTCTCACACACATTCGATCCAGTGCGCAACCTCACAAAATGCTTCTTTGTATGCGACTATTTTCCAATGAGCTTACAGCAACATACTGATATCTATGCGTAGTCTGCCCGAGTTGCTCGAACCTCCTGACCATCACACCTATCCCTGCGGACCATCTCCCTCTAAACGAGCAGCACTTTGCAAACGTCAACCGCTTCGAATGCCGAACATGTCCCTACCAAATGATTCTGGACAAGCGCTACTTTGAGCGCAAGATGATGAAGAGCAAGGAAGTCGAAGATGTGTTGGGAGGTGCCGACAGCTGGAAGAACGTCGACAAGACAGAAGTCAACTGCAGAGAAGAAAAATGCGATAACCGCGAGGCGTACTTCAGACAGGTTCAGATCAGAAGTGCTGATGAGCCCATGACTACTTTCTACAAGGTATGTTGGTCTCTACCATATCAGGCTAGACATTGGCTAATGTCCGCACAGTGTACAAAGTGTGCTTCTGAGTGGCGCGAGAACTGAGATTCCCGTCTCCTCCAAGAAAGGCCGCGCAATCATCTGCGCAGCATCCTGCAGCAACATTCCTCCTTTAGCGATCTTTCAGCGCGGCGTTTGTGGATACAGGCTCGGCATAACATGTCAAAGGCCTTGGCTGGTATTAAAGAGCACATGATTATTGGTAGATACCCTTTGTGAATCAGGAGTTTCATGTGCTTCGACAAGGAAAGGGAAAAATGCAAGTCCGTTGGTATTGTGGGTATCATGGCTATCGTTTGTAAAAACAGGAACAGCAGGAAAGGAAGCGTGCCCGTTGAAGGACGCCGTTTCTGTATCAGTCGCGGCGGAGACCATCAGTGCTGGCTTGGAGGCCTTCTTCTGCCATCCTAGCCACAGTCTCGGGGATCAGAATGTCCTTTCTGAATCTCTCTTGTTGCAGAAGCTCGAGTGCTCGAATGGTAGGACCCGGGTAGCTGGAGGAGGAAACATGAATAGGTGGATCACATGGTGAGGTTGAAATTGGACTTACGACAAGTATTTGATGTACTTCGGTTCTNGCAAAGTACTGGAGGTAGGAGAGGTATGCGATGAACTCTGGATCGTCCAGCAGCTTCTGGGTTGCCAGGTGATTGAGATAGAGAGGGTTGGACAAGCACTGGACGAACTGCAGATAGGCCGTCAATGATGAGAACAGTGCAAATCACACATCATGACACGACGTGGTCTGGTACAATCGGTAGATCTGGGAGATGACCGCTTGTCATTGCAGACTTACCTCGAGCTCTAGTTCGAAGCGTGTATAGCCTCCATAATTCGAGTCGGCCATGTTGTGAAGGCGTCACGCAAACAGCGCGTACAACAGACTTTGGATGGGCGAGCGGTAGATTTGAATGCCGGTAAATTCTCACACTAAGAGTCTGTCTCCTCGAGGAGTTCTCAGAAAGTGTGGTTTGATCCAAGGTCTCGAGCACATCGGTGACTGGATGGTTTGTTCCTTTCAGACGATGTCTTGGCGCCGCTGCGAGGCTCGTTTCTTCTAGCTTCCCTCTAACTTGAGCCCTCTTCTCATTGCTCTCATACTTGTTTTTGGTCGTACGCCTAGACTCACTTCTGTTTAGGATTGCATTCAATGCAATATTCAAAAATCATGACTATAACATTATATTGTCTAGCGTTTTCCTATTGAAAAGCACTATATCATCTAGTCTACCAAAGTAGTAACTTATGTTTTGGAGACAGTCCATCCTTCGATTTCTACTCATGTACAACCTCCAGCTAAACTGAAAAGAACAAGGCCAAGTTTATGCAAGTGATCAGTCCTTCAATTACGGGCTGCCGCGCTTCGCAGCTGAACGGCTCCTTCATAAATCCGCGTTCTTCCAAAGCTTTCCTAGCAATCTTGACCTGTGTCTCCCTCTCCTGGGTAAAGTTCGCCGGTTTCCAACCCTTAGTGTTCGCAACCTTGATGGGGCTGTTGTACGCACGCACAATCAAGTCGTGAGCAAGATTCAAAGGCCAACTATCAATAACACCAGCGGCCGCTCTCAATTGGCCATCAAGACTTTTTNNTAACCAAGGAGGAACGATGTTGACAGAGTGACCCACAGTAACAAAGCTGCCACTTTCAGCCAAGATTGCGAGTTGAGGTCCAGGACCAGGGCGGTCTTCATCACAGCAGCGCTCTACACGACCTTGAGTGTCGAATCGAGGTGGCCCATCTTGTTGATCAAAACGGCCTAGAGAAGCATGGGGCTCATGCCAAAAGATCCGATTTCTGGTATAGTCTTTAAGGCTCNNGATGATTGATGTAACTGGTGGGTATGTCAGAGCTGTGCCGCAGATGGGATGGGTTGGCGAATATGGCTCTTCGCTTGAAACCGAGTCTATTGGGTCATCAAGAATGAAAACCCAATCGGACATTTCGTCGTTTAGTAGAATCCAGCGGATACGTAGGAAGGTAGGTGATTGTGAGGTTGTCGAGTTTGTGGCTACGAGGCTTTCGTGACTTGGGGGTGTATTGTTGACATGTATTCCTAGAAGATTTGTGTAGCCTACTCTCTCCGCGCAGCTTGGTAGATTTTATCGGATCTTGATGAGTTTTTAAAAGCGAGTTGTGGTTGCCAGAGTCGTCACAAGGATGATTGGATCCTCGATGTATGCAAGCAACTGAAGCCTTCCTCGGCTTGTCAGTATATTACTTGCCAAGAGGCTTTTAGCCTATTTCGAGCATGAGTATAGTGAGGGAGGGGTCAAGCTTGCTATGTAGGAGGAGAATCCCTGAGGTCGACAGAGCCTCATCATCACTCTCCTGCTTCGTACACGTTACACTCCCGGTGCTAGAATTCACGATCGTGATGCACGAAGCTGAACCTGAGGGACAGCACGCCAGTTGAGGCTGGAAAGAATTCCTCTGGCGTTGTTGACCGGAAGGCGAGAAGACGGACGAAGCATCTTCTGGGCGAGCATGCGAGCGTCATCGTGCTTGATCTTTTCTGTGGTCATGAAGATGCCGCAGGACGGGAGGCTTGTCGAAGGCGGCTTGTGGTGTCAATGAGTTCCCTGTACAGGTTATATGGCTCTGTGTGAGATGGCAGTGAGCTGACTACCACCTTGTCCAGTATGTTCTTGGTGAGAGCAATATATCCTTTGGAGATTGCTCGAGTAGTGCGTATAATTGTAGAAAGTTGGAGGTGTTCAACTAGGAAGCCTCTCGGTAACTTGCAGTAACAGGACGTCGCGATATTTGGTGTGTCACTTGTACCTCTCTTCTGCGCGAGTACTCGAGATGCCTACATTCTTTGAACTGTTTACCAGATTCTAGTTCGAAGCGTATGTTCTTCGATGGAAGGAGCAATTCTCCGTATATAAGCAGTTCCGTTAACATTGGTGACCATCGCAATGACTCCGGGTCTACGACCGTAATGCGAACCGGCTATGGTGAAGTGTCACGCGCTCGGCGCGGGTGACTAGTTTTCGAAGAGCTCGCGGTACTTGTGGAAAATGCTGGCGAAATTCCCCCACCAGCAGTCCGTTCACTCGGAAGGTTCTAAGGAAGTGTTTGAGTCAAGTGCTGGTTATTAAATTAGACTTTTCAGCCCCCCTGATGGACACCTGGTAACGCGATGATGCGTGCTCCTCGATCGATAGGGGAACACACAATCGATTACAACGGACGACAGCGCGTGTGGCTGTAGGACAGTTCGACGACAGCAGCTGATGGCAGCTGGGTGAAACTTCGAGTTGAATAGCCAACGGCAGTTTATCGAAAAAAGGATACGAACATCGCAGTGATCAACAGGAGCGCCAATGCGGAGTAATAAACGCAGACCCTTGGTGGCTCGAGCCCCCCCTCTCAATCTTAGTAAACAAGTAGTTAGGTACCGTCTCTCGTGCTCTCTTCCTGTCAAAACCATCAACAACATCTCTCCTGTCCTCAGCAGTTACTAGTCACAGTGCGCGCCATCTCCAGCTTTGCACAAACGGCACCGTCCTTGGACACGGCACAACGACAGCAGCGCCGACATTGTGGTCCCGCACAAACAACTGTCGATCCATTCCTCATTCTTGGGCTCGCTTACATAGCACTCTGCATCTTCAATCTCGACGACGCCTAAGTCTCTCCTTGAGCGATCTCCGTTTGAGCTGAGCAATCATGTCGCTTGCTCCAGCGGCCATGCCTGGTAAGCGCCCCTGCTTGTTGCGTTTCAAGCCTGTTTCAATACCAAAATATCCCGCCCCTATGCCCAACAATCGCCCATCGTCGTCGTGTCGTTGCTGATGTCGTATCTCATTCATCCAGGCCAACGCGCTCCTTCTCCTGGTGCCGGCGCCAACTTTGCTTCCAACAACCCCTTCCGCCGTGCTGCCTCTCCTCTGCCTTCTCCCGACCACAGAATGTCGAACAATCCATTTCTCGACCCTCCAGCCCCGCAGCGACAGGGGCCTTCAGACGCTTTTACTGAGGACATTTTTGTATGTACCGCTTGTTATCTGCACCTTGCCCCGCCATCCATCAACACCTCAGTATCACTTTTGTCGCACCAAGCTCCAGCACTCTGTCCACTCGCCTCTTCCACGATTTCCAGCATCTCACTTCGAACGACTGTTTCTGCGCGAAATTGATTTTCGTGACAAAGCCATGGCTAACAATTTACCACAGAAGGATCTGTCGTTGCTCGACAAGCCTGGTTCAGGAGGTAAACACAAACGATACATTGCTCAATGTAGTATTCCAGCTAACACTCCTATCAGCTCCTTCTGCACCTCGCAGCAATGGACTCCCTCGAACAGGCACCATGCCAACCCAACACCGACCCGCACGCTCACAGGAAGATGACCCTCGCCGACGCGGCCCCGCTCCTCCGCGAGGTCCTCCACGTCCTTCTAAGGAAAACGCTCTAGACATTTTTGCCAGCCCACCCAAAGTCGAGAGTAGACGTGTTCGTCGCAACTCAGAATCGTCAATCTTGGACACTAAGGAGGAAGACAGGAGAAGAAGAGAGCGACGCAAAGAGCGTGAAGAACGTCGCGAGAAGGAGGGACGAACCAAGGATGGAAAATCAAGATCGACCAGGAAGCCTCAGGGACTGGATCTCATTGACAAGCTCGATGTCACCGGTATCTACGGTCAAGGACGTAAGTGCCATGTCTGCGAAGCTCAGTCTTACAGCGGAAAACTAACAGAACCTCGATAGNTTTTCCACCACGACGGACCTTTCGATGCATGCAACCCCCATCGCAACCGTAAGAAGGATGTTCGTGCCCCTATGCAAGCATTCCCTGCAGACTCGGCCAACAACGCTTTGGGTGGATCTGGTCCTTTGAACAAGAACATCGACCTCGACAGGTTTCATGGACGTGGCGAGGATGCTTTCAATGATTATTCTCAATCTCGCGTGCAGGCACCTACCAAACACGTACAATCCTTCAACCCTGCCGATCGCGTCGAACAGATCCATACTTCGGAATCGGTTGGTCTAGGAACTTCAACTTTCCTCGAGGGCGCTCCCGCTTCGAGGAAGGACCTCCAACGCCGGGAGTCTGAGACCGAAACTTCTGCTTTCCCAGGAGGCAGTCTGACCCGCAAGAAGTCGCTCGCTGTGCGTCTCAGAGGACTCTCGCAAAACCGCAACAATGTAACCTCACCTGACGGAAACTACGGCCCCATGTCCCCGAACAGTCCTGGCCAAGTGCAAAGTGCAGGAGGCAGAACCCGTATTGCAGGTAGCAGCAAGGAAAGCAACCCCTTCTTCTCCGAATACAACGATGCATACGAGAAGAAGGGCGCAACCATTCGCTACGCTGAAGAAACAAAGGGCGGCCGAGCAAGAGCACCAAGCTCGCCTCACCGAAACGGTCTTACTAGAAGTATCACCGCAGACAGCGTGCCGTCCGCCGCAGCAAATGACGTACCTGAGAAGAGCAGCGGAGGCGGGTTCCTCAACCGCATGAAGAGTTTGAAGGGTGGGCGCAGAGCAAGACCCGAGAGAAGGGGGTCTTGAAGTGGTCGAAGAAGTTGACCTTTTTGGATATCAGCGTTTTCTTCCAACCTGCGCCATTATACGTCTGAAGCAGAATTATGCCAGGCCCGAGATCTCCAGACATGTCTTCCTTTTGTTTTTCTCCCTTTTTCTTCCTTCATCTCATTATCGACAGCCATCAGATACCAAAGCCGCTGGTCGAGGGTTTATTCCTATATTTCTCTTTTTTTTTTGTGTTTCGACGACAAGGAAGCTGGTTACGAGAATCAGGTGCAATTCATTGTGTCCTTGACAAAAGTAATCAGAGGGGTTTATGGTATGGAAGGACTGATGGATAGAGGCGTTCATTCGGGGACTATGCTTTTTCTCTTTTCTTAGCAAAGGAAAACAATTAAAGTCAGCAAATAACAAATCTCTCATTCTCATGGACTGAATGCCGCAAGTGTGTTCATTTGTTAGATCGTGATGGAAATCGAGATATCTGGTCAGCAGCACTCTTGAAGCAGTTTCACTCTGGGCTTTCAAACCACATCTTCCAAGTTCTCTCCTAGGCAATCACAAACCGGCCGATCAAACCCAATACGCCGAACCCGAGAATGGCAGCGAAACCAGTTTTGGCATCCGATTTGATTGCAAAGGACTCAATCGGTTTGTTTGAGGAAAGAGCAAGGAAACGTTTGCGAGTGGGTACTGGATGCTGCGATTCGGTTGATGATGCGCTGAGTGGAGGGTTGGTGTATGGACAAGACGGTGTCTACAACATCAGTGGCGCGACGGGGAGTCGAGCAGCCGAAACGGTATGTTCTTTTCTTTGATTCTGTTTCACACTGTATTACGATATCTCTTCTCAAGTGAAGAAGCAAGATGGAGCGAACTTCAGTTACATGACAGGGTTACCCCTCACTTGTTTGGAATTATGAACATTTTATATCCCAGCAGTATGCACAAGCTAACATCAGACATCCAATCTAGNNATCAGCCTTCAAATCCTAATCACACATCTTCTCGCCTCACAAAATCACACCGCAACTCTCATCGACGCTTCCGGCAACTTTGACGTTTTGAGTCTATACAAAAACCTGCTGACCCGGCTCGCCAAAACCAGCACCAATCATGAACAAAACATCAAACAAGCAACTTCTATCCTCGACAGAGTGAACATTATGCGAGTGTTTGACTTTGAAGGTGTGGTAGAAGGATTAAACGAATTAATCGACGACTTGGAAGGAAAGAGTGTCCCTAAGAACACGATCAGGGATAGTCAAGAAGAAGAGGAAGATGAGGAAGTTATCTTGCCAGAGGACGCTGAAGATAAGAAGGGAAAGCAAGAACAGGCGGGTTTGGTTTTGATTAACAATCTGAGTCAAGTGCTGGGCCTGTTGTTGAAGAATAACTATGTTCAAGGTATGCATTACATACTTTCACTGCTAATGGACAGAGTACAGAAGCTTACGAACATCACAGGGCAAGCTACATTGGCCACGCTGGTGAGAAGACTACGCAACATGGCACAAGCACACAACCTCTGCGTCGTACTGTTGAGTTGGAGTGTCTCGTATGGAAGCGATCAAGAGCGTGTCTCTATCTTCGAAGCCATCAAAGCCAGACCGGGACTAGGCAAGTCACTAGGATACCTGGTCGACACACAAATCCTCATCGACGCCATCCCCAGAAAAGCAAAATCCAAAGGAAACGCAGATCTGGTCAATGTGATTGAAGTCATCTACAGCAGAGGAAGTCACCAAGCAGGGAAATTCGGCGTCTTCGATGTCACTGCTGATGGAGAGATTCAATCTGCATTCTAAGAGCTCCACAACCAAAGAAATAAGATGTTATGAACAAAAAAGAGAATAAAACGTGAATTGCGAAATAGCTTGGGTGGTATAGTTGTTGTTGTGTGGGTTCTTTAGTTTGTCTTGACGTGAGGGAGCAGGGATGCAGCCTTCAAGTCCTTCTCCTCGAGCGAGCCTTCGATCAGACCCAGACTCCTTATTTGGCCGGCAGAAGGGGCATCGTCTCTGGGGTTTGCGGCAAGGTGCTTGCGGTATGCGGATTGGAGAGCGTGGACACGAGCGGCCNNTGTTTTGCGGCTTGTTGTTAGAAAACGGGCCTTTGGTTGCTTGGTAAGGAGGAGCAAATGTACCTCTTTGCGGTGGTGTAGGCACTCATAGTAGTCCTCGAGCATGGGAGCGCACTTCTTCTTGCCTGAGCCGTCCTCGGAGTTTGTGTTGACGACGTAGCAGGCGAGCATCTCCTGCCAGAAGGGAAAGCAGCGGCCGGGGCCTGGTTGTCGTCCAAAGTCGTCAGCAATCCAATTCTCCCTTTAATGCAGCACACAGCCAATGTATACCTCCAGTCAAGCCGTAACCAGACGACATGTTGTGTTGTTTGTGAAATGTGATTGATTGCAACTCGGGATGCTGCTATTCCGACGCGACCACTGACTGCTTGCGACTGCCCGCGGTCGGTCGCTGACCACTGCCAAGACCATTGCCAGCGGAGCGGAACTCACCAATTCCCACTTTCCTCCACATCCGAGGCGCATCATCTCAAAGCTTTCAAGCGTCGCACCTTGCATCATCAATTTACGCCATACATCACAAAAACAAAAACAACAATGTCACAATCCATAAGAAGCCCTCGCGGCAAAACAGAATACGCAACCTACCAACCCCATCAAATCCCCTATTCAGCACACTACGAAGACTCTCTCTACCACATCCTCGAATACNCCCCGCGCTCCCGCGACGGCATCTTCATAATCCAAAACGACTCGTCCGAGCAACCGAAACAAGGCATCTCCGTGCGCCAAAGAGATATAGATCCAGCTTCTCTGCCACAAATCTCATTACAGCAACTTCCTCTGTCTGTTCACGATCCCCGCCGTATATTCGCAAGTCCCATACCAGGACTGAGATTGACGCATCCTGGGGGTTATTTGGAGGGTGGGCCTGGTTTGTCGCCTGAAGAGCAGAAGAATTGGGCTAGAGAGTTTTTGGAGAGGGAAGGTGTTGTGGGTGAGGAGGCTTTGGATATGGCTGTGCAACATCACATGCAGCAGAATATGGCATTGGCCAAGGAACGCATGCGCGCCCGCTACGATGCGCTACAGCAGAATACCAGGATTGAAAAGGAGATCAAGACGTTAATGGATCAGAGGGAGATGGAAGTCAAGATCGAGACGCGCATGAAGGAAGACGCAAAGAGAAGAAGGGAGAATCGCGAACACAAGAGGAAGGTGCCTGCTGTCTGAGAGATTGGACTACGCTACACTATATCTTGGGTGCTCTGAAGCCTACGAAAGGAATCTTGGTGCGCAGTAGGAGACTGCTCGACACCACAGATACCGAACTCAGCGCCATAGCCAAACTGGCCCATACTGGATCCAGCCGAACATGCGTTCCTCCACTGGTAATCGCATACAACGCTCCTGCCGCAACGGGCAATGCAATCAAGTTGTAAACCAACGCCCACGCAAAGTTGAGCACGACCCTACGGAACACCACACGCGACAGTTCCAGAAGTCTGACCAATGCATGCAAGTCGGATGTCACGAGCACAAATGATGCTGTTGAAAGAGCAACATCTGACCCAGACCCAACAGCAACGCTCACGTCCGCAGTAGCGAGGGCTGGAGAGTCATTGATGCCGTCGCCGCACATGGCTACTGTAGCCCTTTGTTTACGCGGCCCGATAAAACCTCGCGAGCGTCGTGGTACAAGAGTCTGCTGCAGGTACTTGATCTTATCTGCTTTNTGCTCTGGCAAAACTCCTGCCATGATGTTAGATTCAGGAATTCCCACCGCGGCTCCGACACTGTTCGCGGTAGTTGCGTTGTCGCCTGAGATCATGTATACTTCGAGTCCTTGCTTCTGCAACCACTTGACTACAGTAGCGGCTTCGGGTCGCAATGGGTCTGCTATGGCAAAAGCTGCAACCAGAGTGAAAGTCGTTCCTGGAGACGAAGAAGTTGATAGAAGAGCAATAGACTTGCCCTGCTGTTTCCAGCTGTCGATGAGATCTTTGCTTTCCGAGTCAAGCTGTACATCAAAGTCTGCCATCAGTGCTTCGTTGCCGACGATTGCTGTGATATGTGTGCCCAAGTTTTCGTTTTTGAAGGATCCTTTGAGACCTTTGCCAGGAAGTTCTTCGACATCGACAAGTTGTATGCTTTCGCCAGTCGAGACTTGCGCTTTGCTGTACTCGACGACGGCTCTAGCGACAGGATGACTGCTGTTCTCCTCAAGCACTCTCGCCATAACCAACGCATTCTCTTTCGCATCTTGGTCACCAAAGACCTTACAGTCAGAAACGGCTGGTGCAGACCCCTGGGTTAATGTGCCCGTCTTGTCAAACACGACACAATCGAGCATACTGGCCTCCTGGAACGCCTCTCCACCTCCTTTAACAAGAATACCATGTTTGGCAGCCAATCCACCACCCACAAAAAGCGCAGTAGGGGCAGCAAGACCAATGCCACAAGGACAAGCCACAACAAACACGGCAATCGAGAACTGCAGAGACCAGAACGGCCAGCCGCCAATCTCTGAATCCAACCACGAAGATGGCAACGCGCCTGAAAGACCCAGAGAAAGCCAGATGATCCATGTGGAAATGCCGATCAGGATGATCAGGGGCACGAAGCGTGAGGTTAGAATGTCTGCTATGCGTTCGACTGGTGCACGTTTTGTTTGTCCTTCGCGGACTACCTTGATGATCTGGTCTAGCATTGAAGAACCTGAGATGGAAGTCAAACGCACATCGATAGGTGATCCCTTGTTGATGGTGCCAGAAAAGACTTGATCACCTGTTTGCTTGGACACGAGCCTGGATTCTCCTGTTAGACTGGCCTCGTCGAATTTAGTCTCACCATCGACGACAATGCCGTCAAATGGTGGAGAGCTGCCTTGGAGGACTCTGACGACATCTCCGATTTCAAGCAGTTCTGTTGGTATCTTGTCTAGACTTGTTGAGTTGTCCTCGTCGGAGGTAGCGACCAAGAGAGCTGTGTCAGGCCTCAACGAACCCAAAGCAGCAACGGCATCGCCAGTCTTTGCCTTGCTCCATGCTTCTAACCCTCTGCCGCCAAGCAAGAATAGAGTCAAGAAAACCACAGAGTCAAAGTAATAAGCCTGTCCTTGACCCATCGTCTTCTTGCTGTTCGTTGCATTGATAGCAAGAGCGGCAATGGAAGCAAAGTATGCGATTGACGTACCCAGACTAATCAACATATTCATGTTGCCGAACCTGAGTAGACGATGACTCAGGGGCGTGCGCGATGAAGGTTTCCACATGAGATAGATGCCTTGAAGACTTCGAATGTGGAAGATATCAGCAGCGAAGAAGTAGATGATACTGCCCATGATGAACAAGGCCCAATCTGCCCTGCTTACGGTACCTGCCCAAATGTTTTGCATGAGGTACCTTCGACCTGCGTTTTGGTGATTGACGAGCGTCATATACACAATGCCAATGACAAAATTTGGAATTGCAGTGATGAGGCACAGCATAAAGCGAATAAGGATTTTTCTGCGTTCGGCGGCTTGAATTTCCCTTGATCGTTGTTCAATGGTTGGAGGGTTGAAGACGGAGGCTTGGACTTCTGTGTCTAGACCATTGATGACTTTCAGGATATGTCTTAGTGTCAGGCTTGGTGATTGAGGCCGATAGCTGAGTCTAAGCAGCGGGTTCTGCATGCTGCACTCTTCCTCGATGGTCACTCCAGCGCCAAAATTGTTCGAGAGTGCCTGTAGGACACGAGGTGCGCAATGGTGACAGTACATGCCTCTCATTCGCAAGACGACTTTTCGTTCCAGAATCTGCTCTTGCGTTGTCTCAATGCTGTTGACTTCCTCGGGAGAAGCGTCAAAACCCAAGTCATCGATGATCTCGATGATATCCTTGACTCTTTCTTTGGTTCCGCTGAATGACAGTGTTGCACTGTTTGAGATCAGATTTACTTGAACACTCTGAATCCATTCAGGTTGTTCAAGTCCAGCGGTAAGAGATCGAACACAAGCAGCACAGGTCATGCCTGTGATCGAAAATGTTGCTTTCCATGTCTGCTCCTTAGTGGTGTTTTTGGCACCCAAACCATCCACTTCATTCAAGGAGACATCATATCCAGCATCTTCGATCGACTCCGAGATGACTTTGTCGTTGTTTCGACCTGAGAAGACGACTGTGGCGGAATTGCTGAGCAGGTTGACGTTCACGTCCTGTACGAAGGAATCCTGAGAGATGGCCTGCGAGACATTGGTGACGCATGCACTACATGTCATTCCCTCGACCGAGAAAGTAGCACGAAACAGCTCAGGCAAAGCAGATTCCACAGAATCAAGCTTTTCTGTAACCTTTTCGCCATCCTCATTTTCGGAAGACATCGATACTCCTCTCTCGACGTCGGAAGCATCGGCAAATGGCTGTATTTTCTCCATCAGGGCTTCCGTAGAGCCACGGTCGTGATGCATCTCGTTGAGACATAGAGCACATTGCTCTAGATGTCTTTTTCTCTTNTTGCTGTTCTCCACCTCGACATCTTTGTCCTTCCATGCAGTCTTCCATCGCTGAACTGCTTGTTCCAAGCCCCAATCTTCGTTGATGCCAGCATCTCCAGGTTGCGGTCTGAATGTGGGTTCCCGATTCGCTTGTGCAACGCTGTAGACCTCGAAGCCTGCTTTTTCTAGGCTTGATATAATGGTGGTGTGGGGGATGGACGGATCGTGGCGGATTGTGACTGAGTGTTGAATTATCGAGTGAGAAATCGAGGATGCTTCGATATTCAGATCCTCCAGACAGAATTGAATGCTTGTGATACATGAAGGACAGTGTAGATTTGATATGAAAAATATAGTAGTTGTTGTTGTGGCCTTGTCTTCATTCGTGTGAGGATGCGCCATGATGAATTGTGATGGCAAAATCAAGATGGTGACAGAAAAGAGATATCCAAGAATTACTCATATCATGGGGGCGTTCTTGCCTTTTTAAATCATAAAACTACCTATGACTCCGCCATGTCATGGTTTTACCGCACAAAACGCGCAAACTGGAGGACGAGCAACGCACAAAAAGCGCAGAGGCAAATCTCGGAAATAACGGTTAGTCATTCACGACCGAACGTACACACAACCTTGATGGAACACTTCCGAAATGCTCAGAGATGTTGTGCATAGCTGTGGAATCATACAGATTACTGGAGAAACTAAGCAATCTCTACCGAGACACAATTTTTTGCAAACGATTGCGTATCCTTACAGCATAATTATCGCTCTGTGCTTTGCGGGAAGAGACCAAGGAGGGTGGAAATGCCAGACTCTAGCAGATGAGGAAAATGCTTCGTGTCCGTCATACTGACCTGCTTGCTCGAGGTTGAAGGTTGTGAAATCCTGATTCTCAGTAATCTATATTTATATGCAACCAAGGAAATGCATTAAGTACTCGTCGACTTTACTGAATAAGGACATAAGGAAATATTCATCATCTACACTTCAGTCTCAGAGTCCGACTCGGCATCAAACACACTGCTCCACTTCAACAATTCAGCTGGGATGTCCTGTCCAACAAGAGGAGCCTCTCTCAGTCTCCAGTTGATACATGATCCAGTAAATGCCAACACAGCCAACAATGCCCACAGAGTCGCATTGATAGCGACTACTGAGTATGCGTCCGAAAGATAGTAGCTCAGACCACTCACGCCAACCGCGAGCGCCTTAAANAGATTAGAGAGGCCGAGAAGGCCTATGCTGGTACCAGCCGACGCCGCATTTGGGGCTGCAGAGAACGCAAGTAAGATGGCCAATACCATCGCCAGTTCTGAACACAATTCTTTGGCGACCACAGCCACTGTGCTGAATACAGCCCATGAGGATCCCGGTGCCCCAGATACTGTAGCAAGCATGGCGAAGAACGGAATCAACACGTAGATACCAGGAAAGGCGATAGAGATCTGACGATAGGTTGACAAAACAGAAACTTTGGCCGCGAACTTTGGAAGAGCGTAAAATACTCCCATAGCAGCCACGATCTTGACAATAGTGATAATCGTGTTCAGAAGACCGCAAGGAAGACCCATACCACCCATGTTGGCAGGCGAGTCAGCAAGATGCGGAAGCAGCACCTCAAATGTCGATGAGTGCAGAGATAGAATAGAAAAGGAAGCCAGAAGGGTTAAGAAGGAGGGCGCTTGCAGAAAGTCGTCAATACAGATTCTTGAGGATTGTTCGTCGGAATCCACGACAGATACAGACAACAATGCCTCGCTGTCATCAGCTGTGTGCCCAAGCAAGGTTGTCTCTTCGCTCTTGCGGTTGACTGCAACATGACGGTCCAAGGTCTACGAAATCGTAAGCATATAATAAAGTAGAGTGACACTGGGTGAACGCACCTCGTGCAAGCAGATAGCCTCGAGCAGAAAGATGACCAAAATCAGGCTAGCACACGCGATTTGACCATTTAGAGCAGGCCACTGAGACCAGATTCCAGCGGGTGCATGCTCGCCAATTTGCCTGACGATAGACTGCAAAAGTGGACCAATGCCTCCACAAACAGATATGAGAGGCAAGCGAGACACAGTCTGCAGAGCTTTGTTGGATGCCATACTTAGGTCGGCAAGCATCGCAAGAGCAGCCGTAAAGACTGCAGAACCCATGCATCCAGCCAGAAAACGCAAAGTGACCCACCCGGGGAGGCTAGTAGCAAAGCCCATGAACAGACAGCACGCTAATGTGCCACAGAGACCAAGCATGGCTGTCGTCTTTCGTCCAGCCTTGTCTGCTGCCAAGCCCCAGAAGACACTGCATGTGCTTCCAAAGAAGTATGCGCACTCCAGAAGACTTCTGATATAGGATGAGCTGTAATCCGAACAAGCAGATGAAGAAGCATCAATAAGCAATGGTATTTGTGCCGAGAGAGATGCCGCCATGATTGCCTCGGAGAGAAGAAGCAGGTACACTAATGTCCTTTGGCGTGAGCTGCCTTGTCTGGAAGGCTGAAAGTCATCCTCTACGATCCAAGCTCTTTTCTCATCATACTGTACAAAACCAGAGATAGAGTTAGTCGACTGGATCCTACTGTGTGATCTAGACATGTTGCAGAATGGGGTACAATAAAATGAATGAATAGCGAAGCTGTAACAGATACAATGATGGACAAGGGTTAGTCAAAAGAGCGTCTAGACGTGGACCAGCCACAAATTAACAAAGGAATGAATAGGCAGAGACAAGGAAAAATGGTTGCGATGGAGCAAAAGACGAAGAAGAGCGACAGATGTCGTCGCGAACCGCCCTTTCATGCTGAGACGTTGGCGCCCCTCACCGAGTAAAGGGGCCCACAAGATCGCGCTCGCAGTGACTCGAGGATATAAATAGCGATCTTCATCCTCGAGTCAGATGGGTGACGGCGAGGTACAAGGACAAAGGGATCCTAATGTTGTGTCAAATAGTAGTCAATGATTTGGGAAGCTGTTCTATCAGAGTCGCCTTGCCATGGCACTTGAGTCTGATAGTCATTGAGCTGCAGGTTTGACAACAGCCACTAGCAAAGTGCGACCGTAGCGGGAAAGTTGCATCTTTACAACCCTTGAGAGAGGCACTACGGTCTGTTCGATTAATGCGACTTTCGTTGGCAGCACTCTTTATTCTTTGAACATCAATAGTGTCGTGTGCCGAACGACAAAGGAGCGTGTCGACACAGGGCGAAGGGCGTCATCGCCGTTGACGGAACGAGCAGCGCATCATCGCGAAGCCAGTCAGTCGAAGCCATTGTTACAATCATCCAAAACACCTGTCGGAAATACACCAAGTAGGTGAAGAAGAGCAGGACTTGTACAATGGATTCTGATACCAGACGTCAACGCAGAAGTCGCTGATGTCTGGAACACCGCGACGGCAGAAGAATAATGTCCAATTCAAGTCGTGACCGACAACTTCTGCGAGATTTGAACCGCCTAGACCGCCGACGAGAAGCAGAAGCCACCGACCGCTCTGCCGAAGACGAAACGAGGAGGCAGAGACTGCAGAGAGTGCTTGCGAGACTGTCTCGTTTGGAGAACTCGAGGTCGACATCTTATGGCATCCCGCCCACAGAGCACCAGTCCCTGTACGACTGGGCTCCCACCCGTACCAACGAAGACCAGCTCGAGTCCGACCAAGCTGCTTCGCGCCGTCGTGCCCTGTATCGTCGCCATGACCTAAGGAGTGCTGCCATCATGCAGAATGCCCGCACCAGCGTGCTCTCGCCCAGTGCAACACAACAACTCATCGAAGACACCAACGACTCCCATGATGCTAGAAGCGCATATCGACGCACGTATCTGGCTGATAGCCCTACTGCAATAGACCCACCGTCCTCGACTTCTGTGTCGCGACCATCACCTCTGCTCGAGTCTGCCGTCAGATATCTTGACGACGTGCGCGATTGCTCGTCGTACGACGAATCGCTTTCTTCTGCCTTGGATCATGGCCTCTTCACTCCTGAGTGTTATGATGACCTTATAACAGATACGGGAACCTGCCTGCGCCCACAGCCTTCCTCGTGGCTTGCACCAGGAGCCGTTTTCCGAGGAACCCAACATACCACCACATCCGCAAAAGCATCCTCTGTGCGCTCGCCACCAGCATTCGATGCCACTCGTCCATGGCTGGCCCATACCCCAAATCCATACTCTCGCTCGCTTGCCCCTTCTATGTCTGGCAATCCCTTCTCTTATTTGACATTACCTCCGCGAGATGTTCAGGACCGATGGCCAGTCAAGGTCACAATTCAGGCAGTAGACCTGGCAAATATGACTATGGCTGGTACCATGGAGGCCTTTGACGTGCCCAACGCAACACACCCATCGCCCGAAACATGCACCCCATCACCTCCCATCACGACATACCTGGAAGGACAGATAATTGACCTGAACGTACACACCTTTCTCACACCTGCCAACTCACCAAACACAGGAGGCATTGCGTTTCCTCCAACGACGGCTCAAACAGATGCCTCGTACTGGCGAAACCTACCACCCTTCAGCAGCATGAAGTCGGACGAAGACGTTGCTCGAGCAATGCTGAGTCGGGCGCAGATGGATGAGATCATGTCGGAGTGGATTTTCATGCGCTGGAAAGAGCGTTGCTTTATCCATTCTGAAACAGATCTGTGCCACAGGCATACCGACCATCGTACGGCTGGCGAAGGGGACGACAATGATTTGAATCACGGATTGACGATTAGTGGATTTTATTATGTTAGTCTGCGGAGGAGCGATGGGAATATTGATGGTCTTTATTTCGATACCAAGACGAGTCCATACCAACATTTGAGACTTGGTGCGAGGAGCAGAGGGACGCTCGGGTCATGGCAGTTTAAGTGAGGGTGGTCGATAATACTACAGACGAATGTTACACTCGTATGGGACAGACATGGGCAGGACCACTACCAGATATTGAGCTGTAGTTACGACATGAGAGTCACGGTTCACAATACGAGCGAAGCACTGAAAGATGTGTTTGGAGAGTTTTCTCATTCCATTTTGAACTTGTATGCCATTGCCGTTTCCTAAACACCTGTGCCCGATCCTCCGTTCTGTTTGGTTGACGTGATTGATGTTGTTCGGGGAGCTCGATGTTGTCAAGAGAAAGACGCGGCGTAAAGCGCAATGAAGCGTTTACTGCTCGGTCTGGAAGTAGTTGAGAAGGATGGAGCGCTCCTGCGACTCCTCACCCCAGTCCTTGACGACGACGCAAGAGCAGTTGACGACCTTGCGGGCGTTACCCTCACGGTCAATCTGGNNCCTGTGGAAAGATTGTTAGCACGCTGGTTGTGTCTATGATGGTTCAAAGAGCAAAAACTTACAGAGACCGGCCCACTCGCCGAGCTGCTTGCCATCAGGGACCTTGATGAGAGGGATCTTGTGCTCGCCGCAAAGGGCAACGATGAGCTTCTTGTAGGCCTCCTCCTCACAAGCCTCGTTGAGGACACACATGTGAGCCTGGCGGCGGTCAAGAGCCTTGGAAGCCTCGCGGAGACCACGGGCAAGTCCGTCGTGGATCAAAGAGATCTTGAGAACACCCTTGAGGGCGTCAAGGACGGACATGGAGCCGGACTGGGCGGACTCATCGGCGCCAACTTCGACCTCCTCGGCGGCGGCGACGGGGCTGGTGGGCTCTTCTACATCCGACTGTTTGCGAAGAAGTGTTAGTGATCTTTTCTTGTGATGCGGAATTGTCCACGGGATCAAGCTGTGTGCGCGCAAGCAAGCGCAAAGCAGCTTCTGTCCCGCTTCCTTCAATCGGTGCTGCGTACCATTTTGAAAGATATAACGACGCTGTCGGGTGATCCTCGAAGAGTCGATATGTGTGGGTTGTTGGAGAGTATGGATTTCGCTGCAGACTTTCTTCTGTGAGTGCCGCGCATTTTCCGTCTGTGCGCCATCTCGGCTGCGCAACGCCAAGAGTTCAATGATCACATGACATGCTCTCACCCTGGCCTTTGTGCTTGTCGACCATAGAATAGTGAAACATCATCCTTTAGTCTCGTCTCTTATGATATGTGGTGTGGCGATCAAAACGAATCCGAAGAGTATCGATCCAAAGCAGTGAGTCGTTATCATTGGCTAAGCATATCGACAATCACAAGGTATTAGAGAGCAGTAGGGACGATTCTTTACTGCGGAATATCAGTAGAGATTTAGTTTGGCTAGAGAACATGAAAGTTTGATTCAGAGCTGTATGCAGCAACAATGCAGAATATCGACAGGTAAAAGATTTGACTACGCTTTGAAGGCAAGACACAACGCCATTCGCTTGCTAGGACGCTAGGAGACAGAGAAAAGAAACAGTGATGAAGAAACTGGAAAGAAAAGGGAAAGCAGACATTCTCGAGATCCCACAAAGGAAACAGAAACAAGGGGAATCGAAAGAGCTATTCTGATGTTGCTCTTCTGCGTGTGTATGGGCGTGGTTGTGTATATGCATAGTTGGCACTGCGTGTCTACATGACAATACAGCATGCGGCACTCTTCTTTTCTTGCCATCTTCCTTCTCGTCGAGGTCTGGTACTCTTTGTACACCAGAGTTGACCGAGCTGATAGTCTGAGGCAGATTTGCTGGTGGTTTTGGAGATTTCGGAGGAGCGATGGGAGGCGCAATTTTTGGAGTGATAGTGTATCCACCAGTTGGACTTCTGGCACTTCCAGCTTGACTTCTAGCATCGCTCTGGATGCTTTTAAGAGGCCATGGTGGTGGAATGGTATTCGTGCCTTGTTGTCCAGGCGTAGTGGTATTCGTTTGTTTAGCTGACTCGGGCGAAGGCAAAGCTCCAATTCTGGCTAGCTCCTCGTCACTCAAAGAATCTATGTTCAGTGGGTAAGACTGATCGGCCTCATCTGCACTATCCGATCCACCTTGCATTGCACGCTTCGCGTGAGTAGGAAGCATTTGCTGGTCCGGCGGGAGCATGGGATCAGGCTTATACATCGTGGCAACCCAAGGCGCCTCTCCCTCTGGTCTCATGTGGATTGAGGTCGGCCGAGACCTGGTGGAGGCAGATGTGGGCCTTCTCACTGGACTGTCTTTTGGCGAAGTGTTTCTAGCCTTTGAAGCGGTACGAGGGATGGTCTTCCTACCCACAGAGCCTCCTGCTGCAGCTTTGTTCATTGCTTTCGCCCTCGTCGCAGCGGTCATGGACTGCGTTGTGCGTGTACTCAGTGAAGGCGATTCGGTAGCACTGGGCGAGTCCTGTATATGGGAACTGCGAGGCCTTGGCTTCGAGGACATCCCAGATCGCGTACTTGTGGGCTCGGCCACCATAGCGGGGTTTCCCAAGCTTCGACTGCGATGTCTGCTGCTTGCACTATCTCCAAGAGGACTACTCATGCTGCGAGGGTAGAGGAGAGTCGCGTTCAACAACACTCTGCGCAAGNNAGGTGCAGGACTGGCTCTCGCAACAGGTATACGAGATACAGTAGGCCTTGGGAGACTTCTACTATACATGTTGCGGTCTACCCGGGGCTCCTCCCGCAACATTTCCTCGTAATCATCAGAATCCTGATCCTGGTTCGCGCCTGCTTCAGTTTGTTCTTCAAATCCAGGCACCTTGGGAACAACGCTCTCGCCGGTGAAGGCAAGCTGACTCGTTTGATTACGCGAGGCGGCATTGCGACTGGCCGATCGACTTGCAGAACGGCTATCAGAACGACTCTGGCGACGATGGCTTGTACGAGGCACACCAAAGCCGGCAGCGGCCATTTCCTGGCTTTCAATTCGAGCAAGTTTGTCGCGATGGATCCAGGCTGATCTTTCAGGGTCAGGGTCGATAGCATTTTCAGACTCAGCACGGGGTATCGCAAGAGGTGCTGAGGGTCGATTGTGAGATGTTGACGGTCGGCGTACGTGGGACACTGGACCTTTCTGAGGGCTCGAGTTTCGTGAGTTACTGCTTCCCTTCCTCATGCTTCTCCCACTATCGCGTTTGATCTGTTCCAATTGGTATGTGTCGACATCGAGAGTAGCGGTGTGCTGAGAAGGTCGGCGAGCGTTGTAGGTCGAGGGGTCGTGCGGAGTCTGGTTGGGGTCGAACGAGTACGAGGAATCAAACAAGGCTTGATTAGCCAAAGGGAGGTTCNNTGCAGTAGACAATTAGCTGACCATCCTGGCGCATGCTCCCTCGAGGACACTTGCGCTTACTTCGTGGCCTATGGGTACGGACTGCTCCCAACGCGGGATAGGCTGGTATGCAGTTGCCATGTCGTGAGGTGCGTTGTTGTTATCGTCGTTGCCACTATGAAGAGCCGCGCAAACGGTGGATGCACAACAGGTCCAGCCTGTTCATGACCTTCTGAGCTGTACAACCAGTGTCTGGTGTTTCACCGATATACGCCTTGCTCGACACGTCGTTCTTGATTGGAGAATGCTTTGAGACTGGAAGACAAGTCGGCCAGAGCGACCTGAAAGCGACCGGTCTTTCGGGTAGGTTTGTTTAGGCAGGAAACGGCTCTAAACAAGGAGATCGATATGGAAAGCGCGGATCGTTGCGATTAAGGGGACGAGGGGTCGTGGCCAAAACGGCTGTATGCACTCGATCGTCACAGAGATGGTTACACAGGTCGAAAGAATATTTCCAGATATCAGAGACAAGACCTGTCAAGACACAACAGTGTCTCTGCAAAAGAAATTGAACGAGATCTCCATCCTTGTTTCCCATGGTCGATGACCGACAGGCCGCCGCTCCGCGCGACCGTGCGCCTGGTGGCCTCTTGACATCCGAGGGTCTTCTCATCTTTTTCCCTGCAGCACCAGCCACAAATCGGCACCAATTCCTGTCTCGATCTCTAAATCGCCCTGCCAACATCATGACGCCTATAAGTTTTGCTTCTTCTGCTGAACCCAGACATCATCCGGATTGCTGCATGGCCATTTCGCAGCCTCTGCTCCACAATTTGGCCAATATCCTGCCTCGTGGCCCAGCCATCTCTGTGCTTAGCATCGGTAGCGGTACCGGCCTCCTCGAAAGTTTGCTTCTCCAAATGCTCGAGGACTCTTACGACATATGCGGTGTAGAAGTGTCTCCTGCTGTCAACAAGTATCTGCCTGAACAGAATATGTTCTTTGTGGGCGGTACCTGGGACCTCTGTCCACAAGCAGGTAAATCTCATGTTTGGATCTTTACGTACCCTCGCGAACCCAAGTTGATCGTAAAATATCTCGAACTACATGATCATGCCAGCCTTTCCAAGATCATCTGGCTCGGACCCAAAATGGACTGGCAGGACTACGAAGGCGTATTTGCTTCATCAAGATTTAGTCTTACTGTGCTAGAAGATTGCGGAGCAGCAACCTACGAAATGGTCGTTGTGGCGGAACCTCAAGTGAACGGGCCGTAGATGGAGTCTGATTTTGGCAGACAGGTTCTACAACCATTGTGCTTGATATAGGAGAGCATGCCTCGTACTGACCACACCACAAGTCAGCGACTCTCCGCTTGAGAACGTTCGGTCCTGAGATAGAACATCTCCCAGACGTTATAGAAGCATGGCAATCTCTGTCTAACATGCGTTCCGCATGAACTCATGGCCATGCTTGCACGATTGACCACATGACAAGAGCTCATGAAAGCAAGCCAGCGGTGCAGACATGTGCTGAAAGCATAAGCACATCTGGCGCTGGCAACGACACGTTTATAATGCTCGTGATCGACAATATAATACTGCCTGGTTGCTCGCTTTCATCAACAACTCCTGAGATTACTTGTTGAACTTCTATACTGCACTATTTAGATCCCACAAAGATTAGGTCGCTGCAATGGTACTGATGGAGACTGGTAGCATGCAATACTGCCCTTCAGAGCTTCAACACAAAGAACTGCGAGATGTGTGGAACCACACCTCTTTCCTTGTGCATATCGCCTACGATCTGAATTGGGCCGTGAGTCAATTCGAGATATTGGAAAGGAGAGCACCAAACTGTCTGATCAAAGCAATACTTCTACTCAACGTCGGCATAACATCTTCCCTCATGGCAGAATATCGACACGCCGAGAAAGCCTTTCAAAAGGTCCTTCCGTTGCATCCTTTTCTGGCCCCACTTGCTCACTTCTTTCTTGGTGTCGTTCGATTCGAACTTGCAGACTACGAGCAGGCGCAGATAAGCTTCAAGCTCTGTGCTTATATCCTCAAGCAGACTGATCAAAACCGCTCGTATAATCACCTTGGACTCGATTTCACTCTGTCCCACTGTCTAGTTGTGGAGAATGAAGAGATCGCTGCTTACGAGTGGACGCTCAAACAANAGGGACGCTATGGGTTCAGGCTACTGAACAGGATGCCAGCGTCCTTGGTCTTCAACAGCACTGTTCTAAACAACAAGATTGAAGTCTGTTGTGACAGAGCGATCAGACCGCATACCCCTCGCTCAGCAGCTTCAAGTAGCGTTTTCAGCACACCCTCAGTGGGTGCTCTGTCTACGACAAACGCCATCAACAATCCAGCTTCAGGGCCAATTTCAGACCTTACACGCACATCTCCTGTGATACCTTGGCGACCCTTCAAGAAACCCATGATCCCACGTGCAGCCCAGGCCGAAACGTCGAACCTGCGGTCTTTGACACACTTCTTGAAGTATACTGGACCAGAAGATCCTCGAGCGACCCGAGCAGAGGATGTTCCAAACACCCCAGCAATCACTCTCCCTGCAGCAGATCATGCAAGCGTACCCAACAGACGCACTGGATCGGTACGACAAGCTCTACTCCAAGTCTCAGGGCAGGCAGACATGAGTAACCTTCTTCGAAAAGCTTCGACCTTGACACTCAAGAAGTAAGTTCACGGACGAGGCGCTAGATCTAAAACACTTGACTAACGGAGTTCCAGAACAAGCTCGATCCGCCAAATGACGAAGACCGTTTTCAGCACTCCAATAGAACAACTTGGAGCAGCCAACGTGGATCAGAGTCGTGGCATCGAAAGAGGAAGGGTGATTGTAGGACCACAACATCAACCAGCTATAGGCACGATCACGCGTACACCAAACCATGCCGCTCATAGAGCAGTGTTTGGGACAATCGCAGAAGACAGCAGAGAGGCGAATGAGCAACAGCAGGTCGATGGAAGAATCAGCTTGGACTCACATCTGATCTTTAGCCATGGAAGACTGATGATGTGATGAGATCTTTGTTTGCGGACATCATGCACATTGACGATTTTCTCTGCAGACAGTTGATATGTCTTGCTGTTTTGATATGAATGCATATTCCTTCAATCTCTCCTAATTGTAATCTAAATGTTAAATTATCTTCATGTATCTTGATAGCTGAACAGAGACATGTTGAGAACGCTGCATAACTGTGCGATGAACAAGACTAGTCCGCATTTGGTATAGTGCATCAGGCATAAAGCGCGTTGGTCCGCGTCTCCATCAAAGCCACCTGCAACTCTTGATGAAACAGTCGTCTTTAAGAACAAGATGCAGCGATTTCTTGTTGAGCCTGTGCAGCAATTCGCTGGAGCAAACACAAGAATCAAGAAACCAACTGTATGTACTACAGAATTTACAATCACAAACCACCAGAGCTGATTGTAAAACAGGNAAATTGCTTTCTTCTCCTACGACTCTGAGCATAAACTCAAGCCGCTCGACAATGAATCATTGAAATACTATTACCCACCTTTCTTCAACATTCCTGGTCATCAAGATAACAGGTCTCCTGTCGATCTGTCGAAAGGATACAATTCTTTTCGGCAAAGAGATGACAGCGGTGACGAGCATCTAGACGGTCTTCTGGACACTCTTGTTGAGGCCGAGAAACGCAATGGCACAAAGACCGAAGTTGACCTGGTGACATGGAGGGGTATGATGACCAGAGTCAGTCTTGAATCTAACACGAAATTCTCAAAAACAAAATATGCTGATTCTATGCTCAGANTCTTGACAGCGCCTTATGAGATGGAAGATGGTTTTGAGATGAACGCGACATGTTTTCAAGTGCGCAATCTTTCCGAACCAACACGATTTGTCAACTTTGCTAATACACGTTGAAGGGCACGATGTAGGCAATATCAACCAAACACCATCAATGGTAATGCAGGGACTGACCATCTTGTCTGCATTAGATACATCGAAGAGAACCACGCATACAAGGCCGCGTCAAGGGAAGCACAAAAGGCTCGCTTCTCACGGAATAGAGGTCCACCACAAGACATGGCTATGTATTGGGGTACAGTTGATATATCCCTGCCCAATCTCTAAATGCTGACACCGATTGAAACAGGCTACAAATTTGAGACATTGTCACTGTTGAACAAACCCTGGGGCGAAACAACAAGAGAAGAGATCGAGGGGCGGGAAGACGAAGTTGTCGACAACTATGCCCAATACTGCAGTATATGCAGAACAGAGATTGGCGGTGCCTCAATGGTCATCGGAGGAGAGGTGGATGGAGGTATGGAACAGGCGTCTGCCTCGTCACGAATAGAGCTGATATGATACANNGTGCTCGGTTACAAACCTGACGATCCACAAGCACCCGCCAGATGGGTAGAGCTCAAAACATCCAAACAGCCCGAGCATGAACGTGACCGATGGGTCCTCGACAAGAAACTTCTGAAGTTCTGGGCTCAATCATTTCTGCTGAAGTTTGTAACTCACCGAGACCCTTATCTAGTTATGTTGCTGACCAGGCTATNNAGCGTACCGAAAATCATCATCGGCTTTCGCTCGCGAGATGGAAAACTGCTCAACATCGAAGAATTGAGCACGCAGCAGATTCCATCCAAAATCCAACAACAAGGCACGTACAAGTGGAACGGCAACATCTGTATCAACTTCACAGGCCAGTTCCTCGACTTTCTCAAGCAGACTATTGTCGGCGAAGGCGTGTGGAGGATTCGAAGAGAAGCCAAAAGTACAGCGATTGAGGTCTTCAAGGTCGAGGAATTGGGTACAGGCAACATCCTCACTCAGAACTTCATTGATCATCGCAACAGGCTTCTCGCAGGCGAGATTGCCACTGCATTGAAGGATCGTGGAGCTGCTTGAGCTTGAACTTCCAGTAACAGCATTGTTAAACAACTTATAGCGACTCAGGATATGTCTGGCGCTTTTTGTTATTGTCCATGCTCATATCAATCCTGATGGAAATGGTGGAAGTCAATGGTATCGTGTGGGGAGCGATGGGCATGTGAAGAAGGAAAGAGCATTCTCGAAGCTTCCCCGGAGACGTCACTTGATTGACCGAGGGACCACTCATAGCAACCACCCAACAATCAAGAATGGAAGTTTGCTGTCTTCTCACACTCCTGCACAAAGAAAATTCTCACTCGCTCGCTCGCTGGCTACTAGACTAATTTACGACACGCACAAGATACATACCAATTGCATACAATGGTCGCCGAAACAAAGCTATACGACTCGCTAGGCATCGCGCCTACCGCGACCCCCGACGAAATCAAANAGGCCTATCGCAAAGCAGCCTTGAAATACCACCCCGACAAGAACAAAGACAACCCTCAGGCCTCGGAAAAATTCAAAGAGGTCTCGCAAGCCTACGAAATCCTTTCCGATGCCGACAAACGCAAGACCTACGACCAATTCGGTCTTGAATTCCTGCTAAGAGGTGGTGCTCCTCCGCCGGATGACGCTGGCGGTGCTGGTGGCTTTGGTGGTATGCCCGGTGGTTTCGGAGGCTTCCCCGGAGCGGCAGGAGGGCCTGGAGGTGCAAAGTTCCACTTTTCGACTGGTGGTGGTATGCCTGGTGGCTTCTCCTTTAGCAACCCCGAGAACATCTTCTCAGAGTTCCTCAGAAATGGTGCTGGCGGTGGTATGGGAGGAGGTATGGGCGACGAAGACGACTTCTTCTCGTCCTTCGGCAGCGCCGGTGGCATGCCTGGCGGTTTTGGAAGCCCATTCGGTGGACGCCCTGGAGCAGGTGCTCGTGCCCGTCCTAGCATGAATGGCGGCATGCCCAGACGTCAACAAACACCAGAAGTCACCGTTGTCGAGAAGCCATTGCCCGTCACCCTCGAGGATCTGTTCACTGGCTGCACCAAGAAGATGAAGATTAAGAGAAAGACATTCGACGAGCAGACCGGCAAGCAGTCGGTACAAGACCGCATCCTTGAGGTCCCAATCAAGAAGGGTCTCAAGCCCGGCAGCAAGATCAAGTTCGCCGGAGTAGGAGACCAGGTCGAGGGAGGTGTCCAAGACCTGCACTTTGTCGTTGAAGAGGTAAGAGCGCACAACCCACAATCCATTTGTCACACAAGTACTAACACCTATCGCAGANAAGAACACCCCCTATACAAACGCGAAGGCGACGACATCATCCACAACGTCGAAATCACCCTGAAGGAAGCCTTGACCGGCTGGTCCAGAACCGTAAAGACCATCGACGGCAAGCAAATCGGCGTCAGCTCTGGCGGTCCCACACCACCAACCTACAGAGACCGCTACCCCAACCTAGGCATGCCCAAGAGCAAGAAGCCAGACGAACGAGGAGACTTTATCGTCGGCGTCAAGATCCAATTCCCTACAAGCTTGAACCTTCAGCAGAAGAACCAACTCAAGGAGATTCTGTGAGAGCAAGAAGGATGATTGTTGAAACTTTTAGCGTTAGCGTTCTCTCTTCTTTCTCTTTTCACCCTATTACTTTTCTGGTTTTGTTTATTACAAGCGTTTGTTATTCTGTTTCTGGATGAGAGCGAAAGCATTTTGGGAGGCTGGCCTTTTCTTGAGATGATGAGATGGTGATAGAACGAATTAATGAAGTCTTCTTTTCCATGCAAGCATTCTTGAATACTGGAGCTCACCCTTCCTTGGTGACGATTGATCCAAGCCCTGCGCTCTCTTCTAGTGAAAACGTATTATGTTGTAGGTTCAGCTGATGCACGCCAGGGGGCCATTGAGACACAGAAAGACTTGGAAACAGCTTTTTGGAAATAATACATGGTACCGTCGTGCATTTGTCTCAATACCTCCTGTGTCTCAATAGCCCCTGACATGTGTTATATAACTTATAGTAAGGACTTTCTCTGGTGACATGCAAAACATCAAAAAACAAACACCGTAGGCAGGGATCGAACCTGCGACCTCCCGATCCTTGAAAGAGAGTATTAGGGACTTAGGTAAGCGAGTATCAGGATACTGGATCGGGTGTGCTACCACGACACCACCACGGCTTTCTTGGCTTGTTGAAGGTACCTGTATCAAAGTCGTATATAAATGTAGTTGGGAAAGAGTGGATCGTTGCGGGAAGAGAGGTTGCATGAGGGATTTTCTTTGGTCAGCAGGCTTGCTTGGGTGATGAGTGCTCGACCTCTTCAGAGGGATAGCACACTTTTAGGATAATCACAGTGTTTGGCACCGGTCGGTTTGCGACGAGAATTAGTAGAGAGGAACATCAGACTTGGGTCAAAAATTGCATTCAAGTAAACAGACTAACCGAAAACCGAATGTGCTCATCGTCAACCTCCTTCTCTCCATACGCGTTCGCGCAACTATTTCTCAGAACACATGTCCCTCCACTACCCGAGCCCCTTTTCTTGCTCCATGATACGCCACTTCTACAGAGGCTGTTCAGAACCCCAGGCCGGGAAAGCAGGAGCAGTAGTGCCATCGCAAGAGTACTGAACAATAAAGTCAGAGTTTTGAGTATTGGCGTCAAGAATAACTGTTCCATCAGGTGCAGTGATTGAGAAGCTAAAGACAACGGGCCCACCCTGCTGGCCAAAGACAAGACGGAATGGAAGGTATTGTCCAGTCGTAAGGGTGTAGGTGGCGCTGGCACTGTTACCTGGCGCACTGCAGCATACAGCCTTGGCATTATAGTTGCTCTTGCCATAGCCTCTAATCGCATTGTCTCCGAGGTACAAGAAGGTGATGTCGTCAACCTGGGATGTTGTAAAAGTGTAGTCACCATCGATCTGAGCGAAGATGTATCCACGGTGGTTCAAAACGAAATAACTGGCGGGCACATTTTCCGAAGTGCCGTACAGGTTCACGCGCGAGCCAGCAGGTTCGTTGATACCTCCAACTTCAGTTGTGGTGCCCAAGTAATCCGGAGTGACGGTCCAGTAGTTTTCTGGATCCATGGTAACGATATTATCGCCCCAAGGTTCATTGGCATAGTACGCAAACTGGATTCCCTGGTTGCCACAGATAGAAGGTTTGGGGCAAGACACAACCGCAGATGTAGATGTAGTTGGGACGGTGGTGGTTACGATCGTAGTCTGGGTAGCAGCAACGTCTGAAAACGAGGTGACCACAGGGACATATGTTGTACTGACATATACGGTCGAGGTAGGTGTAGGAATGCCAAGGCATTTGCATGCACTAGATACAGCGGAGCAAGCAATATTCTTGAGCAGATTAGGGCAGCCAGGGCAGGTGCCGGAGATACTGATCGAAGCTGGGATTGCGGTGGATGAAGACGTGGACGAGGCAGTCGATGAAGACGACGTAGTGGTGACCTTTCTCTTGGCAAGATCGCGCTTCGCAGCACTTGGAATGCATGTTGTGATTGTGGTAGAGGACACGTCGTAACTGGTCACAACAGATCCTGTGACAATAACAGTCGAAGTAGTGGTGGGGATCACTGTGGTCACAGGCGAGGTGAACTGCACAGTGGAAGTGGTCGTTGCCGTCTGGATGCCGAGGAAGGTAGAGCAGAAGGGTGAGGCAGAAGGATATGCTTTGAGGAGATCGACTACCAGATCGACTGCAGGGCAGAGATTGACGGTGCGTTCATCGAGCGGGAAAGCAGATGCGAAATAAGTGAGCGAAGCAGCCATGAGGCTAAGGTAAGCAGCTGTTCTCGCCATGATTGTCGTCTTGGGTTTTCCTTGTGTCGCTGAGGAAAGAAGACACTGTGTGATGACCAAGATGCTTTGGCGAAGGACAATCCCTCCTTTATACCCAACATCCTGTAGCAGCTGAAGCAGAAAAGCTCAGACTTACTCCATAAAGTCGGCCAGACCGAGATAGTTGGAATACCAAGCAGCTGAGGTCGAGTATACTACATACTCATGCATCTTCAGCTATACTGTTCGATGCCTACAGCTTCTCTCGGCTTCGTCTGTGCTGAGAAACGCAGGTTTTAAGCCAGCTGAAGGCCGCGGCTCATGCTGATTTGAGGGGTTATGCTCAGACACTGTCCGAAGCAAATGATCTAAGTCTCCCAGGTAGCCGATAGATCTGTACATTCGAGGCAGAGACGCCTACCCAATGCGGACAAAGATCTCTAAAAGAGACAGACCAGAATCTGCGTTGTCCACGCAGTAGATCATGTATACCAGGCACTTTCGAGCTGGATGGTACAATACCAAGCTGAAAAGTCCTGCACTGCAAGAAGAATCAAATGCAGTGTACTAATCGGTCTCGGTTCTCACTCTACCGCCTTAGGCTGGATAGGCCTTTGTGATGTGCTACCGTACTCGTCACACAGGAACAAGTCATGAGCATAGCCGTGATCTCAGCTGGTCGACTTTACAGGCCTCCAGCGCTACGGGAAAGCCGATTCGTCAAAGGCGGTACTAGGATCTGACGACTAAGTTGACCGTCAGGTTGGGCGCGCTGCTCTGCGCAAGGGATAGCTGATTTTTCGGACGACTCAGTGCCTGGTCGCTATGCAGTGTATCACAGACCTTCTTGAGACTAGCACTCAAACTCTCCTGTCAAGCTCAACCCCATGAGCTTAGAGTCACATATGTGACGTGAAGGTGCCTTCTGGAAGAAGCGTTAGTATTTCAGGCTGCAGCTGTAGACGCCAGAGCCGAGGTTTTCAGTCTCGCGATTGGTCGCTTGTCTCCATATATAAGTACACTGTTGATTGACATGGATGTTTTTAGCCTCATGTGTACCTGCACGCGACGTTGACAGGCCGTGTCCTTAGATGCAAATGGCAGTCCTTAGTCCAATCAAGCAAAAGCTTATTACGAGCGTATGTCACAGGTTGGAATGTTCTGTCCGTCCACAGAATGAGCCTGTGGCGCACATCTCCTGAGCGCAGTCGTGAGACGCGGAAGTATCGATTCGCCCCTTGAGCGGACAGTGTTGGAGAGAGCGTCTGGAAGATCGTGATGATTGTGATGTGTTATGATGTTGGTGACAAGTTGATGGCGATCGATGTCAACCGACGTCTATCCACAGATGTCGCTCTTCCAAACGGAAGGTGCAAACGTCGTGCAATTGCATTGTTGTGCATTCCAATTGTGCAAAACGTTATGCAGAACTGAGCCTCAACTCCACTCCGACTCGTTCAACCGCCTGATATCTACCTTCTCCCTGGACTTGATTCTCGCAACCTGACAATTGATTATACTGTTTGAAAAGACATTCGGCCATCTACTTCGATTGCACATATAACTCCCTAGAGCAGGATCGCGAGCAAAAACAGAATCAGATCCAAAGTGCAGCACATCAAAAACAAAAAGGACACAGATGAACAATCAGAGCAACAAAATGTCAACACCAAACCTGCACTTCCTCTTTCTCCTCTCCGACTCTGCACTGCCTCTGGGTTCCTTTGCCTTCTCCAGCGGCTTGGAATCCTACCTCGCCCACCACAAACCGCCATTTTCAACCTCAACAACCACAACCCCACCACTAGATTTCCACTTTNTCCTGCACTGCAGCATCAGAAACCTGGCTTCTACTTCTTTACCTTATGTGTTGGCTGCCTATACCAACCCTCACGACCTAGAAACCCTAGACAATGATTTCGACGCCAGTACCTCGTGTACGGTGGGAAGAAGGGCAAGTGTAGCTCAAGGAAAAGCGCTGTTGGGGCTTTGGGAGAGGGCATTTGCTGCTTCTTGTGTTGCTTCTGAGGAAACGGATGCGGCGATAGCTGCGATGACTTCTNTTGCTGCTGCGTTCAAGGCTACTAAACCTGATGTGTGGGGGTTGAAGTTGAATGCGCATTTTGCTCCTCTGTTTGGTGTGTTGTGCAGGTCTCTGGCGTTGTCGGAAGAGGAAACGGCTTACCTTNTTCTGTGCAATCATGCTAAGAGTGTTTTATCTGCGGCAGTGAGAGCAGGTGTCATGGGCCCGTATCTCAGTCATGGAGTCCTGGCATCCGAGAAGCTGCAGAGTGTCATAAGAGGTTGCGTCGCGGGAGAAAAGGGGACCAGAGTCGAAGATGCTGGTCTCAGTATCCCGGTCACGGATTTATGGATGGGAAGGCACGAGCTGTTGTATTCGAGGATATTCAATTCTTAAGACAGAGAAAGTGCTGTCGAATAGAAGAAAGATATGAAGAATGAAGGCCAAGATGAATAATGCATCTCGACTATGCAAGCCTGGTGTTGAGCTATCTAATGATGAGAGCATAGGTGGGAGATGAAGGAGGCGTGTACTCCTAGTCCTTAAAATCGATCAGGTCGACTTCTTCGTCTGGGCCCTTGATACCTGTCATTGCATCATCACTGACTGTCTCAGTAATCTTGGGACCATCATTGCCGAACCTGTACAACGAAGGTGCCGCATGTCCCTTCTCAACCATCTCGACTCCTGGTTGATTATCGGCCTCTTCTTGTACCTCTTCCTGCTCAAGGCGAATCTCATGAATCGGAGGACTGTTTCCGCCGTCCATGGCTACGTCTTTGTTGCCCTGCATGTTGATCGGTATACGGCCGTACTCCACATCTGCGTCGTACGGNGGTGGCTCATCGACGGGTGGACCCTCGTCGAAGTTGACGGCAGTACTGTCTCCTGAGTCACGGCGTTGGCGGACGCCTTCATAGGCAGGATACACGTTGACATGGCCGAAACCGCTCGTCTCCAGCTCTGAACTGAAATGTTCGTCGTCGTAATGGATAAATTCGTCAAGGGCTGAGGTGAGCTCAATCTCGTGCTCATCTGAGATGGCGTAGTCGCTGGCGTAGACTAGAAGAGCTTGATTGTGCTCGAGTTCCACGGCCCGGATAACATCGTCTTGTGTTGATTTGGTCTTGATAACCTTGGCACCATGGACTTGCACATCGTACTCGATGCGCCACCACTGCATGCCTTCTGGTGCGTCTTCGTCGTCGACCATGGCCGTATCGGAGGGATCGCGAGGGCGGAGGAGATATGTCACATGAGACTTAGTTGAGACGCCTCTGAGTGAGTATCTGTGCTTGAGGCTCTCTTTTGGCAGTCCAGTCTCTTGCGAAAGCTCTGCCAGTGCCTTGCGCACCTTCTCCTTNTCTTGTTCGAGAGCNTATCGCCTGTTAGACTTGTTGTCAGTCGCATAAGGAAATCTGCACATACCTTGAAGCTTCAGCTCGACCTCCTTGTAGACTGCATTCAACTTCTCGGCTATTATGCCGTGGTATTCTTGTGGTAGGGGAATGTCAGTGTCCCCACCAGCACCAGCACCTTCTCTCTCCTCAAGCAAGTTTTTTCTGGTCTCGCCTGAGAAGTAATCTTGGGCGTGCTTCATCAACTTGCTAGTATCCAGATTTCCTTTCTGGGTGTGTTGATAGTTGTTCAGCTTGAACTGAGCAGTTTCAATGCTTTCAATCTTCTTCTTGCCCTGAATCATCTGCTTGCGAACATCTCTTGTAAGATCGGCGTTCTCTTTGAGGTACTTGTCGACATAAAGCACAGGGGGAATCACAACGTTGAGTGTTTCTTTCGTACTGTCGTTGTGCGCCAGACGTATCGGCAGGACGTGTGCGCAGTGCTCTATGAAGTTATCGTAAACAGTCGATTCATCGCCATCGGTGTCCCAGAGAGTGTCATCCATGATGGCGGTCAGATCTAGACTTGAACCTCCGGGACCAGAGTTAATGAACAAGGGTAGTGAATAGAGATCCGGTGTGGCCATGCCTTCGGGGTTCGTTGTGCCTATCAGTGAATGGAAGACAAAGCTATCAGAGTCTGGAGTCTCATCCATGGCATTCACGGAAGCATTTTCCCAGGCTCCAACAACTTTGTCTAGGATACATCCGCCGTTAGCTTGGACTTCGGCCAGGCGGACGAGTGTTTCGACGCTGCCGTAAGATCGTGAGCTCTCGTCTAGCAAAGCCATCAAACGCTGCATCTCTGCAAGAATCTCATCCTGATTGGTGGTAGCAGGCTCCATAGGCGCGCCATCGACAGTACTGACGATCTTGGGCAAGCGGATGCCGTGACCCTTCCACCACTCAGAATCCAAGCCGTAAGAGGAGTAAGCTTTGTGGGGTGCCAGTAGAGCTTTGCGTGCCATGGGGATAGAGTGTGCAATGGTGAGTAAACTAGGCAGATAATCGCCAGATGGAAGCGGCTTCAAGAACCTGGGTTCATCAGATTCATTCTTGCGTTCGTGCGGTTCAAGGTCCGGAATGATCTCGCTAGCCTGTTGAGCATCCATGTTGACAGTAGTAGTCATCGACCACTTTGAAGGGTCGTAATGATCATCCGTCGCAGGCTTGAAGTTTGAGTTGGGCAAAGTGATGCCAGAAGGCTGTTGTGATGCGGCGATGGCTTTCTGCAGATCAGCGTCTTCGTCGTCTCTGTTGGAAGGTTGTCTGAGGGAAGGCGCGGGTGAGTTGCCTCTGGTCGGGGCCGCGCTCTGTCCTAACGGACGCAGGTTTTGGTCGTTGTATGCNTTTAGACCGTTAGTAAAACGGATCAGAATACATGATCAGGGTGTCGCACCATAGTTCTGCGGACCGAATGCAGCAGTGCCATCACGGCCGGCATTGAATTCATTCTCGTTCCAGGTAATACTTGACTAGCATGAGTTAACATACAGCGCAGTAATAGATGTGCTAAGACTGTCACGATTTCACATCGAACCCGTCTATCACGGCAATATGAAAAGACATTGTGAGCTATAAAAATCCACAGGACTCTTCAGATTTCAAGTGCGGCCACAGAAACACCTTGAGATAGCGGATCTCCATGGACAACACTCTTATAGCTTGAGAGTATTGTGTCTTTCTACAGCCACGATGTGACAGTCTTTGGCACACAGGGAGGAAGATCCGAACAACATACCTCGGCTTTGGAAAGATCTTCGTTGTCTAATATGGCGTTCAGAGCAGCGTCGGCGTCGTTGTTTTTGACCTTCAACCATCTGCGCGCCTCATCATCCGTACAGCCGGAGATGCCAGTCAACAGTTGAACCGACTCTGAATTTGAGTCAGCCATGGCGCCTGGAGGGAAGAATATAGATGCGCTTTGCGACTGTACAGAGGGTTCATATATGTAAGAAACGCGACTGTTTGCTTGACTGCTTGCTGGCCCGGTGAACTGACCACGCTACGTCATCAGCCATTCACTCTATACCATTTCATCATTCGATGGTGCTATTCATTATTCTAAACATTGAACAAAGAAGTCACTAATGGCCTGTGCTGACTGGAAACGAAGTGAATAAAAGAACGTCCTCTGTATATTGGTCTAATAGAAACTCTGTAGTAAAAAGTCGAAGAAAGCAGTTGAGAAATGCGCCATAAACCAGCCCCTCCTGTATCGCTGTCCGCCTCCCTGAGCAGTAAAACCCACAAGCCTGCTAGTGTGATTCCTGCCCTGAACGCCGCGCTGGTGGTATCGAATAAAGCAAAATGTCGTAGAATGTGCAACCCGTAACGAGTGCCTTATGTTCAATCGTCGCTGTCACTGGCCACCTCCTGCTCATCGTCTTCGTCGTCTTCGTCAAAGGTCATCTCTGCGTCGCTGTCGTTGTCAAAGTCATCCTCGACTTCTGAGTCGCTCCAGCTGAACAGGTTGTCTTCGACTTCGGGCTTGTAGGTGGCGTGTTGTGTGGGCATGACGAAGCCTTCGGGAATGTCGGCTTTGCTAGCTTCGACGTCTTGACGGGCTCTTTGCTTGTATGCTTCAGGGTTGTTGCGTAGCATGACTCCGGCATCGACGTTGGCAGGTGAAGAAGGTTCGGCATCGTCGAGTAGTGATAGGATACTGATGAGGACGGACTCGACGCGTTGGGCAGGCGACCAGCGTTCAGCAGCCAGTTCACCTGACATCTCATCTTCGCCGGGTGGGTGCAGGATGGAAATGCAGAGCTTGCCATCAGGGTAAACGTTCGGGTGGAACATGGGACGGGTGAACTTGAATTCTNNGAGATCTTGGTCAGCACTGCGGTGGCACAAGAGAGAGTGGAAGGCAGATCGCATACCAGGAGGGCTGTAAGGGTAGTTCTTTGGGAATGTCATCTTGGCTTTGAAGTAGGCACCATTGTAGATCGAGTCCGGGTTGATGACGATCAGAGCGACATGCCATGAGAAGATGTTCTCGTCGATGAGNCTGAACGTTGCAATGTCAGTCTCGCAGTCGCATACCACTATCGCATAGGATCCACGTACCTCGATGTTGGTCCAGGATTCCTTGGAGAGGGCCTTGAACTCGTTCATCAAGACCTTATCCGCCATGATGTATGATGATGTGGAGGGGTTGTCGGTTTCGGGTATCCTTGGTTGTGGAGAGGATGGAGGGCGAGCGACTAGATGCGATAAGGGAAAAGTGTCGTGTGAAGAGAGAAGAAGTCAGTCACAGTCAGAAATTGTGTCTCGGTGCCTGGAAAGTCAAAGAAAGCGCGAGTTGGTGAGTCTTCCTTCCGCTTTCGTGGGAGTGAAAGCGTCGCTAACGCGGCAAATCTAGGAATGAATGTCGGTCTGGCCACGGTGTAGCTATGTATAACACTATTGTTCAATCTACAATACTTATCATTCCTCTCCGCATATAGAATATTCTACGCCGCGGACTGCTTATTCAGGTTTTTGATAAACTGCCACCTTCTGCGTGACCAATCCCACGTCATGCGTAACGGCCATTTCATGCTTTATCGAACTCGAACATCCGGCTGCTCACTCAGATCCCATCACAAGGCCAAGTCAGGGGAACCAAAATCAAGTGAATGGTAATAAAACGTGATTTTGTTCATTGCAAATGAGGATCCGACTTTCCCGCTGGCATATGCTGCAATCGCCGTCACTGATATTCAACGCCTGAACACCGTGCCCAAACGCCGCCTTTCCTGTCCGAACGCGTACTATACACTGTAATGCGCTTTACTTTTGAGTCCTTCTCTTCCGTCTAGAAGTCGAGTTTGAGGGTTTACTCGCTGTCAGAGCTGTCGGCCTTGCTCTTGCTCTTTCTCTTCTCCTTCTTCTCGGCCTTCTTCTTCTTGCGCTCAGCCTTCTCCTCTGCTGTCTCGCCTTCGCGCTTGCGCTTCTTGTCCTTCTTTGAGCCAGCATCCTCCATGGTTGCGTCCTTGACATCTGAGCCGTCTCCTGCAACAGCGGGGGCGGCCATAACCTCCTCGGTCGAGGTGGTGTCCTTGGATTGACCAGTGATGCCCTCCTTGACAGGGNNGGCAGCCTCGGTAGCGACCTTCTCAGCACCAGCAGTCGACTCGCCGTTGACAGTCAGGTTGAAGTCCTTGTACTCGGCGTTCCACTTAGCAGGGGTGGCCTCGTTGGGGCGGCCGTACTTGTCGAGCTTGCCGCTCTCCTTCATCTTCTTCTTCTCGGTAGCGACAGGTCCCATGCCCCAGCGGCGAGGGTATAGGTCGCGCTCCATGATGCAACGCTTGACCTTGGCAACAACACCGTGGTCGCAAGTAGAAAGCTCGACAGTCGACATCTGGGCGATGGCGATGGCAATGGCCTCACCCTTAGTGGTGATCAGAACAATCTCCTCGTGAACCTCAATGCCGGATTCTGTGAAATGTTAGCAGAGTCACAATATGGACGTGAAAATACAAGACATACCGTATCTCAAAAGACCAGGAATCATGAGCTTAGCACCGTAGCAGACAGCATTGACGGCAGAGTCCTTGACAACAACACGCTTGTAGGTGGTGAGCAGAGACTCGAGGGGGCTGATGACTGAACGGAGGTAGCTCTCGTCGCGCTGGTTGTCGTAGAGGTATTGGGCGTCAAGGACATCGTGAAGGGTGACGAGGTTCTTCTGCTCGTCCATAGCACCAGATCTCACACGTCTCAGCTCCTGCATGTGAGCACCGACACCCAAGAGAAGACCAAGGTGGACACAGAGTGTACGGATGTAGGTACCAGCCTCGCAAGAAACCCAGAAGACACCGAGCTGTCTCTCGTTGTCGAACTCGTAAAGCTTGCTCTCGTGGATGGTTCTGATGCGGAGCTGTCTCTTGACGGCGGAAATAAGAGGGGGACGCTGGAAGAGAGCACCAGTGAGGGTCTCGAGGGCGCGGGCGAATTGCTGCTCGCCACCAGGGAGCTTGTTGTGCAGTCTGATGACACAGACATACTCCTTACCGGCACCCTGCTGAGACTTGACCAGGCGGGTGGCGCGGTCAATGCAGACAATCAAACATCCAGTGACCTTGGGATCGAGAGTACCGGAGTGACCAGTACGCTCGCAACGGAGAATGCGCTTGATCCAGGCGACGACTTCGTGCGAAGAAGGGTTGGAGGGCTTGTCGAGGTTGATAACACCGCTGGAGATGTACGACTTGAGGTCACGCTTGAGGGGAGTTGCGCCTGCAGGGATGGGGGTGAAGTGACCAGTGCGAACAAGGACTNNGCGCGCAGGCGGGTTAGTTGTGAATATCACAGATGTGGAAGAGCTCTACGACGTACGCTGGTCCCAGTTCTTCAGAAGCAGCGGCCAGGCACTGGTGTCGATTTTGGGGGTAATGTTCTCGGGCTTGATTGTGTAATCAGCCTCATCGGCCTTGACGAGCGCCATCTTGTTGGTATAGTCTTGTTGGAAAAGATTGAAACTGCTGTCCTCCCAAGACTTCTAATGTCGCTGTCGAATGGCAGATCTGAGATAATTTTTCGCGAAAGCTTCAACAAGCCTGTGCGGATGCCTTGGCACGCTTTGTAACAGTCACGTGCTGCTGCATCATCAGAAGAAATCGTTTTCGCCGCATCGATATTTTGTCATAATCGTGAGACAGTTTTCATAGTCACAGTGGTTTCTCATTGTTTGACTGGAACTCGTTTGTATCGTTTGCTTGCCGAGCCAGGATTTCACGTCGCTACAGCTCGATACGCAAACCAGTCCGCAAAGAACGAATTTGTCGAAGGGCGAGCACCTCGAGTCAGACTTCATATACTGCCCTGCCCAAGCAGAACTCTATCTATCCCCCAACATGCCGGTTTGGCGCAGGGGTAACGCGTCGCACTTGTAATGCGAAGATCGCTTGTTCGATTCAGGCAATCGGCATAACCAATTCCTCTGGATAGATTTCTTTTGCATTCCACCGCACGCAGTCGACATTATGCTCTTCTCGGTGTTTTTTTTTCTTTTCTCTGTACACTTGGTACTAACCATGTTTTGTTCCACGGATTCCAAGGCGAAAGAGCCCAAATATATGGAGGGGTGACAAAATTCAATAACACGCGCGCAAAGGGTTGCAGTGTGGTTGAGAGGGTAATCATCCTAAATAGAAACACTATCCGATTTTGTACGAAACAGACAATTACATTGTCATGGACTGCTCTGCTATACATAGACAGATCAAAGATATCATTGTCTTCCCAAATTTCAATTCGGAGGGTCTCTTGATGAGCAACGAGTCTTGATTCGAGTACTATAGTAGGGGCCAGGGTCATACTCCAAGCATTGAGTCTTGAACCGTTTGCACTACAGGAGATATCTGAAATTATGCTCGATCGAGAAGCGATGATATTCCAAACACTAACAGATCGCTACGAAGACAGATAATGGAGGCCTCCTAAGATACCTCACGTGCTAGTTGCATACAAAACGCCATGCTCGATACCTATAGAATGCCTCCAACCCTAGATTGTACTAACTAAAAGGACCAAGTACACGAGGTGGAAAGACGTCGAGACTACTGCAATGGTCAGTAATGTGGTCGAACAATAGGGTAAAGTTCAGCTTACAAGAAAATCATGCGTATCGCCTATGCTAGGAGAGTTGGAGAACAAACAGAGATAAGTCATGTTGAGATCATGCCTTCACTCCCAATGCAGCACTCCTTTCGATAACCATCAGCCAATGTAAAATTGCTCCAAGAAAACCAGCTGCGCAGCAGATAAAGGTACTTGAGCTGTCACGATAGAATAAGTCCCATGCTAAGCCAAGCCTGACACGCACAACTGGGTCTCTTACCCAACATGCCAACCAAAGCCTGGAACCTCTTGCCAGGAGTCTCCATCACCGGGTCTTTAGCACCTTCATACCAGCTATCTCCCTCTTCCTTGCCTGCGATCAGCCAGATGTCGGAGTTGACGGGGAAAGACCAGCTCAGCAAGAACCTAGGAAGCTGGATCTTGCACAGTGCGTCTTTNTGTTGCTGGCTTAGGCCGTGGAGAAGGAAGCACAGTGTATCGGATGGGGTCAGAGAGATGACAAGAGACTTCTGAGTCCAGATGTGCTTGAAAGCAAGGCGGGAGATCAGGCGATTGATCAAGAGAAGATTGTATGGGTAGTTCGATACTGTGTAGCGCTTGCATCGAGAGACGAATGGGAACAAACTACGCGTCAGAGAGCTTGCCGTCGGGGCCAGGGTGACAGTAATAGGCTCGGTAGTGACGCAGTGTATAATGATCAGATCGAGCAGCTCGATCGGTAGATCCAACAACTGCATGGCGGAAGAGATGAACGCAGTAATCGAGGGTTCAATGGTTGATATCGAGCGGGTCCAGGGTGGGAATTTGTTCGTAATAACTGCACTCCAGGTATTTCTCGTAAAGTGACTGATGACTTAGAGAATGAACGATCGCAATAAGACGCAGAGCGGGTGGTCATCTCATATAGGCAAGAACAATTGACTTGGGAGTCCCTAAATCAAGAATGAAACCAGGCAGTTGCCAATGAATTGAACATAGAAGATAATACCATGAGCATTCTACACTAGCCCCACACTTCGCAGGTGCCTTCGGATGACGGTCATTCGGTGCGACTTTGGGCCCAAGAACTTACAGAGATCTCAATGGACAGGAGAGCGTCAGAATAAGAGTCAAGTTGGATGACACATGGTCTTCTGACGCCTCGAGGCCATGTTACCAAGTGCCACGACGTCGATTGCAACCTCGGCGTCAAGGAGGTGACGTTTTGTACAGCATAGAGTGTCAACAAACCTTGGCCATAGATAGGCAGGTGACGGTTGTTAATATTATGAGTTGATGTCTAACTTCCAAATCTCATTTGAGCCTGGGCATACTTGTACAGGCCGCGAATGAAGACCTGGTATCCGACACCGTTGTTGTCAGGAACGTGGNNCTGATGATCAGAGTATGTCAGCATTTGAATATTTTGTGGAGCAACGGGAGCCTCGTTCCGTCAAAGATTGACTTACAAAATCTCGGTGAGTCTCAACTGCCACGGAGGATATCCCTTGAGATGGACACTATCAGCGAATAACATCAATAGATCAGGCTCGCCCATGACGCTCTCGGTGAGCTCGGCATCGACCAGATCCATGGAAACATCCTTTGGAGCAAGTTTCCCCTTCTGGCTCATCTCAGCCAGCGTCTTTGTCAAATCGACGAGGGTGCCACGGCCGTCCGAGGCTGACAAAAGCAGGATGGAGAGATGGGGAGGTGATTTCGAAGAGTTGGCGTCGAGACTGGATTTGGGCGAGGCAGGCGGCGAGAAAGATTGCATGTGAGGAGCGCCCAGCGAAAGGGTTGGCTTGTTTGGGTTGTCATGACCAAAATAAGCAGCCAGAGTACGCGAGATGCGGCGGTGTACGAGTGGCAGGGACTGCTTGAGGAGACCNTAGAAGCGGTTAGACAGAGGACGTGGCCAGGAAGGGCGGACCGTGGTACCGGTTGGTTCGTAGATACTCAGCAGGGGCACACCAGCGCAGGCGGACCAAGCAGCGACCTCACAGACATTGTGGATCAAGGCTTCCAGGCTAGAGTTGTCGCGTGTGTTGTCGTCCAGCTCGAGGATGATTGACAGGTGCTTGGGCAGCTTCTTGAGGCGGTGGACATCCTTCTGGATGTACTCTGGGGTGCGATGGTGGTAGTACAGGACGGCAAAGACGCGGTCAATTAGGTTGTGGTATGCGACGCGAAAGCGGTGGTAGACGGAGAAGGCGAAATGGATGAGGTTGTACAGCAAGAGGTGCAGGGCCGCCTTGATCAGCTGGCGCAGCGGTTGCGATCGCTGGTGCTTGCGAGCTGAGGTGGCCTCGGGAAGATACGGTTGTAACAATCGCTCGCGTTCTTGTGCCGACAGTGGCCGTCCATCAGGGCCGATGTTGCTACGAAAGGCCTCCTGCTTCAGTGGTCCAACCATTGTGTTTGACTCCCAATTGGAAGTTGCGATTGACCAGAATAATTCAGGGCAGGAGCGACGTCAACATCTCCGGATTCCGCTGCTTCACGCTTGGCCCAGCCCACGCGTCTCCACCCCCTCGCTCCTTCCCGCCCCGCTGCATGTCATGTTACTGAGCACTTGACATAGACGCATTCGCATTGACATGTCCTCGTCCAGAGGCCGCTAGCGTGAGCGAGACGACTGCAATGCCTTCCATTGCCGACAACGCGTCCATCTTCTCGGGCGTCTCGGCTGCCCCTTCCCGATTCGGTGCCTCGCGACAGCCTCAGTTTACTCTCGACACCTTCTCTAGCCAGGATTTCATAGTCAAGGACTTTATCGAAGCTCTTTCAGACGCTGCAATCCCTCCGAGTCGCCGTACTAGTCCCAACGCTGTCGCCTTTGATCCTAAACCCTTGATTCGTACCTTCGAACAGGCCCTGAACAGACTCAAGCTCTTGAGTGAGGACCTCGAGTTGCAAGAGAATGAATTGTCCGCCGGTGTGAGGAGAGCAGAAGCTGTGCACAATACGAATGTCCAAGCTAGAGAAAGGGAACTCGAACGTGCAGTTGACTCATTCCACCGCCTAGAAAGGAGCCTGGACAATGGCGATCAAGGAGGAAATGCTGCCGTGAGGATAGGCGAGAGGCTGGACGAGTTGGATCGCCAGAGTCAGCGCGCTCAAGACGCCAAGTTCATATTACAGTGCTGGATTGACGTGAGCGAGCGTCGTGATCTGTCTAGTCTCGATGATGTCAGGAGACTTCAAGGTGGTGAGGGAAAGTTGCGCTGCGCTCATATTGCTCGTCAGTTGCTCAAGATCAGCCAAAGACTGGATTCATCAAACTCGCTATCCAATGGTGATGGCGTTAACGGCAACGATACGCCCACTGAGCTGATTGAGAAGTTCCTCGAATCGCTGGAGAAGGATCTTTTGAAACAGTTTGACGACTTCTACAGACGTCAGAACTTTGACGGCATGAGAGAATGTGCCGTCGCCCTGAAAGACTTTGGCGATGGTGCTAGTGTCATGGGTCTCTTCGTCAATCAACATCAGTTCTTTATCGATCGCAGCCAGCTTATTACTGAAGATCTAGCTGCTGATCCAGAAACTTGGGAACGTCTTGCCGACCCAGATACAGAACCGCCAGGTGTTGAGCCTAGTTTGCAGAGTTTGGTAGATGAGGTGAAGCTTGTCGTTCAAGAAGAGAGCTTTATCATCAAANAAGCATTCCCCTTCCACGAAGAAGTATTGGTACGCTTCTTACAGAGAATCTTTCAACAATCTATTCAACAAAAACTTGAGATGGTGCTCGACAAGGCGGATTCCATTTCTTCACTAGCTTTTCTTCGATCATTGCAAGCCAGCAGAAGCTATATCTCTGCCCTGGTTGAAGACTTGAAGGCGCACGGGTTGACCGAACACCCAGAACCTGCTTCTGCGCAGACTGCCGCTGTGCTTGACCAACAACTCGAAGACTTGTTCGTGCCATACTTCTCTGGCTCGTCATACATTGAGCGCGAAAAGAGAAGCTTGGAAGAGCTTTACTCCTCTCTCCTGTTCAAATTCACAACCTACCACACGCGCCGACGAAAGATGCCCACATCATATCTCGGCTCCCTGTCAGCGCGCAGCAGAGAACTAATCTCCTCAACACGCGACACATATCTTGAAAGACTCGAGAACTCGGACATTCCAGCTTCTCAAAAGTCCACTCTTCTACGAATCGCTGGTCTCAATGCTACAGCCAGTCATACTCAGAACAGAAATGACGTAGATGTATCAGAGGAAGACGGTGCACTAAGCCTACCATTCATTAAACGCATGCTCAAATGGCTGGCCGAGAGTGTAGGCCGCGGACTTGAACTGGCTAACGGCCACGAAACTCCCAAAGACGTGCGTGAACTGCTAAACCTGCTCATCGCAAACATGGGCGAGATATACCTAGAGACAGCGCTGGACGCAGTCACTGAATCAGCCACAGCAGCCGAGAGCAGCACAAAGACAGAACCAGATTTCGGCCACCTTGTCGATCTCCGCAGCGCAGTTAGCATCCTCCACCTGCTGCTTGCCACCATACAGACCCTGCTGCTTCCTCTAGCAGCTAGCAACCTCACCATCCGCCGCGACCTCGACAAAACAACAAATTCCTTCATCGACCGCTGCGAATCAAAAATAGATACCATCCTTCAAAAGACCATCGACGCCACCTTATCATATTCCACGCGTATTTTATCCCAACAGAAGAAAACAGACTTCCGCCCTCGCGATGACGCTCTGCTCCAACTAGACCAACTCCAAACACCCACCTGCCTTTCCCTCTTCACCTTCCTCTCCAAAGTCCACAGCAGAGCAGAAACAGCACTCAGCGGCAAAGTGCTCGACAACTTTGTCTTGGAACTGGCTTTGGGCATTCGCGCCCTGCTCCTTTCCCATTTCCGCAGTTATCCTGTATCTCTCACCGGCGGTTTGATCGTCTCCAAAGACATGGCCAAATACATTGAACTCTTAAAATCGTGGAAGACGTTGCCAAAACCGTTTATCGAGAGTTTGGAAGTGCTGACCGAGATTGCGAATTTGTTTGTTATTGGGCCCGAGGCGTTGAGGGATAGGATGAAGGGCTTGGATGGTGCTGTTGTTGATAAATCTACTGCTGGTGCTGGAAGTGCAAATGGAAATGTTGGTGCAGGCAGTGGCGGTATTGAAAAGGCGGATCTGAAGCCGTTTATTCTTATGAGAGAGGATGCGAGGAGTATTGGTGTGCAGAGTGTTTTGGGTTTGTAGGTGACTTTGAGGTAGCGCACTGAGAATGATAGCAGGTAGCATAGATAACATGAGCCCATTCTTCAAGAACCTGAATGACGATACCCAGCTTTCTTGATCCTTGTTTTGAATCTGTTTTGAGGCCCCTGACTGTCCACTCCATCTGTGTGTATGTATGCCTGTGAAGGTATTGATGCTCAATGAAGAGCAATGATCATTGTGGTCTCGAAGACATGTGTCACTTTCAGGAGGATCTTGAGAGTCGCGAGCCAAACAAAGAAGCGACCAAGGGAAAAGGTAAAAACTAAGTTTGCAATTTGTGGTATCAGGGTATCATCTTGCTATGTACGGTTGCGGAAGAAAAGAAAAGCAGCACTTGTCGAGTTGAAGAAACAACAACGACAAAAAGTACCGTACAGAGAAGAAAAGCAAAGAAGGCAACAAAACAGCACAAAACGAGCGGATATCGGACAAGAAAATCAAAAACAGACCCATCCCCAGTAAAAGAAAACTCCCAGATCCCGTGTATCGATCCAGGATGAAAAAGGCATTAGTAGATGAACTTCGAAAGCAAAATGAGAACAACTCAGCAATCAGGCAGCTCCTCGATTGGCTGTGGGTTGTTCTCCTCAACCCTCCTTTCCATCCTCGCCCAGATGCCCTCCCAATCCGTCTTGGTGACGCTCTCTTCCTCTTTGAATTCTTCAAACATCAAGGGGTTGCCAGTTTGACATCTCATGACTCTGTCCGTCCAGGCCAAGAACCTGACTAAGTTCTTCAAGTCCTCATTGTCATTGCTAGCGAGACTGCTCAACCCACCGCGCTCGTCGACCATGCGGCGAAGCATAGGTTGGTGGGTGGAAGCGGCCGTCTTGCCGTGGCCGCTACAAGTCTCGTACAGGGCGACGAAGTTCATTGTCAGGATTGCGGCGTCGCTGTATGCGCGTTTGGGATCCGAAAAGGCTTGGTTGATGCTTTCGACTGTGCGGGCTTGTAGCCATCGTGGTATTGTCGGATTGATGAGACCTGGTGGCATCATGATGGAAGCGGTGGCGAGAAGAGAGTAGAAGAGACAGGGTTCCGAGCCGGCGAGGCGAAGAGGCATTTGATTGAACTCCAGCTTCTGGTCCACCGTCCAGCCGGTCAAGATTTCGTCGAGTTGAACTAGCATGTTGGAGCGGTCTGCGGCGGAAGGTCAGTCTGGGTGTTTCGTCTGATCGAGTGTGGCGTGCTGCACTCACAGNTTCTGAAGAAGTCGGCCGTAGAAAGGCTGCCATCTGACGGGAAACACGCTGAACGAGTCACTGCCAGAATCCACGTTCTTCCACATGGGGTAATCTTCGTTCAAAACAAGCTCGAGGAAGGCATTCCTAGACGTCTTTGGTGATGAGTGTTGTAGTGCTGTGACAGAGGCTTCGGTGTGCTCTTGTTGCCTCGTCGATGTTGGCTGAGCCGGCGAAGAAGGGCGTGAAGCCTCAGAGTTCGTGACAGACATGGTGTCGTATTGTCTCCAGTTGGCGCCTATTGACAAAGGTTGCGAGGCGTTCATATTTGCGAGAGGCGGTAGTCGCGAAGAAGCCAATGGGCTGATGGGTGGTACAGGACGAGAGTCATCGGCTTCTGGCATGATCTGTGGCGGGTGCATTGTCACTGGCGATGCAGCTGGCCGAAATAGCGGCACAAACGACTGTTGCGCGACGGAATCATGCTGAACAGGGTCTGGCCTCGCGTACCAGTGCGAAGGTTCTTGAGTAGAAGGGTAGGTTGAAGCAGCACTTTGGCCTACTTGAAGCGGAGGGCTCGTTCGCGCTTCTTGAGCTCGTACAGGTGCGGATTGGCCTGGTTGCTGGAAGAGACGAGGAGGTGACGAGGATGGAGTTGGCGCAGGAGCATGAACAGGAAGTAGCATAGCAGGTTTGGGGGCCCTGGGAGCCGAGTATGGCATGAGCTGACCTCCTCGCCTGCCATGTTGTTGTGGTGGAGGTTGTGTGGGCAGCGTTGAGGAGCTTGTAGAAGCTTCAGCTCCAGCTCCGGCTACAGTTCCAGCTTGAAAGTTGACGGGATTGTTAGTCTGAGCTGGAGGCGAAGGTATATATGTTTGCTGCTGTCGTTGGCCATGTCCGGCATGGTTGTCTTGGTGTGAGGTCTTACGACGCTTTTTGGGCGTTGTGTCCTTGTTCGGGGCGACGTCGACGTCCCTTTGCNNAGCAGCTTGTGCTTGCTTTCGACTCCTCTGCGACCAGCCAACCCTTGCAGCATGCGATCTGACATACTTNTTGTTTTCGCGTCCAGAAGAGCCGGATTCAAAGACAAAGTTGAGCCCGCCACTTTCATTGTTTGACGACTGCATTGACGGCAAAGCTGGCTGAGCAAAGACTTTTCTGCACTCGATGCTCCCGTCTTATCACGAGCATCAGACGTTCATACAGAGCCCTGGGTTTGCCCTGTCCTCGACACTGTCGGTGTTGCAAAGTTGAAAATGAAGCACGGTAACGGCGAGCAATTCGACGGACCGGTCGAGATCGCAGCGTGATAGATTTATCAGCATGCAATGATGCGTGGTGTGTCATGGCCGCCGCTGTCACTGATCTAGTTTGGGAAACTGCACTCCCAGCCTCGGCTACGCATCCCGATTTCTCCTTAGACAGCTCTCTGGTCGCGGCAACGGACGACTTACCGTAGGAGGAGCGACCAGGCGAACCGTTTTCCCGAGGAGCCCTACTCCGGCCAACCTATTTTGACATCGACATGTGCCCTTTCGCATCTCTGTCTTGCCTTTCCCCTTTACCGCTTGCTGCAAAATAATACATCCCATATACACTTTCTGATCCCATTTCGCGCAATTCTCGATTCGCTGTATGGAAGCCCCTCATTTTGCAATGCAATTTGCATAGAAGTCATGTGAACCCGGAGATCCTTCGCTGCCCCTTCGTATCGACGACGGATCAGGCAAGATATGCATGACTAAGCATCCAGCCCTATAACACATTTTCTCAAATCCCGAGGTCATTCACCGAGTCTTAACAACACAACAGCACCACAGCATGTGATAAAATTATTATTATTACAGTCGTCAAAGTCGTGATATATACATCTCGAAAGATTCTAGGCTCACTGGCCTGTTTCCAGTGATTTCTCCTCTTACAACATCCAACGCCGTCCATATGCAAAGAAAGCCGTCCCTAGGAAAAAGTCGAACACAACTTAGGCGGCCACCATGTCTCGAGCACTACCCATTGTTCTGAAAGATCCAGGCATTGATGATCTTCTTCGGGGGATACCGGGTCTCGCGACTGATTCGACTCGCGCGTTGAATGTGCGCTGTAGTTGACCATGCTGCGTCTCCAAAAATCTCTTGACAAAGTATGCAAAAGTCTTGCTGCACTTTGCATCGCTGGTAATCGAGATTGCGCGCGAACCATCTGGCTTCCTGATCAAACGCCACTTGTTGACGGAAGTAAAGCCACCGGGTGCTTGGATTGTGATGTCGCAACCATCCTCGACGGCCTTGAAGAATGCTGTGTACCAAACACCTCCGCTCCAGAGCTTCTTGGGTACGAATGCTAGGCTGTCTTCGACTTTGTATTCTTGTGGAACTGCTGATGGATCCGAGACGAGTTTGACGCCCTTGCAGTCTGGGTTCAAGTGCATGATGACATTCATATCATGCAACAGCCTGAGCGCTGTGTTGTCGGAAGCCGCTTTGGAAAGAGGTTGCTCCGAAGAGTACGAAAACGACGAATCGAACATTGTATCTTGTTGTAATGGTATATCTGGGCGATTATTCTGCTTGATGAGTGTCCGACAAGGGTTGAGTCGTGAGAGATGAATGAAGGATATGTTGGACACCGCAAAACGCAACTTGACAAGTAGAAAAGGTGATTACAGAAAGGAAAACAGAACCAGCCTCTGACATCTCTATGTTTTCAACATTCGTAATACCACCAGACCAGACAACAAAATAATGACTTACGTCACCATCGAAAGTGAAACGCTGAACACAGGCCGAGACTTCCGAGCAAGCCATACCAAAAACTTTCTGGATCGTGATTTCAATGGCTGGGGATTAACTTTTGTCGAACGGTGAACTGCCATCAGTTGAAGCCAATTTTGCTGCAACGTGGTGCCTGAAATTCCGGTCTTCTTTCAAGCTCAACGGCGAACACGCCATGTCGAGTGGTATGCATGATAAGTAATGGCATGATTCAAGTTAGAAAGAGGCAGCGTATCCATGATGCAAGGAAGGTTCGGACGCACGGCGGAAGCACGACCAACCCAAGGCACAAATGGTCGAGAACGGAAAGTCCATGAATAATGTCCGTGGAGTCAAGAGAGCACAAGCTTCGAATCCTCGATGACAAATATCTTGGTCGGTGGCTTGGCGTGTTTATGATGGAGACATGCTTTAAGCCACCACACTCATCGACCCATTGCTTATCCTAATAACCACATCTTTGCCTGGTCTCACACGCTCTTCCAAGTCTTTGGTGTTGTGTGTGATCATCAGTACAGTGTGTCCTTTGTCTGTGAATTCTTGCTCAATCACCCTAGATGAGAGACACTCGTATTCGTCATCGAGGTTTGCCGTGGGCTCATCAAGCAGGATAATGGGCTTTCGTCCTTGTCTGACTTGATATCTAGCTCTAAGAACAGAACGTACTAGAGACAGGAGCTGCGTTTGTCCTGCGGAGAGTGGTGGGAAACATGAGAGCAGAAGTGCAAGCGTGCGGCTGTCTTCATCGTCTTGGTAATGACAGTCAGAACCAGCAACCTGAAAGTGAGCCCATAGATGTAGTTGATGCAGCACTTGCGTGATCTCTCTAGTGGAGTTGTTGTTCATCAGGTCGATGTTGTTGCGTAGACTGACGTCGGGTTGGAAGAATGCATCTTGCGGTACGACGATGAAGCAGCGTTCGCGAACGACCGAAGGAGCTGCTTGTGATATCTCTACTCCGTCAACTTGTACAGAGCCCTGTGTTACTGCGCAAAGTCTTAAAAGAGCCATGAGCAGAGTGCTCTTCCCGCTGTTGCTTGGGATTAGAAGATACAGAGAAACCAGCACTTATGCTTTGACTTACCTGCCTGTCTCACCACAGATGAAGACCTTTGCACCAGCTTGCACGTTAAGGTTGACATTGCTCAGGATTACTCGATTACTGCGAGAGATGTCAGCAAATATTTCCCATCGACAAGTCCATCCTGTTTACCTGTGGCACACGCGTACGCCTCGTAGAGAAAGCGAACCGGCAGGGGACCAATCGGACGACACAACAGTTTCAATTGCACAATTTTCCTCGTTCGGCACGCAATCCTCTAGCTCCTTTAGACGCGCAGCGGCTCCAACTGACACTTCAAATGTCGTCCAAGACTCTATCAACCGGAGTAAAGTGCTGTTTGTGACCAGGACCATATTGAGGGCAATTCCAACATCGGCGCTAGAGCTAGCAGTAGTGCAGAAGGCTGCAAGAGCGATAACGACTATCGCAACAGTAGCCATAGATAAGTCCAGGACCACATTAAGCCAGCGCTGGAAACACAGAAAGAGATAGAATGCGCGCTGCGAAAGATCCAGACTTCTTGTGTTTCGATCCAGGTATTGTTGCTGCCAGCCAAAGGCTCTGATGGTGACTAAACCCTCAACAGTCTCCAAGAAGCTTGAGTATACAGCAGGTCTGGATTCAAGCTCTAAGTATCTGAGTTGACGTGAAGTACGAAGGTAGACTCTCTGTATGAAGTAGACGAAGAAGCCGTAGAGGGGCAAGGCAAACACCAATAGCCTTTGGCTCGCTAGAAGGAGAGAGCACTGCATCATCAACTTGAATATCTGTGTACACAACGCAGCCAATGCGGATGGTAGATCCCGATCGATCACCTGTATGTCTTGGCCAAACCTGTTGACGATTGCTCCAGTATCTTTGTCGAGCAAAAANGACAAAGGAGCTCCTAGGACTGTACTCAAGAGATTAGCATGCAGCACGGCTCCAGACCTAGGAGCCAGCTTGATGAAATTGACCCAAAGCATAGTGCTGGTCGAGACCCAGGCTATGGCAGAGCATAGCAAGTAGCCGAGCATGTATAGTACGTCTCTGGCGTCTCCTGCTTGCGTCCACCATTTGAGCCAGTAATGCGGGAAGGCAGAAAAGAACGAATATAACGCGGTACAGCCCAAGAGAGTGAGCATATTCATCGTGCCGACTGACTGAAGATAGTATCGATAGACTGATGCATCACCAGATCCCCTGTCAACATCGATGTCATCGTCTTCAATCTTGCTCACCTTGACAGATACGAGCTTTGCTTCCTTCTGGTCGTCAACTTTTGCTTCGTCGCCATTCATGAGAGCACTTTCTGAGAATGCACCTGAACACATACGAAAGCTGGTCCAATCACCATCAAACTCAATATGACCTTGTTTCAAGAGCAGAATTCTGTCGGCAAGAGAGCATGCAGCAGCAGCACTCGTGACCAGAAACACCGTCGTATTTGAATTTCGGAGTAGACCGCTCGGACCCAACAGATTGACAATCACACGCTCCTGTGTACGTTGGTCAAGAGCCGAGAAAGGGTCATCGAGAACAAGGATATCGTGTCGCTGGTATACCGCACGAGCTAGTGCGACTCTTTGACGCTGGCCCCCTGAAAGTCTTCCGTGCCCACGTTTGACATCTTTTGCTGCTGGACTGAGTGAAATACTATCGTCTATACAGCAAGCATCGAGAACTTGCTGATACCAGGTGCCGTTGCGTATACCATCCGTCCTAGAGAGGCTTGTGATCGTTTCGAAGACACATTGCCCTGGCAGCCATGGTAGCTGGGTACAAAGTCCAATCCTTCTGCTGACGACAGACATGGAGCCCTTGGAAGGTTTCATCTCTCCAGCGATTGCTAGGCCTAGCAAAGTTTTACCCACTCCTGTAGGGCCAGTGCATACAACAATAGAGCCTCGAGTAATGCGTAGGTTGATGTCCTTCAGAATCGGTGTTGCGAAGCCTGTTATTTTCAGTTCGACGTCCTTGAGTTCGACTGCTACTTCGGAAACAGAATTAGCGTCTATGAAGGTTGTCGATCCTCCATTTAGAGAATTCTTCCGAGCATCTTCAAAATGTGGTTTGCTGATAAAATCCTGTATTCTCTGGAAACTGGCCAGAGAGGCAATTGCTCTGGGCACAATCGTCATGATCATGTTCGCGGGATGAGTGACCAGGACCAGAATGGCTAACGTGGTATAGGCTGTTTCTGCATCAAGGTTCGAGTTGCTCATAGCAGCGAACAGAATGATGGTGATTGCAGGTGTGAAGAGTCCAAGCGCATTTGCTATTCTGATTAGACATGTTCATCTTGAATGCTCGAACTAACGTTGAGATAACATACCACTGGTGTTCGCGAGCACAGCTACCCAACGCATGTCTTTCGAAGCATTGATCTCAATTTTTCTCAGACAGGTAATCTGATCCCTGACGACATTCTCTAGGCCAAGCATCTTGATCGCTTTGATTTTACCTACCACAGAGACGATCCTGTTGATACGATCTTGCGTAGCTTTGTTCCACGCAAGTTGTTTGGAACGCAGATTCCGTGCTACATATCGGGTCATATGAGAGCAGCCTNNGCAGTATCTTAGTGGAATTTCAAATAAAAAGTCTTTGCACTCACCATATATCATAGGCAGAGGGACGAGACAGAACCATCCGATCTGTTGTGCCAATAATATCATACCGACAATGACTTCCAACACTTGAGCCCAGGCCTCATGAAACATCTCGCTGACGTTTGTGAGAGCATCAACGTCAGTACTCATCAAAGTGGTGGCGCTGTAGTCATTGTACACAGCAGCGGGCGCAGCGAGAGTCTTCTCGTATATGAGTTCAACAAGTGTGGCTCTGGTCATGATCTTGAGACCATTGAGCNNTTGTGCTGATATCTTGACGAAACAATCTTTCAGAGCGTCAGTTTTGCCTATTTTCCGTTGTAGACACACCTATCTTACAGCTTGTCCAACGTAGACTACCGAAGAAATAATGACTAGCGTGCATGAGAGTTGATATGATCGTCCGCTTAACGCGTTAGCAGCCAAAAGTTGCAAGATTCGGCTCATGAGCAGAGGCTGAGCATAGCGAAATACAATCAGTATGAACCGTGTGGGTGCAATGGTTGCAAAATTTGGCATAAGGCATTTCGACAGAACAAACGGCAATATCAAACGACTTTCTGGCTGTGCTGTAACGAATGTCAACAGTGTACATGTTCAAGCAATTGGCTTATCTACCTCTCTGATGCCAAAATCGTAGAGCTTTTGACGCAGATTCAAAGGGTCGAACTGACGCGGGTTCTGGGGCAGTGCTTCTAGAACAAACGTGTAATCTTTGCCAGCAAATAGCATCGGATGGATCCAAGCGAAGGTGACTTTGCTCCAAAGTCCGGCTTTCTCTTCAGGTGCAATGTCTAGCCAAGCTTCAAGTAAGAAGTCCCTCTTACTTCGAGATTCAACTGTAAGAGTTCCTGCTTCCAAGATTGTTCGTAGCACCTGCATTACCATAGAGCCCTTGCCATGAACCAGCAGTAACGCAGAGGCATTCAAAAAGGTGCGTGTGGATAAGTAGATAGTCAGCAAAGTTGACGGGTTCACTGAGCGGTCGTGTTCTCGTGGTGATAAGATCACAAGACCAATGATTGCGGCAAGGTGGATGGTTTCATCCAAAGCACTACCAGGCTCAATTGGCAAGGATAGAGATACGCCTACGATAGAGGACTGGAAGACTAGTAAGGCAAAGTTAAAAGCCTTGCAACCAGTAAGTTTGTTTATGTCCTTGATGTGTTCCTCGACGACTAGTATCTCAAAGACTCACAAACTTGATGTTTCTTTGGCGATTTGCTGTAACCTTGATACAACACTTTTGCAATTGATACCATCTTAGAAAACCGGTGACAATGAAGCATAATGATGCCACCGTAGAGGAGGCAGGAATCCATTGAGGAAGAACAGAAGGGACACTGTCGCTGGAAACAAACATGTTGTCAAAATACGTGGTGGTTGACAATGTGCAATGCTAGGCGACACTACATATTCGTGTTTGCAAGATGCAATGACACTTAAGGTAACAAAGACTCTCCCTCAAAGGCAACAGAGAGAGCCAAGATGGTAGGATCAACTAATTGATAGTATCACATGCAGACCTGCCTAACGCGGCGTTGTGCCCCTAGAAATTGGAGATAGCTAAGGCGCTAAAGTCAGCCATGGCATGGCGCAATCTTCAGCGATAGACGATAGACTCGATATGAGCATAAACGGACGGCATGGTGCTAACCTCACAGCATTTTGGTGATAAAACAGGAAGGGTCAAGTGAAGGTTGCGGCGTTGCGGGCAGCGAAAAGTGCAGCCCGAGGGACAAAAGTCGATGTGACTGACGCAAGACAATTGTAGCTTCACATGCTTCGAACCATCTCCAGACAGACAATACACTACATCAACTTGCGTCGCCATGTCAGAATCGCCTGTATCCAATGGAGTCCCCGATGAGGAGGAAGAGGCGCTTCAGAGATTCCTTGGAACGACGTCGTTCGGCAAACAGACCAAAGGCGCTCAAGCCGACCACAGATTCGAGCAGAGCAAAAGACAACAACCTGTAATTTCACAACCTGACAAGAAGGCCGACGATGACTCGGATTCGGACTCGGATGACGACGATGAGGATGAATACCCTGTGTCGCATGAGATGGTCTTCAAGACACACGACCGACCCGTCACATCCATCACGCTGGACGCGTCGGGAGGACGAATGGTGACTGGCTCCAACGACTGCACTCTCAAGTTTCACGATTTCGCTTCCCTCACGCCCTCGACCATCCGCGCCTTTAAATCCGTTGACCCTTCGTCCGTCAAGGGCTCCGCCTCGTCCGAAACCCACCCCGTCAATCATGTCTCGTTCAATCCCATCTCGCCTAGTACAATCCTTGCCATCACCGCTCATCCACAACCGCGCATATTAGATCGCAATGGAGAGACTCTTGCCGAGTTCGTAAAAGGCGACATGTACCTGCGCGACATGCATCACACCAAAGGTCACATATCCGAGGTCACTTGCGGCGTCTGGCACCCTCAAGATCGCGACATCTGTGCCACTGGAGGAACAGACTCGACCGTTCGTATCTGGGATGTGAACAACCCTAGGCAACAGAAGAACGTCATTGTCCACAAGTCAAGAGCTGCTGGTTCTGCTGGAAGGACACGAATCACTGCTCTCTCATGGGCCGCCAGCACTCAGTCCAATCTTCTTGTTGCCGCCGCCCTTGATGGCAGTCTGGTTATGTGGGACGGCAATGGTCCTTACACCAGACCTGCTGCCGAGATTCGCGATGCTCATACCAAAGACACTTGGACTAGTAGCTTGCAAATCAGCTCAACTGGTCAACTTGTCCTGACGCGCGGAGGTGATGATACCATCAAACTTTGGGACACCAGGAAGTTCAAGCAGCCTCTGAGAACTGTTGAATTCCCCTCAATGTCTAGCCAGTACCCCACATCCAATATCTGCTGGTCGCCATTAGGTACCGAGGTGCTCACTGGCTCTGCAAATGGCGACCTCCATATCCTTAATCCTGCTACACTGAAATCAGAGTTGGTGACTCCAGTGACGCCGGGCTCTGCTCTGATCAGCGTCTACTGGCACAAAGAGCTGAACCAAATCATAACCGGTTCGGCCAACGGAGAGACACATGTTCTCTACAATCCCAACATATCACAAGGAGGTGCAAAGACTGTCATGCTCAAAGCCCCCAAGCGTCGTCATATTGACGATGACCCTAATCTTACCATGGATCTGTCTCACGGTATTGGTGGTGATGCCGTCATTTTGCCCGGAGGTTCTGCTCCATCCGCTGCTTCCTTCGCGTCGAGACACCCTACGATTGGCCTGACAGCTTCTGGTAAATCGAGAGATCCCAGGCGGCCACATATCCCCAATACCACGCCATTTGCAAAGAGCAATGCAGATGAAGCCTACATCAGAGAGCACATTCCTCTCAGTGGCATGCGTGAGGAGGATCCAAGAGAAGCGCTCCTCAAGTATGCTGATAAGGCCAAGAATGATCCCATGTTCACAAATGCCTGGGCTGCAACACAACCAAAAACGATATACGCAGAGCTCAGCGACGAAGAAGAGGATGGACCTGACAAGAAGAAAGTTAGGCGATGATTTGATGATACACATGGGTAATCCTCAACTGTCACGACCCTCCCAAAAATAGATGCGATAATCATGATACCCAATTCGAACAACGCAAAACACTATCTCTGAAACATAATTTTGACAAAATGCGTGACACTGCTGCATACAATACCAAAAACCCTGCCCAGACGGCCCGATAACGCCATGAGGCTTTCGCAGGCTTATCGCAATAGCCCCACTTATCTTTTGTGTTGACATCGCCCAACAGACCATACAGATTGCTGGGAGTTGCCATGTGGGTGATTGATTTATCTTTGTACGACTTCTACTCACCCAGCACTGGCTTTTGGACGATCTAAAAACTTTCATCCTTCTCACCCAATTTCTCCAATTGCCCCAATCGACAGATTTTACCAAACGACGCCTGTTCCTGTGAACCTGACGATCTTCTGCCAAGCTATTTCGAAGAGGCAGCTTCCACAACCCCAGCCACAAGAACAGCCACTAGGGTCACCTCTGATCGACAGCTTTCGCAAAGTGTGCGAGAGGCACGATGAACAAGAACGCCATGGACGGGCAGGTGGTCTTTCTCACTGGAGCTGGTTCCGGAATTGGACGAGCAACAGCACTGAAGCTCAGCAAACTGGGAGCACGCCTAGCACTCAGCGACATCAACATCGAAGCATGTCGGGAAACCGCCAAGCAATGCGCTGGAGGACCTCACCAAGTGACACTGCTGAATGTAGCAGAGTACAAGCGATGCATCGAGACCATCAAAGACGCAATAGGCTACTTTGGCCGTATCGACCATGTGTTCAACTGTGCGGGAATCAACCCTACCGCGCGCTACTTGGTCGACTGCTCCGAAGACTACTTTGACAAGTTGGTTGCTGTAAACCTCAAAGGTGTCTACAATGTCACCAAGGCCACGATTCCTTATTTGCGATCTGGAAGTGCTATCGTCAATGTGTCTTCCATCTGTGGCATCCACCCCCACAAGCAAATGGCCATCTACTGCGCTACCAAATACGCCATTATCGGTTTCTCAAAGTCTATGGCGTTGGAGCTGGGTCCTAAAGGCATTCGCGTCAATGTAGTTGCTCCTGGATACATCGAAACACCAACAAATGCTAGCGTTGTGGCTGGCGAAGAAGCCCTCAAGAAAACCACTGAGCAGATATCTATTGGTCGCATGGGAAAGGCCAGCGAGATTGCTGATGTTGTGGCTTTCCTCATGGGTGATGAGAGCAAGTACATGAACGGATCTGTTGTTGAAGTCAACGGCGGCACCGGATAGCCAGACGACATGCGTGTTAGGGTTTTTTCTTCTTTTTTCGGCAAAAAATCATTATTATGCTGTTTTTCTTGAGCAGGAGCTACAGGAGTTTGGGGGAGAGCGAAAAGCAAAAGGAAGTTTTGGTAGGATTGGGGACATCACAGGACGAACAAACACCGCAAAAAGTGCTGTAATGTGTTTTATTGTCAGTTTCGTTATCAAAAGACTATACGATCCTTGTTATTCTTCGCGTTTTGGAACTTGATAGCAGAAGTTCAAAACCTGTCAGGGTTTAGCAGGTGCCACTCATTTCATCACACCCACCCTTCCTTCTTTGCTGAGGAAAGCACCAACAAGCCCCCTCCCTTTCCCTCTTCCCACTTTCCCCATCCCGGAAGTGTTCAAGCATTATCCTTCCCACAGCCGACTTTTTTATCAAAAAAGCAGCGATGGTCTAGCGGTCAAGACGCCTAGCCTTTACGGTCTTGCAAACACAAGCGTACCGAGCTCCCGATGATGTGAGTTCCGCACTAACTAGGGTGACTAGGTGTTGAGGAGATCGTGAGTTCGAATCTCACTCGCTGCAGGACAAAAACATCTTTTTGTTTCGTCATCGTAATACAGGCCTTCAGTGGATGATTACAGAATTGTACAGACTATCGTGCATTCTTATGGCTGGAATTTCAAGTAGCATTGAATTGGGGGATTTGTACACCTTTTTCTTATATCGCTGACCCTATTCTGCGCATCCTTTGTCGTTGGAGCAGGAGGTTATGTCAACTATACTCGAGGCAGGTGCGTGCTGGACTCCATCCCGAGCTATAAGGGTTATTATAGGCTATCAAAATGCACAGTTGCGATTGGAATTCAAGTTTGGCCAATGAGATAGCCTCCATCAGGCTTCTCTCTGTGTGGAAACCGTGTGCTGCACGAAAGTATTATGCATTTCTACAGCTACACTAATGCCTGTGTTCAGCCCTTGGAGAGGCTTGAGCAGGCACTTGAGTCTGATCGGCCATGGCATCTCACAGAAGCTCAACTCTGAAACATAGCAAGGAAATAAGCATATCATTCTCTATCTTGTTTGAGCCATGGTCGTATCAAGTTGCAAAACACAGTCAATGCTACGCTTCGAGTGATTGACTTCCTTTTATCTTGATGAAAGATTGCAGACATGATTGTTAGATTGGCTAAATATACTGTCCCCTGATTATCTGAGCCTTGACACGCAAACCTTCCCTTCTCATGTTGCCACTGTATTTGTTTTGCATTAACTTGATGTGTAGGACATTGATTGGTCTAAAAAGTCGAAGAATCATACCTGCTTCTAGTCACTCATACAGCGTTAGAACAGAGACTTACCTTCGTGTCCCGTCTCTAGCAGGATTGAACAAAAAGACGAGAAGCCAAATAGTTAGTAACGCCGGACAGTGTGTTTTTCGCAATCGAAGAGAATCTAATACTTCAGGTTAGTACAGTAGGTAGTCGCGATGGGATGTTATCTGTCAAGTTGGTTAGTACAAAAGAGATCCGTTAGAAACGCGATAAATCCCAGAAAGGGAAAAAGGACAACCCCGAAATCTGCCGTTGTTGGTGTTTTATATATTACAAAAAAAAAAAGACATGAAAAGAAAGAAAAGAATCATCCTCTACTCCAGCAGTCATAGCAAACGAGAGTGTCCTCCATGTATATGTGTGCTTGTGTTACAAAATACGGCCGTGCAAGATATGCTTTCAAAAACTATTGCGATGATCTCCTCTTCTTTTTTGTGGTCCTGGCTCGATCTTCCTTAGATAGGCTCATCACGGGGTTCGATCAGAATCTCGTTGACAGCAACGTGAGCGGGCTGCTTGAGAGCGTACACGATCGAGTTGGCGACATCTTCCGGGTCGAGGATCTGGGCGCCAGAAGGCTCACCGTATTTCTCAACGGCCTCCTTGTCGCTAGACATAGTGAGAAGGTCGGTCTGTGTGTTTCCGGGCTGGACACCGGTGACACGGAGACCCTTGCCTGCTGTCTCAAGGCGCAAGGCTTGCAGGGTGAATTCGACAAAGACCTTACTGGCTGAGTAGACACCAAGACCAGGGAAGCACTTGCGACCAGCGTCTGATGAAATAGCAACGATGTGGCCAGCACCACGCTCAAGCATGCCAGGTACGGTAGAGGACAAGCAGTTCAGCAGACCCTTGCAGTTGACATCGACCGTTTGTTCCCATTCATCAACCTTGGCGTTGGCCATCATGGTGAAGTACATGACACCAGCGCATGATACAAGGATGTCAACCGGACCCAGCTCCTCTTCAGTATCCTGGATCAGAGCTTGTACCTGCTCGCGCTTTGTAACATCAGTTTGGCGGACAATGACCTTGCCCTCGCGGACGGTAAGTCTGCGCTTCAGTGCCTCAAGAGCATCTGTGCGACGAGCAGCAAGAGCAATGTGACAACCCTCTCTTGCAAGGGCAACAGCGACAGCAGCGCCAATTCCAGATGAAGCACCGGTGACAACGGCAACACGTCCGCTCAAGGGTCCTCTGCGGGGCATGTGTGCAGCGCCACCGAGAGAGCTCAAACCCGAAGGAGGGCGGGGTAACCAACCTCTGGCAAACCAGTGGCGAGTGTATGTCTCGAGGAGAACAGCATCAACCTTAGGGCGTTCAACAACAGAGCGGAAAGGTCTAGTGGCCTCGTTGTTGAGAACAACAATACCTCTAAGGAACTCAACGCTAGGCATACCACTGCGAAGAATGTCGACGGTGAAGTTGCCATCACCACCTCTAACATTTCCTCTCTTCTCCGTCCACATGGTGACCCACNNCTCCCAGTCAAGAGGTTTTGTTGGGTAGCCAAGTTTCTCTAGGTCTCCGAAGACAGAACTCATGTCAACAGGAGTGGGATCTCCAAGATGGAAGACAAGCTGCTTAGCTTGAGATTGGTTGGCAAGGTGGATAATAGCTTTGCTGACAAAGTCCACAGGAGTCATCTCAGCACGCCATCCCTCGACATCCGGATGGAAGCCAAGATGGATTGATTCAACGATCAGAGCAGATACCAAATCCCAGGCGTTAGCGGAACCGGTCAAACTGTGACCACTGATTGTGCCTGCACGTAGGATCTTGACTGGCAGTCCACGACGACTAGCTTCGTGAACGAGTTGTTCAGCAACCCACTTGGTCTGACCATAACCATCAAGGAGCTTGTCCTGAACAGAGTCTACGTCAAGCATAGCAAACTCAGGCCAGCCATGCTTGGAAGGAGGCAAGACACCGTTGGTTGAGACATACTGAACGGTAGCGCCGCTCTGAGAAGCAAGGCGAAGAATCTCTCTGGTACCCTCAATATTGGCGCCACGCAGAGAGGCGTAAGGGTAGACCAGGTTGACAGTTGCACCGGCATGGACAATGACATTTACTCTAGAAACCATGTCTTTCCACAGATCCTGAGTAAGGCCGAGGCGCTCACGAGAAAGGTTACCGGGCAGGATTTCAACACGCTCCATGATCGAATCACGCCACAAGCCCAAGTCGAGAAGATGTCTTCTCAATCTTGCGATACCAGCAGAGTAATCACTACCTTCAGGATTGTTGAAGCGCACCAGACAGATGATTTGAGCTGATGTGTTCTCCAAAAGATCGTTCAGAAGGAAAGCACCCAAGAAACCGGTTGCACCAGTCAGGAGAACAGTGTTGGCTTTGTTCAGAGGACAGAACTTGGCTCCATTGGCCTGAATATCAGTGTCAAGGTTAGAGTCCTTACGCAACACGGCAGGAAGATCTGCTTGCACCGCAGCAGCATGTCCATCTCTAACACCACGGACAGTGTCAACGTGACCAGCAAGAGTAGGCGGATCTGCGAGACGAGCGACAGGAACACGGAAGCCGAAAGTCTTCGAAAGCTTCGCAGCCAAGTTTGCGAGCGAAAGCGAGTGACCACCGAGATCGAAGAAGTTGCTCGACGGCGAGATAATGCTTCGGGGCATGTTTAAGATGGTAGCCCAGACCTCGGCCACATCGTTAACGCCGATTGGATCTTGTGCCTGAGCAGCCTTGGTTCCATTGGCAGGTGGGGTTGTGACAGGCGCTGGCAGCTTCTTCAGATCGACCTTTCCAGAGACTTCATGCAGAGGCAACTCCTCAAGCACAACCCATAATGAGGGAAGCATGTACTGTGCTAGAGCTTCAGAAAGTGCTTTGCGAGCTTCGGGGCTGTGTCCCGATTCAAGAACCTCAGGGAACTTGCGGTCCTTAGTCTCATTCTTATCGCGCACAATGTAAGCCACTAATTGTCTGTCAAGACCCTCTCCATGAGCGACGACTGCGCACTGGCTGACAGCAAGATGGGTAATAATGGACTTCTCAACCTTGGCAGGTACGACAGAGTAGCCACGTAGCTTGATCATAGATCCAACACGACCAGTGATCTCGAGAAGGCCCGAAGGAAGCATACGTGCCAGGTCTCCAGTCCTGTACATGAGAGCACCCTCAGTCGAGTCATACTCGTCTCTCAGGAAAGCTTTAGCGGTAGTCTCGGGCAGGTTGAGGTAACCGCGAGCCAAAAGGTCTCCACCGAAGAAGAGCTCTCCACTAACACCTTCCTCAACTCTGTTGCCAGCCTCATCAACAATGTAGGTGTGTTTGGGGTCGAGAGATGGGCCGACTGGACAGTAGAGGGCAGCCTCGTCAAGATGCTCGAGCATCTCGCCGATATTACCACAAGCAATCTCATGTGTCTCACAAGCACTGTAGCAGTTAAGTAGGCGCACTTTGGGCAGCGCTTTCAAGGCATTGCGGGCGAGATCGGTAGTGACGACTTCGCCATTGAGCCATAGGACACGGAGGTCAGGGNNAAGGCGTTGGGCAATGTCGGGGTGACGTGAGAGGACGGTGGCCAGGAGAGTGGGAGTCATCAAAGTCTCGGTGATTTTCTTGGTCGCAAGCAATTCAACAAGGGCGTGCGGGTCATAGCTGACCTCATCAGGAACAGCGACGACAGTGGCTCCACGTAATAGAGGGCGCAAAATTTCCCAGATGAAAAAGACATTGCATGCAACACGATCGCCTGGCTGCTGGTCCGAAACGGCGAATCTCAAGTCATATGATAGTACAGGTGCTCTGTGAGGGTTGGCGATACCCTTGGGCTTTCCGGTTGTACCTGACGAGTAAGCAACAAAAGCAAGGCGTTCGAGATCATCGTCAGCGGGCAGAGGTGCTGGCTCTTTGTGATCGCCATTGATTTCTTGTGCTTCTTCATTAAGGGCGATGACTGGAACACCCTGCTGGATCTTGCCGACCTCAGAGCTGTGAGTAACAACGACAGCCGGTTTGGCGTCGTCAATGACGTCGGCCAAAAGATCCGGAGGGTATGCGAGTTCGAGAACGAGGAATGCTCCTCCAGCACGAAGTGCAGCAAGACAGGCAATTACATAGTCAGCACTGCGTGGAAGCAGCACACCAACAAGTGTGTCGCGACTGACGCCGTAGTTGCGGAGACGTTGAGAAAGAGCCTCAACGATCTGGTCGAGCTCAGCGTACGAGTATGTGCTTGACTCGTCCTCAAGGGCAATGGCATCAGGCGTCTCTTTCACCTGTTTCGTGAAGAGGGCCGACAGATCTTTGCCAGTATCAATGATAGGCATGATGCCGCCTTGTGGGGGTATATGAAATAGAGGGGGGAAGGGTGGGGAGGTCGGACGGACGAACTGTTGGTATGTCTCGACGCTGTGGTTTGGCAAACTGGCAGTTTGGCGGCCAGTTCCATCCTCATCCACCCGCTTCCTCAGAATCACGACATCGAGTCCGTGAGAGCTTATCCCCAGACTAAAAGGACTTTGTGCCGTTGTGCAGCAGATCTTCAGCCAGTGACAAGCCACATAAGCTAGATTATTTCGAAGGAACCGAATTTTAACCACGGAATAAATGCCACGATGCCTCGAGATTCTCCAAGAAACCGTCGTCCAAGAGAGGAAATCTTCAGCGCCGAAACTTTGCATAAATCCACTTGCTTACAGACCCAATAAATATATCTGCAAATTGCCAGGTAACTTCTGATGTTCGTGCGTGTATATACGTGTGTAGTCTCCTCAGTCCTGAAGGAGGGTATATTGTAATTCGACAAAGGAAAAATGCTTGATCGCTCGTGAGTACCATGGCCTAGTGCATCCAACCTGTTACCAAAATCTGGTTATGCTGTCGTCTTAATATGATTCCCAATGTTGTGCATCTTTCTGTTCGACCCCTTCTCTTGATGATACCGTGCCTCCGTCTTCCAATCTTCTGTCCACGTCTGCGTCTGGTGATGGAGTCGCGTGCTCTACTCGAACATGGAATTCTTGCTTTCGTCGAACCACGAACCCAGTCGCCTTGTTGATCGGCTCTTCATCATGGTCGGAGCCGTCAGTTGAGGAGTTGTCGGCTTCGATCTGTGTGCGAAGATTGTTGTGGTGTGGTGGGCCTGTGTTCTCCAAGATTCCCATCTCCATATCCTCAGATCGACCGGTGAAAGCATTGATCTTTGACTGGGTCAGAGTCTTGTCGTCGCCTGTTCTGGTGACGCGAGATCGTCCTCCTGAGCGATCTCCGGTGCTCGTACTTGGCATGACTGCGCCGTGGGGGTTGTTCTGGGCTCGTGCGACCTTGGAGATGAGTTCAGACATTGTCATCTCAATGTTGAGTTTCACGATNCTGAAAGGCGTTAGTGTCGTCGTTTGAGATATACCGATACATAAGAGAAATTGACAATAGTGACTTACATATGCGAGCGGATGGAACTGCACTATCTTGGCATTAGTCTTCGTAGTTCTGTTGTAGTGCACATTGGATAACTTACTGTAGACAAAAGAGTTCTTCAAAGACATCATAGCAATGATGAGAACGTCCATGGCCAAAGAGAATCCAATGATCCACAGGTTGAATCTGACCAAACTCTCGTACTTCTTCAGACCAGGCTTGACAAGATTACGACGAACGACGCGAACAAAGAGAAAATTGAGCATAGCATCCACGACGAGGTAGATGACCTTCTCACATCGGTCCCATACGTCGTTGATCTGTATATACCTCTCGCTGATTTGTAGTCTTGCTGGCACCNNTGTCAACGTGTCAGACTTAGTTTCACGTCGGAACATTACTCAGTTTCTTACCCATATACAGTACACAGATATGTTGATAAGTGTGATGAGGATAGCGACACCATATTTGAGGTTGGTTGCCTTCTTGCGGTCCAACATGAGCACACCGATACGATTAATGATAATCTGAAGTAAAAATTGGACTTGCAGAGCCCACAACGTCAAGATGCTGAAGTAGAAAGCGAAACTANNTCCACGAGTCAGTAAGATGGTAAGCCTGACTACTACATGTCTTTCGTCGTACCTTGGAGCAATAATGCCTCTCAGATACAGCCAACAGGCGATACTGAAGGCAAGGCAGACGGCGATCTCACACCAGATCATCCACACATAAGCATTACTCCTTAGTCTGACAATTCCGTAGCGTTTGCGCATAGCTGTTGACTGCTTCATGGCCTTCCAGGTGGTTAAAAAACCAAATCCTAGTGTAAAGCTGCTGTTGAGTCAGTTTTGGTTCCTTGTCGTTATGCTCCACGGTATATCGTACCCCCAGCATATTGACGCGATGCCCAAATCATCCAGAGTCACCTTCTGCAACACGAAGTCGTCTGACAAAAAGGTCTTCATCGTGCCAGGTTCGGTTGACAAAGGAAAAGATCCAAAATTGGATCCCCTCGTGGCTGGGGTAGTATCAGAATATGTACATTGCGTACAATCATTTCCTTGAGCCAAAGCAAGATCTCTCGCCTGCGGCTCAGGCTGAAAATAACGGAATGCAAAGATGGTGAAGCGCTAATGGCCGATGATATTGAAGATCTACTTACGCACGAGCAGAGGAACAACAGAGTTCGGGAGAGGCGTTGGGGTGTGTGAACTTTCCCAAGCCATATCCTTGCACTATGCCCTACCTTGGATGTATACAGTACATCTTCGCTCTCATTGCGAGCTTGGCTAAGGCTGAAACATGGGCGAAGGACATGGCCAGAAGCAAAAAAAGGTGTGATTATCGGACCGTCTAGGGCAACGTTGCCGGGAAGCTGGTAGATACGATCGTCCACGAACGACACCCACGTCAACGATGCCTTACAGTGGGGATATCTTTGGTAATGTGAGTGATCGCTGGGCCATAGGATTATAGGTGTTTGAAGGGTGCGCAAGAGGCTGAAAGGATCGGGTGGTGGTTTCAAAGATCAGTGATACAGGTTGTCCACAAGCGCTTGAATTGGAGGAGCAGGATGTGGACAGGGACTTGTGACAAGATGTTTAGTAAACCATGCATACGTAGAACCCCAGAATCCCAGATCGATGGGACATCTAACTCCAGCAAAAGCCTTCACATGGCGACTGGAAGATTGTCGTTCAAGGGTCGCAAGCGGGACCGAGTTCCTAGAGTACCGACAACCAAAGCCGGCGACACGGTAGGGCAGCAATCCGCGGAAGGATCAATTCAGGGCAAACGAGCCGATAGTGAAGCAGGATCCTTCGAACGTTATTCTATAAAGACCTCGTGGAAGGCACTAAGGCAGGCCAGCCTTGCGTTGACTTTCGCATCCAAAGCTTTGTCGTCCACGAGGAAATCTGTTCGGTTGAGGCCGAGTATCAGGGCCCGTCAATAAGCGCGACCGTTGCTATCTGAAACGTCGTTTGAATTTGTACAAAAGCCTTGCTGAAAAGTTTACCACAATAGGTATGCAATCATTGGCGAGCAGTGAACCCCGTCCTCGTGGCTATGATGGCGTTGGCGCGCACAAGGATGCCTAGAGGATACTGGGATGTGCAATTGTTAACGAACACCGAACATACAAAGAACTCTTCCAATGCAAACAGTCAAGTTTCTTGAACGTCTATGCCTGTCACATTTCCAGCCGCAACAGCTGTGCCGGATGATGGATCGTCCGCAATGAATTTGAATGCTTGGAAAGTTGATTAATCACCACTCCCCCTGCATACCGCAATCATCATTAGACCCTGGCACTGCAAGTTGAATCCAGGTTCATGATTCAGTGATATGCTCATGAGGTCCCGCGGCTGATGGACGAAGTACCCTGGACTTAATCAAGCCTGAGCTGAACATGAAATGAGTGACCCTGCATGATACACATCGATCTTGATTTGACTCTCTGGGCAGTCAAATAGCAAAAGTCACGACTATGTGTCATGCATACAGGGTACATATAGTTTCAGATCAATAGGCATGAATTCCTTTTGCTGGGCAAAAGATGTGCGAAAAGTCTTTGACCTCCTCTCTATGGAATCGATAGGATGTCACCCAGACCTCATGCTGCTCTGTTCTCCACTAGACAGACGGTTTTCGTTTTCATGGAGCCATCACGAAGAGGCGTCTCAAATCGAAAATGCTTTTAAAGTCAGTGTTATGCGCTTTTCGCGCTTGCGTTGTTCATGAAGGAGAAAAGAAGAGTCGGAAGACGCAGCAGAGATTTAGGTGAGAAGCCGGAGTTGGCCTGTGCTTTTGTGCTTAGTAAGCTCCAGGCTCTTGCTAATGGTAGCACCCTGCCCAAGCATGCTTCTGGTACATATCGGCCAGCGACGAGCTCTCATGAAGGGACAAACTGGTTCAAGATATTCTCACAGGCCATATATGTCGTCTAACGTCCTTTGCAAAGCTTTCACGTGTGTTTCGAATGATCCTTGATCGACTACGGTTCAAACAGATTTTTTGGAGAAGCGCACTTGCAAGAGCATCCAGCCTTTTCAACAATCGAGAACCGTTATATGGAAGATGATACACTATCAACAGACCAAACCACCATCAACGCAAGACATTATTTATCAGAAGGATTGAGCTATCTTCAGACTTTTATGTGTACCGTAGAGGTGACCACTAAAGAGAAAGACGACGATAAATCAATGGTCCAAGAATATAAGGGCCGTGCACTTTCACATGCATGAGTGCCAAGGCATATTTTCTATGACGATTTTCGACGATTGCAGGGCAGCGTGTGCCGTTGTTCTTGAGATCAGTCGAGGCACGTTCAACAATGCTGAGTCGGTAGCAGATAGTAGACGATGGGTCACTATGTAGCTCGCAATGCCTTTGCTGCCATCTTTACAGCGCGGTCAGGCGCTGCGTCGACTGCGACTCTCAGCACCAGCCAGCTATGGCGCGTCGCTGGAGCACCTGCCAAATCTGCTGCCCATTCTCTAATGCGATGTTATAGCACCTCGCTCGAGAACAGACATCCTATCGGTCTCGGTTATACTATTCCTTGCACAACAGCATCGCGCAATATCGCTCGAGAATGTGCGCAAGCGCTGAAGCGACACTCTCACACGTCCCGTAACAACTTTCCCTCGACCCTACGGCATCGACACTTGGAGGACTCGTTCCAGAAGTCTACCTACAGGTCCAAAAGTGATAATGCCCACCCCAACCTCGAGAAGAATAAGGACAATCAAGACAAGATGCAGGAACAGCCGTCATCCGTAAAACCCCAAGATGCCCCCAACACAACCCACCACCACTACCATCTCATGGATCGCCTACCGCACTTGCATCGTCCGACGAAAGATGAGCTGCTAGCCGCAGCTACAAGTTTCTGGCAGAGACTCGGTATCCGCTTCAAGTGGTTCTCTATCAGAAGTGCCCGTCCTTTCAACACCGATGACATTAGTGCTTTTGTATCATGGATTGTGTTTGGTCATATCCTCTGGATCGTACTTGGTACCACTACCTTCGTCTCGCTCGCCATCTTCTTCATGAACACCGTCTTTGCCCAGGAGACTCTTGCTGGTTGGGTCGGCAACTACTTGACTCAGTCCTCTGGTGTTAAGGTCGTCTTCGAATCTGCCATCGTGCCGCGCTGGAATGATGGTGTCATCTCATTCAAGAACGTCTTCGTGTCGCGGCGTCCAGGTCAGGGAAGTTCAAATGTCACAAAGGGCTCTTCTGCAAGTGCTGCCGCCGCCGCAGCTGCTGCCTCTGCAGGCAAGCCCGACCGCAAGGATCAGAAAGATGAGGACACCAATTATACACAATACGACGTCTCGATAGACACAGTCAACGTCACTCTGTCCTTTACTAAGTGGTTCAACGGTAAGGGTCTGCTGAGGGATGTCGAGATCAAGGGCGTACGAGGAGTAGTCGATCGTACGTCAATATTGCCTGGCGATCCGACAATCGACCCAAAGTCGTATCGACACGAACACACAACCGGAGACTTTGAGATTGACTCTTTCAAGGTGTCGGATGTTCTTCTGACTGTCTACCAACCAAATGGTTTCCGTCCATTTTCAGTATCTATATTCTCATGCGACCTTCCTCGCTTCCGCAAGCAATGGCTGTTTTATGACTTGATGTCTGCCAACATGATTTCTGGCTCTTTCGACGACTCTTTGTTTACAATTCATCCTCGTCAAACACACAGCCACACCGGATTGAGCATCAATGAGGAAGATGGCGATCACTCTGTCTGGAAGAAGCACAGTCGTCTACGCATTGATGGATTGAATATCGATCATTTGAACAGAGGTGTCGAAGGCCCTTTCTCTTGGATCCACGAGGGAAATGTCGACATCGTGGCAGACATCATGTTCCCAGCAGACCAAGAGGGCTCAATCGCCAAGGTCATGTCTGACTTTTATGATCGCATGGAAGCGACGGTGGCGCACAACTATCTCCATACCACACATCAACACGACACTAGTGATCATCACGATGAACGAGAAACACCAGATGAGAACGAGGAGGACAAACGCTTCATCGTCATGGACCTTCGTGTGCACTTGAACGATGTCCGTGCTGCTGTGCCCATCTTTACCAGAGACCTGTCATACGTCAACAACGCACTCATCCGTCCCATTGTGGCGTATATCAACTCGAAGCGAACATTCATACCCATCAACTGTCGCGTGGTCAAGCGAGTGAGCGAATTCGACGGAAGTTGGACAGTGTTCGACAGCGGACTGCTAGACGATCTATCGAGAGAGGTGAGTAAACATGTGAAACTGTGTATCAGATTCAAGCTAACATGCTACAGANCATATGAAGCCTTTGCCCGCGATATTGTTGACGACGGAGCTCGCACTCGACGACTGAAAAAGGTTGGTCTCTGGACCATTCAATTGGCGGCACAAGCTCTATTCATTGGACTCGCTGGCCAGCTTGTATAACAATTATCTCTCACCTACACTCTATGTAACAACAGCATCGGAAAAGGACTTCTCTGGCGTTCAAAGGCGGGCGTGGCTTCGGGAGTAGAGCATCGACTTTACAGTATACCTGCATGGGCGTTTCACAAAGGATTGTCACAAGCATCATTCAGTTATTCTTCAATTCACGATTTACCGGTTTACACTTTAGTAACGACCTTACAGAGTCCCTTGTGCGCAACGCTCTCAGCTAACGGCAGGCAGCTTGGCACAGGAGCAAATCCATAACCGCTCGTATGCAGCTGTAAAAATGCACGACAGTACCAGGAACAGGACAGTGCCCACTGAGAAGTAACGACTTATCAACTCTCTGTGGACACGTCTATGGTTCAAAACAATTGTGCTTTTTTATAGTACATACTTTGCCCTTGCTGCAATGAGAGTACTTTATAATATGGGGAGGAAGTTCAGCCCAGGCGCAAGTCCAGCGGTTTTCAGCTTCAGCCCTTGCCCAAGCTCAGCCCTTGCTTCCAAGGAGAAATGGCCACACTTCACAATCCCGCACCAATGATACTGACATTACTTTCTAATATCTCTTCGTCGTCCATTCTGCTTTGTGGACACGATCCAAAAACTTGCTCACGCAATGTCCAAGTTGAGCGCCTCGTCGCCAAAAGTGCTGGGGCTTCTTGCCCTTCTCTTCCTCGCTTCTTGTCTTGTAACCCTCTCTTTCCGCTCTTGTCCTGCAGCATCTTATGCTCGACAAGGAACACGACCTGCCCTTCACGGATCCAAGAAGGTCACACCCAATGTAGCCTTTGTAACCTTCCTCGGCGCATTCACCGGCGGCATCGACCCCAACAAACCCGAAAACGACGATGACGATGGCTACTACGTGTCCACACGCGTGCTGGGCTATCAATTGATGCATTCACTCACTGCAGGTACCAATGCCTCTATCCCCTTCGTCGTTGTCGTGACCGACGAAACGCACCTGCGCAAACGCGCCCGCCTGGAAAAAGACGGCGCCATCATCATAGAAGTATCTCGCATCTCTCCCGGTNGGGCGATTCCAGGCGACCCACGCTGGAAAGACATGATGACCAAACTGCGACTCTTCGAACTTGTCCAATACTCCAAGATTTGCTATATCGATTCTGACCATTTGGTTACGGAGCGGCTGGATGGGATTTTCTATGATGAAGCTACGATTACGCAACACACATCCCAAGAGCTGAATAACCAGAAGGAAGATGAAGCCCAAATGCCTAGGACGTATATGATGGCTGCGCATGCCGATTACTGGGGCTACGATCACCCTTACCCACCTCCCACGGATGGAACATACATGAATTTTGGGTTTGCGGTGTTTTCACCTTCAATTGCATTGTTCAAGTATTATCTTTCCGTGTTGGCTGTACCGGGACGCTTCGACATGGGTATGCAAGAGCAGAGTCTGATCAACTACGCACACAGGCGTGACGGAAACATGCCCTGGAAACCGCTGTGGCATGGTTGGAATGTGAACTGGCCGACGGAANAAGATTGGAAGAACGGAGCGAAGAGTTTCCATGCCAAGTATTGGGATACCGATCCCAGTCATGACAAAGTGCTGAAAGCGATTTGGAGAGAACAGAGAGCGGAGATGGAGGGCTTTTATCGTGGCAGAGATGGTGGCAAGTGATGGTTCTGATGGCTCTTGTTTTCTGTTGATCGTGTAGTGTCTCGTGTTCTGCGAGTCTTGAAGCCTTCCATGCTGACGGCTAAGTGGATGATATACCGCACAAACACTCTCCAGGAAGAACTGCAATGCGAAGACGTTTTTGGGAGCGAAGATTGCTGTAGAGGAAGGAAGTCTTGGTCAATGCACATTCCGTGACTGTTTGATTCGACGCTCTGCCACAACGACTTGAACACAGCAACCAGTGTGTTGACGTATGCTTGTGGGTCAGCATGCTACCGTGTTTGGACGGATATGGCTTTCAGGCGGGATGTCCATGTCGAAGGTTGAATCACTGTGTGGTAGATGGTGAGTATCTATCAAGGCAGATGAGGACGTGGTGGCTTGGAGCGAGACGCTGTAAACGCCGAGCAAAGCTCACTGACCAGTCTGAAACCGAGTCATAGTATATCAGTTAAGCGACTGATCCAAAGGTTGCATCCAAGCAAAGTCAAGCCCATAGTCTGCAAGCAGAGCCCGCATCGAATGAAACATGCATATAGCCAACTACCAACCAGTACCATATGAAGTTATTCTTGCGAACTGAGGTGGAAATTGGTGTCTCTCAACTCCAGGTATACTCCACGCCAAGTGGATATGGCAGACCAGCTAAGGAGCTTGCAAGGAGATATTCATGAGGGATATTTGCCAAATCGCTTGCTGCCTAGAGCCAGAGTATCCCATTTGTGGACTTACGACTCAAGGGGGAGAACACGTATACAAGGTTCGAAGGGAGACATGCTTCTCGAGCAGCTCAGGGGTCTTTCGTGTGCTGTTGCCAGGCGCGTGAAAGAAGCTTTCCGTCTCAAGATGCAACCCTCCAGGGTGCCGCTGTACAGCCGTCTGGGACAAATCAGACTCAGATGATGTTCATTTCTAGCTGATTTGCCAATTCTCAGAGGATGGATCTCATCTCAGCAAGCGTCAAGCCGGCTTCTCGGCGCGAGATATGGGCGGCTACTTGTCTTGGCCTCTGGCAAGAGCTGAATATAGAGAATGGTATACGGAATGCTTGACGTAGAGACAGACTGTTTGCCACGATGGAAAGATCAAAAATAGTTGCACGCGCAAGGCAGAAGAAGACCAAAATAGGTCGTTCGTAAAAGTCGTCAGCGGTGCTGAAAATGGAATAAAAGCTTGCCGTCTTGGCTGAGGCTCCTTGCTCTGGATGCGAGCAGCCGAACGGATTCAAAGGCGCATCTCTAGGTCAACCTAAGAGAAAGACAAGAAACGCTTCAGGAACCGAAATCTTGAGACAGGAACAGGGGAGACACGAGGAGAAAAAGGAAACACTACTGGCAGTTCTTGCAGACTATCTGCGCGTCGTCATGTCGATTCGTAGGCACTGGGCAACGACGCTCGTGGGCCAACGACGAACATCGATTGCGGATGGCTGGCGCCGGTAGATAAGGTTCGGTTTGCCGGGTGACGGCAGGGCTGGGGACCCTGTCACCGCTTGCAGCAACCCAACCACCTCCTTTTACTCTCTATGTTGTAAAACCCGAAGCGCTCTGCTGCAAGCCTTGTTCCTGACTGGTCCAAAGAACTTATTGAACTGAACATGTCCAAAAGACATGATGAGACAATGTTCAGCAATAGCTGAAGCAGCGGGTATGCTCCATGTAGGTCTCTCCAGATCTTCCTCGGTGACGACCAACCTGCCAGCCAGCGAACGGACGAAACGGTGGCAGCAGGTGGCGCAGGCACGCTAGTGAGCATCAGAATCTGTGCTTCGCTATAATACGAATAGTCCACCTCGACAGTAGCCATTGGCGCTGGGCTGGCCTCCGAGTACATAATAGAACGCCGTTCCCCCTTGTTACAGCATTCCTCATCTCACATATCAATTCTGTTTGTCTGTGCATAATTTCAACCCACATTCCTCTCATTCACAAACAATCACATTCACATCCTCTGCCTCATAAGGCCAAGACCGAACACAGATCTCCCTCTCTTTCTCGTCGAGAGACGTTTCATCGACACCACCGACAACATGCACTTCGCCAGAAACTCTGCCCTGGCTGGGCTAGCTGTCATTCCCCTTGCCTTTGCCCAAACCTACACCACCTGCAACCCTATGGACAAGACATGCCCTAACGACACTGGACTTGACTCGGCTAGCTTTGCCTGCGACTTCACCCAGGGCAAGTCGGCTCTTGCTAGTTGGAGCACTGCCACCGGAACTTCGCTCACCTACGATGGCTCTAAGGGTGCTCAGTTCGTTATCAATGGCAAGAACCAGGCACCTACCATCTCATCTGACTTCTACATCTTCTTCGGACGTGTTGATGTTACCATGCAAGCAGCTCCTGGTGTTGGTATCGTGAGCAGTATGGTTCTTCAGTCCGAGGATCTGGACGAGATTGATTGGGAATGGCTCGGTGGTGACGGTACCCAAGCTCAAACCAATTACTTTGGCAAGGGCAACACCACCTCATATGATCGTGGTACCTACCAGAGTGTCTCATCACCTCAGACCATCATGCACACTTACAGCTTCGACTGGACCCAGGAGAAGATTGACTGGCTCATCGACGGTGTGGTCGTTCGCACCCTCATGTACGCCGACGCTGTAGGTGGTAAGAACTTCCCTCAGACCCCTATGCGCCTCAAGTTGGGCAACTGGATCGCTGGCGACCCGGCCACCAACGCCCCCGGCACTATCGAGTGGGCTGGTGGTGAGACCGACTTCTCCAAGGCTCCTTTCACCATGTATGTCAAGACTGTCAGCATCACCAACTACAACCCGGCCAAGGAGTACGAGTGGACCGACAGAAGTGGCAGCTACGAGAGCATCAAGCTGGTTGACGGTTCTTCTGGATCATCCTCGTCTTCAGCTTCTGGCAGCAGCGGCTCGGCTTCCGGCACCGCAACTAAACTCAAGTCGACTGCAGTCATTTCGAACAGCTTGAACACTGTTGCGCCCACCTCTTCCATCAGCGTTAAGAAGGCTCAGGCTCAGGACAGCGCAGCTATTGTTGCAAGCTCCAACTCTTCTTCGACTGCTTCCACTCTGAAGTCGGTCATCAGCAGTGTCAGCGCCAGCGTCACCTCGGCTGCCGCATCTGCATCTGCATCCGCATCTGCATCAAAGAGCTCATCTCACAGCTCTTCTGCTTCAGCCACCTCGAGCCAGCCTGCACAGCAAAGCACCAACGCTGGCGTTTCCAACACTGTTGCAACTGGCCTTTTCTCCGTTGTTGGCGCCGCATTTGCCTTCTTCATCCTCTAAGGTCCATGATCTTTCTATTTTCTCTTCATTTGCATAGCGACGGACCTTTTTTTCCATCTTCTTTCTGGCAGGTCCAGGTATACCCACTTTTTACTAATCAGGGCGGCTTTTTGAGGTTCGAGAAGATTGTATTAAAAAGGAGATTAGTTAGCCTACTTTGATAGATACCACAATTGAATAAAGAGACTCGAAGTCTCTGTGTTTTTCCAATAGTTCTCTGTTGATCCTCATACTGTGTCGTACTGAATAGGAGGTGCACTTGAGTTGGTAAGCAGATGGTGCTTGGTAGCCGGCAAAGACGGAGATTTGTTTGGGCACGAGCGGAGGGTCGGGCAATGATTCGCCGAAGGGAATTGAGTTTGTGCCTTCTCATCATCGTGCATGCATGTGAAGATGGCCCCGTCGTCGACATTCTCCTCGCAATCGCTGGTTGCGTGCTCTCCTTCTCAATTAGCTCGCCCTTGAGATACTGCTATGGCTAGAGACGACCGATAGACATACAACGACAAGTCAGGATTTTTCCTCTCCTCACTCTCACAGGTCTCAGACCCTTCGGACTTGACGCCGTCATGTTGCTCGACTTTCTCCATCTGGGAGCCCTGGACAAGGTCAACGGTGGCTGGTCTTCCATCATAGGCATCATAACCGCAATTGTTGGCAACATTCTCATCTCCTTCGCCTTGAACACCCAACGATATGCGCACATCCGTCTCAATCGCCAGTATCATCAGGATGAGGAAGAGAAGAGGAGGAACAAGCGCAGTCGCAATCGTGACTCTCAGCAGGAGCGGATAGCTGAGGAAAGAGAAGCGGAAAATCTCAATGGCAGCGGCAGCCATGCTGAGCCTTCAGAGTCGGATCCGCTGCTTCCTTCGTCAGCCTCGACGTCTTCTGAGTCCACCATCCGCCCGAACAAGGACTCGTCTGCCACGGGACCGAAGTCGTACCTGAAGTCTCCTATCTGGTGGCTTGGAATCGCCCTCATGACACTCGGCGAGGCTGGAAATTTCCTCGCCTACGGATTTGCTCCTGCTTCGGTCGTGTCTCCACTCGGTGTTGTGGCCTTGGTTTCGAACTGCTTGATCGCGCCTTTGTTGCTGCACGAGCAGTTCAGAATAAGAGATGGGTTTGGTGTCATAGTTGCCATTGGTGGTTGTGTTACAGTGGTTCTCAGCGCCAGCGGAAACAACCCGAAGCTGGGGCCTAATAAGATCTGGGAACTGATCTCGACTTGGGAGTTCAAGACCTACTTTGGAATCACAGTCTTCTTGATGCTGGTCTTGATGTCAGTGAGCTCGAGATACGGACACAAGTCTGTTCTTATTGACCTCGGTCTTGTCGGCTTGTTTGGTGAGCGCATCCAGCTTTTAAACTGGTGCAGTTTCTAATGCTTTTTTTGCANNGGTGGTTATACGGCCCTCTCAACCAAGGGTGTCGCATCATTACTCTCCAACACCATCTGGCACGTCGTAACGTTCCCTATTACATACCTCTTGGTCGCAGTGCTGGTGTCTACGGCCGTGTTGCAGATCAAATATCTCAACCGTGCTCTGCAGCATTTCGACTCGACACAGGTCATTCCAGTACAATTCGTGCTATTCACACTGTCCGTCATCATCGGAAGTGCCATCCTCTACCGTGACTTCGAACGAACGACGACCGACGACGCCATCAAATTCTTCGCAGGATGTGCCTTGACCTTCTCAGGAGTCTGGCTGATCACGTCGGGACGTGGGAAGAGCAGACAGCAAGATGAGGAGGAAGGATCTGAGGATGGAGAAGCGATTGATCTGGTAGACGAAGAACACCAACAGCCCGAAATCCGCGAGCGACTAGGCAGCGATGCACGACGTGGCTCTCTGCGACCAAAATCATCTCGTTCAGCAGCTCCCTCATTTGTCATCACTTCGGATGATACTCCTACCCAGCACTTCAGCTTCGAAGCTTCTTCACCACTGAACGAGAATCCATGGACGCTACCCGCACCCGCGAACATCTCATCCATTCACCCACGCTCGGATGCTAGTGTGGCTGCCGAGCAAAGACTTCAGAATCCACCTCCGATGCACGCCACAACATCCGCCCCTGTTCTTCCCACTATATCATCCCAAAAGCTAAGCCCACGACGACCAACAACGCCCAACCGAGGCATTAGTAGCCCCTCGATTGATAGCCCGAATGCACTATCACCCTCGCAGCAACGCCATCGTCAAATTGACGCTAGCGAAATCACACCTGGTCGTCTGAACACATTGACGCAAATCTTGCCTGGCCCTCTTATGGCCCCGCTCTCATCTTCACTCTCTGCAATCGTAGCGGATAGTCTGCGCAAGGGCATCGTAGATACGTCAACATCGACTGGAAGGCGCAGAACCTCTGGGAGAGGATCCCGCACGGAAGCTATGGAAGCCCTGAGCGAAGGTACTAGTGCTCCGTTGCAAAGACCAGGGTCTTCAAGGAACAGAGACAGGAGTTTGAGTGCTACGTTAAGCGACATGTTCCACGGAGGTCGGAGGTCAAGGAGCGGGACATTAGAAGAAGTTCCTGATGAAGAGGAGGCTGTTGTTTAGTGGTTCGGTGGGAAAAGCGTGTAGGAAGACATGATGACTGCATATAATCCTTTCCTGCTTGTTCTGGATATGTTGACGAAAGCATGGCGTTGTTGGTGTGGATAGTTGCAAATGTACATACACCAAAAGGTGACCCTGTCTAAATTTCGACCACCTCTTTGATGGCCCGTGCTCAGCAACTTTTCGAGAACCGAAACATCGACCTTGCCGTTGCGCGAGGCAGCACCGAAGACTGGTCTGCTCACACCACACGACACCATGTCGCTCACACATTCGCTGGAGCGCCTCTGGAGGTCGCTAGCCACACGGGCAACAACCCCCTTGGCCTCACAGTGCCGCCGCCACGCCTCGACAGACATTGCCGACACCATCACCGAACTCGAAGGCGGTTCTTCTCTACGCAATCGCAACGATGCCGACATTGACAACTTCGCAACCACCTACGACCCTGTAGGCCGCGCTGGCAAACGCAACCGCCAACTGCCCGCCAGCAGATACAAGTTCCGCCCGCCCAAGTACTACCGCGGTCCTTTGCATCCTCACCAACCTCCTCCCAATTCCGATCCCGCATCAAGGCTTTTTGTGCCTGGACCTTTCTCAGCGCCTAGACTTGAGCAAACCTATCAATCCACGTTTGAGTCCGATCTTATGACATTGGCGTATACGCATTTCCCTCCAGGCTACAAAGCCCCTCCCAAAGCAGCTCGATTGAGAGCTTGGGAAGGCGCTTCGCCATACTACAAGAACCGTCCTTTGCGCGGGCCCAGAGGTTCTGATGTGCTGCGTTTGTTGCGCAAACCAATAACCTTCCGCAATGTTCCCGCCTTGGAGAAAATCACCGTTCACACAATGGTANAAGGAGCTCTGGACGACTCAGCACACTTGCACGTCGCAGGCATGGTCATGCAAGCAATCTCCAACGTGCGCGTCACAACCCACAAAACGCGCAAAAACGTTGCGGGCTTTGGACTCAGGGCTGGCCAATACGTGTCTGTGACTGCAGAGCTCAGAGGAGAGGATATGAATCATTTCTTGGCCAAGGTTATTGATATCGTTATGCCCAAGATCAAGGAGTGGAAGGGTGTCAAGGGCAGTTCGGGAGACTCGAGTGGTAATCTGACGTTTGGGTTTACGGCTGAGGAGACGGCGCTGTTCCCGGAGATTGAGGTCAATTATGACATGTAAGTTGTGCATTCGTCCTTTTGTGATGATGAGGCAAGGAAAGAGACAGAGACTGACTTGCTACCCAAAGGTNACCCTCCCAAGATGATTCCTGGCTTCCACGTTACCGTCCACACTACCGCTACAAACGACAGAGACGGCAGACTGCTGCTTAGCGCCCTTGGTATTCCCTTCTACGGCAAGCAGATCAACTAGAGGAGCATATTGAACTGGCCTTTTTCTCTTGCTTGCACTCATATCTTGTACAATCACACGGCGTTTCTCTTTGCATAGGTCGGAAAACAGGGGTTTAAAAGAGGAAGATGTAAGAAGGAACAATGAATGTATAAAACCCATCATCGCAACAATCTTCAACACTGAGCACGAGATGATTGCAGAGAAAGTGAAATAAGAGGACTCAAGACGATACACTCCAATCGCAAGAATTAGTTCATGACGGCATAACAATATCCTCGGCTCTAACTAAGGCAGTCAATCGACCAACCTCCCTGCCCAGACTCTTAGGTTATAAACACAGGCAGCATACTTCTCGCGTACTCTACGGGCAAAGGCATGCCCGGCTGGACCACATGCAGCCTCTGCCAACACATGGCTCGCAGCATCATCGCCAACCAAGCGTCCTCGGCCTGCATCTCGCTAGGCCTCGTCACCCACTCTGTCTTCTCGCCCAATTCCTCACCTGTAGCTGAAGAAAGCGCTTCCAGAAGTTCACCTGTAACGTCCCACTCCGCCCTCAGAGCACGCGCCATTTCCGGAAGGGCAGCGAACATGCGCTTCATCTTGTCCCCATCCGTAGCTGAAGCCTCAATGCGTGTTGAGTAGATCAGATGTTGCGCGACAAGGACGTGATATCTGCCAGCGCGGATGATTGGGTTTGCTTGAAGGATCGACTCGCACTCACTCAGGACATTAAAGATTGCCCTCGCATCATATGCCTCAGATGTCACCAACTCGCTCTTGAATGTGAGCTTGGGTATCTCCCAACTGAAAGTCTTGTCTCGCTGAGCTGCTGGATGATTGAAGCGAGCTTCTAAGCCTGAGTAGAGATGGAGTACTCTGTGAGACTCTGCCGAGACAGTGCTTCCTCTGCGGCTCAGCAGTGTGGTGAGCTCGTCTCGAAAAGGTCTGAAGACTGTATGGGTCATACCACGAGCCGATGTATTGGGCCAGGGTATGATAGGTCGAGCATCAGAAGAGATACCCAGAAAGGGAGTAAGGAATGCAACAATATCATTGACAGGCTCCATCCAGTCCTTGTCTCCCAAATCGCTTCGAGCGCGAAGAGTAGCAACAATGCTGTCGACAGCTGACGAATCAGAGAAGAGTGCAGGCAATGTGGATGAGACATCAGCCAGGGTACCGATATGCAGTATCAGATGTGGCAGCCCGCGATGAAGGTTGAACATGTCGGTATGACCGATTCTTCCAAACAGCAACTCATCAGCTTGGCTCAATGGTGAAGTGTTATAGAGATGCTTCTGGCCAAGAACGTCCAAGTCTAACTCTGGGTCTCGAAGGTAGTGAATGATGACACCCATGCCTCGAATGACGGTTGAAGTGATGACTTGATGGTTGCCTTCAGCTTGTAGGGTGCCGATGTTGGGTTCGAATTGCTTCTAGCTCATTCCTAGCCGACGAGTAGTTGCTGCCAGACCCGAGAGCGTTGTGATGGCTAGTGGTCGTAGAACATCGTCTGGCACAAAGTCCCAGCTGCGATAGGCCTGTTCCACGTGTGCACATCGGATCCAGTCGATGTAGGCCATGCGTCCTGCATCACGGAGACTGACAGGAGCAATGCGCTGCCTAACAGACTGATCATGTAGGCCTAAGTTGTGCATCAGATGGACCCATCCTGCTAACTCAGCATTCCAATCTCTTTGCTTCTCCGGTGGATTGGGATTGAAGGTGGTGAGCTCTGGCTGGTCGCAGAAGGGTCTGATGATTCGTGATCCATCTTCGCTTTTGACAGGCAGACCATACTCGACAAAGGGAACACAATAGAGAACTTCAAACCGGAACTCTCTCCATCGCCAGCGAAGTCGGGACTTNTTTCCCCAAGGACCCATCACTCCCGGTCCGCAACGTCTGTACCCATCTGCTGTACCGAGGTACTGCTGTAATGTCTGGAAGATTGTTGCAAGAAGGGCAAGCACGCCGATAGTGAGTGCAACCATGGTCGATATGTCCATTTTCTTGCCAGAAGCTTCGAGTGCGCTTTCAGGAGCATCACCTCCATGGCGCTTCTCGAGTAGGGATGCCAGCAGAGTAGAGGGAGCCATAATAGAAAGAATGGCGAGGTATGAATACTGAGATGATCACGTTGCGCTGGTGATTTAGAAAGCCGTCGAGGAAGATCAAGTTCGGTTGTTTATCAGCGTTGCCTGAAATACGGAAGGAATCTGGTTGAAATCCAAGGAAGTGTCGACAAGCATGTCAAGTTTCGCGCTTGCCTCTTCGTTGGTGTTCATTCGCGCTTGCCTTGCTGTGCTTGCTATGCTTGGCGAACTGTATCAACAAAATCATTGAATACCGTCTTTGTGATTCTTGAACCTCTGATGATATTTATGTCTAGTCTTTATATATCAAGATACGTATTACAAATTAATAAAAGGTGGGATATCCAGCAGAGAAAATGGAAAGGCGGTTGATGCCACCACAGATTTCAGCAGTGTTTCCTGGGCATGGATTCTTGCACTGCATGTCGACAGTGAGAGTGGCAGATGCAGAGCTCATCTCATTGCCGCACCAACACTTGGTCGCATCAGACATGCCAGCGACCTTGAAACCCGAGTTTACACAGCTAGATGTGCACCCTTCGATCGTGTTGTTTGCGTTATCGTACAGAAGAGTGGACAGTGCCTCTGGTGTTGTTGGGGCTTGGTTGGTCCAGCAGCCTTGGTAAGTCAAACCGCCGGCATAGGTGTTGTAGTTGGTGACTCCAGGAGTGTTGACAAGGCTAGGATCAGGGAAAGGATCGTCACCTTGCTGCTTGCGAGGGTAACCAAAGTCGTAGGCACGGCTCTTGTCACCGTAGAAGTTGTCTTGGAAGAGGCGGGCAAGACCTGCTGCAGAGTGGAACATCTGGCCGTTGTCGTGAGAAGCATCGACAAGATCGACGGTATCGCAGTTCTTGCCGGATGGGTCAGGGCAGCTAGGTTGGAACCATTTCATAAAGTAGAAGAAACGTTCGTTTCTGTCCTGGCCAGTCGTCTCGGGTGCGCAGCTCGAAGCATGGTTACCAAAGTCTCTGAGAGCACGAGCCCAGGCAATCTGCTTGCTGTCGAAGTTCGCCTTGATGGCATCAAGACCCTGAGCGACCAGATTGGCACCATAGGTCATGCCGTATTCAACGAAGTTGGCGAAACCTTCACGGTAGTCGTTGTACTCGGGGCAGTTCGGGACGTTAAGAGGACGGTAATCGCTAAGCCAGGCCCATGAATCTCCATTGGCAATCCACAAGACAACAGGCGACTCGGTCTCAAGCTGGTCACCGATCGCAGCGTAGCGCTGCAGCATCTGACCACCCAACGAGTGTCCAGCAAGAACGATCTGCTTCATGTTGGGGAAGAGCGTCTTGTTGTCAAAGTAATGAATCAGCTCATCGAGAATGTAGTAACTCGATGTGTTTCGGCTGTTGTGAGGGTATTGATTGTTGGCGCCAGCAGACCATTGAGAACCAGACCAGACTAATGCATTCGATGTGGATCCGCGTCCTGCCTTCTTGCCGTCAGTCCAAGGGTAGCCAAATCCCTTGTCGTTGCCATTGGGGAAGTAAGGAGCCATGACAGCGACACTATCACGGTTGATGTTGGGGTCTTGAACCATCGCGAGAGCATTGAGCATNCTATCAATTTTGTCAGTCTGTGACAATCGTCTAGGAACCAAAAGACATACGTCGTTCTCATAGTTCCAGGGATCTCTCAAAAGACCGTGAAGGACGATCACAGCTCTCTGGATCTTGCTTTCCACGATACGATTTCCATCGGTACCGTGAGAGTAGTAGTTGATCAGAGTGAGCGCATCATTCTTGCCGCTGGGATCGTCAACCTTGAAAAAGGCGACCTCTGCATTGTTGATAGTAGGAAGATATGCGCTGATCACGTCTCCTGCATACTGTTGTGCGAGGACAGAAGTGCTGCCGCACAGGAAAAGNAGCGGAGTCAGAAAACGCATGGTCGTGAAACGAACGAACGTGCTTCTAGAAAGCACAATGGAGGGGACGAAAAAGACAGGCAGGTGTGAGACAGATCAGAAGACGCAATAGCAAGGGCATCGCCATCTTATATGAGGAGCAAGGAAAATGCTGGCATTACTCGAGTAGGGCATTCGTACAACCATGCTATTGCAGTTTCCGGGTTGCGATCAATAATTTCGGGTCGGGAGAGAATGCATGGATGATCGAAAAGATCTTCACGCATTAACAAATTAGATAGCGCGTCCCTCAACCTGTTCCTGGATTCTGCAATGCGCGCGTGTCGTTCAAGGATTGCGCTTCGGAGTCAGGACATGTCTAGCTGGTTTCGAGAAGGGCTACAGACCTCTAAATGATCAAAGCCAGGGGAATGACGATGATCTTATAGTGTTTGTGGAACCCCAATTCAGCTTTGTTGGCAACAACTTGCCGCGATCGGCGCTCATTGATGGCAACAATACTCTACCAAACACCACCTTGGATCTTGAAAAGAAAAACACAGACATCTCCAACCTGACTCGGTGGACGATTGGGTGTTCACGCTCAGATGTTTGCTCTTCCCTGTTGTCGCTTTTTGATCTGTTGACCCCATTTTAGCTTCGCGAACAATATTGATCATGGACATGTCTTGATATTGTAAAGCTTCTACCTCATGAAATTCAAGATTTCTCAGCTGTATAGACGACAACAGAAGCTCTTGCTTCGTCAAACCGTCTTTTCTATTTACGTACCTTAGCTTCAAGCCACTCTGCCATCGCCTGGTTGACTTCCTCATGCTTCTCGACAGGGACAAAGTGACCAGCAGCAATGCTCACATAGGTCAAGTCCTCGCAAAGCTCCTTCTGTGGCTCTGCCAAGGTCGAGTTGACAGTCTCACATACTATGTCGTACTTGGCCTCGATGAACAACACTGGGAACTTGAGGCGACCCTCATTTTTGCTGTTTTCCAAATTGTAGGCACGGTTTGCTTTGTGATTCATGTACCAAGCATCGCCGGGCCAGAAGCCGGTCTTCTCCATGGCGGCCACAAGCTCCTCGAAGGTTTCCTTGTCGATGCAAGCGTATTCATCAGGGATCGCGCTAGCGGGAATAGGTCTCTCAATACCGCCCATCCATCCTCCATCTTCAACAGCTCTGCTCATTGGGGCGGGCTTGCCAACAGCAGCAGGGTTGCCCTTTGTGAAGGCGGCTCTCAAGAAGCCACGAGGGTCTTTGTCAAACCACTCTGTAGCCTTTTCGAAGTTTTGTTCGTAATAGGCTTGATAACTCCACTGACCGTATTTGTACCGGTCTTCGGGGTAAATGTTGCGATCGACATGTTTGAGTGCCTCCTCCAGACCTAGCTCCAGAACACCATAGGGCACGCACATTCCACAAGCTCCCTTAAAGACCTCGGGATGAGTGCGTGCGAGGGTCCAGAGCGTACCGCATCCCCAGTCATGAGCTACCCAGATAGCTTGTTCGTATCCGAGATGTTTAAGGAGAGCCAGCATAGCTTTGACGATTTGTTCTTGAGCATAGTCGCTAGTGACCTTGCGAGCGGTAGATCCGCCATAGCCTGGCATATCGGGAGCGACGACCTTGTAGCCTCTCTTTGAGAACTCGGTGAGCTGGTCGTGCCATGTCTTGCCAATTCCGGGCCAACCGTGCATGAAGACCATAAGGTCCCCACCATCGGGGCCGGCGGAGAGGTAGTGCAGCGTCTTGCTGCCGTCTTCGTAGACCAAGTCGTGTTCAGAAAATGAAGGCATATTGTTCAATGGTATAGCAAAGAAACAAGGAGAAACAGAAGCGATGACTTGTGTTTATATAAGTGTCAGAAGTTACGATGTCAAAGCTTGGGGAATCATGCCATGGCCGCTTCCTTTTGGTCCTCCGAAGCGACGAGGCTGAGCGACCAGCAAGCAGCAACCACCAAGACACAAGACAATATATTATACTCCTCCTTCAAACGATGATACGTCCGTATAACAATGCCAAGGTCGAATGACTGTAACTCGACTGCTGCCTAGCGTCAGCACGGTATACACATTGCCGAAGCGTACCGAAGGAACACGTACAGTAAGCCGATCAATCAAAGTAGCCAAGCAAGAGCATACCCATGCCGACTCCTACAGGAACAAATGACCAATGCTTCCACTCGCCTCCACCAGTGGCTTTCTTCTGTATGAAGCCGTCCCCAATCGCGACAAGCATATCGGACATGAGGACCCAGGCCAACGTCCTACTGTCTGCAAAAGTTCTGACAGCCAGGATCATGAGCCCAAGCGCAACGTTCCTCATGCCATAGAGTTGCATCAGGGATTCGATGACAAGCTGGTCTTGACCAGGCTTCGTTGAGGTTTTGAAGCCCCAAATGTCTTGAAGCATGACCTGAGGCCGAAAGACGCCGATGAGCCCAAGCGTGACCTGGAAGACGCCTGCGGCAGCTCCGGCATTGAGCGCGAAAGGAGAGCGTGATGATAGCCCAAGGAAAGACATGATGACTTGTATTAGGTGAGATTGGAAAATAAGGTACAAAGTCGAGAAAGTCAGCAGCTTCTGCCGGTCATATTTAAGTCTGATTGACCGGTCACAAATCCTTCTACTCATGTGCTTGATTGGTTGTGTTTCGAGATTTTGATCACTAAACAACGAGACGCAAATCGTGTACCCAATTCAATACAAAAATGGAATATAAAAATCTATATTATCAATGAGTTATTATCCGCGCTCATTCCCAAGGATGCTTCACTTCATCCTCGAGCGGCTGCACGCCTTTTCTCTGCATCCAAGTAGCCACAGCGTCGGCATCGGCCCAAACTCTCAAGATGTTCCTGCCTACAACTTTGCCAGCATCCTGCTCGCTAATTCCCTGCTTCAGCATTTCAGTCACTAGATCAGGGAACTTGGACACATCCTCAAATCCCTTTGGTGTGCTTTCAATACCATCGAAGTCGGTGCCAATGCCTACATGATCATAACCAATCATGTCTCCAATGTATTTGATATGCTTCACCACCTGCTGCAGGGTCGAGGTTTCGGGCACGAACTCAGGCAAACCAGAGGAGCTGTTGGAAGCACGACAGCTAATGAAGTCTGGGTTTGCGTTGATCATTACGATACCACGTGCAGCTTTGACGTGAGGAAGTATGTGGTCAGGAACGTTGCGAGGGTGAGGGCAGATAGAGTATGCGCTGGAGTGACTGAAGATTGGAGGAGCAATGCTGCCTTGCCAACCATCTTCACCTAGGCCCAAGACATGTGCCATGGTGTTCTGGCTTACATGGCTGAGATCGACCAGCATGCCTAACCTGTTCATTTCCTGGATCAACTTCTTGCCCGCAGGCGAGACACCACCCCATAATGGAGGTGCAACAACGGTTTGGTTGTCAGAGTTGGAGACAAGAGCAGCATCGGCATACTTGTTGTGACAGTTCCAAGTCAGAGTTGCATAGCGGACTCCGAGTTTATGGTAGAGGCGAAGAGTCGAGATGGAGTTTCCAATCTGGTGCAGACCTTCAATACCCAGAGGGGAGATCAGTTGGTGCGAAGCAAAGGCACGCAGAGCTGCGGCAGAGTCTTTGGCGAGCGTGAAATAGCGTGGGTACATATCGGTGAGACGGTTGTAGAGATCAATCTGCTCGAGTGTTGTCTTGACGTAGGGAGCATAGGCAGCATCAGAGAAGTCGGATCCATTGGCTGGGCAGGGCACAAAGGCACTCCAGAATGCACCTCCGAGTTTGCCTTGGTTCATACGGGGGATATCAACTTCGCCCTGGAGGCCGCCATTTTCCATTTTGTCGGTAAATTCGGGAGCATAAATTTGGTTGCGGTAGTCAACCCTCAGTCTGATCAAAAGATCGTTGTGGCCATCTNNTTCAAGGATTAGTCCATGGACTCTGAAAATTGTACATGTTGAACCAATTCAAAAATGGAAGCAAAGAAAGAACATACCAATCAATGGATTACGAATAAGAACTCTCTCAGCTGGTGTGTATATCACATAGTCAAGAGGCCAGTAACCGGTGTAAGAATAGCATGCAGCAAACGAGGCAGCAAAGGTGATTGCGAGTACGCGTATGGCAGCAAGCAAACAGCGTGATTTGGGTGTTGCGGCCTCACGAGGCAGGCCACCACCAAGCAAAGGCTCCTTCTCCATCTTAGGTGTGTATGCAATGAATGGTTGTGATCAAGAGGCAGATGGGCAACAACGATAGATAGCGATTTAGCGCGCGCCATGGGTCACCGCCTGCCGCGATAGGAAAGTGACCCTGGCAGAACGAGCAAACGTCATGATGCCGGGGTAAATTCGGATGCCTACAGTAATAATCTTAGAGCCCCTCGAAGTCAAGCTCTCGACACGATACCACCAGCAAGCAATTGTGAGATACAGACCAAGATGGGCTTCAGAATCTCGTCGTATACACTCATCAAGAGTGTGTCGCTGGCACACATCACAGCGGCATACCTCCTCCTCTACAAGCCCCAAGTCCTGGCCGAGCAGAACATTGTGGTTATTTTGGGCGAGTCGATGCAAGTGGTAAGTGTCCCTATTCTCTAGCTGCTGCCGCTTATAGCTGACAAGACACATAGCNCCGCAACTTCTGCTTTCAGCAAGCCCACAGAAATCACCGCTCTCGCGTCCATTTTCATGGCCTTCCTCGGCGTCAGCGACTTGATCGCAGCCAGTCTTCCCGAACGCTCATGCCTCGAATACTGGTCCAACGTCCTGCCTTTCCGTCTCTTCATGTTGTTTGCCGGCACTGGCTACATCTACCTCACCAGAGGTGACGACACCACTACTTCGACTCTCCGAGCTCTCAAGGGCGACTCGAACCCGCTCGACCTAGTCAAGAACTCTTTCATTTTCACCTTCATGTTCATGGAGACGCTCCACTGGTTCTGGGTCTTTGTCGCCATGAAGGAAGATAGACGCGAATGGATGGTCCGTGAGGCGACTGCTCAGCTTCGCGAAGAGGAGGAAAAGAAGTTCAGAATGTAGATGAAAGAGCTAGGAACATGAAGAAAGCCTAGAAGTCAACAAAGTCAGTCAATCCAAAGCTTGAGACCTGTGGAGCTGTTTGCGGCCATCTCGCAACTCCTGAGCAACGTGCATGGAACGTCAACCTGAGGATGGAGCAAGAAGAAAGTGATGCGTGCAACAATGCAAAAAGACCAGCAGTGGCCCACATTGGAATCGAACCAACAACCTGATGATGCATCCAGTCACAGATGAAGTGATCTAAAGCGGCCTGCAACATTGCTCTCAACTACACCATCGTACCGCTGGTGGAAAAGAAGCCAGCTCTTGGAGATTATCAAGGACAAGCAATCGATTGACCTCAAATTGATACCAGAGTGTACATAACCTAGTTCAAGTCTGTACCACAAACAACTTTCGAAAGCCTAGATACTCACAATAACCAATAAAACCTAGTGACCTCCCTCTGCAGGGGTCTAGTTGCCTTCTTCATGCTGCCAATACTTCTTTAGTCTGTGGCAGAATGGAGGAGGCATCAGTGAGCAGGAAAGCCAATCATACTCTTTTTGACCTCGCTCTCATCTACCTTGTCATGTCCTCTCAATTGCTTCTCAACCTCAAGAGCATTCTCCAACATATCCTTGGTCTTGACTTTGGTTTTGCCGTCCACGTACTTGCCAAACGGGTTCAGTTCTTGGAGAAGGTCGTCGATAAAGCCGCGAGGTTGGAGTATGTCGGCAGTGTCGGATGGTGTTGGAAGAGGTGCTGCTAGCACAGATGTGGCAGCGAGAGCTGCGAGGGCAAAGTGGGATATTGGTGCCGTGTTGGGTGATGGTTGGTGATGAGTATTTGCGTGGGCTGGAATGATGCTCGTTAGTGCTTGACGAAAGTTTTTGGTTGAGACTACTGCACGTACTTTGTAATTGCTTTGGTTTCGAGGTGAGAGAGGGTAGAGCGAAAGAAGGAATGGGAGGTTCGACTCAAGATGCAGATGATATATGTCGTGCAAGAGAGATTGGTTTTCTGTGGTCATGAGATATGTCCAAAGTTCACCTCTAATTTCCTTGAGCTTTGAGACATTTCCGTTGCGTCTCACCACGATCATGTTGATATGGTTTAGAGGTCGTGCACAGCTGCTCACACCATCAAGTCAACACTGTCATTCACATCACTTCAATCAATGCTGCACTATTGCGATTCTGGTCAAATCAGGTATATTTCTACAATCTATCATTCTCTATCTCTGCCTTGCCAGACATCAGAGGTCTGGCGAAGATACAGTAAAGTTGAACTGCTTACTCAAGCAGCTTTCGAAATCCGATCATACCAGCCAAAATTCTCTCCACAACCTCCCACCTCCAAACTCAGACAACCTCAAGCTTAAACAGCATCCTCCGCAATAGCCTCCATGGGACCACCCATACCCTGAATAACCTCGTTGAGACACTTTCTCTTGATCTTCTTGACCTTGCCTTCAGCGTAAAAGTCCCAGCCTTGTTTCTTGAGCTGCATGTCATGATCCTTTTTCTGCGTGTAGAATATCCAATCCTCGACCTTGGAGCACTTTGCAAACTTCTCCTTCATCTGTTCGCCAGCATCTTTGTCTTTGGCAAAGCCTTTGCCATAGAAGGTGAAGTGGTGTTTATCGGTGAATGTAATCTGAGCTGCTGCTTCTGCGTTGTCGGTGTCTGTCTTGTCGGATTTTTCTGCCTTGTCCACCCCTTCAGTCTCGCTGATGAGGTTTGCAGGTCCATCGGCCTTTTCGATGACTTTGTTCAGACATCTCACATCCTCAGCAGTCTTGCGAAGAAGTTCTCCCTTTGCGTAGAAACTCCAGTCCGAGGTCTTGATCTCTGGTTTGTCGGCTGCGTACAAGAACTCCCAGTCTTTGATCTTCATACCGCAAGACTCCATGTTGTTGTGCAGTTTTTCGGCGTCGTGTTTTCCGCGTGCCCAGTCTTTGCCGTACAATTCGAATTTGTGAGAGTGCTTTCCGTGGAAGATTATTTCGGCGTCGTGTTGTTTGTGATGTACGGTAGGTTCTGGTGCTTTGGTCTTTGTTGTTGAAGAAGTGGTGCTTGTAGAGGTGGTTGAGGACCTTGTGGTTGTTGTTGAGTGGGACTTTTTCTTGTCTTCTTTGGCCTTCTTTTCCTCTTGTTCCTTTTGCTCCTTGTCGTGCTTCTTTTGCTCCTTTTTCTTCTTTTCTTGCTCCTTTTTCTCCTGCTCCTTTCTCTTCTTCTCCTCTTTCTTGGCTTCCTTTTCTTCCTTCTTTAGCTTCTTCTTCTTCTCCTCGACCTTCTTTTTCTGCTTCTCGATGGCTTTGTGGTCCTTCTTCTTACTATGCATAAGATCCCAGAGCACTTGAGCAGCGTCTTTGAACGCTTCAGCTGCACATTTCATACCCCTGCTTATGGCAGTCACGTCCCCGTAATCAGGAATCGAGACCGCAACAGGTGGAAACGGAGGAGGCACGGGTGGAGCCACAGGTGGAGGCACCTCTCCAGGAGGGACTGGGGCTCCTTCAGGTGAAGCGGGCACATCGAAATCATCAGAGTCGTCGCCGTCAGGAGAGTCATCGCTTTCGGGATCTTCGTCGACCCCTTCGGGTTCATCGACCTCGTCCGGCTCATCGGTTTCTGTAGAGTCTGGGTTGATGGGCTTGTTGGTTTTCGTGTCGCCATCCGGGTTTTCGTCGACATCGTGCCATTCGTCAGGGTCGTTTGACCCGTCAACGTTGTTGGGACCGTCATTAGGCTCATCAACCTCAGAGGGCTCCTCACCCTCAGGGGCATCAACCTCATCAGGCTCGTCGACGTCCTCCCACTCGCCATCATCGTCATCGACGTTCTCATCAACGTCCTCCCAATCGCCATCGTTATCGTTCTCATCGACGTCCTTCCACTCGCCATCGTCACCGTCAGGAGACCCATCAACATCATAAGGGTTGGGCTGCTCGCCATTAACAGGGTCATCCGGGAAGGTAACCCTAAGCTCACCCTTTGCCTTTTTCAGCGCTCTGTCCGCCACTTTCAACTGCTTTCTGAGTTTAGTCAGATGTTCCAACCTCGTCTGCTTCATGTTTTGGAGGTTCTGCAGTGACTTTTCGTAGGCTTCGACGGCTTCTGGCGATGAAGCGTCAGGGCGGTTGTGCAGTGTGTTGCGGATCTCTTCGTCGAGTTCTCTGACGCGCTGGGCATCTTTGTCGGCNGATTTCTTGCAGTTTGTCAACGCGTTTCTGGGCTTTTGCGACTTCTTCGGGATCAATAGGCTTAGTCGGTCTGGCAGGTCCAGCNNATCAGGAGCGCTTGGATCAGCAGCACCAGGGTCGTCGACAGGAAGACCCCTTTCGCGGATTTCTTTTCTGACCTTTTTCAAATTCTTTCTTGCTTTGAGCCACTGGTCTCTGCGCTGTTCTTGCTCCCAAGGTCGGAAAGCAGGGTTATCCTTGACTTCTTGCCACTTCTTGAGTGTGTAGCGGACTCTTTCGAGGGCGTTGTCGAGCTTGCGTTGCATGGAGGCGATTTGTTCTGGCAGGGAGGTAGGTGGCTGCATCGGATCTTCTGGTACAACCTCTTCGTTGGGCACTTCAGGTGGTGGGTTGGTTTCCCGGACTCTTCTCAATATCTCTTCCTTTTCGGCGAGATGTTCTTCGGCTGATCTGATTGCGTCTTTGTTCTTTGTCATGCGCTTGACGTTCTCGAGAGCATTTCTGGCTTCTTCGACTTCCATCTCGGCTTCCCGAAGTGGATCGCTTCCAAGTGGATCATCGTATGGAGGGTTTGCTGACGGATCGCCCTCAACTGGTTCGCTTTCAACCGGATCACTTTCGACTGGATCGCTTTCAAATGGATCGTCCTCGAATGGATCGTCCCCAAATGGATCATCCCCAAATGGATCATCCCCAAATGGATCGTCCTCAACTGGAGTATCCACTGGTGGGTGATCCAAAAGCTCCTTGATGTTGCGTCTCACAGAAGACCAGTCAATCCAATCAGTAATCAGTCGACTACGAACTTGCTGCAACTGTCTAGTAAGCCACTCCGCAACAGCAGTCTGAGTAACCGGATTGCTGCTCCACAACCCGCGATTGTTCAAGATAGTAGGCAGCAATCCGCCAGCAACGCCACTCTCGACAACAGCACCAGGGATGATCTTCTTAAGGTCTTTTTGGCAGTCGTCATCGCAAGGCAGGAAGTACCAGGTTTCCATGTTTGCAAGGGCTGTGCAGTTGACGGTTTCCAGAATGTTGCCGTTGTCGTCGGTGTAGGTGACGATTTCATCGTCGGTGTCGAGGCAGTCGTCGATGGAAGTTGGCATGTTGCCGCATTTCTCTTGCAGTTCGGATGCGATAGTTTCGGCTGAGTCTTCTGTTCCTGGGACCTGGACAGGCTCGAAATCATCGTTGACAATCTCAGAGTCGTCATCATCGGTGGTCTCATCGCTGTTGTCGTCGTCGATGGTCTGCAATCCATCGTCCTTGTCGTCGGGTGTCTCGTAGATAACATCTTCGTCATCGTCGGAGTTCTCGACGATGATCTCGTCACCGAGATCGTCGTCGCCAGTTTCCCAGTCAGCGCCATCGTCGTCGACAGGAATCTCATCAACACTGGTCTCATCGCCAGAATCAACGCCATCTCCATCAACAAAGCTTGTAGACTCGTCCACATATTCGACATCCGACTCGGTAGACTCAGGCTCCGTACGTGCCACCAAGATGGTGACAAACCCACCATGCTCATTAGTAGGGGTGGGTTTAGCACCAGCCCAGTGTGTTGGAACCGGGAAGTCGTTATTCCAGCCAGTGGCGACAGGCTGAACCATGTTAAATGGCATAGAGACAGCAGGNGTACCCAGCACACCACCAGTGACGGTGAGCGCTGTGGTGAGTTGGTAAGGTGGCAGTGGTGCCATCGTGGAATGTCGATGTAAAGTGTTCAGTTATCTTGTGTAGAAGTTGTGTATGTTCGGGTGTGCCAAAAGGTTGATACTTGTGCTACCTTTTTCTGTGGTGAAGAAAGAAGGATACAGGAGAAGATTGCACAGATTATATATCATCAGTGGTGGCAATGTTACTCATCGCCGCTCTCAAAAGTCATACTGAATTTAAGCACTCACACAGTCATCTTCTATAGCGACGCATAAGCCCTCAAATGTCTCGAAGCCCGAGCCATACAGATGAATTGGAAAACTGAATACCACCCACCGAAAGCCGTCAACCCGAAAACTCTCCATGGATGAGTGTCTGAGAGAAAAAAAGTACCGGTGCCTTCGTGTAGCTCGCATGTCGCTGCATACCGATATAGAATGATATTGCAGGTGAGCTTGAGCCAAGAAAGAGGTGTTGTGCGTGGTGGCGAGATTTGCGTTAGTTAAATTTTCAAACATCTCTACGGCGACTCAATCACTGAAGCTTTACTTCGGAGTCCTCCGACATAGCGCTGCTCACCATGGTCGACATGGGATGGGTTTGTTACGGAAAGCGCGACCACCGCAGCGGATTCCAATTCTGACCATTCGCTCGGTGATGCAAGAAAATTATCTCTACACTGAGGAGTTAGTATTTGGCAAATTTGGAGTCCAACCGACAAGTCGTTGGTGTAGAACCTGTTGTCACGCAAGCTCTACAATGCCTATAGTGACTTGACCTGACCTACTGATGTAAACATGGCATTATTCTGGCCGGGCCTACAAGTCTAGTTGCTGACATGACTCAATGATACTGAAGGGTTGAATGACAGATCTCGTCTCGTCTATCATTCTCTGAGGGCAAAGCCATGAATATACGAACCACACCACAGCAAGGGCTTTCTTGTATGTGCGACAGCAATGCTCGGAGCTCATAACGCTCGGTCAGGTATTCGTCCTGAGCCACATCTACATCATGTCAAGTCCGGCCAAGAGCAACTCGACATTAGGCGACTGGTTGTCCTCGAGAGTAGAAGAGAGCAGTCGGGACAAGTGCGCCATCTTCCTTCTGTTCGCTTCTTCTTCCATCTGTGTGCTTTTGATGGCTGCGATGTCAAGCACATCTTTNGGCAGTCCAGCCAGTCTTGCCACATTTAGGCCATAGCTGCGATGTGCAACACCCTCACCAACCTCGTACAGGAAAGTGATGTCCGTGTGATCATCGCCAGCAACCTCTTCGGTGAAACGCATGTGAACATTACGGAGTTCGCGTGCTTCGTATCGCTCGGCCATTCTCGAAAGTGCCTGGTAATGAGTGATAAACAGAGTGAGTGCCTTGGTCTCACGCACGACGTAGTCCAAAACAGCTTGCGCAATTGCCACACCATCGTGAGTGCTCGTACCGCGACCTAATTCGTCCAAGATGATGAGAGATCGAGGTGTAGCTTGCTTCAGGATGTCTGAAGTTTCGGACAGTTCCACCATGAAAGTACTTTCACCCNNCTTGAGCATGTTGTCGAATGCACCCATGCGTGTGAAAACGGCATCTAGGGGAGTCAGCCTTGCCTGCGAAGCAGGAACCCAGCTTCCTATCTGTGCCATGATGCTGATCAAGGCTACCGATCTCACATAGGATGACTTGCCGCCCATGTTTGGTCCTGTAATGAGAAGCGCTCTCTCCTTCGAAGACAGCTCAATGTCGTTTGGCACATACGAGTCAAGAAGAATTTGCTCAACCATCGGATGACGGCCTTCTCTAACCTCGATACGGACCTCATCACTGTCGGTAATGAACTCAGGCTTTGTGTATCCGGGTTGACTCGCAATGTCAGCTAGCGAGAGCAGACAGTCCAGAGTCGCTAGCGACTGGATGCAATCGCGGAAGGTCTGATATTTGGTACCAATCTCGGACAGCAGGTCGGCAAAGGCCGCGTCACATGCGTTGGCAAGAGCCTCCTTGAGTTGATCACGCTCGCGGATGAACTTGACAACTTCCGGCGTGTGGAAACGAGATACTTTCTTGGTTCCACTGATCTTGGCCCACGAAGCTGGCACCCTTTTTAGATGAATGTTTTCGATCTCGATCAGGAATTCGATGCCAGATACCGTCACATAGTTGACCTTGCCTGGCTTGTTAAGCGTCTTTGCAGCCTGGGTTCGATGTTCGTCCAGATCATGTTCGACACAGGCGATACCGACTTTATGGTCAGTGATCTCTTCAGTCTCATACTGGTCGCGGAAGAATGAGTACTTGTCGTCGTCCTTTGCCGCCTGGAGGTCGATCCTCTCGAGAAAAGAGATGACATCTTCTGATATAAGTGGCAAGGACGCAACAGCTTCTGCAAGTAACGGGGATTTGAACCCAGAATCTTCTGGGGTCTTGACATGAGCGTACTCGTTTGAGATAGTCTGCAACGTCTGAAGGACAGACACAAGCTCTGGGCGGGCGCACTTNTTGTAGTAAATTCTGATCAAAGACTTCTCCAAGTCACCCCTGACATGAGCGAGGAGGTTCTTGATGCGATCAGTAGGAATAGCTCGGTCACTGTCGAGGAGTTCTTCCACAGCACCAATGCGTATTTGCAGCTGTTGTTGATCGAGCAGCGGGCGACCCACCCACTTGCGAAGCAGACGCTGGCCAAAACGAGTCTGTGTTCGGTTCAGAATGAAGAAAAGGCTGCCCTTCTCAGTGTAATCCGTTTGGTTCTGGTAAATTTCCAGTGATGACAGAGTATTACCGTTGAGAAGCATATGAGACCGTGCGCTGAAAGATTGAAAGTTCTTGGTAAGGTCAAAGACATGTTCGAGACCATAGTCAGTCAGGTGAGTGATCATAGCCGAAAGACACATTGTGACAAGTTCAGACAGTTGGTGGACCTTGTCAAGCATCGCCGACTTCTCTTCCGACGCGTCATCCGACTGCATCTTACCAGCGTAGAAGTCGGAGATATGAGTGTATGCTTGAGCGGCAAAGGTCTTTGACTTTTCGGTGCGTTCTACACGTGCACGATCTCCAAAAACATTTGTTCTGCTACCGGAAAGATGTTCGACCAACTTCTCAGTCGCTTTGGACACAGAACCAACGATGAGAAATTCGCAGGGTGCAATATGAAGCAGCCGAGTTTCAAGCTCGCTTCGCATAAAGCCATCGTAGAAATCGTCGTAGATTATATCGCCTGTAGTTGGTTGAACAGCGACTATACCAAGGCGCACCTTCTCGTCAGTACCTGAACCTCCCGCATTGGTCTCAGTCAAACAGAGAAGATGGCCAGTTGCAGGNGCGCCACCAGCTGGAGCAGCCACAGGGCCGTCCAGACCTTCTACATCATCAATATAGGTACCCTTGGTATATAAGTTGGTAAGCTTGCGGATGAATGGAGTGTTGCGGTTGTCGCCAGCCTTCTTCAAAGCGGCTGTCTCTAGTTGACGTACAACGCCGACTTTGTGACCGGCAGAGACAAGACGCTTGACATGGACATGCAAACGATGGGTGGGAAAGCTTGCTCCGGCAAATCTGTCAAGATGTGCTTCGGAAGGGTGTTCATCGAACCTCATTTTNCCAGGCACACACATGATCTGCAGTTCTTTTGCAGCGATGCGAGCATCATCACCGAAGAAACGAAACTTGTAGCCAACTTCAACGGCCAGAAGCGTGTCCATGTGTTTCTTCTTGATGTCGATGACTTGCTTTTCCATGGGCGTGAGTTTGCTAGCAGACTTCCTCACAGCAGGGCCCTTTCTACCTTTGGCAGGTTTCTGAACCTCTTCCTCTTCCNNCTCATCTTGATCGTCATCACCCTCAGCTTGATCCTCGTCAATGAAATGATTACGACGCCTAATATCTGCTAGACTGTCAGGTCTGCCCAGCTTCTTTAGGAATGCTCGGTGCAAACGGTCTTTCTGCCTGCGAGCAGCGTCATCGTCTTGATGGCCATGAAGAGGTTGGTCGGGCTGGAAACTTGAGAAAATGTACTTTGCTGTCCGGTCGGAGACGCTTGAAGGCACATTGGTGATCGCGGTGCCGTATGATTGTGCTCCGCTTTCTGTATCGAGGGCGTCCTGACGGGTTCTCTTGGGGTTTGGCAATTCTTCCTCGTCGTCACTGAACTCTTCGAAGGGACGTTTTGGCTTGGGAGGACTGCTATTCAGCAATGCCTGTTCTGCGTCATTGTTGGTGGCAGGCGCTTTGGATAGCGATGATGTCTTGGCTGTGGATGGTGTAGGCGCGGTGGACTTCTTCGCAGCGGGTTGTTTAGGTGTGAAGAAGCTGGAGATAGATTGCTGTTTCTTAGCCGAGGATTGGGAAGGCGGCGGACTGCTTCTTCCAAAAGCCATGTTTATGCGACTGGACGACGAGTCTAGATTCTAGACGACTGTCGCGATGCAGCACGTCAATGGAATGCGTGGAACAAGTCCGTGCACCGAGCTCTTTCCGCGTTCAAGATTGCACTTTACGCGCCTCGCGTCGAACGCGCCTTCCTCGAGTCGCTCCTTCCCATCCTTTACACATCGAACATTGAACATTGCTCATATCATTTGCACCTTCTTCAATTCATAATATCATATTCACAGTCGCGAGTCAAGCGTCAGCGGCAATGTCAGCTTCAGTCCTAGGAAAACGTACCAGGAGCTCAACAAATGGTACGAACTAAGAGTACTTTACGCGTGCTCAGACGTTGACAGTATGAACAGCATCAGATAGCGGTATCCAGACCAGGGCGAAGCGCCGTGAGACATTGGTGCTAGGAAACGACGAGAACGACAATCCATTCTTCAAGCCAAATTCTTCTCCTGCAACACAACTGCAACCCACATCCACACCCTCGAAACGCCTAACCTCGTCACCGAATAAGATCAGTGCACATTTTTCCGTTTCGAAGACCACCAAATCATCTACTGTCGTCAAGTCAAGTCCACTTGCCACACCACAAACTCCACGACATCGCGATGCCCTTGCCTCAAAGATCACAATCACCCCAAGGCATCGCCATCTTATCACTAGCAGTCCCGAAACTCCTCGCAGTCCATACACTCCTTCAAGTGCTGCCAACAATGTATACAATCAAGCTCGTCAAATCTTCTCAAGATGTACAGATCCTGGGGTATTGGTTGGAAGAGAAGAAGAGAAGGAGCAACTGTGTACATTCATATCAGAACGCCTTGTCTCTAGCGAAGGCGGATGTCTCTACATCTCAGGACCACCAGGAACTGGANAAAGTGCTTTTGTTGGCCAAGTCTGTCAAGATCTTGCTTCAGACTCAGATCGTGAATTGACCATCTCGACCGTCAACTGTATGAGTATCAAAACGGCCAAAGACCTCGCCAACACTCTGTCAAAAGACCTGGATCTCAATAGCCGTTCTAAACGCGCTGCCGATCTAGACTACTTGCGCGACATCTTCTTCGAGCAAGATAAGAAGTACGTCGTCATCCTGGACGAAATCGACCGCCTTGTCGATCTGGACCTCAAACTGTTGTACAGCCTGTTCGAATGGTCCCTGGAGCCTTCGTCAAGTCTTATTCTTATTGGCATTGCTAACGCTCTTGATTTGACTGACCGTTTCCTGCCTCGCCTCAAGTCACGTAATCTCAAGCCGGATCTGCTGCCGTTCATGCCATACACCGCTCCTCAAATTGCCAATATCATCACTTCGAAACTCAAGGGCTTGGACACTTCATTGACAGACCCAAACTTCATTCCATTCTTACACCCTGCAGCAATTCAGTTCTGCTCCAAGAAGGTCGCATCTCAAACCGGTGATCTCAGAAAAGCCTTCGATATCTGCAAGAGAGCTGTCGACATGATCGAGTCGGAGACGAAGATCGAGCAAGCACGTATTCGCCTTCAAGACAGCCCGTCCAAGACGCCATTGAAGGAGAATCTGAACCTGGCTTCTCCTGCTATCAAGTTGGCAGCCTTCCAGAAGTCGGCTCTCAAGGACCCTCGCCAGACTACTCTCTTTCCTTCTATCAGTCATTTGACGCTTGAGACTGCGCCGAGAGCGACAATCGCCCACGTTGCCAAAGTCACAGCCGCCGTGTTTAGCAATGGAGCATCTCAACGTCTAGCATCTCTTAACCTACAGCAGAAGGCTGTGCTATGTGCACTATCGGCGCTCGAGAAGAAGAAGCGCGAGGCACCCAGCGTGGTGACTTTCCCAATGACACCTTCAAAGCATGCGAACACCGCACCTACCATCAAGCAGCTGTATGAAGCCTATTGCACGCTGTGCAGCCGCGAGAATTTGCTTCACGCTTTGACCAGCATCGAGTTCAGAGACGTGGTCAGTGGTTTAGAGACACTATCGCTATTATCTGCTGTTGAAGCCAAGGGTGCTTCGTCATTCTCGATGCCTTTGACGCCCTCTCGTACACCCAGCAGGAAGTCCAAGTCTGGATTCACCGGTGCAGCAATGGGTGACGATAGAAGAATGGCTGCTTGTGTTGGCCATGCCGAGCTGATCTCTGCTCTGAAAGGACCTGGCAGTGACATTCTCAAGGAAATGATTGAAGGTGATGGAATCGTGGCATGATTGTGTTTTTACTATTTCTGTTTTTGTTTGTTTTGGCATGTTTACATGTCTTGTTTTTATCATTGTTGCTTGTTTCTCATTCTTAGCATTAGCGATTGCATGGCGAAGCCTAAGGGCTGGATGTTTATTTCTCATGGGTTGCTTGTTATGGTTTAGAAGGAACGAGAAGGGATACTTTAGCTGGACTGAAGAAGGGAGGGACTAGCTGGACTGGCTTCTTGTTATATCACGATGAGAAACAGATAGATAGAGTAGAAAGCTCTCAGAGTATATGAGAACGAATCAAAGAAACAAATCTTGATAATCGATTTCCAAGTCTGTGTGATGTGTCTGTTCCCCTCCACAAATCGAGTCTTGAGAGATACGAGGTCTATAAAGTTTGTCACTTGGAGAGAGTTGATGCTTCACTACAGCTTTCAACTGTGACCTCTCGTACCAGAAACGAGAGTGTCTTTCCATTGTGAAACAAACATGTCTTCCAGAGGTGGAACTTGACGCAAGGAGATTGGAAAGAGGTAATTCTGAGCTTTCCAAAAGTTGGATGGGTATGGGTGTAATACAAAGGACGACGCTTATGTACGATTGAGGAAAAACAAGGTAAGAAAAGAAGAAGCAAGCCAGCACCCCTCCTCTACCACTCAGGGTTGACATTCAAAGCAGGCACCCTCTTCTTNTTCGGCACTCTTCTCGCAGCCTTGAGTTCCTTGTCGTAAGCTTTGTCGTCCTCTGGACTCAACAAGGTACCCTCGATACTCAAAAATCCTCTTTCGCGGTCTGTACTAGGCGCCGATTCGAAATCCTTGACTGTGAATTTGATCTTTCCTTCAATCTTCTTGCCGGTTTCGTCAACGTAGTAGCCACTGCTTTCGTCACTCTTGTTGCGCAGGCCTCTCATCCAGTCTGTTGCGCTCTTGGTGCCGGCATTAGCGTTGTGGTTGGGCACCCATTTCCAGCCCGAGGGAATGCGTTTGCGGTCCACGCCTGCGTTGAAAAAGTTCCAGCAGACCAGACCGAGGTAGCTTTCGTTTTGGAGGCTTACGAAGCCTTCGATGACGGCGCCGGGNGTGGGGCGCAACAGCGTAAAGTCGACGGTCAGCCATACAAACGAGACTGCGTATTCGTCGATTGATTTTGCGAGGACGGTGGGAGAGGCATCGGGGCCGTCGCGTGAGGAAGGCGCGTCAGCGGGGTTGTTTGAGAGGCGTGGGTTGTCGTAGGAAAGGATTACGCCGCGAAGAGGTGGGTGGTAGGTGAGCAAGAGAGGAGAAATGTGTTCGGCGCAGAGACCATCGACAGGGAAAGCGTGGTAGATTGGCGACAGAGGAAGATAGAAGGAAGATGTTTGCTTGACAAAAGGGGATGTGCTGCTGGTTGCTACATCTGCAGCTTCTGGCGATGCGATGCGCGGACGCTTTGGTAGGCTCTCAATTGTCGTCTCTGATGCTTCTGCTGTTGCTGGTGTAGCTGCTGTGGCTTGTTCGTCGTGTCGTCGCTTCTTTGCCGACTTGTCGTCCTTTGTCTTTTTCGTCTTTGCCGATTTCGGTGTGTTTGCCATGTTTTCTGTTGACATTGTGTAGGTTGTGTTGGACAGCAACTGTGATCCTATACAGAGATCAAAAAAATGTCGGCTTCACATTTCTAAGAAGGTTTATGCGCAGACGCGATTTCGTCTGTGCACGTCCTGCCAGACCCCGGAGATCAAGTCCCCTTTGGAACCATGACTTTTGTCAAGCTTTCGTTACACCAACAACGAGTACACATCGCCAAACTATCGAGCACCCTCGCTCGCAATTCACCTCAGACGCAATCATGTCTGATAATTTGCTTTCTCTAGCTGGTTGGTATATCCTGCCCAACGTAAGTTCTGTATCTCTTTTCCATTCCTTCTCACCATCAATTTCACGCAAAATCAATATGGAACAACATCCCTTGGAAGCAATAGAGTCACTGAGCTTGACCATAACATATTCACTATGCTCGAAGTTTGGATTCTACCTCTTTGATCTTGTCAGACTTGTCTTTTGTGTAAAAGTTGGCATAAGAAAAATGGCTGATTATTATCTTATAGCTGGTCACAGGATGGGTTCAATCAGCCTTCTATGCCATCTGGATACGCGCTGGTGATCCCAGACCTCAACCCGGAACCAGAACCTTCGTACAGCATCGTCGAAGAATAAACATCATAGTCATTGTGGCCTATCTGCTCTACACAATCTACGAAGCCGACTTTCAACTCCGCATGGCTGGAAACTTTTACCAAGACCTTGGTGTAGGACTGGCAGTCGACGAACGAGGAATCAACAGTCGTTTCAGAAGATTGTATGTTTTGGATCCTACCTCAGTTTCTTTCGGTTTGGATATGCTGACAGTAGTCGAAAAGANNACCCTGCTTCATCACCCAGACAAAGTATCTTCGGATTCAGACCGCAGCACTGCAGAAGCCTACTACGTACATCTCAAACTCTGCCGTGACATCCTCATCGACCCAACAAGACGCTTCGCCTACGATCGCCTCGGTCCCGAAACCCTTTTCTGGCAAAAATCAACCACGATCCCTGATTTCCTCTCCGTGGGGCTCAGACACATCTTCATGTACTATCTCGGTACTGCTGGTGTATTAACTCTTCTCGGCTTCTTGGGCTACATCAAACAAGCTGCTTTCTGGCGCTTTCTTGCCTTGGCAGCTTTGGGCATTTTCGAAGTTCATTGCCTTACAAACCAAACTTTTCCTCGCCTCCTAACCCAACTCGCAAATCCGGTGTTTGCCATCATCCCACACCATCCTGCTTTCCTTCCCTTCCAACTAATTTCTCTGTTGCGCAAACTGGTCTTGACGGCTTTCATCGCCTTTTCTCAAATCGGACCTTTGTTGTCCTCGCCCGAAGCCGCTGCGGCGCAAACAGACCAAACCGATCAAGTATCTCAACAGCAATTACAGAGATTAGGTGCTTTAGGACAAGCATTGGAGAATGAAGCTAATATGCTCATGGGATTGGAGATGACGCCGTTTGCAAACGACGAAGGTGCGATGAGGGAAATGAGAGGCAGGATGAAGAGGTTTTTGGTCGATAACACCGTGAGGAGTAATGCAGAGGTTAGGAATGCGATGGGTGAGGCTATTGCAAGGAGGAGGCAGGGTGTGCCGCATGGTGCTGTGGGTGCTAGGTAGATTTTTTACTTTGCTCAACGAATTTTGGTAGCAAATGATAAAGAGGGCTTTCCAATCACGATAGCACATGCATAAGGATTGGTGAACAGAACACCACTCAAGAACAGATGTAATCTGAAAACAACAAACAAACCAATTGGAAACGGCGAAATTTGATAGATCTTCTATGCTAAAAGGACAATGCTACTCTACAACTCTTCATGCTCAATAGGCTTTTCTTGCTCCTCAACCACAACAGAAGGACTAGCAGAAGCAGACTCTGAGGCTGTAGACGCCTCACTGCTCGACTTCACCTTCTTACTCTTAGTAGCCTTAGGTTTCTTGGAGCTGCTACTACTAGAGCTGCGCTTAGGCATCTGCATCTTCTTAGTCACCATATCCATCAAAGCCTTGTTGAGCTCCTTGGCCTTGGCTTCAATCTCCTTGATTGTGAAAGCGGGGTCCTCAAAGGCTTGGAGTTTGTCTTGCTCGGCCATCTTGGTCTTGACCCATTCGGCAACGCTGTCGTAGACTTTGGTGATGGAAGTGAGGTCTTCTTCGGTGTAGGGCATCAAGGCAGGTGTCTCGCTGGCCTTGGCTGATGAGGAAGTTGATGAAGCATCAGGCTCTTCGAGGTCGTCCAGGTCGTCAGCAGAGCTGGGGCTGGGACTGGCCTCGGCAGTCGTAGTGCTCGACAACGCAACCTCGGAGGCGGATGAGATGGAAGCGGCAATCTGCTTGCCAATGGCGTCAACCATTGACTTGGTCTGGTCAAGCGAGCTCTGCAGTGACTTGAGGATCTCGGGACGTGCTGCAGCTTCTTCTCTACGCTTCTGAACAGGGTCGACGATAGCCTTGAGGTCGTTAAGCTTGCTCTTGAAAGCCTCGGCCTTGGCGGAAGAGCCTTCGCCATACAACCAGTCGCTAGTGCTGCTGAGCAGAGAAGTCAACTGAGTTCTGACAGCCTCGGTCGAAGCACCGATGAAGTCGGAGTTCTCAAGAAGATCTCTGGTGCGGTAGGTGTAAGCCTCGAGAACGTTCAAGGCCTCTTCTCTCTGGATGCGAGACATGTCTGAACGGTCAAAGGCAGCGAGACGCTCCTTCATGCGCTTGATCTCTTCAGGTGCGGGCTGAGGAAGACCCTTGACAACAGTGGTAAGCTTGACAGGGATAGTCTCAGTGCGCTTCTTCTTGGTGTCGGCTTCAGGAGCGGCAGAACCACTTGACTTGGCGTTGGCGGTACTGGAGGAAGAGCTGGCGGATGATGAGCTAGATTCTTTCACAGTCTCAACTTCCTCATCTTCGATAAGAGGCTCTTGGTCGCCCTTCTTGGACCCAAATCCGAAGAGACCCTTGACTGAATCACCAAGACCAGCACCCTTACCGCCCTCGACTTCGCAGCTGACAGAAGCAGCAACAATCTCAGGAATACTGTCAACGGGGCTGATACGGAGCTTGAGCTTGGTCGAAATCTCGTCCTTAGCACATCCGAACTTGGTGGTCAAGGCCTCAACAGAAGCGGTCAAGTTCTGGGTCTGAACTTCGGTGACCTGGCGATCAACGCTGCCAACAGTCTGGAAGATGTTGAAGGTGAAGTCGTCAAGGTTCTTGAGGGTAATCTCTTTAGCAGATCCGGCTTGGGATGTAGGAACGAACAGCTTCTGCTGTCTCTCCTTGCCGTCCGAAGGATACTTGATGCCTGCGGGATAGACAGCGGCTTCAAGGTCTCTGATCTCCTTAACGCGGAAGCTAGGGCTGAGTCCAGCAGCCTTGAAGGCGGCACCGAAAGCGGCTGATTCATCGGAGTTGACGTTGCTACGGACTTCGGTGTTCTTGCCAGTCATGGATTCGAGCTTCTTCTGAACAAATGGTGTTCTAATGGCTCCGCCGTGAAGAATGACAGAGTCAAGGTCCTTGAAAGACAGCTTGGCAGCATCCAGAGCCTGTTGAACAGGGGCCTGAATACGGTCAGCGTGGGAGGCAGCCATCTTCTCGAAATCGGCTCTGGTGAGCTTGGTGGCAAAGTCGATGTCCTTGTACAGGCCCTCGAAGCTTGATCTAACGTCAGAGTTGGCACTGAGAACCTGTCTTGCGCGCTCGGCTTCACGCCAAATCTTGGAAGCAGTTCTACCGTGGCTCTTGACTTCTTCGGCAGTGATGCCAGCCTTGACGGCCTGAGGCTTAGCCACAAAGCTGTCGACAAGGTAGTCGACAATAAGTGCATTGAGCTCGTCTCCTCCGAGAGTCTTGTCCCAGCCAGCACCCATAACGGCGACCTCCTGAATAGTCTTGTTGAAGCGACCAATGTCCTTGACGTCCTTGGACTGGAATCTGAGGACAGTGGCAGTTGTCGAACCGGCACCCATGTCGAAGACCATGTGGTATTCTGGCTTCTCACCCTTGCTGACGCTAGGGAAGGTGCGCTTGACGGAGTAATCAATGCCAACAGCCAGTCCGTCGCTAACGAGACTCATGATGTTGATACCAGCCAGATCAGCGGCACGTTCGATGGCACGTCTCTCATCAGCAGTCCAATGGACAGGAACAGTGATGACAGCATCTGTGACAGAGGCTCCCTTACCACCAGACATGGCCTCGGCGTTTGTGCGAATGTTCTTGAGCTCCATGGCCAGCAGCTCGTCGAGGCTCCATGGGGCTTCAGATGAGCTGAAGGCACTGGGCACGAATGAGACTGATCCCTCCTCTTGCTCAAACTTTGACTTGATTTCGGGATGGCGTGCGTGGTAGTTCTTGATCATAGAATCGGCGTGTTCGCCAGGGACGAGGCCGAGGAGGGTCTTGAGGTTGGTGAAGACATCGCCAGGGAAGCGACCACCGAGGGCCAGAGCGTCTCCGCCGTACAGTCTTTCTGGGTATGAGCCAAACTCGAGAGCGGAACCAGATACAGGCTTGAATCCAACAACAGCGGCTTCTTTGCGTTTTGAGTCTTTGGTGGGAACGATATCGAGGGGTACTCCAGGCTTTACGATTGCTGCTTTGATGTATGCACCGCCGAGATCAATTCCTAGCACTGCCGAAGCTGCTGATGCCGTCGAGGTAAATGCGACAAACAGAAAGGCGAACAGCATAAAGGGNTGGGTTATGCCTCCCATCCTAGCCATGATTGAGAGGAATATAAAATAGTCGTTAGGTAGCTCCTTGAATATGATTTAGGAGCTCAGTTGACGGGTTGTAGGGAGGAACTCGGTCGAAGTCTAGTTCGGGACAGCATTCGACATGACTCTTGCTAAAGTGACAGGTGTTTGGATGACTCTTCTATCACCAACTTTTTGAAACGTGTACTGCCACTTGTCTTCCCCGAGCTGTCGCTACTTTCGCCGCAATCCGTACTCCGTCACTTTCTTGGCAAGGACGGAATGCACAGACCACGACCACGGCAATAGCCGTCCACACACGCGAAGCCGCCAAGCATGCGAGTGCGAAATTTGGCCAGATACTCACGCTCAAGCCTGAAGATTCTCGATTCCCCAGTCGACGCCTTTTTTCCTTCGCCCTCGCCCATTTACAGAAGAAGCTATCTCAGCTCATCACACAAGACTTCACAATGGAATCCGCCAAGGTCCCCGTCAAGCTCGTCAAGGTCACCCGCGTCCTCGGCCGTACCGGTACGTCCTCGCAGAAGAGAAGAACGACAATCCTCCATCGCTCGCCGCATCGAAAGAGTCTACTGGAAAGAGGAGGATCGCGCACATGGGAAAAGACACATTGAACGACTCGGGCACGGCTATGGAGGATTGCACAATCTGCAGAACAAATTGCTGACGGTTTTCTNNTGCGACACAGGCTCTCGCGGTGGTGTTACCCAGGTTCGCGTTGAGTTCATGGACGACACTACCCGTTCCATCATCCGTAACGTCAAGGGTCCCGGTACGACTATCTCGCCTTGATCGCCGCTATGCGAGCATATTCAAAGACTAACACCACATCTTCAGNTCCGTGAGGACGACATCCTCTGCCTGCTCGAGTCCGAGCGTGAGGCCCGCCGTCTCCGATAAGCGACCAACGCATCGCCCCCTTCCAAAACCGTCAACCGCAACACTTTCTATTCCGAAGATCGATCGACTGTTCCACCCTCTCGTCGATGTTTACTTCTCTCACCTCAACCCTCTTCTATGATACCGCTGGCTTGGGGAGATGTTGAAGGGGAGTCTCGTTGCGGGCGCAAAAGTGCAAAGTTCTCTGATTACGATGATGTCGCCTAGGGGTCTTTTATGATGGGTCGGGAGCTGCTGCGTAGTTTCTTCTAGCAAGGAGCCGGACAAGAAAAAAAGGAAATACGAAAACAAAAAGCTTCGACGACAATTCATATCTTCCTCTTTTTCCACCTGGGCAGTCAAGTTCTGCGCGTATGTTGTGCTGACAGGAAAGGATGATTTTATGCGATACAAAAGTCTTGGGCGTTCTGGTCTGATCTGGTCTTGGTAGGCAATTTATTCTCGTTTCTTCCTAACACTGTCCAACTATCACATCAACATCTGCTCGAACAAGGCATATATCGACCGCAAAGACCGAGGCATCGGCGCGTTCTAGTACGGGTTTCCGTCATCAGGTCTGCACCCGAAAGCCTCACAACACCACCTGGACTGCGACTCGATTCTCAACAACTGCTCACGACTATCGGTTTTATCAAACATGCTATCCACAGCCAAATGCCTTGATCGTTATGTTCTGTTGTTTCTGATTTCTCTTATATTGATCACAGCAGCGACAAGTATGTCGCGTGTAACCCAAGGTAGGTCAGCTATTGGCAGTGTTGCTAAGTCAGCACTCCTTAGTAAGCTGTTCACGTGCTCATCCACCCTCCATCAAGTTTGAATCAATCTTTGGAAACTAGGATATTATTATTTTTGGACCTGCAGGTCTTTTTTTTTCATCTGTTACTCTGGCTTTAAGCTGGGTGCCGAAGAAGAAATGAGAAGTTGGTATCGCCCCTATATGCCCATCGTCTCATATGTGGTTGTAGTACAAGCATACTGCCAGTTGACCTTTCTGGTCTGCCTCCTAGCCTATAATTTGCTATCGCGCGCGACAAAGCTCTGTCCTCTCTTCAACATATCAACAGCCTCCCTAACCATATCTTCAACGATGTCCTTCGCAGGCTTGATGTCGCCGATCACTCCAGCTACTGTTCCCATCAGGTATGGCAGATCGACATCTTTGTCGTCGTCCATGTCTTTCTGCATCGGTACGATACCTTGCTCAGTTAGCCGCTTGATATCCTCCGGTCTGTCTTCCCAAGACTGGATGTAGTCGTTCATGCGAACGCGAAGTGGCCGACCGCTGACGACTAACGTGCGCAATGTGTCCTCGAATCTGGCCGATACCACCGCCTCTTTATGCAGTTTCGAGCATCCGGCTTCGACACTTGCAACAAATCTTTGATCATATGGTTAGCTCCTGGCACTTCTGGTGGCTTGACAGTCTCCTTACCTCGTTCCTACCCATACGCCAGCAGCTCCTTGCATCAAACTGGATGCCAGAGAACGGCCATTGTATATGCCCCCTGCTGCTACCACCAAAGCAGGCTCACCAGTTAGTGGACTCTTGTACCTGCTGGCCGTATCCACAACAGCTGGAATCAAGATATTGCCAGGGATGTCTCCTGTATGGCCTCCGCCCTCACCACCTTGCGCGCAGACACAATCAACACCAGCCTCTAGTGCTTTGATTGCATGTTTAGGATGCCCGACCATATTCATGACCAAGATACCATTCTCGTGCAAGCGGTCGATGACCCGTTTCGGCGGCACACCCACGGCACTGATAAAGAGCTTCGCACGTTCTTCGATCACCACATCAATCAGTTGATCCAGTTGTCCATGCGTATAGTCATGATTGGTCTTTCGCGCCGAGCCACCTACTTGTGGCAAGGCGAGGTCAACACCAAAAGGTAGATCTGGAGAGGCAAGATGTGATTTCAGATCCGTAATGATATCACGAAGTTGCTGGGGATTGTATCCTAGACCGCCGATTGTGCCTAGCCCTCCTGCGTTGGAGACGGCGGCGGCGAGAGGACCGGATGATGTGCGAGCCATGCCTGCAAGTAAGATTGGGTATTTTATGCCGAGCAGGGTGGTCAGAGGTGTGGTGAGCGTAGGCATAGTCATGGTGTGTTTTTGGTTCTTGTTGAGGATCTGAGGTGAGTTCGATTATGTACCTATCAAGTTGTCTTCTACTTCGATATGAAAATTATACATGGCGGCTATGCCGGTCTGGAAGGAGGTCAAGTGATGCGGAGAGAGAGGTTGGAGTGGGGGATTGTGCCGAGGCTCACCAGCGATGATCGTCAACTGGACTTGCTGCTCCTTCCTCCTTCGCATCCTTCTGCATTGAGCTCATCCGACAGTCTTCTGTAGATTGCTGACTGCACATTTCTTTCAAAGGAACCGTTAACTATGCGTGCTTCACTCTACGAGCCGCCGCTGCAGCCGGCAGACCAATGGTATGCCGAGTGGCTGGTGCCACATGCGTAGGTATCTCAGCTGCAGTAAGCAGTATGAGAAGGATTGAATCCGAGAGCCATAAAAATGGCCAGAGCCCCTCTTGGTTTCTGGCCAGCATCAAGATCGTCTCCACACTTAGAAGATGGCAGCAGTACAGACTCCTATCTTTCCAACAACCGTAATCACCAGCGACCAGCTCAAGGGCAGCTTACCCAATGCCACGATCGACGAAAATGTCGATTGCACTGCAATAGCCACCTCATGTATTGCTCGCCTCGAAAACCTGCAGCAAAGCGACCTGACCGACGATGCGATATGGAGAGATTCTCTCAGCATTACTGAACATCAACGAACATTCAACACTGCAACTTCCATCATCGCAGTCTGGAATGAGCTGAAGGCTAAATGTCAACCTCATAACTTCAAACTCGTACCACACACTGCACATGTCTTCAGATTGGGACCTCGGCCAGTTTGGCTCACTGCTGCTTTTCGGTTCGAGACTAAAGGCGCTCATGCTGCCGAATGTTCGGGCCTGTTGAACATGGTCCCGGACGAAAACGGTCACTATAGGATCTGGGTCTTCGGCACAATGATCGAGGAACTCAAGGATTTTGGAAACCCAGACAGCTTCCCTGACCCAAAGTTCACACCAGCTGCAGACCTCGAAGATGGCGGCGAGATTGATTGTATCATTGTCGGAGGCGGGATGGCTGGCCTCTGCGCAGCAGGTAGACTGCACGCACTGCGCGTTCCCTATCTCGTCGTCGAACGCAATGCTTCCGTTGGCGACAACTGGACTAAACGATACGACTCCATCCATCTGCACCTCTCGAACAGTTACAGCGAGATGCCATTTCAACGTGTGTACACTGACAAGCCATACAATCTCGGCAGTCGAGACTTGGCCGAAGGTATGCAAAATTACGTGGACATGCACAACATTCAGATTTGGCTATCAAGTTCGGTGGACCAAGCACGCTGGGACGAAGACACCAAGAGCTGGAATGTAACTGTGAGCAAAAAAGGACAACTTCAGAGACTCAAAGCAAAACACCTCGTCATGGCCATTGGAGGCGGCTTAGACGTACCCAGATATCCTGAGGAATATGCCAACCGTGACGAATATCAGGGCACCGTATTGCACTCAATCGACTGGAAGAACGCAAACAGCTTTACAGGCAAGAAAAGCATCATCATCGGCTCCGCCAACAGCGCCATCGACATAGCTCAAAACATGGTCGACAGCAACATGTCAGAGATAACCATAGTCCAACGCAGCACCACCCACGTTGTATCGACCAACGTCTTCTATCCCTTGATCGATCCCCTCTACAATCCACAAATGGATTTAGGGCTTTCGGACAGATTGATGATGACACAGCCCTACGCAGTAGGTAGATTGATGATCATTGCAGGCGCAACAGCTCTCCTAACCCAAAACCAACACCACTACGACTTCCTCCGAGACACAGGTTTCAAACTCCACGAAAGTCCAGATCTGTTCGCTCAACCTCTCGAAAGATTCGGCGGTCACATTCTTGATCATGGATTTATGTCTTCGGTCTTCAAGTCTGGANAAGGTATGTGTTTTTCTTCAGCAAACTTATTCAAAACCGAAAAAACTGACAATGCCCATCCCGAAAAACAGGTCAAAGTCAAATCAGGCATCTTACCTACCTCCTTCACAAAAACCGGTCTCCGCTTCCAAGATGGCACACAAGTAGATGCAGACGTAATAGTCTACGCCACAGGCTTCAGAAGCAACCTCCGCTCAAGCGTAACCTCAATAATCGGCTCTTCTACCGCCGCCCACCTCGACGATTTCTTCGGTCTCGATGCCGAAGGAGAAATCAGAGGATTGGCTAAACCCATTGGTCGTAAGTGTTTGCATCTCAAACAGTTAGGATGGGATTGATGCGCTGACACGAACTCAAAAACTAGATNNCCTGGGATTTGGTATTTTGGAGGTGGGACCGCGAATGCTAGGTTTACTTCTAGAGTGCTGGCTATGCAGATTGCTGCTGATGTTAGGGGTAAGCCGTTTGTGCCTTATACCGCTTCACCGTAGGGAAGTTTTGAAGGGTTGACAAAGAGATGCAAAACCATCCTTATGGTGCTCTCATAGATCATCTCTATGGTCTTTGGAATCATTTTGCACTGTCGTGGTATCTCATACAACCCATCATTACACAGCCTGGGTTATCTCAAGTGACACAAAGTACCAAAACAAGCATGCAAGAATCTGATGCACACCTACGAACTCCTACTACCGTTATATATCGAGCCAAGCTCATCGTCTCGCACAGGTTTACTGTTGCTCACACTCTGGTTTGCTGAGAGTTCGATGGTAAGGGGGTTCAATATACAAGCAGGGTCATCCATCCAGCAACGATGACTCGGTCTCATTCGCTCAATTAAACAGCATTGATAGCTGTTACAAAACATGATGTTGCTCGAAGCTATACTGATTTGGAACTTAGACACTCTGGCCAGACTACTGAGTTGGTGTGTCAATCCACACCTCCCCCGTGTACTAAAGTATGTAACGCGTAATAGCTATAGAAATGCACAATAGTAATAGGAAACAAGACAGTATCCACTGAGAGGCGATAGATCGTCAACTCTCTGTGGATATGCCTCTACTCTCGAAACAATTGTGTCTTTTTATAGTCTATATGTTGCTGTCGGTTACAATCGGAGTGCGGTGGAAGTTACAAACTTTAGTACACGGGGAGGCAATGTTGCCAGTCTCGAAGCAAAATCAAAATCCTGAAGGGACAATCACAGATATGACCAATCTATCGCTGACAGCAAAAGTTCAAAGAAAGCAAGAGCATCATTGTGATTGGTATCTAGGTACAAGCAATACTACCGCCTCATTTTGCGGGTTCGTTATTCACACTTTTTGTCTCGATGTCGTCTTCGTCGTGAGCAATTAAGTCGATCTTCTCGCCTCCGCTCAATTGTGCATGCTTAAACGCAGCATCTCAGCCTCGGGAACCATGGTGAAGCAAGTCTTCATCGACCTGGCGATGGTCTTCGCAGGGTGGTAGTCAGTAGCTCTGCCGACATTTTTGCGGCTTCTGGGAGCTCTTGTAGGAATGGCAACGGCCTTGCGAGGCACATGCAGCACATCTTTGCCGTTAGGAGCATCCACAACGCATGCAGGGTATTGATCGCAGGCAGTATGCATGCTGATATCCGAAACATTCCTCAAGGAGCCACGACAAGGCGGTGGAGTGTCTGAAGAGCCGTCAAGCATGGCAACACCACGTCCAATCAGTTCAGGGACGATAGCATTGGCAATCTCTCTGACTTGGTCGCTCGGGAGTCTTGTCATCTGAGTCTGCTGGATACCAGACTGGGGTGCATGAATGGAGTCCGATAGAGGAGCTCCAAAAGTGTAGCCTGACGAGAAGTCTGAAGATGCAGTCAAGTCATTAAAATCGAGGTGATCGTTATCGGTGAAGACCTGATCGAAAGTCTGAAGAGGTGCTGTGCTTGATGTATAAGAGAATGGCACAACACCAGAGGTAGTCACGGAAGGCGGAACGATGAATTTACTGTCCTCAGAGCTGGTGCTCTCATCATTGACAGGATAAGACATGTGAGGTACATGGCCATATCCGAAAGTATCCTCTGACTTGATGAAGAGTCGAGGATCTGGCCACGCAACGCCGGCCTTGCGCAGAAGATCNTGATTATTGTATGTCAGTAAGATTGGTACAGCAAGAACATGTCACTCACTCTGAGGAGCGTGAATCCATTTGAAGGTGACGATGTCTTTGACAGGACAGAAGTGATGTTTGCCAGTGCCAACTGCTTCGTAGAAGTAACCTTCAGACAAGCAAACTGTGATACGTCCAACGTTATTGGCAATGTGGAGCTGGAGCTGGTCACGCATGGTTCGGTGGAAAGGAGGAAAGAGCAATCTGCTAGTTGCCGAGTGGAAGACCTGGTGAGGAAAGTTGCCATCCGGATTGATCTTCTGGACNTCTGTAAGTTGTTAGTACTGCCCAGGCTATAATACTGGACTGGTCAAGCGGATAACTGACGCAACTGTCTTGCCATCAATGGCAACATGCATTGCCAGAATGATACGATTGCCTCTCACAATCTGAGGAGACGAGATGACTGGCTTGGACCACGCGTGTAACGAGATCTTGAAGGGGNNAGTTCCGCGAGGCAACGAAGGAATGTAAGCGTTGAGAGTTGGTGACAGGCCAATTGCNTAGCAATACTTATCAGTATTGATTCTTCAGCAGAAGATAATGGCAGACGTACGAGTAACAATGCCGAAGCATTCAGTGCGAAACTCCTGAATGGGTGTGCCGGACACCTGCGGGAAGAGCAGGATATCCCAGTTTTCGAAGCGCATGATGAAAGAATCAAAGTGATACGCTATCGATGCTTTGAGGCTTGTCGAAAAGTAGATTCGACGCGCGAATCAATACGACAGAGTTGGTTGTTGAGATGATGATGAATAAGATGAGCAGGAGAGAGCTACTAATGTCAACAAAGGTGCATGACCCAACGTGGCTGTTAGGGAAGGAGCGACCCAATACCAAAGCCTCGACCAGCAAAGAGATTTGACTTTGTTCCTTCCATCCATATCAGACATGCTCTTATCTGTTGTTTTTGTCGAGGAGTCTGTTGAATTTATTGGGCTCGACGAATTGCCTCGACGGAAATACTGATGAAGAAGCTTCTGCGTCGATGTACCTTCTATAGCTTGACTGACCCGTCACTTCTGGCGCGTTTTTTCTTCACTCAGCTTGCACTGAGGCGTGAATGGCTTGCAACTAGATATTTCACCGTTCGTGGAGGGCGTAAGACTAAGGTGGTCCGAGGCATTGACTGAATGGTAGATATACCCTTCTGCAACCCAGCTCTATTCTCTCGTTACCCCTTCACTGAGCTCGCACTTCCTCGTCACCTGCTTAACACTGGCTCAGCTGGGTATTCTTTATGTTGCCCACGCTCGATTCTATGTTACTCACATGGTAATTAGCCATGAGCCACTGAAGTCAAGTTCTATTGCCTAGAAGTGGTCTAGCTGCAGTGTTGATGATCAAGTTTTTGTGTCGAAGTTGCCGTTCGTCCATATGTCGTCGCTACGGCATTACGATCAGCTCTTGAGACTAGATCGAGGCCTTTCAATGGGTCTGTCACGCGCTGTCCGAAGCACATACGAGCGATATTGGTTTCCTTCAGGAAATGTCAAGATAAGTGGTTCGTTGATCCGTGGCTATGCGCTTGAGTCAACTGTCTATTGAACAGACCTTCAGCTACATAACTCGACCAATTGCTGTCTACGACTCGTAAGCAAAAATGCAAGACGAACTTCTTCAATAGTGCATATACCTCAGATGCCTCCTGACAGTGCATTGAACGCCATAACAAGTGGTATTATCATATCTCAAAGTCGTTGACCACATTCAATAGAGATCGTACAGAAACATTGAAGAATCAGAACTCATACCATTTTGGCCCTCCTTTTGGGTAGTAAGAAACTGGAAAACGCAAGGGTAATAGTAAACGAGCAAATAACTACATTGATGTTGGTCATCAAGGCGAAGCATAGACATTCCTATGCTTGCGCCATCAACGAACCAAGAAAGAATAAGAGAAATAAGAAATAGGAAAGACTGAACCAGGCCAACGTCGAGTTCAGAGAGCTTGCAACTTTTAAAAAAGAGCCCCATCCATCCTTCGCCGCATGACTGTGTTGAATTCGTGTGATTGCTGAAAGGACTGACGCCGAGAGGGGGAAAAAGAACAAGGAGGTCGTGAGGGGGCATGCAATAAGCAGGATAGATTCGTCGAAGTAAAGCCAGTCACATGAACCTGTCCAACTCCCGCTAAAAAACCACTCAAGGCTCAAGGAAAAACTGCTTACTGTTGATGGTTAGAGGCATCTGGCGACCAGAATTGCTGTTGCTGCTGTTGCTGTCCACTCACTTTCATGGGGGCGAAGCCACCGTAAGGGTGCTGAGGAGGCATACCCATGGAAGGGTAAACTGGTGGTGGGGGAGCAGGGCGGTAAGGAGTGCCAGCAGGGCCAGAGTTGTTCTGGCTGCGACCCCAGCTGAGGCGGACACGCGAGTTACCGATGGGGTAGCCCTGCATCTGGTTGATGGCCATCTCAGCAGCGTGACGCTGAACGAACTGGACGAAACCGCAGCCCTTGCCGGGAGGGATCTTGACGTATGTGATTTCCCCGAAGCCCTGGAAGAAGGAGCGGAGCTCATCCTCGGTGACGTAGCCACTAAGACCGCCAACGAAAACGGTGGTGTTGTTAGGATCGGTGAACTGGTTCATGGGCTGAGGAGCACCGTAGAAACCAAGAGGAGGGGCGCCCATGCCGTACATGCCAACGGGACCGCCGGGCATACCACCCATGCCGCCAGGACCGGCGTGCTGGTTCTTGTTCTTAGGAGTAGCAGTGCTGATGCGCATGGGTCTGTTACCGCAGTAAACGCCCTGCATCTCGGTAAGGGCACGCTGTTGGTCTGCCTCATCGGAGAAGCGGACGAAACCGTAGCCGCGAGAAAGGCCGCTAATTGGGTCCGACATAATCTTGGCTGACTTGCAGCTGGGGAAGCGGTTCTGGAAGATGCTGACGAGGACGTACTCGTTGACCTCAGGGCCGAGATCGCCAACGAAAATGGAGTACTCTGGGCCACGGTCGTCACGGCTGCGGTCAGCAAGACCACCACCCGAAGCCCAGTTGAGCTTGAAGGGGCGGTTTGAGTTGGGGATGAGAGTGCCGTTAAGCTGAAGAGCCTTGGTGGCAGCGTCGGGAGATTCAAAGTCGACGAAGCAGTATCCAGCATTACTTCTAGCCGAGTATGGTTAGCATTCCATCCTTTCCAAGGTGTGTTCAGGCTACTCACCCNNGGAGAATTTGTCGCGGATCATCTTGACGTTGACCTGGTAGCCCATGCCGAACCAGACGCTTCTGACGAAGTTCTCATCGATCCAAGGCTCGAGCTCACCCATCCTGTATTTTGTCTTAGCTGATATTCGCTGTTTCGTTCAGTTTCAGCATTCAACATACCACAAAGTGGTCTTGGGCTCGCCACCCGACTGAGAGCCAGGGCCGGGTGCGGATCCAGGTGCGCCGGAAGGAGTAGGAGGGAATTGGCCCTGTTGGGACTCAATGGGTTGACCCATAGGGGGCTGCTGGGGCTGGGCGGCAGGAGCGCCAGATTCCTCGGGTTGCTGACCCTGGAAAGAGTCGCCGAATTGTTGGAAGCTCATTTTCGATGATGGAAGTTATCGCAAAAGTCGAAATGGATTAGGAACACCGAGATCTGAGAAAAGCCAGTCAGTGACAGGACTCGAGACAAGAGTTGAAGTGCATTGTCGCATACTCACAAATCGTGCGGCGCAGTGAATAAGATATGCTTGTCGCAATGAATTGTCGACGCAAGTTATAGGGAAGCTTGATAAAGCTGGTGATGTGTCGCGTGGAAAGACAGGTGAAGAATCGAAGACGTTCGGTATTGTTCGATGCAATTCCTGAATGTAGACGTTGAAAGCTCAGACGAGTCGTACTTGGGCCGAAGGAATGTCCGTTGACAATAGTTCACTCGCGAATCTGTCACTTCGGTCAGCGCGAGTTGGGCTAGGTGCGCGACAATGGGCTAAATAAGATGAGGTGCAATGATGGTGGCGNATGGGAGATGATTGTGACTGAAGTGTGTGGTGAAAAGCCAGCTCGGCAGCCTCGGCGGGGTCGAGGATTCGCGGCAGCAACGCGAAAGCTTTANNAGTGCTCACGAGCTCAATAGCGACAATGCTGAGAACGTGGTTCGAGGACCCGAACGGAGCGGCTGAACCGATATAGAAACTGGGATAAGGAGACGGGCAGATGCAACTCCTCATGGCGACACCAACGAGGATGGCGAAAGCCATNTGGTCGTGAAGATCGGCTACCAGGGTGCCGGGAGGGAGATGACTGTGGACGAGTAAAATGGAAAGCGACATACCGGCAGCACGGGTGCAAATAGAGCAGCAGCGGGAAGCAAAGGACGAGACGAAAGACGACGAAAGAACCGCGGGAATAGCACAAGGAAAAGATGCTGTTTGCGCGCGACAGGGAGTCAGGGAGGAGCTTTGATCGAGCAACGTCGAGACAGAGAACTGCCAAGTTGACCGTTGTTGCCCCCGTCACGTGTACGAGCACATAAGCTAGATCGCTCCTGCCTGACGCAACCTCGAAGATCCTGTGGGGGAATGGTCAGATAGGGGCGGCGCCGGCATTCGGGTTCATCAATCTCGAATCGAAACATCATTCCAATCTTTATATTGCTGCCAAGTTTAGCCACACGAATTGCGCACTCAGGAGGAGAGACAGATGCAGCTTTGTCGGGCGGCTTTACGAGCACGGGGCTTCTCGCACGGCATCGCCAGCAAGGTGACAGTGACATCTTTCGAGCATAGACATAAAAAGAAAACTGGGATTCATTCATTCATTCGCTAAATTGACAATCGACCCTGGCCCAGCCGGGCTCCATGCAAAAGGTGTAATCACTCAAATCGAATATTTTTCAACCAAAATCTATGCCTGTTCGGGGATGCCTGATGCAATCAATGTCAGTCATCAGGTCGTAGAAGGACGCAAGTAAAATTTCGACTCACCAGCAGCCTGCTTGGCCTCGCCGAACGAGTCTCTGCCACTGGCAAAGACCTTGTCAAAGTCGTACTCGAACCAACGGATATCAGGGCTCAGTCCAGCGAACTTCCACTCGCCATTGACCTTCTTGTACCAGTGCTTGTTGGTGCTGTGAGCGTGGCCCTTGACAGCAACCTTCGATCTGGTCTCATCGGTGTACTTCTGGTGAGGTACACGAAGCTGGTGCCAGCCAATGATCTCAGTGTCCGAAACCTTCTCCCATCTGGTGCCACCAATGAAGTGCTGGGTCTTGAGGAGAGGGTCGCCGAGGACGTTAGGGTCCGATGCCATCTTGACGAACTCGTCGGCAGGCATGGCCTCCCAGATCTTGTCGAGGAAAGAACGGTAATCGATGATGAGCTCGGGTGCAATGACAGTCTCGAGTCTCTTCCAGTCCTATGGTATATTATCAGCCCACTCGATCCTTNNGAATTGCTGAAAGGCGCGCGTGTGCTCACCTTGGTGTCGTAGCTGTCTGCCCAGTTGAAGCAGGCGGCCATGCAGCCAAGCATTTCTACAAGTTATTAGCATTTCTGATCAGATCGTATTACCACTTGCTCGGAACACTGGATGTGCTTGAAGATCTTGTTCTTCAAGCGCGCATGTCTGCAAGGGCTTGTGGTGTTTGGAGATAGCATACCCTCGTGTGATGGGTAGTTGGTCATGATGATGGTGGTGAATGTGTGATGGATAGGAACTCTGGAACCATAACCACGGCGAAGAGCTCTGTATCTATATACCTACCTCTGTCAAAGCATTCTTGTCTCGGGAGTCTCAAACATTGAATATGTTGTTGCCCCACCATGTCCGAACGGAGATGTTTGAGGGGCCGAAAGGCTGTACCTGATGCGAGCAATTCTCAGGTATTAGCATGATTATCGACATGTGTACACCATAGATTCATTCAGATCTTCAGTCGCTCTAAGTAGCAACACTTTGACATTGCGAGCTTAACGCGGTGATTCGTTCTTTTCTTTCAAGATTCGAGCGTTCAGCAGATGGATTGAAAGAGTATACAAATGTAGGACAACAGGCTGCCAAGCTGATGGAGATCGAATCAAGGTGCCGCAGGGCTCGCGCCGGACGGCATTTTTAGCATCCCCCACTTGACGCTTCGGACATTTTTCTGAATCGCAGGCGTCATTGGGTCGACGAAAGCGAAGGCCGAGCAGCGAGACGTGAGATGTCGCAGAATGCGTTGACCACAAATAGTTCGGAGAATTCATGTCTGACCTGAGTTTGAGCTAGCCAACATGGATCTCTGTAGAAGCAAGAGCATGGTTTGCTTATGGCAGCAAGTTGGTGGAAGGATGTTTGCATGTGTTGGAGGAGAAAGAGAGATCATGATCATGGCAACGCTATCTTCCCAATGCGGCAATGTGTTGATGGGCGGCGTCACAACCAAACAGCAAATTCAAACATGTCATTCAATTCAATCTAAAGCGTGCAGCCCAAATAAACACTCGGAAACCATCATCGTGCACAATGGACCATGACACGCTTAACACGGCGTCAACATATCTGAACAATCTCCTCTTAGCTCGAGGTCTGCTCCGAGATAGCAAACCTCTTGATTTCGCCAAACCGACTCGAGAGACACGAGCTCAGATCATCAACCTTGTCCACGACCTCCTCTTGCGACGCGACCGAGACCAAGAGAACCGCGAGCAGATCGCCTTGACTCTTCGCACTCTCCGGACTGACCAGACCCGCAAAGATGGCGACCTCGAACGACTACAAACCCGACTCGATGCCCAAGAGCGCTCCCTGCAGCAAGCTCAAACCGAAGCCAGAAACGCTAAGATCGAAATGCGCAAACTCGAGTCGACCACAAAAGCATTGAACGACCAACTTGGTCGACTGAAAGCCTCCGTCTCGCAGATCAAAACACAATGTGCCAACGATGTACGGAAGCGCGACATGCACATCGAGCGCCTCAAATCACATCTCCAAGGCCAACAGAGAGGCAACAAAGGCGGTCTTGTTGCTCCTACCATCTCTGTCGGCGGTAGAGGTCCACACTCGTTCAATGCGTCAGTGCGAGACATCTCGGACCCAGAGTACAACCTGAAGCAAGAGACGACAGACTTCCTCACACAGCTAAGCTCCGGACTGAGCGATGAGAACGACGCTCTGATCGAGATGATCCGCGGAACACTGGCCACATTAAGAGAACTACTTGGGGTACCAGAACAGAACTTGGACAACACTGTCGACGGCATTGAGAACGAAGATGGCACACTTGGCTTTGCACACGGCTCTCTTGCCGAAGAGCTCGACTCAATGCTTGATACACTCAAGACTGTCTTGACAAATCCCAACTTTGTCTCGATGGACGAGGTGGAAGCAAGAGATGACGAGATCGCACGACTGAGAGAAGGCTGGGACCAGATGGAGTCAAGATGGAGAGATCTGCTCTTCATGATGAACGGATGGTGCACACGGCTGGAGAAGAGCGGCGACACTATCAACCTTGACGAACTTAAGAAGGGTCTCGGCTTGGGTGTTGGCCTCGAGGCGCCTCCGACTGCTCAGAAGCTCCGTGCCAGCCAACATGCTCGCTCCAACAGTGATCATGACAGCGGTATCCACACCCTGAGTCCGACCCCTTCAGAAAGCCATGCCGCCCCACCGAGTACTGCAAAATCTCAGAGAAGCATAGACCCACCAGAGTTCTTCAACCTCAATCCTCGAGGACAGCGTACGCTCAACAAAATGAGTCACAATGTCCAATCGCCGCGCAAAGTTGCATTTGCCATGGATGCCTCCGAGAATACCGACCCGGCCGAGCCAGCCCCAGGCACACTCGATACGCCCGTCTTCGCTAAGCCTTCTGCGACCAGATCCTCGCTTCCCACACGCCGCCAACTAGAACTCACTCCGTCCGCTGCCTCACATGACAGACTCGTAAGTACCATTGTCTAGCCGCATCTGTACATTGAGTTAACGAAGGTATAGCCTTCTCGATCACGCGGCTCTTCACCGCCACGAAGACCTGTGGACTCTCCATCGGAGCACTTGCCGCAAGGGGAAGACGAAGAGTATCGGGAAGAAGATGGTTCTCGAATGTCGGTCGAGGAAAAGCTGCGCCTTGCACAAGCTGAAGCTGAAGCTGCAGGTGGAGCACTAACCAAGGGACTAGATGAGGCCTCGCAATTTGACATCGACCTCGATGAGGAGATGAGCAAGCTACGAAGTCCTGCGAAGAAGACCAAGATTCAAGGCAGGCCGAAGCGTAGGAAGAGCACCCTCAGTCCGGAAGAACTGGAGGATCTTCTAGGACTAGAGTAACGAAGAAACGACCTATCACCAACCTTAGTTGAAAGCTTACGGATTGTTCATGACCCATGAGATAGCATTATCACATTCATCACCCTTAGTTTACTGGTCTCGACAGCTCGCTCCGACATTGTGCAGGTCAATCCTCCCAGCCTCTCCATGCATGGATCAAGGATCAGAAGATCTGCCGGGTGTCCGACGGCAGATTATTATTTGTCGAGAGTCAGTGGATGATAAGCGGTAGGTCGAAGAGACCATGTCGGTGTCATGCAACTCGATTGTGCGTGTTCCTGCCCACATTGTGCATTTGGCAAAGTCATGAAGCCTGATTGGAGCGACGCGCGAATCCTCGAATCCAATCAGCTTCACCACAGAACCGCCCTTCGATTCTGCTTCCATCCACCACCTCTTTGCAAGCGCTGCGACCGAGTAACATGCCCCAAAAGATGCGCAGTCACACATGCGGCTTGCCAATAGTGCCAGAACGACGATTATGCGAGCTCCCGCCCCGCCCATTATGATTTTCCCTGTTCGGTGCACTTTGAAGTCATGTTTTTCGCCATTCGGCATGGCGTGCGTAGTTTGTGTGCCTTGTGTGCCTTGGTGCAAAGCGAAGGACCGGTGACTGGCATAAGTATAATTGGCATTCGTTCTCCTCGATTTCTCCTTCTTCTTTTTTTCTTTTCAGCGAGACCTGTCAAGCCCGGAGCTGACTATTAGTTTGTTTTATTTTACTCCCCCCCTTTTTTTTTTCTTTATTCTCTTTATCCCACTAATCGAGCCTGGTGCTCTTAATCCACAAAACTCATACTATCAATTATCTTTTGCCCATACCACACCCTATCCAATAATCACTTTGTTTTTACCGTTTACCTTTTATTTCACCTTTTTGATCTTTTTTCTTTGTCGCTGGTCGACTTGGAAAATCAACCAAACTAATACTCAGCTCTTCTTGCTCAAAAACTGTCAATTCACATTCGGTATTCGCATACTACCGACCACAAATTCGAAAAGGAAACAGAACAGTATCCAGACATAATACAACAATGGCAGCTGTGCAATTGAACTTTACACTCAGGACGTCGTCCAACTGCAAGACGGTCCACCTCATCGGCTCATGGGATAGCTACAAGAGTCAACTCCCTCTTTCCAAGGACTCTGCGAAACAAGGCGGTTGGAAGGGTACCTTCAGATTCCAGGGCTCGACATTGAAGCCTGGCTCAAGATACTGGTACTACGTATGTGTTTTTCTTCTTGTACGCTTCGGGCGGCATGAGGCAGCTAGTTCTAACAACAGAAACAGTNATATTATTGATGGTTACCACGTCTCTCACGACCCAGCCCGCGAATCCACCACCGAACCTACCACAGGCCGCAAACTCAACATCCTGGATATTCCATCAGGAAAGTCGTCAGCCGCAGCTCCAGCACCATCTGCAAAATCGCACAGTGGGCACTCGAGCAGCAAACACTCTCGCCGCACCAGCGAACACATCCCCAAAGGCCGCTCACTGTCTCCCTCGCAAATCAAATGCCCGCGTCCCAATCGGCCCCACGAAACCCGCACCATCGCTCGCGAACAGTACAACGCCTCTTCTGTAGACCGTCTCGCCAGTCGCCTCGGCAACACCCAGATTGAGTCTGACAGCGAGAGCGACAGTGATTCAGACAGCGATGTGCCTTCGCTTACCTCCTCGCGCAGCAGTGCTTCGTCCTCGCCTTCGTCAACCAGTGCGTCCTCTAGGTCTTCGTCTACTAGTGCGTGTACCTGCAACCGTTTTGGGATTACCAGGTCTGGTGCGAGGGTGAAGCTTGACTGTGGCGGTGATGTGTGTGGATACGATGAAGGCAGTGAGTGTTCCTCCGAAAGCGAGGATGAGAAGAAATATCGTGCGCGCACTACAAGACGACAAGGCATGATTGTGCGTCGTTGAAAGCTTTTCAGCCTCTTTTCGCAACATTTCGACTGTTTTTGGAAAGTCAACGACACTCCTTTTACGCCTTTCTTTGAGACGAGGGGTCCACGTTCATTATTGACGATGCCATTGTCCTTTTGCCCAGCCAAAAGCCTGGTCTGGCTTTTACCTTCTGTTCTCTTTTTTGGAGAGATGCAGAGTATTCAGAGGGGGTTGTGTTACTTCGGGCTGGCTCCTTTTGTGACACTGCAACATCCTTCTGGTATACTCTTTGCGTCTTTCTCCCTTTGTGTCGCCCTGCGACACTTGACTTACTGATGCATCGTGACTCAAGTTACGACCAGCACTGAGGTGGAAGAGGAAAGGAGAGGAGAATAGATGTCTTGGAAGAAAACATTTGCGAAGGAGAGGAAGGAAGAGAGGAATGTCAATGTTATGGACGCACAGCAATGATCTCGAAATATTGCTTTGACCTGTCCTGTTTTGGAACGATTACAATGACTTTGCTGCAGCAAAAGAGTCGCCAGATGATGTTTATAGCTTGCCCAAACTAGATAAAACCAAAAAAGCTACTGCATTCATCTCTATCATGATCTGCTCCTCACATCTCTAAAACATGGTCAAACACAAAGATCAAAAGCAGACATACACTCTTTCATTAGAAAACTCATAAAAGGATTGCAAACTATTCATGCCATCATAAACCTATTCCCCAAACCCGTAAGTCCTTACTCCAAACTCCCCTTGGCATAGACCAAATAATCAACTCCATATTCATCCACATTAGCCATCCCCTGAACTCCATCCCACAACATCACACCTCCAAGATTAGTCGTATAAAGCTCTCTGGCAAGACTAACCTGATGTCTCAAGCCAGCACCCTCCACATAGCCACTTCCAGCTGACTCTGAAGCTCCAGCACCAATAAAGACCTTAGTCTCATTATTAGCAGCCAACAAATCGTCACTCCACTCTGCAAACGAGGACGCAAAGCCAGCAGAGTCAAGATCGCAAGAGGGATTGTTGTAGAATTGGACAAAGACGAAATCGCAGAGTGCCATTGTTGAGATAGGGATGGAAGCGTCAGGGCGAGGGCATTGGGGCGCAGACGAGAGATAGTATTTCTTGCTGGGGTCGGAGGCGAAGAGTGTGCGTAGGGCGTGAGCGAATGTGGTGTACGAGGTGGGATCTTTGGATTCGTTGTCGAGATCAAAGCCATCAATAACGATAGATCCGAAGGGACGTAACGAGGCGTCCAACCCGTTTCCTGCCCCAAACAGGTCCCACAGATTTTGAGCTAGCTGAATTGCTTCGGTATCGGAGGTGAAAGTTACGTTGGAGTAGTAGCCGCCTAGAGATACCAATGCAGGTTTGCCTAGTTGTTGGCAGCTTACGATTTCTGGAGCAAGGTCGGTGCAGTCTTGCAATCCGGGAGCATGGAGTTGCTGAGCGGTGGTGCTGCCTTGGCAAGCAGGGCCGAAGTTGGCTGATGGGAAACCTTCGTTGGTGAAAAATGATGTGACGAAGGCTAGGACTACGATGTCGACGTTGCTGTTTTGGCAGAGTTCCATTAGGTCACCGGTCTTGGTGTTGGGCGTCTGACCGTAGTATACGGCAACATTGTTTTGTCGACTGGTCTCGAAAACGTAGTCGGTGCTTGTGGGTGCTGAGATGGAGCTGTAGGGTGTCATCGCTTGTGAATCTGCAGAGGTCGCGGTTGCGCTTTTACTCTGGTCATCGCTGTCTGAAGAGCTAAAGACCGAGGGCATAGGCAACGCAGGTATAGACGACGTGGATGGTGTCTCTTGAGCTGCCTCACTAGATGTAGTAGTGCTCGAGAGCTGTGTGGGCTGGACAATAGTTGTAGGTGGCACTGGCAGATAAGTTGTTCTCGTCAAAGTACGAGTAACTCGAGATTCTGGAGTTGACGAAGTCGCAGCTAAGTCTGACGAAGANGACTTGGTCGGGCAGGGAAGAAGAAGTCTGAATGGTTGTTGAACCTGAGGCTTCGACACTAGTACTAGAAGGCCCAAGTATGTTGGTTGTGGTTGCGTTGCCGATGGCNNCAATGTGGCCGTCGGCGATGCTGCCTCTGATGCAGATGCAAAAACAGCCAGCAGACTTGCTAGTAGAGCTTCTTGTTCATGCAAGCGATCATCAATTGCCTTCAGGAATTGGAAGACATCTTGCGGTAGATCTGACAAGCCTTCCTGGATGGATGTGACAGTCTCCATCAGCTCAGCAGCTTCTGCCTCTGCCTCTGCAGTTGAGCTGGGTTCGATCTGCAGCGAGAGAGTTGTAGCGTCACGCCGAGCGTGATCATGTTTGTAAGGACGGTGTATGTGTAAGGACTGTACAGTGCAAATGAGATATACTAGTGAGATGAAGATGCGGAGAGTGCTTAACGAGAGCATGGTAGCGAATGACTTTGTTTGCCCACCTACCTCACGAAGGCCATAGCAAAAGGTATATATTCATGACGCTGAGACAACGGCCCAAAGGCAGGAGGCTGTCAAAGAATGAATTGACTTACCTGGGACCAAGGGGAACAGGTATGGTCACGCAGAAATGCAGCATAGTGTAAGAACGAGGACGTGAAGAAAAGAGGTGGATGGCATTCCTGGGCGGCGTCGCGTGGAATCACGTAAAGTGGGTTGGAGCGCTGGATCATGCCCTGGAGAAAATTGGACAGCTGACAGAAGGAATTTGCTTTGCTGACCCGAAAACGGGGAGGCTGTTGGAAAGTGTGCATTCCCAAAAGCGCCCGTCAAGACCCGAGCATGTATACCTGCCTACCTTGGCGTGTGCAAAGAGCTTTGCGTGACAGGTTGCATCGGCGAGACATGTTTGAACAAGGCGTATGGTCTGATGGCGGTGGGAGGCCTGTATGACAAGAATATCGAGGTGGATTGAGAACCCCTTTGGTTCTCGGAAGCGCGGATGTCAAATTGGAGGAAGCTATCAAAGGTGATTCGCCTAGCCGTACGGAGAAAGTTCGCTTGCGTCAGAAGTTAGAACAAAGACGCGCGGGTGCAGCACGAGGAACCCAAGGAGCCCATGTACAAATGACCATGTAGAGGAAAGGATGACACTTGTGCAGGAGTTAGATATTCCAATACTGGAGACTCTGATGAAAATTGATGGAATATTGGAAAATAGTGTTGGAGTTGAGAAAGGATATACGGATTTTGGGAGGAGGGTGTTTCCTGATTGGGTGGAGAGCTGGTCGAGAACGCTACGGCTGTCCTTTCCTCACAAATAATGAGCGCGACCTTCACTCAAGACCAAGAAATGGCGAAGGCCAACGCCTCACACACGGCCGGCAAAATGCTCGCTCAGCGCACAACAGAATCAAAGTGCCTTGCACTCTGCATCCCTTTCCCATCCATCCTAATCTCTCGCACTCACAACCATCACCACCCATCCATTTCTTGATATACCGCCGCCGACTGCCAGAAGCTCCCACATTCCCTAAGCCTGCCACTGATCCACTGACCAAATCCGACGACACAAAGCCACCCGCTCCACCGACCACGGGCGCAATCCAAGTCGTCGCTCCCAACTTGCTAACCACATTCACCACAATGGCAACCACACCGTCGCAAAAACCATCAGCTAAATCATCCCTCAAGCCTAACAAGACGGTCATTCTTCGTCTAGCTCCTCACCTGCTCAAGAAGTTTACCTCACCGTCTGAAGACGCTTCTGAGCCATCAGCCACTGCTTCTCCTGCACCAGCTTCAACCCCCCTCATCAACGCCCCAGCACCAGAAGCCTCAGAGACGAATGGCACTCCAGCTCCCGGTACCGATGCCGCTGCCACAGACAACAACTCGTTAGCTCCTCCTCAAGCAGTCAACGGCAAGAAGAAGGGCGTTCCTGGTCCCAAGCCTGGTACAAAGAGAACTGCTGCTCAAGCTGAGGCAGGCCCGAATGCAAAGCCTAGAGGANAAGCCTGGTCCCAAGAAGAAGCCTCGTCTGTACGTGACTTGCACACCAACCATACTCACTCATTCCTTGTACATACTGACACTAATCTCAGGGCTGATGGAACCATTGATAGAACTGCCGAGGGCACAAAGAAAGGTCCGTTCGGCGGCGTGGCTCCCATAGCTACACACAAGCTAGGTCCCAAAGCCAATACTGGTGCCATCAATGCTGGCCTTCGTGCACTGGACAGATCAGGCAAGCCATGCCGAAGATGGGAACGCAAAGGTCTTCAACTCAAGAGTATATCTGGTGTTGCTTGGACAGTTGGATCATGGGCTGCTCCGCTCAAGGACAACTCATCTTTCAGCGGCGATGTGAAGAGCGAGAACTCGTCCAGCAGTCAAGCAGACAATGCTAGGCTTGCGAGCAGCGCACTTCCTAGCGAAAGAAGCAACAGTGGCGAAGGAGCCAAGGCGGAGACTGCTCTTGAGAGCTCACCTGCACCAGCAGTACCTGTCGAGGCATGAACGACATAGTTTACACAGTACTTGTAAGTCGCCGTGGTTGTAAGTCGTCTTCTCTACGGTCACTAACATATTCCAGCCTTTTTTCTTTACAGAACATCACCTTCGATACCCAATGATGTACCCGAGGTCATGTATACAACCAACATCTTCGATTGCAGACACAAGCATTTGAGCAATGCATTTCCTTTGTTTCTATGGAAAAGCTCAGGTATGGCGTCACCCGGGTCAGAGGATAGCGTGATAATTTGGCGGTGTAAGCTTGGTCAGAGTTGTCAAGGAACGACTGATGGCGGAGCTATAATGACTTTTGTCAAACTACAGAGTATTTGACGACATGATAGCTATGGATACCCCTTGAAATACAGCACAATAAGATTGTATTTGTTTCCTTGTACGAGGTTCGTGGTTGGTCGCATGTGATTCTGGTCAGGAGCTCTGGCTATGGGGGCTTGGCATTCTGGCGGAGACTTAGGGAGCGTCATCGGCAGCGCGCTTGTATGGATCATCGGGCATTGTCGAGCTGTATCTGCCAACAAGAGCCCCATTGAACCTTCCATCGTCCGACTTCACGAGGTACACGGCCGAAAGAGCTGCATCAGGATTCATAGATACTTGTGTGATACGTCGTGCATCCAACCAAATTCCAGCGGTGGACAGAATGCGCGCAGGAGCGTCATGATTGCTCGCTCTATCTTTCTACCTTGATCAACTCGACAGCTGCTACCACCACTTGACCCCAATCCACTACTGCCCGACCTCGACTTGGCCAATACCACCTCACACTGCATTATGAGCGATCTTTATCCGCATTCTCAATCTTATCGTCGCTTGAACCAACCTCTCACATCATCATCGTCGTACGCTTCAGTCGCTGCTGGCGCGGGCTCCCACTCGGCCACCGTCCGCTTCGGTGCCCTCTCACACCTTCTCCACCCTGAAGACGACNCCCCGACACGTACCAACATGGCCTCGGCCAAATCTCAAGACTCGTGGTCCACCAGGCCTTATCTCTCGTCCAAAGTCCCTGACCAGGACTCCCCGCCATCGCCCCCACTATTCATCCGCCCTTCATACCTTCGCAATTCGCGACACCTCGAGAGGCTCGAGAAACACCATAACCTGGAACTTGCCGACTTCGAAGAACTGCGACGACATCCTCAGACTGCCTCGTCTTCTCAGGATCTGTCTGCGAACATTGGCAGTGCCACCATTCACAGATCGAGGAAGGATATCATTCAAGATTATATTGCTCGCAACCCCCTTAGGAGCAGCGGCCCAAAGAAACTGCCTACATCATGGAGCGACATAGACAAGTGGCCTGGACTCGAGCTGTCGGCAGGAGGCACCGAGGTCAAGTTCACCGGCTCTACCAAAACCAGCGATGAGGCTGCTGCTATACGCAGTGATCATCCCATGCCAAAAGAGGTCGGCATATACTACTTTGAGGTCACTGTATTATCCCGAGGGAAAGAAGGGTATGCTATCTTTACCCCTTTCGCATACAACATGCTAACCGGTCATCTTCCAGTTNTGATTGGTGTCGGTTTCTCTGGCCCAAAGGCTAGCCTCAATCGCTTACCAGGATGGGAACCCGAGTCATGGGCCTACCATGGCGATGATGGCTTCAGCTTCTCCTGCACTGCTAGTGGCAAGCCATATGGTCCCAAGTTTGCCGCTTGGGACGTTGTGGGCTGTGGAGTCAACTTCGAGACAGGGAGCGCCTTCTTCACCAAGAACGGTGTCTTCNTTAGGTGCGTAGTCTGTCTCATTCCGTTGATACACTGCTAACACATTACTTCAGGCGAAGCTTTCCATAACGTGAGGGGTGACAAATTATACCCATCTGTGGGTATGAAANAGAACAACGAACATCTTCGAGTAAACTTCGGTAGTGCTCCTTTCGTGTTTGATATTGATTCCCTGATTGAGGTGCGTATTCTGCGACACCCTTTCGACCCTTTCGCTGACCAGAACCAGAACCAAAGAAATAGAGTGAAAGCAGACATCAACAAGACATCGGCGGACACATTGGAGACTGCCCGCGATGAGACAATGTTGGTACAAGAGCTTGTAGCGCAATACCTTGCTCATGACGGCTATGTCGAAACTGCTCGAGCCTTCAACAGAGAAGTTCGAGACGAAAGAAAGCCTTTGAATATGGACTCTGATGGCGTGGAGTTGTTCGATCCTTCTCAAGATCTTCATGCTATCCAGCGACAGAGTACGCCTTCTCAGTGATCATACAATCTAGGCTTCTTTTTACTGACAATTCTCCAGGCANTACGTTCTGCCATCCTCGAAGGAGAAATTGACAAGGCTCTGAAATGCATAAGCACCTACTACCCACACGTTTTGGAGCGGGAAGAGAACAGAGATGTCTACTTCAAGCTTCGCTGTCGGAAGTTTATCGAGATGATCTGTCGAGTAAACGACCTCTCGACCGAGGATTCATCGCCGATCGCACCCAAAGCAGCTGGCAAGCTACCTCAAAAACTGTCCGAGTCAAACGGCATAACATTTGATCAACAGATGGAGCTCGATGACCAATTACACCGAGAATCACGAGCACCAATCATTCCACCAATGCCCGTTCCCTCGCCCTTCAATCCCGGCCTACGCTTTGGTGATGGTGCCAATGGCGACAGTGCGAATGGCGATGGCGCGAATGGTGATGATGGAAGAGACGACACAATGGATACAGCACCCGACAACTTCCAGTTGATGTCCTCATCTACAGATAGCGAGCAACTACTTGTGGACGCACTTGAGTTCGGTCAAGAGTTGAAGGCTGAGTTCAACGATGATCCCCGTCCTGCTGTCAGAAAAGCATTAGATGACACCTTTGCTCTGATCGCCTACCAGGATGCTCGAGAGTCTGTTGTGGGTGGGCTGATGGAAGGCAAGGGTCGAGTAGAGATCGCCGAAGCGGTCAACAGCGTAATACTAGGCAAGTCTTCCTTTATTTAATGTCATCAAGACTATACTAACCCAATCCAGNTGTCGCTCGGCAAGCCATCGTCCGCCGCGCTAGAAAAGGTCGTGGCGCAAGCTGAAGTCCTGGTAGACATGCTGAGTTCGGAGGGCGGAGCTGGTGCATTTGTCAATGTAAGAAGGGATTGTCTACAATAAGGGCGCGATCGGAGTGAGTGAAACTGCATTATTTCTCTTTTCCTCATCGTTGTTGGGCGCAAGTAATGGCCATGCATTGGCTGGAGTTTAGGAAGGAGCGGATTTCTTCTTTTCTTTCTCAGGGGATTCTTACCGCATGCTCCTTGATCCCTTTTTCTCTGTACATGTCAGGACATAACACACAGCTCTGATCCAAATCAACCCATTCATCTTCATTATCGTATGCGTTCATTGGTTTTCGACGGTTCTGTTGTTACCTTCCATTCTCGCATCTCTGGCCATAGACACTTTGAGTTCCAGCATGGTTGTGTTGATGATCGCAGGGTATCTACCGAAGCTGACGAAGCTGTTTACCGGCACATCGAGCGCGCCTTCTAGTAGCCAAGAACATCTCACTTTTGGACTCATATTCTTTCCACGCATGAGACATTTGAGCAGGTGTAAGCTGACAAGCACATGCGCACGTTCAAGCACAGCAATGCAACAAAGTCAACATCGAACAGTAAATAAACACAACCCGGCCAACTCTTACCACAATGCAATTCGAGCCTATATCTCAGAAGAAACCAGAAGATAAGTGGCTGGTACAGATCTCCGCTATATACCTCTCCATGTGCCACGGACAGTCACAATTTCGCAACTAACCCCATCCCCAGCTACGGGGTTTTCATAAGCCATCGAAATGCACAGATGCGATTCGAATATCAAGTCTGGCCAAGGAGGCAGCCTTCGATGGTGTTCTCTCTGGAGACCACATTCTTTTCGAAAAGTATTGTGCGTTTCTGCCGCTGCACTATGATCGTCTTCAACACACGGGGAGCATAGGTGCGATAGGGAAGCCATGAATTTCATTGATATAGCATACCCCAAGCCCAACTTCCACGAGCGCAAAATAACTCAAAATGTAGGTTATAGTCACAGCGACTCATAACCCCGTGAGGGTATAGAAAAAAAGAACTCTTGACTCATTCTTATGAGTCTTCACTGCTGAAGAGGATATATAAAGGTGATGGATCGCTGCTTCAACATACCTTTCTTCTTCAAATACTACTGACAACCTACCAACACAACTGACTACACCAACACTGGTTCTCACAATGAAGTTGCAAGCTCTACTCCTCTCTATCTTCGGCTTCGGTCTCCTCGCCACCGCTGCTCCATTTCATGATGCCTGCGGCAATCCAAAAATGCCTGCACCCGTTCAAAAACTCACATGCGGTGATTCTCTGAGCGACTTGGGCTGTAAATGGTCCCTCACGAACTCTGACTACATCGCCTGCATCCAACACTGTCGTCGCGAGAAGGGCTTGAACAGATATATCTGGCACAATCACCGCTACTACGATATCTCGGTTGCCGAGTATGACGAGATTATGAAGGCTGAGGGGAAGCAGTGTGTTACTGCTTCTGATGTTACTATTACTGCTACCAAGACTGTTGCTGCTATCGAGGCTACAAACAAGGCTGGTGGCCACCACACTGGAAAGCAAACTGGATTTGAGACTGTTGTCAGAACGATTACTCATGAGGCTCGTCAGCCTTCGGTCGAGACTGGCGTTGCCGCCACTCACATTGCTCGTCGCCATGAAGCCGCCGATGCAGCAGAGGAAACTGCCCATCACCCACGTCTCGACCACTATTGCCAAAAGACCAGTCAAGTCGCATTGTGCAGAGTCAAGTGCGGGTAAGTTTGTTCCTTTTCCTTCTTCAAGGGAGTGGTAAGCTGACAAAACCATAGTATTCACGTTCTCGGCGGATTCGACAAGTGCATGAAGAAATGCCACAAAAAGTGCCACAAGAAGCATCCTCTGTTCCCTGATGGCGAGGATACGGGTTTGGTCAAGAGAGCTGAAGACGAAGAGTCTGACCATTCACGCGTCGATCTCTACTGCACGAGCGAATTCCAAAACTGGAAGTACAGACAAAGCTGCGCGTAAGTCTTTTGTGTTTTTACCTTTTCGTGGGCTATACACTGACACTTGTAACACAGCCATCACATCACACCCAGAGGATTCAAANAGTGCATAAACAAGCGTCTCAAGAAGTGTTTCAGAGAACATCCTCTGCATCCTGATGGCGAGGTTTTGGTCAAGAGAGCCGACAGCAACGACACTGTGTTTGACGCTACCACCGACTCTCTCATCGACATCATGATCGACACTGCTCTCGACGAAGAAGCTGATATCTCCAATACCACCGACATTGTCAAGAGATCTGACAAACAGACTGTTACTCATGTGGCTCGTCACCCTGCTCTCACGCCAAAGAGTTACTGTTCGAGCTATAACGTCCAGTTGGGTTGCAAACTTGTGGCTCAGTAAGTGTTTTTCTTTTTTTCTTTCTCGTCTCTTAACTTCGCAAAAGTTTATTGGAACTAATTTGGATGGTGATAGGTTCTGGCCTCCTGCATATGACACTATCTTCAACAAGTGCATCAAGAGATGTATCGAAAGACACGGTGTGGATTGATGGGTCACCTAATGGCTCTTGGTCGGAAGGAGGGATCTGACTGTCGGTTCTTGGGCAGGATACAGTATGGCTAGAGTGATGGAGACTGGGATTAGAAATGGTGAATGGAAATTGGGAAAGTGAACAATGAGAAAAATGAAAAGAAAAATGGAAAGAAAAAAAAGAACGAGGGTAAAGGGATAGAGAATGTAACAAGAAAGGGATATAGAGGTCAAAATTGAGAGATAGGCCGAGTAGCTATTCAACACAGAGATTACAAGAGTAAAATTCAGAGTTCACTCTACTTTCTTTTACGTGTGTGAGCTTTCTAGTATGGGTTGAATCTATCCTTCTTCTTCTTGTCCTTGCGCTTTTTCTTCTTGTCAATGTCCATAGCGTCTGCTGAGGCCGCTTGAGGTTGTGCCTCTTGTGCCCATAGGCGAACCTGGCCGTCTTCGCCACAGGTGATGACTCGNTTGGTTCTGCAAACATAAATTAGTACTGCAATCTTCAAACCTCGTAGCATGTGACATACATGGTTGTCGATGAGGAAGTCGCGGACGATTTCATCGCCGTGGGCTCCAGGGAACTCCATGGTGCCATTCATATCAAAAGACCAGCTGGGATTCAGTGGGACCAAGGTAAGACGAGACGCGCTGCAAAAGCCATGAGTTAACAACATTTTTCGAAGGTTTCGCCATAGTATAACTTACGAAGTGTCTCCAGCAGCGATATAAGCCGAAGGCGAGTTGGGGAACACGTCAATGACATAACTGCTCTTCAGCTGTTCTCTGACATCGCCAAATGCAGTGACTGGCAGGGTTGCATCTTCGGCATCAGTGGGTTTGCTCAAGGTATACACTGAGAGCTGTTCATCTGTGCTGACGGCATAGACTTCCTCAGGGTTCAGGAAACCAGCACAGTGCACTGCACCGTAATGATTCAGTACTTGAACCAGAGCATCATCCTCATCTGAAATCGTTGTGTCGAATATCGATACTAGACCATCAGTGGATCCTGAGAGCAGGGTGTTTTGTTGTGTTGGATGGAAGGCGATTTGAGTGACAGTATCGGTATGACTCTCGGTGTATGCCTGCAATGGCTTGGAGGTATTTCGTGTATCCNNCTGGAAGAACATTAGCAAGACATCCTCGTCAACAATGACATCCATGACCTACCACAAAAGCACGCTAACATCTCCCAATCCCTCCTTGGTGCTTTCAGTGCCGGCAGCAATAAACGTATCACGGCACGCCAACGCAGAGATACCAGCTCCGCGAGCNTAAAAACATAAATCAGTCATCAGAGAAACCGTCATAAACACAAGAAACTAGGCAGCAACAAATCAAAGGGAAGAAAGAAACCTACGATCAGCCACTTGCACTCCAGCAGACTTTGCCCTTCCATCCCAGCATCTGACTGTACCATCTCTTCCCGCCGTGACTAACCCTTTGCCATCCGAAGTCGCTTTCAAACATGTGATTCCCTCGTGAGCTTTAGAAACGCTATGCACAAGCGAGAGGTTCGTAGGATCAAAGTAGCGGAGTGAATCATCGGATGAGATGGCAGCACAAAGTGTTGTTGTTCGGGCCAATGAATAAATGTATGTATCACTAGGCAGCGACAGCCCCGAAGAAGCGAGTTGTTTTGCAGTTGTCGGTGACATTTTTTTCGATTGGTATTTTCGTTTTGGCGAGATAAAGTCGATTTTTTTGGGTTTAGAGATGAATGGTTTGGAGAAGAAGTCGAAGTCAAAAGTCTTGGGATTTTGATGGAAAGCACACCCTGCCCTTCCTTCCTTCTACAAACGTTTTGTTCTTGAAACACTACCAAGATCTTTCTCGTGCTATTAGCATCTATCTCTCCATATCCATTGTCAACACGTGAACATGTCAGACAACGGGAGCGACAGCCGCACGGTATGACTCGATGAATACAGGAGGCAGCCAAGATGGCGCTACCATCTCCTTCCATCACCAGGCAAGAGGATGACAAACGCATCACTGACTACCACTGACCGGTACTCCCAGCAATATGACTCTCTATCAATGATATACCCAGGCAGCAGCACAACAAACCCATCCCAATACTCATCGTGATAGCTAAAGAAATCGCCAGAACACTCTCTGGTGGTCTGTGCAGAAGCCTGGAGAAGACTCCAGATTTCCAGAAAATGAGTCACATTGCGTTGCGTGCTATCTCGCGACGTCTTGCAAAAGTGTGGTTTTATCGCGGTTTGTTGCGGCCCAAAAGTTCTTTAGGCTTCCATGTAGGTGGCGATCAGCGATTTCGGGATGACTGGTACAACGTTTCCCTGAAAAGAAAAGGATATGTATAAAGACTATGGTAGTAATCAGTCATGAAGGGAACCCATCCTTTCTTCTTGAGCCTCTGCATTTTTCTTCCTCTCACGCTGTTTTTTCCTTAATCACAACTTCAACTCGATCACTATTTAAAAATGGGCAAACTTCATAATAGACGTCGAACCAGACTGAGGGCGAACGAGAGGACTCACCATCAAGCTCTTGCTATTCCACCTCTTTCTGCACCACTCATGCCTACTCAGACTGTACTCAACGACGATATGACTTTCCGTTCTCAGCAATCTGGTTCTCAGCAATCTGGTTCTCAGCATCTGAACCATCACAGCACTTATTACTACTCACATGAGCAACACGAAAGCCGACACACACAATACTATGGTGCTGAGGAGGGCGACGAGTCTGGAGACCTTTGTCCTCTGATGCTCCAAGTTGTCTTGGATCTGTTTGATGGTGTTGACTACGAGGACCCATGAACAGCTCATTAGCACGAGATCTTATGCCGCTTCATTCTGGCTTAGACTGTTCGTGTACGGAAAACATGATGCAACGAAAACGAAGAACCAAGCAATTGAAGCACTGCCAAAGCCAAGAGGATAAAGGCGTGACTGCGACGTTGCAGGAAGAATGTCTGCATATCACATGGAACAACTCACAGGCGACAATCAAGTTTTGCTATCCGATGTTACAACGGCTGCTCATGTCACGAGTCTGCTCAACATCACGAGTTACGACTCTCCAAGCATGGACTCGAAAGGTTCCAAAGAAGGAGGCTGAGTTGCCAGAGATGCCGAACTTGCCTCGTACGACAACTGCGTCTTTGCCACCAGAAAGTTGTCTGCCTGGAGACTGCTTGCCGTTTGCCACTGCTGGACACGATGTTGCCTTCTTGGTTGAATGACCCACTTGGGCAGTTGTTATGATGTTGCAACTGCAAAGATCTTCGTCGTAGTCTATCAAAGATGACGCGGTGATGTTGTGATCTACCAGCAGTATGTTATCGAGAAACACTCTTCTCATGCACGATGGAGAAGATCAGATGTATCTGCGTTGCCGGGATGGTCGGCAGTTTTGGTTTTGATGGTTTATCTGGTTGCTGTGGGAATGACCCTGCTCTTCAAGGCAAAGATCAACCAGCAGATCGGGGCAGCCATACTGATGTTTGCTGAGGCAAGAATGAGTCTCGCGCTGTTGAAGCGATTGGGGTCGTTATCTTCATGATGATGTTGAAGTTGATGTTGATGATGTATGAATGAATGAAATCCTAATGCCCATATCCTAGATCGATATAAATAGAAACAGAGTTAGCTTGAGAACGAAGTCGCTCTCACAATTGTCGTCATTAGCAATGATTATTCACTCAAGTATCCTTAATGTCTTGCGTGTTGTGTAGCAATCAAGCAATCGTTAATGAACTTTGACCGTCTGCCGTGTAGTGATCCACCGAAATGTTGCGGTAGTCGCATTATTTCCGAAGTTCCGCTTTCGTAATTTGACAATTGAACAGCCACACCAGAAACGGAAAGCTTTTAGATGGAAACTACTCCGTGGACAAGAACAAAAGTAGATGTTTACGCGTCACTTCCATTTCCAGAATTGCTCACCCCATGATCGGAATCCCGGATGGGAAGTTCTCAGGGGCTATTCAAGGAAGCAGGAGATTTGATCGTGATTTCGGTTTTCGCTCGTGCAGAGCTGCGCCATTCAACATGACGAAAACAAAAGCTGGGGTAAGTTAATGCAATTTGCGGGCTTTGTTGTTGTTGGTTTGCTGGAAAGATGCATGCTCCATACCATGCCACTTGCTCTTCGGTAGCATCTTTCTGCATGTGTGCCGTTCCGCGGGCTCTGCGATCTTTGCAATGATGGTGTTGCTTGCGCTCCCTGAATAGCATTGTAACGATATTTGCCTCCTGAGCCGAAGGCGTGATGGTAATGTTGCCATCCTGTGCGGCTTTGTTGTGCACCTAGCGCAATTGTACACGGTCCTCGTCACGGAGCACATTTTTCTGGGGGAGGCTTGCTTCAGCCACATCTGGATTGCGCCTCGGGAGCTTTGGCGGTGTTTGTGCTTTGCGCATCGGTTCAGCTGTTCACGATGGTATTTCTGTCAAGATCAGGCCGTCAACACCAGATCTACAGATCTCGATGGAGGCGTGTGAAAGTTGGCATGGCGCAAACGACGAAGAAACGGTGCTTTCACATCCAAGGAGGCGGTGGAACTTGTGTATCGTCAAGTCTGCGGTCGCCTGAAGCTGGCTCCGAGGGAGCACATTGCAGAGAAGCTGAATTTGGTGGTGCTTCGGCTGGCGGCTGAAGACACCGGAGCTACTTGCCGCTGCTTCCAAATAGTAGCATAACAACGAGCAGCATACTGAATGTCAGCATCATCATGAAAGTTGTCGCCTCATAGAGGTGTAATGATCGTCTCTGTAGCGGACAGATGTCCTTGGAGAATATCGTAAGAGATGATTTGCGCTGTGTCGTTGCAGTGGTTGGTCATACCGCAAATTCAGATTCTCATCTTGACCAGACTCAGGCTTCACCACCTCTAAGACATGACATTATTGATGACGACTATCACCTTTGTGCTTTGGATGAAGAGTTCAGTATGCGACAATCTTAGCGAAGGCATGGCAGAACGAAGAGACTCAAAGCCACTGTCGCAAGTCTGTCTCGGTTGACAACCCTGATACCGGCGATTGAAAAACATGGCAACCGTTTCTGAATCCGGACTTGAACGGTCAAGCCCGGTGCGGCGCGCACGCGTTTCCATGACATCTTATCGTGCTTGCTTGACCGTTTGACCTTCTGGAATATTGCCTTGACAGTCGTCCTGTTGTCTCGACGACTGGGAAATTGGGAAAGGGTGGTCACGATCTATTCAATCATGTGTAGGGCTCACCCAGATGGACATGACGCCGAGCAAGTAGCCAAGATGCACCTCCTGACTTTGAACTGTGTAAGGTCGGCGACCAAGGCCGAGTTTGAGTTTACCCTACCTCCTCATGAACGACGTTCGCTTCTTGCACAGATGACGATCAGCAGAGGGGGGATGAGAAACTTTTTCGGCGGACAAGCAGCTCCGAAGTGGTGGAGCAGCGGTGAAAAGAGGCAAGGACAATTGACATCTGAGTCATGTTTACAGGCTCTCACTTCGGCGCGAAACGGAGACGGACGGCGGAAACGCGGAGCGCAACAAGACCAAAACGAAGCCTTATGAGGTATGATCGACATGGACAAACCTGAACGACGAACGTGGTTGCAGATGAGGTTGTGACAGACAGCGAAATGGGCGCTTGGCACACGTCTGGAAAGGCGTGAGAATAGCTCGGTGAAATAGATGCGTGGAAGGGAAAAGGTTGTCGGCCAAACACGCGATGACGGTGTCTGAAGAAGCGCCGTTGGAGCAGAAGCGTGTTGACGAGGCTCTCTCTCGAGGGTCACCTTACAACAAACGAGTGAAACCGCAAATCTACTCGGAGTAGCCAAGCAGCAAAGTTGATTGGACCAATCTCGCGACTCGCATGTGTCAATATCTGTAAGAAGCAGAGAGGGTACAGCCAAGCCGGCAGCACATAAATCGTGCCCGTAAAGAGTGGAGTTGTATGAATGAGGGCAAGGAAGAAGACGGTCCGAGGACTCAGTTGCGTCGGGTCAGTGACAGGAATGATGGACGATCCTGTGTCGTGGCCTTTTGTTCACGTGGACGATTTGAGGCAAAGTCATGACATGAGATGGCACAAATTCAGGTTCAGGAAACCCTTGGTAGAGGATAGGCAAGGCCGCGGGGAGCATGAATCAGCCGGCGGCAGGTTGGGGGCATTTGTGTTGCAATTGGTGTGCTCAGGGAGGGCAGATCTCTATCGGATGCTACTACCTTACATAGGATGACAGATCAGCATCACAGCGCCTGTAAGCTCTTGAGCCTCCTGCTTGCAACCAGTACAGGAGAGCCGGTCGTGTTATACAGAACTGCCGGTGTGCGTGTACAGTAGAGCACTGTCGGCAGGGGATTTCAAATTTCTCAGCTGACTTGAGCCGTTGATTGTGTTCATCTGACAGGGCCAGATGGACTGGATGGAGCTGGAGGGCAGGCAGGGAGAGATGGGATTTGAGGCTAAGGGCTCACGGACCCGCATATATGACGATTTCTGAGGGTCGTAGCCGAGCTTGGTCGCCCATCGCTCTTGGTCCCGCGACTCGTCCAATTGTCTTTTCAACGCAGCACCTGCTTTTGACAGTTCCACTTCCTTTCCTTGCTCACTTTTCGGCCTCTACCGACTGCCACTTGAGCCTTCTCTCCACCGCCTTCCACGTACTCATCAGTACCTCTCTCCCGACTACAGCCCTCAAGGAAGACATGGTGTTTCACGCGCTGCGAATCTTCTCCTAGCGCCGCCGTCTCCGAAATCCGCCCTCTCACTCGAATCTAATCAAACACCACACACCGCCGCAACCACCACCACTCTTCGTTATTTGTGTCATCTCGATCCATTGTCTGCACTTTGCCTAGAAAGTCAGACACCATCTACCATAAACGACCCTTCCATCACAATATGACATCGCTTGCATACGCACAATATACCGTCGACTCTGCTCCCATCGAGGCACTCAGTGAACCCCCATCAAACCCCTCTTTCTCCCCACCACTCTCAACTACGTCATCCGACAACGACATACCTACTCGCGGTCGCCTAGACGCCACTAGACCCAGACTTGGAAGTCGTAAAAGCAGCGGCACCATGATCATTCCAAGAGACAGCCCCCGTGTCGAGATGGCACCCGGCGAAGAAGAATACGAGCCCGATGATGTCCGAAGCATGAGTCCCAGAAGGACGAGCGAAGTCATTGAGAAGCTGGGCGAGGATGCTCGACGGAATCTCATCGAGTATGTCTTGAATCTAGAACCTTGAACATGCGTAATATTCCCATGCTGACAACCCACTTCTTAGGNNCAAGCACAAGCACTCAGAGCAAGTCTCATGGCAATTGTCGACCGTGTCGAAGCTGTCAAGATTGAGCACGAAAAGCTCGAAGGCGGCAACAAGTTCCTTCAATCGTGAGTACTCACCCCGCCGTAGTATACCTTACCGTTCTTGCTAACATCCCGTCAGGNNTACATTGGCGAATTAATACAGACCAGCAAAATCACATCAGCGGCTCCACCCAAGAAGGGTAAGAGTCGCAATGCGAAGTAACGACCATGATCTTTTACCTTCAACACAACACATTTGTCTTCAATTAGCGGCATTCGACACACGGCGTTTCGGCAAATCTGGATTACTATCGGCATGGCAGGGGTTTACTCGAATGGGCAAATGCAGGATTATCGGCGCATGGTTCAGTTTCACGGCGTCAGCCATCGATTTTCGATGTGGTCTCTTCATTACTATTATCATTGTATTGCTGCATTTCGAAGATACCAAGGGCCAAGCAAGGGTTCAGAGCTGGCAAGGGTGCCCATCGTGCACACCGTTCGAGATATGCCAGAAAGAGCCTACGGGCCGGCCACTCCTCGCATGACCTTTCTTTATTTACTTCTTGTATCATCAATTCAAAGACATTCTTAATAACCGGCTGCAGACGCAGATGTGTGGAGTCTTTTTCGGGTGTTTACTGCGTACTACCCCTGATCGTGATCGGAACATGTCTTGTCTGCACCCCCAGTGCGACTATTGAGAGTTACACAGAGACGAAGGATGTAGGTGGATCCACCTGCCTACTTCTAGAGAATTACCGAAATGGGCTATATACGATTAGGTTCAGGAGGTAGGGAGCGGATGGTCCTGCAAGCTACAATAGGCGTGTTCAGCCAGCCCACGCCGACTCTTCAGCCTCCAAGAGCCCCACGAGGTTGACAGCGTTTGGACATGGAGGCGTTGCCAAGGCTCGACGAGGAGTGCTCGATAAGGGGCGACGGTTTGACGAAAACCGATTGCTGGAAGATGTGCCTGTGTCCCTTTGCCGTGTAACGCAAACAGGAAAGAGAAATCCTTCACTTCGTTGTCGCGATCCTCTTTTCTACTGCTTTGATCGAGAAGTTAACTGAGAAAATACACTTCTTGGATAGTTGACAAGCAATGCCGCAAGCACGGACGATGGCTGCACGCTTGGGAGCGCAGGGTAAGCAAGCAAGCAGATGCATCCTCTCAATCACCATTTTCTGTATTGAGATCATTTATCATACAGCATTGCTGACAGTAGAGTGCAGTAATTGCTACGGCAGAAAAACGCCGATTCCGCAACATGTCGACTAATCACACGAATAGTGTCGCCTGTTGGCTCTGGTCGTCCTCATCTCACTAGGGGTGATAACTTTGCTGCAATCGCTGCAGACAACTCCTAGCATACATGATATACCACTTTCAATCCGCGGACACAAACTTCGAGGTTCTTCTGGAGCGAAACACCATCCAGCCCAGTCAATTCGTATCAAGAAGGTATCGGCACTTTTCGGCGAACCGAATTATCTCTATGAAGCTGCTCTTGCGACCCACGAACGACACAATGCCCTGCATGGGTACAAGATGCAGGTGTTGCGAGAACGTATCCATGCAAGCTTTTTGGCCAAGCCGGCGTATCTCATGTCTGTTCTCGTGGAAGAGTTGGCCAAGCCGTGGGATGAGCGAATGCAGTGGCTGGCGTGAGTTGTGTCGGCCTTTTCAACCTGAAAACTTTGGACTGACTTGAGCCAGCNNTGGGTTGATCCGGATACGCTTGTATTGAATCAGCAAATTCCACTGGAGCTGTTCATGCCTCCTCCTGATGAGGAAATCAACTTGATCGCAACTCATGACGACGATGGCTACTTCAATGGCGGTGTCTTCTTCCTGAAGGTCGACAGCTGGTCTCTGGAGTTTTTGGTACAAGTGCTTGCAGTGCCTCTGACAGACAGAAAGCATCACGTCTCCTTGAACAAGGACCACGCGGCGCTCGAACAAATCATGGAGAGTCAGAGATTCCGCAGCGGAGTAACTTATCAGCCTCGGCTCTGGTTCAATGCCTTCGATTACAACAAGACGTACGAAGGCGAATCTGGGAACCTGATGGTGCACCTTCTTGACCTTGGTGGAGACAAATGGGCTAGGATGGACAAGTATTTGGGCAACGTGACGAGCAAGATCAATCCTCACGAAGTACCGCTGGACCAGACGAAGTATGAGAAGCAAGTGCAAGGTTTCTGGAAAAGAATGGCAGATTCACGCAAGATTCTCAAGGAAGCGAAGGCAAAGGAAAAGGGTCACGATGAGATCAAGGAGGCAGCGAGAAGATTGAAATTTGCGTTGGACTTCGAGACGGACAATGAGGTGGTGATCAGAGGAGCATACGATTCGCTGTTAAAGGCATTGTACGAGAACAAGTAAGGGGCTGGTCTTTTGGTGGTGATGTAATTCCTTGGAGCGCAGGCGTAACGGAAGAGGAGCATTGGAATAGCCAAAGATACCCAAATAGACATGATTCTAGAGTCTGACAGCACAAATAGTCTGACTCAAATATAGAGAATGAACTCAATGGAGAATGGTGGAAGGTCATGGGCGCCAAGAATGATGCGGGCGTTGGAGGTTTGGAAGTTGGCAAGAAGACACGAATCGCAATTGCATGTGCTCTGACTGTCTCCAGCTACGAGTCACCTCTGAGAACCCTCCTTTTATTTTTCCTATAACCTCGACCTGGTCAAGACGCAGCGCGTTTGACTCTAAATTTCGACTACTTTCTTTTCTGTGCTGTTAACTAGCAATACCAAGTTCGCAGCTTGGTCGACTCGGACCCGAATACAGTAGCAAGGCGCCGCCGCCGCCATGTCGACCGAATACAACTATGACGAACAGGGCCAGTTCTTCCCCTTCTTCTTCGTCACGGTAGCTGGTCTGGTCACGCTACCAGTGACATATTCTCTTCTCAAGCCCAGCAAAGGTGCGTCTCAATCAATGCTCTGAAATAAAGCCAGCAACTTACCCAGTGTCCAGNACCTTGAAAACACAGCGACGCGAATCGAATCGTCCTACACGCCCGAACATGCAGATCTCATCGACGGACACAGGAGACGGCAAAAGAGGAGGGAGCGCAAGATCAAGCGAATGATTGTCGCTGGTGTCGGATGGACCACAATTGCTCTGATGGTCTACCTCATGGCTGTGACCCAGCGCAGCACACCCAAGATCTGGGATCCTTATGAGATTCTGGGAATCCCAATGTCTTCGACCGAGAAGCAGATCCAGAGCCGCTACCGCCGATTGTCAGTTACCATGCATCCCGACAAGGCCGTGCCTGATGCGGCAAAGAACGAAACTCTCGAAAGTGTCAACGAGCGCTGGGTTGAGGTCATCAAGGCCTACAAGGCTCTCACGGATGAGGATGTGCGCAGAAACTTTATCGAATACGGAAACCCGGACGGCAAGCAGAGCACCAGCTTCGGCATTGCTCTTCCTCAGTTCTTGATTACTGAGGGCAACGGAAAGTACATCTTGCTCGTCTACGGCGCTTTGTTGGGTATCCTGCTGCCATACTTTGTGGGTAGCTGGTGGTACGGATCGCAAAAGGTTACACGCGAGAAGATTTTGGTTAACAGTGCTGGCAACATGTTCAAGGAGTTCAGCGAGCGCATCGACGACCACGGTGTTGTCAATTTGCTCAGCTCGGGTGTTGAATTCGAGACGCTTCTTCACGGCCACAAAGCTGATGCTGGAACTGGACAACTCGAGAAACGTCTACTTCAAGAGGCTCGTGTTCTGACAGAAAAGGATCGTCGCTTCTTGCAAGACATGGACGACACTGTGCGTCGCAAGACTCTTGCACTCCTCTGGGCTTACCTGGCTCGTGTTGAGCTTGACGACCAGACCTTGAACGACGAAAAATACCAGCTCGCCCCTACCGCTCTCACACTGAACGAGGCCTTTGTCTCTGTCTGTCTAGCCTATGGCTTCACCAACCCCGTCCTCGCATCCTACCGCACTTCGCAAAACCTGATTCAAGCTGTTGCTCCCGAATCGCCTCCTCTCCTCCAACTTCCTCACTTCAACGAGAAGGTCGTCAAGGCAGTCGAGGACCAACTTGATCAACGCAGCCACCTGAACATTCAAACCTTCATGAACTTCCCCGACGCTCGTCGCCGTGAACTCGCAACCTCTGCCGGTCTCTCGAACGCTCAGCTCGACACTGCCATCAGCGTTGCCTCTCAGCTTCCCCGTCTGGTCATCGAGCGTACTTTCTTCAAGGTCACTGGCGAGAAGCACATTATCCCCAACTCTCTCGTCCACCTGNTCGTCAAGGCCCGCTTCATCCCTCCCGGCACTCGCAACATCCCCGACGTCCACCCTTCAGACCTCGAAGACATTGACCCAGATGAGACCGACACCAAAGCCAACTCACGCCCCGACCCTGCCGAGCAAAAGCAACACCAACCCCCTCTCGCCCACGCTCCCCACTTCTCTCGCGACCACTCTCCCCGCTGGCACCTGTTCCTCGCCGACGCACGACAAGGCAAGGTTGCCGTGCCACCATTCACCTTTACCACTTTCGACAAGCCTATTCTTGATGAGTCTGGCAAGCCTACCTTCAACGTCCAGACTCTGAAGATGCAGTTCCAAGCCCCTCCTCAACCCGCGCACTACAAATTCCAGATGCACCTTGCGTGCGACAGTTACATTGGCTTTGACGACAAGAGAGATGTGATTCTCTCCGTCGAAGACCCGAGTTCGATTGAAGAGGCCGAGTGGGAGGATGAGGATATCTCTGAGCCTGAAGAAGGTAAGTTATCTGCCCTTGTGTTCATCCCTTTTGTCTAGATGTTGATGCTAATGCTTTTTATCAATACAGACTCGATTGCAGGACAAATGGCCACTCTGCGCGGCGGCGCTACCAAGAAAGCCACAAGCCCGAAGATCAAGCAGGCCAATGACGATAGTGATGAAGAGAGCGGAACGGATGAGGAGGAAGAGACGGAAAGTGAGACGGATACAGACACTGATACCGATGAAGAGTAGAAAGGCAAGGAAAAAGAGGATTGCATTTGTACGACTCGTGTGTGTGTGTGTTTCTTGTCTTTGATAGCATTATTTCCCAAAACATCTTGAAGGATGGCTGTTTCTCTCTGTTTACCTAGCTTTTTCTTCGAGATCCACAAATTCAGGTATCTTCATCTTCATGGCTTTGTCTACAACTTCTGAAACACCTTTGAATCATCATGGATCTCTCGTCAAGAGAAGTTGAATTTTGAGAGAGCTAAATGCAAGCAAGCAAATCAAGTAATCCTAACCCCCACACCCACACTGCCCGTTCTAAAACACTCGACGCCTCCACTCCCCAAACACTCTTCCAGTATCCACTCAAACCTAACCCCNCAAAACATCTTCCACTTTTTTGTTTTCCCAGGCAAGACGCCATTCCACTCGCCTCTAGCTCTCTTGGCTCTGCTTTGGGCATCTTCCAATGGTATACCTCCATCCCACCGCTCTCTTAATATGTCTCGAGTGCTTTCTTTGTATTTCGGAGATGGTTTTGTGAGGAGGGAGAAGAGGTGGGTTCGTGCTTCTATTATGAGGCGTAGGTATGCTCCTGTGTGTGGTAGGGAAAAAGTCAGGGTTTGTGGTTGTTGAGAGGGGGATTTGGAGGTTGAGGGGCTGAGGTTTAGACCNTTGCCGCCGCCGCCGTTGAGGTGCACGGCTGAGGGGCCACCAGTAGCTGCTAGAGTTCCTGTTGCTGCTGTGGACCAAGAGTTTGCTAGCGATGAGGAGCCTGGAGAAGATGCTTGGCCGGGTAGAGAGAAAAGGTCATTGCTCAGCACGCTTGTAGATGTTATGAAACCGGCTGCTATGAGTTCTTGAACTTCTTCTGGCAGAAACAGACTTGCTGGTACGGTGTATGAAGACGTATTGTCTTCCAGCACTTTNGCATATTTCTCTTTTAGGTCTTGAGATAGAGCTGGGTGTTGTTGGATAGTGTTTATCCAGTCCTCGACTATGATGACGCCTTCACCGATTGCAAAACCGCCTTTTCCTCTTCCTGGTATGTTTATCTTNTTGACGATGCCGGAGTGGATCAGGGTTGCGAGTTGGCGCTCGATGGCTGTGGTCGAGGTAGATACTGCGTGTAGATGTGCTATGGAGACTATGGGCGGCATGTTCTTTCGGAAGTTGAGGACTTCGGCTATTCGTGTGCTGTTCATTCCCGCTGCTCTTTCTGGTATCTCGGTCCATGTGTGCTCTTGGATATATCGAATAAGGCTAACCACATCTTGAGGTACTTTCGGTGGTGGTAATGTCGTGACAATGCCAGTATTGTCTAGAGGTTGTTCGGTGCTGGTGTTCGCTTCGGACTGAGATCTCTTGACTCCGGCTTGTGGTGTAGTTGCGGCTTTGCGTCGAGGATGGTTGCCGAAAGGTGAAGAAGCTGAGCGGAGTAGTTGGATTGGCGACTTTTTGGGCCGTGATTGTAGTGGTTTTGGCACACCGGTTGCGCTGAAAGACATGGCGATGGTATGGACTGATGAGCAGCTGTACTGCACAGTATCTGCCGAGATGAGTAGTGGAATGTCTGCCTTGTGGCAAGAGAAGTACACGTGATCACATGAGCAGGCGAAGGTGACGAAAAGAGGTACTTAGATATGAATTGGCAGACGACCGTGATAGACGGGTCGAGATGCTCGTGAAGAAGGGGATACTGAGCGCATTCAAGGTATGCGAATGACTCTGGGATGCAGTTCTTGCTTTGACTTTGTGAGGAGAACGGAAGGAGGGACGCGAAGTGAAGCTCGGGATCGACGAACGTGGCTGCCGAGAGACTTTGTGGTCCTGCAGCAGCTGCTTGCCAACCACCACTCGTTCCTTCTCTGACCACGTCTTCCTTCTTGTCCTTCTTGAATGCTGTAGAACGAGCTCGCGGTCTGCGAGGAACACTCGAATGAGTTGGACAAGTTATTCATCTGATCGGTGTGTCTCGATCGCTACATCTGATCGTGCCGACCACACGCGTGAACATACATACGTATTTCTATCTTCCATACCTGGACTGGACAGTTGAAAAATATTTCTCTGGATATCGGCACTTTGGACTTGGCTACTCTGCTGTACAATACGATCTTTATACACGGCATGTCTTCCGATCCAAGTTTCGTTATCAGCGAGAGAGCCTCAATACGGGTAAAGGCCCGCGAACACCCGCTTTTCTTATCGTGCATTTTTTATTCTTGTGCACGCCCTACAACACAGACGCTTCACGCCCAACCCACAAACACGCCTTGCGCCCTAGGGAGTCTGTAGCAGAGACTTTCTTCCATCATGGGAGCATGGGTGGTCGCAATGGACAAAACCCCTGCTTGTCCCGGGAACATTCTATATAGGAGTTTATATCTTGAAATACAACAACTTTTCTTCCCAGGCTTGAATATTTGATCGACTTGCACAAACCTAGTGCAGACATGTCTCAACCTGGCGAGAAGAAGACCATGCGGGAAACTATTTACGAGGAGACTGAGAAGAGTTCTGCTTCCTCGAGTCCGGATCTTACACCCACCCCTTCATCATGGTCAGAAAAGAGCATACGAGAGCCTCTCGAAGAGATATTCGAGCCAGAAACACGCCCACAATCTACAGATCTGGAAAGGACGCCGACAAACGTTCTGAACAGGATTGCATCACGAGTAACGACACATTCGCTCAAGGAACCTGGCCCACCACCCGATGGCGGCTTCAAAGCATGGTTACAATGCGCTATGGCATGGCTTGTCGTCTTCAATACTTGGGGATTCTGCAATAGTTTTGGAACCTTTCAGACGTACTACACTCAAACCCTTGGAGAAACCCCTGCAACTATATCGTGGATTGGCTCGATACAAGTATGGGTGCTGTTCTTCCTTGGAACCTTTGCTGGTCGTGCGATGGACGCTGGGTACTTTGTGCCTACTTTCGCTGTGGGCACTGTGTTCCAACTCGTGGGTATCTTCATGACATCCCTGTCCACAAAATACTGGCAGCTGTTCCTTGCTCAGGGTGTGTGTACTGGCATTGGTTCCGGAATCCTGTTCACACCTTCCATGGCACTTCTCAGTACCTACTTTTCGAGCCATAAAGGTCTTGCTGTGGCACTAGCGACTACTGGTAACTCTGCTGGTGGTGCTCTGTACCCTCTCATCGCTCGTCAGCTTCTGCCTCAGATAGGTTTCGGATGGACTATTCGCGTGCTGGGCCTGATCAATCTTGTCTTCTTGTGCACCGCTGGTCTTGCTATGAAGCCTAGACTTCCACCTCGCAAATCTGGACCTTTGGTCGACTTTTCTGCCTTCAAGGAGATTGACTACATGCTCGTCAGCATCGGCTTATGCTTCCACATGTCCAGTCTGTACTTTACAAACTGGTACATTGCGTCCTATGGTCGCGACATGCTCGGCTTCTCCTACTCCAACTCTGTAATCCTGCTCATCATTCTCAATGGCGTGGGCATTCCCGCTCGTGTCCTAGCAGGCCACGTCGCAGACCGTTATCTCGGTGCTCTAAACACTCTGATCCCTGTTCTACTCTACGTCAACATCCTTGCCTTTTGCTGGATGGGCGTGTCTTCCCAAACCTCACTTTACATCTTCGTTTCCTTTTACGGTCTTGGACTTGCTGCTTTCCAATCTCTTATCCCCACCACTATTGCCAGAATGACCAAGGATATTAGCAAAGTTGGCACGAGAATGGGTATGGTGTTTACCTTTNTGTCGTTTGCTTCTTTGGTTGGTCCGCCTATTGGTGGTGCTTTGCTTTCTGCCGCTGGAGGGTCTTATGTTTATGCTCAGGCTTGGTCGGGCGCTTCGGCTGCTGTGGGAACTGCTCTTGTTGTTGCGGCGAGGATTTATGCTTTTGGCTGGGGAAAGGTCAAGTGTTAGAGTCCTGGTGCTTGTTCTGTGCTGGAGAGCCTCAAAAGTGATGAAGCCTTTCTTTTGGGCCTGATGGAAACGAAGATCAAGAATATAGCATACACGATAGAGTTAGACGAATAATGAATATCTTTTAATGCCCCTATTACTACAACACAACACTTGGCTCATATCGATGGTAAGCAATTTGCATACAAACCAAGGACTGCACCTCGCGCAACATATGCACCTATTCTCTCTGTCACCTGCGCTGAGCTCAAGAGTGAGAGGATCCAGAACGATGCAGACCACGCCGAAGGAAACAGTTAGCATTTGTCGCTACTCTGTATTCTCGACTCACTTGCTTTTTACCTTCCAATTTTGTGGCCAACAGACCCATCACGTTTATAATATCAAAAGTTCGAAATCTGCATAACAAAGACCTTCACTGGCTCGATGGAAAAACCCGATACTCTGTAACATTATACATTGTTGACAAGGAATTTAAACCATAACAAGTAAGCCAGGAACCAAAAGGTCCGGGGATCGACTCCCCGCGTGCGCACCTTGCACTAAGAACTGTTGTGACTGTCCCGTAAATAAAACCTTGGCATGGCCTACATAAGATCTGCTACACAAAGACTACTACAAGTCCGTGGGTGATCGGTCAGCTGGTATACTGTAATGGACCTGTGCTCCGAGAGGGCCGAAAAATTGCCTATATTGCATAGGTAAGGACTGGGTCATCCTTTTGCTCTGGTGGAGTATGGTGGGTTTCTTTTTCTAAGGGCTGGGACAATGAGGTACGTAACTGCATTTCCGTGCGGCATGCACCAGAGTACCAAAATCATTGTGAGTGCTTGATGTGGTGAAATGTTTTAGACATTGATGTTTTCTGTTTTCATAGACTATACGCCCAATCACTTGCTGCTCTCAGCATACTTTGCGTACATCAAGTCATACAACTTGAGTTCGTTGATGGCATCCTCAGCACTAGTCTTGATCCCCTTGCCGTTGACCAAGCAGTCATGCATATCCTGGAACTCAGAAGCAAATGCATCTTCAAAAGAGCTGATGATCTCTCTAGTCTGGACCTCGCCAGCGTCATTCACTTCTTGAACTCTGACCATGACAGGCTTCTGTGTCTTGATGTAGGGAGAGTCGTAGAAGATGGTGACGCGCTTGTTCTCGCCGTAGACAGCCAAGTGAGCATCGAATTCTGGCACACCGTCGATGCCTGATTCGTAGGTTACGAAGAAAGGATCCTTTGCGCCTGACTTGTTGCGGCATTTGAAGATGGCGGAGTAGAAAGGTTCGTTGACGGTGACGGCAGTGACGTCCTCAGGGAAGCCAAGAGATTCTCTCATTAGAGATAGATCGTGGCTTCCCAAACTGCCTAGGAAGCGGGCATACTTTACTTGCTCTGGAGTTGGGTCTGTACCAAAGGCTTCTTTAAGAAGGGCATCTACTCTNTTGTTACGCTCTTCTCCTGCCGCAGGTGGAAAGTCGGTGTTTTTGACGGGGAAAGTGCCTGACTGCGATGTGAATTTTCCATTTGCNTGCAAATCTGTTAGTAAAACTGGGTCTGGCGCAATGAAGCTCTTCGAGAAAAACAGGTCCAACATACGTCCAGAAAAGTCACGAGATCTGGCATAGAGAATCTTTGGGATGGATTCAAGTTCACGCTTGAAAGCTTCCGTAAAAGTGCGACTGTGGCGCCTCATATAACCCACCCATACTCGCCCATTAGACTGCTTCTCGGCATCGATAATACGTTGAGCGGATTGCATTGACAAAGTGATGGGCTTCTCGATGAACACATTCTTTTGTGCCTCGAGAGCTGCAATGGCGTAAGGCTCGTGGAACTCATCAGATACGGAGATGAAGACGACATCTACGTCCGCACTGTTGAATATGTCCTTTGGATCCGTGGTCGCCTTGGGAATGTGGTACTTTGCTGCGCAATGCTCTGCATTCTTNGAAGGATGAGGCTTGTTAGCCATGCCGTTAGACTATAGCGGCGGCTAAACATATGCGAACCTTTTGGATAGATCACAAACTGCAGTAATGTCGTAGAGATGTGAAAGTTGGCACAATGTGGGTAGATGAATGATTTGAGTTACTGATATACACATGTCAACATCAATAGCTCCTTCCATACCATGTGCCTTCCACTGCTTACCTTCACCAGCACCGATGATACCAATGCGCAGACGTTGCAATGAATCAGCCATGATTTGTAGTATACTGAATTCCGAGTCGAGATCTCGCCTGCAAGATGACCGTTGTAAAAGTGTTCAAAGAAAATGTGCTCCCCAATCACGTTGTGTTGAGTTCTTGCCAGAAAGATGCGGGTCACTGACGTAGCTGTGTGTTGCCGGGTTGCGAGTCATGCTTGGCTGCTCCTTCGAACGTTCTTATATCGAATGAAAACGGCATCTAGATCTCTTGAGCCACGAGGTGATACTCATACGTACGAACGAGCCGAGCCCTAAGGGAGGGTTTCATTCCGGCATTTTAGATCTCATATTTGAAGAGATATAGCTTGAAGAGAAGGACGGACTAAAAGTGCGCTACAGCGCTTTCGCATATTGGTCAGGACTTTTGGCCTAGATATTTCAGGGGTGTGATGTTGATGATGCCAAGCATAGGATCAGGATCAAGATAAACATCCTCCGACGCTTTGCAGTCTTCTTCCACATTGCACGAGTGCTCAATTATCTTCTTCCTGTGTGCAAAAGAGTCACATTCTACATTGCAACATGTCATCAGAGGCTCTCGATAATGCAGTCATGCGACAATCCTGGCAAGCCCATCCGGACGGGTGCTCATGGTCGTTCTCAGAGACAAACGTTGTGCCTTGCCGCAGTCTCGACCAAGCCGCTGTACCTAGCTCTGTCTCTGCCCTACGCTACAAATGGCATAACGACTCACGAATATAGTTACGTGGGTCAAAGGCAGATGCTAATTACCTACTCTAGGTTAGCATGCCGGGAGGCTTATTTCAACGTTGTTCTCAATTGCCGTACAACCATACGATCCTTGATCTTAACCACGGGAGATAACCACATCTGGGCGGCGTTATGGCTTCTAGGTCAACTGCCTGGACTGGGTAACACTCGTAGACATAGGAACTAACGTCCGGCAGTCGATTGCACTGTCTCTGAATCCTTCTGATGCCCGTTGTGGTTATTGACCTAGCCTACACAGTCCTTCCTGTCAATCCTTTGTGAGTAGCGGGGCGCTGCGGTGTCTTATATGTGCCATCGAATCCTTGATGCGGAGTTCTACGATGGATCTTGTGTAGTCCATATATGACTTCGTTTTGCCCTCTCTTCATTCTCTCGTTCTGAAGTGTTTTGGTTTGCTGCTTTCCATCTTGACATTCGTTCATTTGTTTTCAGCGGCTTTGAGCCGACGGTTGACCAGCAAGATGCGTCTCTCTTTTGCTCTTCCAGCACTCCTCCTCACTCCTTTCACCCTCGCGGCAACTACTGCAGGCAAGACTACTTGTAAGAATTATATCACGTCACCTCATCTAGCAATGACGCTAACCTCTTCAGCTTGCTCTGCCACTGATCTTAAGACATTCAATGGAGATGTCAAATATGGTGAAGCATTTTGCGAGTTCTGGCTCGTTGTCAGCCGCAATACATCACCTCTCCCCAATCTTGCTGCTAGCCCTCTTACCAATGTCTGCCAGTGTATTGTCAGTGGTCAATCTTCAGCAACCAGCACATCCACCCACACATTGGTCAGAGGAGCTAAAGTGGTCTCGACGTCTTCAAAGAGCACTGCAAAGGTCTCGAAAAGAGCTGTGACCACAAGTAAAGCCACCAGCTCCAAGCTCGTTTGTGTTAGCCAGGATGTCACCGCTGTACAGAATGATATCACCTACACCACTCCTTTCTGTAAATGGTGGGCTACAGACTCGAGAACCAACTCACCTATTCCCGGCCTCTCTGCTTCTCAGGTCACGAACGCATGTAAATGCATTCTGAGCTCGGCAACAAGCACATCAAGCAAGCAATCATCAACTGTCAAGATCGTCTCAACCTCGACAAAGTCATCGGCGATATCTTCCAAGAAAGTCTCGAGCAGTTCCAGCAAGAAGTCTTCGTCCAGCGTCAAAAGCTCTAGCACCAAAGCTTCTGTCACAGCTACTCGTGGTCAAGTCTCATCTTCGGCTGTCAAGAGCTCATCGTCAAAGGTCATCAGCTCTTCCTCAAAGAGCTCATCTGCCTCTGCCTCGCAGCTTAGCTTATCAACTGCAACAACATCGAAGCAAGTGTCTTCTAGCAGCACCAAGACGAGAGGAGCACCTGCCCTCAAATCTACATCGGTCACCTCGTCTTCGAGTGTGGCAAATGGAGCGAGCTCAACTGCGGTTGGTCAGACATCTTCATCAACGAGCATGCAATCGTCCTCGTCTGCAAGTTCGCAATCATCTTCATCGTGGACTAGCACTAAGTCTGTCGAGTCACGCACCAGAGGTATGGCGCTAGCCCCACAAGCCAGCTCTAGTGCTGCTCAGGCGGCTGCGGGTTCGCAGAACGCGTTGAGTAGTTCGTCTGTAGGTACTCCAGGATCGTCTTCAAGTGCTTCTAGTGGTTCCAGCTTGCAACAATCTTCGTCTCAAGCTACTGCAACCACTTCATTAACCACCAGCGAGGTGCGCATCCGCGGAAGCAAGGTTCCTGTTACTACCGTATCGACAAGTTCAGTCGTCGCAGCTCAACCCACTTCTTCGACTGCATCGAGTCAATCTGCATCTTCATCTCAAGCCACTTCTGTCTTGGCTCAGTCTGCCTCTGCATCTCAGTCTGCCTCTGCGTCTCAGTCTGCCTCTTCATCTCAGTCCACCTCAGCCTCACAGATCATAGTCTCCGGGTCTACCTCATCGTCTACCAGTGGCGTCTCTGCAGCTGTCAGCTCGAGTTCGCAATCCGTTGCCAGTAGCTCGAGTTCGCAATCCATTGCCGGTAGCTCGACTTTGCAATCGAGCTCGCAGTCGAGTTCGCAACCCGTCGCCAGTAGCTCAAGCGCTTCTGTATCGCCAGACCAGAGCTCGAGCAGCATCGAAAGTGTTACTCAGTCGATCCCGAGCACTACCACATATGAGGCTTCTGCAAACCCTACCGTCAGCGAGAGTGCTACAAGTTCGATCGAGTCTTCTCTGGCTACTGAGACAAGCAGTTCAACCGTGTCGCTGGCATCCACATCTACTGACGCTATTTCGCAACCTTCTCCTGACGTCGAGTCATCTTTCTCTATTGCTCCTGGACAGGCATCGACAACCAGCAGTGGAAGTTCCTCGAGCTCAACTCTTGAGAGTACATCAACTGCTTCCGAGTCAGCTGGCCAAGCTGCAATCACTACGGACAGTGTTTCTTCGTCGCAGAGTGTGACCGTCGACCCTGCAACAAGCACTGTTACCCAATCCCTCAACAGCCCAGCAGCCACTCCTGAGAGCCGAGCCGCTGGTGTTTATGCTTCTCACTCGGATACCTCGGCTGACAACACTGCTCTGCAAAGCAATGGCACGACTTCTGGTTTCGGCTGGGCATGGAACAGTACTCAACTCTCTATCAACACCATGGGATGGTTGGTCAACTCAAATGGAAGCTACCAAGCTTTCCAGGTCGACAACCAAACGACATTGGACATGGCATCAGGTCCCATCCTGACAATGTCCAAGGCTCAAGTTCCCGGTTATGCCTACCTTGGCCCGTGTAGCGTCAGCTCTGACAACTACTTGTCGTGTAAGGCTACCAAATCAGGCATGCAAACTGACATGGACTTTTTCCTCGTTGCAGGCGAGACGACTGGCTCATGGATTCTGTACGCTGGTTTCCATGATCTCAGTTATCACGATGTTGACTTGCAGTTGATCACATCATCTGACGACTCTGCAACTTCTACAACTCTTGCCGGAGCTTCGTCCACATCTAGTGACTATGCATCAAGCACTGAGGCCGTGAACACCGAGTCTTCTACACAAGCTACAATCAGTGCCACTTCGCAAGAGACTGAAGCTCCCTCTACCAGTCTGGGAAGCCCCGAGGCTACCGTAACCAGCTCGCAGGAGCCTGTGACTACGTCCGTCAGCTCGCAAGACATCGAGTCTGTCTCTACCGATGCCAGTGTATCTAGCGACAATGCCCCTGTCACTAGTACCCAGTCTGGAGATGTTTCTCAGACTACTGATGCAGGGATTATCTCTACAACCTCTTCGAGCGATGCTTCGCAGACGACTGAGACTGAGACCTCGCAAATCGGTCCCATCAGCACTAGCACTAGCGACAACTCGCCTAGCGGCAGTCAAAGCGTTGAAGCGACCGTGTCTGCTACAGACATGCCATCCTCCACCACTGCAGGGCAATCTGCAAGTACCACTGGTGTGATCTCGCATTTCTACATCTATGCCACCAACTCATCGTCGTCTGCCGATGAGACTAGCCTCGAGACCGAGTACAACTCTGGCTTTGTAGGTTTCAACATGGCTATGAGCACCTATGAAATCCGTAACTATACTTTGGACTCATCATCCGGTTACGTTTACGATGGTCAGTCATCCAGCATGCTCGTAGTCTGGCCCGGGCATGGAAACAATGTCATGCTAGCATCGCCTGAGGACATGAAGGCCAACAACTATGCGCCCATCAACTGCACGATCAACGCTGACGAAACCTTGTCTTGCTCGTACCAGCAGGCTGGTGTCACTTTCTCAGGGTTCTACATCGATACTGAAGGCTCTAGCCAGTACCTGAACATTGGACAGATGGAGTCAAATGCTGGTTCAGGCTCCAAGAACCAAAGAAACTCTTCCTACGTTTCTCCGGTCACCACAAGTGCTTCCAGTGGCTCACCTAGCTCATCGAACTCGTACCAGACTGTCATCTTGAGACTTTCGTCCCAGCTCATAACCGGACCTTCATCTTTCACGAACAGCAATGCTTCGTCTTTCACCAACAACAGTGCTTCTACCACTCAAGCATCTAGCAGTCTCTCCATGTCTACTAGTGTGGAGAGTGATAGCAACACCTCAACCCAGTCTGCCGTGACGCCTGCGTCGAACAGTGCGATTACGACGACTGACGCAGCTGCGTCTTCGACTGTATCAAGCGAGCCTAGTCTGACGAGCACCATCCAGCTTCAGACAAACTCAACTAGCACTATGGCAAGCAGTTCGATCGTCCAGTACAACATCTCCTCTACGTCGGTCTCTTCTACAAGCGAGCCCAGTTTGGCGAGCACCATCGAGTCTCAGACAAACTCCACTATCGCTGTGGCAAGCAGTACAATCGTTCAGTACAGCAACATCTCCTCCACGTCGGTCTCCTCTGCAAGCTCCACTTCTGCTCCGTTCTATATTCGAGACGCTAGCAACAACTTCGTTGCTGTGTCTCCTGGACAGAATGAAGCTAGTAGCTACGTTGCTGGCCAGGACTCTGCCACATCATTCTACGTTGACGAGAGTACCGGATACCTTATCGAGTCAGGCCTAAACACTACCTACGCTGCCTACCGTAACCCTACCGACGCTCCTGAGAATGTTTACTTCAGCACCGTCGTTGGTTCTTACAGCTATATCGCTTGTTCGCAGAATGCAACAACTGGTGAATTGCAATGCAAGTCCGACAACGTCTTGCAACACGCAATGACTTGCAACAACGACAGCATGCTATACTTTGCACCTACTGTCCCTTCGCAGTGCTCACAGGTTCCTATGTACTATGTGGCTGCCACTGGTAACAACCAAAGCACATCTGTCTCAAGCAGCAGCATTCCCGCAAGCGTATCGGCATCTGTCACTAGTAACTCGTCGCTTAGTGGCCAAACCCCCAGCCAGACTGGCACTACAAGTGATTTGACATCAAGTACTGATGTTAGCAGCACCTCTGAAAGTGCCACCATGTCTCCTGTGCCTACGTTCCAGACGTCTTCGAACGCGTCATCCACCTTCAACGCTTCGATGACCACCAGTGCTGATTCGGCCGCTGCTACTTCGTCTAACGCGATCACTTCCAGCGTTTATGTTCAAGCCAATGTGTCGTCGTCTCAACCTTCGACCAGCGAGACCGCCACATCCTCTAGTGTCGATTCAGCAGCTGCTACTTCGTCTGACGCTTTTACCTCTAGCATCTTTGTTCAAACCAATGTGTCGTCGACTCAATCCTCGACCAGCGAGACCACCACATCCTCTAGCGTCGAGGCCTCATCGACACAGGTCAGCACCGCTACTTCTCAGACGACAGACTCGAGCTCAGGCAGCGTCTCGGTTGCATCCACCACGGCCACCGACTCACAGAGCAGTACCATCTCAAGTCAGACCGCCTCTGCTACTGATTCATCTACGACCGATTCTTCTATCAGCAGCCAGTCTACACTGAGCCCAAGTAGTACGCTCGCATCGAGCACGACTTCTACTGCAAGCAGTTCTGGGCTGCCCACTGCTACTCTTTGTCCTTCTGCAGACAATCAGAACATCACGGATGCTTACAGCAACAACTATACTGTTCACTGCTTCTCTGACTCTACTGTCACCTCGTATTCATCTGCACAAGCTGCGGTAAACTACCTCGATTGTATGACTGCTTGTGACGATGCTTCGTTAAGCGGTTGCACAGGCTTCACATACGTCGGTGGTGCCAATGGTGATAATAGCGGTATCTGTTACCTCAAGACATCTTCCGGTAGCTTTACCACAGCCGGTCCGAACTACATTTCTGGTCAGTTGTCTTCTGTCAACTCTACAAGATACGATAGTTCTGCTGGCGCAAGCCCATCGGGTTCTCTCAGCAGCCCTGGTGCTGCCAACTCCTCTGCCTCCAGTAGCACCGAATCCACAAGCTCGGCAATGTTTACGGTTTCTTCGTCAGCCTCGGCAAGCTCGTCCACAGCCACTGTTTACAACAGCACCATTGGTGCGAATGGTAATAATGCTGTCAATAGTAACAGTGGCACTTCATCGACACTGACGTTGAACAATGGTCCGGCCAGCACGTCGGCGTCAACCACTAGCAGCCTGGATGTTCAAACTACTTCCACGAGCAGTGACGTGACCTCTAGTGCTAGCACGTCTGATGCGACTCAGGCAACTTTGACTTCGTCGGCTTTCACGACTGACAGCTCGAGCAGCCAGAGTACCAGCGTTTCCTTGACCTCGTCTAGCCAGACAGTTGTTACGTCTTCTTCTTCTAGTCAGAGTCTCAGCTCTTCCTCAGCAACTTCGAGCTCGAGTGACGTTGTTTCCTCAACCGCCTTTAGTCAGAGTGCTCTTGTTTCCTCCTCATCGTCCAGCCAGACTACCACTAGTCTCACATCAAGCAGTACTCAAGGCTCCTCGACCAGCGTCAGCTCCTCCGCATCATCTTCGTCATCCAGTAGCTCGGTCAGCTCCCCGGTCTCCGCGAACAGTGCCTCGAGTGTTTCATCAGCTATCTCATCCTCAACGGACGTGGCTTCGGCTTCAACTTCTGTGTCATCCTCTTCGAGCAGCAGTAGATCAAGCGCCAGCTCCTCGCTATTATCATCCGCTAGCCCTTCGTCATCCAGCGTATCTTCGTCTAGCAGCTCGAGCGTTCCATCGACAAGCATCTCTGCCAGTCAAAGCTCAACCACTAGCTCTTTGTCTTCGAGCTCAGTCGTCTCGGTCGTCAGTAGTACCTCAGCAAGCTCGAGTCTCTCATCCTCAGCAAGCTCAAGTCTATCGACCTCAGCAAGCTCGAGTCTCTCGACCTCGGCTCCGGCAAGCACCAGCTCTTATAACTCTGTCTCAGCCGCTATGTCCATTATTGAAGCTTCGAGCTACCAGCCCTTCTGTTCGACATATCTTGGATACAGTTCCTCTACTGAAACTGTCACATCGACAACCACATCTACTAAAGTTGTTGCCACCGCAACAACTACAACCACATCGCTCGTTGCTCAAACCAAGCAATACAGAAAGCGTGATGTCGAACAGCCCAGAGCTACTTGCGACTGTGAGAATCACACTCACGAGCTCAGAGCTACAAGCTCCATCGAAAACACTTCTGCGACCATCCTTCGCCGCAGAAGTGGAACATACGTATACGCTCAGATGCCAACAACTCAATTGCAGCGTCGTGCTACCACAACCAGCTCGAACACCACACCAACCCCTCTCAGAACCTTCTCATCGACTGATCTCAGTTCGGCATGTAGCTCAGAGGTCACTTCTCCTGCAGTCTCTACAACCACCGTTTCGAGCACTGTCACAGCATCCACTACCAGCACGCTCACAAAGACGGCAACTTCTACGACAACTATCTCCGTGGCATCGAGTGCACCAACTGGTGTGGTCGGATACATGTCCTTCAGAGACCCTGTTAACCCTGGCGGTCAATATGCTCTTTCTGATCCCGCTACACACATGACCGATAACTACTATGCCAACAGCACTCGCGAGAGTTTCATCATTACCAACACCAGCCAGCTTTACTCTGTCACACATAATGCCTATTACTATTACCAGACACCTGCTGGAAACGACAAACTGTTCTGGAGCTCAAACAATGCAACTGGCAGTACCAACTGGGTAACGGGTAGCACCACCTCCGATGGATACACACAGCTTCTCATGGTAGACACGCGCTATACCGCTCGCACATACTACAAGTTCTGTTTGATGAAGCTTGGATCCAATGATGCCAACTCGGCCACCGGATACCACGTCTACTACTACAACAGCACAGCAACGTTCCCGACCAATTGCGGTGCCACACAGCTCTGGTTCGCGCCTTCCTAGTCGGGCTCAATACCTCATTGTCTTCTTCTTTCCTTTGTCATCATCACAATCATTATATTTTGCTACCAACAACTCGCAAACTACACTCTGCGAAGCGATCATCAACCATTTTGTATAATCTCTAGTATATAGTTGAAACATCAATCAAGCATATTTCAAAACATGTCAAAGCCACAATCGTCAACTTCATCATGTCACTTCTTCATCCTGCCTTCCAGAAGGTCTGGATGTCTCGTCTCCATGCAGGGTCAAAAGTCGCAATGGCCCCTTCCTAATCGGTCACCAGTCATTTGTCCAGTTTTGTATCCTCGTCTGCCCTTAGGGCAAGTCTTAGCGCGAAGCTTCTCGTTTCGGCTCTTACTCGTGATTACGAGTCATGAACATACGCTTGCGAAATTCAATTGACCGAAATAAACTGCTCACTTTCTTTGGTTGCGCACACCAGCAACGGTGGAAAACGTGCTCGCAGAAAGATCGTCTATGACCAACGGTGTTCAACAAACGTCGAAATTCCAAAGGTAGAGGACTGTCAAGACTGTCAACGGCTATATATACTAATCATTTGTTTTGTGTAAGGTGCGTGTTTGAGATATCGTGATCGATTTCTTGTTTTTTTCCTTCTCGCTTGTTTTTCTCTATCTCTTTGTCTCTCGCTCCGGCTGCGAGATGTTGTTCTTGGCTTGCTGGATTCGTGCAATGCACTGCAGTGAAGTTCTCGCTTACGTACGAGAGGATATGGAGATGTGATTTGACCGTTTCAGGTTTTCACCTGGGCGTTTCGTCGGCACCGCGGAAGAGATCGAAACACGCTCGAGTCACCGAAGTCTAGACACTGTGTTGTTGAGACTGTGAGGCATAGAGAGTCGAAGAGGAAAAATGTTCCAACAAAGAAAATTAGTATGTTTAGTCTATGAAAGGAAAAGAGAGTGTGCAGTTTTCCAGATGAATGAATGCGTGCTGTGTTGTCTACAATGAGGTGCAACTGTGGTTGGTTCCGATTGATGTTAATTTCTGCTTTTGTAGTCCTCCATGCTATGCTGCCAAAAGGGTATATGCAATTCGTAAAAGTCGTAAGAGCTTGGTGCTATCCGGACCAGCCAGGTCGATCTCCCGCTCGATTAGGTTGATTAATTGTTGATGTGGAGGGTAGCCGCAATATCAGATCCAACCAGCTTTGACGCCTTTGCTTACGCGCCAGTCTGTGTTATAGTTACCCATTTCGATATCAGGCTCAGTGCCAAGTCTACGTGGAAGCACTTGAATTTCTGGGACGTGGTCTTCGCTCTCGCTCTCCGCTCGACTGTCCCAGTTTGACATCGCACTGCCATCGCGAAGTGGGAGCATGTTTCGTTGACTCGATGCGCCTGAGGCAGAGCGTTGGGGCCGCGACGAAGCAGCAGAGTGCGATGCAGGCATGATCACGGCGTGATAGTGATCACTTGACTCGTTGCTGTCGTCGCTCACGCGACTATCGACAATGGTGTGCATTGGTATCTTGTCGGATTCCACATCTCGTGTGGACTTCTTGCGGTGGTGCTGCGAAATAACGGTAGAACGGGTAATGGTGGTGTCGTGGATTTTCGTGCCGCGAGACGAGCCGCTACCACTTCCAGTTACGGTGCTGATCATTTCACTGACATGAGCCATCATCGGAGCAAAAAGAGGTTTGAGCGAAGGCGCGCATCCGCACAGGATAGCCAGGTCAATCTCCACTGTTGCGCAAATGTATAGAGGCATTGAGTCCCAGGTTTCGTCGTAGGTGCCCAGCAGCGTTCTCCAGATGTAGTAGGTGCGAATAATACCGGCGATGGTGACAATCAAGCCCAGGGATAACAACCCTGCTACTCCTAATCGTTGTTTGAAGGGCATGTTGAGTCCCATGATGATAGGCACTGGCAACAGGGTGACCGTCAAGTCTGAAATGCAGTTCAGTACTCCGGCGATCAGTGTCACAACGCCTTCGTCCAGGCATTTGGCGTTCTTCATCATTGGAAATACCCAGTAAGCCTCGACTGGTNNCTTTGAAATGTTAGCGGGACGTCTGAAAAGGTGTAACCGAAAGACTCACGAGCAAAGGAAGACTGCAAGAATGACGAAGGCAATGCCAATGGCGATGTTGTAAACAAATGCTGCCCAGAGGATGTATCTGAAGATACTGTATCCGGTGTCTTTCAAGAGGCGGAAATAGAAACAGATGAGTGAAGCGCGCGCGAATGAGCCGGCAAGTGTAAACAGCAGCTTCGAGGCGAGTGCTACGATAGATGCGGGTTGGAACATTGTGAACTCGACGTCCCACAGATGGCGATTCCACTGGTAGCGGACATTGGCGAGGATGACGACGATACCTAGGGCCATGGCNAAAACCCTAGATCTATATGTCAGCCAGTGTATCAGAATATCAGACTGGATTGGTAATACATATGCAATTGCCATATTAAAGTCGTCCCATCCTAATCGTCCTTTGTTTGTGTATCGTCCATAGAGACGTAGTGGCACGGCCAGGCTTATTAGTGCCATAAAGATGACATTGACGATGACGAGAGGTAATCCTTGAGTTGGAGGATTTACGTAGTTTGGTATCGGCCAATCGGCCAGCACTTGAGCTGGCGGCAATTGCATGTTTGCGTCTTGCAAGCTGCTCAGGCGTTTGTTGTAGTTTTCCAGCAGTAAGGAAGATGGAACAGGGAATTGAAAGACAGAAACAAAAGATAAGACACAAGAAAAGACGGAGATCTGCAACACGAGGCGGCCTTACATCTTAAAGGTCGGGAGCTGTTAGCAATGCCGTGCTGAGGTTTTTGGTTAAGGTTATCGCACAGGCCTGTAACACCGGCTAGGGACGATCCCACCGTGGGGTCGAGATGAGAACGGCTATACCCAAGGTCATAGCACCTGAACTTCGCTTGTCTGAGGAAATGATTGGGTACGAGTAAGTGGTACGGATACCCAGCAGTTGAACATGACCGGGCCCTACGAGGCAAGGGGGCGTGCTGAGGAGCGCCTCTGGGGGATCTGCTCGTTACACCAGGTGCTGGGTTACCGTCTGCAGAGCATGGCGCGGGTCTGGAGAACGCCCTATCCGGGAGATACACCCAAAACAGAAGCCTCTTCGTCTCTTGCAGTCAAATAAGAACAGACACGGTTGAAAGCGAGCAGTTTTTCACGAGGAGTTGCACGTAGCAAAGCCCAACAAGAGTCAGTCTGCCGTTTTTGGCGAACGTTTTTGGTCATGATTATAGTGCACGTACGCATGACTTGGTCGTCGAGTCCTGCGACAGCAGTCATGGCTGGTGTGCCCGCCAGCCTTGATGCTGCGCTTGTCAGCACGTCCCTGCGTTGATCGGCATTGTCGAGAGTCGCATGCACAGCGCCCTCGATTGTTTCACAGAGGGTCGCTCGACACTCTGATGTGATATGTCATATGTGACATGATGTGTAGGAGTGGAGGAGAAACAGATCTCTTCCCAATCCGCCGGGACGACGTTGCCAAAGTAAGATAAATTGAAGCCATGTGGCTGGAGAACGCCAAAAGAAAGGCCGGCTGCACCTTCTCGTTTTGCGATGGACGTGGCATAAACCACATTCCATACGTGTTCCACCGACACTTTCGTTCTTGGTCAGAGGCAGTTCATGTTCAATTTCGTTAACTGTGTCTTCTCGTGAGTCAGAAATGGTTCTTCTGTTTAACTTTGGCAGGGACACTTTGAGGGTCAAATTGACCGAAGGACACGAGAGTCCACAAATGATTCGTCAAGATCGGTTATGGTCCGCGGGGCAGCTGGCTGCTGAATAATTGATGTGATATCTAGCGAGTCATGTCACAACCATCCACGAATCCTGATGTCCAACAACTACTACTCTACAGTATCTCGAATACCATACAGCGCTTACCTGATTCAAGACTACGAGTCTGGCAGTCATTCCGTGGCTATGATCTCTAGCAAAGCTGTTCGAATTACATCCCGCTTCGCTCCGGCTGCGAAATGTGAAGCCAGCATTTTCAAGCCGGCTTAGAGCGGACGAGTCCTGAGATATGATGTGCCGCGTGGTTCAGCCCTCGATAGCCAGACTGGTGCATTGAGAACTTTGTATCTCCTGGCTCTAGTACAGTTGGTGCGATGTCTGGTAAGCTGTCACAACGAGTCGCGTTAAGTGAAGCGGAGTTGAGAGTTTGAAGCCACTGATTCAGCCTTGCGACCAACCTACAGCGCTTCGTAAGACGGACTGTGGTCAGACGCCCTACGTTACAGCTGTAGTTGTCTACACGTGGCACGCGATGAATCTCGGAGTTTTGGTGGTGCAAACAACATCGATGCGACACCTCGACAGCATCGTGGAGGATTGTTTGAGATTTTGGCATTACGAGCTTGCGTATGACAGGACATCATGTCGTGTAAGGGTCCACGAACTGATATGCCTCGATGGCTGACCTTTACGGAATCATGACTGTTTCTTGATGTGAGAGTCAGAGACCATTCCCCTCTGCTCTATGTCATCTCGCTACTTGCCCAACATGCGGTGAGAAGTCATGAGCTGTGCACTAAACTAGAGCATGTCTTTCAGAAGACCATCTGAGCACTCTGCCAATATTGACCCAGCTGTCGTACTGGTTAGTTCTCACCTGTCTATCCATATGTCCGAATGCTTCGCTGGTCTGTCTCACATTAAGTAAACACAGTCGAATCTGGCGTGCAGGCACAAAGCAAGAGCTCTTGTCGGTCCGCGTTTGTACGGATCCATCCTACCTACGTTGAGCGTTCTCAAACCCATCTTCAGACGTGATGTTTGCTAACGGGAATTTGTCCGGTAGACCATCTGCGAACTAGCAAGTCTTCAAATTCCATGCGATTCTTCTCCTTGTCAAGGTCTACTGCTCGATCGTACTTTCTCCTGTGATTTAAGAGAAGAGTTATGAGTACGCTTTCACTGTGTATGGCAATGACTTTCATGCGTATGTTAGCATCGAATTTCTCAGCAAGCGCATTCCAGACTTGCCATCGAGAATCTGAATATTCCATTCGGAAGTCAATCGACCACGCTGAGACCACGTCGACCTATCTCCAGTGATTTCGGCTTTCTAAATTGATGCAACCTTCAATTCTTGAAACGAGTTTTGGTCACCGTGTTTCATGCGCATGGACTGGATCAGGTTGGCCGATGCGTGCCAAAGCTTCGGCTTGGCTTTCCATCTCCAAAGCTGGACTTCAACTCCCGTTCGCACTTTCCGAACACCCTTTGCCAAACTCCTGCAAGAAGTGTGGTGCAGAGACAGACTGAAGCTCTTTCAAATGTCGTAGCTGTGGAGATCTATGATGCGTAAAGGCGCCTCAGTCATATACCAGGTTCGAGACCAGCTATGCAGCGAAACAAAAGAAGTCTTGTGATAACACGCTCGGTGATGCCCTGGATCATTTCAGTTCACAAAAGAGAGGCAAAATCAGAGCCGGTTGTCATATGTGATTTTGTGTTGTTGTAGTACGATGTTTGCGCATCTGTAGGGTAGTGAGTTGCTCACAGTCGAACAGCATCACTTCTTACCTCACGCCAAAATTCAAATGTATCGCCCCTTCCTCTTTTTACGGTTGATACAGTTGACAATCATCGCATACCCTTCACTTCCGTTCAATAAGCCTCTCACTGGATCACTTTTTTTTAACCCAACTTGACAGCACTTTCCAACACTTTTCATTGCACAACTCAGTCCTACCATTTCAACTTCTTCTCTACGCTTCTGCTCTTGCACCGACTATACATCGATAACAACACCTCATCTGAGAGAACATGCTCTGGCTTCCCAACGAACTGCTCTCGCGCATCGCTGAATTCACGCTGGATGAAGATATCCCATCTTTGCGTCTCACCTGCAAACATCTGAAGCGAATCACCAGCAAGCACTTCATCAGTGCGTTCGTCAGAGAAATTCACTTTTCTACCACTTTTGAGGGCATTCAGCGTCTTGAGCAGATCGTTCAACATGCCGAGTTCGGCCCGAGTATTGAAAGATGCATGGCAACAGTGGATGGGAGTCTGGTGCTTAGCTCGCTACGTGGCCCAGTAGTTCGACGCCGTTACCGCGAAAGATTGCTGAGAATACAGCAAGCCCTCTCCAGAATCGCACACCATGAACACGGCCTCGAGCTTGGTATCACTTGCCGCCACCAAAGTTCTTCTATATTGGAAAAGGCCTGGAGGGCTGCCACATTGATGTCCAACGCAAAACCGACCAGTGTAATACTCAGATCTTTCATCATCGACCTTGAAAAACTATCAGTGATAGACATACCGGGTATCAGAGCTTGTCTGACTGAGCTGCCGACGTTCTTGATCAACAACGACCTAATTGAGAGCGACGTGATCGTGCGCTTTCCAAACCGTGGTGAAGCTACAGCAAGTCCCTCAATGCCTCAGTTGATCACCACCAGAGACGGAACTTGCATCAAGCTCAGTGACATGGTACCTCATGATGATCTGCATTGCCTTGCCATACTATGGCTACTTGTGCTTGGGGACCAGCTCAAAGAGTTGCACATCATCAGCTGCAAGCTTCTCATCAGTGACTTCAGGTTGCTTTTCAGTCTCGTTGTTAGCCACTCCTTGCGACTCGAAATCAAGGACTGTCAGTTCGATCACACATGGACAGAGCACGACTCAAATCTGCTCAAAGAATTTCTTTGCTGCAGGGATTCTGGTTTGAGCTCCTGTCACCTGAGCAACCTCACGAGCAATTCGGGCCCGATCCTTGCGGACGAATTCGAAGCTTCCAGCCTCTATGAGATTCGCGAGCGTATCAACACCCTCAAATTTCTTGAGCAAGCCAGTGTGGACGAGGAAGCAAACCGAGTCGTGAAGTTCACGGAGGGATCACAAGAAATCGACGAACAATAGAGAAACATGAATTGGGAGCTGGCGTTCAACGAAAGAAGAATAGCAATCCAGAGGGAAGCTCTAGTGAGTTACACAAAGGAAATGGAACAGAGATCAGAAAGACATCATCTTTTCAGCTTCCACCAGAGCTTTCCAACACAACTTGATGTAGCGAGCTAAGCACATAATCGATTCATAATCACAATCCAACTTTCTTCGGATCATTCGTTTTGGTGTTTTCTATGTAGGGTGGTGCTCTCCGAGGTATCTGACTTGAAAATCATACATCATCTTGATACATAGTTCGAGTTGTAATCGTGCAATGGAGATGGCAGCGTGTCTCACCATCCTGTTTCCATTTCATGTCTGTCTGCTTGCAGCATAGATCACATCTCGCACTAGTTTCTTCACATGAGCATACGGGATGTATTGGACTTGACCAGTAAATGTATAGCAAAGGCTCGACGCATGTAGGATCCTCAAGCAAGCAAAAGCATATCTAGGTACGTTCTTGCCTTACACCCAACAAAAGCTATAGCGCTCTTGCATCTCACAGCTCAGATTGAATAAGGATAGATTAGTCTAACTAGGATCTTCCATTATCAATTAGCTCTGGATAGGCATCAAGCAATCACATCAACACATTTCTGTGGTTAAGGATTGATGGAGCAAAAGATGAGAAGCAAAACATACAGCAGCAGGGATTCCCACGTGGTCACCCACCGTAGTACTAATCTGCCGTTCAACTGCTTATGTATGGCAGAGCGGACGGGATGCCCAGTTTTCAGCTGACTGTGGCCGTATGTGCTTGTAGTGGTTTCCTCACGCAATATATACCAATTGTTTCGCAACAATCAATTTACTAATTGCTTGAAGACAGCAATTGCTGTATGGTGTGTTGCTCATTGTCTTCATGTTTGACATCAAAAGTGGTAAAGGACTGCCTTTTCTTGATGCAGGGGCAAGTTGATTACTGATTATGTCCAAGTGGTTATTGGCATATCAAAACTTTTTTCTGATTTTGTCCATAGCAGTAAACGTGAACAACAAACGCCATGGCGCCCGCCATATGCTAGTAAAGGTACATACAACATCCAACAAGGAAGTCTAGGTATAGATATACAGATAGAATGGTCTCGTGACCACACCAAAACGATAAGAGGCTAGAAGAATTGCAAAAGAGAAGCGTCAAGTCGAGAGAAAACTCCTCTACTGGCGAGCAGGAGCAAGGTTGCGGGCGGATTTGCCTGTCAAACGCTCATACTCGGCGTCATCAATCTCTTGGACGTCCTCGCCGAGCTCTTCGATCTGGCGGGGNCGGGCTTCGCGCATTGCGGTGTATTTTTGGCTGGTGTTGCGCTGGATCAATTCCTCGACGGAGATGGCTGGCTCTTGGTCGATAGGGGCGGCGGTGTGACGGGCCAGACCGGCAAATTCGTGCTGGATGGCAGCAGGCCACTCAGGAGCGAACTCGGCATCCAGAGGGTTGGTCCATCGGATGACGACTCCTTCGGTGGTGTATAAGGGTCCCTGTGCACCAGAGCTGCGTCCTTTNGACTTAGGGCTGAGCTCAGGAGGAGGTTGGGAGAAGATTCTTGGAGGCTCAATGACTAGAGAGATTGAGTCGGGAGCGGTACCACGAGCGTCTTGGGCTTCAGCTTGTGTCATGGCCTTTTCCTTCGCCGACTCAATTGCCTGGGTAGCGGCCTTCATCTTTTCATATCTCAGGCGCATACCCTTGAGGGCGACCAAGCTCTCACCAATCTGCTTACGCGATGGAGCATTGGGACCGCCCTCCTGCTGCATTTGCTTCATGTTGTTGATAGTGGCTTCCTGATCCTTCATGGATTGCTCAAGCAAGGGCACACCACCATCCTCAGCCTCCTTTGCCAAAGCCAGCAGTTCCTCACGAATGCGATTTTGGTTGTCCTCGTGCTTCTGTGCCATCTTCACGCCCAGCTCTTCTTGGTGGCGCAATACCCAGGCAAGATCGGCGATCGAGTTGGCCTTTTGGTCCATGATGAGGTGTCCGCGCAATTTCTTGTCGGGCATCTTGCGGGCTTCCGGATCGGGGTGTTCCCAGTTGTGTTCGTGCAGCATACGGAGTTCGCGCAATTTACGGAAGGCGGCCAGACCTTGTGACGGCGAAGGGAAAGTGGCAGTGAGCAGAGGGCGCCACATATCCTTGCGCAGAGCGGAGGGGAGTGTCTGTTTTCCAGCAAAGGTGAGCTGCTTGAGCACTTGGTTGTTCNNTAGGCGGCATTGTCAGATGATGATCGTGGTGCAGCAAATGTAGCAACTTAAACTCACGTTCATAGAGCGCTCGAGCGAGTAGATGACTTGGTTGGTCCATATTTGGTGGTAGACAAAGAGGTGGCGACCGTGGTCTGCTAACCGCTTGGCCAGTCGGTCTGCTTTGGACGACGACATTGTGATATACGATGGGACGGGCACTTGGTCATAAATTCGAGTCGGTATGGAATTGAAGATGCGAAATCGACCCCCGGTCTTGGCGCCGTCTTCTCCGCTTCCCGCGGCAGCAGCTGCCAGCTGCACCCGGTCATCATCATCACATGTCGAAACAACAGCTCTGCAGAATGTCTTCCAATTGCACACATTCTTCTCAATGAGGATTCATAGCCGCTCCTGCTTCGTTCTGACTTTGCACAATGCCAGAAGCCGACTCCAATGCTCGGCGAGAGCGACCATGGCTCATTCCCAGTGTATGCCCAAGTCCCCCGCACCTTGGTCCAACACGCTCCTTCGCAGCTTCTAACTCAAGTAAACACAGANACAGGAAACTTCGCCATTTGCAGGCCATAACTCTTCGCAATCTCGCTTTATCTCATGAAGCTACTCGTCCTCGCCGAGGCACGATTGACGACGATGGCCTTCCAGCCACTAAGAAGTCCCCGGCCAAGATGCTTGCCCTGCGCGATGCTCATTCCATGAACCACTCCAAATCCTCCGATGACCTCCGTCCCATCCACGAATCTGTCTCGCCGCTGTCTTCTAGCCCCACCAAGCAGCGTACTCCACCTCGTCCCTCGTTTGCCAAATTGCGCAGAAGAAGTACTCTAGAATGGGCTGCTTCGACCTCGCAACAGCGTCAGAGACGTCTCCACGATGTCTCTGCCCAAAGAATGGCCGACTTGTTCTACTCTATACATATCCCCAATCAACAAGGTCGGTCAGTGCTGCCGTCCATATCCTATGTTTGCTCCCATTGACCCATCNAACAAGATCCCATCTATGTCAGCGAGGTGGCTGAAAAGGCCATGAACCCCAACTTCAGGAACATCCATCTTGACTCGACTCATCCTCAACTCTTGAGACTGGACGAGCTGACTCTCAAATTCTGGGCTAAGAGCGAGGCCATGTCACAATACTGCTTGTTGATAGACATGACGTTGAGCATGCGCTCCCTACAATTCATCGGCAAAACTGTGAGCCTTTCACACGATCCTTCCCTTTGCGTCCAATGCTGATCTTTTGCACATAGCNTAGCGAGCTTTCATCATCCTTTTCCGCCGAATTGTGTTATCTTCCATCTGACCGACGGCTTTTATACTGCTTTTACCGATGCTCGAGTCGATGAACCCTTGGACCCTTTCCAGGATGGTCCCGCGAAGATCAACAACTCTCGCACGTTGCCTACTTCATCTTTCGATGCTCTTTTGCGCCTCTCCAAGCTCGACGATAGCGTTCAAGATGCTTTGGCTCTTCGAAGACAGCTTGCTTCCGAACTAGAGCAGACATTGCAGGACAACAGGACCTCACTAGACGACAAGACGCAGCTCGCCGAGACGACTGACNTTTCTCAAAACCATCGAGTTCGCCACTGCAACTGTCAAAAGCAGCTGAAAGCACTCGAGCAGAAACGTGACCAGAAGCGCAAAGCTCTTCAGAACCGCAGGGATCTGCTTGCGCGCGACTCTGCCTTGCGGAAGGAGATATTGTCGCAAGTTGAAGCTGGCAAAGACACTCTCTCAGAACTGACCGCCCGACACACCGGAGTGAAGACATCCATCACTCAACAACGCCGCCGCATAGCTCACGATCTATCAAAGATCTACCCGATAGCACCTGTGCCGAACCAGAGTCTAGCTTTCACCATCCGTGGCATGCACCTGCCTAATTCTGGAGCATTGGACATAGCAAGTCCCGAATCTCTAGCCGCGGCTTTAGGCCATGTCAGCCATGTCATCCAGCTTCTCTCACTCTACCTAGGGGCCATCCTCCCATACCCTTGCCGACCGCGTAGCAGCACATCCACAATTCTGGATCCTATCTCCATCTTGAATACCACCAGCGCAACCTCCAAAGCTGTTTCTGACGAAATCGCTGCGCGAACATTTCCGCTGTTTGCGAAAGGTGCTGTACGCTTTCGCTTCGAGTACGGCGTTTTCTTGCTGAACAAGGACATCGAAATATTGTTGTCGACGCATCTTGGGGTCAGAGTGCTGGATATTCGACAGACGTTACCGAATCTGCTGTATGTGTTTTACTGTGCCACAGCGGGTGATGAGGAACTGCCTGCCAGGAAGGCTGGTGGTGTAAGAGGGTTGATGAGGATGAAGGCACATGAACGCAGTTCTACAGAAGAGGAACGATGGTAAATATTCAAAACGCTTGGTCAATTCTGGAGGGGCTGAAGAGTCGGCTGCGTCTGTCTCTATGGCAGGTAGTCCGACTTGGAAGCACCAGGCAATGTGTCCTCATGCACTTGTTCTGTTAAAACCTCTGTTTTGGCTCGGCGTCTTCGAGGATCTGGTGCTGCCATGGCGTGGTCTAGCATAGGTGTGTAAGAAATCAATATTCTAGCCTTTACCACACATTCATCTAAACACACATAGAAGATCGACACCATGAGAGTCAAGTAGCATAAGAGAACATATCGATACGAGATGAATGAGAAAAGTAAAATACCAAAAAGATTCAGACATCCATAGATTTCGCCCTTTTGATTCCCTTGTCCCTAATGTCCCCAAAAGCCCAAATCCCAATGCAAGCGAATGTGTTGTGTGATGTTTCGTAGTATGCACTTTCCTTCTTTTTTTTGTTCTCCTTCTGGTTTTCGAAATGCCACTTTCTTTTCCATCTTCTTCTTCTTCTCTCACTCTTTCTCTTTAACAAATATCCACAAAGATGCCTCTTCTTATTTTTTGATCTCATATCGGCCTTGCCAACGCCCAAAATTGCCCATTTGCATACAAAGATGTGATTACAGAATTGTTTCCAACAAGTAAAATGATCCATGGTGAGGAAGCGAATGTATAGAAGAGAAAGGTGATTTCGTCGCTTCGTGGGTCGGGTTCGTAATTAGATGGACATCATTTGCCATCTTGATGTAAGCACATAACCAGGTTGAAGGAGTGGATTCTCGATCGGCATGGTCTAAGCCACAGCGGTAACTGAAGACTCGGCACGGTGGTCGGCGTGGGCTGCTTGTGTTTCTAGGGCACTGGCCATTACGTGAGTAACTGATGCATTGGTTAGCTCAAAGACATACAATCGAGACGCCAAGATTGAAGACTTACCAGGCCAAACAGCTGCCTTCTCAAGCATCTGCGCAGTCATGCGCAAGATTCTACTGCCAAGTCCGCACTTCGACAACCCATTGAGTCTTTCCAGTGGCGACGGGAGACCCATCGACCCATTGGGATCTAGAGAGTCCATCTCGTGAGCGAGCATTTTAGCTTGCAGAGCCATTTTGTCCTCCATCACAGCACAAATGCTTTCCATCTTGTTCAACAGCTCCACGTCCTCAGTGTCGAGCAGCATGACTGCAGGCACCTGGCCGTAATCCACGTCTGCCTGGCCCAGAACGCCGACGTATCGACCAATCCGTTCCTGAACAGTGGTTTCCCACTCAGCCAACACTTGGGCACAGTCAAGGAAGCAGATAGCTGATTGAATAGGTAGTTCATGTGCAGACGAATCTGCGAATGTCAAATTGCATTTGGACGAAATGACAAGGGAATCAGCTGCGTAGAAAGCCGCTTTTCGCAGATGGCGTTCGCGCTTGGAGCTGTGTCCTGATGATTGTGCTTGGCCGTGTGAATAGGCGCCTTGCAAGAAGTCTGGCGAGTCTCCAGTCGAGCCGTTTGATGAGTGATCAGGAGAACCTGTCTGTGCAATATCAATACCACAAGCCAGCTCTTCCGACATGGCTTCGAAGTCGCGCTGCCAGAAGGCCTCTTTNGAACGTCCAAGGTTGACGAAGAGCCTCACGAACGCCAAGTCCAACAGAGGGATACTGTCAGCAGCCAAAGGACCTAAGCCAAANGGATTTGGTCGCTGCAGCTTATGACGGTCGTTGGCTTTCCATGCAGCTTGCCATGCATTCAATGCCGGCTCGATGTGAGCTACCATGGATTCCGTCTCTTGAGCTGTCCATTGACGTCCAATGTGTCTGCTTCTCGTCTCCCAGATGTAGTTGTGGAGAGCATTGATCAAGATCAAGCATCCAAATGTGCTTGGTCGGAGCTGACTACCTGCTCCATTGGCGTCGCCGTTGGGGCTGTATCTGGTGTAGCCGAACATGTTTTGCTGTCTCTGATTGGCTGTCAACAGATCACTCAATGCTGCAGAGAATGGCGTGGCGTTGGCTTCAGCTGCTTGTGCACCGCCTCTGGCAGCCCACTCGCGAGCACTATCTGCAGTCCAGAGCTCCTCGTCGCAAGGTAGCGCAAGGAGAATCTCCGAGTTAGTGATGGCCGGTGTCTGATTGTATGCAATCACAAGCAGACTGGAGAGTATGAAGATGGCAAANAGCGTTCTCTTGCGCTCTTCGGCTTCCTTCCACTTCAACCACTGGAGATGGACACTTGTGTGGCCATGGAATGGCGAAGAGCCATCATCCATGTGAACGTCAGGCTTCTCATCTTTGACATCGCCAAGATTGTCTTGAGTACTAGCTGGATGGGCCAATTCTGCGGCACGAGCAAGACTGACCAATGCTGCGCAGTGGTTACTCGCAATATCGGCCGCAGTCTTGTCACCACAATAGTGACCATAGATGACGTTCAGCAGCATGGCCTGGACCAACCACAATGGTGTGTTGTGCGAAGAGTTTTCTGTGCTGAAGTATTGCCCGCCGTTAACAGCTGCGGACATGTCATTCTTGCGGCGCTCTTCAAGATAGAGCTGAATCATCTTCTTCGCTGAATCGAACAACTCTTTCGAGGCCTGATGATCGTACTCATATAGAGCACCAATTGCAGCCATCGCGAGAATGAGACAGCCGCCGCCACCGACTACGCCACTATGGGTGGCCGGAGCCTGCGAACCGGCACTTCGAAGGTTCATCATATATTCCGGCGAATCAAAAGATAGCGTGGGTATGTGAAGGAAGGGCAGGTGAGAGTGGAAGTACTGGATGTACGCATTAATATAGCGCTGCAAGTCGGCAGTAGAAGGGAGGTTTGGTCCTTGGGGTCTGGGTGATAGAGGAGAGCTGACGGATGGCTGTGAGAACTTTCTGTGGCTAAAAGCGGATTGTTGTGAGAGACTCAGGAGCAAAGCCTGACGGGTGGCGTCTGTAATGGAATCTGTGGAGATGGAGGTCACGGAACTTTGCCTCGCGCTATCCGGTACTGATGACGAGGAGATGCTAGGGCTGTCGGAATCAAAGTTGGAAAGGGATTGTTGCTGAAATTGGTTGAAATGCATACCACTTATTGAGTCAGACACGCCGGAGTGCATCATGAGAGTGTCGAACTTGGTATCGGTGGTCGAAGACGGGTCATGCAAGTTTTGTGGCGAGATGGTGTTCAATGGAGGATCAATAGATGGGAGACCTGTACCAAGGATGTCCAGATTTAATGCACCAGGAGTCATCAGAGCCTGCATATCGTTCGGATTCCAGCCAGCCTGGGAGACATTGATGTGAAAAGGAGTATCAGTCACAGTCTCGGAATAACCGCTCTGGCTGGCAGTACTGAACTGAGATGGCGATGACTGGTCGATAGCCTCGTTGTTGGTATGTGACTGCAGCTGTGAGTCCCAGTCTCGCATCCAAGCGAAATCATCGCCTTGACCAAACAAGTCGAACTGGTTCATGTGAAAATTTTGGAGGTTTACAGGTTGTGAGGCTGTTGAAGCAGCAAAGTGCAACTGAGCAGGATTTACCGTGTTCCCTCCTGGTGTGAAGAGTTGTTCCAGCTCGGTTGGCTGCATGCCTGTGTATGCCGGCGCCGTTTGGATATGCGTCAAGGGCTCACCAAAATCTATGTGAGAAGTATGGGTATCTACACGAGAAAGGTCGAAACCATCTTGTTGGCTCATTCCGGGATGTGTCATACTGGTGATACCGTTGAGATCCAGGTTCGATGGACGCTGTTGAGCATTGCTCATACTCATGCGGTGGTGAGCCATACTAGCATGAGTTGGCCTTTGTGTATCAACCGGAGGAACGACGCCCATTAGTCCGAGGGAGCCTAGGTCCAAATGGCCGAGTGTGTTTGCTCGAGGTCTGCCCCCTGAATTTGCAGTGGCAGCACCAGCATTGGCTATTGAGCCTTTCCTCACACGGCCTCCATTAACGGGTCCGCTGGTACTCTCGCGCCTGTTGGCCTTCGGCCGACTGGACGGGTTGTTTGCAAAGTGCAGCTTCTGTTGGTGTCGCAAAAGCAGGTCTCGACGGGCGAAACATCTTTGCACTCCTGGCACTCGAACGGCTTCTCCTTGGTANTGCGAACGTTCGTGGCGTTTGAGATGCTCCAATCTGGCGAACGAACGGCCACAGGTTCCACAAACATGTGGCCGAGGCTTGTCTGTCTTTGGGGGAGGAAATTTGGACTGCGTTTTGGCGGGTTGGTTGGGGGGAGCTGCAGACATGTTAGCAGGCGTGATCCGGGGTTGAGTAGGCATCTGTATGATTACCGGCGACGACGGGGTCGGCGCTCCCAGGAGAGATACCTTCTGGCGATCGGTCCATTGTCATAAGCTCGGTGAGCATGGGATGTGTTAGTTGGCGGTCGTCCTTTAGGTGCGGCGCCGGAGGATAGGTGGAGGACAGAAGCCCGAAAGGTGGACGTATAGGGATCGCACAATGCAAAGAGGACACAAGCAACACGTCAAGAAAGCGGTGTGGGGATTCCGGTATAGCCGGGAGTGAGCTTGAGTCAGTATACGACACTTCGACAGAACAAAGTGCGTGTAGAAGCTTGCAGGTAGAAAGAAGGAGGCTATGTTTGGATTCAAGCGTGGGGTGTGCCGGGACTTTGGAAGAAAGACAGCAGATCCGGACGTAGGAAGAATAGATTGGTAGATTCGAGCCTGACGCTGCTAGAGTTCGGCCGGCGTAACGGGGGAACGCCTTCCTCAGGGACCTGTCCAAAGACCGGATGATTCCAATTTGGCTTTGGCCTGGAAGGAGCAGACAGTGGTCTCGACGCAGTAAGTCAATGCAAAAAGTCACTTGAGCAGTGTTTGGGAGTGGGTGGTGAGAAGCAGGAAAGGAAGCTGTGCGATGAGAGTGGGATGTCCCTCGAACGAGCAGCAGCGGATTGGGGAAGGCGCGACGGGTTCGCGGCGGGCGTTGCGCAAGCAAGAATCTGGGGTCGGCTTGGGGAAGACAAGGAGGTCGCGGCGGTAATATTGGACAATGCGCTCGGTCCTCTCGATGTCTTGAGCCACAGGAGTCACTGCACATATGAAGGACGGTGGACGCTGGTCTGGCAATTGCTCACGGTAAAACAGGAGCTCTGACGACAACTAACAGCAGTGCTAGCAGAAGCAGCAGCGGCCCTCATGTACAGCGAGCTGGCCAACGAGCTCAGCGGCGTAGCATGATGTGCAAGCGCTTGGACGCGCCTTGGCGACTTGTGCCGCCGTGCGAACCGCTATCCCTGTCCGTCCTAATACCTCTAGCCTCAGCCGGGCCTAGTGCGCTCGAACAGATCCGCTGGCGGAGCCTGGCGCTCGACGACCTCATTCTTGCCGTGGATTACTCTCTCGTGCTCCCGCGGGCCTGCATATTGATTACCGGTGCTGTTCGCAAAGCGCTGCTTTTGCTTCCATAACCGAACTCTGCATGCCAATTGATTGTCTCTCGATCAGAGGCACGGTCCGACTCTCATCACGCTGATCCGGCCCAATGTGAACGACGGACGTTGATGATGGCCATGCTGATGGACGTTGTTGATGATGATGCTCCAGGAGCCATGACGAACCAGCCTTTTGTGCTCAATGCCTGGAGCAGCTGACCGCTTGACCACGTTATATGGGTCCTGGACCAGGAGACTAGTCTGCTTGCATCGCTGGAACTCCTACTCTATCTCCCACAATAAGACTCGGATTCGGCCTTCCCGAGTCCTTAACCAAACCATAATTCCGCACTGCATGGGCTCCCCAGACCATTCGAAATCAGCCGTTTTGCATTCTGGCCCGAGGCCAGCAAAACCCTGAAGGGTCCTTATGCAGGTGCAAGATACTTGGTACGTTTATCGAGCAATCTCTTTGGCCATGCTGTGGACGATCCACACTGGTGTACTAAGGTACAAGTTCACAGTGTGCACGAATTTCCAAGCGTCCCAATGGGTTATCCAATCTATGTCAGCGCGAGTTCCATAGTTTGCGCCGAAGTCGCCGGTCGTTTCTGACACCGACAAAGGTGAGCTCAAGCCACGACTAATGGCGAGCGCGATTTTTCGAAACGTCATGGAAACCTCGGAGAAGTGGCCCGGTGGAAGCCTGTTGCAAAACATTACTCGGCAGTCTCCGGACTGCTCATGCATGTCTTTGATCTGGTGGCTTTGTTTCGCAGGCTTTGTCAAACCATGGTGAAGGCTTCTGTCGGTCTCCGTTGAGGATCATCGCTCAGCCCAGCCTCTAATACATCATAACTTGCTATATGTGAGTGTTCAAGGGAGACGTCAGCAAGCTAAGCGCAGCCAATTCAGCGCCAGAAACATGGAGAACATGGGGCCGTCTGGGGCCGCAATGTCACGCGCACGGATTTGCACGATTCATGCGCCTATACTTACACCAATCAGACACTATCAGCCACGCGCTGCTCCGTGTGCCTCGTCATCCCAAGGCAGCACCTTCCTTCTTTAAGCTGCTGTCTGGGTTGTCACTGCTTGTCAGCAAGCCCTACCTGTGAATGCATGAACCTTTATCCACACAGAAAATTTCATTCGTCCGTTGCGTTGTCATTGTACAGATCTTCTGCCAATTTTCATAGCATGATGTTGATCCGATCTGTGTGGAGGTGGCTGAACGCCTGCTTGATCTTGAATCCTCCGAGCAAATATGACACCTGCGAGTGCAGCATAAAACCAATGCGGTTCGCGATTATTAAGCTCTCGCACGGTTCATTTGTCGCATCGCAGCACGGTACACCTCTTCCCACAGGACGAAAGACTGGTTCGTCTTCAATAGGAAAGTACTGCTCTATATCAGCAGTCATTATCAGGACCTGCACGAAGGTGAATGTTTCCTTTGTTGTATCCTGAGGGTCTCTGCTGTCCCTGCATCCTTCTCAGGACAGACTTGCTATGGTGAATTGATCGGACATGGGGCGCGATGGCGTCTCCTTTAGCGAGTATGTGCTCAATCTACTCCTTACTGCTCATACGCTTAGAAGCGTGAGCGGCTCAGGTAGTTTACTTCGCGGTACTTGTGCGCGGAATCGGGATCCACTCTTACTTTGATTTAAGCAAGAATGGCTATTCGGATATCAAGTATCCTCGAAGGTAATAGGTATGCTTTTGCTCACATCCTCCAACGCCCAATAACAAGCACACAAATATGTTCGGTGCCCCTAATGGTCTCGCGTCGGCAACTGACTGGCTCAACACCATGTGCATGAGCTTGACCCCAGGAAATCACGCATGGGATCCAGTCGCTTCGCTACTGCAATGCATCCCACTTCGCGTTGTGCGACCAGTGATGTGGCAGATCATCACCCCACTAGCTCTGCAAGGCATCGTCTTCCACACTCTGAATCGGCTTTCCTAATCAAGGATTTGACTTGCAGATTGAATGAATGTGCTGCTCTGCAGCTATATCGAAGACCCTCGGCATGGACAAGCCTTGCTGCAACAAGACACAATCACTCACCAGACAATGGCTGTTGTACGTGTCCCCTCAGCATTGAGCATACATTCTGGGGATCGTAACATCGTACGCCCTACCGTACTCGGATTTCAGGATCCGGCAAAGACCTTGGCGCATGAACTTGTACAAGCGGTTGAGAGCATGCCACTTNNTCGTACCCTGCACTGCTTGGAAATACTGNNCGCGCTTCCTGCACTGTGAGGCAACGTGGATTGAATAGAGGTCGANGAGGACGCATCAAGAAGATGANNATTGGACTCCTAGCCAGCCAGCTACACGGTGTCACCCAATGGCATTGCTTGCATCATACCAATANNAGTAAAGGGACCCTCCAGACGGCCGGTTGTCTGCACGCGCGAGAGATACGAGCTCAGGCAACATTTGGTCCCACAGTATGACCGACGTGCCTGCGAATTTGGTCCCGAGAGAAGAGCCAGCCAATTGCTTTCACGCCCTGCAGAGTGCGCTCTAGCAAGGACTCTACGGNNTTGTCGGTAAGTCGGTCTTTGAATCGAACGGCTGCATGCGCCTCTCGCGTACCAGAGACGAGGTTGTCGCGTTACTACCTGCTTGCCTCGGTCAGCACTACCTGCAGGCATTGGGTGCGCCGGCGGCCACAACGTCGTGTGTTATGGAGAGACACTCGTTGCACACATGTCAACATCTTGGGAAGGTTTGCCGACATGTAAGACACAACATGAAATCCATCAGGAGTTTACGAAGCTCTCTCAATCGATTTGAATATTTCATGTGAAGATGACTGCTTGTCGGATTGACAGGGTAGAATGTAGCGGTACTCCACGAGAATTTTGACCATGGATTTTTCGTGTTTGCAAAAAGTGCAAAGACCGGATTGGAAAGAAAAAGGAGACGAGTCCCAAGCAAAAGGGAAGCTGCTACGCTGGGTCGAACAACGGACCTTAGGATAACTGCAGAAACTGCAATCCCACGCTCTACCACTGAGCTACAGCAGCCGATGAAGCTTTTTCTTGTAAGTACGCAATATAACCCACGTGCGAAGTCTGATCATGGAGCCCGACTATCAAAACATTCTTATCAACATCAATGCACCCAGGAAGTCGAGGTGCAGATTTAACACTCCCCCTCGGACACATGAGTATGGCACAGCGGCCTTCAAGTGGCAGATCTGCCACGGGCAGTTTGACTATCGAAGACGTAATTGTACGGAACGCCTACCATTCGAGGCCGTGGCTTCGTGACCAACAGCCTTGCAGTCGTTCCGTAGCTCGCTTCCGAGACGAAATCATCCGGACCGTGGCGCAGGATAAATCGTGAGAGTCTTGTGGTTTGCAGAAGGTTTCCGTGTGACATTCTCCTTGAGTCCTCGGTCCTGTGATTTGTGAAGCTTTCGAATGAAACGGTCTGCGCAGGAGCGGCTGGCTTTGGGTGGCATTCGATATTTGATCCACAATTACTGCTACCACGGAAGATTTCCGCATGACATAACCGCTGCGGCACACCTGCCTGTTATGGACCTGGGTTGTGGTCTTGATATTGACGAGGAACAACAGGTGTGTACAACTGTATCCAGTCACCGCAGTTATCATAACAAGATGTTCCGGCTCTTCTCTGCCGAGTCGAAAGAACCTTGGGCTGGAAGCCTGGAACGTATGGTGGATCGTTGTTGTCTAAAAACGAACACAAAAGATCGTCGCGGGGAGAAGAGCGTGGGGACAGCGGAGAACGGTTTGACAAAGCAGTTTGTCAATTTCTGGACAAACTCCTCCACTTCATTTCTACAATGTTTACCTGTACTTGGAATCTGGACGAATAACAGCGACTAGCAGACCTCTGGCTGTTAAATGGTTAAGGCGGCCGAGGAAAATAAATCATCCAGATACCTACCCACATATGCCCAGATTGTGTGCACGAATGATGAGAGCGAATGACGCTTATCTCTGGCTTCGAGACGCCTTATCGCGGCCAACAGCAGCAAGTCTGGCCATGTGATGCGCTCTTCTGCTGGGCATTCAGACGGTCCTTAACCATTATCAGCAGGTAGCGTTGAGCTATGGATTGGTTTGATTGATTTTTGGCGTGTCGCTCTCAAACAAACTCGTCTTGTGAGCGTCTATCGCCCGTATCTTGTTGTGGTTTCGTTGTGGATTCATATTGAGTCATCTCACATGTCTATCACCTATCTTGACACCTGCTCGTGACTCTTCCTTCTTCTCTCTTACACCTATTATAATTCTTATCCTATTCCCTGCTTGATAGCCTCCCTACTTCCCTACACACACCGTCACGACGCCAGATACCTCCCGCCGACCATGTCATGGCAGGCGCTCGTCTTCCAGCCTGAGCTGCCACCTTCTTGCACACCGACAAACGACTTCCTATACCGCCTATCTTCCACATTCCACACTTGTGTGCCCACGCCTCTAGCCTTCATATCGACCCTGTTGGGCACGCTTTCCATCGTATCATGGCTGTTCGCGCAGATGCCACAAATATACAAGAACTACACCATCAAGAGCACGTCTGGTCTATCCATCTTCTTTTTGGTGGAGTGGTGTGCCGGAGATGTCAGCAATCTCCTCGGAGCCGTCTTCACAAAGCAGGCAACATGGCAGATGATAGTGGCAGGTTACTACTGCCTCGTAGACTTCTTGCTTGTCGCTCAGTGGGTCTGGTATGAGCGTCTAAGACACGGATACAGGATTCGCCAAATGTGGCCGGACAGCGATGGTAGCGATCATCATGGTCGAGGTCAAGAGATGATTATCGAGGGCATGCTAGCGATGAGTCGCGAGAACACATTCGAGAGCATCGACAGTCCGGAAAGAAAGAGCTCGGCCAAGGATATCAAGACGTCTGGTAACGGAAAGGCAAGCATGTGGCGTATGCCAGTCTTTGGAGATGCCAACGAAAAGTACGGATCGTCCAGAAGTCCACGTGCCATCAACCGCGTCCAGGCTTCGTCTTCCTTCCAATCGCCATCTCCTCGCACTGTGCTGTTGGTGGCTTGCTTGATCTCTCTTGCCCAAGCGTCGCCACTGAAATCCAACATCCACCATCCTCACCATCACGAACCCGCCAGCAAGGTTTCGAACCTGGTAGCCGCTGGTACTGTTCTCTCCTGGTTGTCGACATTGCTGTATCTAGGTAGTCGATTGCCGCAACTTTACAAGAACTGGGCCAGGAAATCAACAGCAGGCCTTAGTGCTCACCTCTTCATCGCCGCTTTCTTCGGAAACCTGTTCTATAGTACCAGCATGCTGACAAACCCCAACCTTTGGGCAGACGCACCTGCTCATGGCTTGCATGGCTGGGTTGAAAACACACCTAATGTGCGTCATGACTGGTTCATGCGTGCTTTACCATTCTGGCTCGGTGCAGCTGGTGTGCTTGTCATGGATGCCGCTGTTGGTGTACAATTCCTAATGTACGGCGAAAGCGAAGACTCGAAAGTTGTCGTACTCGAAGAATCTGGCCGTGAGAACTGGCGCTGGCGTAGAGTTAGTGGCTGGATGCGCGGCTGGGTACCCAGTTTCGGTGAGCCTGTTGGCAAGATGAACGATGGAAACGAGCGAGACGCTCTGCTTTCTCACACAGCAAACCAAGATTATGGAGCTGCTTCTAGAGCATGATAGACGATGGATGGTTTGTTCTTCAGACCTAAACGAATACATGACGGGATATATGAGGGCTGTATTTAGAGCTGCATGGCAGTCTGGTTTGGGTTTGAGCATTTATATGGCGTTTTCAGGTCTGTGATGCTTGCCATGATCTAGGCAGGAGATCGACCAGATGGATCTTGGTGGTTTGACGACAATGATATTGATGACTTGCATATAGGGTATGGTCAATAGTGTTGATGAAGCGTAATCCCTACACTTGCTTCGCATGTCAGCTTCCGCTTGTGATATTCCTGCGTGCTTTGGTATATACATGGACAGAGTAGGGCAAATCTAGGACAATGTCGGGGTCTACTGTACAGGTCGTAGGAGAAATACCGTCACTGGTCAAGACTCACTCTTCGGTGCTGTTTCTCATGAAAGCATAAGCTGCATGAAAGTCATTCAAGCAGGCAGAAAGCGAGGTCGAGGTTGACGACAAGAGACTCGATCGAGAGATGCAATCACATGACTCTCTGCCTACACATGAAGCCTGTCGAACGAATACATGCTTCTTGTTGCCCCAGCAAGCTGATAAACTCGTCCATGGCAAGACGGGTTTGCGCAGCAAACACGACAGACGCAAAGTCACAAGCAGAGCACCCTCATGCCATCCAAGTGACACGGCAGCTAAAAGCAAGTTCAGGCTAGACCTTCCAGAGCACCTGAGTGGGCACATGCTTATCTATGAGCAAGCTTATCTCCTCCAAGCTCCGGTACGCTTTCTCGTCGTGACAGCATTCGAGTCACTGGCGCGTTACCTGTAGATAGTGGTGACTCAGTCGCTCATCAGGAGAAAGGGGGCCAGTGGCGGTATAAGACAGGAATAAAAAGCAGGAGGGGAGAAGAGTCATCAGCACCGTCTCAGACTTGTTGCGGTCGTGACCAAAGTCGTGATCTTGTGCCAAAGAGCGGGTCGCTGCGACGATCAACGTGCTCTGATTGCGGCTTCAATCTGCATTCGCGAGTCGCAACTCATCCTACCTACTTTCCCTACAACACACCAAACTCCTTCGCATCTTGTGAATATTCACTACTCTACCGTCGCCTCGTCGCTTGCTGCCTCCTGCATTCTTTTCCGCGTGTCCATCCTTTGTCGACAACGAGTACCCCGTTCTGCGGAGTCACAATCCAGCACCGTTCGATACAGGCTTCGCTGCCGACTGACTCGACTGCCATCTGACCCATTCGACCTTCGCCATCATCTTTGCCTTATTCGCTTCTGTTATCACCTTCGTGTTCTCTGAGCTTCTCGTCGTTAGCCGTCGACGTGCGTTAATTGTCGACCCCTCGTCGACCCCGTATACATCAAGGTCGAACCCCGAATCGCCAGCGTTCGCCCCTCCGTCGAACATCGCTTCCCTCCACCAGTGACCTTCGAACCGTTCACCCCGGATCACACAGATGCATTGCTAGCCGCCCTGCTCCAGGCCCTTCAGTCCAACCACTGCCCTGCCGAGCTATCACAACATGGCGACACACCGCACCTCCGCAGGACACAGTCGACGCGAGGCTCAAGTGATCGAAGTTCCTGTTGGTGACTTCATCCGCAAGAATGAGATTGGTAAGGGCAGTTTCGCTACTGTCTACCTCGCCTCTCACAGGGTATGCAACTCAGATCTTCTGTCCTCATTAGATCTTCTGGCTAACTCACATAACAGANAGCGCAAGTCGTACGCTGCTATCAAGTCAGTCGTCACAGGAAAGTTGACGGGAAAGTTGAGAGAGAATCTCAACTCCGAGATCAACATCCTGAGGAAATTGCAGCACCCTCACATTGTTGCCTTGTTCGAATGTGTCGACACCCCGCAGCACATCCATCTGGTCATGGAGTACTGTCAAATGTCGGATCTGGCTGCGTTCATGAAAGGTAGAGCCCGGATTGCTACACTGCCTGAGACGCGCGATATCTTCCAGAGATACCCAAATCCGACTAACGGCGGTTTGCATGAAGTCCTGGCTCGTCATTTCCTCAAGCAGATTGCCAGTGCACTTCAGTACCTGCGCAAATACAACCTGATCCATCGCGACATCAAACCGCAGAACATGTTGCTTAACCCGCCACCAACGTACATGCAGAAACAAAAGCCAGAGGACGTGCCCTTAGCAGCAAGCGAAAATTCACTCATCCCTGCTGTCGGTGTGGCTTCTTTGCCCATGCTGAAGCTTGCCGACTTTGGTTTTGCTCGTCATCTTGCCAGTACTTCGCTCGCCGAAACTCTTTGTGGCTCCCNNCCCTTATATATGGCCCCAGAGATTTTGGCTTACCAGAAGTACGACGCAAAGGCAGACCTGTGGTCCGTAGGTACTGTGGCCTACGAAATGGTGGCTGGAAGGCCTCCTTTCAAGGCCACCAACCACGTTGAGCTGCTTCGCAAGATTGATCAAGCACAGGACGTGATCCAGTTTCCTGCTGGTTTGGTTGTTTCTCGGGAGTTCAAGGACACGATCAAATCTCTTCTGAAAAGACAACCTACACAGCGCGTTAGCTTTGAACGATTCTTTGGAAGTTCTACCATCGTCGGCGAGATCCCAGATCTTGTTGAGGAGGACAAACCACGTGTCGCCGACGCGTCTGACTCTGACATCGCCATGTCCGCATTGAGTCTTCGCCTGCAGCAGCAGTCCATAAACAGTCCTGAGCAAGAAATTGACAGAGCTGGTAGCGGACAAACTGTTCGTGATCCCTTTTCAGGCATGGCTAGAAAGCCCACAGCTGCGATTGCTTCGCCAAGCGTTGAGCCTACTAAGAGACCTGAGATGCCTATCAACCGTCGGCAGACTGAAGCAGCTGTTCCTTCAGTCGAACCGAAGCGTCACGCTGTCCAAACGGAGCAAAAACGACCACCACTGGTCCCGACTGCGACTGCTCCCTCGCGCCAAGAGCTGCAGCACGTAGCCCCTACCAACCAAGGCAGGGCTAGTAACCCACGTTATGTTCCGTCTCCCAGTTCCTCGGCTCCTCAGACTTCACCCATGCATGACAAGATCTCTCAAGAGTCGCGCGATACGAACACAGCTCATGACTTGACATTTGAGAAAGAGTATGTTATGGTTGAGAAGAAAGCTGTCGAAGTGAACGCCTTTGCCGATGAGCTCGCGGATCGCAACAGACAACCAGAGAATCACGCGAGTGGTATGACTCGTCGTGCGACGGCTCCGGGAGTGCCTGGCGCAAACGTCGTATCGAACGTGTTGAAGACGGTTTCTGGCAGACAGACAGGCACACTTCATGGTCGTCGTCCTTCTTTCGAACAACGTGGACAGGCTCCCTCGCCCACAGACTACCTATCGCGAGCTTTGAGCGCTGCCAACAACCGTATTCGCCAGGCAATAATCGGACAGCCACAGGGTATTTCGCCACCTCAAGGATATGCTGGCTTTCCTGCATCTTCAGCACCCNCTCTGCAGTTGACGATGGGCGATGGAAGAAGCTCGCCGAGCAACATTGACGAAGACACTCGAATGCTTCAAATCGTTGAGGAAGGCGCAACTCGTAGTGATGTCGTCTACGGATTCGCAGAAGTCAAGTACAGACAATTGCTTCCTGCAACTCCTTCTGCAGAAGAGAGAAACACAATTCGTCAGATCAGTGCCTTGGAACAGCCTCTCAACACTGGCGAGGACGCCGACAACCAAGATCTCACACAGGTCGCGATCGTGGCAGTGGCAGAGGAAGCATTTGTCCTATACGTCAAGGCGTTGGCCATCCTGGTGAAGACTATCAACCTCGTGAAGTACTGGTGGGATCGTCAGCGCAGGATCGACACTCCACCTGGATCACTTCCATCGAGACTCGGCGAAGTTAGGCAAAGTTCTTTCGAAATGAACAAGAAGATGAACAACGTTGTTCAGTGGGCTCGCACACGCTTCAACGAGAGTCTCGAGAAGTCCGAGTTGGTCGGGCGCCGTTTGATCGAAGCTCAGAAGCAGCTCCCGATTAGTCATCCAGGACATCCCGACAATCATGGCCATTTACAATCTTCAGGATCTGGCAACACTTTGACCGCGGCTATTGATCACATTCAACTGACTAGCGGCGTCACGGCTGAGAAGCTGATGTTTGATCGCGCTCTTGAGATGAGTCGTGCTGCTGCGGTCAACGAGCTTGTGGGAACCGACTTTGGCGGCTGCGAACTCAGTTACATCACATCGATCATGCTCCTGGAAGCCGTCCTCGAGAATGACGATGAGCCTCTACTCTCGAGACCAAGCTCGCACAAGGCTAGAGCGGGCAACGCAAACGCCACCATCAACGGCATGGAATCTGAGGACCGCGATGCGGTTCTCAAGTGTAAGTTCTGCAAAGACGACTTGGCCCTGATCCGTACTGACTCTCTCTTTCTAGTAATTGAAGGCACTCGGGGCAGACTTGATTGTCTCCGCCGTAAAATCAGGCAGCAGGCCTTGTCGAAGCAGACCACACCGACATCCACGACCAGGCCTATGGCAAGAACATCTTCGTCGCCAGGCACAGCTATGGGCACACCGCCAAGATAGACAATCACTCCTACTAAAGACAGGCTCTTTACACGCAAGCTATGAATCATGAGAGGGAGTATATTGGTGTCTCTTTTTTTCCTTCTTTTTCTTTTTTCGCTTTGTTTTCATGATTTTACACATATCCGGAGGTCGTAACGCAAGAGGGCCCGGGTCGATGACGGCGCAACATTCAGGTGGTTTTTTTCAATCAGGGGATCTTTGCATCAGTTTCATCATGCTGGTTTTCATGGCGTCTGGTCAGGGTTGCAGGTCGGGAGCACGCGCGGAGCAAGCAGTAATGGGGTGTTACACAACAGATGACAATGGCACTTTCTCTTTGCTTGAAGGCATAAGAGGATATCAGATGAAACAAGACAATTCGAGTTTAGTCTACTTTAGCAAAAAGACCTAGACACGAATTTGTTACAGCATGGAGAGGAGACTCGTTGAAGAAACTTGTGGTGTTGTTGTTAACGCTCAGGCGGCAGAGGTTGAGGCACGCGGCCAATGCGTGGTTCCTCGTATACAAATTGCGACGCGAGGTATCTGGCTCGTGCCCTTAACCTTGTCATGAATCAGAGGGGAGATTGATTGCAATGGCGCAGTGTTAAGAAGACAGTGGAAAGGCTTCTGTTCGTAAGGTTCGGAAAGAGCCAAAATTAGGCAAAGGTACTCTGCAGGCACGTTGGAAAGAAGGGGAGGCACGACTCACGAGCAGGGTTCCTGCCAAGGGTAGAATACGGTGTTTCAACTTAGAAGGCCTCCGTCGCTCGAGCCTCCACCAAGCTCAATCTCTTGTCCGTCAACACAATAATCTTGCTTGGTGGCCTGTCACTTCCGAAGAAGGCCTCTTATCTCGTTCATTCCTCCGCCTCGCTGGTTCAGATCGCTGAAGACTGCACACTTGGTGTGATCGTTTGTCAACACAACCGTTTCTGGGGAAAGGCCCTTGATTTATACCGACAGCAACACCCTTTCCTGTTTCACCTGGTCGACTAGCTGTGGTCGGCACACGCCTGTCATGACGAGTTTCGCAAATTCTNTTTGGTCGTCCGACCAGAGTTATGCAGGAGGTATGCTTTATCCACTTCTTCGCATGCTCGTGCTAACCAGCGACANNGGGTTGGGAGTCCTCTTTGGCAAGCTCCAGCAGGGCGTGCAGGAGAATCAGCAGGTCCTGACAATTGCGCGCATGAGAGCCGAAGCCGAAGATCTATACGGCCAACGTCTGGGTGACATCGATGCTGCTACTATCAAGATCGAGGGAGGATTCCAGAAAGATGATGGTGCCAGTGTCAAGAAGGTGCGTCGCCGAAGCGCTCTGTTCAAACAAATGCAGAGCAGACGACTAATCTAAAACAGGNCATTCGAGGGTATGCGCTCCGAGATGAGCGAGGCGGCCAAAAACCACCGCAAGATAGCATCCAACATCCGCGAGCTCGTCGTAAGCCCTTTCGCGCGCTGGTGCGACGCCCACGCTGCCCGAGTTCAAAACTCGCAGGACGATCTACAAGCACGTATCAAAGCCCATGACCGACAAGCCGACCACGTTCGTACCTACCGCAGCCAGTACTACAACAAATGCCGTCGTGTCGAAGATCTGGACGAAGAAGAGAAGCTGGCCTTTCAAGACCCCCAAAGTGAGGCTGCTCAAAGCCCTAAGCCTGCCTCGCAAATCCCTGTCGTCAAACTGTCTGAACCGGAAGAGGAGGATGAGCCTGAGCCCATCGATCTTGGCGATCAGACGTACACCCCTGAACAAGTCAAGAAAATCCTCAACCACATGCTCGAGACTATCAAGCTGGGCGAGACTAAGGTCCCTATTCTCGGCACATACCACAATGTCTCGACAGGAGCCGATATCACCGATTACATTCAGAAGCACATGAACGGCACCAGTGTCAGTTATGCAGAGCGTATCGGCCAGGATATGGTTGGCCACGGTTTCCTCAGACTGATCGGCAATGTTGGAAACACCTTCGCGAACAGCAGCCGCATGAACTACCAATGGCGCCCCAAGGTCTTCCAAATCACAGGTCTTCCGGAAAGACGAGGCATGGGCAGATCTGCTACTGTATCCTCGGTCAGTTCGATCCCAGACTCGCCTGTTGGTGCTGTCGGCGAACTCTTCTCCGGATGGAACCCTCTGAGCAACGCTCACCCAGGCGAAACCGCCGCGGCCAAATTACGTAGAGAAGCTCGTGAGGCTGACGAACGCTACAAAGCTGCTGTCAGAAAACTCGACGCTCTTCGTTGCAACCTTGAGGAAGCCATGGTTGATCATCTCAAATTTATGGAGCGTTGCGAGCTCGACCGTCTAAAAGCTATCAAGAGCGTAATTCTGGATTTCTCTGGAGCCATCAGCAATGTCATTCCTAGCTTGCAGAGCACGGTCGACAACATGATGCTCTTCCAGGAAACCGTTCAGCCGTTGGGCGACTTGCGTTATCTCTTGGAGAACTACAGGACTGGTCCTTTCGTGCCCAAAGTTACCATTTACGAGAACTACTACAACAACGTTGACGAGCAAACTTTCGGCATTGACATCGAAGCCCGCGCTCGTGCTGACAGAAAGCGTGTCCCTCTGATCGTCACCACTTTGCTGACCTTCCTTGACAACCACTACCCCGAGCTTGAAGGTGATGAGGCCCGTCGCAGCATTTGGCTCGTGGACGTCCCCTTGGCTGCTACTCACCATCTGCGAAACATTCTCAACACTGGCAAAGACACGGTATCCCAAGACACCCTGAATCGCTACGAGATTCCTATCGTTGCATCAGTTCTGAAGCTCTATCTGCTTGAACTCCCCGATTCTCTGGTTTCAGCACATGTCTACGAGATCATCAAGACGATCTACACAAGCACTGCGCCCAACACCTCTGAAAGCGCGCGAATCTCTGTGATTCAGAGCACACTTGGCCAGCTCAGACTTGCAAACATTGCCACTTTGGATGCCATCACGACACATTTCACGCGCTTGATCGAGCTGACATCGGCCGAAGAAGGATATATTTCGGCTCTTGCTACTACACTTGCGCCCTGTATTCTTCGTCCCAAGCAAGGAAACACCCTCTCATTGAATGAGAAGTTCAACTACAGACTTGTCCGTGATCTATTCGCTCACAAAGACACCATCTTTGGAGAACTCAAGCGTCAATCCTCATTGACACACACCAACTCTGGCGCCTCGAGACCTCGTGCTATTAGTACCGACGAGAGCAGACGCCGTGAGCACATGGAAGAGCGCCAACGAGCCATTATTGCTGCAGCCGAGACTCGTGGCCGTGCATCCAGTCCCTTCAAGTCCACGTTTGGCGGTCCTCTTGGATCTATGCACAAGCGAGACCGCAGCTCAGGTGCTGAGACACGATTCCCTGTTACCCCATCTGCCGCAAGCACTCCAACTGCTGACGCCCGCAATGCAAACCGGGGCAGTCTAGAGGTGCCCGGTTCTCCCATTCGCGCCCCTGTTCTGCTGCAGTCGCCACCCAAGGGCAATGGAAGAACTGATTCTCTCCCATCTTCCTCCGATTCAGCCGTATCGGGAGACGCCGCCGCTCCTGTCACTCGTCAGCGTAGTGACACTACCAATTCGGTTATCATGACTCCTGGTGCTCAGACAGAAGCTCCTGACTATCTCACACATGCTCAAAGTCAGCAGCACGATGAAGAAGCTCCCAGCGATGCGGACTCTGTAGTTCCAGAACCGAGCTCAGGTATCAGTAACAATCGTCAATCTGTCGAGGTCGAAAAGCGCAACTCTCTAAATCGATCGATGGGACGTGTTGCCCGTAAGGGCACTGCAAGCAGTCTATCTCGTCATAGTCTGATTGGTAAGCGGGAGAGTGTCGGTAGTGTAGGCACTTCATCGTCTGGTGCCGCAGCCGCAGTTGCACCCGCTGCTGATTTCGTTGACAGTCCTGTTGACGTAGCAGAACGCCCAGAAGAGGCACTGACCCATCGCGGCGTTGAACTCGTTGACAAACCTATGGATGATGACTAGGAATGATCTCCAAGAACCTTTGTAACGAACCGAAACGTGCACACGAACGTTTTGCTGGGTCTCTTTCTTGACCCTGTTAGAAATGTTGTTTATTCTTCTATTGATTTACCTTTCATGGTTTTGTCACTGTTCTTTTCTATTTCGTTCCACAGGATGTCCACAGCGAGTTGTTTACATATCATAAGCACGCTTGCTCTTTTGACCAGTTAATTAGAATCGCTGTTCTCAATCTTCATGTTCATATGTGCACTCCTCATGTATAAATAAATTATGACGTATCGAACGCGTAGAATTCGTGTTTGGAACTCCACTCCATCGAGCTTTTGGACATTTGCAAGCAACATTAACCTTGTCTTTACCTACGTACACATCACCATATATACCTTTTACTCCGATCTAGCCTGCAAGGTAGAACAGACGCCGGCCCTCATCATGGCATCTTCCACACTAGAATGCAACGTCGAAGTTCGTCCCTCGGCAATCGCAGGCAATGGACTTTTCGCAACCAAAGACATAGCAGCGGGATCTACTTTATTGCTCAAGACACGACCATTAATTGCTGAACTGGACCTGGAGCGACTGCAAGACACTTGCCACAACTGTTTCATGTGGTCACAAAAAGCTGTTCGGGCTTGTGCGATACACGCTACAGAAGCAGATCGCCTAGGTCGGTATCCTGATTGTTCTGGTTGTCAGACTGAGGGTGAGGTTATTGCTGTCAAAGCTTGTACAGGGTGTAAGAGGGTGAGATATTGTAGTAAGGTATGTGGTTGATTTACTTTCTATGGTTTTTTCTTTTTTTTTTCAGTGTTCAACACATTTTGAATATGCTTTCTCAACGTGCTTGAGATAGTAGTGGAACTCAGCTCATGCAACATATGACATAGGNTTTGCCAGAAGCAGGCCTGGACCAGATATCACAAGTTTGAATGTAAGATTATGAGAGACCCGGATTTACCGCCAATACCCTACTCTGTACGAGCGGCACTGCAACTAGCATTTCTCATGGATAGCGACGCTGTATCTGAGGAGGACAAGGCAGGTGTGCATCGTCTTGAAGCTCATGATCCATCCACACTCGAAAAGCCTCGAGATCTCATGCAATACGACATGACTATAGAATCGACAAGCGATCTTCTTGCGCGCATAAACCCTAATCATCCCGAATTGTCCAGAATACCGAAATATGTCGGACAGGTATGTTGTTCCTGAAGTTATAGAAGGTGAGATGCTAAACAGAATAGANTTCTTCGTAACTCGTTGACGCTGATCACGCCTACTCTGGATCCTATTGGTGTTGCCACGGATCCAATTGCATGCTCTGCGAATCACTCTTGCGAGCCGAATGCAAGTGTGCTGTTCGATGTACCCAGGCTTATGATGCGCTCCCTGGCGCCTATCAAAAAAGGCGAAGAAGTGTTTATCTCTTATGTCGACAGCACAGATCAGTTCTATCGTCGACAAGCTCTCCTAAAACTTCGGTACCGTTTCGAGTGCAAATGCTTCAAATGCCAACTCGGAATCAACGGAAAGGAAAATGCTTGGGCGAAGCCATTGGAAAATCTCGCTCCTAAATGGTCGGACCTCGCCAAACTCATGGACAGTACCGAGCACTGCTCAGCTGAGCCAGCACACTACTTGGGCGAGAGTAGAGCAGAGATGGACATGGCAATCATTCAGGGCTCGGTCTATCATGATTACGAATCAATACGCCAACAAAGGACAACAAGCNTCGCTATCGAAGCACTCGAAAACGTCATGCGAACCTGCAAACAATCAGAAATGTGGCCCATCACCAGACAGCCATATGCAAACGTCCGAGTAGATATCGCCTCTCGTATGCTCGACGAAAAGCGTGTTGCTCTTGCACTGTTCCAAATGGCAAAGACGTACTTCCTCATCGACCCCGTTTTATACCCGCAAGACTTCCACCCCGTTAGAGTGGTCCACACTTGGAATCTAGCAAAGACGTTAGTACAGGCGTATTCTTCACCCAACGATCCTAGCCAGACTGTGGATCCTGGTGTGGAACAGCTCTTCCAGATGGGATTTGATTTCGTGGTTCCGGTGTGGAAGATCTTGAAGAAACTTAGTGTGGATGTGGTTAAGAGTCATGGAGCACAGAGTCGTCTTACGTTTATGGTACATGCTCTCACTGAACAGGTCAAGGATGGAGTTGGAATGCAGAATTTGGTGCAGATTGAAAGAGATCCTTTAGGTATGTGGAGGGAGTTTGAGAAGTGGGCACATTACTTAGAGTACTAGATGCTATATGTGGAAGGTGCGATGACGAGATAAAGACTATGGTACATTCGCAACTACAGGCGTCACTTGTTGGGCGAGGAAACCGCGCCTTCCTTGCTCGATTCAGGAGCCCCTGCCATCAAATTCGTGTTTACCGAAGCCAGCATCACTCATCTTCGCAAGCTCAATTTGACCTTCTTCAACAACATCCAAACCACATCATACATCGAGACCATCATCACCATTGACATCACGCTCAGTGATACGTCCACACGACTCATAGACGCCGATCCAGTAACACGCATTGCCGACCTAGTTACCATCTCGCCATCCGCATCTGCATCGACCACGATGACCAAGAAAAGAAGAAGGACGAAGATCAGGCCATGGCCGAACACAAACCCAAGAATCCACGTGCTTCAAGTGAGCTTCCAGTGCCTTCTCCACATCGATGCACCTTGCTGACTCCATCTTTAGCTGCTAGTTCATCAAGACACATTGGGTCCAGTTACCATGTCGACGACGGTGCAAGGGCGAGACGGGCCATGAAACGTGCCGCTTCGAAAGCCAAGGCCACTGGCTCACAGTCCAAGACTCTTTCGCTTCTCGACCTACCTCTGGAAATCCTCTTCATGATTTTCGATCATACTGTTTACCGAAAGCATCTCGAAGATCGCGACTACACGATTCGGGTTGTACCTGAAGGCGACCTTCGTAACAATCTGGTCATCCACCAACCACCACTCTTGTTGGTTTGCTCAGCGCTTCGCACAGGACTATCTTCCTACTTCTATTCGACCTGCTCTTTCCACATAAAGATCAATATGACATCGATGATCAGCAGCACTGGCAATGCTCTAACCTTAAAACAACTTGAAGATATGCTTCCGCTCCCATGCAAGCTAAGCTCTGACTGAAAATTGACCATTGAGATTCAAGAGCTGTCAAAAGAAGGATTCGACTTCTCAGTCTTGGTGCAGATTGCCGCAATGCTGTACGAGGAGAGCCGTAACAAAGGAGTCAGGCTGAAGCTCAAGGATTTCGAATGGTGGCTTAAATGCACCGATTCATTGCTCGAATGCGACTGTGTGAGACACATCGTCGATACATACCTCATCTGGTTATTGAACGACATACACGAAAAGGCCAGCGCCGCTGCAGTCGATACATCAGAGACCTTTCAGAAGTTAAGTTCACAACTGAAAATATGGCTGGAGGAAGAATGCGACATGGAAAATCACACATACTGGATCAGGGAAACACTCAGAGATTGTATGAGTGCAACAGATATGTATGACAAAGCAGATGTGCTCGACCATTATTATGAGGCCTGCGAGTGTATTCACCCAAGCGACGAGGACGAGGACGAGGACGAGGGCTGATGTTACCATGAGGAGCAAGTGACAGGTCGCTTGACTTTTCTAGTCAAAAGGAAGTATAGCATAGAAAGATCGGACGATGTGGTGTTATCACGATTAGCTCATTGTTTGCTCTTCCATGGCTTTCGCTCACAATGCTAACTCTATCGTTTCTTTCTATCACGGATGAGAACTTTCGAGGCACTGAACACTTCATATGAAAGGGTTCAAATTTTATGAGATAAAATGTCTTTCCTAGAGCATTCTTCAGCTCGTCTGAGGTCAAAGCAAGACCACATGAATCGATGCAGTGGTTTCTTCAAACCGTTCTTGAGTAGCTTGATATGGAGACCCGCAAGATGAAGATTGAAACATTGATTCAAGACCATAGGTCGTAGCTAGAAAGCTGTCGTGAGTAGTGCCATTGCGATACAAGCAAATGATATGTCATTTCGTTCAAGTCAGAGATCATTTCCATCTGCTGCCATTGATCATTGAATCCTCGACTGCCTTCTTAGTGAACATCTCAAGCAGGTCATCTTCGTTCTCTTGCTCGTCTTCGTCATGTTTGTGCTTGGTTTTGTTGAGGATCTGGTGCAGTCCTTTGTTCACATCTGCGGTCGTGTCGATGCGAGCTTTCTTGGAAGAAGTCTTCTTAGGCTTTGAAGGCTCGCCGATCTGGTCCTTAGTAATGGAGTCGTGCTTGCGTTTTTGTTGGCAGTCGAGGAGTCAGGAGTAGCTGGAAGATTCTGGGACTCCTCGTCGTCCTCTTCGTCCGTGACCTCCTCGACAGATTCGTCGGCTTCCTCGTCTTCGTCTTCTCCAGCCTCCTCAGCTCTGATCTTCTCTCTGACATTCATCAACACTTTACCAAGCAAATTCTGACCCCAATCCTCACGAGAGACCTTCTTCGCATCCGCCGCATTATACCCAATCCCCCAAATCTTATCGTTAGCAGCAGCCTCAACAATCAATCTCTCCCCCGTGCCCAACAACACCTTCTTGCACTTCTCATTCTGCGAGAACTTGAGATAATTTCCCCTTTCCACAATTCCAAACTTGACAGCATCCCAAATCGCCTCGTTAAAGTCTTTGATCTCACGGCCTAGTTTCTTTTGGGCGGATGAAGAAGTTGCGGTGAGGATTTGAGAGGCGATGGAAGGGCTGTGGAAGGTTTGGGCTTTGTTGTACATCATGTACTGTTCTGCGCAGTTGAAAGTGACGTTTGGGCATTTTTGGGGGTCTGAGATGGTNGCTTTTGCGAATTGGGAGAAGATGCCGTGAGGCTGCTCGCGCATGCTGAAGAAGTAGATTGGTGAGGAGAGGTCCTCAGCGGTCTGTTTTTGTTTGGGAGCCATGTTTGAGATGTTGTTTGATGAATCGAAGTATGGTGTGACGTGTCAAGATGTAGTAGTAGAAGATAGAAGGGCAAGGTATCAGTTGAGAAGAGTGGAGTGTTGTATGGTTCAATGAACGTGTGTGAAAGATGGAAGGATAGTGAGATGGAAGCTTATATGTCCTGATCAGATGAGAGGAAGAACTAGTGATGGGAAATAGCCACTGAATTGCTTGTTGGAACGTAGTGACTGGGAAGGAGCGTTTGGAGCTGAATTGAAGTCGGATGAAAGGAAGGAGTGGCTGACAGCCATTGTATACATACTACCTCGTAAGACGGCGCGATATCCAGAGACAGACATCACTTCGACTAGCTCTACATAGATTCACTTCTGATATCAAGACAGGTATAATTTTGACACTTACAGTATTTGCTAACGTCGCTGTGAGAGAGGCTGGATATTGCTTCACAGCATGCTTTACAACGCTCACACCAATACACAATGGAGAACACAGAACGATAGGAAGTATCACATGTATTGCTCACACAACGTAGACATAGATGTGTGGAAATTCATGAGCATTGCGATGGTCGGTTTGGGATTGGGTCATCAGAGCAGTCTGAGGTAAGTGCAATGGTATTGTGGCCCGTGCGTCAGTCGCATCGATGTAGCTGGAGGTTCGTCCATCATTTTCGCGCTCCAAAAGACCATACATCAACCTTTGCGTATCGCACATCATCTAGCCGTACATCGAACCAATTGCTGGAACAACTTCATCTATCTGCCCCATTCCATTCTCCGACAACGCGACAAACCTAGCGCCACGCGCGCATCTTTACATTCAACCGACAAACCATGGACTATCAAGTACGTCGCAACCATCCTCCACCTCTCCAATCCCTACTAACTCCTCCTCCAGAACCGCGCCGGTTCCAAATTCGGCGGTGGTGGTGTAGCCTCCGCCAGCGCAACAAACGCCGACCGACGCGAACGCCTCCGCAAACTCGCCCTCGAAACAATCGACCTAGACAAAGACCCCTACATTTTCAAAAACCACGTCGGCAGCTTCGAATGTCGCTTGTGTTTGACCGTCCACCAAAACGACGGTTCCTATCTCGCACACACCCAGGGACGCAAGCATCAGACAAACTTGGCCAGACGTGCTGCCAGAGAAGCACAATTGGGCAAAGACAGAGATCAGAATTTGTCGGGTTTGTCGCAGGTGCAGGTTAAGAGGAATGTGGTCAAGATTGGTAGACCCGGGTATAAGATTACAAAGACTAGGGATCCGTTGTCGAGGCAGTTGGGTTTGCTGTTCCAGTTGCAGTATCCTGAAATCTCGCAGGATGTTCAGCCTAGAGTCAGATTCATGTCTGCCTTTGAGCAAAAGGTCGAGGAGCCTGACAAGCAGTTCCAGTACTTGCTGGTCGCTGCTGAGCCATACGAGACATGTGCCTTCAAGCTTCAGGCTCGCGAGATCGATCGTTCCGAGGGCAAGTACTGGACTTGGTTCGATGAAGATAACAAGGAGTTCTGGGTTCAAGTCACCTTCAAGACTGAAAGAGAGGAGAGATACAGCGGCGTGCCTGGTCTAGCTCCCAGACGCTGAACCTTTTGTATTACGGTCACACATTGATTTGTTAACATAGCGATGGAGTTTGGCGTTCAAGATTGGAAGCAAGAGCAAGAGATCATGCGTAAAAGGGGTATTACGACTGGCTGAGCTGAAAAACATGTATCATGAGAAAGCAGAAAAAGGAACAAGAAATGAAGAAAAATAAAGAAACACGCCCTAAGCAATAATGACATCGTATTGTCCACCTTGTTGAACTTCTTAGCAATCATTCCTTCCGTGTCGGCGATGTAGAGGCACGTGGTGTCGGGTCAGGATCGGGGTCACTTGTGTAGTGTGGCCGTGGCGTCCTGTCCGAGTCCACGGCATTGAGACCGCGTGGCAAGAACAACTCTGGCGGCGTCAACGTAGCTCCCTCCTCTTCAATTGCCGCTTCCTCGTTGCCTGTAAGTGACGCCGTCGCTTTGAGGTTCTGCGTTGCCATGACTTCTTCATTCGACACAACGCTGCCTTGGGAATTCGTGCGCAACATCTCAGTTCCTAGCTTCGATGCCCCTCGTGTCTTAGACTTGGGTGATCGTGCTCGGATTTGAGCATTGCCTAGCTCTTCGTCTTCGTCGTCTCCAGATTCTGCGCATTCGTGTCTGCCCTTTTCAAGAGACTTNTTGCGAGCTTCGATTGATTCTGATGATCGTTTCTTGCGAGGCGATACTTCACGCTGGCTCTCCAATTGCCCTGGTGCAGATATCTGTTCTGCCAACGCCGGCATCTTAGACTCTGGCGGAGGCTTCGTCCTCGCGTGTACCACTTCCTCTGGACTGATCCCTAGGCCGCCGAACTGGCGCTCAAGTTCGGAATCCTGCCAGTCATTTGTGTGTCTACTGATGATGACTGGAATCGAATCATACGGACTGCCTGTCTCGGGTATCGAACTCGATCCTATTGAGTCTTCTCTGCTCGACCCACGGAAACTATTGGTGAGCATTCCATACCCAGATATCGAACTAGTTGTTGGGCTCTCCTCTGTCAGAGGTGATTCCCGACGCAGACTGGAAGATGGCATCATAGGTAACTGTGCTGGTGTCCATCCCGGCGGAGGTGGCTTCCATTGGCAGAGTCTGCTCATGACCTCGATCAGTTTGGCTGTGTCCGGAGGTTTCTCAATCAATGCGTCGAAATAGTGTGGTGCTTGTAAATCCTTGAGATAGCCTGTGACGGCTACGATTGGAGTATGCGAATTTGCATTCTTAGTATCTCGTATCATGCGTGCCACGTCTGCTCCGTTGATCTGAGGCAACTTGAACTCCATCATGATGATGTCGAACTTGACTTCACTCATAGCATAACGCATTGCTTCAGAACCATCTTGTACAGAGATTGTGCGACAGCGAAGCTTCTCAAGCAGTCTCTCCATGACAAGGCGTGATACAGGATGGTCCTCACAGATCAACACGTCCAAGGGTCGGAATGCAGGTCCATCGGCCAACGTAATTTGAGATAGTCTGCGGGTGCTCTGCCTCCGGCGTTGAACTCGCAATAAAGCCTTTGCCCGTTGGTCTTCATTGTCTGAAGATGAGGGTGAGGCGTCAAACGCCATACTCCTTCGCTTGTATTGAGAGATTGGTCCTGGCGGCATGTCATCATCTTGAGAGCCAATAGTATGTGAACGCTGTCGTGGTGACGAGATACTGCCTCTTCTCCCGTTGGGTAGCGAAGATTTCTCTGGCATGTAGCTTTGTTGCCCGTTCAAACTCTTTGGAATCTTGATTGGAGATGAAGCTGCGGAGAGAGATTTGAATCCAGCTGGCAGATTCGGAGCATCTAGCAAATTACTGGTGCCATGCAAGCTGCTGATTTGCTGAGCCAAAGACGAAGAGGTCGATGTTTTCCTGCGTTCGTGATGACCTCCTGCACTGAAAGACACCAACAAAGGAGATGACGGCTGTGAGCCTCTGCTTGGGGACGAGTTTGTCTTGCTTAGAAGTGAGGGTGAAGCAGGTCTGTTAGCTCCCTTGTTTGATGAAAGCGTGCGTTTTAGTGGCGCCGGTCCCACTGGACTCGATTCGACAGATGGAGAAGGCGAGACAACCACTGGCGATGGAGATGCGAGACCTTGAGCTACCTTGCTCTGGGCTTGCATTGCTTCAGCACGAAGTTTCTGGATGACATCCTTGTTTGCTTTCTCCAAAACAGGGAGGTTTTTGAATTGGAAGTTGCCAAAGTCATCCGCTGCAACGGGTTCGCTTAACCTTCTGCTGCGACCGTCTCTAACGTGTGGAGGTATATGCAATGGCATCAACCCTCGTTTGATCGAGTTGACCTGGTTTCTAACCCTGGACAAGGCGTCATGCGGTCGTTCTGGATAATCGGCGCCAGGAGTATTGGCTGGCGATGAAACCTGGTCCTCAAACTCTGCTCTGAAGTTTTGTAACGTAGCACCTCGGGAGTCGAAATACTCCGTATCTTCAGGATTAGCCGGTGCAGGGATGAAGGATGCTTCCTCTTCTCGAAGTGTGTCCCACTCGACATCAGCAAACCATGGATGGGCTTTGATCTCTTCTCCACCATTTGCAAACTTTTCATCATTGTTGGATCCTAGTCTCTCCTTGGGGTCCGAGCACATAAGTCTGTTCATGAGGTCCTTGGCTTCTGGCGTTGAGGCGCATTCCTCATCTTCGGGCCAGTCAATTTTACGATCGAGGATGTTTTGGAATACCTGGTCGGGAGTGTCTGCGTGGAATGGTGGGTAGCCATACAAGCACTCAAAGAGAATGCAACCCAATGACCACCAATCACTCATTTCATCTTGACCACTTCCATTGATTGTTTCTGGAGCGAGGTAGTCTGGTGTACCAACGAATCTCCGTGAACTGTCATCGGGGTCAAACAAAGCCATCGGTGGCGGCAGCATACCAGATTGGCCAGGAGGGGTGCCAAGACCACTCATGTGGCTCAGAACAGGCTGCAGAGCGTATGGCTCTGGTGATTCACCTTCGCTAGCGGTCTCTTCTTCGATTGGTGTACGCCTCTGGTAGCTAGAAGATTCATCTACAATGGAGAAGCGCCGGAACATATTTGCCAAAGCGTCGCTTTCTCCACTGTCGCTACGTTGGCCAGATGTTCGTCGTGAAGGTTCACGAGAGTCTCCCTTCGTCAGACTGAAGTAAGATGGCTGGCCAAGCTCTCCGGCCAGAGCGGGTGTCAGTCCTGGCGTAGGAGCTGGAGACTGGCCACCGTTGAAGTCGAAGGAGGTAGAGCGTGACGACTCAATAGACGGTGCTCGTTTGCCCAGCTTGAGCAAATCTGGTGCATCGCCAACCTTGTTGTTTTGCATTCTCTTCTGACGCCCGATAAGTCCCATTCGTGAAAGACCAAAATCTGTGAGCTTCAGATGACCTTTCTGGTCGATGAGAAGATTGTCTGGCTTCAGATCGCGATGAACAATCTGCCTGTCATGTAAATGCTGTACTCCCAGAACAACTTCAGCCAGATATTTCTTTGCCCAGTCTTCAGGTAAACCACCCAGTGTTTTGACCAAAGAAGCGCAATCACCTCCATTCAAGTATTCCATAACGAGATACAGATAGTCTTTGCTGGCAAAAGTCCAGTAGAGTTTGGCGACAAAATCGCTCTCGCCTTGCCACATCATGATTGCTCTTTCAGCCTTGACATTGGTGACTTGGTTTTTGGCCACCATATCAGCCTTCTTGAGAACTTTGATTGCGTAGTAATCTCCCGTGACTTTCTTCTTTGCGAGATAAACGCTACCAAAGGCACCTTTGCTGATAGGCTTGATAATTTCGAAGTCCTTAATAGAGGTTTGTACCGCCTTGGGCTGTGGATTGCTGCTGACAGCACTTAGCCTTGGTGAAGAAGGTGGACGGTATGATTCAGAATACTGTGTCGCAGAAGATTGACGTCGATGGTGGTGGTGATGCAATGACTGAGCTCGCAGAATGGGAGAATGGAAATGGTGATCATGAGAGAGTATTGGAGACGTAAGAGGTGAAGGAACAGGATCTCCACCACTTGGTACTCGTGGCTTAGCGACTCGTAGAGGCGAAGAAGGTGCGATGCTTCGAGTAGGAGATTGCTGTCTGCTGTTGTTCGCCAGACTGGGAAGCACAAGACTCCTTCGTTTGTGTTCACGGGTACTGGTGACCCGACTCAGGCTCAACTCAGGAGCTGGTGAGTCGGTCCGCACAGGTATCGAAGCCAAAGAAGAACGAACGCTGCTGTCACTCTCTGCACCAGCATCGCTCTCAGGTGCTAGCATCGCTGCTCTCTTCTGGTGGATCAAAGTACTGAGAGCACTTCCGTATGATCGCGGCGTTCGAGCACCATGAGGACTGTTCGAACGCGAAGATTCGCCAGTTGATGAGGGTCTTCGGTACGACGATGCTTCTGGAATGTTACGTAGTGCCATAGTCATGGCTGATGGCGCGAGAGGTGATCCATATGGGTTGATAGAGAAGTCCTCCTGCATACCTTCAGGCAGGCGTGGAGGTGGGCCATCTATATCAGACATGGCATCTCCAATCTGACTGAACTTGTCTTGATCTTCATTCTCATATTCTTCCTCGTTCTCCATGTCAACAGAAGAGGATGATTCGCTGGAGTCACTAAGTTCGCCATTGGCTATGCGTGCAGCCTTGGCCACAGCCTCGTCGATGCACTCCTGTACAAGTATGTGAAACTCGATGCGAAGGCGCTCAGAATACTCCAATATACGTCGGTGGCGGAAAATGGCTTCAACTTTGGCTTTGCAAAAGCCTGAAGTGTCCTCAGCAAGCAGCGCGAGACCGAGTTCGTTATCCACGGTACTCGTGTTTGGAGGCTGCCATTGCAATACCTGTGATATTCTACCTTCAGACTGGGGTGATTGAGTCCTTATCTCGCCATCCTGAGTGCTATCTTTGACAGCTGGTGGGCTGATTTCCAGAGCAGTGTCACAAAGATCGAGGATGAGCTCAACGACACGGGCCAGAGGACGTCTGACAGCAAAAGAGCGGGCTCTTTGATGGTTCAAACCAGATCGAGAAGAACTCCGTGCTTTCAGTTGAGGACCAGCAGGTGATGCACGACCAGATGATGGCCCTGATGAAGGCTGAGAAGCAGGTCCAATTGGATGTCCTTTGTAATCACACAATGGAGTGGGTAAGGGAGAGCCCGAGTCATGGGGTCCAGGGCGAGAATGGCGAGTTTGTGCTTCCAAGGCATCTAGAACTTTGACAATGGCAGCACGGTGCTCGGTTAAGTTTTCCTGGGCGATCTGAACATCCATCTCTGCTTTATGCTCCTGCATGCATAACTCGGTATGCTTTTCGAACCACCACGGGGTGATTTGACGCTCGCAAATACGGCATAGTACTGGAGGCGGGGGTGGATGATCAGCTGGGTCGTCACTGCCGATCTCGGCCAAATGGGTCAAATATTGCGCCAACACATGAGCACCAATTCCTAAGGACTCTGCAAGGACGTCTGGGAGGTCGATAGTTATCTCGCGATGGACTGCAGGCTTGATCATCCACATTGTCTGCAACGGCGTTAGTAATGCTCACATATTTCTAGCTGTCGAGGCTCGTACATGACTCTCCTCCCCAGTGGCCCTTTCGTAGACCATGATGCCTTGAGCCTCAAGGTTTACGAGATGTTGGTGGCTGTCTTGATCCTCGGGATGAGTGTCGAAAGCCACCGGTTCAGCATGTGGGCTCTCGATAGTGACTTCAGGACTCGCACCAACAGGTAGTTGGTATGCAATTGCGAAGCGAATGATGCGGCTCTTTGTATCGTCATTCTTCATAAGAGCAATGGCATCTGTGAATATGTTCTTGTGGTCGACAATGATATCAGACATGGTCTTTCCGACTATCGACTCCGGGTCAACTCCGCTGAGATCCTTCCAAGAGGGGCTCGCCCAGCGAATGGTTCCATCCAAATTGAGGTCCATGATTGCGTTGAGCGACTGTTCTGCGGCTCTTTTGAGGTCTTCGCGTTCTTCTCTGATGTCCATGCTGACAGTCCTTTCCATGGTACCTCTGTATGCGGTGTCCTTTGTTCCGACCGCCTCCTCTTTCAAAGCGACAACGGCAGGCGGAGCCAACATTGTCGGGTTTGGCGAATCGGCCATTGTGTTGGTTGTATGTTTGTAGCGATTTGAATCGTTGCAGAGCACCTGCCCGCCAGGGCAGCCCAGTTGAGGCTTCACTAAATGAGCGATTCGACCATGACCATCGTGACCAGAATCAAGATGGAGGCTCCGTCGCTTGTTGGCAGGTCTCTCGCCAGCTGAGAGTCGCTATCGGGTCTTGTCGAGATGGTTCACTTTTCGCGGCTGGGACAAGGACGAGCGGTGCGTGGAGCGTGGAGCTAGTTGGTTCGTGACGTTGGCGTCGGAGAGGGGTCCTTGGCTCAAGATGGCTCGAGCGACAATTGCGTGAGCGGCCGGGTGTAGCAATTGGCAAGGCGGTGAATTGGCAGGGCACACACAGTTGAAATTGTTTTGGACGCAGTTGCGACTTGGGAAGGCAATGCCTGAACAACGAGGTCGAGTGATAATGACCAACCATTCACCCTGCCCCGCCTCTTCCCGTCCGCTAGCGCCTCTTTCGGATGCTAAGCCTTTGTTTTATTCGGTCATTCCCGTCCCTATCTCGCGACTCGTGACTTCCTCGCACATGTCAAGAGCAAGTAATCGTCTATTGTTGCATGTACCGTAGGAAGCAGCTACAAGTCGAGCCTTCCATTTCCACTCGAATTCGTTGTGTTGAAACTGACAACCTCTCCACGACACGCTGAAATTTGCGCTTCTCGTACTTCTTGCTATTCATGTCAATCAGCTTACGAAGACTGCAATCAAGGGTCTGCCGTGTACCGCACCGAGGCATGTGAAGGTGTCGTATCTCCAGGCCTGTCGTTTGCGAACCCATTGAACAACGTGCTTCACAACGAAGATTGCAACAAATTGCGTACCGCTACAAGATTGGTAACTCTCGTCCGCACTTTGCAGCAAGCTGGACGCATGATTATGCAGCAACACCTTCGGTTGCCCCGTCCAACTCGCCGAGGCGCGAGGCGGCATCGGATCCTTGATAGTTCCGCGCCATGTCTTTATGATAACATCCTCTCGCCGGATGATACGGCAGCGACTGTGGTACGCGTGCTACTGAGCTACCTGGTAACTTCAACTTCGAGAATTCTTGGCCCAAGACTTTATGCAGGTGGTACGACCCTGGTCCTAGATCACAACCACCATTGGCATTCGCAAATCTATCAAGAGTTGCAACTTGACACTGGGATTCAATTCTGTAGTACCTGTTGTCATGGTCTTTTGCTCTTTGAACACCCAACTTGACGAATTCGTGCTGCTGAGTAGCGAGTCAATTTAACGTCGAATTATGGTATGGCTACAGTACATCACGACGACAAGTCATTGTGCAGATAGGTACGTTTCATATACAAGCACTCGAAGCCGATACTCGTGATTATCTGATATCATATGAACCTTTCATATAGCGACCTATCTCTCATAAACACACAAAAAGGAACAAAGACACATCAACATTCGGCCACCAAGCACCAAATCCATAAAGCCAAGCATTCAATCGCCAAGCCTTCATGAGATCGATCATAGACCCTCTTTGCCGATCTCCCAACCTCCTCCCAAGATTGAAAACCATCATGGTCCAAAAAACCCGACCAATATGATGTCACTTTATTGAAGCCTCTACCCATGGCACGATGCTTCAATGAAATCGATGACGATAGACTCCAAAGAACAATGAGGTGGGCTGGGCTAGGCTGGCCAAACCTCCCTGCCCAAGGTCGCATTATATAACCAGGGTAAAAGACCATGCGATTGATCAGATCAACACCTACTGTGAGACACTTCTTGAAATTCTCTTGCTTCAGAACAGCTCTTCCAATCAGAACTTTCGTATCTTCGTCAATTGCAAACATGCCTCCTAAGGACAAGTATACCGACCCTGAGCTTCGCGATGAAGTCAAGGAAGAAATCCACAACAGCGACAAGGGCGGCGCACCAGGCCAATGGTCAGCTCGCAAGGCTCAAATGATGGCCTCCGAATACAAGAAGCGCGGCGGTGGTGTAAGTGTCTCCTACCTTACCATGCCTTCCAAAATCCACCTCCATACCCAAGCCAATAGCTAACCCCATCCCCCAGNNTACACAACCGACAAAAAAGACCAAGACGAATCGCAACAACACCTTTCAAAATGGGGCGAAGAAGACTGGCAAACCAAAGACGGCTCCGCAAACGCAAAGAACGAAGACGGCACCCAACAACGCTACCTGCCCAAAAAGCGTGGGAAAACATGAGCGAGCAAGAAAAGCAAGAGACGGATGACAAGAAGCAAGCCGCAAGTAAAGAAGGCCAGCAACACGTCGAAAACANCCGACAAGGCAAAGGAGAGCAGAAAGCAAGCCAATGAAGAAGAAGACGACAAGTACGAGAAGAAAAAGGCAGAAGAGAAGAAAGAGGATGGTGAAGAGGAAGAAGCCCAGGCTGGTGACAAGCGCACTCGTTCTGACAAGTCTGCCTCGCCCTCAAAGAAGCAGAAGCAGAACGACGGTGCCGCCAAAGAAACTTCTTCGCCCTCAAAGTCAAAGTCAAATGACAACAGCACCAAGAAGGAGGACAACAAGGACGACTCCAAAGACGATACCAAAGAGGACGACTCCAAATCCACCTCAAACTCCAAATCCTCAAACAACAACTCCTCCACATCCGACGACTCACACGGCAAACCAGCATCCAAAGACCGCCTGCCCNAAAAGGACCAAGAAGTCTACTGGAAGACACTAGGCAACTGGACAAAAGGCACTGTTGTCGAGGTCGCCTACGAGGAAAAGGAAGTCGATGGCAAGAAAGTCAAGGCATCCGAGGAGGATCCCAGAATCGTGCTCAAGAGCGAGTCTTCGGGTAAGGTTGCTGTTCACAAGCCTGATGCTGTGTTCTTCGAGTAGAGTAAGAAATTCTGGTTGCGTTGGCTGTTGATGGGCTGCTGGTATAAAGAGAGCATCGTGGCGCACTCTTGTGTACGTTTGATTTGGACAGTAGGAAAGACTATGTATTAATATGGCCTGTAAGATAAACGAGTTGATTTGACGATTCTGTTTCCTCTGGCCCTCCTTGCGAGGTTTGCATTCTGCTCCTTTACTCTACAACTACAATGTGTGCCTCCTGTTAATCGCGCCTCGATCAAATCGACAAGAGCAAACCGCGAACACACTTCAACCACTCGTTCCTCAAAGCATAAGTCGATCTAACGTGCGTCTGGTCTGCCAACGCGCTGTCTCAGTTCCACCCTGCGTGTTGGCAACACAACGACCAGTAGCTGTAGAACCCACTCATTTCCGCACAACTGTGCAACACATCTTCTCTCGAGCTCGCGTCAAGGCCCATCACCAGTAACCAACGCGGCCACTCATCTTGTTTCTTTGTTCCCACTCTTCCAATTCAGCCATATCGGCATCGTTACCACGCCATCCCTTGTTTTGCACGCCGACACCATCCATACGAATAACAACACGATCAATAACATCCTGGATAGCGGACAGCATTTGATCATCGAGCACATCCTTTGCCTTCCAGGCAGCATCTTCACCAGTCTTGGTCTGAAGATTCTGGTCAAACAAAGACTTGAATGAGACTGACAGCTTTGCCTCAAACCAAAGACGACCAGCGGCGATCATGTCACTCCTCTCACGAGACGCGAACTGATGGAGTATGTTGTTCTCTCTCATCCAGCCTCTGTTCAACTCTTGGACCTCTGTAAGGTGTAGCGTTATGCGGTCATTGTTGATGTATCGCAACGAGAGACGCTTCTTGATGTAGGCGCTTTCGATCTTGAGATCACTGGTCACCAGAAAGCGCAGATCGACAAGACGGCCGTCCTTGGAGTCACGGATTTCGACTGATAGCTTTTTCAAAAACTCCGTGATTGCCTCATGGTGCTTGTATGTCTCTCGGCCTTTCACGGCAAAGCGAGCATCCCATCTTCGCTTCGGATAGTGGAAGAAGATCTGACCAACTGTAGTGGGAACAAGTTTGACCTCCACGCCGTCGGGGTCCCTGACTCTCACAATGAGGTGGTTGTGGTATTTGTCTTCACAGTGGAACTCATACCAGGTCGCCTCCGTGGCATCCTGGTGAAACAACTGTGGAGTCGGAATCTGGCATGCTTCAATAGTAGATGAGGTCAGTTTCTCCACGAAATGCAGAGCTGACTCCGGGTCTGAAGAGAGATGTTCCTTGATGCCTGCTGCCATACGCTTCGATGACATGGCCTTGGAAGCAGCAAATTCCTTTGCTTCCGGTCCTCTCAATCCTTCAATCAGGATGCGACCGATAGAGATCTCCATGTCTAGATGTCCTCTGTATGCTCTCGCACATTCCAGAAGTTGCAATAAATCGTCGCTGCACTCTGGGACAACAAGAGGCTTTGGCTCAGGAGTTGGGGCGGTTTGAGCATGAGCTGCCTTTGGTTGACTTTGAGCTGGTTTGCTGTTCGCTTGAGTTTTAAGGAATTCCGGAATATCGAGCTGGGCCTTGGAAGGTGGGTTGGCAGGCTTGCCCTTGCCCTTGGTGGGCTTAGGTTTACGGTGAGATGTGGTACCGAAATACCTTCGACTGGCGACTTCGTCTTCCACCTGGATTCTTTCTTCAATATCGTTGGACTCTGCAGGTTCAGCCAGAACCATCTGCGAGTATTGTCCAGGCCGAGTCGACAATCCTGGCGGTGCAGCAGGAGTGAATGATGATGTTGACTGCACATGCTGCACGCGAGGTTTGGGAGCCTGCGTTCCAAGAGGAGGGAACGGTTCGACAGTATCACCTCCGGCATAGCTTGTCGTAGGTGCGACGTCCCATTCGACTGGAACCGGATGTGCGGGTACGACGTCCCATGGTGCTCTGGGTAGCCTATCTGCGAATCTTATCCCAGCTGCCGCTCTAGACTGCACCGATTCGACCAGGGTCGACGAATACGTAGAGCCAACGTCAAAAGAGCCAGGTGGGGGGACGTAGATGCGGCCTCCAAGATGACTAGCCTGGGTTGAAGGTTTTGGACAACCTTCGTAGTCAATAAGAAGATTTGGATCAGGTTGAGCCTCGGCGTCAACCAGCAGACTCGAGTCAGGACGGCTTTCAAAGTCGGCCTCTTCGGGAAATCCAAGATCCTGGACAGTACGCCCTGCCTGCTCCTTGAATGGTGCTGGCTGGGGCTGGAGTGCCTCGATAGTCTTACCGAGATTGAGATTCTCAACACCACCATCCAGCAAATCACCTACGTCGGGCGCAGAATCGATGGTCCCCTGCACCCATTCCTCGACGGAGTTGTCCACGAAGGTTATCAAGGGGTCATGCATGCCTTCTCTGATGAAATGCGGAAGCGACATGGATGCCAGTCGCTGGACCAGTTCTGGGCTATGGGTGTAGTTGGAAGGCTGTCTAGTGCGCTCATCAGACCCGTATCCATAAGTGAGATTGAAGACGCTCAGTCGACCATCGCTGTCGGGACACATCAAGCGCACCACACGTTGACGAGGCAACATCTGTACGGTTCTCGGGTCGCCTGGAGTCAATGTTTGCAACAAGGTTCCATCTTGCAGGTGCTGAAGACGATGGAGTTGTAGCAAAGGGTTGTCGACCTTTTCCGTACGCATGAAGTGTGAGTCGATCTTTGAGCGGTGCTGGACATATTGGTTAGTCGAATGCGCTGGCTGGTTCAGCTATCTCAAGCTTACCGAGTTTCTCTCGATGTTGTCCAGCCTCTTAGTGACGGTCTCAATCTTGCTAGCAGTGGCGTTGGTGACGAAGACGCATGCCTTCTCGACACTCAATTCCAATGAGCACGTAACGTCTTGGGCGATCTCCTGCAAAAGTCGGTCTGGCAGAACAAGCGCGATATCTGTGTTCTTATCCTTCGGATTCCAGAAGGGCTTGTCTTCCTCTTCGTGCTCGGAAGAAGGACCGCCAACATCGATAAGCGGCTCGTCGTCTAAGATGTCGTCTTCCCTCAGAAGCTCTTCAAGTTCGTCTTCAACATTGGTGTCTCCACCCATCTCGTCAGGGCGAAAGATCTTCAGGCCGCTCATGACATCCTGAGGACCGTCCTGATGCTCGTCGATGTAGTTGTTGCACAAGTCCACAAACTTGAAGTAAGTCTGTTCATGTCCAGGCTCTGGAAACTCGATGCGGAACATNCTACGTCTCGTCAGCGTGTGTCGAGACAGAAAAAACAGCATGAGAGGTTGTGCCCAGCTTACCTGCTTGTCTGACATATATGTACATCTGACATTGGCATCTTGGACCATCTCGTCGAACATGGTGATGAGCTCATCCGGCTCAAGAAACTTCCACACTGTGCTGTACACGAAAGTGCTCGCCATGGTGGGAGTGTGAGCAGGTGTATGGATAGCTTAGAGGCGTCGAGTGATCAGCAGCTCTGCACGAGAATCGATGAGGATAAAGATCTTGGAGTGATGGATAGAACAAAGTGAAGATGTTGATGCGCAGATTGAAAATTTCGCAGATGCGAAACCGAATGCTAGAAGTCGTTCGTCTTTGCCTGTGCTGATTGGGAAGCTGCGAGGTCCCGTTCGTTTGCACACGCCTTGCTTGCGATGATGCGTGAAAACGAAGCTAGAGTGAGTCGACATGGAGACCTTGGGTTGATTGTGCAAACGCTGAGCACCTGAAGCCTTTGATGTATGCCAGCCCAATCTGCCAATCAACCCATTAACTCGCTCTCAAAGCAGATAGTGTCATCTTTTGATCATGTACCATGAGTATTGATATGTTGCTACCCGTATTAAACCCATTGTCTAGTCCCATAACGCCTCGCTATGCAGCCATTCGTGAGCAATAACATGTCTGCTAACACTTAGTTCTGAAACCCCCATAAACGCCTCTCGTAAAGTTCCTGTGCAGTCAGGAATCCCACTTTATACAACATAAGCATGCCAGAAGGAATACTTCTTTACTCCAAACAAAATTCACTTTTTGCAGCCAGCCGCTGTGGTGGGCGGAAGGCTCAAGAAGGTGGTGATGGTGGAGGTGAGTTTACGCCATTCTCGCTGTTGACTTTCTGCATGTTCATGAGCCACTTCATACGATTCATGACCTCATGCATCTCTTCCAGCGTGCTCTCCAGTTCCAGCTCGCGGTGGTTGATGCCTCCTTTGAGTGCTTTGACGTCTCCAAGGACAAGATCAACCTCAGAATCCTTCTCTGCTTTGTATTTGTCCGACGCTGTGACCAGTTCGCCGTACAGCTTTCTTGCTTTCTCCGACTCTTGACGCATCTGATGGTTGACAACGTCTAGTTTGATGAGGCGTTTTCGATCCTCTTCTCTATCGTCGTTCAGCTCTCGTAGTTGTTTGTTAGCCGCTGCGATACGCTGTCGGTATTCGGACGATAGCTGGCGGTGTGATGTTTCGAGAATTGAGGCGTGTGTAGTTGCGTGCTTGGCTTCTTCGACAGCCTGTTGGACTTCTTTGTTGCTGTGCTCTTGGTACTCGCCCATCTTGCGCTCGGCTTCTTGAACTCGGTGCTCCAAGGACTCCCTCTTTTGTCGCTCGATATCGAGCTCAGCCTTGAGATCCTCGATTTTGCGGTCACGTCGTTTGATCACGCTCTCGTCTACTGCTTTACAATGCGAGAGTCGTGCGTTCTCGGCTTGGAGAGCCTCCAGTCGAGGCTTCTGTGCATTTGCGGTGCGTTGTAGCTCTTCTCTCTTTGCAGCCTCTGCTTTGATCTCTCGTTTGAGTCTATCATTTTCGGCCATGAGTTTCTCAATGACACGGCCAGACTTTCCGAGGTTTGCATTTCCGAGGCCTGTGCCGCCGACCCAAGGAGTGCTGTCGAGAATTGGAGAACTCTCTATTATTGTCGTAGTGGTACTCATATCGTTGCTGGACGGTTTTGGTGACAATAGCTGCTCTTGAACGCTGTCGCGAGTGTTTGTTGACTGAGGAGGTTGAGCTGTCCGGGGCGATATCAAGCCGGATTGGATTTCTGAAGCTTGTGGAGGNGATGAAACGTCGACAGGAGAAGTCGAATCAAAGGGAGCAAAGTCGGGCATGTTCAGTTGAGGGGGTCTGAAAATTGACCATCTAGTTGTGTAAAATGAGCGATGAACGTTGTTGCGGCAGTGACGGACAGGAAAACAAAGGACCCTGCATTTGAAGCTGCAAGCAATCGCAAGAACAGCGCCAAATGGAACGTGCTTACCGCCAATAATCTCTCTTTCTTCCTCGACACTTTCCGAAGTCTTGCGTCCAACATGCTTCAACCGTTGCGAAAATTCTCGGAGTGTATTGAGCGATGACTTTCTTCGTCCAAGGCCAGGTTTCTGAGTGTTCTCGTCGGCCATGCTTGTCCACAACAACGCACAAGCGTCAGTGTCAAAGAGTCCGTGTGTACGGCAGAGCAGCAATGCGGCGCAAACGGTTCCTGTGGTTCCTGCGGTCCTTGTGGAGCAAAGCCAAAAGCATCGCGCGCGAAAATGTGGGATGGCCGCAGACCTTATGCGCCTTGCCGAGTGCCCATCTTAAAGTCTAAATTAAAAGGGACATTGCGCCGGCAGGTAAGAGATACAGTACGTTAGGCCTTCAACGGCTGTCAGTTGCGACACTCAAAGACAAGACACACGCGTACGACCATGAACCACTCCCCTTTATCTAGCACTGCCTCTTATGTGACTATGTATAGCAACAATATCAGTAGGCCGTTGTCCTAATCGATACACGGTCTTTGATCAGCCAAACTGCTATTTGGATTGTGTTTTTGCGTTATAGCTATGTGCGGTTCTCCTAGTTTTCTAACAAGCTTTGTCTGTCAAGGTTCGATGCAAAATGAGATATGTTCTCGTGTTATGGATGCCGGGTATATTGTGAGCAAGACATGCTGGAGACTCAGGAATACTCTCAGCCTAGGTCGCAACTGCCTCTTGCAGTTTCTGAAAAGCTTCTGGTCGGAATTTAGGCATGATTTTCGTCACCAGTGGTCGCGACTCATCGTCTGTCAAACATTGTCAGTAAAATTGAGGAAGATAGGGCGTCAATAATGACATACAGTTCTTGTAGAGATCTTCCAAGGCATCGAGAGCCATTTCTCTTGCCGGAGGTCGGAGAAGAATCAGATAATGTAGCGCTTGTACCGCAAGTTGCACTCTTTCCGGATCCTTCGCAAGCCTGACCACCCGTTTAAGAACATCTTGGTTGATGCTGGGAATCTCTGAAAGAAATCTGATGAGGAGTTTATCTTTCGCGTCCAGGAACGGCACGATTCCATCGAGAATCTTGAGCATCCACTTCTCATAATGCTCGGGAATATACTCTGCCTCTTCATTCTGCTGTTTTTGTATACGGTCATTGTACCATTCTTCGTTGAGCCAGGAGATGCCAACATCGATACGTTTTCGGAAGTCATCGACGACGTACAAATATAATGATTCCCGTATAGCGTCGTTGAGCGAAAAGGTGCCCTTTGACAAGCTGCTCGACTCAGATTTAAGCTTGCTTTCATCAAGTCCAGCAGGAGCGCGTGTCGCAAGACGAGTGATGAGGGTAATCCAGGCATCTCGGTCATGATTGATTGCTGCGAGACGATTGAAACCTGGTTTCTGAGTTTTGTTTGATGCGGGCTGGTCCATTGCCGTGAGTGTACTGAACACACGGCTGACAGCTCCTTTGCTGTATTCTACAGTCTGCTCTGTAGTCAACGGTGGTGGCGGAGGCAGATTGAACGGACCCAAAGATACAGGAGCTCGGTCGGTGTCTGGAGGAGCTTGATCAAGGTCATTGAGAATCTGGTCAGTACTTTCAGCACCCGGGTCGTACTCCTCATCCTCTTCGTCCTGGACAGGNGCAACACCTGTTACCGCCTGAGCTGCGCTTGAGGCAGTAGCAGGCCTTGCCGCTAAAGACAAATATCTTGCTTGAACAGCGTTTATGGCAGCGTCCATTTTCACCTTGTCTATAGATTTTAACAATGGTGCGACGATGCTCAAGACAACATTGGAAGGAATCACGTTCACATCGAAGCTCCTCAACCCCTGGTCACGCGTGAGAGTGAACAGCTGAGCAAGGCTAACAGGCCCTTGTGGTAGTGGTGGTATCTGAGAAGTCGCAGAACTGGGCTGAGGTATTTGTGCATCAAGACGTTGTCGCTTGGCCTCGGACAGACCGTCAGTAGGCTCAGCAGGTGCTGCCCTTTTACGGCTCGACTCATCGAACACATCTACAAGCGTGTGTCTGAGTCTCTCGATACATTGTTGGATGCGACCAGCCAGAGGATGATTGGGGTTCTTCTTGATGATATTCAGCAGGAAAGCGGTCGTTGTGCGTGTCATGGATCTGATCATGACTTTGTGGGTTGGAGAAACGGGTGTCGTGGTAGCGAGTTTGAAGGGATTGTAGTTCAGAACGGTTGAAATGATCTTGTTGGCGACAGAAGGGCGGTTCTTGACCAAAGACCCCAGACTGTTCAAGGTAGCGGTTACAAGCAAGGCATCAGTGCTGTTATCCTGCAATACGCCTAGTAACCTGTCGAGCAAGCCCAAGGCTTCGGCCTCCAATGTTGAGGGAGACATGATTGGATGGTCGCGCGGAACCAGGGCAAGAGAGATTTCGTTTTGCTCAGGGCGTCTTGGATCTGCAATCAACCCAGGTGTCTGGACCTGAACCACCCTTTGGATAAACTTGACGGAGCATATATGGATTCCAGGAGGAGCGTTGTGCATTCTACGCAAAATGCTCGATTTGATAGCGGCCATTTTCTGCCATGGTGAAGCATCCTGAGGGTTTGCTACAGTTTGGCGGAAGACAAAAGGGTAGATGCTCGCAGCTGTTTGTACGACGCTCTTGATGACGGCAGTGTCTTCGTTCGGACGTTCGAGGTAGGCTTTTAGTGTGTCCAAAACCTGTAGACCCAAATTTTGCTTGTGTTCCTGGGCGAGGACAGGAGATGCGAAGGTCTCGGCAAAGAAGTCGGCGCCCCATCTTCTCAATTCGAGGATAGCATCGGCGCCCACGATTCGAAGAAGGCCGGGAACGACTTGAGGATAAAGAGCGGGGTCAGCGAGTGCGAGGTTCCGGGCAGCATTCAGCTGTTTGATCGTGTCGGCGACGTTGGCTTGGGCAGCCATGGTGGGCGACAAGAGGGCGGACGCGCCAAAGACGTCACGCAGAAGGTGGAGGATTCAACTCGGTGACAGCTACGCTATTGCGACATGGGGGCACGTGTGTAGCAGATTTGACGGCTCTCACTGTAAGTTGTGATAGTAGGCTGTCTCGACGGACAATCAAGGAGAATGGTGGTGGAAAGCGCAACGCGATGAGATAGAACAGGTGGTAAAGCTCTCTTGCTCTTGCTTGAGTTCAGAGTCGACGCGCGGGAGAGCAGCAACGACCCTCGCAAGTCTGTCTTGGCAGCTCCGGTTCTCGAACATGTGAATCGTGCTTTCCCTCGCAGACCGGCGTAATAATATCACGACTCGACCAATATGCCTATCGGAAAGTACGCATAGTTCACATCTCATCGCAATCTAGTTCTTATTAACGCCATCTCAGGATTCCTCAGTCGTCGTACTACGACAAGTACAACCGACCCACCGCCGCTCTCTACCGTGCTCGCCAGCCGTACATTGTCAAGAATGCTCTGACCGGTCTGGCCATCTTTGGTTTCGCTATTGGTGTTNTGTCCGTCACACCTATCCCTTATGTTCTATGTGCCCGGCTCGACTAACACGTCACCGTAGACTCCTTCACTATCCGCGCAGTCGCACAAGACGAATTCGAAGATGTCGTTGTTCCCGATGCGCCCGCCACACCAGGCCATGCTCCTCACACTAGCAACGTGAGGCAGGTTGCTCCCAAATAAAACATGGACCGAACTCGACCACATATCTGTAACACCACATGTACATTCAATCTCGGCATGGTTAAGGCGTAATGGAGTTAAATGGGAAGACTGTCTCGAATAGCAGCAGCACTTTTGTTCACACGAGCCATGAATTACAAAGATACAAAGGAAAACATGAATTCGCTATTGGCATGGTATATCTACATCAACATGGTCTCAACGCCAGTGGGGAGGTTACCCTTGAATGGGTGCTCGCTAGGAACAGCATTGTCCTTAATCTGCTGCAGCTTCTTTGCGTTGGCCTCGTATGCCTCCTTCTCGAACTTGGCGATGACCTGTGACATGTCGGCGTAGTGGCCAGCGGGCACGTTGTGAGGTGCTCCAGTGTTGAGGATCNNCTGTGACAAAGACTTCGTTAGCATTCCAATTCTCTTCGCGTGTCATTGGTGTGCCCGTTCTCGATTCATAGTATCCTTCTCTTCCTCTTGCTGTAAATTGTATTTCCCAATGCTGTGCTGTGCTGATAGAATAGCCAAAGGCAGCTGGACGTACTCAGGGAATCTCAACGTGACGTTCTGGGCGCGCTGAGAGTTGGCGAACAGGTTGCGGTCGGCAGCAGCCTGCTCAAGGGCATCGGTGTGAAGAGCAGCAATGTGAGCGGCATCCTTGCGGTATCCGTCGTAGCTGTTAATGACGCGAGTGAGGTACTTGTGCTCGTAGTTGCCGGGACCAGAAAAGTGGTACATCAGGTAGCCGATCGGAATAAGGGACATGGCCATGAAGTATCCAGTNCTGTCTCCCTATCAGTCCATGGTCTTGTCTCGTCTTCCTATGACACGTACTCCAAGCTTCTCGTCCTCTGGGTACTTGATGCTGCCGGCGGCTGGGGCTTCGTGGTGGGCATGGCGTTTTGTTTGCTGACGAGTGACTGCGCGCGCAGTTTGCGCAGCGCTTCTTCTGAAGGCCTGCATGATGTGTGGTATGTACAAGCCCAATCGCTATGCTAACCAGTCGTCCTCTTGGTCCGGCAGAGTGATGTCGAATCGTCCTTGGCGCTGTTTTGCCGGCCCGAGCGCAAAGCGTGGAGGAACATCCAATCAGAAGCACTTGACCTCGATTCAAGACATATACAAGAACACATGCAATCACTAAATAGCGAGTGAGGTAAAGACTTGATGTAGTCAAATCGAAGCACATCTTGTCACGATGACTGGACCACAAGCAATCGATCAAAAGAAATTTAACATGACAGCAGGGGAAGACAATGCTCTTGGTCACATATTTCAATAGCACCTTGCACGAAACACTAGAAAACTCATGTATGCGCCGTGGGAAAAGTTCATGGATTTCTGACGAAAATATCAGTTGTATTACCTGAAGCCGTCGTGCATCTAGGTGAATAGAACACGACCAGAGAATGAGCTTCTTGAGAAGTGAGCTCGCTGAAACTGTCTCGTCAGTCTTTCGTTGAACTTGCAAGCCATTCCAGGGCTCTTGCGATCAGAAATTCGCATTCGAGACCTTGGTAATGGCGTGCCAGATCTCGTCGCCGAGCTGCGGCCATTGCTCCTAGGTAAATTCCAGCAACCTTTCGCAAGCCCGTCCTGTAGGCACCGTGAGTACCTTGAGTCATCAAGTAGTGTGCCGCTATCGTTTTGTTTTTATGTCAAATCCAAACTCCGCGCTTCAAGAAAAAGAGCCACACTATGCATGTCCAGCGCCAGTAAAATGCATCCGTTTAGCAAACTCCAGGGACTTCGGGGCTTTCGATGGAACCAGTGCGCGTGCCAGGGTGTGACGAGTCGTCAAACGTGTTGGTAGTTTAGAAAGTCGGGGTGAATGGTCTCTCATTGCACAAAATTTCTCAGCTTCATCATTTCGTCGAGCAGCTCTTGGAGGTCCTCGTCAGAAATCTTGCCTTCGAGCGAGGGCACGAGCGTCTTTGCTTCCNNCTCAGCAGAATCAGGGCATAGACTTCCNTTTTGAGACGGTCAGTAAACGAACATGTACTGCAGTAGTCAAGTAAACTCACCGAGCTGGCTGCGCTCAAAGCGCTCGAGCTCGGTGCGAGTCGTGAGCAATTGCTCAACAGCAGTGACGTGTTCCTGCTGCTTGAAGCGTGCAAACAACTCGAGGTATTCCTGGGTCTTGAGAAGAGTCTCGGACTCAGAGACCTTCTGCTTGATGTTGCGCCGACGTGTCGTGACAGCGTTGATGATGGTGCGCGCTTCGGACAAGTTCAGAGCAGGTACCTGCTGGAACTCTCCCAGACGCAAAATTGCCGTAGCCTCTTCATCTCCGGTGGGGGCTCTCTTTGGGCGCGAGATCATATGAGGCGCAGGAGCGGGTGCGCCGGGGTTGGCCATGTTGTCTGGAGCGAATGATACGGAGAGGATTCAACCGACGGTGGAGCACGACCTGAGAGGCAAAGAGCGATGTTCGACGACAATGGTGTGCTGGTATGCTGCGCGACAGCGACGTGTTCGAGTTATTGATTTGAAGTTCAAAGCGCAAGCAACTGCGACGAGGCTTGGCACTGGCTTCCGTGACCGCAAAGCCTCGCAATTAATCCTTCACTTCTTCACTTAAGCACGAAAAGATGACCACGAGGATCCAGTTCATGTCAGACCTACATCTGGAACGTATCGGCTACAATTACGACGTTCCATGTGCTGCATCCCATCTGGCCTTGGCCGGAGATATTGGACGATTCTGCGACTACGACGAATATGCTGGGTTCCTCAAGATTCAATGCCAAACATTTGATCAGGTACTATTAGTAGCCGGGAATAACGAGTTCTATGGCTCTTCGCGACAGGAGGCTCTGGACGCTGCGAACAGGCTTGTGCAAGAGCCGGCCTTGCAAGGCAAGCTGGTGTTTNTGAATCGTACCAGAGTCGACCTTGCAGGATCCAATATCATCGTGCTAGGGTGTACACTATACTCTTACATCGAATCTGACAGTACTTCCCAACTGAACAAGGATTTCAAAAGTATCAGGAACTGGAGCATCGAAGACCATAATATGGAACATGAAAGAGATTTGGGGTGGCTGCGTTCATCCCTTGAGCACATCGCTGATATGGAGCCTCAAAAGCAAGTCATCATAATCACTCACCACGCCCCGTCGTTCAAAGACACATGTCATCCTATGCACGAAAACAACGCTGTGAGTCAATGTTTCTGCAGTAATACATTGGACGCTTTCAAAACATGGAAAGGTCACGAGCAAGTAAGCAATTGGATATTCGGCCATACACATTGGAATGCTCGTTTCATGTGTGGAAACACGATAGTACAAAGTAACTGCCTGCCTAACCAACCCCGTAATCTCACTTGGTGGCGAAAGTTCACTATGTACAGGCCGTTCGACCCGCGAGCAGTCATAAACAATCATTTGGCATGGTACCGGAGTAACTGGTTGTTTAACGCGTAGGCTGTATGGATACGATAGGTTCTCTTTTCGTGTGCTAGAGTGTGTAGCTTCCGTCATACTCCGAGTATAGCAAAGAGCAAAGTATATGCTATAAAAGGCACAATCTTCTTCAGAAACAGGAACACATCCACAGAGAGCCGATGGACTGTCGCCTCTCTGTGGGCAATGTCCGGTTTCCTGATAATACTGTGCATTTCTACAGCTCCACGCGTCACATGCTCCAGCACACGAGGAGATTGCAATCTCAGGAGACACATTTGTGCTTCGATGTGGCGGCGGCTGCATCTTGACAGGTGCCGGCAATGCTGGAAGATAGCACCTCAACCTCAGCAAATCCAGAGTCAATAGATGACTGGTCGTTCACTTAAGCTGGTGGACTGGGTAGATGATGAGCCGAACATTGACATTGTGGAGCATCCTCCCGTGTGCTAAGGGTTACTATGCTACTCGAAATGCACAGTTGCGATTCGAATATGAGTCTGAACATTGATATAGCCTTCATTGGGGCTCTCTCAATGGAGATCACTTCTTTGCGAAAGTATTGTGCATTTCTGTAGCTACACTGTGACTGGCTTGCACATGGAGTGAAGCGGAAAGGAGATTTCAAAAATAGATCGTCACTGTCAGGCAGGGAGAGCACGGGGAATTTGCATGGGGTTTCGGCCACTCGGCGCCATTGGCCAAGTGCCATCCACGCGTGTGACAGCTTCCCAAAAGTCAAGTATTCACAGCCGAAGCAAAGTAGATGCAACCTAGATCATGTCGACGGCTGAGTAAAAAATCCAGGGCTCGAATACAATGTCAGGCTAGTTTTAGGAAGCTGCATTGGTCAAGTCTAGGTTCCTCTTTAGATTCCTTGTCTCTCTGGAATTCTCAGAAAACAGCGAGACGGGCTTCACGAGTCACTCCTTGGCGCTGGGGGGCTCAAGCATTGCACCTTTAGCACGTTCAGTATTTACCTACAATCGACCTACGCTGCTGGCTGCCCCACGCAGGCACTCTCTATTTCGACTCTTGCGACAACGTCCCATGCGGTCGCTATTCAGTCTTCCAACGAGCAGGCGCTGCGTCCGCCCCGACTAAACACACGATCGCCCGCCGCCTCCTGACTGTCGGCACCTCGCTGTCCTTGTTTTGATGCCATTCTATTCAACTCCGTCCCGCTCGACGCTTCCACCCAAGTAGCCGCTGCTACCTTACGCTCGCTTTGTTTCCTCTGTTCGCAATTTCTCCTAATACACCATGGGTTTACCGACGGACCCTTCCACCCAGCACGACGCTGATGATCATCCCTATCCTTCCGACATCGCCCTTCCTCCCTCTCGCACCAACACCTTTGAGTCTCCTGGCGAATCTCCTTCAAGAACCTCTACGGACGCCGAATCTCAGCTTGAATTGGCCTCGCGTCACAGACACAAGCGCAGCCTGGATGTCAAGGATGATCGCCCCTCCGACGCTCAAGTCTCACCCTCACGGGATCGCTCTCGACCAAATGGAAAGCAGTCCAACAGGACATGCGCAAAGTGTGGCGGTCATCTGACTGGCCAATTCGTACGCGCTCTGGGCGGCACATATCACCTTGAGTGCTTTACATGCCATGTCCGTAGTGCTGAAACGTGAACTATAGTGCAATTGCTGACTGTTCGCAGGNACTGTGGTAAAGTTGTTGCTTCCAAATTCTTCCCCGTTCCAGAACAGCCCCCGAATCAATACCCTCTTTGCGAAACGGATTATTTCCGCAGATTGGACTTGCTCTGCCATGCATGTGGAGGCGCCCTCCGCGGCTCCTATATCACCGCTCTCGATCGCAAATATCACATCGAACATTTCACCTGCTCTGTATGCCCGACTGTTTTCGGTGCCCAAGACAGCTACTACGAACATGAGGGCAATGTATATTGTCATTACCATTACTCAACGAAATTCGCTCAGCGCTGCAATGGCTGTCAGACGGCTATTCTCAAACAATTTGTTGAAATCTTTCGCAATGGTCAGAATCAGCATTGGCACCCAGAGTGTTATATGATTCACAAATACTGGAACGTCCGACTACATCAAGGTGGCTCTGTGGACGACCCTCTGGATTCGGAGGAGAATGCTACAGAAGAGATGCGAAAGATGGTCAAAGAAAGTGAAGAGAGTGTTGAGGAGAAAGTGCTTTGGATTTGGCGCACGCTTTCGTCATTCGAAGAGAAGTCAGCAACATGCATCTCTGACATGTTATTACATGTCAGCAATGGTGCCTACGTTGATGGGGTTATGACGGCCAAGAAGTTCATTACCCACGTTGACCTCCTCTTCTCTGCGGCAGACAACCTGGACCAGGTCCTACAATCTCACACAACGAAGGGTGTGTTTGCTTCCCGTGCCGAGTACACTCCGTATGCTAACTTCCTTANNGGTCTCTCCTACTCGAGAGAAGCCAAATTGTTGTGCAAGAAAGTAGTTGCTTTCTTCCAGTTACTCGCCGAATCTCAGGAAACTGGTGTGAGGCGATTGGGTGTCACGCAAGAACTTTTATCCCTTGTCACAGGTTTAGCGCACTATCTCAAGCTCCTGATCCGCATTTGTTTACAGGGCGCTCTGAAACTAGAGCGCGAAACTGGCAGTCACGAGGGCCTGACTAACTTCCTAGACGAGATCGGTGCTCTTGACGACAGACTCGATGCCGAAGATGACAAGGATCCAAGGAGCGAGACAGAAAACTTTGTGGCACGATCCGCAGATAATTGCGCCATTTGTGACAAGTCCGTTGAGGATAAGTGTTTCGTACGCAGGGACAGAAGATTCCATGCTCAATGTCTCACATGCAGCAAGTGCTCGAAGCACCTCGCTGACGATCATGGACTAGCAAGATGGGATGAGCCTTCTCAGAAACTTTTCTGTGATCGTCATGCTGGAAGCTCGAGCGAGGGCGACTTCATCTTCGTCACCCGTCTCCAGCAATATGTCCATCTTCTCCGTGTCGCTCATGCGAGATTACTTGCCACTTTACGCACAAGCGGTGCGCTGCCGCACACTTCAGGTGTGTCGAGAAAATATCTTACACTAGATGATATAATAACTCACAGAGCCTTTANNGATGATCCAAACCTTACAGACTACGATTCCAACCGGGGACACCGTGTCTCGCCGAAGGGCTCTATGGACCCACCATTGCTTAGGTCGAATACCCGCTCCAAGTCATATGCTGGCTCGACAAAGCGTGAGCACTCGCCTTCATACGAACAGACGCTTGGCGACATCCGAAGGTTGCGGTCTACACGCATGGAGAAGAATATTTCAACGACAAACCGCAAGGCTCGAACATCTAGAGTCATTGATGGCCCTGAAGGTCTGCACGGTGATCCAGAAGACAGGTTCGAACGTCGCCAAACTGGCAATTTCCAGATTGTAGACGATGGTGAAGCCGGCGGGTCACGCATGTCACAACTTCAATTCGGCAATCATGAGTCTATGACTCTAGATGATATTCCAAGGATTGTTCAAGCACAGCAAACAAGAGAACAAAGGCCCAATGCCTCCAAGTTCCATCGTGGTCCCATGATACCTCAGGAGCCAAGACCAAAGCTCGTCAACAACGGTCACACACGACACGTCTCGCTCGGTAACGACGACAAGCAAGCTCTTGTGGAAGGTGGTGCATTCAAGACAAAGAAGTACTTCTCCGAATTGTCAGCGCTTGAGTATTTCATTGTTCGACATGTAGCTGTTCTCTCAATGGAACCTCTGCTGGATGGCCATTTCAACCAGGAAGAATTGCTTGATCTTATAGAGACGAAGAGACCCACTTTCTGGGGCAAGTTTGGAAAGGCCTTCAAGCCCGAAGCAGGCAAAAAGCCAAAAGGCAACAAGCGGGGCATCTTTGGTGTGTCTCTTGAGCAGCTGGTAGAGAAAGACTATGCCGAGTCAACAGATGGCATTGGGCCAGGGGCCCTGCGTATACCTGTTCTTATCCAAGACGCCATATCCGCGATGCGGACGATGGACATGTCTGTCGAGGGTGTCTTCCGCAAGAACGGTAACATCAAGAGACTCAACGACGTCAAAGAAGAGATCGACTCTAAGGAGATGGTTGACGTTGATCTCACTAAAGAGAACCCAGTGCAAGTCGCCGCGCTTCTCAAGAAGTTCCTACGAGAGCTTCCAGATCCCCTTATGACATTCAAGCTGCATAAGTTGTGGATAACGTCACAAAGTAAGTTTTGCATGTCAACAACGACCAAAGTCTTGTAACTAACGTTGTCCAGAANNATCGCGGACGAAGAGACACGGCGAAGAGTACTTCACCTTACATGCTGTCTTCTTCCAAAGGCACACAGAGATACGATGGAAGTGTTGTTCAACTTCATGCAGTGGGTGTCATCGTTTTCTCACATCGATGAAGAATCTGGCAGCAAAATGGATGTCCACAATCTGGCTACTGTGATGGCGCCAAACATCTTGCACTTGGGCAAACGCGATGTTCCCTTGGATGATAACTTGCTCGCTATCGAGGCGGTGCACTCCCTGATTGAGTACAATGAGTACATGTGCGAGGTAAATACACTGTCGTCGCTTGTCCAATGACAAGAAAAAGCTAACATTTTCTTTCTAGNNGTACCGGAAGATCTAGCTCTTATCCTCAACGACTCTACGTTGTTCTCCGCCAGCGCCGATATTACCACAAAGGAGATCTTAAAACGATATGGCGATCGCACGAAGGGACCCTCGACTACACAAGGGGATGTAGCACCGCCACCTCAATCTACAACACCCAAGTCTCGTGAAAGCCGGGGCAGCGCGCCTGTCGTTACTCGTGTTGACACAGATGCCGAACAGGCCAACGCTTGGGGGAACGAAGCCAGTGTTCGTCATGTGGCAGCAGACATGCCACCACAGCCGCCTNTTGCCATGCATCCAAACAAGTCTTCCGAGAGCCAAGGCAGTCCAACTCGGAATGGCAACCGCAACAGTGGATACACCCCGAGGCCGATGGGTGTGACATAGGACGAAAACTCATTCAGCGGGCGGTAGCCTCAAACATACTTGAAGTTGTGGCTGTCCATTGTTTCTGTTTGTTGTCTACCACCGCGTATCTGCTTTCCAGCTGAGCAGATGTGTTAGCATCAGAGTTCCCCGAAAATCATCTTTTCATTGCAACGAGTTCTTGTGGAGGGCAGCTTGTTTTCTTCTTCTTCTTTTCTTCTTCTCTTCTCGCCACCTTTTACCTCTGTTGTCTCGACAAATCTTTCTACCTCTCCTTGTCATTTTCCCCCTTCGTCTCATCTCGTCATCCGTTTTGAGTATGCGCTTTCTTATCATCATCATCAACCACATCATCAGTATCATCGCTGTCATTGCTTTGGGGCAAGTTGATAGTCTTAAAGTTCTCTACTTCTTTTGATTCGAGAGATAAGCATTGGTCACCAGGACGACCCGTAGACGGGTCAAGCAAAATGCATCATTATCCGTAACCTATACCCTATGTTTCTGGTCTTCTGTCTTCGTCTGAGTCCATGCGACTATTCAATTTGAACCTATCTGACACATCTTACGTTCATTTGCCCCGAGAAGAGCGGCATAAGTATCACATCCGCTGACCATAAGCATCTTGCTAATCCACAACAGTTTGTGCATCTCCTAGAACTGTGCAAGAGGTGGTATTTCTAAGCTCTAAATGATGGGTGTGCGGAACACCCTGACCATCCCGGTCGCAAGCTGCCAAAGATATCGTAACGATGTTGGTAACAGTTCTGACAGTCAACTTCTAGTCCCTATGCTGGTCTCTGATACTTTCCGTATCTCTACGATGAGTGATAAAGTATTTGATGTTGCGCAATAGATAAAGGTATCGCACAAGGAAGCATGCCCGAATTCGGAGGCTGACAAACGCCTCGGCTGATGGCGTCAGATTCAAGGACCGACCATGACTTTTCTACCAGAGCATTGTAATCATACAACTTGACTTCTCTGCACCAGTCAGAGTGACAAGAGACAGCATGTCGACTCCTCGAGCAGTGAGGCAGCTTGCCAATGGACTGTTCCGACGAACAAACCCTAGAACACGCTTCCTTCCTATCCAACGCAACATACATAGCACGAGCAAACCGGCCTCGCAAGCAGCGGCGGGCCAACCCATTGTCGAAGCAGAAAGACCCTCGGAGACACCTATCGTAAACCCACCGCTCAGCTTCCCTTGTCTGGATGCCTTGGACAAGAAGACCCAGACCTTGACGAACAAGCGATCGTTATCTGGGCCCGAACCGTCATACGCGCCAGGTGCGACCGAGACCTTCCACTGCCCCTCGCCGCTCCTGCTGGACTGGGGCGGTGTTTTGCCGTCCTTCGGTATCGCATATGAGACTTGGGGTACCCTCAATGCCGACAAGAGCAATGCTATCTTGCTACACACAGGCTTGAGTGCTAGCAGTCACGCAAAGAGCACACCCGCAAACTCCAAGCCTGGTTGGTGGGAGAAGTTCATTGGTCCTGGTGCACCCATCGATACCGACAAGTACTTTGTCATTTGCACAAATGTGCTGGGAGGATGCTACGGCAGTACTGGTCCAAGTTCCAAGGACCCTTTGGCTAGCGACCAGCCATATGCTACACGATTCCCCATCCTTACCATGCAGGACATGGTGCGTGCACAGTTCCGTCTTCTGGATTGGATGGGCATTGAGAAGTTGTATGCTTCTGTTGGCTCTAGTATGGGCGGCATGCAGAGTCTGGCTGCGTCTGTCCTGCACCCCGAGCGTGTGGGCAAACTCGTCAGTATCTCGGGCTGTGCTAGAAGTCACCCTTACAGCGTTGCCATGCGCCATACTCAGCGTCAAGGTACGTCTTGATCTTCGTCATCATATCTGCAACTACTGACACTATTCCAGNTTCTCATGAATGACCCTGCTTGGTCTTCGACACGCGGCAACTACTACTCGGCCATCCCACCCCACGCCGGCATGAAACTAGCTCGCGAAATCGCAACCGTAACCTACCGCAGTGGCCCTGAGTGGGAACTCCGCTTTGGCCGCCGTCGCGCCGACCCTTCAAAACCTCCTGCCCTCTGCCCAGACTTCCTCATCGAGACCTATCTCGACCATGCAGGTGAGAAGTGGTGTTTGGAGTACGATGCAAACAGCTTGCTGTACGTGAGCAAAGCGATGGATCTGTTCGATTTGGGCAAGGAACACATGGATATGTTGGAAGGTGTCAGAGCATCCAATGCTCACAAACTCGACCAGTTTGGCGCCGATAAACCCACTCCGAAACCAGAGAGTGGCGCGGCGGATCTGTGTAACTTGACGTTGCCAGACACTCCTTATGAGGAGCAAGAGTCGACTGCGGACATAATGAATGAGAACACTGATGTCAAGGCTGCTACTCAAGATAACGAGCCTCCGGCTGATCTTGTCAAGGGCATGCAGGGGTTGAGGGATATCCCTGCTTTGGTGCTAGGTGTGGCTTCTGATATCTTGTTCCCTGCTTGGCAACAGAGAGAGATTGCTGCCGCGTTGAGGAAGGTGGGAAACAGAAAAGTTACCCATGTTGAGCTTGGCGAGGATAGAAGCTTGTTCGGCCATGATACCTTCTTGCTTGACCTTGAAGGCGTTGGTGGTGAACTGAAGAGGTTCTTGGGTTAGACATGAAGATGAGCCGAAGAACATGTGCATATATTATGAGCAAAAGCATAGCGAGTTTTCTTTTCCTTTTACCGCACTTGTCCTCGAACTCTCGAAGTGATTTCAAGTTTTTCTAAGAATATGCATGGTTTTGTTTTCATCTCATGGTCTATGGGTATCGTAGTATACTTTGAGCCTTTTTCAAACATCCTCAAACTCCATGTCGTCTTCATCAGACTCTGCGTTGGCATCGACAGGAGGCGCGACACTGGCCAAAGGCACAGTATCAGTTTCTTGCTCAGTCTTGACCCGTTTGGCATCTGGACCTTCGGCCTCCTCGACCTTGATGTCCGGTACGCTAGCGCCTGGAGGCACGTCTTCGAACTCGTCCTCGTCGTCCTCGTCTTCTTCTTCCTCTTCTTCTTGTAACCTCGCTCTTTCTTGCTCTGCGCGATAGGCGGCCCAGTAGTCGTCCATAACGGCATCATCTCTTCCGGGTGTACCTCCCAACTTCTTGTCGTCTGCTGCGTCGTCGACGGAAAGACCTCCTGCATGTGCTTCTCGTTCCCTTTGCTCTCTCAACTCCTTTGCGCCTGCCGTCGTCATATCGCCAGAAACCGTAGACCTGGTAAGCCACTCGGGCAAAGCATTTTGCTTGGCCTCCTTCTCGCGCTTGATTCTCGCAGCTTCTGGATCTGGCTTTGTGGTAATGTCGTCTTCCAATTGCACCTTGACTGTTTCTGGCGCCAGAGCCAGTCCTTTGGAGCCGGCGATGCTGGGCTTGACTTCCTCTGCGATTCTGGTTGGACGGTCTGGATGCGCATCTCCTCTGTTGATGGGCAAATGTAGCGATAACGCCGTGTCAAAGTCGTTTTCCGGTACATTTGCTTGATCGATTTCGCGCAGCAGGGCTTCAATGGCGGCGACTTGGGTGTTAAGGCGCATTTTGCTTTCGTTCTCTTGAAGGTCTTCGCTTACAGGGTCGAGAGGGTGTTCGCAGAGATGACAGAGAAAGCTACCACTCAAAGGGTCGATGTTGTCCATAACCTCCAAATCGGTATACTGACTCTTGCACCTCGGACACTCTAGATCCTTCTTCTCCGTCGTGGGTGCCCCCATACTATCGATATGCTTAGACAACCTCGACAACCGATACTTGATAGCATCAATAGCCGGATGAAAGTGCAACCAATACCAATCCACATGCTTGACATGTTCTCTGTTTTTGAAATTCGGATTTGTCGATGGCGGAGGTGCGTCTTCCTTTTTTTCGGCGCGTGTTTGGACGGATATTAGGCCTGCGTCTTTGAGCTTGCCGCATTGTTTTCGTAGCTCTTTNTTGTTGGTGCCTAGGCAGTGGGCGAGGTCGGCGTCTGTGAGGGTGCTGTGGATGCCGAGGGCGTCGACGATGAGCACGTCTTCCACTGAGTAGAATGCTCGTGCTGTTATGCGTAACAGGTTTTTGGCGAGATCCATGGTTGGTGCGGCGGGTTGTCTGTGGCCTGACAGTCGAGGAGATGAAGGTGCCTCTTGGGCTGGTATCTAGGTACTTTTGCTCTACTTTATCGGGTATGCATCGGCGAGTAAGTGATGTTCGTTTGAGACCGTTGTTGGAAGTGAGCTGAGTGTAAATGTTTGGTGGTCGTGTGAGTGGTGAACGATGTTGACTTCTTTATCGAAGCTCTAGCACATGCTGATCACTTCAGGCTATCGCTGCTGGCCACGTGGATGTAGGTATATATTGCAATCTAGTAACGCATGTCTCATCATCCAATCATCTGTCGCAGTGGTTTAGTGGTAAAATTCGTGCTTGCCATGCACGAGCCCCGTGTTCGATTCACGGCTGCGACATTCGTTTTGTCTTTTGTATGTGACATCCATGCTGTCTATTGTACAGACTCTCGCTTTGTTGAGATTGTTTTCTGGTTTTGGCTTCGAATTGCCCTCCAGCGGCCACCGTAATGGCAAGCCTGGCATTGTTGGCCAGCTCTCGGCCTCGAACTTTTGTGCATGTCACGCAGACTCAATGACCACAAGGAAGAAGAGGAATCGACTGCTCGAAACGTTGGAGACCGAGTATGTCTTACTTGACTCTAAAAGCTTTCTACAATCCAGCATATCCCTTGTCTACATCTTCCGCTTTGATTTCCTGTTTGACAGCCTCACCATCTCCCTTCTTGACACCCCAAACAACCATCTTCTTGGTCTTCTCATCCCACTTCATGACATCTCCATCGCCAACGTTGTACCGGTAGTAATTTTCCGTACCTCCCGTCACCATAGCCCTCCTAAACGTAATGTTGATTCTACCATTTCCACTTTCTCCTCCTTTCCTCTTGGGAATGCTGTGCAGCCATTTACTCTGCGTCGTACCTCTCATCAACACCATATCCCCACTTCCCAAAGGCAACTTCAAAGGTTTGGTTTCCGAAGCAATTGCCACTGCACTCTTATCATCAGAAGGCGGAGTAGGTTTATGCTTCATCAGAAAATCTCTCTTGGCTCCTAAACTGAACGATGCAATTGCGGGATCCACGCCCAGAAATCTTTCGTCGTCGCTGTGGTAGGAGATACTGTCGTCGCCGGTGGCGTAGTAGTTCACCAAGCAGAAATTGTAGCATTGGTCTGTTGCTGCTTCGGTGAGTTTGCGTAGTAGATCTAGGCAGGCGGGTATGGGCCGCGGGTTACAGGTCTTGTAGCGGTCTTTGGGGATTGGCTTNTTGGTAGTTGCGTCGATGAGTGATCCATCGGGTAGGAAAGAAGAGGTTTCATCCACACCAAAGACAGTCGTGAAGCGTGGCGTGTTGATATCTGTCTCGACAGGTCCCCGCTTGATCTTGTACTTGACACGGTAGAAGAACAACTCTCGCCGTAAAAACTCAAACAAGGGTGTTGATATCGAGCCCGGTACATATGGTTGGAAATACAAGAGATCCAGATCCGGTTGGTCATTTATCACTTTGCCTTCCGCTTCCGGAGCGAAATTCAACAGGTCGGTAATTTCTGGTGGCAATTGCAGTATGGCGAATGGATATGTGGAGTGATTTGACGGCGCATCTTTTGATTCGCTAAGCGATATCTTTGCTTTCTTCTGAGAGGGGCTGAAGAAGGTGTCTAGTGTTCGTTTCGACATTCTGGTGTTTGTGATGTGGTGTGTTATTGAGTAGAGAGAGTGATCTCTCAGGAAGACGCGACGTGAACGCGCCAACATCTCGATGACGTCGATGAGACAAAGAACCAACTTTACAATGACAATCGAGTTCACACAATACAGTGTAAGACAAGTGCAAGTCTAGAGACACAGATGACGAAGAAGATCCATGTAAGTTGTAAAATTCGAGGTTGGGGGTATCTACACGCTTGTCCATTTCCTGCACTGACGCCATGAAGCCTTACCAAGCCAAAGATGCTCGATAGAAGAAAAGTCCGTTGCGCCAAAATCAAGAAATGCTTGTTGTGCGCCGTGTCCGTCATGAATGCCATCTATCCAAGCTAAACGTCCTGTGAAAAGGTTTCTGTGTTCTGCTCCTGTGAACGAATGGTCTGCACTGCTCGTTCAACTTCAGCCGAAGCAACTTCCTGCCATTTTTCGCGGCCATCTTGGTTGGCCAAACCTTCAGCATCGCCGACCTTGTCATAGAGCATGCGAGATACATCTCGGTTGATGTCGGTGTACTGGTCTTTGTTTATCTCACCTCCACGATAACGAGGGCCAAGGACAGCTTTAACCATGCGTTGAATCTCAGTCTTGGTTGAATATGACATATTGCGCGATGGAGAGCTTGGTGAAATATCTCTTGGTGGACTGCTGACCTGTTGCTGAGCATGTCGACGTGATCTGCCTCTCTCGTCCTTGCCATTGGTAATAGGAGAAAAAGTGAGGGAAGCAAGAGGTCGAACGATCGATGTGAGAGGCATGGGTGAGGTCGGCCTAGGACGTGCAACTTGAGGTGGAGGAGTAACAGATAATGCGCGGGGAGAGACCTGGCCGGAGTGAATTGGAGATGCTCCAGGAGATGCTAGGTTGGATGGTCCAGGCTGTTCGTCGCCGGAATTGGCTTCAGCATCTGGTGAGCCCGTTTCTTCAGGTGCTGGCTGTTTCTCTACTTCTTGAAGGAGTTGAGTAAGGAAGCTTGGTCCTTCGGTAGGTCTCTGTATCGGGCGCACAGGGACTTCGATTGTAGATGGGCCTGGTTCTGCAAGTGTCGGGATCGTCATGTTTCTCTTGGTCCTCGGTCGTTTGAGTTTGCGCTGTGGCTCAGCCTGTTCGCGCTCTGTTGTGTTGTCTCGGGGAGAGGCAGGAGAAGCAGTAGCGGATTTGCGTTTTCTGCTGGGCGGCGCCTGTGCCTCTGGGTCGAGTGCGCGAGCCTTGTCAAGCGCATTCCAGGCGCGGAGTTCTTCTTGAGATTCTGGCGAGTGAGCAGCGGCAAGGTTTCTTCGATCCAGTAGAGTAGAAGCGGTATCCCTAAAGCGATTTGCTGCACCTTGACGGTTGGCGACTTGAAGTCTGCGAGTCCAGGCTGCAAGCTCTCGTCGTTGAGCTGGAGTACGATGGATGGTTGTGAGGTCTTCGTCTTCATGAGGAAAGTCAAGATCGAGGTTCAGCCGGCGCCAGACACTTGCCCAAACTCTATCCCAAGCTTCTGTACCCGGACGTCTACCTCCTGCTCTTCTGGGTCTTGGATTGCGAGCTCGTGTGTTGGCTCTGCGGCCAGCAGCATTGGTACCTAACTCCCGATGACAAGACTCGCAGTACCAGACATCTGGAGCGGTGGCATCGCTAAAGCCAGCGCAGAAGATGTGGACGGAGCCATCGCATCCATCGCAATACATGGTTGCATGCGTGCTGTCGATGTTACCACAAACGAGGCAGGGAGCCTCTTCGTCGAACAAGGCATCGTCGATGATCAAGGTGGGGTCGAGTTCAGCTTGTTGTTGTTTCTCCTCGACAATGTAGGAAGAATGGGCGGGGCCATCGAGAAAGTTGCGAAGTTCGACGACATTGAAGCTTGCGCGACATATGGGACAACTGTTGGCTCGTTCGACCCAAGGACGCAAGCATGAATCATGAAGGTTGTGTCCGCAAGGAAGGAGGTGGGCGACAATTTCATCGTCTATGGGATGCTTGCTGTACGGACAGTCAGCACGGGTTCTGTGTTGAGACGAAGATGAATCCCCCAGGAGGTCTTCGAAGGCGGGGGAGACGTCACCATCCAAGCTTATGCGGCGGCACATGCAAGTGTTATCAAGCCGATCAAAGCGATCAAGGAATCGACGGGACCGATGAAGAAGCTCCAGGGGATTATAACGCTCGGTGAGGACAGGATCTGAGTACCTTTGTTCAGAGGGAAGCACAGGAAGCGGCGTAGGAATCTCAGTCTCGGTCTTGATGAGTTCAATATCTGTCTCGGCATCGACATCCTCGGGACGGAGGCGCAGGTCGCCCAAGCAGACGATGCACACGTCTGTCATTATCACGGCGCCCAGAGCAGAGTAGCGTCGAGTTGAGAGATCATACAAAAGCAAGTGAAGGGAAGGGGAGGAGGAAGGGGTGAGGTTTATATACTAAGGTATGCGAAACTGCGGAGTGAGGGCGCGTTGCCTTCGGTTCACGTGTGACGGATGACTGGGCGTCTGCTTGATTCGCTTTTGAAATCAACACAAATCGCCTCCAGACCCAGCGAATAACTTCACAGGGTCCCTCCCTGAATCTAGAGGCTGATAATTAACCGGTTGCTTTCACATGTACTTGCATTTGGGAAACAAAGAAATCACATGGAGCGACTATGCACGCTCGTCGTGCAATTGCAGCCTGGGCTTGCGTTGCAGCAGCAAAAAATAAAACGAAGTTCGCAAAGTCGCAATACTAGAGTTACATCTCGGTCGTGTATCGTTGGTTCATTGCGATCGATGGATTCGATAGGCTGTTCGATGATTTCAGGTGGACTTGAGTGCGACAGTGTCTTTGGGCAGGATGACTGAGTTTCATTTGATCGTCCCCAGGATCCCAGCATATAGAGAAGCCAGCGTGGATGGGTATTTCCTTCTTAGCTACATCATCCCTTCGTCAAAAGTCCTTGCTGATTTTTTACGCCGCGATTGCCCAATGGAAAAGAACCTCGAAACGAGAAAAACCGAAGATGGATTGCTGTAATAACTTGATGGTCGTTGTTTAAACCTCAGCAATCTCGCGCAGACGACGGATGGTCGAGCGGGTGGCAGCGGCGGCAGGGGTGCTNGTGAGGGCCTTATGTTAGTCGGGTTGTCCAGATTCAGGCGAAGGATGCGTCGTCCTGGTGGTCGAGAGGGGGAAAACGTACGAGACGGTGTAAGCGCCACCAGCAACAGTCTTCTTGCAAGACTTGCAGTCCCAGATGCCGACGGAGTGTCTCTTGACAGTGACCTTGCCGCAGAAGGTGCAGGTGTAGCGGGCGTGCTGGGTCACTTCCATCTTCTTGACCTGTGGGAGGGGTTAAACCTTTGCTCTCGACTGTCGCACTCATGGATCCTGGTCGAGACGCACCTGCTTTCTGAGGGAAGCACCATAGCGGGTACCGTACTTTCCGGTGATGCCGACCTTCTTGGTTCTCTTGGTCATTTTGGCGGTTGGTTTGAAGACTCGGTGTTGACAAGAGGTAAGTCCTGCTTCAAAAGTGCGCTCCAGATTCACCAGATTTTGGGAAAGTGCGTGTGCGGATTTTGCCGCGCCAAGGAAGTCGCGCTGCACCATCACAAAAGTGGTCCTTCGACCAACACCTCACTCCCAAGGAACATGCTGGAATTCACTTTCTCTCTTCTGAATAATGTCAGTCTCCTCCATTCACTCTCCATGACTTGAGATCTCAATTTTCTATCAAGAATTTGATCTCTCTGTTGTCGAGTACAGTCAAGCGAGGCTGTCTACCAAGTCCCGCACCACCCTGAAGACGACGCTCGGGGACGGTTTTCGCCTAATCACCTCTAGATAGATCAATTACAAGAAGCATCTTTCTCCCTTCCTCAGCGTTCGCATATAATTCTGCCAACCATGTCTTCTCGTCCTTACGAACTCATCGTTTTCGGTGCGACCGGCTTCACCGGAAAGTACACCTGCGAGCACATTGTCTCGCAGCTCCCCACCGATCTCAAATGGGCCGTTGCTGGTCGTTCTGAGAGCAAGCTCCAGAGTCTTGTTCAAGAGCTCAAGTCTCTCAACCCCGACCGTCTTGCTCCAGGTCACTAATACTAAACCAAAACTACTGTGAAGATGGCAGCTTACACCATGCAGNAGATCGTCACTTCGGGACTCGACAAGCAGAGCGTCAACGATCTGGTCAAANAGACCACTGTTTTAATCAACACCGTTGGTCCTTACATGCTGTATGCTGAGCCAGTTGTTGCAGCCTGCGCTCAAAATGGCACTCATTATCTTGACGTGTAAGTTGATCTACGTTGGCTGACCGTCATGTCCACTCACATTTTCGTAGCANCTGGTGAAACCCCATGGGTTCGCGAAATGATCAAGAAATATCACAGTACGGCAAAGGCCAACAAAGCCATTATCATCCACCAGATTGGCGTTGAATCCGCCCCAGCAGATCTGCTTTCTTGGTCGATGGTTCAACACGCTAGACGTACTCTCTCTGCTGGTGTCTCAGAACTGGTCTTCTCGGTCGCCGATCTGAAGGGTCAGCCTAGTGGCGGAACTCTAGCGACTGTCATGGGACTATTTGACAAGTACAGCATCTCCGAGACTACAGAAGCTATGAAGCCATGGTCTCTCTGCCCAACTACTCCTCNNCCTCGCAGCAGCCTGGAAGGCCCTACACTGTTCCAGAGACTCTTTGGTGTCCGTCAAGTCCGTGATCTTGGAACATTGTCCACTAGTATCCAAGGTGCTACCGACGCTACTATCGTTCACAGAAGCTGGGGTCTGTTCGAGAATGGCAACTTCTACGGTCCCAAGTTCCGCTTCAGCCCTTACATGAACGTTCGCAACATGTTTACTGGTATTCTGGTACACTTTGCACTCGCTTTCGGCATGATTGCCCTGGTTTTGTCACCCGTACGCTCGTTGTTGAAGCGCCTTGTATTCCAGCCTGGCGAAGGACCCTCGAAAGAGTCTTCGCGTCGCGACAGAATCGAATACCGCGCTATCGCAACTGTCGATTCCGCCGACCCCAACGATCCTAAGCGCATTACTGGACGCATGGCTTGGGATGGCAGTCTCTATCACCTCACTGGTGTGTTCTTGGCAGAAGCAGCCATCACAATCTTGAGAGACGAGACTCCAGCTGTTGGCATGGGAGGTGGCTCGCTTACTCCTGCATCACTAGGCGCTCCCTTCCTGGAGCGTCTGCAGAAGGCTGGTTTGAGAACCGACGTAAAGGTCATGCCTTGATACTCAATCACTCCGGGCGTATCGAGTTGTTGTCGAGGAAGTGAAGCAAGTGTAGACATATCTGTCATCCATACATACTTCTTGTATATATCCAAACAATCCTGATCGTCTCATCTCTTAGAACGATAGCTAGACTGTGCCAGAGGCCTTGTTGCATGCATCGTCGGGAAACCCTGACCGGTAGACCCATTGATCTTACGCTGCACGCAACCATCACGCACCAAAAGACTGGCATCGGGTCGGGGATGATAGAGAACCTCGAGATGCAGAAGCCAGACACAGTTTCAATGATACCACTTTGCTAAAGCAGCCTCACCATACGTTGTCACAATACAAGAACAAAAAAACACAACGCCCCTATGCAGCCAGAGCAAAGAGCGCCCCAACTCTTACCCACTCTGCGTCATTGCACACAGAACACTTAAGCTCCGTTTGGCACATTCACACATTGAAAGGCATATTTTCGGCTTCGCTATCACCTCAGATGTTGAACTGCAGTGCGCAGGCATATAGTTTTTAGTCTTGTCGACACGGAGGCTCGATCCCCGGACCGTTCACGGCGTCTTTGTGGAAGATTTCCTCATGTGCCCGCGGCAAACGCGCAAGCAACTGGATTTTTCCATCGAGCCATTAGTGGTCTTTGTTGCCGAGAATTCGAGATTTGGGCAATACATCTTCAAGTTGAAATTCGAGATTGCATTACATCTTCAAGTTCAAGTCAAGTTCGAGAAGTGTGGTGGTTTCGAGCACCTTGCGAAATTGACTTACCTGAACGTGTTTGCAAAAATTCGAATTTTCATCCAACAAAGACCACATTGGCTCAACTGACCACAGTTGAAGAAGGGAAACGTTATCTCTCGCCAGGTCCGGGGATCGACTCCCCGCGTCGGAATACCTATTCTGCACTAAGTTCCTGAATACAGCAATCAGACCTTTCGGGGTCACAGAAATCAGACCTTTCGGGGTCACAGAAATCAGACCTTTCGGGGTCACAGAAATCAGACCTTTCGGGGTCACAGAAATCAGACCTTTCGGGGTCACAGAAATCAGACCTTTCGGGGTCACAGAAATCAACGGAAATCGACATCTTCGGAATGTCAAAGAGATCTTCGTAATGGACCTGTGCCTCTAGGGGCCGAAAACACCGCCTATATCGCGCATAGGTAAGGATTGGGTCATCCTTTTGCTCTGGTGGAGTAGGTTGGTATTGTTTTTGTCTCGTGTCGTAGGTTTCACCCGAGCTTGAGATGTACAGTTTCGCATGCGAAACAAGATCATGTTTTGCAAAACTTGCAGGCGGTGGTAATCCAGATCCGAAGACGATGACTTAACAAATTGAGAGTATGTTGAGAGTGATGGAAGATGCGCAGTCTACCCACTTTCAGTTCTCTTGAGATAAGCATGCAAGAATAGCCATTTGGATGTCATGCCAACGAGATGTTTTTCAAGTCTGATTCTAACAGGAAGTTATATAGAAGAGAATCGTGGACGAATCGGAAAAGCCAGGGAGAAGGACTTTGGCTTACAAGAAACTCAGCAAACACCCTAGCACATCGACTATCAACACGGTATCGCGATAAAGTGTGGAACAGATAGAAAGATACAGAAGGCAAGCTACTGAACGGCATTCTTGTTTTGGCTGAACAGGACTGGAGGAATGTCGAACGTAGCAAGGCAAGACTGTCATCAAGACAAAGAAGTCACCCCCATCCTCTCCTCCCATGTTTTTCCCTCCTTTTAGACCCCATGCTTTGAGGCCTTTCGTATCCATTCAATGTCCAACACTCCTCGTCTACAGCAGCGGTGGCTTAGTGGTCAGATCTCCTCGCAAAAGAGTCTTGCAAACACAAACTATTTGGTGTGACTATGCCTGTCTTCGTAGTGCGTCCACCACGCTCTCATTCGAGGAGATCGTAGGTTCAATTCCTACTCGCTGCGTTTTCTTCTGCTAACTGTCCAAGCATTATACTAGTCAATCGAACAGAGGAAGTATGATGTTGAGAAGGGGTATATGAAGTAACATTGAATGCTTTTTGTTGTGCATTTACCTGGGCTGGTTGACTTGCACCTTCTTATCCTCACCACAGCTGACAATACCCCATGCTTCGTCCCATTGCACGCCGAAAACCTTGATGCCTTCACCACCTACAGGCTTCTTCTCGCCTTGACCATCACGTTCGAGGACAAAGATGCTTTCGCCTGTCATACCGCCCTCAGCAATACCGCCGTTGCCTGCTTTAGCGTTACGGACATCCCAGACGCGAACACTGCCATCATGACCACCAGAAGCAAAGACATAGCCATTGTCTGGCGAAGGTGCGAGTGAGACTACAGCATTGTTGTGGCCACGAAGCGTCATAGCAACAATCGAAGTAGCGGAAGCGCGAGGATCAATGAGGGAGATGTGACGAGCAGTGGTACCTGCGGCAACCAGATTCAACTGAGGCAGAGCAGCAACCGAAACAAGTGGGTGGGAGGTAGCGCGTGTGTCAACGCAGGTGTGAGTGGCCAGATCCCAGGTCTTGAGTGTGTGGTCCCAGGAAGTGGAGTATGCGACTGTGGCATCGTCGGGCTTGAAAGTAACGTCTGATACTGGCGCGTTGTGACCAGCCAGGAGAGATAGTGCACCGCGTTGAGGTACGGTGACGCTGGTTTTCCTTCGCTTGTTTGAGGGGTTGGGGAGGAGATGTGCGGGTGCTGAAGGGTTGCTCTTGATATCACTGCTGAAGATACCGACAGTGTGATCTTGCGAGGCGGTCAAGATGCGCTGGGAGGGAGTGTGTACGGCCAGCCTGTCCACGGAAGCTGTGTGTCCTAGCAACTCAACTTTGGGTGTGATCTCGCTGTCGTTGTAGTTCCAGATTCTGACGCTGCGGTCCACGCTTGACGACACCAGGCGTGAGTGATCCAGGAACTTAACGCTCTTGACAGGTCCACTGTGTCCACCATCTCCACTCGTTGCCAAAATCTCTTTGCTCTGGTTCCACAATCTCAACAGTCCATCGTAACTCGCCGACACCAAACGCTCATTTCCAGCACCAGCGAAGTTCTTGCCTGCCCATTTTCCAGCCGCTGAAGTGTTTGAGAGAAGGTCGATACTGCTGACCCAGTCGTCATGTTCAAAGGAAGCAACGTGCGACGGCGGTACGAGAGCGCGTACGTATTCGACATTCAAGGTTGTTTCAGCGGAGATGCCGTTGGCGGTAAGGAACTCATCGATCGAGGTTCGGAGGAATTGGCCGTTGATCAGGAACTCGAAGGGGACGGGTTGTTCGGTCTCGAGCAGACGGTTGACAAGAGTTGAGAGCTGGTATCTACGGAGCTCTGCGACAGTCGTCAGCTATGTAATTCTTCGCAGCAGAGCAGCATTGCGCTGGCGCAAATGAGCGACTCCAGGGCATTACTTACCAGTCGAGACGAGGATCGGACCGGTGTCCTCGGGCAACTCGATATCCGGACTCCTCGTGCTGAGTTGAATTCTCACTTGCGACGTCGACATGTTGGTGTATATATGTGTGCTGTGTGTTTATGCGACAGTTCGCATCTCGAAAAAAGTTCATGCATGGGTACAAATTCTGCCGCCATCCGATTCACCGCCTTGCTGAATTGTGCCGCTGATGCAGAAGCTTGAAGCTTGCACAATCTCTCTACCATCTCAGCCATCAATTGTATGACTGTCACTATACATCTCTTTGAGAGCTCGTGTTCAGGCAGGGTGTATGAGGCCAATGATCTCTGCTAACACCATATTTGACTTTTACAACACTTTTACAAGCATAAATTGCTGCAACCTTGGTGGGACATCATAACAGCACTGAGATTAGATGTATTCGTAGCTGTCAAGACGAAACACAAGTCAACATCTACTTGCTTATAGATTGTCGTTGATCTAATCTTCGTTGAACCTACCGTGCTAGGACTGCTACAGCACTCGTTAAATTGGCATTCTTGAGGGTGCGAGATGCAACGACCAGCTGAATGCCATAGGCGCCAGAGACGAACAAGCTCATCTTGCTCTCACCTGAGAACATAGAATCGCTGAAGTACTTACTTAGATCAGGTTGACGCCTGAGGTCGGTGGCAATCTATGATCATTAGAGTCAAAGCTTATCATAAGCCGCATCTCGTGGAGAACAAGGTCGTGAAGTTTTGGGTGGAATATGCGGTCTAGGTAGAAACATGCAAGCATATCGAATTTTCCGGGCTCATAGTACAGACGACAAAGAAAAAAAAGTGAAGATAGAAAAGGAGGGTCCACCCTCGCGTTTTGATCTAAAACGCAAGGATGCTGTACAGGACCGGAATTTTCTCCCTCAATGGGCAACCCTTGGATGGAAACTGGCATTTGACATTTTGATGTCATCCATCAGCTTTCCGGACAATCGCCTAGATTTTCCCTCTAATATATAATTACCAGATTTCTTTCATAGAAATCGTCTACTTGAGGAATCCTTGGCCCTCGGTGTGGACCTCAGTGCGAGGAGATGAGGGGTTGCGGATGGCCTTAGTGGTAGGAGGGTTGTACACGAGCTTTCTGGTCTTGACGACAGTCCACTTGTATCTNATAGCACAAAGTCAGTATTTGTTGTAAATCAAACCAATGTTCGACATGACTCACCTCTTGACCCAGACGGAGAGGGCGAAGAGAGTACCAGCGACGGCCATAACCTTCCAGCCCATCTTCTTGCGGTCGTCCATCTCGGGCTCGGCAGTCCAGTTCAAGAACTCGACAACATCCTTGGCCATCTGCGAAGTGGTGGCAGGGGTCTTGTCGTCGTACTCGACGAGACCGTCGTAGAGGACACGGGCCATGGCGATACCGGTACCAGGGAAGTAAGGGTTGAAGTTGAGACCCTCCTGGACAACAGCACCAGCTGGAGGCTCCTCGGGGTAACCAGTCAGAAGAGAGAAGATGTAGTTGCAGCCACCGTGACGGGCCTTGACCATGAGCGAAAGATCCGGAGGAAGAGCACCGTTGTTGGCAGCACGAGCGGCCTCGTCGTTCTTGTAGGGGCTGGGAAGGTAGTCGGAGAGCTTTCCGGGGCGCTTCTCGATCTCGCCCTCATCGTTGGGCTCGGTATCGAACTCGTTCTCCTCGGCAAGGGCCTTAGCCTCGTCGACGGTCATGAAGTTACCGACAAGGTTGCGGTAGGCAATGCGCTTGAGGGAGTGGCAGGAAGCGCAAACCTCCTGGTAAACTTGGAAACCTCTGCGGAGAGCCTGGTGGTCAAAGGTCTTGTAGAGCTTCTCGTGCTCCCAAGGGTACTTGGTGGCGTGAAGACTGTTGGGCCAATGGTCAGCGCTGGATGGTCGAGTGTGTATGTAGGTGATAGATGACATACCCNNCTCTTCGGCGGGGNNGGTCATGGCGTGGGCCTCACGACCGAACTGGTAGTAGTACCATGCGGCGGAACCGACAGCGAAGACGGTGGCAGCAGAGGCAGTGGCGGTGGTTGCCCATTGGGAAGACTCGGCACCGGAGGAGGAAGAGGCAGCGCGCTGGAGGAATTGAGACGTCAGTTGGGTATGATTCAACGGGCGGGTCGGCGGTATAGAGTGGTTGTCAATGTGGACGAGTGTCCGGGTGTCGGGCGAGAGCGTACCGTGGACTGGCGGGTTGCAGTGTTGCGAGCTGCAGCGGCAATGCGCGCGGATCGCAGGCTGGATCTGGCCAACATGTCTGCGATTGACTGTGTCGGTGTCGAAGGGAGAGGAGGGGTGATGGAGGTGCTTGTCGAACAACTGAGGTCGATGTCGCCGCAGGGCAGGAGCGAGAGAAGAAGCCGGCCAGAGCAGGAAAGAGCCAATCAGATGCTCCAGATTATTCCGAGCACAAACTGGTCCAAGCACGAATTCCAAAGTCGAAGCAGCGGGCGGCCATTTCGACGGCCGCTCCGGCGAGCTTTTGGCCACCTCGTCTCGGTCTTCCCAGAATTTGAGAGTTTGGTGACTTTGCACGTCACAGCGAGCCCGCAAGACTCATAGCCAATTTCGCCCTCACGAGCCTTTGCGCACCCCGATTGAACCACCCCGAGTCCAACCGCGCAACCTCCGCAATCATGGCCTCGAACGGCGAATACCCCCAGGACGACTCACCACCTGCCTCGCCCACCTTGAACCCCCAGCAAGACCAGTCCGAGTCGGAAGATGAGCTTCCTGAGCAGAAGCCCAAGTCGGCCTTGAAGAAGTCTGCTCCTGCACCCGCTGTCCAGAAGCCTTTCATCGCCGAGCAGCCCGACCCGTCGACCATCGATGTCAAGGCCTTGAACCCTCTGTCGCCCGAAATTATCTCGCGCCAGGCTACTATCAACATTGGTACCATCGGTCACGTCGCCCACGGAAAGTCAACAGTCGTCAAGGCCATCTCTGGTGTCCAGACTGTCCGTTTCAAGAACGAGTTGGAGAGAAACATTACCATCAAGCTCGGTTACGCCAACGCAAAGGTCTACAAGTGCGACAACGACGAGTGCCCCCGCCCCACCTGCTACAGGAGTTACAAGAGTGACAAGGAGGTCGACCCTCCATGTGAGAGAGAAGGATGCGCTGGTACATACCGTCTGCTCAGACACGTTTCGTGAGTTACCACATACTGCGCCGCACACCAGCTGTATCTGACGGTTTTCTNNAGCTTCGTCGATTGCCCTGGTCACGATATTCTCATGAGCACCATGTTGTCTGGCGCCGCTGTCATGGACGCCGCCCTCCTCCTCATTGCCGGAAACGAAACCTGCCCTCAACCCCAGACCTCCGAGCATTTGGCCGCCATCGAGATCATGAAGCTGAACCACATCATCATCCTCCAAAACAAGGTCGATCTTATGCGTGAGGAGGCCGCCAGCCAACACCACGAGTCCATCCTGAAGTTCATCCGCGGTACCGTCGCCGACGGCAGCCCTATCATCCCCATCAGTGCCCAGCTGAAGTTCAACATTGACGCCATCAACGAGTACCTCGTCTCAAAGATCCCTGTTCCCCCAAGAGACTTCACCGCCGCCCCTCACATGATCGTTATCAGATCTTTCGATGTCAACAAGCCTGGTGCCGAGATTGAGGACCTGAAGGGTGGTGTTGCTGGTGGCAGTATCTTGACTGGTGTGTTGAAGCTTGGTGACGAGATTGAGATTAGACCTGGTATTGTCAGCAAGGACGAGCAGGGCAAGATCCAGTGCAAGCCCATCTTCTCCAGAGTTGTCTCTCTCTTCGCCGAGAACAACGACTTGAAGTTTGCCGTTCCTGGTGGTCTCATTGGTGTTGGTACTCGTGTCGACCCCACTCTCTGCCGTGCCGATCGTTTGGTCGGTTTCGTCCTTGGTCTCCGTGGCCAGCTCCCCGCTATCTACACTGAGATCGAGGTCAACTACTTCCTGCTTCGTCGTCTGCTCGGTGTCAAGACCGCCGATGGCAAGCAGGCCAAGGTTGCCAAGCTCGCAAAGAACGAAGTCCTCATGGTTAACATTGGTTCTACTGCCACTGGTGCTAAGGTCGTTGCCGTCAAGGCCGATGCCGCCAGACTGCAACTCACCAGCCCTGCCTGTACCGAGATTGGCGAGAAGGTCGCTCTTTCTCGCAGAATCGAGAAGCATTGGCGTCTCATTGGATGGTAAGTCAAACTCGTTTCATCTCACGAAATTCATGCTAATCTGATACAGGNNGCCACCATCCTTGCCGGTTCTACCCTCGAGCCTACCATTGAGTGAACAACGACTGCTTGATATATCAGCAACGACTTACACCGATACCCACACAAGCAGGATCCTCATTGCAGATCTTGTGGGGATGACACGTAGAGGATTTGATATGGAGAGGACGATCAAAAGTTGGATTTGCATGAACGCATCACGCTTTTCTATGTGTGTGAGGCGTGTATGTGCGGGATGCATGCTTGTCTGTGGGCATTAGATCAGGGGTGTTCTATGGCGCTGAGGACGAGAAGGGATGTGGTTTTTCTTTTCTTATCTTTCCATCCACGGATCTATCCTCACCCCTATTGCATGACACCAAAACAAAATACACAGTTTTATGACAGCACATTCATGGCCTGCCTCTTTCGACAAACTGATAATGTGAGCAGAGAACATGTACCACACGAACGCTGGAGAATGGATCATAGTCAAAATCATTTTGTACCAAAAGACCATCATAGAATCTCCCTCCTCAAGAGTCGAACCCTCAACCTTCCTCTCGTAAACAAAACTTTTTGGGGGCATAGCCCCCTACTCCCGACTCCGAAAAGCAGGCGGTCTCCCACTACGCCAAACTCACGTTTGTGTCTTACAAGTGGGATGTGAGAAGGATCACTTTCTGGGTATATAAGGGTAGGTAGGTGAGGTGTCTGCACGTAACCATCCCACCACTACTGTCTTTAGCACCAGTTTGTTTCTCAATACACTGTTCACTGCAGTGGTTGCACTCGAATCAAGGAAACGACATCAGGCCTGTATGCCGCTGTGCGGTTGGCACTTTCTCTATTGAACCACACCTTCTTCTTTCCCTTTTCTCTCAGCCGCACCTTCTCTCTTGTTGAGGCTGAGCCTGCTCTTCTCGTCCGAGCTGCACCTTCATCTAACAGGACTCGTCTTCCGCCCCAGACCTTTACGCCCACAACAATCACCGAATTCCTCTCTGTGGAAGACGTCAACTCACATTTTAAATCCATCACGCCTTCCATCCTCACAGGCCGGTACGCAAGTCAGTGACTTTGACCTCATACACTATCAGCATCTTCGGCGTTCGCTAACACAACCTAGGTAGCCATCTTTGGCATCTGTCCAGGTCACCAGCCGCCTGAGCGGACTTTACCTCTTGCCTGACTATACTCTTCCAACGCTATAGCTTTCCATCACACACATCACACCACATAGAGTCTTGACGCATTCTTGATTCTCGATACACACCGTCGACGATCCGGTTATCTCGGCTACGGTGCATACCCAACACCAAGACTCCTTCACCTCTCGCCATCACTGCCAACCACAACCGGTACAGACTACAAACATCGCAGCTCAAGATGTCTTCTCGACCTGAAAGTCTTCCCACAGAGCTCTTTGAGAGAATTTGTGAGACCGTCCTAAAGGATCAAAAGCGCCTTAACCAAAACGCCACACCAATGCTCAATCTGAGCCTGACCAGCAAGAAGTGTCGTTCGCGCGTCACGCGATACATCTTTCACGAACTCGTCTTCCAAGGAGATGCCCAGCCTCTCGCAGGCAGACTCGAAGACTGCGTGCTCACGCTAAAGCGCCTCGATGTACTCGATCTTGTCCAAGGAATCGCAACTCGTCTTTGTGTGATCGACAACCCAAAAGGATACTCGAACTTCTCGGCACGTTTCCAAACATAAGATGTGTTTCTTTCACTTTTGCTAAAGTAGAAGATCCAACCCTGCCCCTGGAACAACATCGTGTTCTCGAGGTCGATATGCCTGATGATGGCTTCATCAGTGCGGTTACGGACATGCTGGGAGATCAATTCTTCGATATTGCTACCACGGACGGAAGCTGGCGCCTGTGGCTCAAGCAGCGTTCAAGATCTTGAGCACAACATCGACCACTGCTCAGTCTTCTGCAACAGAGTATTCATTGCCATCGTAGATCCAGAGAGTGGAATCACGCCGCGAAGATACATCATTGTATCGATCAGAAGAAAGTACAAATTACTCGCTAGATTCTGTAACATTGCTCAGAAGACGATAAGGACACCGTATTGCTAGGGAGATTGATTGCTGTGAAAGAGACTAGCTGTTCAGAAATGCAAAAGACAGACATGCTACATAATGACACTTCATTAATGCTCTCATTATCTTTAAACGTTTAGAGTATCTCATACATGTAGTAAGCTTACCTAGTGCAGCAGCGTAATCAGAACGTCACCTCTCTTCCTTTACGGGAGCTTTATTCAACTTTCGACAATCAACCTTTCTTTTAAACCAACCACCAGGAGAGCGAAGCAGACATGCCTGAAACTCTGTATCTGTACTTGTACCTTCGATCTCACTTGGTGAGATGCAGCAATCTGATTGTTAACACAATTAGAGTTATCAGCGACCTGAAGAATCGAAAGTACCTTATTAGCATTTTAATAGGATTAAGACCATGTCGTATGTCCCGAAATGTATATTAGAAGGACGGTATTCCTATCTTTCAAGATTTACAAGGTTGAGACAGGGTCGCACCCTCAGTCACCAAAACTCAGTCGAAAACCAAGATGCCAGCAATTCAACTCGTCTTATATAGCAATCAAATCGATATCGATAGACAAAAGACGTTCTACTTCACAATAATACCGCCTCCCCGTGTTCAAAAGTATGTAGCACGTATAGCTATAGAAATGCACGATACTACTAGGAAACTAGACAGCAACAAAACATGGATCTCTCTATGGACAGCATTTGTCTTCGAATGAAGATTGTGCCTTTTCGTAGCCGTGTACAGCTACTCTGTTGTTGTTGCTCGGAGTATTGATGGGAGTTAGATGCTTTTGAACACGGAAAGGCGGCAGAGACGATACTTGATAAAGAAGGTCAAGGACTCTGATATCCAGATTCTTTGAATAAGTCCAAAAGCCAGCCACTAGCTAAATCCACATTCCTTGAAGAATTGCTTAGCAAAATAGAACAACTAAAAACTCCCATTTCTATGCAAAATGATTCCATCTGCGTGTAACGCAGCCCACGAAAGATGATTTATGCCCATGAACTTGGTGTCACTATCTTATCAATCTGCCCTTGCGATATGTCTCTCTTGATCTATGCCGATGCGAGACGTCGACTGACCTACAATCTGCGTCCGATGTTTCCAAAAGCAATAGCACTGACAAACAACACACTAGCAATCCAGGTAGCCACACCTACACTTTCGAGTGTAAAAGTGCCCAGCACCAGATCTTGTCCTCTGATGGCATTTGCTGTTGCATTGGCTACGCTGGAGAAGGAGTGGATGTTTGAAGCGTGAGGCGAAGGGATAAGGTCGGGGTTGATGGAGAGGAGGAGACCAGTGCCTGTGAGAGCGACGGTGGTAGCGAGGATGAAGCAGGGGCCTGTGCGGTCGAGGAGGTACCAGATAGCTGGGTTTGCGAGAGCGAGGGTAAGGCTGAGTTGGAGAGGTGATTGCCATGGCAGGCGGCGCNNTGTAGGACAGGTCAGCGACTGATGCAGAAGAAACAAAAAGAACGAGTGAAGAAGGGAGCTTACAATAGCGAACACAATGCCCACGGCGGCACCAATGAATCTGACAACCTCATTCCAACCAGGAGTCCAGGTTTGGCTGCGGGTACGCCTGTCCTGAGCGCTATGCAAGTTTCCAGAAGTCCTGTACTCCCTGTCTGCCTCAGTCTCACCACTACCATCGCTCATCCAGATCGAGTCGACCCAAGGCAAAGCCTGGCCCAAAGCAATACCACTGAAACACCAATAGGCAATGTATGCCCATGACTCTGAGGGCATACCTTCAACCTGCACAGGCACCAAAGTCTTTCTATCATGCAAATGTGCAATCAACTGGCCATATGCAATGCCAGCAAGACCCAAGACGACATTCTTGCCCACCATGGGCAGGAACCAGTTCTTGAAAGTCTTCTTCTTGGGCCGTTGTACACGCCGTGTCGAGGCCTCGAGCATGCTGCCCCTTCTCTTCTTACTTCTCATCATCAGGGCGTCGTCGACGTTGCCGTCGATATCAGCCATGTTCATACCCTTGCTATCGATGGGGGTTTGGGCACCGGTGCCCCAGGGTGTCTCATCGCGATCGGTCGAGAAGCCGGCCGGAGAGTAGATGCCGAAGAGAGTCGAGGTGGTCAGGTTGAGGAACGAGCGAGTACGAGAGGGCGGAAGGCCTGACTCGTCGGCTCCGGGAGATTGGGTTTCCGGAGTGTCACGGCCATCGGGAGAATTGCCAGCCGTCGGCGACATGGGTGTGAGCTCGAACGGACGACGAGGACGGGGACGCAGAAGAGGAGGCGATTGATCGGCCATGTCGAGGGAGAAGGTGTCTCGTGTGCTTGTGAGGTGGTGGACGGATTCTTGCAGATCTCACGTGTGCTGTGTCTAGATATTGTTCAGGGTTCAAGAAAATATGCAGATTGTGTCGGTGCGCGGATAACTGCGAGAAGAGATGAAAATGCAGTCAATTGTGGTCGGAGATGCAAGAGAAGGAGCGAGCCTCTTGTACAAGAAGGAAGATGAGGGAAGCAATCAACGAATGTGGAACTGTGGGCCGATGATGCTGCTGGCGGTGCTTCAGCTTGTGCTTGTGCGCTCCGAGTTGGCATGTGAAAGCGATCACCCAATGGCCTGTGCCCCGCCGCCCGGCGTCTGCAGCCATGATCCTCGCAACACGAACCACATCCAGACATCATCTCTGCAAAAATCATCAAATTTATGAACAATCCAAAAGGAACTTGATAGGCTTTAAACTAAGAGTACATGCAACAACGCCTCTCCATAACTGTCTTTTGTCTGTGACTTGTTTGCAAGGGAAACCCGTCCGGTCAACCCGCAACATGTCTACGAGCACGCCCCTCATCCTCAACAATGCGCTGAGGCTACATGGACACGCCGCTGCCCTGCATATGCACCCCATCCATTGTTTCATCCCCGCTTCTATATTATCTCTCCTCAGTCAGATCATCTGAAGCCTCCGAATCCTGTGGGTTGGAATCCAGTAGGCTGTGCCATCACGCCGTTGGAGTAAGGTGCCGGGCTGGATGCACTTGCAGCCGGTCCTTGAGTCAGCATCAGTCGTGATCCCCCGAGAATAGGTGTGTTGTCCTCCTCGGTCTTCTGGGTGACCTCTTTTGACTTGCGCTCCTCGTTGTCCTTCTTGAGCTGCTCAATCGCCATAGCCTGTTGTGACATGTAATTGATCATGAAGGGCATAGTGAAGTCGTTCAGACCATGACGCCATGAGAGCTCCATGACAACGTGAAGAGGAATGAGGTCGTAGCAAGCGTAGAGCATACCAACGAAGCACTCACGGCTGCCAATGTCGACAAAGTAGCGAAGGAGCTCCTCGACAACCTCGCCCTTGCCCGACATGGCGGCAGTCTCGATGGCATCCTTGAAGAGCTTGTCTTGCTTCGAGAGTGCAATCGACTTGTCCCATCTCTTGGTCTTGCGGTAAATGTTGGCAGCAATCTGTCTGAAGAAGACCAGGTCATGCTTCTCAAGACGCTGAGCAAGAGCAACAGCCTCGTAGTTGTCGTAGTTCTCGACAGAGTCACGAAGAGTCTTGTAGTCCTCCTCCTCGATGAGCAAGTCGTTGATAGCATCGTTCACAGCGCGCTTGTTCTGCGATTGGACGTTGAGAAGGAAAGGCTTGATGAGAGGGATATTGTCAGACTTCTCAAACATGCGCACAACACGATTGACGTCGATGCGAGGAGTCAAAGACTGGAGGAGATCGGTGAGAAGCGAAGGCTGCTCTTGGAGGTAGAAGTTGAGGGCCTTGTAGTAGATTTCCAAGTTGGCGACCTTGACAACGGTATCCTTGAAAGAGTGGTGCTCCCAAGCATCGGCAGCACGCTCCATCATGGCGAGAGCAGCGTTGTCCCACTCATCGTAGTGTGCACTAGGAAAATATAGTTAGCATACGAGGTTGAATGTTGAGAAAAAAAGTGTAACTTACTAAAGGAAGACAAGCTCAGGCCACAGGTGAGCCTCCTCGCAAGCACGAATCATCTTGGGGATGTTGATACGTCCCCAGAAGATGCGCAGGTGCTCCATAACACGCTCAGGGTGGTACTTCGAGAGGGCAATACCCAACTCGGTGAACATACCCATGTGAGCGCGCTCGAGACCAAGACCAGCCTCCAAAAGCGAGATGAGCTCGTCGAAGTATCCGTTGTACTCGTATTGCTTGACGAGGTCCTGGAGCTCTTCGGCGTGAACAATCAAGTTGAGACCACAGATCTGGGCAAGACGGAACTCCTTCTTGGCAACACAGGCCTCGTTGACCTGCTTCCAGACCTTGACGCTGTTGGCCTTGCGAGCGCACTCAACAGCAGCTTGGTAGTCCTCGAGGTGGACAAGAGTAGTGGCGAGCTTGGCCCAGTTGGAGATGCTGGTGAAGAAGATCTTGGCAGCCTCGTGGAAGCCCTCCTCGTATGCCTTGTCACCTGAAGCTTCAATGTCAGCGACGTTAGATGTGCGGAGGAAGTCCTCCAACTCGCTGAGCTGGTTGGTACGGGCGAAAGAGAAGGCAAGAGCAGTGTCGATAGGGATTTCACGCAGGGTCTTGCGTGCCATGCGCAGGAACTTGATAAGATCCTCGTCCCTTGCCAGCGTGTGTAGCGATCTCAATAACCTCGTTGTAGTTGGATGGGTCCTGAGCGCGGATGTAAGACTCAACAGAGTCGCTGACACGGAGACCATCGAGCTGAGCCTTGGCAACCTTGCTCCAGACCTCAGGAGTATCGACCTGGTCGGCGTACTCTTGAGCACGGTCGATGGAAACGACCTAAGAAAACGAATTAGTAAGGTGTCAAACTATAGTAAAAATATAACTGTTCAAGTAAATTCATCTCCAAGAAGGCTTCTCTGAAGCGGACAACCATCAGAATGCACGAAACTAATCGAGCAAGAGCCCTTTCCATTGAGAGCGCGACCGAGTACTGAACGATGCTGACTCTCAATGGAACTGACCGTTGCTCGTTTTGCTTCGTGCATTTTGATAGTCATCAACTCCGCGACTGCGCTTCTTGAGATGGCAGGAACTAAAGGGGTATTACTTACGTGATCAACGAGAACGTCAGTAGCAGCAGTGTGGTTACCGTGCTTCTTGTAGATCTCGAATGCCTCCTCGTACATACCAACCTCGATACACTGGGTGGCAATGTCTTCAGGGCTGTACTCAGAAAGGGTCTGGATGTAGTTGCCGACGCGAGCACGGTCAGACTTGCAAGCAGTGAGCATAAGCAGGTTTTGGAGGTTAGCGTTGTCGCTGAAGGCGGAAGGCTCGAGGATGATCTTCTCGAGAAGCTCGATCAGCTCAGTGGGCATGTCGGCGTCAATGAAGGCCTTGACAGCGATCGAAACACGCTCAGGATCTTGCGACTCAGGCACAGCGGTAGCGATGACCTGGTCAACAAGAGAACGACGGTGCATGTTGTTTGAGCTAAGGACGTAGTTCCAGATCTCGAGATCCTCACGCTCGAGCAGGTAACGAGCCTGGGCTCTGAACATGGCGTTGTCGTTGGTGATCTCGATAAGCTCGAGGTCGTTCTGGCCCTTGCGGTAGGCAATGTATGCGAGGTTGGGGTCACGCTTCTCGCAGTATTTACCAACAGTCAAGGTATCGTACATGTCATTCTCCTTGAGGAACTTCTCGGGGTCGTTGTTGCTGTCGATGTAAATCTTGGCGAGAGCGTTGTAAACAGCCTGTTGCTGGTTGCCGGCCTGGAGAGTGGCCTCCAAGAAAGGCAGCAGAAGCTTCAGACGGTTTCTTGACTCAACCTCTGAGACAAGCTCATCGATAGGGATGACAGTCGAGTCAACCGAGCTCAAAAGGTTCTTGATGATGCTCTCGTCGCAGTCAACATCAAGCAGGCCACCAACAACTCCGGGGGTTCTGCCAGGGTTGACACGCTGGACGTAAACTTCAATAGACTTGAAGTGCTGGTTCTTGTAGAGGTACAAAACAAGGTCGTGAACGAAGTTGAAACGGTCGCAGACAATAATAAGAGGTAGCTGTTCGGTGAGGTTGGCCTCCTTGAGGAAGTTCTTTACCTTCTCACCATTATAATGGTTAGATTCTCTGCAAACGCGTTCCACTTCTTGGATCTGGCCCATGGTGGTAGCGGCTTCGATGTACTTGAAGGTGACTTCCTCATCTTCGCTCAGGTTGACGATACCACCGAGGTAGTAGTAGAGACCCTCGGCAGTTCTGTACTTCTCGAGCAAGGCGATGATGCGGTGGGGACCGAACAAGTCAGAGTACTTCTTCGAGATGTTGATGACAGCGGCGAGGTTTTGGCGGATGTTGACCTTCAGCATCTCGTCCATGCACTCCATAGAGAGCTCGAGGGTGAGCTTGCCGAAGAAGTTGACCAAGAATTCCTCAGGGATCTTGTCGGACTGAACAATGACGCGCTTGATAGCAGCAGGATCCTCGTAGTGTTCCAAAGCTCTTGTGTATAGACCAGCCTGCTCGCACAGGGTGGCAATGCGAGGGCGATCGTAATGGGTGAACATCTCATTACCGAGGATAGCATCAGCGACTTGAGGAGCGTTCATCAAGTTCATCTCAATCAGGCGAGTCTGGAGGGGACCGTCCTCTTCTCTGTTAGCCGAGAGAACGTCAAGACCGAATGCGGTAGCCTGCTGGATCATGCCCTGAGCCATGAAGACATCGAGGACACGAGATGTGTCAATGAGGTTGGCATCCTCCTTGGCCAAAGCAGTAGCAAACTCGGCACCCTTCTCGGGGTTGACTCTGACGATGTGCTGGAGAAGAGCGTTGAAATCAGGTGTGTAGCCAGCCTCCTTGGAGTATGAAAGGATTTGGTCGAAGTTACCCGACTCGGCCATTGCAGCAATGACCTTCTGGGGGCAACCAGCTTCCTTGTAGATCTGCATTGCCAGGTTCAGGTCGTGCAGGCGGACGATGTCACCCAGCTGCTCGGAGCATCCAAGCTTGCCCTCGCTCATCCACTTCTCAAGAAGATGCTTGCGGTTCTGCTGCAGAACGGGTCTGGCCAACTCAAGAGTTTCGTGCTGGTTGAGCTTGCCCTTGTCGAGCAGCATACCAAAGTACTGGAGGATGACGGAGAGTTGTCCAGGCTGGGCCTGCAGAGCCTTGAAACGCTCAATGGTCTGGGGTGTGCGAAGGAAGCCATTGGGCGAGTTGGCAGCGGTCTTTGCGGCATCGGCGTATTGGCCAGAGGACAAGAGGTGTTCGAAACGCTGCTGGTAAAGCTGGTCAGCACCGGGGAGGCCACCACGCGAGGCTAGCTTGTAAGCAAGCTCGGCATTCTCGG